ACGGGGGGTCTTTTTTTTTATTTGTACGGGGTCTTTATTTTAGCCCTAAACACCATAACCAGGAAGCCTTCCATGACACAGGCTTAGATCTAGAGCCGCTGCCTAAGCATCAAATACTGACCAGAATATCTTATCAAGTTCGTATGTAGCTCAGAGTAGATGTTGGCATTCTTTATGCGACTGGGACTAAATACAGAATTACAAATGATTTATCTATAGTTGAAATATACTATGCAGCTTTACTTTGCACTTTTGTTGGTTGCATTGTTATAGATTGTGGATGGTTCCCCGATGCTTTCTTTCATTTAACGCGTGCATACATCTTAGGTATTTCATAATAAAGACACCTTTCTTTCGTTCTCGCTACTTATTATGACCCTGGCATATTTCAATAACAGAAAAGAATATTTATGTCTCTTTTCTATCACTATTAGTCACGGTTATGCTATTAAAGTATTTTAGCCACTAAGATATAGAGATATAGGTGATTGTGCACGTTCGGCTTTGAGTGCGAACTGTCACCAACTATCAAAAGACAAGTAATATCGGGTAAGAAGATAGATATTCCACAAAATAAGCTGAGGTCTACCCATTGTATTTTGATGAATTTGATAAACAGAAAGGGAAAAGAAAGAGAGTAGGTAGTAACACGGCACGCTATACATCGTAGAAATGAGTATGATTGTATGATTGTTTGTACATCTACCGACACAAACTACACGTTAGAGATTCCTAATAACTGAATTCATCGTTGTGTGCTTAATAGTGTACGATCTTCGTTAAATAAAAAGGGTAAAAACCTTAGCTATAGTAAAAACCCATATAAATGACTGCTAATCGCAATAATCCTTAGTTTTGTCTCATTACATTCCAAGTTTATTATCATAGCCAACTTACCTTGGTTCGTCTTTAGCACGCAGTATTGCATACTCAGCAGCACATGTAGATGCTCACTGCGTCTAAAGGACCAGCTTCATATTGTACAATCACTTGAAATGGTAATGAAGAGAAGCACTGTCTTCAATCTTATTTCTTGCCGTTTTCCCTCAGCCTGTACTGCCCAAAAACTTCAGTGATTATCCACATTGCCTCATTAATAAAAGGGTAAATTTATTGAACTTTAGCTCCATATTACATACATAGTAAGTTATATCAATTAGGTTAAAACATTGCACCACGTGAGTGGTAATTTAAATCATCGTATACGCTATATGGGTCTAATGGTAGTATTTTTGTATGTCACAAATGAGCTGTTTGGCAGCTCCCACGGCGCTGCAACTTCCACCAGTAATAATTCCAGACCCCTCTCTACTCTAGACTCACCTCCACTTATTTATATAAAGCCAGAATCATGTAGTCTGTAGGATACACGTTGCTGCTTGTAGATGAAAAAGAGACCCCGTGCAAATAAAAAAAGACCCCCCGTGCAAATAACTTTTTTTTATTTGTACGGGGGGAGCAGTGTAAATAGAGTGTGTACGTTTCAGTGCAAATAATTTTTTTTATAAGTAAAAATTTATTTGCACGGGGGCCGTACAAATAAGGGGTGTACGGGCCCGTGCAAATAACTTCATCCTTCATTGTTTACTTGGCAGCCTACCCAGCGTTATTTGGCCTCTAACTATTTTTTTTTTTTTTTTTTTTTTTTTCATTCCTAGGAACCGTATATGTTTATAACGCTCATACTTCAAATTAATAAAGCTCCCGTCTTCTACGTCATAGTTATGTGTAGTGACATTGTCTTGTCTCATTTAGAAAACTAATGACTTTTTTTTTTCAAGTAGGTCGCTCATACAGTTTTGGAGGTGCCATTTGGAGATCAATGCCTATGAGAGGTTTTCGCTCGGAGCAAATGCATCTCACCTACTACCTAGACGTCTTCAATAAATCATTCCCTAACCGTGTACATTGAAGGCTGTTTTGTGAAGATGTCATCGCCGCTGCCCTTAGTACCTCCGGCGGCATTAGCTGTGCAAGGCAATGTATCCACAGAACGCTGCTTGTTTTACCACTGATGTTATGACCCTGTTTATCAAAAAAAAAAAAAAAAAAAAAAAAAGTAATGTATTTGGCAGCCCAGCTGCCACCCAAGAGTGCGAAGTTAAGTGGCAGCCCCCAGAAGTAGGCTGCCAAATAGAGGCAAAAATTACTATATTTGGTATGGGCTGCCAAATAGATTAATCCCCCGTATATAGCCCCCGTGCAAATAATTTTTTTATTTATTTGCATGGGGGTGTTCTTCATGGTCATGTCGATACCCTTAGTACTTATAGGTAAAGTCCTCATTTCAAACCCAATTGCGCTCGCTGCGTTTGGAGCCGTTAGCAGGCGCTGAAGCGCAACTTATCCAGGTGAGTTTTAAGCTTTCTGACAAATGCTAATACCTGTAGTTATGTGATGAGTACAACAAGGCATAATATGCGACCAATCTAGACAATCATTCCAAAATTAGTTTTGAAAAACTTGATAAAACAGTGGAACGCAGTATGGACATACTCAAAGTCCATTGAATCTTCAGAAAATATGTATTTTTCAAATTTGAAACTACTCGTGGCAAATATGTGCCAGTTACATAACAGGAAAAAAAGGTTTCCTTAGGGAAACTCGGCTAGGTCGCGAAAAATAGCAATTATCGGATGTTCTAAACTCATTTTCTCAAGAAGCACTGCATAAAGTATTGAAAAATGAGGTTCATATCGCCCACATCGTAGCAATAGTCTAGGCAAGTGATCCCTCCTTTAGTTAAGCTCTGCTTTTCAAACCTATTACAATTTGCATTGTTCCAATGGGGAATAAACTGTCTCCGATTTAAGCTAACATAATTATTCTAAAAGTTATGTGATGTGCCTGAAGTATTGTCCATTTTTCCAAACGTGATAACCAAATCGACTATCGCAAATATCCAAACACCATGTCCATTACATGTCCCACAAAATCCCATGGTTAAATCCGCATGGCCAATTGGGCAAAATTTGCAAACGTTTAGATAAATTTCTCCACCCTTTTCAGTTAACTTTTAACTTACTTTTGGACAATTTTTTTATTCATTGGAACAATGTAATAAAAATAAACAGATAAAGCTTATTTTAAAGCAGATAAAACAATTATAAACGCCGTAGATTCTTTAAGAATTATTTTAAATCGAAGATAACAAGTTCCATTTGTCGCTCACTCTAACAGGAGCCATTCGTGCTTAAAGTCAATATTGTCACGATTTTTTGGTGCAATCTTGATTAACACTGAACAGACTATTATACTGTATTTAGTGTCCTCTGTTGTATATTGTATATTGCAGCATATAGAAAGTACTTGGTGCTCGAAGGAATAATAACGGTTTACAACGTGCCGTCCATTGAGACCTTCACTGAGGATAATCCTGTGTTGATGAGGAGCACAGGAGCTCCTGTTGAACTTGTTGACACCCAACAAAAAAAGGCTTACTACTGTAGATCAATGTACCTTTTTGATCATGACATCCAGCTATAATCCAGTGACATTTACAATTAAAAGCGCATTGATGTATTTATGTGATTCTAATGCTTCCTGCCTATTGACGTTTTCATTGAGAGAAAGCCACCAATTAAAGGCATATTTTTACTTGAAAGGCTGAAATAACAACTCCTCGTGCGAATAAAAAAAATCATTAGTGTGTACGAGGGGCGTGCAAATGTGTTTTTCATTCTTTATTTGGTCTCAGAGTCGCATGAAGAGTATAAACATCTACTCTGAGCTACGTATGGCTTGATAAGATAAATATTCTGGTCAGTATTTGATCCTTGGGTATCGGCTCTGGATCCGAGCTTGTGTCGTGGAAGGCTTCCTGGTAATGGTACCTAAGACTGAAATAAAGACCCTCGTGCAAATAAGGTGTGTACGGGGCCGTGCAAATATCTTTTTCCTTTGATAATGCCAGGAAAGTTTATTGGCCATTCCACGGGAGCCATCTACGATTATCTCGATATAGTCTATGGCAATTTTTTTTTTTTTTTTTTTTTGCTAAGTAAATACTACTGGTATTATATTATTGAAATATCATATTGCCCACCAGTTGAGTCTCTTCTGCAAACGGTTTAAATTTCAGCGCGTCCTCTATTCCGCTCGTTATGGATACTGATGGCCTATTGAGGATGAAAAGTGTTGTTGTAATGTCAAGGATTCTCTACATATGTGATATCTTTCCTAGAGTGCAATCTGTAAAATTTACATATATGCAGCCTTTTAGAAAATAGTGAAATTTTGTGAGAGTGAAAGCAAGCATTTCGTCCGCTAGGTTATATTGGTTCAGATACGGACGATATATATGTGATCTTTTTTTCAACGACTATTACTGCACCGATATTGCATCAGTAGCAGCATAAAATCATTTTGTAATATCTGAAAATATTAATACGGGAGCTTGTGATAATAATTCATGAGGTTAAATGGAGCAGCTTTTTGGAATGTTTAATGATATGACATTGTTTATATGTCAAGTTCATCCAGTGAAGCAGCCAACGTGCTAAGGTACGGAATATACTCGTGGAAAAAAGTAAAGAAGTCAAGTTATTTTGCATTTATATGTTAGTAGGTGAATAGATGACCAATATGCCCAAGAAAAATAATAAATGTATATACTGGAAAAGTGACATGTCAGGCTCAGGAGCATTCATGCATTTATAGCCTTGTTGATAAGAGCTATTAAATATAATGTATGCTCACATAACGCTTTTAAATAAACAATTGTATATATCATTCATAACGAGCGAAAGGAATATGTTTAGGTTGGAATCACTAACTAGGAGTATTCCGACTTGAAAATATAGCCAGATGTAGTTGACTCGATTCAAGGACTACAGATATACTGTTAGATCTGTTGTGCCGAATTATACACTTCTATACCTCGCTTACCTTTGTTGAAAATAATAAAAAAAATTCTCAAACTCTGTTCACCGTACGCTAAAGCTATTGCTTTACTTTGCTTTGCTTTGCTTTTATTTTATTTTATTTTATTTTATTTTTTACTGATTATTCTAGTGCTGTAGTAGTTGCACCGACCAAAAGAACACATAACCTACGAGCTGCTAGTCTCACGTTTGGAGATAGTTGTCCCTTCGGAGCGTTCAAGCACATGATGTTTGATCTGTGGGATGGATCCTGAGAGAGGAGTAGATGGAGATGCAGATGCCGATGAGCTAGTGGAAGATACATTACTCTTACTGATAGTGACATGACCATCTCGTGTAACCGTTGCAAAGGTGTTAGGTGGCGTTGTAGGCTTGGGTGGAGCAGGGGCAACGGGGGCAGGAAAAACGACTGGAAGCTTAGACACAGACGAAGTCAACTGCTTCAGGACCTCAGTGCTAGGGCGAACTCGACTACAAAGATAAAAATCTCCTGGACCTTGCAAGCGAACAAATTCCTGTCTCCCAAAAAACACATTTCCAATGCGCTCGGCTGCACGTGAAGCAATATTCAATGTAGATGCGACATAGGGATTGGAAAGGATTTTGGATGTACGAGTTTCTGGTTCGACTTGATGAGTTGGATCAATCGCAAGACGTGACGCAGTGGGAGATGAGCCAGCTTCCCATGCAATCAAATGTCTAAAGGGATCGTCGGAGCAATGCATATTAGATAGAGTATAGGACTATTTTTTTTTTTTTTTTTTTTTTTTTTTAGAATATTTTCAAAAAAAAAAGACAAGATTCTAACCTTGGATTGACAAGATACTCCTCATTTGGCGCCAATACCAGACGGTAGATTCCTCCGTAGCTGGCAATGGCAAGTGTGCCACGACCCGTGACACGATGTGCAAAAAAATTAGTAACGCCTAATCCAGCCTTGGCTAATCCCAATTGAAGAATCACTCGTGGACTCCTTGCTAAGAAAGAATCTCGTCTAATATAGTACTCTGATGTGCCATCCATGCGAATAGCTGCAATATCAGACATGTACTGAGGTGCTAATAGGACATCTCCAGCCACCATGGATGTACTGAACTATTTATAAAAAGATTATGATGATGCCATGTTATCACATCCAGCCTCCAAGATCATTCCAGGTATGATTCTTAATTACTATCTTTGCGTTACCAAAGGCTTCCCAAAGGCTTACCTTTTGAAAATATAAAGAGCCTCCCGCTAAGCGTCTTCCTAAGGCTTTTAATGGGTTGGAAGCGGTCGATAGTTCAGATTCAACCTGATAGTTTATCATTAAAGAAGAAAGGATAAGGACGATGCTTCATGTATATGCATATACTTATAGATTATGAGAGGCAATAATAAACATGTACCTCCGCTGAACTTCCGACAGCAGCGCCAGGGGCAGCATAAAGTTCAGAGCGCGAAGGAAGTCTAACATGAAGCATTGATCCTAGCCCGGCACTAACAACCTCAAACTCAGGATCGGCGACTGAAGGCTGCTTGATCCATTTTGAAGCGTTATTAATTCCTTATTGAGCAATATGGTATATGGTACGCAAGGATTTATTGCAGCAGCGTTGATCAGGCAATGATTTAGTATGTGATCTTACAAGAGACTTAAGAATTGTTCGTAGTGTCGATATGAGGAATTACCAGGTAGGATAGACATTATGCCCTTCTTTGCAGATTTAGATCCATCTACGGTACTGCCGGCTTCTATCGAAGACTGAGCATATTTTTGTTGTTCCTCTGAGCGTATGTGTGTACCAAGTGCATCCCGACGTGCCTGAATACGCTCCTCGAGAGAGCCAAGCTTTCTATCTAGGGTTGGGACTTCTCCATTGGTTGGCTGTGAGGTCGTGTTGTACGCTAGGTTGGCATAGGCGCGATTGAGCGCTGACATGTTTATCGTACGACTGGACCTCTGGCCCACTTGGACGACAATTGGCCAGACGTTCATGTTGAATGGAGAAGAGTACGGAGGATAGGTTTGAATTCAGTTTGCGAAGAAAAGGTGCTTAATGACTGTTGTGAGGTGGCTTAAAAGTTATACCTTAATGTCTATCCCCGACGAGAAAAAAAGGTTGCACCATGGTTACCATGCTGAAATGACTACGCTTTTTCGTTTTATTGCTGTCAACATTTACTGTAGGAGACAACTGCAATCCTATCCACCATAGCCATCCTCACTACTGAAGGATTTGCGCCTAGCCAGAAGACAGGAAAGAGCTCATGGCTACGTCAGGTGGCATGATAATAGAAACCTCCAGCACTACCAAGAGAGCAAACCGAAGCCATATGGACCCTGTTATCATCCGTCTTGAGTCTGTCATTAAATATTCACTTGATAGATTCCAGTTCCGGAATGCAACCTTCCTTGCAGAGCGATTGCAGTCGCAGGTGCGCGGTCATGAGCATTCAGAGATTGAGCGAGAACACGCGCAGTATCTGCTGGCAACATGTCATTATAGACAAGGCAAACCAGAGGTCGCATGGACAGTTTTGGAGAGGTGCGCCTCATTAAAAAGCCGCTATCTTTTTGCACAGTGTTGTCTCGACCTAAAGCGCTATGTTGAGGCCGCTGGTGTCTTGGAGTGGCTCCTTGAAAACGGTACTTTGCCAATCTGCCCCGTTTCAGGTACATCGTCTTCCTTGCCAGAATGCACAACCGTTGCTTATGAAATTCCCCATGGAGCCTCTAAATGCTTATGATAAAATCCTTTCTTCATTATAGACATCGTTTCGGACCATGTTCTGTTGAGTATAGGAGAGCCAGATCGAGCCTCAGTGCTAAACCTTCTTGGACACACTGCCAGGTACCGTTCAAATATTTGTAAGGTGTACCAATCCATTGTAATGTATTTGCTCCTTTTAGTCCTGATCTCATTCTTGGTTCTCTTTTCTTTTTCTCTTTTCTTTTTTCTCTTTTCTTTTCTTTTTTTTTTTTTTCTTGTAATGGTCCTGCCAGAGCTCAGCAAAGACACAAATTGGCAATCAAATATTTCAAGGAAGCATTATCCTTTAATCCGCTGCTATGGGAAGCATTTGAGGGACTTTGTGAACTCGGTAAGACAGCCTTTGGCTTGATTAAGACTGGCCATGGATGATGATAAAAAGTTATGAAATATTCTAACGAATGGATGACTTATTAGGATGTATTTTCTATGTATTTATTTAGGGGCGCCTTTGGATCCCAACGCCCTATTTCAACAGTTTGACACAAAGACTTCCATTGTATCATTAAAGCCACTTACGACTATACAACCATCGAGGATCAATACTTTCGATGGTTCACCATTCTCTGCATCTCAAACAGAAACAAAGCAATATGAAGGTGTCAGCGCCGCTCAGACAAACCCTTTTAACATACATACTTCAGCTCGACATGATGCGAAAGATTTTTCAAAAATGACAATACCTCAGTCATCGTCTTTATCGCCTGGGACCATTATGGCATCAATGCATACTGATGACTCGCCACCTATGAAGTTAGTAATTGCCACTCAAGCTTACTTTGATCATGTTCTATTTTTATTCTTTATGATTCATTACTCTTACGCGCCCACTTCGCTTATAACGCTTGTAGAGCTATGTCTACTAGTCGAGATACCATAGCAAACGCACCCGGGGAATCGACGGAGAGAGTAACCTTGAGAAGGGGGACGAGCAAGTCAAAGTTTGAAAGGAGTAAGGTAGGAAGATGTGATGAGAATTGATCGTGCCGTGGTGTCTTGAAGCAGCTTGAATTTGATATAGTGGTGCTACTCTCGCTTGAACATTATGATCTTGTATTTTGTCTAATAGTCGTCGACTATGTTACGAATTTCGGCCGCGTCTGGAGGGGTATCTAAGCGAGAGCCTGGAAGAAGTAATACGATCGCTAATTTTTCAATGTCTGGAATAAAGACGGGAGCTCAACGCAGGCACATGTCTAATAGAAACACGAAAAAGGATACAGATAGCAATGAGGTACGATCCAGCTTAAAAGAACTTCAAATACAAATGATGATGGAGTTTTATTGACTTGAAACAATCTCACTTGGACATCTTCACTTTAAATAATGCTTAGGAATACGAGACATATAGAGAGTTAACTATACCTATGACGCCAGTAGAAGCGGATCAATTGGGGGATGATGAGAGTCTGCGGGTCATGATTGATATTTTTCGGATTTTAGCAAGGTCCTATGGTTTATTATCACTCAACCAATTCATTGAAGCTATAACCGAATTTGAGACTCTGCCGCACGATCATTTGCAGAGCGGGTGGGTGCAGTGCCAGCTGGGCAAGTGCAAATTTGGGATGGTAGACTATGCATCGGTAAGATTTAAATCATTAGGGACGCTTTTTTTTTATTTTATTTTTTATTTTTAAATGGTGCGACCAAGTATGCTCACAAAAAAATAACATGTTCATGCCATATATACTGTTATAAAGGCAATGAGATACTTTGAACGTGCTCGAGAATTGGATCCAAGTTTGCACAAAGACATGGAAATTTACTCAACCTGTCTTTGGCACTTAAACAAAGAGACAATGCTTTCTACACTCGCCAAAGAGCTCAAAGACTCAAATCTTCATTCCCCTCAAGCCTGGGTAGCTCTTGGTAATGCATTTAGTTTAAAGCATGACAGCGAGCAGGCCCTAAAATGCTTCCAACGAGCGATCCAACTAAATGACCGGTTTGCATATGCCCATACATTGTCTGGGCACGAGTATACATATATGGAAGAGTATGATAAAGCACAGACAGCATTTTTGAAAGCCATGGCAATCGATCCTCGTCATTATTATGCATGGTAGGCGCAAACTTTTCGGCGTAGCTGCTCCTAATTTAAAGTACCATGTGAAGGGCCCGTAAAGAGCTAAACGTGTACTTCTCTGCATAATTTAGGTTTGGCGTTGGTCTCATCTACGACAAGATGGGCAAAAACGATCTTGCGCTCGTTTCCTTCAAAGAGGCGCATAAACTTAACCCATCAAGCAGCGTGGTATTATATCGAGTTGGTGCCGTAAGCTAGAGTTTTTTTTTATTGCTTTCGTGATCGCTTTTGTGTAAGATCAGATATCATGCGACAGGAAAACTGAAAATCTTACGATGGTTATCTTCATCTTCCACTACACAGAGCCAAGAAAAGTTGAGTAGGATCACAGAGGCTTTGCGTTCATATCAGGAAGCCATCGAGCTTGATTCTACTAATGTTGCTGCTCGCTTTAGCAAAGCCAAGGTTCAAGCAGACATGGGCTATTACGATGAAGCCTATGAGGAATTAGAGATAGTCATGAAGCTATCGCCTGATGAACCCAATGCATTTATGCTACTAGGAAAAGTTCTACAGAAGAAAGGTGACAAGGCGCAGGCGCTAAAGTACCTGACATATGCCTTGAATCTTAATAGCAAATTATCCCATACTATTCGTGATATGATCGAAAAGTTGGAGCAGGACGCAGACAACGATGAAGTGGGCTACGATGTCAAGGTTGATGTAGATCTTTAATAATGTTTCATAAGATTAAAGTTACTTTCGGAAGGGCATGTGGCGAGTTCGGGATAAGTAGGCTAGAGATTTTTTATTACTCTTGCGGCTGACATCGGACCTGCATATAATCTCATTGATGGGCTCCAAAGGAAGTCGCATGGCGTGGCGAGGCAAAACTACATAGTACGCCCTTTAGTTCTTCCATTAGATATTGCGAAGCATTTTTTTTACTGTAATAGCCTCTTCATGTCCAAACATAATATATCCACGTCTTTAAATTGACGCTGTTACTTCCATTCTTTTTATTGCTTCTACAAGGGGTGTACTATCAAGTCGGTTTTCAAGACTAGATTATTTTTTTGTAACTCTCCTTAAAGCGTGCGGAAAGCTCATACTTTATGGTGAAGGATATGGCGACTGCCCGGGCTCAATATGAAGCCGTATAAGCAATACAGTGAACTCCAGTGTCTCTAAGTAGTTCCTCTGGATGGCGGTCATTCAAGAGAAACCAAACAATTCTGTTAATTACTGCTAAGTCCAGGCATATGGAAATACAGCAGGCACCGAGCAGTCGCCTATTGTCATGGTGTTAGGGGTTAGTAAGGGGTTTGATTTCAGCATACACTTTGATGGCACACGACTCTGCCACATCTAAAAGTGCCGTCACACATCTTTGCATGCACATGCTCATGCACACGACAAATAAAAAGAAGGTTCATTCAATTGATTTCTATTCAAAGAAAATATGTGAAGATAGGAAATCTTCGCATGCGATTCAATTAAAGGCAAACAATCTGCGTGAAACTATTTATTTATATGTAAATAATCGATGTTGATTGATTGACAGGATGTGGTTGAAGAGGTACTCCATGAATAACAAGTTCATATGAAATCGAAGGATTATGCCTGGTATAGGGGGGAAAAGAATCCAGTGTATATTTTAGAGTGCACGCTCCATGCGACATTAAAAAGCGCAAAAGCAAAGACTGGACGCGTTTTTCTAGATTGCGGCATTCTATAGGCATCCTTGCTTGGCTGATATCACAAGAGCTTGCGGAATGAACAGGAAATAGATATACATTCATAAACTTTTCAATGTTCAACTGCGCCGTGGTTTGTATTATATTGTCCATCCTCCATGTATACAGTAGGGAAAGAGCAAATCGTGATTTGAGATCGATAATGATGGCAAAAGCATAATTGCTTAAAATTATTTCATTCGTGGTATGTAATCCAGACTCTATGCAACATCAGATATAGCCTAGTCCATATTATGGAAACTGACCAAGTAGGGAACTGAGTAAGATAGAGATGCCTAAAGCATCGTCCTTAACCCAGTGAATTAGATAGCTTACGGAAGAAATGAACGGCTAGAATAGATCCAGACCATGAAAAGGCACAATGATAGACATGCAGCACTTGCATTCTCCCCCACAGAATGAATTCCAACCAAAAAAAAATAAAAAATAAAATTGCTTGTAGTCATAGGAAACTCTATTTTCTGTTTCCGCCTCCGATTCCGACTCGTTGAGATGCCTCTATAAAAACTACGACCTTTCCCAATTCTCTCTTTACCTCCATCCTCTTCTCTTCCTTTTTTTGTCTGTTGTGTGTTTGTCTCTCCCTTCGCTCAAGAGCTGCTAATACATTTGGATGAGACTATCCCTCTCTGTTTCCACCGCATTAGCACATTCCTCTTTACCCTCAACTCCCCACTCTTCTCTCTTCTAAACACTTGCTTGTAAACAGCAGTGTGGTCATATGCATCCGTTTGCCTACTCTAGATCCGTATATCCTCAACATCTCTCGAACACAAACACCTGTTTCTTTTAGACAAGTCCTTTGCATCAACGACTTTCTTTTCCCATTTGTCTTGTGCTCCTTTTTATTTTATTCATCACTTATTTTAGCAAATGTCTGCAATGTCGATATCCACTTCCACCAGCATATATAGCCCGGCCGAAGCCGCCTTTAAATACGATCTAATTCCCGCCTCTTCACTCCAATTCCCTTTTATAAAGCCAAAGTCAACCGCGGTCAACAACAGCTTGCTCTTAAAAGCAATTATTCATCAGCGTCTCCATATGAGTCCTTCACACCACCGTCTCCCTCTTACAAACTCTCATCTGGATCAATACTCTCTTCTTCACCAAATCCAAGGCAATTCACATAAAAAGACACACTCAAGTCAGCTTGCCGGTACGCTGAAGGATATCATGTCCAACCCAACTTTGATAGAACCATTGAAAAAGACAGCTGATACAGCTAAGACAACCGCGACAGCATGTCAGTCTTACGTCTACACGGCACCCTGCGAGCACCACCCTTCCAAAGGCCAGACGGACTACCTCGTCAACGACATGTTCCCTAAACTCACAGTAAGTGATTACTCTTTTTTTGTTTCACTTTGAACATAAAACATAATTCATGCGCTTTCCCTAAGAGGCATGTGTTAATTTGCGGGGGAAGTAAACACTGGTTGACGCGTGTTTATCTAAGCTCTGAAATACTCAGACACGTGTGTAGATACGGAGCATTATTCACCTCCCTTTTCACCTTACTAACAACTTCTGATCTTGTTTATTATCGTTTCTAGCATGATTTGTCGACCATTGAGTTTGGAATTCGAATTGCCGATTTCATGCCCCTAGCTTTTAAGACTGTTTCAATCGCTGGCTTGGCAGAGAAAGAGCTTCAGCTCTTGCGCGAGCTCGGTAATCTGCCCAATGTGATTCAGCTCCAGGACTCGTTCGTCAATGACAATGGTGATACCGTCCTAGTTCTGCCAATGCTTAAAAAATTTGACTGCCATGTTGTCAACAAGAGTTTGTGCTCTATCCGTAAGGTGACTAAGCAGATCCTTACTGGACTTGCAGCAATTCACGCCAAGAATATTGTCCATTTGGACATCAATCCTTCCAACCTTATGCTCACTCATGCAAAGAAGGATGCTGTTATTATCGACTTTGGCCTCTCAATGACAGTCAAAAGTTCCTGGAAGGATTCTAAGGCTCAGATTCCCGTCTGCGGCACCACTGGGTATATTGCTCCAGAGATATTGCATCCTCAGTTTTATGAAAGCCATGACCCAGCTTTGGCTGATCTTTACTCCTTCGGTATCGTTCTTGGCCAAATGCTCGAGCCATACATTCCTGATTGTGACCTGCATTACTTTGGATCCAAATATCTTGCTGTTGAAAACACGAACCAAACAGTGGCCTACCTCAAGGAGTTCATCGCTCAAGGGGCACATTACCCAAGTGTGCTTGTGCAGGCTGCCGACCTGTTGCGATGCATGCTTGAGGAAAATCCCAGGGATCGCAAGTCTGCCCAAGAACTGCTAGACACACATCCATTTTTTACCTGCTCTAATACTTCAAATGTGACGTTGTTGCTGTGTGACTGGCTCTGCCGTATCCAAGAGATCAAATACCAAAAGTTTTTGCTTCAAGAACAGAGAGGATGCGAAATCTATCGTTACCGTTAGGTTTCTTTATTCTAATTTTATGCTTTTTGCATTTATCCCTCTGTTATCATTGCTACTACCACTACTATATCCCATTACTCCATCCTGTATAATCATTTCTTGTATTATAGCCTTTTATTTTGTACGATCATCCATATTTTAGAACTAGCATTTTTTTTCTCCCCTCTTTATCTTGATTGAAGTATGCAGATAGGAATTAAAGTATTTTCTTCTGAAACATGAAGGACTTGTATCCTTGAGAATTTAGAGTCCAAACTGTATCATTTGCATTGAAGGCAGGGGGTGTACCTCCTGGATGGAGATCTACCATATCGGGAAAATGTTGACTGTGACGAGCACGCAATTTCATCTGATTTCTTAGAAACGTGATCGGGCATTAGTAATTTCTTTGAAGCCTCGAACAACTTCCCCACGCTCCTCTTCTCTTCCTCTCTGCATCTCTATACCTTCCATCCTTTCTCGTATTTGCCAAGTCTCGCTGCCAAAAATTAACGTTAGCGCCATGACTTTTGCTTCTCTTACACACTTGGGTGCTGTTGCTCGCATGAGTAGCAGATCATCCACCTTCCAGTCTAGACGCTTCTTGGCTCAGACTGTCAATGCTGTTCCTAAAGTTCAGGATCAAACCAAGTCATCAAGCTACAAGGTCGTCGTCGTTGGTAGGCAGCCTATTTTAAGCTAATCAAAGTCATTGGAGCCATACTACAACCAACGCCGCATAGCATGACGCTCTGATCCATCGCGGTATACTCTAAAGATTCATTGGTCTAATACAGCCATATCTATCTATCATAGGTGGCGGGTCTGCTGGGCTCTCCGTTGCCTCTACTTTGGCCGAAAACCTCGGCAATAAAGCAGTTGCAGTTGTCGAGCCATCTGATGTCCACTATGTATGTGTTCATTCTCTACTGGAACTTCCGAAGATCTTAATTTTATTTTCCAAAAAAAAGAAAAAAAAAACTAATGTTTCTTTTGCATGTCTGTGGAAAAAAAATTGTCTGCGCAGTATCAACCTTTGTGGACGTTTGTTGGCGCTGGACTCAAGACGTTTGATGAGTCCAGGATGGCAATGAGTGAAGTCATGCCAGAGAAGGCTCAATGGATTAAGGATTCAGTTGCCTCATTTGAGCCTAACAAGAATATTGTCAAGCTTTCAAACGGGGAATCGGTAATGGCCTTTATTTTGTTTTTTTATTTTATTTTATTTTTTTTGCATGAAGAAGAAAAAATGAAGCAACATAGAGTATATGTTATTGAGTTATATGGAGTAACGAGTATTATCACGGAAAGATCAGGGATGAGCAAATGAGTAGACACCACCAATTTTGGATCGGACAGTGAAAGAAAAGAAAAAAAATCATGATGCCGCCATTTTAATGTTTTATGTTGGCCTGTAAATCTTTGTTAGATTTCGTACGACTACCTTGTCGTTGCTGCTGGAGTAAGTGCGCTATCTTATTGCATTTACTGGGTTTTTATGGACAGCACAGGCATTAGACGGATATAGTTTGGGTTTGACTAACTATTGCCGAGTAAATGAAACTTGAATTCCCTTCCTTAATCAATTAGATTCAAATGAATTGGGGAAAGATTAAGAACCTGTCTCAGGCTCTCGGAAAGGACGGTGTAACCTCCAACTACTCCGCCGATTCTGTAGTGAAGACAGATGAATTCATCAAGACCTTTAGAGGCGGCAATGCGCTCTTTACAATGCCCTCGACTCCAATCAAGTGCGCAGGAGCACCCCAAAAGATCATGTATTTGGCTGAAGAACAATGGCGCAAAGCTGGTATTCGCTCCAAGACTGATATCAAATATTTCACAGGGCTAGGGAAAATCTTTGCGATAGATAAATATGCTAACGAGCTGCTCAAAATCTGTAAAGCTCGCGATTTGAATGTCAACTATTTCACGGATCTCACCGAAATCAACCCCGAGTCCAAGGAGGCAGTGTTTAATGTGCTAGGTGGCGAAGCTAAGGGTACCAAGTTGACCTTGCCTTACGATTTTTTGCATGTTACGCCTCCTATGGGCGCACCCGATTTCATCAAAAGTTCTTTATTGGCAAACGCAGATGGATGGGTGGATGTTGATAAGGAGACTCTTCGCCACAACAAGTTCGCAAACATCTATGCATTGGGCGATTGCTCAAGCCTTCCTACTTCAAAAACCGCTGCCGCCATTACTGCGCAGAGCGCTGTGTTGAAGAATAACTTGCTAGGCGATATTTTCGGAGACAAACAGATTGCAAAATACGATGGATACACTAGCTGTCCGGTATGTGCTAGAAAATCACTTGGAATGTGTAGAAGCCAAGCTGGTATTATTTGATATTCTGTTACGACTATATAACAAATTTATATTAACATGCTGATATATGATCTCTTCAACCGTTTTCCATGTTAGCTCATCACCGGATCTGACAAGCTGATTTTAGCAGAATTTAGCGGCTACACTGGTCAGCCTCAGGAAACATTCCCTTTTGATCAATCGAAGGAACGCTTCTCCACTTATTTGTTGACTAAAGAGGTAGGGGACTCATGGCATTTTAATTCAAAGCTGCAATATTGGCCTTAAATTATAGAAATTGAGATGACCAAACTCTTTTTTTTTTTTTTTTTTTTTAACATGTAAAGGTTCTCCCAGAGATTTACTGGAAGTCAATGGTCAAAGGAACTTGGGACGGTCCGGCCAAGTTCCGCAAGCTATTCCGCTCTGCTTAAAAAAAAACCTATCTTCCAGCTATATTTTACATCCATTGTATTAAAAGATGCAAAAAACATGGCTGTTACGAAGGTGAAGTGCAAAAAAATAGTGGCTTGATCATTCAGAGTCTCCAACCTGCCTATTAAATATATAAACGGCTCTAATAGAGAAATAAATGGATTCAAGAATGGGGCTCTTTGTTATGTTTTGGTCTACGTTCAAAAAAACCCTTCTCCTTTACCACTGTAGAGAGACGATGATTTGCCCATAATCCTAGCTGCCACTTGGGAGCTCATTGATGTTGAGGGTCTGAATCTTGTTTCAGTGCCTAATGGCTGATGTGGATAGAAGTGATAGCACTCGTAGCCATTGTCATAGTAGCGACTTAAGACGGATCCAATTGATGGAAGAAGGGGATAGTATCTGCCATTGGTTGCTGAATAATATCAGTCCATTCACTATTGCTATTAGAGCAGCTCCATAGGTATCTCGAAGTCCGAAAGTGTACCCACATTGGGAAGAGGAACAATCCAGGTTGACAAATCTAGCGCACCCTTGATCTTTCCCTATACAATCTGGCAAGCCCTGGTTTACCGCATCTAATAGAACAGAAGACAAGTCTTCCGTATTAGAGACAAATAACCTTAACGACGAACGGCGCCACAAGAAACTGGTATGAAGAAGAGAATATAGGTCGATTCGAGAACTGTGGACTGAAGACTGATGTTTATCGAATTCTTTACTTTCCACATTATTTATCTATAGAACCAATTGTGGTGGTTGTTAGTGAGGCCGCGAGAGGAGGACTCATCAATAGCCGACGAAAGTCTTCGCATAATGGAAGTTGCCTTACTGTGGATCTTAAATGCTCTAAAAATGACAGAGAATAGCTAGCCTAAGTAAATTGCTTTGTTATCAGTCAGAACTGAGAGTAGTTGGGAGACAAGAGGCCACTGATAAAAAAAAGACTCCTCTGGCGGCCTGTACCTGATCTGGTTGTCATAAAGCGATGAACATAACGAGTGCAGATGTGCAAACATGACCATCTCTTCTCTCTTTAGAGGCCTTCAACTCAATCATCATAGTATCGTTACTTACAATAAAGAGGGCCTTCTGTGTCTACACAGAGATCACTTACTCAGCAGTGTTGGCTGTGGTGGTTCGCATAAGGAGCTTCGCATAAGGAGCATCGAACATGTACAGACGCCTTAAAACAATTCATGCGTGGTAAAGTCTTGTGCGATGGCTGCGGTGGTGGTGATGGAGAAATGACAATTTATCAGGGAGTCCTATCTCTTTAGAGCAAACACAAGTGGGCACCATCACCGCCACCACCTTACCTCCGTCTTCGCTTCGCCTTCGCCCTTTGCCTTTGCTTTCCGTCTTCATTGCCCTCTCTACTCTCCTTCTCTTCCTCGATTCCGCTCCCGGTTCCCTTTCCTCTTTATCCCAGGTCACGTCCATATTGGATACCGTCGGCTCACCCCTCTGTCTTCTTTATCCTGCGAAGCCTCTAACTGCGCTTTAATGCTGTCATATGGACACTAGGGGAAGGAATGAATCGAACGGCATGATTAAACGTTTTTTTGGGAAGTTTTTGTGGCCGACAAGGTCGTCCTTAGCTTCAATGAGCTGCTGTTCCGCAGACGCACCCTTAGCCTTCTCGCTTTGGCAACTTCGGCTTCCAATTGCCGATAGGGCCTCGCAATGAATCGTATCCGCCATTGGCTCAAGACTGTCGATTATTCAATTGTCAAACAGAACGGTAAGCATGGTTGTGGACTAATGTGTGGCTTGGTATCCTGAATGACAGCTTTTGATCTATACCTCACAATGCACCCACCAAGCACGTTTAGCAGACTCTGTGTTCGAACTCGCTGGATCCGTTGAAGCCATTTAATGCTTGATATCTTACGTTCATACTCATGGCGATATACTGGAGTGAGTGGTGAAAAGGCTATGTGCAATATAGGAATTATGGATGTAGACGATGAAAGACCATATTGAAAAAATACGAGGGGGGGACAAGGAGAGTGGAATATAAAGAAATGAAGTATTTATCTTTGCAAGTTCTTGGGAACATAACGCGGTTGATAAACTAGTGTCCGTCGAGTCAGTAGATATGCTCATAGATTGGTAGAACAGTAGTGGTAAAAGCTCTCTTTAGTATTTTGGAAAGCCCCCATGAGTTGAATATAATAATAACCAAGGCATCAGGATCATAAATTTCAAATATTGTGAAAATCTGCATTCGAACGAAAGAGGAGGCTATGGAAGATTCTCTTTGGTTTTTGCGCACGCTCTGACGATGATAGACATGGGATATCCTGCAGCACTGGTTAATCTTGTATCGTAGCCTGGCCTTTTTTTTTTTTTTTTTTTTTTTTTTTTTTTTCGCATGTTTCGCCACTCAAAATGAAGGTAAAATTTTCCATTTACGGAGCAGAAGGGAACCACATCAAAAAAAAAACTGATCAAAGCAATGGTTCTTCCTGTGTTTAATGATTTGTTTGAAATTCAACTGAAGTACGATGAAAAACTTAATTTTATTTTATTTTATTAAAGCAATCAATACCCTGTGCCCTCAACTGTTGAGTTAAATAACTATGATCGGAGCCATAGGTAATCCGTCTAGTTCCATGTTAAGATGTGAAGTAAAGATGAGGCTTCACCAACTGGCGAATATGCTTCCACGCGGTCCCTTACGTTCTGGAATGGGTGCGGGCTTCTGACGAAGGATTTTACGTATATGCTCATGCTTTTGCATGAACGTGACAATAGAAGCATTTACTTGCTTATGTTCAAGCAAAAGGCCGTCATGGCCTTCCTCTGATCTGACTCGGATCAACTCACTATTTGGTAAAAGTGTGCTTAGAGCTTCAATCTCGTAAAAAGGAAAAAGTACATCGGATTCAATTCCTATCACCGATGAAAAAAAAAAAAAAAAAAAAAAAAAAAATAGATCAGCTGGCTGTTTGAACTATTAATTTCAACCAAGCGCTTAAGCTCCCTATCAACTTGCCTAGTACAAGAGTAGGCTGCTGGATTTTTTGAACAACATCTTCATAGTCTCCACGCCCGATAGAGATATCATGGGCGTCCATTTTGCGACTGAGAGCGATGTAGCAGTTAGCATCAAAGCGCTGAATAAATTTGTCAGCCTGATATCGTAGATAGCTGTGCGTAGAATACAATGGCGGTTGATAGTTATGGGACTCGACATTCGCAGCATCAGCAGCAGGGTGCGCAAGACTTCCTTTATCTTCAATAAGCTGAAGGCTATTGTCAGATACTGGTAGCTTATTTGAACAGGCAACTGTGACAGAATCGGAAAGGCCTGGTACATATGCCTTCATCTGGCGATGTCCGGCGTTGTGATCTATACGGTACATGTGCGCGGGATGAAGACTAGGCGTTTTCAATTGTGAGGAGCTGGGTGAGTCCATTAGGGATCGGCCGAATCGGTGCTCATACGAAGCTCTTGTTCGATAAGTCAGCATTGCTATCATTCGAGCCGCAATCATGCCATGAAGTGGTTGCTTTTTTTTTTTTTTTTTTTTTTTTTTTTTTAAGAAAAAAAAAAAAAAAAAAATCAATGCACAGAGTACGTTATTATCAAAAATACCACAGGCATTTCTTTCCCTTGCAAATTCTCCTTACAGCATCTAGCGAATAGTAGCCGTCAAGATACTTTGGATCGGCAAAGATAGATTGCCTCTGAGCTTCTGTCCAACCCATACTCCATGCTGATGTTTTAGCAGGGGCTGAGATGGGAACGAGTAGCTTAATGTAATCGGGGCCATAGAAGGCCCATTCAAAAACATGCATCCCAGCCATCGAGCCTCCGATGCAAATTGCGACAGATTTGACACCAAGGTCATCTAAAATCATTTTATGAAGTCTTTTTTATAAGGGAACAAAAATGAAAAAAAAAAAAAAAAAACGTTGGTGATACCAAAAGGTGAATTCGGTGCAGAAGAAGCGAGAAGGAGAGAGTATTGCATACTTGCAGTCATCCCGAATTGTAGCTAGGGGGAACTCCGGGCCATAGCGACGGCTGGAATCAGGATTATTTGTAAGAGGGGAGGCCGAGCCATAAGGTGAGCCCATCACGTTGAGACAGATGACGAAGAACTTTGTCTCGTCAATAACTTTCCCTGGTGTATCCAGGGTGCATGATCCCATGAGATCGATCCACCTAAATTGCAATTTAATCATGTATCAACAACTTGTATAACACCACATCCAATAATTTTTATCTTATAATATATTTGTATTTAAAAAAAGAAAAGGTTCAACATTACCAGTCTTCAACATCCACACTACGAGTCAGTGGATGACAGATGAGCATGCAATTATCACCTGCTTCGTTAAGGACGCCCCAAGTCTTGTAGGCAACTGGTACCTCGCGGATTGTGTGACCAGACTCGAAAGTGAATTCTGGCACGATAGCGATTGTTTGATCAGGAACCAACTTTGTGAATGGGTTTTCTGGCTGTGTGGTCTTGCGTTCTATAGTTGATACGATGATAGGGAAGGGACAGGCCATAGTTAGGAGGTGTGAGAAATAAAGTATTGCTTGTATGCTTGCAGTACAATGTAGAATGTGTGATCGCCATACCGAAAGGCATATTGTTGGGAAGTAAAAATGAAGGGGTTCTGAAATGGATGTACAATCAAGACTCGTTTCCGAGAAAGAAAGGGCAAAGGAGGCAAATCAGTGCTTAAATATGAAATTGGCTTCAAGTGTCAATGTTACTAATGTTGGATCCTTGGATCCGATGAGTAGGCCATTGCCTCGCTATATCTTATTGGAGCTTACGCCCAACTGAGCAATATGACTCCATCCTCTCTATGGAATCCTAGGGTAGGTTTGGTTTATTTACGCAGTGGGAGGTGTTAGAGGAATAGAAAAATAGCAAGTCTTGACCATTTTTAGTCAATGCATCTATGACCCATTTGTGTCTGTAAATATTTTTTCCAGCTAATTAATGACTATTTAGATAGATCGGATCGAAAGCATACTCCAAAACAAGTCAATTGATTAATACATGGCATTGCATCTCATGCCTCTCATTGTTTCCTTATTTCGTGTGATATCTATGCGAATGGGGTTTACAAAACACCTGTATCACCATAGTTTTCATTGGGATGCCTCCATCTTGTTAATAAATGAAGGTCAGGGATACTGACCGTGAAAAGTGTATTCGTGATTGGGAATACCATTGTGCCCTTTGGCAATGTTAGTTGGTTCGTAGCCTAATAGTTACAAGACTGGATCAAGCCTAAATGGTTAATACTTGAGGCAGGCAATTTCTTTTGGTGGAGTATTACGTGAAAGCTATTGGCTCAATACACGTCGCAGTCACCTGTCCATTGGCTGGGGCACTCTCACTCTCACTCTCACTCTTCAACTTCCGACTACAACTTTTTGCACACAAACCCAGTGGACATTACACTTTCTTACATTTACGATTTACGAGACATCAGAATTTTGAGGATTCTTGCAGTGAGGACATTAATAGTAAACAATCGTGCTTCAGCGGGGTTTCAGACATGAGAGGTGGAGTTATCGCATTGCTCATCCTCCTCTGGCTACTCAGTGGAGACGAAGGTCCTCGTACAGAGCATTTACAGAAAGCACTCAGAGAGCTGAATGAAGAAGCCGCTGTCTGTGGGAACCGTACTTTTGGGGTCAATGTTTCTTATGTATGGACAAAGCAGACTTTAATGTCAATTGGTCAGTTGAGATATGTATGCATAATGCTGACGAGTCCTATCTGTTCACGTACACGTACTATTGCAATAGCCACTTCCAGAAGCTGTGTCAATAGAGCTTACCAAGTTGTTCAAACCAGCAGGAAGTTGGGGAGCACATTTTTACCATAACCTCACAGGGTCGTTTAAAGGCGATTGGGTTTTTGATGAAGAGATTGCTGCAAAAATTAATCAAGAGTTTCCTTTGCCAAATGCTCCTCCGGCCAAGGAGGATTCTAAAACGAATGGGACAGTCTCGGAAGTCAATGACAAGAATAATGATAGCATAACAGGGCCCAATAAAGAGGAGAGCGGGACAGATGGTAGAACCACGCCAATAGATCCTAAGGAAGGCTCAACGAACAGTACAATTGAAGAAGGCTCAGCAGAAGATGATAAATCAATAGACACCATAGAAGATAAGAAACCCAAGTACTTGGAGGACCTGGATAAATTCAAAGGCTCCTTTCAATTCAATGAATCTGGATCCTTTACGTTCAATATCAGAGAGACGAAGGCTACGGAACATGTGAATTGGGTCAAGGTAGCGAGGGGCCTCTTTTTTTTTTTTTTTATTTTTTTTATTTTTTATTATAAACGAATTGCGATACAAAGAAGAAAACTTGACATTCTGATACTGAGCATTTTTTCTTTCTCTTGCTGCTGGGTGATTAGGGAAGCTGGAGACTGAGGCATGAAGATAATGAGGACTATGGTATAGCGCTGAATGTCCAGGGTGTTCATTTTGTTCATAATGGGTCCTTTTATATGTGGGGGATTCCTGAAGAGTAGGACACAACCCGGAAAGGGTTTAAGCTTCACCTTGAACTGCTCTACTTTGGCTTGTATTCGATAACAAGCATGCTCACAATGTTGTTTTATCCTTTTGTGTCTAATAGGAGTCGGATGCCTCTTTGGCGAGTATTGGATCTAATGCCCAACAATGTATCCTTTACGCTTGCTCTGGCGGCAGTCAAGGAGCAATATCAAAAGCGGATCAAAACAATACAAGATGTGATGGATGGGATCGACACTTTAGAGTATCCAGAGACAACACTATCTGAATCTTCTAGCTGCCACTATCAAATGTACATGCAACTTGGTGCCATTGACTCGAGTGTTCGATCCACGGCAGTTAAGGAGCTTGAACGAGGTGCGTTATCCGAGAGACATAGCGATTAAGCCTCTTTAATTTGCGATCTTACTAACGCCTAGTGCTAAATACCGTTTATTGAATACTTTATGAAACAGAATGGGCGTCGCCGCAGGGTATATCAACAATTAAGCCTCCACCGCTCAACTCGACATTATTCCTATACTCGCCTAACTGCCGCTTGACGCTGAGTGTGGAAAAAGCAGACGGAATGAAGCGAGAAAAATTCTATGCCAAGGCTGTCAATTATGCGGGGATGGCAGGAACTGTGAGTATCACTAGTTTTTCAGGAGACTGCAACATTGCACAAGCTGTACTTTTTAAGAAAAAAAAAAAAAAAAACTGCAAGCTGAGACCATTATAATGTTTAATCTCCTTTAGCTTGCCTTTATTCAAGTTTTTCTCCTTGTTCGCCAAATGGAATATACACCTACGCCGTCTGTATGTTATGTTTGATTGAGATTCTAAAGGCATGTCGACCAGGTATTTTAATGTCCTATAAGCACTTATTAATATTTGTGCATTTTGTTTACATAGAGTGTTTCTAAAGTATCGTATTGGACAATTGCAATCCAAGTTTTTATCGATTCGTACTTATGCATGCTCCATTTAACAACCGGGGTTTTAGTTGGTAAGAATTAATTGAATTCCATAGATATGCCTGATATTCTACGTAAATAGTAGTATCTAAAACTATATCTTTGCGCCATCCATGCTTTAGACTTTCTTTTCATCCCTTTTGTCGCTGCTTCGTTCTTTTCTTTTGTTCTGGTTGCTATCTTCGGCATGCGCTACATGCTGGTCATCTGGCGGATACAGAGGCCAGAGCGACGTGGCAGACGCAATCAGGCAGCAGCAGCAGCGGCACCGGCAGCCACACCGGCTTCTGACAGTAACAGTAGTAATAGCAATGGTGACTCTGGAAACGGAGCCGGCACTGCAGAGAACATCCGACCCACAGATACTATGCCTGGCGGCCTGCCACTTCCAGTTACAGCGGCTCGGCCAACAGTAACGGACGACTCTGATAATCCGAGAGCAGATATGCAGGCGCTCTATGGACGATTTTGTACGGTTCTTGACTTGAAATACTTTTTTTTTAAAAAAAAATTCTTTATTTTTGTAGGGAGACCACTACCTAACATTGTTCTTATGCTCGAAAACACAATAGATTGGATGCTTATTATCAGTTTGGTTACACTTTATAAGATCGCAGTGAGCTCGGAAAGGGTTCAAAATCTGATGATTTCAGTTTGTGCATTATGTCTTTTCTCATTTTGGATCCCTCAAATCGTCAGGAACGTGACACGAGGATCAAAACGAGGACTTGACCTGCGGTTCGTGCTTGGAATGAGTATCACAAGGCTAGTTCTGCCTATTTATTTTTACGCATGCCCTAATAATCTGATGGGGCATGAGCCAACTTTGTGGATCTGGGGACTTGTGTTGTGGGTTGCTCTCCAAGTTTGTGTCCTATTGTTACAAGACTGGCTTGGGCCACGGTTCTTTGTGCCTAAGAAGGTAAAAGAAAAAACAACCCCAGGTACACTGACTTGCCATCATTTGTATCAAATTGCGTGGGTCTGATTTTAATTTTTTTTTTTTTTTTTTTTTGCGAATCTAGTACTTGCCTCCGGTCTATGATTACCATCCTATCTTACCTACTACAGATGAAGAATCTGGAAATACAGGACACGGATCACGGGCTCCACAGCACGATTGTGCGATTTGCCTGCTCCCTATCGATACGGCTCCACAAGGCCCTGCGAGACTTTCGAGTGTGGTCGGCAGTCTTGGTCGACTGAACTATATGCTCACACCTTGTGGTCATCTATTTCACACTGAATGCTTAGAAAGAGTAAGTCTTGTAATAATGACTATAAGGATGCTCGAATCATCAAAGGGAACTGTTGAAAAATACGATAGCTAATGTTTAATATCTACTCACTATATTATCTTTATGGCACATAGTGGATGCGGATAAAACTTGAGTGCCCTCATTGTCGAGCATATCTACCATTTATTTAGAACACTACATTCCTTATATACCCATCTCTCATCGAATGTATACAGAAATATAGACAAGCGAGGCTGCAGCTCATGTATCATAAATCGATATCTCATAGCTATTGTTTTTTAGTATCTTTAATTTTATCATTAAGCAGCTATTCATGTGTGTGTCCTTTAAGTTTGCGAGCAATCTTTATGCAGACGCGGCCTTTTAATCCCGCAGCGTATGCATCGGTAAGGATTAAGCGTGTAGGATCTCTACGTATAGTTAATACACTATCCAGAGCTTCGTGGAGGCTTCGATCGTTGGATCCAGCATGAGTTAGTAAGCTATCCATACCAGTGTCCACCATCATGATATTTTGATTTTCCATGAAGAACCCATCACGGTCGCCATACCGGTAACTTTTCTGGTAAAGTCTCTGTTGCCTACTCATTTCATCGGCGTACTTTCTAGGGTTATCAAGAACATCAGCCCCTGGAGTTGGGTATAAGGTGGATCCAAGACTGCAGCCCATTCCGTCACCTTTGGTACGAGACAGATCCAAAAGGCCAGCGTGAGGCATCTTGTCGATGATTGTGTAAGGTCTAGATACAGCAATCCATGCAGCACGCAAAAGATCGTTTCCATTTCGGCTAAAGATCCGTTCATATGTGTTGTGCTCTTCGCCAGTGAGCCAATACCAGGCCAGGTAAAGTCCCTTCCATGCATCCCTGTGCCTTAATGCAAATGAACTCCAGGATTGTTCATAAACTGCTGGATCGCAGTTGCCTTGAATGATGCGCCAGAGAGGATTGTCGCCTGCTGGAAACGACGTTGGATGCTGCCAAAACACAGCTCCTGTTCGAATATAATCAGGATGTTGGAGAACGACTCTAGGCGATTGCATTGGTAAAGTCGATGGTGAAAAATATATGATATCCTCAAATCCAGAGTTGACCAACGCAGCTATTGTCAGCGCCTTTTGAAGCTGACCTAGATTCCTGTCCGCTCTGGCTTTGAATTGTTGAATGTCAGTGCTGCTGATGGGCGTATTAGGTGATCTAAGTGTCCCATCTTCGTCATCGGAGCTCAGTACGATGGCATCCACGGCTGTTGAGGCATTATCGTCCAACGAACGGATGGTGGCGCCCCAGGTCGCAATCGATTCCTGTAGTTCTTCGGAGACATCATCTGCTCTTTCAAACCATACTTCGATTGGTATGGAAGATATGCTTCGAATTAGTTTGATCTGGAGCAATGTGTTGGCTGTTGTATTTTTGCCGTCGCTATCTGGGAACGCTCCTAGGACAACACCTTGACCAACCCATCCATGGCTGAATTCTTTCCAATTTGGAAGGTTCTGCTTAAGATTGCGTTTCCAGGCTAGAGACAAGGTATATGCGTCTTGTTTCGAAAGATTCTTCCACTCTTGGTTACGGAGCTGCTCCCTTTCTTGTCTAATTTCCTGCGGTAACGTGTGTTCAAGCCTCTCAAATGCCTTTAGACATAAAGGTGACCCAAAATCGCGAATCATAAAGATAGATTTAGGGTCCATGTCAGTACCATCGGGGTTTTTGTATGAGAGTTCTGGCTTTTGTTGTGATAATGGCATGGTTTCGCCGTGGGAACGTTGTTGTAATTGCAAAGCTGAGGAACGACTGAAGACTGTGGTTAGCGAGATTTTGATATCCAAGACGGATAAAAAATAGATTAAAATGATCATGCCTCCTGCACAGATCATAATTAACATGGCGCGTCTTCTACGGGGCGTTCCATGTATAAGCAGGGGACATGTACGAGCGATCCGAGCCTTAAGTGATTGATCCCGGTGCTGAGAGCTTTGGAATGGATTCATGTTGTGGAGCCCGTTCTGGCGCTTGGAAGCGTTGTTATGGTGATGGTTGGTATTAAGGTTTGTGGCGGCGTTATGAACTGATGGCAGACCCCCTGTACCAGCTGTGATGTATCCACAGGAGCTTTGACGTCGTGGATTCACAGTGGCGGCAAATGAGGACGAGCTTGTTATCGAGGCACGTCTCTGGTTGAAAGCCATGTGTGTTAATAGATTTTTAGAAGAGAAATATCGCGGACAATGCTGCTTGGCTCTGGAGAATGAGATGGAGGAGGAACAAGTGAATGGGACGGTGAATAATGTGAAAAGAGATGAGATGAAGCTGTTGGGGGCAAAAATGGTGCAAAATGTATCAATAATTGGTCCTCTTAGTGTTCCTGAATTAATGCCTAAAGTTCAAAAGAGTTTAGACTTGGAACAGATTTCGTGTTGATCAGGCTAAACATCTATGCTGTGGAACCATTGAATGAGAGCTCATTGTTTTTGTGCTCAATGGCCCTCACTTTGACGGTTTACATTGACTTGTTTCAACCAAGAAGATCGAAGATGGACACATATTACACACAGGCTTTCTCTCTTTATCTCTTACTCCTTTTGTGGGTTCAAGGAAGAGGTTTGGCCGATTCAAACAAAGGATACTTCCTCTCCTTTTAAAATTGTTAGTACGGTTGCAAATACAATAATTAATAATAGTGACATTAAAGAAAGGGTAGAGCCCGTTGTCCGTTGTAAAAGAAAAAAAGAAAAGCATGTCATGTCATGTCTTGTCATTATTCATCTTTTTTATTTCCCTTCATTTCCATTTCCATTTCCATTTGTGCTTGCATCTTTATTCTCTTTTATAACATCCTCTTCTTTACCTACTGCCCTATCCACAACCGTGACACATTAGTCTACAACAATACCAAGTATTAATTCGATCGACATGCACCATGGTGCGCTCCACGGCTGCGAACATCGAGAGGGCAACACTCAAAAAGGCAGCTGTCAGTACAGTCCCGTCGTAAGCTTCCTCCTGGCAAACAAACAGATAAACAAAACGTATTCCAATCTTCAAACCCTCTCTCACTCTTTTTCACCATCTCTTCTATTCTTAATCTTTTTCTTCTTGTGCCTGCTGACAGCTGGGCAAAAGCGAAGGCGTATCAATGGAGCATAGTTGAAAGTGATGAGGACTCTACGCGACATGTCTCGGAGGCATCCTCCAGTACCATCATCGGATCTTCTATGGCAAAGCACTCTTCAACAACCTCTCTACCTCATACCATAAACTCTACAGCCACAGGCACCTCGACTTCTCAGTCATGGTCTATCTTCACAACCATGAGCAATGTGTCTACTGTTTCAGAATGCCTATCAAAGTTCAATCATCCAGTCTACAAAACTGCCCCTGCCCCTACACTTGAGCCGATACAGGGTTCATACCATTCGTTAGACCAAAAGTCGCATCATAGACAAGCTCTGGAAGGGGTCCAAGATAAACGCGACTGCACTTGTACTTGTCCCCAGCATGAATACTCATCTCATCATCAGCCACGCCGTACGCGGTTATCTACGAGATCCAAGAAACGACAGCAGAAATATTCATTAGAGTTGGCACGAGGATATCCAACAGGAGAGTGTATCTCTTCTTCAGGGCCACCCCCAGTGACGATTTGGGACGAAAAGGATCCTGCTGATGTACTTTTTCAGGGACGACGTCTAAGCATCAGTACCAATACTGCTTTCAATATCGAGGCGTTCAAGATGTTCCTCACCTCGCCACTTTTCTCTAGCATTCTTAAGAGCTTAATTGTTCTGGCTGCAACGTTACTTGTTATCATTTCCATCCATGCCATTATAGCCCTTCACAGGGATCTGACATTTGAAAAGGATGCAAACCCATTTTCGAACGCAACGGCATCGCTTATCATCACTATCATTCTGTCAGTCTTCACTATAGTATACTCATGTTTCACGATCTTCTTGGATTCTAGGAGACCTCCAGAGGGCCTTGATTCGTCTAATTCAAAACCGCTAACCGTCATTTTTTCTGAGATCCTAATGTCCATATTCTGGGCTCAGGTATTGAGTGTCACCATCTACATTTATACATGGACATTCGGATGCACAATGGCGGGGAAAAGACAGCTCGAGCGTGTTTGGCACCAGAATCAGTCGTTTCCCGATCATGTAGTAGAGAGACTATGTCGCCATGAAGGGGCTATGCTGGGGCTTGAGATATTCCTAGTTATGTTGCTGATCTTCAACTTTTATACCCACTTGGCACAGAATTTTCAGTTTATTCGTGCTGTCTCTAGATGAGAAAATAAAATCACTTGTAAAACGTAGGCATACACATGATTTTGAGAAAAAGAGTTTCTAGAAGAGTACAACTTAATGTTGTGTTGCACTATCGCATGTCTGCAAAAACCATGTGGTACCGTTGGTATATACCGTTTAGTACCTTGACGTTTGCCTTAGTGGATTTTCATTTTTTTTTTTTTTTTTTTTTTTTTTTACAAATATTTATCCTCTCTTACTTTTTTTTTTTTTTTTTTTTTATTTTTTTTTTATTTTATTTTTTTTACCTTTTCCCTTTTACCTTTTCCCTTTTCTTTTTTGTTTTTCATTTCTTACGTCTACCTTTTACTGCTGTCTTTATTTGTCTTCAACTTCATCCTAACAATAGTCAAAAACAGTATCATCATACACACGCTCACAGTCATGTTTTCTTCAGGGGCTAAAGTCAGAGACCTTGCGATTCATGTCGACACTGGAGATACGATAGGTCCTAAAAAATTGCCAGTATTGTACGGGCATCTGGATACTCATGCAATACTTCATGCAAAAGTGACGTTGGAAAACAGTTATGATTTCAAGGGAAACCCTGTCGAGATATGCTTTAAAGCAGTGGTTAAGACTCACTTCTTTTGTACAGACGAGCAAAAAAAAAAAAAAAAAAAAAAAAAAAAAAACGATGGCAATTCGAGGAAAACGATTGTAGTTGACAGCGATTTATGCTAACACAGGTTATCACTGATTAATGACGAATAGCAAAAGATGAAGCATCAAGGAAGCATGTGGGAGAGCAGATCTTTTTAATGAAACATTGGGAGCTAGATGTAGAGCGTCCTAAGCCTGGTTGGATCGGCAAAGGAAGTTATGCGCGACTATGTTCTGTGATCCTGGACCCTTTATTACCTTCATCAAGCGAAAGCCCATTTGGGTCGATGCGATACTACTTTGAGGCACGTCTAAAAGGCGCCAAGGGTTTTGGAATCACAAGATCAGATTGGGTGGTGGCCCAGGAGGTGTGGATCTTGAATTCATCGTTACCATTCTACAACAATATATCAATCGATAATCCCACTGCGGTACATGGCATTTGGAGAGATGCATTGAAGTACTCAATATCCATCCCTTCGGATTTACTATACCTTGGACAAAGAGTCGCTGTTACAGTTCAGCTGCATCCCTTCAACCAAGGCTCTGTCTATGAAGGAGATGAGGTACAGGTGATTTACGCTACATTCACACTACGGGAGCTAAAGACTTTCCGAGCTCAGTTTGTAAGAGACGTACACCAGACAACTGAGAAAGTTTTAAACATTACAGTCAACACAGCTTGGCGTCAAAGTGTTGATGGATGGCGCAAAACGATTAATTTGTCATTGCCTTCATCACCGATCATGTCGCCTAATATGCAGACCAAGTTCATGGATGTCGCGCATACATTGGCAGTAATGATTGAGTTCAGGACAGTCAAAATATCCAAGATTGAAAAATTGAAAGCACAGCGTAAGCTTATAATTAACAGAATATTCTCTTTGTTCCTTTTTTTTTTTTTTTTTTTTTTTTTTTTCAAACCATAATGGACTGACATTCGATGCACTTTTTTTTTTTTTGTAAACAGTGGATGTTCAGATCACAGCACCATGTTTCGCACCCACTTTGCCACCTGATTACGGGGAGACAACAAGGCATGTCGAGTCACTTCTTCTGCTGGAGCCTCCAGCCATTGATCCTAACGAGTCATTGCCCGGGTACTCTCGATATGAATAGCGCCTCCTTTCCTAAGGGACGTGTATTTTTTTTTTTTTTTTTTTTTTTAAAAAATGGATATGTAGTCAAGGTACAATTTATAAAACCTTGATCTCCAGTGGAATGCTGAAAAAAAAAAAAAAAAAAAAAAGAAATAAGTCGAATGTGGAACAATACCCAGAAAATAATAACAATAGCAATGATGTTAGTAATAATAATAGTAGTAGTAACAACAACATTAGTAATAACAATAATAGTAGTTAGTTATAAGGGTAAATAAATAAAATACCTTTCCTCAACAACCAGAGTGGAGGAACGTCGTAACATGTACGCAACAATGTATATACATTATAGTATATTTTACACAGGAAAAAAGTTTTTTTGACTTCCGGGAACATCCATGAAAAATTACAGAGTTGTGTGGGGAACAAAACTTGACTTCATTTCGCCCGCCTTTTATATTAAAAAAAAAAAAAAAAAAAAAAAATAGTGCATAAATGTTCACCATCTCCACATCTTCCCACGTGTGGCACAGTCAAAAGAGCTTTACAAATGTAACTGTGAAGGACAAGAGCGATGGATGGGACAGCCAGTAAGGTAGGATAAAGTTGATTGATGATAAACTGGATTGAGTAAGATAGACAAAGAGAAGAGAGAGAGAGAGAGAGAGAGAGAGAGAGACAGATGCAACGCGTGTGTGCATATAATGCATGCGAATATTATTATGAAAAAAAAAAAAAAAAAAAAAAAAAAAGAATGCTTGTTTGGTTTGAACACATGTACAAACAAACATTCATAACATTCAACACTTGCATAGAATGACAAAGCGTCTCTTATCTCTCCTCTCTCTTTTCACATTTCTCTCTCTCTCTCCCTCTCCCTCTCTTTTTTTTTTTTCTTTTCCATTCAACCTTTTTGAATTCACATAAGCATTCATTGATTCAATTCGTTTATTTATCCCCTTTTCTCCTTCTTCTTCTTATAGTGCATTTAAACTGTTTTATAGGGTTTTTCTCCCACCTAAAGCTTCATTTTCTATCAGAGACTTCAATCAACAATTTCCCACAATAAAAAAGAAAAGCAGAGTTTCAGCGCATGAGCAAAGCAAAGCAAATACGGGCAATCCTGCGTGGACAACAACAGTTATTCCAGCAGCTTCACTGCCAGACTACTACTGCCGCCTCAACAATGACAGCCAGTAGCTCATTGCGCATATTGTCCCCACGTCCTGTCGGTCCTCTTCTCCATTCAGACTCACGCTCGATTCACTCCCAGCCTCATGCACACTTCTCGGACTTACAGCAACAGCAACAATATCATTCTAAATCATGTCAGCGATACTCTTCTCGTTCTCGTCGTCGGGATCAGCATTGTCCGACAGCTGACCGTCTATTCCATACTTCTTCGTTCAACAGTTCGTTCGCATCATCCCCAGCAAACGCAACGGTCGCCACTGCATCCTCTACTTCACAAAGTGGTGATAGCACTTCTGCCGACAATAATTCTAGGCCTGAATCAATTCATACTCGGTTATCTTCGTCAATCCTTCAAGAAAAGATTGGTAGTGAACCAGGAGCAGGAACAATGGAATCAGTAGAAGCAATTGCAGAAGAAGGGGAGCCTGTAGGAAAGACCTCGTCTTCTTCTACAGGACGATGGGTTTCAGAGTTGCCCTGGATAGATCCGGAAACGATGGAATCATACAAACCAGGACAGAGTCCAAAACATTCAGGATCTGGAGCAGGAAATACCGGCGGTAATAGCCAAGCATCAAGTGCTTCAATGACATCAACAAAAGCTATGAGTTCCTTTTTCGATCAACCCTTTCAAAAAACGCGACACAACTATGTCTTTGCTCACGGAGCGTCTGGCTTTGCAAAGAATCCAGGAAAGGCTCCAGTACTGACTCCAGAGGAAGATCGCGCTTACTTCAGTGTCCAAGTTGGAGAGGATTCGTATTTCAGACGACATGATGCGCTTGGCGTGGCAGATGGAGTCGGTGGCTGGAGTGGTACAACAGGCAAGTCCAAAAAAAAAAAAAAAAAAAAAAAAAAAAACTGATTACAGATCTTGTAGTTTGATCTGGTGATGACGTTTCTTTTATTATCCAAATATGCGTTTCTTTCAACGCTATTACGGCATTTGAACGACGACTGAAAAAAAAAAAAAAAAAAAGGAAAAAAAAAACTGAATAATTGGAGGAATATGCTGATCCCGCGATAAGGGAACATGTATGCGGTAAAAGAGATTTCGTCAGGCACGCACAGGAAGGACTGACACAATCATTTTTGTGCCTCGCCATCTTGTGCAAATTGTCGTCACAAGAGGGTATCTTCCCGTCCGTTACATTAGTTTTTACACGGATGCTGTGAGGTTCTTACACAAAATATTACACATTACGCGCTCACGTTCATTTTTTTTTTTTTTTTACGACCATGCGGCTAATTGATATCCATACATTTACCTTTTTCACGTCCTGACAGGCGCCAACCCTGCATTGTATTCGCGCAAGCTGATGCATTATGCTTATTTGGAGCTAGAGAAATATGACAATATTGAGGAGGAGGCGTTCTACGACTACTTTAATGCTAATCCTGTGGACATTCTGGAGAAAAGCTTCGAACAAAGCACAAGAGATGCTAAAAAGGAGGTAAAAAAAAAAAAAAAAAAAAAAAAGAAAATGATAAAGAGGAAGAAGGCGCTTTTACATGCTTAAGGCGCGGCTTGTCGATATCAAAATTTCGTTTTATATGAGTGTGATGTGAGCCTAATAATCCGCTATCCGTGCTTTTATCAATTATATAGGGTCTGATAGGATCCTCAACAGCATGTATAGTAATTCTCCGGGACGACGAACTTCGTATTGCCAACTTGGGCGATTGCGGAGTGAGCGTGATCCGTCGAAACGAGTTTATATTTAGGACAGAGGAACAACAACACTCCTTCAACTACCCATATCAATTGGGTACAGGAAGCACTGACAGCCCTAGAGATGCACAGATGTTTACAGTCAAGGTTGAGAGCGGTGATATTGTGGTAATGGGCACAGACGGAATTTTTGATAACTTGTTTGATGAAGATATTCTGGAGGAGGTCGTTAAATGTGTCAGTGGTATCGATCCAAAACATCAGGACCTCAGCCCTTTCGGAACTGGGAAACCAGCAGTAACATCAACGACGCGCGCGAGCAAAGGAGGTGTCGGTGGATTGTGGAGTGGACTGACAAGTAGTGCTGCTAAATTAGCATCCACATCCTCATCCACAATCGCAGCAATAGCAGGTAAAGCCACTCATGTACCGGATACCCCTACAGTAGCAACACCCATAGTAAACGCCATGCAGCTGGGAGATACCCAAGAGTCATATGAATCAATAGTCGATGGTTCAGGAGAACTTGAATCGCTTTCTGATCTTTCGCCAATTGCTGTGGTTGCCATTGCAGCCGCGGAGTCGTCTGCATTACCGCCCTCAGCAGCGTTATATACCCTTTCATCAGCGACCGCTACCGCTGCGCAAAGGCGACATTATGAACGAAAAATTCCAGAACCAAGTGTCATTAGCGACGCATTAGCAAAGCGCGCTAAAAGCGTTGCCGAGGACACACGACATCATGGAAGTCCTTTCCAGAGTCGAGCTATGCAGGAAGGTCTGTACTACCAAGGAGGCAAACAAGATGATATGAGCGTCCTTGTAGCCATCATTAAAGCTGCAGAGGATTCACCTGACCGAAGGTAGTCGGGAGTAAATCTGGGCGTTATAAAGACAATAAAATACACGATACACTTTGTCTTTCATAATTAAAGAACACTTGACGCAATGATTGGCTAAAAGATAATAAAGGTAGTTAAGGTAATCTTGTAATTCTTAATACTCTTTTATTTTTTTTGTGATTCAAGTGCCACTTACATGCATCTAAATATTTATGTAGGCAGCTAGAACGAGGAGCTATTCCTCAAGGTATATCAACACTGCAACTTGATGTTAATGTCATGTTTAATGGCTCCGAAAGTTTCAGCACAGTGAAGCTGGGCTTACAGTCTATGAAGTTTTCTTGGATGGGGACGGATGCAAATAGACCCTGCTGTCGTATATAAAAAAAGTTAAAGCTCTTGTGCCAGGATCACGTTTTTTTTTATTTTTTTTTTTTTTGGTCTTTTGAGGGGGAGTGTGCTAACTGCATTATCAAACCAAAAAAGCATCTCAAGATTTAAGGTTGAAGCTGATGTTGGTACTGATCTTATTAAGAAAGAGATATCTCCGTCTTGGGATTGGATCTAGGACCTTTCAAAAGAAAAAGAAAAAAAGGAAAAAAAAACTCTCTTCTTTCAAATGCTCTTAAATAGCAAGCTTCGTATGGGAGCTTGGTGGGAACTGATTGACTGGCAACGCCAGTCAGTAGGCCGGAGTATGAGAAGTAAACTCTCGAGATTTTTCACTGCCCTAGAGACACTTTGTGATGAAAGTGACTGCTGGTTTTTGCCCGCTGAAATAGAGGTACCAAGAATACATGTTCAACTTTTCTTACAGGTGCTCACAAGTGTACCCTAACGAGATTAATGAGTCTCACGAGGCAAAGCACTAGACTGGAGTGGCCGTAAGTGAAGCCACGGGTCGCCCGTCTAGTTTGATTATTAATTTTGACAAACACAGTTTATCCGTCTGCTGACTCCATGGAGACTCGTGTCCTCTTGCGACGACGGTACGAGCCATTCGATGCTCCCTGCACCCTCTTAACAAAGCATGACTCGTCTGGGGCAAGACTCGCAGATAGCCCCGCCAGAAATTTCAGTTTTCGGGCAAAGCTATCTCCAGATCCGAGCCTACGCCAACCGTCTAGCCGCTTGAGGAGCCCCTTTATCTGCTCCTGAATCGTCTCGCGCATTGACAGTTGACGGTTATTCGCCTCGGGCTCGGGTGTATCCTCGGTAACTACGGACGCATCAGCAGCCGGCCTCTTGCCCTCCAAGGCAGTAAGGCAGCCTTGTAGGCCTGGAAAGCCTCTCAATCAATCTCATCTACAATCCATTTGCCACGACCTTTAAGCTGCTTAAACAGCGATGATTTGTGAGCCCAGAACAAGTCTCAAGATCCACGCTTTGCATCCTTGCGACCGGTCGTGTCGCGGACTGGCCTGCCTTCCAGACACAATGGATCTCTAGAACGGACTTCGTCCAGCCTGATCTGGGGGTCTGTCTCTCGCCCCAATGTAGGTGATGCGTTGACTATCCAAGAATAGGGTATTAATGACATTGAAGTCATTGGTTGGACGGATGAACAAGAAGCCTTCATCGTTTGGTACAACGTCCTCTGTAGTGGAGGACGAAGCAGTACGTTGAATGTTGATAGATGAAGAAATATTGGTGAAAATGATGAAAAAGCAAATCCCGATAATGGAGTCAGTAATGTGGCGAAGGAAGTTTGAATTTAATGAAACACTGAAAAGCAAATGAACCCCTAATTTACGGCCACCATTACCATTCTCATCGCTAGTCATCATCTTGATTCGTTCCTGACCCTATCAATTTTCTTCTGCATGGTGTGATCTTTGATCTTACATTGCGAATTGCAATGGCGACCACAGGCGTCATTAGCTCCAACTAATCAACGATCCCTGTCCCACTCAATAGGTCAAAAAAAAAAAAAAGAGAAACTGATGCTTGTCCACCAAAACCCAAAGCTGCAGCACAAACATTAAAAAATTAAATTAACTTTCTAACTTTGAAAACGCACAGCCATCCATTTTTGTGTCCATACATTTAAAACCATCAGATCCTCATTGCGTGCTGACTCATTTGCTAAAACAAATCCAGGAGAGAAAGCTGTTGCATATTCAACAATACGCATAGTCGCTGATACTATTTTAGTTATGAATAAAAAAGATGGGTAGAAATAAATCCTTTTTTGATGGAATGGAGAATCATTACAGTGATACGCGTCAAATTTCTTTTTTAGGCGCTCTATAAACCTTTTGGCTGAAGAGGCGCAGCCTATTTTACACCCAAGTCTATGCTCCGCTTTTGCCTAAATGAGGCACAAATCCTGAGTGACTAAGGACTACCAAGGTCTTGGCTTGTCTGAGTCATCATACTCTGACAACCACCGACCAATGCTTTTTTCACTTTTGAACGGGTAAATAGTCATGTTTAATGATATATTGTAAATATTCCCATCTGATAACTAATATGCTCTTAATGCATTAAAATATTATAGCTTTCGAGGCCTAGACGAGAGATCCGAACACAGTAATATATTGGAGAATAGGACCCAGCGTTCGTACTCTTCACTGGGCACTCTCTAGCATAGATGGAATCAAGGATGGAGATTCACAGGCATTTCCTGACTTGGATTACCCTGGTTGGACATCTCCATCATCAATCCAGGCATAATTGACAGAGTTAAGAGCCAGATATTGGATGAAGAATAAAAAAAGATCGACACTCTACCTCCGCTGGAAGCAAATTGATGTCATGTTTGAGCGGCTTGCAGGGAGGTTCAGGCCCATAATCATAGTAAAGTGAAAAATTCTCTTTCCTATTTTACTATTTTCCTTTTGATCTCATCAACTATTCTCGAAAAAAGAGGCGCACAAATGGGAGGGTATTATTGATGATATTGGAAGAGCGCTCACATATTATGAGCGAAGAACACGACCTGGCAATATCATCCATGAACTCACTAGTCGCTGCCAAGATGAAGAAACATCCTGATGTAGATACATGGCAACTATCTACAGACAATTTTATACCTGCGAAGCTACATAGGAACGTTAATATCGTTGGATATAGCGAACAACATCCACAACTTGCAATTACTCACAAGGATATAACACTGCATGATTTCATTGAGACACACATACACAATGCTACCAATCCACATCACCATTTTATTTCCCTTCAGTGCATATAAGTGGCCCAGATGTCGTTTTTCTTATTCAGACCCAGGATCGGATATACCCAGTGTTTGTACAGACAGAATTACACCATTCGATTCAACAAAGGGATGCTGTCCAAGCTATAACAACGACAAGCAGCATAGCCATCCAAGAGAAGACTGATAAGGGGCAAAAACAAGACCCAAAAAGGATTCAGGATCTGTGTCCAACTGGAGTATATCAGTATCATACTTACATATTCAGCAGAGTTAATCGGCTTTCAAGCTCTTCGCCCTAACCCAGAGCCGCAACTAGGGCTCCTTACTTGGATCGAGTTGTTATCAAGATCGATAACAGTAATTTCTCCGACATCTTTCCTAAGAAACATATTGAATTCCTTAACAAGTTAAAGGGATTCAAGAGGAAGACCGGTAGATCCCTGGATATAACAAGTAAAAAGCAAAGAAGACAAAGAGTGGTCATATCAAGCATGAAACGATCGCAAAGCGGCCCATTACCAAGTGTGAATCATAAAGAAATTAAATACGGTTTACTAGGACTTCTGTGCTAGCCGTAAGTTTATATAAAAATCCCCTGCTTTGAATATTACAAATAAAGATTTATTCAGACAGAACAGCTAATGAAGGAGAGAGTCATATAATGAGATAAATAGAATAGAAAGACAAGAGGAGGAGAAGTCAGAGAAGAGAAGCAAGGAAGCTAAAAGAGAAGCGAGAGAATAGAACGAAGAGATTGAACAAAGTCATGGATGGAAAAAATAAATAAATAAAAGTTATATATTATAGGACCGACAGTGGAAGGGAAAGTAATAAGATAGGAGAAAGACAGGAGACAGAATGGATCCAGAATTAAAAGAAAAAAGAAGAGAATGAGAGAAAGATAACAGTGAAAGCGAAAGGGAGAATATTTTCCTCGCCGTTGGAGTTGTTTTCAACAGTGCTTATTTGTTGGTGATCTTTATTATTAAATACTGTGCCTCCTCTGTATTTTTGGTACCTTTATCGCAAACTTGAACACAATCATCATTGGTTATACAGCCATCTCCAATGGCACCATTTCCAAGTGGTGATTGCCTTGCGCAGCCATGATATTGACCATCAAAACCGTTATTGTCATCACACGATGGATTACATGCTCCTATAGATGGACAGCATTTAATACAATCCGCTCCTGTCAAGCCAAGCAGCATTGGTCCTCAGTGTAATTTTTAATTTTTAATTTTTAATTTTTAATTGTTCTTTCCAATTTATTATTGTTGATGCCAATCTATGGCTTGCAAGCTTGGCAAAATGCGACTGAGGATAGTTGTCGTTCTGCAAATTTGCTGGACTTGTGTCTGAACATGCCGGTGAACTGCCTCCATATTTTCCTCTTTGCCCTCTTGTGTGTTATTGTTAACTTCAAAGAGCGTCAATTCTCGCTCAAGTCTTTGGTGCGCAGAACATGTTACGGTTTCATGTCGGGCATTGGATTGCCACTGCCTCGATGTTTCAGACTCTATTGACATTGTCTCTACCGCCGGTGAAGCTGTCTTCGGAGGCGACTCAAAGTATGCGCGCTCTTGATTATTCATGTCTGTGGAACACATCCACTCTTCTAAGGCACGTTCCAGCCCTAGTACGCCGAATAAAGCTTCTGCTTGGAGTGTATGGTTCAGTCTTAGGAATGGTTCAATCAATGTTCCATTAATCGTGTTTTGCACCTGCAAATCTGGGCCTCGCAGTGGCTGCATTTGATAACGTGGACTCTTCAAAATCGAGCCACATTCATATGCGGTCTCAAGTGCAGTTTGAAGCGTATGAAGTAGCGAATATGCAAGCGGATTTAGTCGCCAGAACCCAAATATACTTCCAGGCAGAGTACATGCAATCAGTGCCTGCGTACAAAGATGTGAAGCTGCCTCTGCAGGGTAAGGAGCTGTTGAAGCGGAGAAGGGTTTAGGTAAAACTTGATTTGACTCAGAGGTTATTGGGCCTGCATCAATGTATGAAGGTCTCAAGGATGAGTGCTGTAACGATTGTTTGGGGTCTGTCCATGGTATGAAAATCCAAGAAAGAATCCTTGCTGGCGATAGGTGTGAACTAAGTGTGCCATTGCCTTTATATTTGTTCTCGACAGTAAGGTCTTCTACACATTGTTGTGTAGTGCCTGCCGTATTCGACTCGAGGATAACACAATTCGGATCATTGCTTGACAAAGAAATGCCCATAAGGGACCGTTCACCCACAGGCCAAAGTTTCGCCATGTGGATCCGGTTTATAATCTCACCCACATTGAACGAAAACCGGTCGAGTAGTGTGTACTGACAGCTAGGGTTGTCTAAGAACCATTGAGGCAAGTGAGTCTTAGGGCTCACTAACCACTAAACACAAGAGTAGACATAACAGCCGTCCACAACAAATATTTACCTGGTGAGTATCCTACACCAAAGATAGATCCGCTCATATCAGATCCGACCACAAGCTCAGAAGAAATAGCAATGCAATCTGTCACCATTCGTGCATTCCGGGAGCTATGAAGAAATGTATAGAAAGATTACGAGGTCAATTGAAGCATTAATGTTTTGCAACATGGAACATATTCTGATGGAGCTAAAGGCCTCTGATTAAAGAGTATCCCAAACAAATGTCACCTTTTTAAAAACACTAATCTGTCCACAGCTCGCTCTCCTGTTGAGTCCAGCTTGTATTCGTAAAAAGATATGGATTCACGCCTGGATCCTGTACAAATCATATTTCCATGGGTTGAAATCTGTGTGATGGGCCAACGTTCACGGTACGATGCTCTCTCTACCATTGTTTTCTTTTCAAGATCAAGGGCCAATAACTTGAGAGATGGTCCATTGGATATGAGAAGCATCCTGAAGATACAAGGCCGAATTGTTAAAAAAGGTCTGAGAGGCTGATAAATTGCAATTTGGACGAAGCGTTGTGATATCAAGAAAATGAGAAACCGAGACTTACATGTCGATGAATGTTGAGATCGCGAATACAGGAGCCGGCATGGACATGGTCCATCTCAATTCTAGCACGAATTTTCCGGGCTCTCGATCACTCTTAGTTTATCACATTTTTTTTTTTTTTTTTTTTTTTTTTATAATTATTATTATTATTATTATTATTATAGCAGAATAGCCAGTGAGTTTGAAAATTCTTCCAGAACTCCAACGCCATTATCGAATAGCAGTGTGATATCAACTTACTTTTGATTCCTTAACTGACAGAATCACCAATCGTCCTGTCTTTGGTGCTGCAGCAGATGCTTCAGTTCCCATGGGTGAGAATATCCCTGTCCCAACACAGATGTATGTCGTATCAGCTTTGTTTGGTCTAGGGACCTTCCACTCTAATCAGCCCATCAAATCAATGCATATAAAAGAGAAGTAAGCCTTCGAGCTTTGGTCATAGATACTTTTACTAAGCGATGAAGATATCCTTGTGAAAGCATTTTGTAATTTCTTTCGCATAACCGCTCTTACCTTTAAGACTACAGACCGACTCTCCAGCCTTAAGAGTGAACTCGGAAAGAATATGCTGCCTTGCCAATTCTGATTCATCAGCAATCCTTTGTAATGTCATATTATGGCAGTATGTAAGAATATGGTCTCCATTTTAATCAATAGAGATGAACAAGGGTATAACGATGAAACTAAGCACCAAATGTTATATAAAACGTCCTAATACTCACCTCTCTGGGTCAATCAAATGTAGGATTGACTCAGCATATGGAAACCCATTCCCTACAGTAGCCACTAAAAGTAAGCCTTTTGAGGTGATATCAAGGATCTTACGAGGCGTCTAGAGGGCGTGAAATTACATTGAGTTAGTGTACTTTAATGCTTTCAATCGTTCATAAATTCCATTTTCTTTCCTTCTTTCTTTACTTTTATAATGGTAACAATAAGAATGATAATAAACTTACGCGTCCTAAAGTGAGAGTACGGTGTCTGTACTTGCTCGCCTCCTCAAGTCCTATAAACTCAAGGTCATTATGATTCACTAAAAAAACAAAGTCTGCCTCTGACAATGGACCATCCTCACTACATTTGAATGAGCAAGCTTGCGAGACCTATATATATTGTATATATTTATAAAGTAAACAGTAATATAACGAGAATAAATATAGAAGTAAAATATAAAATAAAAATAAAAATAAAAGCAAAGTTATCCATAGGAAGCTCAAGAAGGAATGGATCAGCGAAATTTGAATGTCTTACCTCACCGCCAAACAAAACAGGCTGGATCTCAAGATCATTTTCATATGTGGCCTGCCAAAGTTTGTCCGACAGAATCAGTGTGCTGGAAACTTCTGTACTAGGCGAGGAAGCGAACTTGACAGGTAGGATTCCTATCCTATACAGCCGCGGCGAGGACATGGCATTCACTGAAAGCGGAGCATCCATGCATTGCTCGGCGGTATATATCCAGTCGAATGTGATAATACTGCCATCGCGCATACCAATTGCGATCTTACACCGTCCCTCTCGTCCTTTCAGCATGCAGATTGAATGTGGGGTCGCAAAGCCGTCTAACCCAGTTTGGACTAAACACGATGGTCAAAGTTTGGTGTCAATGGTACAAAGGGAAAAGATATTATAAAATCATATCTTGATTAACTTCTGCGCACTCCTACCAGACGTTTTACTGCAGAGCTCGCGAACTTCTGTGGAAGTTATCTGAAACACGTGCACAGCTGGCTCCAGCGTTCCAACACAGCACAAAGTGACGGTTTGACTATCGTCAGTCCCTATTGACCCTATCGCATTATCGTTAACCCAACAATGAATAGTGGTCGACTCTGCTTGGAGAGATTTAGAGGCGATAATATTGAACTCATTGTCTTCGAATTTGAGCACAATTAGACTGCTATCTCCTGTGGAAATTTGACCCAATACTAAGGTCCCATCCTTGACCAGGCAGGCGGAGGCGATAATGGCCTGTCCTGACTGCCAAATATATCGTGCACCTAAAAGAGAGAATTACTCATGCAATTAGACTTTTAAAGCGATTCGAGAGCGATTATGCAAGAGATAAATAGACTGTTGATCTATCGACTAACCTGTGTCTAAACTAGCAATAACAACTCCTAGACGATTAACTTGAAAAAGATGGTTATCAGCCAACCGCCCAGCATGGACTGTAGCTTGGTCGAGACTAAGACCCCAACCATCCGCTATTTCTTCTAAACTGTCTATTGGTTTCGGAAAAATGAACGAATTAATATATTAATGTATACAACTCTATAACCTCCCATTATAACGCAGCGCGCTACTTTACCTCCATCTAAAACGTGCATCAATTTGGTACTCTGAATGAAAGAAACAACAAGAACTGATTCGAATGCATCTTCATGTCTCTTTTTTATGCTCCAGAGCCCGGTTGCACCGGCAAATAATTTACTTCCGCTGCTTCCGGAGCTCACTACTGATATTCCAGATCGAACTTCCCTTAATGAACCTTCGCTTTTCATTCCAGAGCACAAAAATAGAGAGTCGCGTCCAGGAAGCAATGGCTCACGCACACAAAAGTCTACGACAGGTGAACTGTTTTGAAGATTCGTCAAAGCATAGATATCAACTCCATCCTCCTCTTCTTTAAAGGCAATTAGCCCTCCATCTCCATAATCATTTGAGTATAAGAGATAATCAATGTTGAGCAACAGCTCGCCTGATGTTTCAGACAATGAGCTTTCCGAGATGAATTCGCGCCTGGCAAGAACTATCATTGTGCGTCCAACTGGTCGATCACTCGATATAAGTTCATAGTGCAATGTATTTGTTTTATGCATGATTCTGACACGAAACAAATCTGATGTGTCGCTTCCAAGATAAAGCGTTTGGTCGCTCTCTGGATATGGCGAAGGTGGAGGAATAGCGCATGATGAAATTAGAGGGAAAACACTGTCTGATGCTGATCCTATCGCGAGCCCAATATACTCTAGGCTACTGTCTTTTCTCGGTAGTTGTAGTGGTGGGTGGTGAATATGAGTGGCCTGAATGTGCTTTGAAAATCTAAGTGGTGACTCCACCGTGACTAAAGTAATTTTCTCCTCCTGTGAAGTATGGTCGTAAAGATATCAGATACTGCAAATTTCGATCAAACAATCCTCTACTACAGCATTGAACGCATCATGGCTCTTACGTCAATATACACCATAGCACGCGGAATATTCGGCAGAGCCTTCAGAATGAAGACCGATGTAGGAGAATTGGACGTCAGCTGGCTATTACCAAGTTGCATTGGTAGCGCGCCGGAACCACTTTCTACGTCATCGAGATCAAGATTGATACTGAACGTCGCAATGTGATGGCTCAATGTCTCTTTGCTGTAATAGTAGTAACAGTAACAGTAATAGTAATAACGGTAAAATACTTTGGAAATCGAAAATTATATACGCCAATGTACATGTATGGCATAGGCTATCCTAACTCATCAATAAATAAAATTATACCTGTAAAATAGGACCGCCAGGATAACAATACTGTATTTTTCATGATCTGCTGTTGTAAGAAAATCCATTGCGATAATTGCTCCTTTTAGAGCAAACTCTGATATCTAGGGAATTGCGGAGGAAAACGAAAAGAAAAAAAAAAATCAATGAGTATTAAAGCGCAGTAGTACGATGTACCAAATGTTAATAAAAGTAAAAAGCAAAACAAAAAAAAACCCCCACCCGTTCGACGGGATTGAATGAAGATCGCCTCGTAGACCTCATCCGAACAATTTTGATACTACCGTAAAGCGCTGATATGGCCATGATTCGATTGCTATACAAATGATGCCGAAGTGTTTGTCAAAAGATAAATTGTACAAGAGGCACCGATTATTATGAAAATGGAACTTACGTTGGGTCAATTGCAAGGCTGGATCCGACTTGTCTATAGTCTACTCCCGGTTCTGCGATTTTTATCTACATAATCTCGAGCAATTGCTACATCTGTTAGAAAGAAAAGGGGAAAAGTCTAATAGCACTCAAGATAATTACAAACTGTCCATCTACTAAAACCAATTGGCCATGTTGACGCCTTTCAAGTACAAATATACCTGCTGCAGCGTATAAAACTTTCCCTGATCCGTCGTATCCTTTGTATCCCCATTGAAGTAGAATGTCAATAATGACAGATAACCAGAGTCAGATGTTACCGCTACAACAAATGACGATGCGTGTCTTGGAAGGTAACCATATCTCGGACGATCTAGCCCGTCATCCATATCAGTTTCCATTTTCATGTCGCCTTCGACTTCCGTTTCAAATGTACAGCGCATAACCTTCATATCCTTGATAGTCCCGAATACTGGTTGCTCGTGAACTATCTGAAATGATCCCTTAGGTCGCTCCTCTACATCAGTTTTATCGATTGTAAACTTGTAGAGCGAAAGGAATGACCCCTGGTAGTGTATTGAAGACAAACTCAGACATGGTCAGAGGCATTGCTCCCTGCATGACTAAGTCAAATGCTTTTTTAAAGGAAAAAAAAAAAAAAAAAAAAAAAAAAAACACGCACTTTCCCAACGATCACGTCGAGTTGGTCTGGCCTCTCTTGCGAAAGACATTCATTCCATTCATTCCGAAATCCAGTCCAGTCACCAATGCAGACTTGATGCACAACTCCAGGTGCTTGGAGATGCTTTGCAAACACTCGAACTTCAGAGTGATTCATGGTTGAATGAAAGAGCAACATGCTTGAGTCAACATGTTCTTGTTTCAACTTTGTGCAATGACGATCAAGCCACAGTGTAGCTTTTATTGCAGATAATAAATGATATGAAATGTTATTGATATGATCATGATCAGGTCTTTCGACTTCGAGTTATTTATGTTTATGCGAATGTGTTCCTCAAAGCAACAGCACCTGCAACAACAGCTGCAGCCGTTAGAACAGTGCCACTAGTGCCTGCCATCACTCCTGCCTGCAAGCGCTTAAGCTCCGCCGTAGATCCAGGATACTTGTTAACGCAAACTTGCTCGATCTCTCCACAAAGGATGCCAATATCAATAAAATGAGGGTCCAATGGATTAGATTTGTTATTAATCTGGCGTGCATACATTCTGAAAATGGCCGCGACATTATCGATGTTGTACGACTCCTTAATCAACCAAACAGTCTCGCCTTTCCTAATCTTGATGTTCTCGTGTGTAAAAATTGAATAGTTGGTATGGACCATGTTCAGAGTGGCAACAGCCATAACTTGAGGAATAGCGCAAAACTTGAAGCAGGAGGCGTTCTTAATCATGCCGAGGTATTCGAGACAGTCCTTCATATGTCCCAGAGCATTATAGACCATGTGGTTCAAGCATCGCAAAGCATTCTCTTTGTTTTCTGGTTTGATAAAGTCCTCGAAATTATCTGCGTACTTGCCCCAGATCTCCTTAGGCCAGAAGCGACGATTATCACGCAAGTCCTCGAGATAATCGCGAATGATGTTGGTCTTTTGCAAAAAGAGACCCATTGAATTAGAGAGATCTTTTCTCTTGGCAACAGTGGGTGCTGAGAACCACATAAAACAATTTCGGCATGGATAATTAGTATTGACAATAATACTGTCATAAAAATTAAATAAAATAAAATTAAATAAAATAAAATTAAATAAAATAAAATAAAATAAAATAAAATAAAATAAAATAAAATAAAATTGCCCCTTACATTCAAAATCACAAGCGCTGAACAGCTCACTCAATCCCAAGCCAACCAGACCAGCAACATAGTGGCAATATTCATCATAATCTGCAATTGTGTTCACATGGATCCCCGCCGTGGCATATTGCGCCATGCCTTGGCCCATACGTTTAGTAATATCAGCAATAATGCTTTGGTATGCGGGCTTCAGCTGCAAAAACCCATCGATGACAACATCAAACTCCACAAGCAATTGGCGATCTTTTTCGTTGGGACCGTCTTTAATAAAAATAATTAAGAAAAAATTTTGTAATCAGCACTTATATCCGCCGATTGTGTTTTTCTTATACAAGTCAGCCATAGTTTCATAGGTCTTCAAAGCACTTTAACATATCATATTGACTTACTCTTTGTAAAGTTCCAACCTTTCTGATAAATGAGCTCATGGAAGGTCTTGAGATGAGGAAGCTTTATGTCCAAATCAATAGTCATATCATCCTCTACATAATGAAGGTGGAATGATGAAAGAAATAAGTACTAATGAATGCATGACATCGATCTCTCAGAAGTAATTTATAGTAAAGTCATTTTTACCAATAGTATCAAGCCCTCGAAGAATAAGATAGAACAAGCAGATCTATCAAGTTGTAAAACAGAGCAGGTTACATTTGTGGTGTATGTTCATGCACTTAGTGCTATAAAAAAAGCCAATCGGTAATTAGCCAACAAGAATGCTCAGCCAAATTCACTTACAGGATCCTTGAGCTCCTCATCCAGCTCCTGGATGACAGCAGAAAAGCTGCGTGAGGTCATGTTCAGGAAGTAGTAAAGACGTTCTCTAGTCTTATTGCTACTGTAGTCGTAATTTGCTTTTGGAGCAAGTTTGTATTGCACCAAAGCAAGGACTTCCGAAGGATGGAAGAGAGAGGCAAGGATAGCGGAAGCCATTGTGGGATAACTCAGTATTGACTTGGCTGTTGAATGAATAAAGGAGAAAACTTAAAATAAAAGACGGGATAATTTATGGCGAAAAAAGGAAATCACGAAGTCAATGGAGGAAAGATGATGTAAATGAAGAAAGCGACATGACAGGATGGGAATGACTAAATATGCAGCTTTGCTTTTCTTCAGCTTTGCTTTGAATAAGTGGACTGCTTAGGCGATACTCCAAGGCCAAAATACTGATCAGATCACTGTTGTTTTTATATACATGTGTATATACTTATCTAAAACAGTCCGTTGGCCAATGAGCGTGCACGGACAGAATCAGGCCATTTCCTTTGGCTGTTGTTACACGAAGATCCCTGAAAAAAAAAAAAAAAAATCTGCCACTCGCGTCCAAGCAGAGGACTCGCATCACTTGACATTACAAACTTTCTGTTCCTTTTTTTTCCTTCTTGCTTGACTATCCAGAAAGGTTGCTTGCCCCGACTGACCATATACGCAACTACTGCTCAAGATTAATCAGCCATCTAGACAACCAACTGGAGACTTGATGGTATTCAATAGATGTTTCATCGAATGGTAGTTGAAATCACAGGAGTAAAGTGGCAGATGGAGCGCAGTTTCTCCCCAATATGAACATATATGATCATAAGAGGAATGAACGCATGAAGCACTGCTTCTATCATGTCTGGTTACAGGCCTTGGTCACAATAATTATGTTAATAACTTGACTCCATCTATTCCTACCCAAATGACTTCGTTCGTTTTTCGTAAAGCACGTAATTTTTTGAATTAAAGATTGGTGTTTGTGGGATTGTTAAGGTAGGCAGTCTCTGTCCGCGCGGAGCAATTACATACATAAACTGAGCAGGAAAACTGATCTTTGTGTCGCCTGGCCTGCCATTTTTGCTAGAATACAGTCAATCAACTCGGCTTAATATTAAGCGCGTATATGACATATACAATGGACCTTCGCCCATTTTTAATAAAGTTGGCGCTAGACACCAATTATCGCTCCTGCATAAAAAGTTGATAGCTATCGATCAAAATACTTTTACATCCCAATATCCACACAGGCCCCTGTATTGCGCGCCATCACCTTCTGGAGCCAGAAAGATCTCGACTCTGTATAGATCCTAGTTGCTAAACAGCTCTCGCACATATATCTCTACTGAACTATGTATGCCAATAATCACTAAATAAAACACAGATGAACCAGCATTTCGAATATATACACTCGTATTAACCATTTTCTTTGACACAACTAAAAAATAGCCGACGTTGATCTTCATAACATATTGACTCCAACATAATAACCGTTTGTTCTGGATTATTTTTTTTTGCCTAGAGGAGTAAAAGGCGCAGAAAACAATTCTAAGATCTGGTTGACACTCATTTAACAAATTTACATTGGAGAAAATACGATGTTAATTGCTGCAAAACTTTGCCTCTCTCCTGTATTGTGCTCATTGAACAAAGTCTTAGGACTCCATCTTTATTAATGGTAACATAAATGGCTTTTAAAAATAATTTAAAAAAAATAAAAAAAAAATAAAAAAATGGAATGTATAAGAGTAAAAAAGGGACGAAATAAAAGAACTGACGTTAGCCCATGACAGTAGTATCACTTTGTCTGCAATAGTCCACAGGAAATTGGGATAGTCTTTTCTGAGCAGGTCTGCGTTTGATACAAGATAGGATCGCTCTAATGTCATCGATAGTAATATTGGATACTATTGTGCCCAGGCATACCATCACAGAGGTGGTATAAACGTTTACAGTCCGGCTCTGAATTTGCCGTCATTACTTGTGGCACCCGCGGTTTACCAGATGTACATGTACGTGTACATCGGCCTTCGTACACTGTCAATCATATTGTTGGGAAGTCCTTGAACCAGCCATAACCTTTCTTTAGAGTTTACATACTAAGGTGGTAGTGATACCAGTATTCCTTGTAATGTAACATTTGCCTCTCTGTGAATTCGACTTATTAATATTAATAATATTATTATTGTTAACATTGTTACTATCATTATTGTTATTGTGGTTGTGGTTATGTCAACGACCCATTCATATCTTAATCCGCCAAGGATAGCATACACGCTTTATTAAAGTATAACATTTTATATTCATTTTATTTTGCTGCCTCGAGTAGTCGGAACTGCAGGTAATGGGTGTCGCTAGACTTAATATCCAACATCTCGTTTCCTTACCCCTTTCTTTTTACTTTCCTTGTCGTATGCATCATGGTTATTTTGTTATGGTCAGCATGACTGTGTCTGAATGTTTGTACCTCTGTATAATTGTGGTTGGATCAATCCCAATTTAGTACATGAAATGATCGTCTTTCTCCCTCTCTCTCTTTTTTTTTCTTTCTTTTTTTTTAACTGATTGACATTGTTAGTTTTATTTATGACCCATGATGACCTTGACTTTTTGGCGTCTCTCTTCTTAATATCTTTTTTCTTTCTCTCTTTTCTTACTTTCCACTTCATCTTACTGTCATCAATTGCTTCTGTCTTTTCCTATCTTTCAGCACTACTGTCATAAATTGTTTTCTCCTCCAACCTACTCCCATTACTCTCGATCCTCTTCATCCGCTTCGCGCTCAGCTCACTCCCCCGCATTCGGAAAGGTATCATTCACCTTTACCATCTCTTGTAATTTCCTTAACCTATCCTGCCCTGTCCTGCCGCTCACACCTTTGCGTCTCCTCGTTCTCGAATGGCAACATTCGCATCCTAACCAAGATACCTCCTGCATTGACCTTTCTGCAGTATCACTACATTGTTCTTACTCACACTTTTCAGGCTTTTCAAGTGAATAGGACAATAGCGTCCTCCAATACGATCCTTTTAGATCACTTAATGCTGAACTTGTCGGTATTGCTCTTTGTTATTCAGACTTTGTGATTCTTTCCAAATAGTTCTTTACCTGGATGACAAATAATCATTCAGTGCACCCTTCCTGGGTTTGAATCCACGACAGACCCTCTATTTCTGTTCTTGCTTTTTCCATTATTTACCCAGCTCTCCTATTCTGACTTTTCCCGCAACATGGCTCGACAAGATCGCCCAATGATTCGATCACCCACGTCTGCCAAAGATGGTCATATGGACCAGGTTGCTTCACCTGGTACTTCCTCTGCCTCATTATCAACTTCATCTACACCAACTTTCTACATCGCCAATTCCGCTACTTATCCTGTCTCATTAAGTGTTCCTGACCGGCATGCCTCGCCAAATGCGGCAGACACTATTACTACGCCGTCTTCTATCCATCGTAGCGAACCATTTCCTTCTCACACGAGCTCAATACCTGCTCCAAGGCCGCAGGCAATCCCTATATCATTCCTCGTCCATCCTACGCATGTCTCGCCACAGATGCTCTCATCACATTCAGTATTCAATTCCTCTCCGAAATCATCACCAGGGCCTTCCGAAAGCCATTTGTCTCATGCATCAAAATGGGATATTTCGCCACTTAATTCTACAAATGTACTACGGAGCTCACCGTATTTAGAGTGCCCTCAGCCTCCCGATCTAAAGTTGCCATCTCAAGAGACCCCAGCGTCCCAAATGGCTGTTCATCGCTCGATTAGAATAGAGGCAACATCCGTATCTTCCCTCGTTCAAGCACAGACTCAGCGTGATTACGACTCGAGTACACAGGGCGCTTTGATCAAACACACTAGCAAAGCCAAAGCCCCCTTGCATAGTCCTGCGCTTCCTCCAAAAAAGCTCTCTGCATCAAAGCCTTGCTCCTTTGCCTCTTCTGCCGAAGGGAGCAAAGGCCATAGCAATAGCTCCGCTGATAGTACTTTAGGCATGACTGAAGGAAAATATGTTTCTGATCATAGTAAAGATGGTGAAGGACCGGTTGCCCGCCAAATTTCAATCAGAAGAACCAATAATCCGAATTTGAAAACCACAAAGACGGGTAAAATTTTACACAGATCCAAGAAAGCAGGGGTGAATAGGAGATCCACAGCCTACAACAGGTTTTTAAAGCAGCGAAGTAAATATCATGCTAAGCATCACCCCGATCTGACAGCTCAACAGGTACAGACTCCTTACTTATTTTCGCCTTTGTCTGGTATTTCTGACACAATCCACGCGTACATTTTTTTTTTTTTTTTTTTTTTTTTTTTTTTTCATGGCCGCCGCAACCATATGCCCCAAATTGTTTTTTGTTAGAATCTCTGGATCTATGAGTCTATGGGGACACCATTGTTAGATTATAATTTTCAATACTAGTCGTTTGTTTGTTTGTTTGTTTGATTTTTTTTTTTTTTTTTTTTTTTTTTTTTTTTCAACGGGAGGGATAGAATATGTGTAAAGACTAATATCACCGGCAAGCCTGCTTTAAGCAAAGTGGATGGAGCAAGCGCCCCTAATGCATACAACCCTCATGAGCAAGATGGCTTGCGAAAGAGCCTAGCATAAGCTTTATATGGATGCGGCCATCAAGCTTTAATGCAACACAACTGTGTTTCCTCTATTCAGCGGATGGCCCTACTCTTGAAAGCCCTGCTGCGCCTACATAAAGATGTGTTGAGTCCAAAAAGAATAGATACTATACTGTAGTTAAGAATTGGGATGCATATGATCATGGATTCAAGGAATCATTTTTGGTTTAACTTTCTGAATATTGGACAATAATATCAAGGATGGGGTATTAAAGAGAAGGTTGTAACCGCTAAGCAAAATTAGAGAAGGCTTCGTAGGCCCAAAGCTGCTTCTGACCTTTTTTTTTTTTTTATATATATATATATATTTTTTTTAAAAAAAAATCCGTGCCTTCTTAATGATAAAGCGTATGAAATTAATTGCAGAAGAATGGGCGGTAAGCGATAAAAACCAACACAAGACAAGGCGGAGGAGCCGTTTCTTAGGGCCAGATGGGGAGTTGCACCTGCCGCTGATATCCTCGCAGAATTGTACAACAGAAACTGGTAACGAGTCACCGATGAAAACTCAGCCAGCCAGCAGTGCAACATCCAGCAGTACACCCTATAATGAGGCCTCTAGCTCTCGATCGTTTTCACAAATGAATATCGGCCCGGTATCGCAGAGTGAAGGCTTTCAACAACTACCAGCATCCTCAGACAGCGGAGATAAACGTGCGCTTTAAGGTTTCTAAGCAATGAACCGGTTCACTTGTCTTTATACCCACACAAATGCTCCGCCATCACCAGTACCATGATTACTACAGATATAAGCATCACATAAAATATTACTTTGCTCTATTTATCTATTGCTCGAAAGCGCTAACTCCAATAAAGGCCCGTAGCACACAAATGCTTTATGTATTTGATGTATGACAATTGATGGATTAAGATGGCGTGACGCTGATAAAGTGATTTTTTTGTACGAATCCAACCAATTGCAAAACGGATGAATGTGTAAGCTCAAGGGTAAATAGGTGGTGAGATCTTTTTTTTTGCCCCCACATGCTAAAGACGTCAGTTGCGACATGTTAAATATTTGCCTCTGCCCATTAAGTCGCAATGGTTGTACATGAGTTCCTTTAACACTATGTTGCATTAATAGACCTGTGGGTATTTTGCGTCTTATGGCTGAAGCAGGTAGCTCATATGTAATACTTCAATACTTTGGCTCATGATGACGCTTTCCACCATGTCTAATGCTTTTGAGCTGTTTGCTAATAATTGATGCGAGCTAACGCGCTATTTTACAGAACGAAACGAGTTATCAAGAGTCTTCCAATATGGTGACTAAATAAGTAAACAAATAAGTAGGCTAAAGTCTCTCTCTATGCTGTATCCTCATTACAGCGTGTAGGATGCTTTAAGGTAAAGGCACAAGGGCTCATTGCTTTATTTTGAAATCAATGTTAATATAGGGGGGGAAAAGGATTTAGTCCGCTCACAATGGGAGTATGACATGTACTCGTTAAAAGCTCAGGTCCCAATATTAATTCCTGAGACTCCTCAACATTGATATCTTTCAATTGATCTGATCACCTGTTCTACAATTCTAATATATCGTGCTCATTGTCATTGAAAGTAACCTACCCAATATGCCAAAATAAAACTCAAACGTTAAGCGGTAACAATAGGGTTAAAATTCTCAGATAAATTATTTCATGGAAATGAATGTGTTTTTCCATTCTAGTAATTTTCATTCATTGACTTATATATTTATTTAGATATCAATAGCACAATAGGCCTGTTTATTTATCATCTACAGTCATGTCTCTCTAAGACAGATAAAACGTCTGTCTTAGAGAAGCAAAGTATTCTATCCAATTTAAAAATATATCTGAACCTCTTTAATTTCAACCTGAAAATACAAAGTCCACAACAATCTTTGCCAACCCGTCGCGGTGGCTTGTTTGTCGAATATGTTTTTGAATTGGATAGAATACTTTGTTTCTCTAAGACATGAGTATTTCCATCTGGTTTTAACTATTATTTATCATTGAAGACTGCAGAGCACATTAAGCCAATGCATTTAGTGCTACTATACTTCATAGCAATTTTGAGAGAAAACGTAAATATATATCAAATGTTAACCTTTCTTTTTTTTTTTTTTTTTTTTTTTTTTTTTTTTTTTTTTTTAGATAGCTAGGAGCTGCGAGGCCTAAACAGGTCTAGGGCTTTTGGGTCCTCCACGCTGCCTGAGATCAAAGGGATCCAGTACTAGCTTCATTCCAGAAAGTATGTTTTTGAAACCATTGTCCTGCAAATTATGCTTGACCTGTGGTAATTTCACTTCCACCATAATTAGAGGCCACTGGCCGGCAAAGTCAAGCTGGTTGGCCTTAATGGCTATTCATAGTTGTCCAACTGCAACTCTTCTGAAGAGAGAGAATCGGGTACTTTGTATTACAGATTTCACCCTTTTTTTTTATTCTGCCTGTTGAATGGATAAAAAAAGAATTCTACAATAGATTGCTTCTCGGGCAACGACTCGGGTCCTTGCTATTAATTGAAATAGTAATGCTGCCCTGGGAATAATGTTCATTCATTTGTATAACTTGAGCTCGAATATTTCCCCAGCGTTGTTATTCAAGCACTGTAGTATACTATAGAGGATTTTTTGGCCCCAGAGAGGAATACCGTGATCAGCTTGTTGAGGGATCTCGGTGATGCTACTGCGAGGATGCTTCAGGGAAGGGTCCTTTATACAGAAAAACGACGAACCAAAATGTCTCGATAAATGTAAACGCTCCGTTTGCCAGCAACTCTGCATGCAATTAGAGAGTGACAGGATTAGCTTGCAGATAACGAACAATATAAGGTTTTTAAATAATATTGCAGAAATGGGAAAAAGGATCGGATTGTTAGGTTTCATGTGGACATCCCTCTTTCATTTAACCATTCAAGCTTTCTAAACTGCTAGCCCTTCATGTTCTCGCGGGATTGTGCTGAGCTGGTCAAAGCTTTGGGCTCTTTCGACTTTGTCTGTGCCAATAAGTGTTTGGTGCGCATTAGCAAGGTGCGGTCGAAGTACGAAAAAAAAAAAAAAAAAAAAAAAAAAAACTAGATGCAAGAATGCAAGTAATTTGAGTCGAGTTGAACTTGCAGTCATTGACGCGCCGCTCTCACGAGTTCACACCAATATTGTTAAATGCATATTTTCACACTTACTAGGCACATCCAACCGTGGGGTCGATATGTTCGAGGATTATCCAATGCGAGAGCCTCTATAGCTCAATGCAGTTCCTCAAGCCCAAGATCTTTAGACGAGAGGATGTAATACTTCTTTATGGAAACATAGCGTATAAAAATCAATAGTTATATTTTCAACTTAATAATAAGGTTACTTTCTTCGTGATATTTAGCATCTGTATCAATTGTACAGTGAGATCATCGCAGATGTTGAACGCGAGATTGTGGCATATCACCACGTAAGCATTGGGCTATATAGCAGTTCAGCAGAAGTCCTTACCGCTGCTGCTGCTTCGGAGTATTCAAAGACAGTAGGGAACATTAAAGCTCGCCAAGGTCATTTAGGAGGACCTTCCGGGAACAGCTCCCCTATCATGAATGTGTCTGAATCAAGCCAACCCAGTATTCATCAATATATTGCAGGAATAAGTAACATTGTCACAAAAGCTAGTGATACTTCACTCGGTGGTGGAAGCAGTAATAACAACAACGCTACCATTGGAAGCAACGCCAGCAATATTCGCACCTATATAAATGGCAACACATACATCAGTGGCAGTAATGGCCAGTCATCTAACCAACAAGGCACCGTCAGCGGTAACCATGGCTATGAGGAGCAATCTGCAGCGGACCATGTAGTACTTTACACCATTCTTCGGGAGCTATGTCATCTGCGTATAGCATTAATCCCAGTGTAAGATCATTGTAATGTGTTATTATGCAAATCGCTAGAACAAGTACTTGATTCTTACTCATGCTCTGGATGCTACTCGACATCATTATTATTACCATGATTCATCTATCTTAACTCTACTCTCTATTTCTAATATTTGTCATCCCTGTTAAGCTATCGACTGTTGTCGCAATCCACCGTCGAGATTGATGCAGACTCGATTCTTCCAGAGGTAGAGCTGGCACTACATGCTTATGAGGAATCCGTTGAAGCTATAGAAAGTTTTCAAGCATCAGTCCTTGGTACAGGCATTGGACTAGAAATCCGAGCCCTCAAACATGGACTATTATTGAACAAATCTATTTGTGAATATGATATACAAAAGTCAGCTACAAATTTGCATCTCGCACGTATCGCGCTGTCAGAATGGAAAAAGATTTCTTCAGAGCAAGAATATGCGGATAAAACCTATCATCGGCCTGAGGAGACATCATGGAGGCTGAGCATATTTGGATCGTCAACGTCATCATCTATTCCTAATGCAGGTAGTGGTAGTGGGGCAGGAGCAGGAGCAGGGAGAGGCATGACAGGAGGCACAGACGAAAAGTCTAAAGCAGCGCCGACATCATCCGTTTCATGGAAGAGTGGTAAAGTAAACTTGCAACCAAATCATCTTCTATGGCTCAGCCGATGGATCGCGAGCGAAAAGTCGAAAATGACTATCTATTTCATGGATATTTTATTGGAGAAGGAGCAGGCGATTGGGGGTGATGACCGAAGTTTATGGGCCAACATGGATCCTGATATGCATGGAATGTATGATTCTTTGATTGTCGGCTGCTTTTTTTTTTAAAAAAAAAAAAAAAAAAAAAAAAAAAAGATAACCTTGACCAAAAATATTTACATTTTTATGGGGCTTTACTGATTTTAGGATCCGAACATTTAGGAAAAAGGCAGGCGCACACAGTATTTCATTTGTATATGAGATTTCAGGGGGGATGCGCTTTTCGACTCTAGGATTGGTTAGCGCTAATATGCCTTACGAACCTCCAACAGGACTAAATTCATTTCCATGCATATACAGTTATCCGCCTGTATGTCTTTTTTTTTTTTTTTTTTTTTTTTTCAGAGGAAGGGTTTATGCCCATTATGGCATACTTACTAGTTATTCTCTTTGTATATGCTCTTTAGGACCCCCCAAGGGATCATTGGCCCAATATTATCTCAATCATGCAAGGAAGTGTCAACATATTAAGCCAATATCGGAGTCAATACTTTTATGATCGAAAAATCGGGTGCACTTATTATATCACGCGGATCGATTTGCATGTCTCAATTGTCATCATTTACCTTGATAAACATCCTCAACCTGATGTTGGAGCAATGGATTTCTTGCAACTCTTGGCCAGTAAATTGAGACATACAGACGTGTTAGCGGCCATGCGCCTGGACTGAGTCTTTCAATCAATACTTTGATAACTGAATAACCATATAATATAATTTGTAATAATAAAACACTCTACTAACTTTTCTTAGGATATGCTTTTGCTTTCTATCTTTTTTTCTGCATTGATGAAGGCTAAGACTGTGGGAGCCATGATGAAACATATGAGAACCCCTGGAAGTAACCTTGTTCCACATGGTTGAGTCTATAATCAGTGGGCGTCTCGCTTGGACTCTCCCTTGTGAATTCTGGATCGAAATTAGAGATATCTTTGGCCGAAGTGATCTTAGGAAGGAATGGCACTGGAATACGTTTGTGATAAACATCGTCAAAGTTGACATCACGGAAATAAGCATGTGCTTTGATTTCTTCTGCATCACCAGGTCCAGCGCCCAAACGAAGATGAGGCACTTTCATGAGAAGCTAATTTGAGAAAAAAAGAACTGGACCAATAAGTGATTGGGACCTTCTATAGAGCATCTGCATAACATCCTTTTCGAACATTTAGGCTTCATACCGATTGAAGGAGTGCTTGTTCATTGCGACCAAAGCCTTGAGGGAACAATGGTTCGTCATCCATAATCGAATCATAGATATCATCTTCCTCTTCTCCCGAGAAAGGAGCACGTCCCAGCAGCATCTCGTACATGAGAACACCAAAAGTCCACCAATCAATAGAACGGTCATATGGTTGCTCCTCAATAATTTCAGGAGCCATAAACTCTGGTGTGCCACAGATGGTTCTTGTTTTAGCGCCGTATGGCATGTTCTCCTTGCAAAGACCATAGTCACCAATCTTGATATGTCCATCAAGAGTCAAGAGAATATTATCCAGTTTGAGATCACTATTAACCAATGGCAATCAGATGTGTGTTTGTTAGTGAACAATAATATCCTATTCTTGGCTCGATCAAGGCTTGGTCTATTGTATAGAAAAACACTCACCGATAGATGATATCGTTTTGATGGAAGTATTGAAGAGCCAGTAAGACTTCACATCCATAGAATTTTGCGCGGCGTTCGCCAAACCTCCGATCTCGTTGAATGTGCATCATTAAATCTCCTCCACGAACATACTCCATCACAAAGTACAGACGGGTTTCTGTCTGAAAGCAAGAATGTAAAGTCGTCAAGAACGGATGACGCTCCTTATTGGCGACCTGGAAAATACGCTTCTCTGATTTTGCACTTTAAAAAAATAAAAATAAAATAAAAGAGATTACTAAATTTATGATTCTCCATGGCTGATTAAAAAGAAAGAAAGAAAAAAAATCTTTGCCAAACCTTTCAACTTCATCGTGTTGCACAATAGAATCTTTCTTGAGTGCTTTAATAGCAAAAAGTTCGCCTCCTTTCTTATCCTCCGCCAACATGACCTTGCCAAAGTTGCCTCTGCCCAAAACAGCGAGGAAGTGAAAATCACTCAGGCCATATTTGCGAGTGGGCTGTTGCTGTGATTGTTTATTCACAATCTTCAAAGTAGGAGTATGCGCCTTGGGCATGACTGGAATAGGACGCTGTTGCTGCTGTTGCTGTTTCTGTTGGTGCTGTTGATACTGCTGCGTTCGCTCCTGCTCTAATCGAAGAAGCTCCAAGCGCTGCTGTTCCTTTCGGAATAAATCATTATTACTTGTTTGTGCTGCTCCTACTTGCTCTTGCTCTGTCTTGTTCGTGTAGTCCAAGTCTTGTTGCTGCTGTTGGTGTAATTGCTGCTGATATGTTTGCTGTTGTTGCAACAAATGGGCTTTTTGCTGTTGTTGGCGCTGCTTTTGTTCTTCCAGACGTTTTAATTCTTCCGCCTGGCGCTGCTGTTCTTGCTCCAGTTCCTGCTGTCGTTGCGGTTGACTTCCTTCTTCTTGCAACTGCTGCTGTTGCTGTGGCTGCAGATGAATTTGCTCCATTTGCTGTCGAAGGCGATCTTCGGGAACACCATGGTGCTGTTTCAAATCTGAGGATGCTGATGGTTGTGGACTGGGTCTGGTATCTGGAGACACCTTCTGGTGTCTGGCACTTTGGTTGCGGCGTCTGATCTCTTCCATTAGCTTGTTGGCAGTTTCGGCGGGCATGCCACAATGATTAGGGATAAGATCGGCACACCCATCATGCGCAAATACCGGGCATTCTATTCACGACGACATGTAAAGTATGTTAAAATTAAGGAACTATATAGACTTTCACGAGTTGCTTAAAATATTACTTATATGACTAGACTGTAAGTACCCGTGCACATCTTGTGCTTCCGTCCAAAAGTTAGCATATGGCCGCAGTGGTAACACCAATTGGGGGACAAGTTAGTAAACGTCTCAAAACGGTGAGGGATACGGTGGTTTAATTTGGCTTCATCTGGGTCTTCTGCTATATTAGACGAGATACACTTGATAAAAACTTTTTCAGCACACTTAGAATGGCAAGTGAAGCTGCAGTCTGTGAATTCTCAATTTGATGTTAGTCAGAAGTGTTAAGTAGATTTATCGATAACAAGTTTAGTATCATCGAGCTATCCTTGCCTTCACATTGCGACCCTCTTCCTGTAAATAATTCGTTACAGAGGGCGCAGCACATTAGCTGGTAAAACTTTTGAGAAACAAATTTGTGGCCTTGAACCTCCTGGATATCTACTTTGCGCTTGCGAACGGCTCCTTGTCGGCCAAGTTTGGATGGGCGCTTGCGGACGGCCACATCCTTAACTAAACATTCAAATATATAAATAAACATTCAGCACTAGAATGGCAATAAATCCACACCCTCCGTCTTATAACTAATGGCTATAACGCCTGCATACCAAAGTTAAAATTAATGCCGATTTGCCCTGTTGGCTCGAGATCCCACCAGGCATCAATGCCGTCAGTTTTATTTGGAGCAGAATCGCCGGAAAGAGTTGAGCCACGACGGGCTCCAGGACTTCTGACAGCCAAATCACGGACATCCTGAGCACTCCGCGCAGCGTCATTGTCAGCGTCCACCTTCTTCCTACGCAGCTCTTCAGCCAGATCCCAGATCTTGAGCCAAAACATGCCAATGGGGACTGAAAACTGGTCAGGACGATCGTACACGGTGATCTCAATCTCACTAGCCTTACGGATAGGGATTTCAAAGTCCTCATTCCAACGGATACCTAATGGTCCATTACGCGCCATCCGTGTTTTACCCTTTAGAACACCATCAATTTTGATTACAGCCATAGATTCTGCAGGACGTGAATCGCGTGTCGGAGCATTGCTTTGATGTTTAATCCCCGCAAGTCGCACGTAGAGAATTCCCGTCATAGGGCGCCTAGGAGCCGTGCCAGGTGCCGGTGTGGCATCATCATTATCTATCATAGGAATATCCAACTATGTAAGCAATGTGCCATGGATGTAGCAGTCTTTTTTCTTTATTTTTTTTTTTTTTTTTTTTTTTTTTTTTTTGGATACCTTGCTGAGGGATATAAAGCCCCTGATACTTTTGAAGAGCACGCTTCAGAAGAACGACTTTTTCGCCACTCTCTTCATTTCCGTCCTTGGCATTCATGCCCAACTGTTCCAGTTTTTCTGAGGCCTGCTTCAACTTCTTTTCGACTTCCAGCTTATATGCCAACTCATGCATCTTGTACACAACTTTGTTGGTTGTGATAGTTCTGGAAGAGCGCAATAGGTCTATCGTAACAAAGCATGCAGCATGGCAACTAGTCAGATGGGTCGAGTTATTTTGCTAACTATGTAACATGCTTATCCTCTTCTCCTCAATCAGCATCTTTTCCCTCTTTCTTTCTTAAACTTTACTATCTTACCAACTGTCGATAATGACCTATTCGGGGACATACTGTCGGCAGCGACTGGATTGATGTTTGGGCTAGACGCCTGTCTGTTGTTGTGAGACATTTGTTGATGACTGTCCGAGGAATGGTATGACTGCATTGAATCGGTCGAGGTTGTGGAAACATTTGCTGGTCTAATGATAGGATTATCTAACATCTTTGAGAGAAGCTTATTCATCTCATTCTGGAAATAATCAATACGTTGCTGTGTCTCCTCAATAGTGATATCAGAGGAGGCCCTAGCAGCTTCGCTTTCTTGGATCTTGCGGATATTACGGGTAGCATTGAGAATTTCGTTCTCTCTCTCAAGTCTCCTGCGGAGATCTTCCAGTTTCTGCTCGTCAGTCATCTTGAGAACTACATTGCAAGATGACCATCAGCCATGATGGTATGTAGGTCATTGGTACTGTGTTACAAGTCATGGAACAATAGAATGGAGTAATTCGTTGACGAATTTACTAATAAACAAAAAACCACATCGATGTCAATAAAATGTTGTTCCTGAACTTGCCTTATTTTAATATTGAGCTCCAGTTAACTCAGAAGATAAAAAAAGAAAAAAAAAAAATCTTCTTTGCTTTGCTTGCCTTGAGAATAGCAGTGGTTGAGGTTGGACGAATGGCAAGAGTTAGCTGCGAAAAAAAAAAAAAAAAAAAAAAAAAAAAAAGAGCAGGTGGGTTGGGAGGCTAGTGAGTGAGAGAAAGAGTCAAAAGACGCAGAAAGCCGACATCCTTCCAGCAGAAACATTTGAGAGCAATGCTGCACGTGATCCCCGCCATTAAGGTGGCCAACGCCAAAACCTTGAAAACAACAACTGCATACAAAAATCACAATAATGAACCTCAAGTCAGTAAAACTTGAGTATTGGCCGAATGAACACTGGTATTATTCATTTTTATTGCTGTCGCTATCAAGATTCTTTTCGCGTTCTATGTGTGCTCTGTTCGTTCTCAATAACAACAAAATCTGATAGATTTTGTTTCCTCGTTTCCTTCGATAAATTTCCGTGCACCGTCGACCTTCGTCTTACTTGGTCTTCAACTGCGACTCCCTCCACTCCTGCTTCTGCTGTTCAGCTATTTCGGCGTACTTGCCCTAAAGTCGATATAACAAAATATGATTAATTCAAAGATCAGCAAACCATTCACTCAACCACGTATGCTTCTAGTATCTCAAAGAATATATTATTTTTTTTACCTTCAATGAGTTTCCACTAAGATCAAAAATACCCATCATAGTACCCATACCCAAGCATCCAAAAACCATAGTCTGAGCATTTCGCTGGAAACCGCCAGCAACCAATCCTGAAGCACATCCAGCGGCAACTGAATTCCATGCATCCTTGGTTTGGCGAGCATTTGCAACAGCTGAGTCAGTTGCAGCAAAAACACCGGCCATAGCCGCTATTCAGGTAATTTAAAGGTATTTCCAAGGTAATAAAATAAGACGGTTAGTGAGAATAAAAATAAAATAAAAGTAAAAAATTCATTATTCAGCTGTATGAAAGTGCGGTTGAATCAAGCATGTAACTATGGTCTGTCGATTGCTGACAAAAAGAAAAGTGAGAATCAAATTGAATACAGTGCTTCAGTTGCTGGACACAATGTTGATAGGCGATTTAATCTAAGAAAGTGTCTATACTCCTTGTATTTCCTTATTTTCGGAGTAGATCTCCGTGCTGAATGTACTGAAAATAGACAATTGTTATTTGGCTTCCATCTATTTTTTTGAAATTTACTTTCGATCCAAGTCATGAAATTAAAACAAAAATGGTGTGAAGAGAAGCTCATCATTATTACCAAAGATGCCAATGGTACCACCGGTTCGTGCGAAAACACCTGTAGCACCGTATGAATGTGATCCGACCGAATTCTGGGCTGCAGAGACGAGGAGACCAACACCGGCACCGATAGCGCCGGCCTGGAGACCCTCTTGGATGGGGGCCTTGGGGTGATAGACGACTTCCTCTAAGGCAGACATTGGAGGGTGTGTTCTGGTGATGATGGAGAGAAATCGATTTGAAGCCGAATCACCTCAACGCGGGACAACAAACAGCTAAAAGGAAGTCATGTGATATTTAGATCTGTAGGCCGAACAACAGAATTTACGCGCTCTCAGACGACTGACGTTTCCATGACTGAACTCAATATAAGCAAAAGCCATTTATATCATATCCAGGCACGAATTCTAACGGGCCTAGGCGGCAACAACCACTATTCGATTGTCAAGTCTCTCGAATTCCATCATTCCAACACTTCTTGTTTTCATATTTTCCTATATCCTATTAAAATATCGCGATATTACCTGCTAGAAGCATTCCTAATGTCTTTTTGGAAATGTATATGCATAGTATCAGATCTTCCATTCTACCCTACTCTTCTTTGCTTTGGACCGACGAGTTTAAGTAACTGCGTCCCAAAGAAGTAGCACGGAAGAGTTGTAAGCAAGCCAGCCCCTATTATGTGGCATGTTCCCTTAGTTGTAAAGTGATCATGAAGTCATAAATAGAGCACCTAGACATTCAATATTACAGGCGATCGTTAAATATTCAGAAAGATGTCAAAAATAATAATAATAAAAGATTTTCATTGTTGTGGCCATTCACCTTTGGTATTCAACCCCACTCCTTCCCGTTGCGAAGACTGCCTCTCGCGGTCATGATTATGAAGCAAATCAGACAGACAATTGGTATACAATACGTATCCATACTGCCATAAATGCATGGATGATTCGATCAGCTGTCTTTGAAGTCTACTACTGTTTATATCCCATATGCATCCTACAATTGCTCATAAATATCGCACGCGCATTGATTGAGCAGATTGCCTGGTTCTTGTTTAATATGGTACCATTCTTCCATTCTTGATATTTTAAAACACATGGGGGTTATCGGAAGCATAATTCGTAATAATTTCAGGCTCAGTAGCCACGTTGTGCGACATGTCGCCACTTTTCTCAGGCGTACAATCATGAGCATTTTTATTCCATATTTTTTAAAGAAGTTGTATAAATGTGGCACTCCTCCCACCTATTTTTCACACCTTCTTTCCCTTCCTGCCTAGATCTATCACATCATAGAATGTTTGCCACAATGTCAATATCGTATTCGTCAACATCGCATGGCCCTACGCTGTATCAACACCAATATACCAATACGTCCTTCAGACCCTATTCCTTCGCGCATCCATCGCAGCAGCCACTCCTTTCAGACACCTGCAATGCTCACACTGAAGACCTATCATTATTATCTACCATCTCATTACCCTCCAATGATCGTGACAATTTTCCATCACTTCTTGAGATCCTCACCGATCAAGCGAGCGAGCCATTTTCATTGGATCGATTTGCAGAATTCCTTCATACCCAATATTGCTATGAGAACCTAATATTCTGGTGCACCACCCAACAATACAAGGTAATAAGTCAAGAGTAAATTATTGTCCATGATCCAGCGTAAAAACCAGATCACAATCATATTAATCTTTATTTTATCTATTTATTTATACTTTAGCTTCGTGCTCAGTCAATACTGCAGTCAATTAGTAGAGCTGCACCACAATTTAATTTGCATCAGTCCTCTCTCTCATTCTTGAACCAGACACAGACACGACTCTTCTCTGATCTTCAAAGCGATATGCTTGCGATTCTCGAGACATTTATTTTACCTGACAGTCCATATGAAGTTAACCTTTCCGACACTGTTCGATCAAAACTACTAAAATCTGTGACAGATGGTGATTATCATCCACAAGTACTGAAACAGGCAAGCGATGCTATTATAGACCTTATGAAAAGCTCAAGCTACCCATTGTTTGTGCAGAGTATATCAAGTCCAGATCAACCATCGTCTACACTGTTGTCCACTTCCAAGGTCAACACAGGCCGCGACAGGAACTCTTGGAAACTCAAGGCAAAAGGTCATTTTAGATTGGTCTCCAAAGCATTAAAAAAAAACACGATGTCATAGACAACCAGCTTTGTTTCACACTCTCCCTAATTTATTCATTGTATATAGTCCGTTACAAACATAAAAATATATAAAACTAAACATATTTTAAAATATAATTTAATGCTTTTGCTGCTTTTTTATTCAAGCGAGAAACGATGCAGCATTCAAAATGTATGAGCGCCATTTCAATTGCTCAATGGTAAGATGGTTCCCACACCGCAAACATAAAATATATTGCCAGAATAAAATACGCTCTCTCTTTTTTTCTTTTTTTTTATCATTTATCTTTAGGCTTTAATAAGTAGAAGAAATGAAGCAGAAGATGAAGACGAAGAGGAGAAGGAGAAGAATGGAATGGATAACGAATGAGAAAAAAAGATATCCTGTTGTGGTGCCCTCCTGGGGCCACATACACATCAAGGAAGACGGGAAGATGATAATGAGGACTGGCGGGATAATAGTTAAGAATAGACTTTATGTAGTCAGGTTGTGTCGCCCCACTAATACTTGTTCTCCATTCATCATGACATCTACTGTTAGTGATGGTTGAGCTGCTCCTGAGAATGTTGATTTGATGATTCTAATGCTGCTTCAGCAGCGGCCTGCTGTTCCTGCAAGAGTTGTTGTTGTTGAATCTGCTGTTCAATTGTTTGATAGTTATCACTATTGCGCTTGATGATCTCAACAACAGGCCCCAATAGACGAACGAAAGCCCTTTTTCCAAGAGTAGCGCACTTTAGCCTTCCTTTTGCTCGAACGGTTGCCGCTCTTGGCATATCATTTAGGAGCGCAAGTTCTAGACAGCAATGCAAAATATTAGCTAGATGTTTTTTTTTTTTTTTTTTTTTTAAAAAAAAAAAAAAAAAAAAAAAAAAGTATGATAGTACCTCCAAAATATTGACCGGGTCCAAGTCCAGGCATAGCATATTCGACACCTTCGTCGTTGCACTTCGTAACAGTTGCCTCTCCTGACTCAATAATAAAAAAATTGGTCCCTTGGTCTCCTTGCTTTACAACAATCTGACCATCATCAAAATATACAGACTCCAAAGCATCTGCAATCTTGTGACGTTCATAGGGCTCCAAAGACATGAGCAAAGGAACTGTCTCTAAGAAGGCTTCATACATACGTCTCTTCCTTGATGTGTTCTCCATAAGGATCCTGCGGAAGGTGATACGATCCAGAGCCCAAAGAACCACATCCGATGTCGCTGTAACAGTTGCTGCGCGAGGTCCATTATACATGAGAGCAAGTTCTCCAAAGCTTCCTCCAGGGCCGTACTCAAATACTTTCTCGGCTGGATTGCCGTGCTTTGCCACAAATACGTCTAGTGTTCCTGTTTCAACGACATAAAAAAAGTCTCCAACTGCACCTTGTTCAATCACATTATCGCCACGATGAAAGCGCTTCTCTGTCATGGCATTGACAACATCTTCATGTTGGTCTTCGTCCAAGTTCTTGAATAAAAAGTTATTAGAGATGGAGGCTTCAATTCGTCGGCGCTGTTCCTCTGTCTTCGGAATAACAACTTTGACATAATTCTGGTGGTTGGGAACCATACTCTCGGCACTAACTGAGGTGCGGCGACCTCTCATATAATTCGGAGGCATTGCCAGCAGTGGACTGGGTTCATCCGGATCTTCATCGTCACTCTCACTCCCGCTTCCACTTCCCATTGGATGATCAGGGCTGGATGCTTCTGATGTTGCAGGACTGCCATTATTTGGCGAAGAGACAGAAAGCGTAGGAGGGGGCACAGGAGGCAAAAACTGAGGTCCTTCCCGATTCGGCTGGGGTGTAGCGCGAGCTACATGTTGGATGGATTCATGAGAATAAAAATCAGCACAGTTAGTTTAAAGCCATGGTTGCAATAGCTATTTTCATAGTTTTTATGTATTTATTTTTCAGCTCTTCCAAAATTAAGAGCAGGTGTCCGAAGCATAGTACTTTTTTTTTTTTGCGTGTGTCTGAATGTGCATATTCATGTATTCATCCCTTTTCTTTATCAAGGCTAATTCGAATGGGATGACGAATGGAGCATAGTTTACCAGTGTGCCCATCTTATTCTCTGTGATTCCTCTTGAATCAAATCTCCAACTATAATTAGTATTTCCGAGTTGGAGTGGCATCCATATCTCTATCTTGAGATAACATTCACCTTCATTGCCAACAATAAATATAGGACATGATATGCATACGTATAGGTTCTTTTGTCACCGATAGAATGTGAGCATGATAGCTATCCTCACCTGTGGCCAAAAATCTCACGCGCTGCTCCTCAAGTTTGCTATTAAAGTAATTCGCACAGAACTGGAGAACATCTTGAGGCTGGGCAGCGATGACCTTTTGGTTGAGATCGTTCAAGATCTCTGCATACGCTTGCGGCAGAGATCGGTGAATAGGTGATTGAGATGAAGTTGACGAGGCAAACATTGATGAGATGTGGCGAGGTTATGCTTGCTCGTAACACTCTGATTCTAATTTTCACTGAGCACGCGCGTTGATGTGATGTAGTTGAAGCTATAGAAGAGATGAATCTGTTGAAGTGTATCGTTGCTTGATGTCAGTCGATGGATGTTTTTAGAACTATCTTATAGCGCACGAATCTGTGGATGTGGTCCGAAAAGAGGATGTCGCGTCGTCAAAAAAAGAAAAAAGGAAGAAAAAAGAAGAAAAAAAAAAAAAAAAAAAAAAAAAAAAAAGAAAAGAAAAAAGAGACGGGCAATTGATTGATATGCCGTCATTGGATAAAAGGAAAGAAATTGCCAAAGTCAGAAAGAATGCCCCCGTACACTCTCAATTATTTGATTAATGCTTCACATCCAAGTCTTTAATGAAGAGTACATTTCTAAATGCATCTCAGCGGCCATTACTTACGTGTGTAGCAACAGGAAGATGGTGTAAGGACAATTCAAGTGTTTGTGTGAAAGTATAAATTTGAAGCACGAATGGGACAATAAGCTGATTGGAGAGGAAAAGATAGACGGGCTCAATCAGGGTCAACGCTTCCACAATGGTTACGGTTGGAGTAAGCGAAAACTTCAAGCGAGAGACAAGGAAAGAGGAAAAGGGAAATAAAAGGAAAGAGAAGAGACAGATGGTTGGAATAAGAGAAAGAGAAAGAAGGGAGTAAACATACAGAAAATTATACCGTGCAAAGTCAAGACAAAAACGACTCGACGTGTTCCAGTCTGAAAGAGAAACGCGACTTTTCTTTTTTTGATCCCGTATTACATGCCATTGGCCTGAGGGACATCCTTTCACCAGCCAACGAGAGGGTCTGAGTGAAAGCATATCCAAATGTGTTGAAAATTTATCAACATGAAATTCAAGAAATTTGTCTGTCTGCTGCAGCTAAAATAAACACGGTTGCAGCACGACTAGAGCAGTGCCATGTTGAATGGAACGCAAAGGACTGAATGGCCTTTAAGGCTCAACAAGGGAGCGGGAAGAGGAAGAGGAAGAAAAGGAGGCTGAGGAGGAAGAAGAGAGGAGGGGGTGGTGGTAGTAGAAGAAGAGGAGCAGGAGAAAGAGAGGAGGAAAAGAAGGAAGCAGGGGGTTTGGGAGGAGTGACCCCATCCACTGTGAAGTGGTTTTTTTTTTTTGTTCTCAATTCAAGGTTATGTCTGTAGATAATTGACGGACATCGACACTCCAAAAAAAAAAAAAAAAAAAAAAAAACTGTCCCATTCGCGACATGCATAAATCACATCATTGCAAGGCGATCAATATATATATGGAATCAATTGCTGATCGTCCCGTCCAGTGGCAGCAGTGGATCATTTTGAAATAATTATATTGACGTGGACCCTGCACGAGATGCTTCGGGTGTCACAAATTGTAGAACCTGAAGAGGAACATTCGGATTATTGCAAGCAAAATCTGGACTGGTTGACATTATTATAGCATTATGTGTATTACACTGCTCTGTGGAAATGCTGCGGCACTTAGAGCAATGGGATCGTTCTCTGGTGACAACAACAGATTCTGTCATTGGAAAGTTGAGCGTAGCTTGGTCCATTCTACGTCTCACCGACGCTACCGCATCTTGATCCCTTTCTTACCAAAACCGCTCGGGTACCTCATAACTTGTGCTCTGTTCCGCACGCAAATATGAGAAGTTTGTGAAGCTGTTCTTCTTTGTTCGATCAATGAGCATCTATACTCTAGCTAAGGCGAGTAAAAGCTTGATTGTTGACGGCAAGGCTATAGCGCACATGTGGGTGGTACCGCCTTTTTCGAACATTGTACGGTTTTTAAAGTTAGTCCAGAAATTCAGGGGGCAAAAGATTAGAGAGGATACAGGAGACGAAAATAAACAGAACTTACAAATTTTTTGTGGGTGTGCCGGCACCCAAATACTTGTGTCTAGCATCGTGCGCGCTTTGCAGCCGGAGCAGGCGACTCTTCCGTGAGCCTGTACTTTGCAGGTCTCTCTTGCCTCTCAATTTGAGCAAGACCGATTCTTGCGATGTTTTCCGCCCCTACTGCGTCACGGTCGAAGAATGCCTTACATGCCCGGCAATATTTAGAGCGAGGGTACACCGTCTCTAAAAAGCTATCGCAGAGGGGTCGGGGACAGCGGGCGCTGGTGTAAAATTCGTGCGCTCCTACAGCGAAGTGTCCTCGTGCTTTGATCTAAGCGTTTCAAATGGCAGTCGTTTATTAGCAAGGGTTCTTTGGCTTTCCAGCTTTTCTTACTTTTTTAAAAAAAGCCATACCTGTGTTACAAGGTGTCTCGTTATAGCAGTGTGCTTGCTGGGAACTCCTTTACTACTTTCAAAGGACCATAGGCCGACGACAAGTACTCCTTTATCCCCAAGCATCTTCAACACTCGCTGTACCGCGTAGTCGAACGTAGCTCGTTGAGCCTTTCGTAGGTCCCATTTTTTTTTCAGGTGCCATCTGGACTCATAGAACTCTTGAAGCACATCCAAATTCGTTGATCCTGTCTGTGTCTGAGACTCCTCGTTCATCCATTGAAAGTACTCATTATACGTATCCCTTCCAAACACAGGGATGACGTTCTCAACCTCAATCATTCCTTTTTCACGCTTCCTTTTGTTCAACAGGTGATTGAAGCGGAGGACGGGGAGGTACAAGAACCTGCTTCTCACCTTTACCGTTTGCCGCAAGTTAGGGTTGTGAGGATCCAGGGAGGAAAACATAAGGGCGTTAACAATACCAGGATCGCATCCGACGATAGTTGTGGTGTTTGCGAATGGGCATCGCCCTGGTTTGTTGAATGTGAGCTCAACGTTTTCAAGCAGTTTGGAGCTCCTCTTCCAGTTTATGTCTGCGTAGTCTTCATCTGTCAGGTCTTCACCGGCTGCCTTTGAACACGTCGTGTTGAGAAATCCATGAGAAAGCTCCAGTTCTTGGCTGGAGTCTTCTTCATCTATGTCAGACTGCTGCTGTCTCTTCGTCTGGGTTGTGTCATAGGCAAGTAGATTCAGAACTAGACCGTTGGTAGAAATCGTTCCTTTGAGTTTGAACCGGGTTATATCTTTGTCCTGTGACTGCAGGGATACTTTGTCTCTATCCAAGAACCATGCGATCACCTCCAATGTCACAAAAGAGAGCCTGAATCAAAACCCCTTTTGTTCCCTGTACACATTCAAACATTGCAGTCTTGGAAGGATTGTTGAGAGGCAGAATACGCTCCAACAGCTGCTTGGTATCTTCGTTCGCCCAGAGGATGTCAACTAGGGCGTGTTCAGACAGATACACATACCCGGGTGACCAGGGGGACGTAGGAAAGTCTGAGTATTTTTTCACTTTTTTGTTCTCCCGCAAAAAAAACCCAATGTCGCTCATATCTTCGTTTGTTTTCTCGACATCAAACTAGAAAAAAAAAAAAAAATAAAAAAAAATAAAGAGTCTGAATAAAGAGCATTTGATTGCAGAATATGCATGAAAATACCTTACACAAGCTACACCATTGCGTTCCTGTAGTGCTGCCTTAATGATGTCTGTACTTGGCCCATTAGTAGCTCTGACGCTCTTGGAAATGAGATCTTTTTGGGATCAAAGCCTTGCACGTCCCCAATGTGATGTCTATTTCCTTTATTGGGGAAAGTTCAGTGGTGGCCTTGAAATGTTCATAAGCGAGGAGATAATGGGGCGTTTCTACCGCCTTTCTTTGTTTTTTTGCCTTCGCGTAAGCTGAATTGGGACCACCTTGACCACTTAAAAGAAGGGTGGCGAGACGGAAGGAATAATCATTACTATCAAGACCTCGTCCAGTGCCTTTTTCCTCGACCTTGCTGCCCCTGGTAACCGCATGATCCTCTCAATGTCCAAGGCAATCGCCCAGTATGCATAGCGGCGTAGTCGGTTGAGGACAACAACTGCCCCTCGGATCTGGCTTGCAATACTATCCCTTTCATCTGCGTCCAGTCCGCCTTTCCTTGCCATGGAGGCCTTAAGGGACCCAATTGTTAAGGCCTTGATAAGGTGCTTACTACTGTAGCTGTGATCAACCTTCGTAGCATCCTTCAAGTTCCTAATTGGTGCACCTTCTTTTTTAGCCCTATGAGGCTTCTTGCATTTGTGCTTCCGCTTTTGTTTTTTCTGTTGCTTCTTTTTTGCCTTTCTCCGACGTGGATGCTTAAGGCCCGGCCTATCGTGCTGACGGCAGTTACTGATATCAACTGTGCGCCCATTCAATATGCTCGCCTTGTCAGAAAAGATGGGCCGGAACTAGTTCCTATGTGACCCTTTCGCTATATAGAATGATGGTGTGTCTCTACATTATCCAAGAAGGGGACTAACGATTAGTATTGGGGACGTATGGTTTCAAGGCCAAAACTATAGCTTGAGCTTTCTTACGTTCTGCGGCGCTGCGCTCGTCTTTGCTGAGCCATTCTATGGCGAAGATCCTTTCCATTGAGTAGACGCTGCTTGAAGTTATCGAACTCATTGTTCAATGGTAACGTTTGGGCCGACGTTTGATGGTTGGAAGTAAAAATGCGGAGAGCTACTCTGAAACGGCCTTCTTCAGAGGCTGCGTTCCTTCCCAACACCTTACTAGCTTCCCTTAGGTAGTCCCGAAGCATTTTATTGTAGTTCTCGTTCCACGCAACGTTTCGAATTAATCGAAGATTATTAACCGGGCCTAACGTCTCGAGGTTCCTTGAGTAGTCATTGCCTGCGATGGCACAGAATAACACCAGATGCGCGTGTGATGGCAGTCTTAGTGCTTGGATAATGTTGTCTACATCGTAAACCCCAAACTTCCGTCTACGGTGCGGAAGAGGTCGCACTAGGAAGCAGACTCATTCGTACGCAAAAAAATCAGAGTCTTGGGATATCACGATCCTATCATTCTCCTCATCATGGCACCCTATGCATGGGTCCGCTTCATATGCACACAGACAGACATCGAAGACAGAGTTAAGGCCTGTTGCCAGCTGATTCTTGTCCTGGACGCTCAGGGTGTGGACTTCTCGAAGACCCTTCTGGATGCGCCTCATGACTTGAGGACGAGTCCATACCCCACTCCGAGAATTTCTCTCGAAGGTGCTCATATCGTTCTCCAAAGCATCCATATTTTTTTGTCTTATGGCTTGCCGTTCTGTCCTTGCTTTTCTTTCTCAGTACAAGGTTCCCCATCAATATGTATAGTCAGATCGTCCGTTATGAAAAGTTCCTTTATCACGAGAGCCAGGGACCTTCCTACATCAATGATGGATTCGTTTTTCATCTTTGCATGGACGACTCTGCGGAGGATGTCGTAATAGAACGTACCGAGGAGATCTACATGAACAGAATGGTCAGGATTTGCCGCCAAGGAAGTGCCCACGTCAGTTTCCGAAGGTAAAACCCCGCGATCCGCAGCCAGTTTGAAGAAGGACTTCAGCCCCATGGTCAATATCTAAGCGAAAGAGAAAGAAAAAAAGAAAAATGATGGTGATGAAAAGAAATGAAAAAGAAAAAAAAAAAGAGCGACAAAGGTATAAAAGGATGGGCTTTTTTATGGTTTAAAGATCCAAAGTGAATAGATAAAGAATATTGAAGGAAAGATACAAGAACAAGTGGCAGTGGTAAAAGGGATGGAACTTTGAAGTGAGCGAGCGGAAAAGGAGGAAGACAATGATCCCTTTTTATACCCTGGATTGATGATGAGTTTTAACATTGTCTCATATGGTTTTGATATCGATCCTTTGCTTCACAGGCCACATCAATCTTTATTCAGTTCCTTTGTTTGGCTTGGGGTTTTGTCCAAGTCAATAGCAGAGATCGACAAATAAATACAAGCTCTCGCATGAACGGCAGATTGGAAACAATAGCATTGAGATACCAAAGTGAGCATTCGAAAAAATCATCTCCATATACAGCATACAGTGTCGATGTCGATCCTTTGTTACACAATTTTTTTTTTTTTTTTCAGTTTCTTTTGTTTGCATTGGCCCTTGCTTTGTGCTTTGTGAGGAATTTAATGAATAAAAGAAGATTTATAATTTTGAACAGGTGACAGATATGACTCGGTGATTATATCCTTGTCAAAGGTAACAACTAAAGAAAAAAAAAAGTCTTTTTTATCAGAGAATGGGTTTAGATGTCGCTCTTTGCTCCAACAGCTTCAGTACTATTGCGTTAAAGCAGAGATATTCGTTGGTTCCCAGGTTCCGGCATCAATGGCGGAGATAGGAGTGATGTAGTTGCATGCGCTTATTGCTTGGAGTAAAAGTTATCTAAGCACCCTTTCTTACTGGACGGTGCCTTGTTAATGGTGATATTGCGCAGCGCCTTGTGGATGGAGGGAGAGCAGAAGCGAGGGTGGTGGTTTTTGGCGGTTGTTTGGTGTGTGTATGTGTGAATTTGATAGTTGATACCAATCGCCAAAACATATGCATCTAGCAATACAGAAGCGAGATTAATACCGACGCGTTTGAGTTTCTTTCCTTGAGATTGTTATAACCATGGGGTGATTGTGGAGTGGCCACCAAAATAAAGTTTGTTTGGAGGCACTAATGGAAAACGCTTGTGTTTTGAACAAAAAAAGACGCCACGATGTAAAATGTGTTTATACATGTACAGAAACCAAAGAGATGCTTCAGCTGCTTATTCGTGCACACAGTGATTGACGAACAAAAAAGGAAACAAGATTTGCGAAACAATAAAAAAAAAGCCCGCGATGAAAGAAGGCATGTGCAGACAACAAATAAACACAGCAACTGTTTGCTCACATACATTTTTTTCACCGTTGTGTCTGTATCTCTTCTAAGCTTTCTGTCTGGCTGTTTAACACAAGGAACCCTCAGAAAGAGAAATACCTCGCATGATTGGTGCCAGGTCTGAAAACAACAATAATGCAATGCTGTACGTGGAAGATAGGGTCTAGAAACTATACCATTGTTATGCGGACTCACCGAAATCAACTCGTGATCACAACTGCTATTCATACTCTCTTGCCAAAGACTTGAACAGGCATACCAACCCCTTCTTCCTTGCTCTCATAACCGCTCACATCCTTTCGATGCATTCTTTCGCCGTTTATGTCCACTACATCTGAACCACACACAGTTCACCACTCACTCCAACAGAGATATTTGTATCACCTTGGGTATGATATGTTGCTGTGGCTCCCTCTGGTTTCAACAGGCCCAACAAACTCTACTAGCAGTGTTTACCAACCCAGATACATCAAGGGAACGCAAGAAGACGAGCAAGTAAATGATGTGACAAATCAAGTCTTGCCGAGCTGTACAGGAAAAGATCAAGTTAGTCAAGCTCCATGGTGCGGTAGAATGAATCAACTCAGATTGCCCTCCTTTCAAGTCGAGACTACGGCGGCGAATATTATCACTGCTATTACACTAGTCAATAAATAAACGACACAATGGACTCCCAAGCGGATGCTAGGGTCATGCGAAAGTCTTCATGAGTTTTTTATTTGGACAAATAAAGAAGCCAGGATAGCTCCATGGCAATTTAGTTTTCGGTCATTTATTTCGACATCGAAATAAAATTTCAAGACAATGCCCATGGATTGCTGGATTTTAAGCCCATTTATGGCAAATTTGCCCTTGTGACGGACGAAGGGATAAGCTTCCTGGATATACCAACAAGAGACACGTGTACAATTAAATTAGAAGCGTGGTCTATTGTTTTTCTGTGGCGTCTTGAAAATTGCAAGTGTGCTTTTTCCCCTTCCAAGTGATCTCACCTTAAGGATAACTCTTTCAGAAACTAAGTCACTGGGCCTCCTTCCAAAGTCAAAAAGTCTTGTCCATTTTATACTCTTTCTCCTCCTTCCCAATACCGGACGGTTCCGTGTGATCACTAATGAGATTGAGGTATATCACTTAGGGCCGCGTACTATAAAGTGTATACGGATTCCGTTAGAATTCAACTAGCTGTGGCACAGACATTTTCTAACGAAAGGGCCGTACCGCCAACAGCAAATTCGTGGACCGACGAGGTTTATCTATATAGATCTAACGGCTCTGTATCTCGATACCGACTTTGGGCCGCGCCAGATCCTGACCTGAATTTCGATAAAGTATATGACGGTAGTTTAGCTTTATAAGTATGATAAGCGAGTATACTTCGCATGGATACTCTGGTGTCTGTGCTGTATCTTCTGGGCTGTGCTTATGCAGATGGGTTTGACAAAGACTCTAACTCCTTCATCAACCGCATGCTGTCTCCTAAATAAGGAAAGGAATGAAAGCAACAAATAAACCATTGGGCAATCGACAATCGCCCTGAAACATGATGCAAGATTTCCTTACATCTCATCGATCAAATATGTCAACCTTGATTAGAGGGTTGACATAAAAAATCCCCCTGTGGTCGGATAGGATCAAAACACCTCCCGCTCCACACTTTTGGAGTACACCATAGTAGTTTTCACTATTGGTAAAAGATGAAGCGGCTTTTACACTTGTGCTTCCTCTTTGGTATTCTGAATTTTCTTTTCAGATTTTTTTATTGCAGGCAGTTATATATCGATTGTTGCGGACATCACTGTAGACAACGGGCCACCTTTTGGTAGTTACTGAAAGGTACTGCTAACCGCGATAAGAGTAATAGCGGCATGGTCCACTGCCGAACGCTCCATAATATCAGGAACCGCTATAACTTGAATGGCCAAAGTCTTCCCCCTTCTATAATGCCAGCCTTAATGAGCCCATAGCGAGCTATCCAATTATCTTTCATAGAATGGTCTTCTTCATAACTTTTGCTGAATAAAAGCGCAGTAAGGTTGATGCCAGTGGTTAAGATGAGGATGGCCCTTTCATAATTGAAAATTGATTAACTTCCTTCATAGTACTCTGAATGCGCTTTGTAGGCGTGAGCTTGAGGGCTCCCTATCATGGCATCAAGTATAATCTCGGTTGCGCTTGCGTGAGTTAAGAGTATTCACGTGAGTTGTGACGCTTATTGAAGCTTACAAAGCCCCATTCAATAACATTGGCAATGTGTGATAGATGACCTTAGGCATCATCTTCCTTACTCGTTAGGCCAAGCTCATTTGCTGTAGTCTCGCGTACTCTAGCACAAAGCGCATTTTGATAGCATAGGCACTCGACATAATATTCCTACTGACTGGGATTATCGTCACTTCTTACTGTATGAACTTATTCTGACTTTCTTCATTAGAAATAGTTGGTAAAGAACTTTCATTCGTGGACAGTGCATTTTGGAGAAATGGATGGATAACTCAAATTCTGAAGCTGAAATTGAGTGATGCGATTGAAAAAGACTGAGCATTCAATTCGGAGCCGAAGTGGTTACATTATTTTTTTATGCTGGTGAAAGCTCGTAGAGCTTTGATATCAATATATCTTTCAGAGGGTATTTGGCTCTTGACATTTTCTAACCAAGACCATTCATATCACTTAATTGCACAGTCACTATTCGATTAAAGACAAGGGCGAAAATACAAACTGTCATGGACGAAGCAACCCTCGCTGCGGAGTTGTTAGCAGACAAATTCAACGTGCAACACCAGAACCAGATTTACCATCTTTCAAATACTGAGCAATCACAGTCTCCAATTACCACCACAGCTGCCTCAATCTACTCCCATGTTGCAAGCGAAGGTTTCCCTCAGGCAACTAATACCAATGCAGTAGCAAATAATCCGGCAGACACCCCCAATGAACCTGTTCAGGCGTATGCCAAGCTAGAGGGTGAATCTTTTTGCTATTATATCAGGTGAGATATCACCGGAATGGTCATTTATTTTTATTTTTAGGTTCGGAGTAATGACATGAACAAGACCGCCTTTCTTATACAAGCATATTCTTTCCTGTCATAACTATCAGGACTTTGCAGGTAACATTCGGACGAAAAGCCAGCTCTTCCGACCATGTCGACATTCATCTCGGTCCAACAAAGGCTATTTCGCGGCAGCACGCTCGGCTTTTTTACAATTTCACAACACAGCGCTTTGAACTGATGGTTTTTGGAAAAAACGGTGCATTCGTTAATGACCAATTTGTCGAAAAAGGGGTGACAGTTCCATTAGAGAATAGGACGAAGATTCAAATTGGCGAGGTTTCCTTTTCATTTTTGTTACCGAAGCTTGATACAGACGAAACGTCTCATGAGGCATCGCATGGACAAACTTATTCACGTCGAGATAGTAGCTCAGATAATGGTGTTGATCAGAATGTGCATAGCGCACATAGTATGGGTGTCAAAACAACTACGACATCATCGTCTACAACGAATGAGACATCTGGGGCTTCAAACGAACAGTTTGACTCCTCTGAATATTCATCTAAGGACACCAAACCGCCATTCTCGTACGCATCCTTGATTGCACAAGCCATCAACTCAACTCCTTCCAGGAAACTGACATTGAATGGGATTTATCAGCACATCACCAACCACTACCCATATTATCAGTTAGCACAGAACGGCTGGCAGGTAAATAGCTTTATTGTTGTTCTAATAACTATTGTCTGTCTGCAGATGTACTAACGGGAGAGGAGAGGGGTTTTTTTTCTCAATTTTTTAGAATTCGATCCGACACAATTTGTCATTAAACAAAGCATTTGTTAAGGTACCTCGTTCAGATAGCGAGCCGGGCAAAGGAGCATTTTGGACTATTGACCAGAGTTGTGAAAGTCAGTTTACAAATGGTGTGTACAAGCGGAGTCGACGACCCATGTCCACCAAGTCTGGCGGCTCACGAATCAGATCCGACTCCGAATCGCCTATGGAGGTGACAGATAAGCCTAGGAAACGTATCAATACCGGCACTGAAGCTGGCCTTCAGACCAGTTCGCAACCGCCGTTACAGGAGACACCTAAACAACAGACTTCCGCACCAGCACAGCAACAGTCTGCTACATTAAATGTTCAGGGTGCAGCAGCATCAAAGGCTGCCGCGAGTACGTCATCGCTCAATATCGTCAGTCCACCGTTGGAAGCACCAGGGCTGACGGCTCAAACACTGACTGCACTCGCTCAGACCATAACGGCTGCGGCACGGGAGAACAATCAAACCGCATTAGCATCTGCATTGATTGCAGCCGCTAATGCTAGTGGGATCCCTGGAGGATTGGCAGCGTCTTTGCCTGCAACTGCGCGGGCTTTATATGCCCATCTCCAACAGCAACAGCTACTTCAGCAGCAACAACAAAAGCAGCAACAGTGCCCTGCATCACAATCACAAATTCCAGGGCAGCCGTCTCAGCAACAGGCATTGCACTCAACATCAGCCACAACTACATCAAGCATATCGCTGTCTGTAGCGTCACCATCCGATATGAGCCAGATATCCTCAAACCTCCTTGCTGCCACGACTGCTCCTCCTGTAGCTCAATCAACCATTTTGGTTTCAGAGACGCCTTCTGAATCAATGATTAGTCCAACATCAATTACAGCAAACCTGCCTATACCCACTCCGACAGCATCTGTTCAGAATACCCCTTCACTTATGATTTCTTCAGTATCCAATGACGCTGTGAGTGACCCACCGTCGCTTGCTGATTCATCCATGCCGCCCCTAGATCAGACAAACACTTCTGCCGTGAATACATCGGTACAGCAGTCCCCAATAGCACAGCTGGTAGCGGTGGCGCAAGCACAAGCACGTGCTCAGGCATTGGTACGGCAGAAGCAAACTAAATCTCAAGACTCAACGATAACAATACAAGAGCAAGCCAGCACAGCCATCATTTCTGATATTGATGTACCTGAAGTTCAGTCAAAAAAGGAATCAAAAGAAGACCCTTCCAACAAATCTGTATCACAATCACCTGAATCATTAAAACCTGATATTTAGCATCGATCATTTAATAGCAACGTGGTCTTCACCCTATTTTCTAATAAAGAAGACAATCTTGGCATATTGGTTTGGGTTGTCACAAAGGGCTATTTCGGTTGTGTGGCCAAGAAAGATGAACCCCCATCTCGCCTTTCTTATGCCTGAACCAATCTATTCATTCTTTTTCATCCTTAAATTGGACATTAACTAACTTTAGGTTGATCACTTCATGATCATAACATTATAGGCTTGGTCCTCTTTCTCATCACTTTTATTAATCTATAACACACCAAAAAAAAAAAAAAAAAAAAAAAATGGACAGTAATCGAGCAACTTATTCACACGCTCGACCACTATCTTCTCAGATCCAATTCAAAGGTGCATCTACTCTGGCGCCTGTGGTTAGCTTTGAAGCAGCACCTGGAAACCCAGCATTGAGCATAGCTGACTCAATTGCATCAAGCTCACGTATCGGCCCCAACTTTGGGATTGGCTCTCCTGCTCAGGCCACAGTCGAGCAGTCACCACCTAACCTTCCTATAGAGCCATTGACTGTCCCTGAGATAAGCTCCTATGACCCGTCCCATACTCCAGCGCCAATCTTGGGACCTCCTGTCCAATTGCGTGTTTCCATATCAATTGATCCAGAGCAGCAGCACACAAGACTTGTCAAAGGAAGTGCTCACGTAGTACTGGTCCTAACCGCTCTATTGCAATTACCAGATGGGCGAGAGGCATGGTTCGAGCAAGATAGGACGGAGCTCGTATCATTAGAGAAGGTGATTATTATTTTTTTTTCGCTTGCGTCAACGTTTAGTGTTCGGAAAGAACAAAATGTTGGTAAGGAAGATAAACTAACAAACGGTCTTGTTGAGTAGGGGCATTTGGAGGGGCACTTTGTCAAGACTCTTACACTCCAAATCCGTGAGAATTTCCTGGTCATCGGATTCACTCTATTAGCACTACCTTCGTCGAGCACAAGTCCAAAGCTAATAGCAGCATTTCCAACCCTTGATGGATTATTACCCTGGGCAGAAACATCGGTTGCGATAGAGCATTTTTCTATGGAATTAAGTACCCAGTACACCTGTGGGCGCCAGCAACGGAGTAACCTTACTCAATTGTCATCCTTTACAACAATTCTCGCGGAGGCTTTGTTGCTACCAGAAGTGGGAACTAGGAAGAGCAAGCAAATAATAGCGACATTGGATGTGGTTGTTGAGGAGGTGAGTACATTGAAAAAGGGAGAGGATGACGAAGAGAATATGAATCTTAATTTTCCCGCATTGTTATTTATCGATCTAGGTTTTACCAGCTATGCCTGCTTCAAAAGTGGCTGCAGAACAGCATCGTATCGGACCTTGTTTTTCACAGACATATCACGGGCACACAACACGCGGGACGATTGTTTATGGTCGTGAGCACCTTTATGAATCCCCTGTGGCGTTCACAGTTCCCCTGAAACTGCTACAGTTGTTTGCAGAGGACGAAAGGAGAGTCCTTGATGAACTGGAGAAGGAACCAAGCGTGACATTAGCTGATATGATTCAGGCTGTACCTCTGGACCATCGTCCCAATCCAATCACGCGAGGAGCAAGTTTCATGGACTCATTGCGTAGAGGCGCCGCGCGTACAAACCCTGTCATAAGAGAACAGGCATTGAAATCGACAAGGGCTCGGCAAACTGGACTGACTGAGGAAGATTCACAATTTCAAAAACTACTGAGACAGCAGATTAGCACTCATCGAAATATCGAAGCTTATTACCAAAACATGGCTTCAAAGGTGGAACAAAAACTAAAAGAAAATATAGAGTCTGGTCAAGGGGCTTTCCGCAGGAGTCCTGAGAAGAAAGAGGAAGCTGTTCAATGGATCCCGCTGAATTGTTGTGTTCAAGAATTCCTTGTTTATGACGACGGATACCGTAAGCTTCTAGTCTTGATAATGGCTGCTGACCCGGCTTTATGATTAAAATCTGATGTTTGCTCTCTGTGTAATGTGGTATTAGAAACAAATTACCAGTCAACAACAGTGGGAGCGGCGGCAGCCCATGGTGCTGGATTTACTCGGTGGGCTAATACGCAAACACTCGGTAATCCACCATCACTTGGCGCCTATTGGAGCAAACAGGAACGCGGAAATGATTTAATGCGTGACTTCAAGGCTCTAAGAGATGTTCTTGATAGTTGCTTATCCGAGTTCACCTCTATAATGGTGACTTCCGAGGATATTGATAATGCGCGGCTGCTAGTGCTGGTGCGAGAGGCGCAGTTTCTCGTGGATGAAATGACTTCTTTTGGTGAATTCCTCCTTATAGAGTACTTGACGCCTCAGTCCACAGAAGTTAGCGCTCGCTTTGTGTGTGAGGAAATCAGAAGCATCATCGAAAGATTGAAGCAAGTTAACCTTGCTACGGATGAGGTGCAAAATCAAATTCAAGATCCGTTGCAAAAAATATCTCCTGATTGGCTATCGTGCTCAAAGCGCTCAATTAGAGAAATTGTGAGCTGCGCGCAAGATCTGCACAGTTTTATCGTCATTGCAATCCAGTACGAGTGCCTTATCGCAGATGCAACTTTAGTAGCTACACCGGAATGGATGATGGTGAAGAGAACTCGCGAATGCTGCCTTTCGCAAATTATTACGACGCTGACTACCTCATTTCTGGCCCTCCTGGAGGATTGGTGGACAAATATGGCTGTTGCCCTTCAGAATCTAGAAGTGGCCGGGCGACATCAACAGCGACAGCATAGACCTGAATGCCAGCGTTCCACTAGCCGCAACATGGGCTCGATTGGTGAGGAGGGCTCAAGCGAGGGCAACGCAACAAGTGCCTTAGGAAGGATAGGTTCTATTTTCGAAGAGGCGGACGCGGTGAAAATACGCAGAGAGAACGATAGATCAGATAAACATAAAAACAAGGATACAGAGTATCAATGCCCATCCTTGCATCCTACGAAACCAAACAATTCTTCTCAAAGACCGCCCTTGGAAGAACAGCATGCGACTAACTCCCGACGAAAGCCTTTATCCCGCCATCCATTAGAGAATGCGCCTCGAGCTAAAGTTCAAAATGATATCTTCTGGGACCAACTAATGAACCTGGGGTGGCTTGCTCAAATTAGTAGCCTTTTGTCTACTCAAGGCAACGAACTTGGGATGCTGCTAGATTACGCACAGGCGGTTGCAGATGCACGCGAGTGCCTCACCATCAGCTTTCATGCGCTACCGCTATGCACTAGTGCGCACAGTCCTCCAACAATAGCAAGAGCCTCAGCTGAAATAGATCTAGATGAATTTGGCGATAGCCTTGTACAAATCTCTGGACGGCGAGGTAAATGGACGCTATCTTTTGGACTGGACCCGCGTCAGTTCTCGCTCCTTCCTGACTCGCTTCAAGCTGGCACGACGAAGATACAGGTGCTGCCAATCCTGTTCACCCAAGGAATTAACGAAATGCAGACCATCTCCAACCTGACACGAAAATCACCTGTTCAGCGAACCATTAATGAGGAGAGTCTCCGTCAGATGCAGATTTACCTTTCACGATACCATGCATGGTATACACAGATCCAAGTGGCAAAAAGACGCAACGAGATGCGTTCCATGAAGTCTAGAAATCATTCATATGGACCTTATAGCACACCACAGAGCAATGTTGATCTATCATCGGTATCGTTGATGACGAATCTCAGTTCAGATTGGGATATAGTACCATCGTCCAGATCGGAGATATGGAGTGGCGAATCTTTGGTGTCTGAGCTTGCGGATCATCTTGAAAAAGCAGTACTGGGTCATTTGGATGAAATGAGACCTCAATTAGGTGTATCATCTGACTCTTCGTTGGATGCGGTGGGCGCACAGACGCTGAGGATCTCACAGCGTGATCTTTATACCCCATTAAGCTCTACTTCAGGGCAGAGTGTGTCCGGCTCTGCCTCAGGTATATTTGGATCCATGATGGAATTCGGTACAACAAAGCTTTTGAACTTCAAGGGATCGAAAGATACCAGCGTTTTGGAGAGCGCGGAAGCATTAACACGCGCATTGGGTCAAATCAACGTATCTCTTAGTCTTCAGTCTACACCTGCCTTACCAAACAAGAGTGAATTTGAGAGGACCCGAGGCGATGGCTTGCCCGCAAAGGAGATAGAATGCTGCGATTGCTCTCTACAGATATATGAATTAGATGAAGAGCTACCTTTCGCATGTCTTTGGGTAACTAGTCACATCGTGTCATGCAAGAGTGCCAAAGATAGAACTTCCATGTCGGTTACTCTCTCACAAGCAAATCTTTTGAGAGCATGTCATGACCTACAGACTGCTCTTGAGCAACAGGGAAGAGATGACTGGAAGGCTATTTTGGATGCTATGAGAAGCGAGACTGGAGTTCGGATCAAAAACGTGGAGAGAAACCTTAAACTGGGAGAATTTGCCCAGGGTGTGGTATGGATCCCTGCAGTTAAGCCACCATTGCCTCAGCAATTAACGCCCATTTTTGATTTCACCGCTGCAGCGAATCAGGAGTCTACCTTCTCCTCTGATGCTCTCACTCTTATCCGTACACTACTCTCAGGTGCAGACGTGTCAGATTCAGGAAGTCTGGCCGTGGTCGAATCTGTGGCTAGCATGACTGATCCCGAAGCAACTGCCAATTCGGTCGATTCATCCGAAGAAAACGCCGTTCTAGTAGAACCCAATATCCCTACATATTTGGAAGAGTCTGATGATCTATCAAACCCGATCCAACTTGTCTCTTCGACATTGTTAGATTATCCTCCTCCACAAAAATTGGTCAAGTCTTCGGGTGGTACAGCACTGGCTCCAGTTGTTACTTTTGATACAAAACTAAACTCAGCAGATGACAACCTTCGGAGGTCACGTCTTACTTCTCAATCACATGAAGCCCTCTCCACATCGACGGAAATTCCAGTCGCGTCCTCTTACGAACAGGAGACACCAGTGGAGGAGGAACATTATACCTCCTTCCCTGACCCATTTGACGAACCTCAATTGGCTACCCGTCTTGCACGATCTTTGGGATTGGACACGCTTGGACGACCATTCACTTCTGATACTCTATCAGATGATCGACATCAGCGGCAGACGAACGCTCAGAGTTCTTCGCCATTGAGTCCTTCCACGTCTTCAGTTATATATCGATCTATTCCGTCATGGTCATCCCAGCAATCCATATATTTCCGGCAGCAAGCAGCCTTGCCCCAAAGTCAGATTACGCCACGCTTTTCAAAAAATCTCTTATCTCTTGGGCAAGGCTTAGGCTTGGTACTGAAGATGGGAAGACCCACGCTCTCGTTAGCAAAGGATTCTCATGCTTTACCAAAGAATATTCGCGCTCGTCGTCAGAGCCAGGGGAGCGTGGACTTTGGCAGCTCACCAGAGATGCCAAGTCCTCCAAGCTCAGGCAGTGCTTCAGCTTCAATAACGGCGTCCGGACTGGTAGCAGAAGAGGAATCAAGTGAGGGTAAATCGAATGATAGACATACTGTGGTGGTAATGAACAAGAGAGGCAAGTTTGCGTTCAATAAGGTTCAACTCAAGTTCCTTCCTGATGCATATCGCCCTCCACGACGCATGACATCCAGTCTATTCGCAAGTTGAATCTCAGTTCGAAAACATACATGTACCATGATTCTCCCCTAATTTGGCATTGCAATCTCTTTTATATGTTTGTTTCTTTAATGTCTTTCTACTTTGAATTTTTTTTTGCTCGTGAATCTTTGTGATAATAAACAAAGCTTAATTATTCATGCTATGCTTGTTGCCCTATCCTGCTGCATATCTTAAACTGAACTAATATCGTGTGTTACCCTAAGGCGAATTTTTTTTTTTTTTTTTCGATGTGCAGCTTCCCCGCAAATCTTGCTCGTCAGGCTTTGTTGGCAATATTTTTTTTTTTTTTTTTTTTTTTTTTTTTGAACAAGATATGTATGCACTTTACTCATATGTATGAATAGCATGGCGACAAAGGATCCACTTTTTTTTTTTTTTTTTTTCCCTCATCCGTAAATGAATTTATCCATTTTATCCATAGTTGGCCGCTTTATTTTTTTAACAAATGGCAAATGAGATATTTAGGTTTGTGCTGCAGGACATGGATCCTTTTCAATTCAAGAGAGGTTAAACAAGCATCCGCCCCGTCTCAAATAAACAAATTGATGTGATATGTGAAATATGTTATGCTTAAACTTTTTCTCGGGTTTATAATGAGTTTGCATCTCGTAACTCATTCTTGCCTCCATTGAGCTCTTTACTCATTCACTCACTTCTTCACGCTCTTTCTCTTTCTCTTTCTCTTTCTCTTTCTCTCTCCAACTCCCAACTCTCTCCTCTCATTTTTTCTTTTCTTTCTCCTTATTCATGAATATAAAATATAAATACCTGCGATCTTTTTAATCACATAATCCCTACCACTTCTTTTTCTATTCATGTCAGAAATAACTTCGTCTCTTCATAAAACAGAAGTTGATGAAAAATCTCCACACCAGGGGGACCAGAATGGTAGCAAACTAGAAGGGCTCGTGCATGAGACCCAGCAGACACACCCATCTTCATTGTCATCAAAACCATCAGTAACAGCATTATCCGCATCATCATCGACTGTTCATACAAATGGATCGGAGATCGCTGCTACTGTACCAGTTGGACCGGTCATAGTACCGGAATCCACGAAAGAAAAAGAAATTACGCGGATAGAGCCGCCTGATGGTGGATATGGATGGGTTGTGGTGGGTGCCTGTTTCTTGAATAATTTTTCAATGTTAGGAATCATGTTTTCCTGGGGCATTTTTCAACAACTATACAAGACTGAGGTTTTTCCAGGTCAAGTGTCTGCAGTCTCATGGATCGGCACATTGGCTTTTGGATCTATGTACATCATTGGGGGTGTGTTCTCTTTATTTGCAGCTAAGATTGGATATCGTAAGATGATCTTAATAGGATCTATTCTTGTTGCTGGAGGATGTGTCGGAGCATCATTTGCGACTGAGGTAAAAAAAAAAAAAAAAAAAAAAAAAAGTAACATACAGAAGCACGAAGACTTGTGCTTCCTCCCATGAAGAAGCAGATTATTAAAATAAAGTAAAATAAAATGAATAGGTTTGGCATTTATATCTGAGTCAGGGCTTCCTGTATGGCGTAAGTAATATTCCTTTGGATGATCAAGGCCATTCCTGCAAAACCATTGGATAATCGAATATTTAATCTTCATCGCGTGTTTACATTTTATATATTTTTTTAACTCCAGCTGGGTGCCGCAATGGCAAATCCATGTATCTTGGCTGCCCCTTCCCAATGGTTTGTCAAGCGTCGTGGAATGGCTTCTGGCATTGGTATTTCAGGCTCTGGGATCGGCGGGCTAGTGTTCTCTGTACTGATCCAAAAATTAAATGCTTCAATCGGCTATCGATGGTGCCTGCGAGTTCTGGCGATCATTGTCTGGTGTTCAATGGTCATTTCTGGGATATTGATCCGACAGTTTTCTGCAACGGGAGCGCGAGCAGTGAATGTATCGATGAAGGATATTGAAACCATGAGGCGACCTGCATTTTTAATCATGATCACTGGTGTTCTCTTGACATCTTTTGGATACTTTGCTCCCCTCAATCTTTTACCATGTAAGTTGCAACTGTTGGACTTTTTTTTTTTTTTTTTTCTTCAATAGTTCTAATCCACTGAGAGTTTAAATTATCATTACTTAGCTTATGCTGTAGATCATAATCTCTCACAAAGTCAGGGCGCTATGATCAACTCGTTCCTGAATGGTGCATCATTCTTTGGCCGGTTTGCTGGCGGAATCTTTGGTGACAGATTCGGGCTCGTCAACTTGACGCTATTTTGCGTCGCAACAAGTGCATTGACAACGCTGCTCATTTGGATGTTTGCAACAACCCTCCCTGTGTTGCTCGTCTATGTCATCCTATATGGCCTTATGGGCGGTGGGTTCATTTCGTTGCTTGCACCAGTTTTGGCTGAGCAATTTGGAACGGGGTCCCTAACCATTTTGGTTGGAGTCACCTTTGGAGTCAATGGGTTCGGATCTCTTACAGGAACACCGATTGCAGCTGCCATTTTGGCAAGCTTGGGTGGCGGTGAATCGTCCGGTGATGATGGTACTGCACAGGGACCTGTTAATCTGCATGCATATAAAGGGACCATTGGATTTATTGGTGGCATTATGGCACTAGGAGCCGTCGTATTCGTTTACCTCAAATGCAAAGTTGGAGGAAAGCACAAGGCTTCACACCAAGCATAAAAACACATAGACTTTATATAGAATAGATGGTCATCATGATATCCTTAGAATTTATAAAGTAGAAATATACTTTCACATAAATACCAAGCAGATCAAGATATGAGTGGAAAACCTTTTATCTCTTTACGAGCCTTCTCAAGCTCTGTGTACCCTATCTTAGGAATATAGGACAAATATTGGCGAGTGACAAAAGAGGAAAGCTGCTGAAATTAAGAAGTCCCTGTCTTGGCTGGGATGTATAAAAGAGACCATGATTTTCAATTCCAGTTAAAGTTGCCTTCATAAAGCTGGCTTTGGCCTCAAAAAAATAGCTTTCTCAAATCTAGGAAGCCCGAACACTAAAGCCGGACAACTATGCATTGTATGGACAAAACTTGATCAAAAAGCTACATCACGTTCATTCTCAGTCGCTTATTAACTATTGTTATATTAGGTTCGGATTCTACTGCTTGTATTTGATCATAGAATGGTAAGGAATGGTTAACGATAAAGGTTGAAAGGGGAATTGCAGTCGATCAGTTTGGAAGTATACAATGATTAGGGTATAGTAAAGCATAATGCAAACAAAAATAATGTACAAGTATAATCTGTAGGCTATCAAATAAAGAACAAAAGAAAAGAAAAAGAAAAGAAAAAGAAAAAAGCTATAGCGATGGAATGGTGCTCGCCGTTGAAGAAAAAAAAAAAAAAAAAAAAAAAAAAAAACTATGCCTCCATATTGATATCCACCCATCTTGCTCCGCAATCTAACCCTGCTGGTCGAATATCATATGTAGTCTGATGACTGATAACCGCTGGCTGTGGCTGCTGTGGTAATGCTGCATAGGACATATGATGCGCTGATCCAGAATTTATACGTTGTTGATGGCCAGTCATGTACTGCGAATGACATGATGAGATCGAATGGCTGTGGTGCCGGCCAGATTGTTGCTGTTTAGGTTGTTGTTGTGATTGTTGTGGATACGTTTGTTGGACAGCTGCAGCATATCCGGGATTGCTGTATGCTGGCTGTGGTTCAGCCTGGCACCCGGCGCCTACTTGGGTTGTTGGGAACGTGGTTGGGATAGGGGATGGAGGCTGCCACAACATGTTGGAGAGGGTCCACAAAGGATTAGAGCACTCCGTCGAGATAGGTTGGATGAGCGCCCTTCCACCATTGTCGACCCACTCCTTGACTATAATGCTTGCCTGAGAGAACCTTGAGCGTGAATACTTTTCATGTACAGTTTTAGAGACATTCGTAAGGCTGTTGTCCAAGTGCTGAATGCATGCAACCACGTTGGGATCGGTTGGCATCTGTTATCAAAAAGTTAATATTATTGGTAAGGAGCAGAACTATCTCATTATAACATTAATACCTTTCTAAAAAGCAAGAGGCCTGGAATCTTACCACAATCTGCTTACGGCAGATGCTGCGAGCAAGGAACAGAGCACTAGCTGCAATAGTGGAAGATCCAAATGACAGGAAGCATCGCTGGAACATTGTAAGTTCCATCAAGAATTGAGCAACGTGTTGCAGTCTTTGATCATTCTCTCCGGACATCTCTAGGTCCTTCTTCAAGAAAGCTTCGGCTGTTGGATGTCCAAGGCTATAGTCGAGTGTTTTGAGGATATGCCTTTCCATGGTAATAAATGCAGCCTCATCGTATGTGTTGCTACAGAGTTTGCATAGCTGTGAGACAGATGGCAATCTCTCCTTCGAATCTTCGTATTTGCTGCTTATCCAAAGTGAGGTCATACCCACAAGTTGATAGTGTTTTTTGTATACAACGCGTTTCGAGAGATAACGATCCATCATATTCATGGCTAAATATAATGACTCGGGCTGGAGACTAAAGTGGTTATGAATCTCGATTAAGAAATCAACAAGAAGTGGTCTCAAATCCCACGTCAGCTCAGGCTGAAGGTCCATGTGTTCCGGGACGGCCATAGTCTCTTTCTATAGTTGGAGTGATTGATGCAGAATATGGGGTCAGGGAATATCCAACCAGAAGCGAAGGAAGACAATACCAGAGCAGTAAATTTTCATGATGGCTTTCATAGCAAGTCATTCTATGCATACCTCCATTTGCTTCATATATTGAAAGATCTCTTCCTTGTATTCTAACTCAAGCAGGTTATCTGTTTCGTCTTTAGTCCAGCCAAGAGTGCTTGTCATGGCCTTACTGACAAGAGATGATACTACAGGCTGTGCATTAACTGTGGTACTGTTGAGTGTAGGACGGATGGCTCGAGGAGCATGATGCCCTTTTGAGGGTGATGAATGCGCTGTGGCGGGCTTCTTCTTCATGTTCATCATCAGTCCCTGATAAGAATCGACCCGTACGATGCTGTTCATTGTTGCGTATTGAGTGCAGTGTCTGAACAAGAGTGAGAGTATGAATATGCGGACACCTTCTTTTTCAGGACAATTCAGAATGACACCAAGTGACCTTCTGGAAACACAGAGGATAGCTGGGACGAGAAGGAAAGAAGAAAGTAGAAATGATGTACTCTTTGGCTGTGCTGATAATTATCTCCCGTCCTTAATGAGTTGTAGCCACTGACAGCGCCGAGCCGTTTCTCGAGATGTATCGCTAGGAAGTGGAAGGTTTACGAAGAAATTAACATCATTGATTCTTTTCCTCTTTATTTTTTTTTATTTTTTTTTTATTTTTTTTTTTTTTAACCATTGGTCATGGATAGTATGTCAAATAAGTGCCAAGGATAAGTAAGGAAACATAGCGAAATAAATAAATAGACTAAAAGACTGCAAGACAGTTTTTTTTTTATAAAAAAAAAAAAAAAAAAAAAAAAGTGAATATGCAGGAAGGTTATTTCCACGATTATCCAGACATTGTCTCGTTTAAGGAAATGGGTAATATAAGGAGGAATGTTACATTCAGATACAGGAATTCTTCATTTGGGTTCCAAGTGGAGTAGTTCATGTCGGGTTTGCTCTGAATGTCGTACAGTCGTACAGGACACATGAAAAGGAACGTGCGAACAAAGGGTCCGTGTTCTGCTCAGCCAAGATTAACAGCCATTGCTATGAGGATGTAAAGGATATACCTTCAAGTTCTTTATCAGAAACGGTGATGTGGAGATAAAATGTTGTGAAGTAGGATAGTTATTATTTATTAACAAGAAGGGGAGCAGTTGTTAACTAGGTATTCGAAGCACAAAAACTGTAGAAAAGCACGAGACGGAGAGGATAGAGAGTGTGAGAAAGAAAATGAAGGAAGTGAGAAGAGAAAAAAAAAGAGATGGAAATAGAGCGAGAAGAAAGACTGAGAGGAAAGACAAGGACAGTTGAAGGTAGAAGAGAATACTGTCAAGGATTGAAATACCAAAAAAAAAAAAAAAAAAAAAAAAACTTTAGTTGGATACAGCGTACAAAGCTCTGCGAGAGATGAAAAGTTACCAGCAATAGAAAGCGCGTGAATACGAAAGGAAAGATGTGCTCATAGAATAAAATAACAAGCTTCTGCCTGCAGAAACAAAAAGGGGTTGGGAGGGAAGAAAAAAAAAAAAAAAAAAAAAACTTGAACTTCCAGCCTCTTTGTAAACATATAAAAATACACAAACATTTCCCGCAAAGAGGGATTGCCTGAATGGGATGTCTGAATATATTTCTCTGTGTAAACATTTATTCTGTATTCTGTGTTTTGAATATGGATACAGATCTGGCTGTCTTTTTTGGACCAGATCTTCTATAGTTCAAAGAGCTCTGGTCATTAGTAGCGGATGTGGTTAGGCCAAGGATATGAGAGTGACATAACATTTCGTCCCATGAGTGAGAACAAGCGAAAGAGAGATATTGTTTATGTTCTTGGGTCGAATTAGATTATGCTTTTACTTCGATAAAAAGATCATTAAGCAAATGCATTATTTGAAAAAAAGGAGACAGAATGGTAGATTTGAATAGGAACAAGCTCAAGAATGGGGATTAGGAGGAGGAAGAAGAAGAAAATAAATAAAGAAATAAAAAAATAAAGAAATAAATAAATAAAAAAAAAAGAGGGGGTGCTATTCTGCAAGACTGGCAGGTTATTGCATGCTGATAGTGGGAGAAAAGACTAAGGAAAGGACCAGGAGACAACACAAGAGAGAGGAGGGGTATTGTCCGCATGAGTGTTCTATTGAAAAAATGGTTCACAAGGATGGGATGCTTTGTTCAACATGCCAATGCATGACACGGCAAACACAGGGGAAAGCACAAAGACACTCGATTGGATCATCTCGGGTCAAGACTATCAGTATATCGTATTTATTTTTATATTTTTTATATCCATTTGTGTCATTCTTCTATACTCGTTTCAAACAGAGAGAGATACAAGGAAGGAAAGGAGCAACAGTCTTCATCAAGCAGAGAGGAAGGATCGGAAACGAAAAGAGCCGCGGCAATAGTTGACTTCTCACGGTATGATCTGTGCACATTGTCCCATTTTCCCTTTTGGCTGACCTGAAAATAACTTGGCATATTTGTTACACATTCAGAAAAAGAGCTGAGGAACACTCAGGCACTCAAATCCGATGACATGATGACATCGGCACGTAAGTATATGGCATAGATCAAACCAAAGGAGCAGTGACCTGATCACTGCGGTATTGACACCTCTTTTTTAGGAGGCAAAATGTACCCACCGATGGTATCGATGGTGCATCTGTTGACGATTACTCAAAAGAATCTTTTTACTAGAACATTGGAAGCCACACAAAGGTGATCACAAAGTGTACACAATAGATACCAATATTCACATAAAGGGCGGCGCAAAAGGAGAGGAAAGTATGGATGAAAGACATCATCGGGCCATAAATGATAGTTTACTTCAAAAAACTGAGCTATAGAATGACTCATTTCTTGTATGCGTGCTGCGACAGAAAGGAATGTTCAAATGTACAACATCGCCTAAAGCAATAGAAGAACAATAAAGACAGTAATGAAAGGATGAAAGAGAGTAACACGTTCATGGGAATGACAGGATAGAAGAAGACAGCGTCAGCGACGGTCCTGCCTGGCAACATCGTAGCTCGTCGTGCATGATGTCATATCCCCAATAACATAAAGCATGGATGTGGTTGCTGTTTGTTAATCCTTGGACAGGAACCAGTCTATCAGCCTACCTAGTTGTCTGGCGATGGGTCTTTATACCGCATCCTAAAGTATTTCTGTCCTCATTCATATCGCATCCGGAACTTGGTTACTCAAGTAGTAACTGATGTAACTTAGACACCATTAGTATCATTGTTCAGAGTGGAATTAAAATATTTAGCAACTCTTTGACCAGAACATTTGAATCATTGGGCAGAAGCCAAGACGAATTCCCGTCTTTACTTTTATTTGAAAGTTGAATTAATATACCACAGATATATTCCAAATATACATTTCCATAGCATGCTTTGATTACATACACCAAAAAAGAAAATTAATTTCTCTAATATTTATTCCAAAAATCAATAGGATACCAGAGGCTGTGAACTTTCAGATGATTTCATTGTGACTTATACTCCAGCTCTCCGAGGCCATCGCAGCAGGCATCTGAACCTACCAATGTATGTCTCACAGCTATAACAATGCTTGGATCGCCTCGAAAGAAAGGAATAGTTGTAATTATAATACACCTTTATAGAGGTATCCTTGTGCTAAATGAACTCTTTGGTCTAACATCATTGTGCTTCTTTGGTTCACTCTTGCCAGCCCTGTGTAATAGGTACGGTCACAATCCTCTGTGCCCCACGCATGTCCCAGACCTTGTAGATGAAGTATATACTTTCATAAGAGATACAAAGCCTAGCCATGCGCTAAGGCACTCGCTGGCTACCTGAGTATCTCTAGAGTCATAGATGGGATTATTGACTCTATCACCAATACCAACCTGTTCTTTGCACAGCTGTGATAACCAGTGAAAATGCGCGTAAGGCCTATAGAAGAAATTGCCGATAATGGCAGGATGGTGGTGGTCCTAGGGATTGAGCGAAATGCTTTTCGGCGCTGTGGCGGTGTCGATCTCATCTGAATCAGATCAATTTTGACAACAAGCACTGCATTATAGCCAGTACATTGCTCCTTAGTAGCAAATGTCAGCACAAGTTTTTCTGTTTATAACCATAGGCATATTTAGCTCTACAACCTTCACCTCAGGTATGCTTTTTGATGTTGAGAGAGTCATCTTTGTATCTTCGTTCATGTGCATGGCTATACTTTAATTATTCTCGTTGTAGGACGCCGTACGTTACAAGCTAGTTATTTACACCTTATTATAGATGTATATAAACAAATAGTAATAAATGAATGTTGACTTTTTTATTTTTATTATTATTATTATTATTATTATTATTATTATTTTGTTGAAAGCTTGATATTTTAACAATGACAATGGTTCGAAAAGATATAATCTCTTGACCATCAGGCAATGGATACCTACGATTTTTTTATTTTTTTATTCTTATTTTTTTTTTTTTTTTTTTTTTTTACCAGCGTGCATTGAACTCTCTCAAAACCATCTTTTCATTTTCCACGCTCGAAATACTGCTGCAGCTGCCTATATCTATTTTGACTGCGAGGTGGTCAGGGCGAAAGAGATCATTTGTGTCCGCTTGAGATAGGTTTTCTTCCAAATGAGCCTGACAATTACAGGTACATCGTATCAGCAGTCTCTTACTCGTATAGCGATGGGTGTCAGTGGCCGACACTGATTGGGAGAATACGATCCTTCTTATACCAGTTGTAAGCGAAACCAATTGATATTTCTTGTCCTATGGCTATCGAAATAACTAAGCTGCCCATGAAGTATTGAGATAACTTGACGCTTTACAGATTAAGACATAGGCAATGTTGTCTGTCGACATAGCTTAACCCGACATTGTAGATATCACCTTGCTTTTTGAGTGAGACTGCAAGTTATCCATAAAACAAACCTAAAAAGCGATGCTTGTGCACAGAGCAGCTCCATTTTATTCAAATAGATGTGGGAGAGGGTTACATTTCGTACGACAAACACAATTGTGGCTGTGGCAGTGTGTTTAAATTGGGAAATCTGTGCTTTACCAACTGGATTGTTGGAAGTACATTTTTTTATCAGTTAAAATTAGGGTTTAAGTTAATTAAAATACTCTAGTAAATTAATAAGTGAATGGGTGACCAAATGTGAAACGTGCTACTGATGGAGTCCTTGTGGTAGTAGGCGTTGTTTGAATTCATTGGGGGGAAGGAATGTTGATGACGGCAATGAGGCTGGTTGTTGTTGCTGGGATGCCTGCGAAGGTGGCGTAGGTTGCTGTGGTTGTGATGGATGATGAGCAGGATGAAACGATGGATGAAAGCCTGAAGATTCGTAACGAGCCCCTGAGCCCTGTGTACGACTAGATATTGTGTCCGGTCCACCAATCTGTCGTTCTTGCTGGGTTGGGGACAGGCCAGGAGAATTTGCTTGCCTTGAGAAACCAGACTGGTACTCCCCTGGTGGTCGCCTAGGCCAATCGCGTGAATCCACTGAACTATACTCTGCCTTCCTCTTGGACGGAACCATTCCTTGACCAAGAGGTGGAGACGTTATCATATCTAGATGTTGTGTATTATATATTATACCGAAATAGGAGCTCATGTGAGTTTCGAGAGGTATCCTGAATGTTACAAACGCGCTGATAGCTTAATGATAAATAGTTTTTACCTCTTGGAGTACCAACTTCGGTAAGTTGCTCGATTCGATCACGCATCCATGCAATGGTCTGCTCCTGAGAAACTTGAATATTTTGGAGCTCCTGTGCAAAATGCCTCAAGGACATGTAGGCATCCTCAACGAAATGAAGTCGGCTTTCCATTTGCTTTATACCATGGGGTATAAGATCATGTGAGCTAGGATTCGAAGCGGGATCCATGTTTGGAGCTGCCAATTGAGCCTCTTCAACCGCACCTAAACCTGATGGAGGGCGCTGCTGCTGGCCAGGTTGAGACAACCCCATGCCTGTGCCCGGTGGTGGAGAATAGCGGCGACTGGGCCCCGAGTTTTCATCGATTGACCCTTGGTGACGACGATGTGGAGACATTGGGGGAGGATAAGACTCGCGCGAGTAATAGGGTTGAGATCCGGTATGAGGCGGCGAACGAGGGACCTCCTGCTGGTTAAATGGATGAGGCCCTCGTGAACTTTCTACTCTACGTGGATCCGATCCAGGAGCGCTTTGGCTTCGAAAGTGTCCTCCGCCCATGGTTGTGCCATGTTTGACGTCATGACTATAGTCAGGATATCCTGGCTCCCTACTTGAATGATACCCATGGCCCTGATGAGTAAGCCTTCCTGTTCCTGCGGTATGTGGAAGGGGTGGCCCAGCATGATGGGATTCTGGTGGGGGAGGATTATGTGAATTGAAGCTTTGTGATTTGTGGCTGTATCCATGTTCGGAGGGATGGTGAGCTTGGGAAGGCGGTCCATTGTAAGAGTACTGATGTTGATGAGGGCTCGCATATGGATGAGATTGATGCTGGTGCTGCTGTTGTGAATGGTAATGCGGCCCTGGATACTGCTGATGATGCTGGGTGTCATGATCTACTCTCGCGATATGTTGATGCGGGGAACCTATTTGGTGGTTTGAAGGCTAAGGACAAGAAGCTTTTGTTAGAGGCTTTATATATATAAAGTTCTACGACTTGGTAGATATGGGCACATACCATGTGATCTTTTTCGTCACGAGGGTGAATAGGCTCGCCAGGATGGCCAGCATGAGGCCTATAGTCTGGCCGGGGAACAGGAGGGCGCTGTAAAGACTCGTGCGGTGAGCGGTGAACCTGGGATGTATGAGGGTTGTAGTGATGAGGTATTGAGCCAGCTTGTGATGCTCCATGAGAATGGCTGGGCCTGTGCTGCTCCTGTGAGTGCTCTGAGTTATTAGAGCGATTATGGCTGCCTTGACCATTAAAAGGTCGAGTGGATGATTCCTGCTGAACATAGTATCCCTTATCACGCTCAAATACAACCCGAGAATATGTTGGCGCAGTATTGACTGAGCGTGCTGATTTTCTCTTGATATTATTACGAAGATGAGGCCGGTCTCTCTGGAAAGCAGGATGATAGAATTGCCATCGTTGTGTCTCTGGATTCCTGCGATTCATCGTTGATTCTTCTATAGATGTGAATGAATTTAGAGTAAGCGCTTTGACTCTGCTTTCGTAAAAAAATGAAATCGTATAACAAATTTTTGACTCATGCTCTCCACCAAGCAACTTACCTCTATCATACCTATAGACTGGTCCACGGAAGGGAGGAAAAAAAAAAAAAAAAAAAAAAAAAAATCAGTAAAGTCTCTTATTGATTTGTATCTTCATTAATTTACATCAAAGACTTAATGCTTACTTTTGTGGAAGCCATACACTAGAAGCAGTAGAAGTAGGTAATAATGAAAATATTGGACGTCCCAGGACGGGGAATGTTAGCAATAAAAATTGAGACAATAGTGCTCGTAGAAGTCACTAATAGCCTTCAGCTATCACATTTATCACATTTATCACATACTGTTAAGCTGTCGGACAAAACTCTGCCAGTTGTTGTGCTTGAAAAACTTTGGCAGTACCGAACTTGACAATTCAATACAGTTGTAAACGTAAAACATATCGCCCTCCTTGGCCCAAGATATGAGATGTTGGATCGAGGGATCTTCCACCATTCTACATAAATTATGAGGATAAGTTAGGCCTCAAAGAGAAAACATTGGCATCAAAAAAAAAAAAAAATAAAAATAAAAAAAAATAAAAAAAAAAAAAACGCAAAACATGATCCTTAAGACTCATACTTGTACAGTTTGTCGATAAACATGCTCCTGACTTTCACCAAACTTGGGGAACCGTACATTGAAACGACAAGAGGTTCAGATCCATCATCATTCTTGGATGAACTGGCGTCCTGAGACTCAGATCCTTCGTTGTTCACATCGTCGCCGTCTTCTGGAAAGCCATCATCCTCGTGCTCTTCCTCGCTTGCCAATTCATCCTGGTTAGTATTGCCGTATTCTCCTCTTTGACGAGTGTCGTGTTCTTGCTGAGAAGGCAAATTAACGGCATTGTCGCTATTCCCTGATGAGAGCCTTTCGCCCTTTTGTGCGAAAAGAGAGGTGACACTTTAGTTTGAGGTCGATAAAAAAAAAAGGAGGCGTTTAGGCAACAACAGAGTAAGGTAAGCGCAATCGGCCCTACCTTGATATCTAGATCAGGATGTCCCTCACTGTCTGATTGGCCGATTCGGCCATGGTATGATGACCGCGTCCGATGCATGAAGGAGCCTTGTGGTTCTGCAGAGGTTTCAGGGCTGCTACCGCGACTGCTTCGTTCGTCATACTGGACTGTAGATCTCAGCAGTCGGCCAGATCGGCTTCGTCGAACAACTGGCGACTGTCCCCGAGAGCCGTGGTAGCCGCCTTCCTTCAATGAGGAACGCGAGCTGTCAAAGTCCGAGCGCTTACTATCATCGACTTCATGATTGCCAGGCTCTGCCTGGCCTTCAGAGTCTTCTGATAATTTGACCGCCAGGATAGATGATTCTGGGGCAGCAGCAGCGGTCACAGTTGTGGAGGGAGAGGAAGTATCTGCGGTGGTTGCCTCTGATTTCAATTGAGCGAAGGTGTTATGGCCTCTGCTGCTTGATGTATGGTCCATATCAAGCCAAGGCGAGGTCCGTATGCACGCCTAACACGCGCACAATCAAATAAATAAATAAATAAATAAATAAATAAATAAATAAATAAATAAAAAAAAAAAAAAAAAAAAAAAAAAAAAGTGAGAAATAAAGCAACATAGTGGCATGGCAAGTCTACTACAAAACCTTGCTTGCTCGTGACGACGCCAGTTCTCTTTAAATTCGTACCTTTAAACAAACACACTATAAAACTAAATATCCGTCGACACGAAAAAAAAAAAAAAAAAAAAAAAAAAAAGAAAAGAAAAGAAAAGTATCACGTTAATTCTACTGTTCATATTATTGCGGGTTCTCGTGACTTGAACCCAAAGTAAATGCTTAGAGTATGGAAACATTGGATCGCACGCTCGCATTCAAGGTCACATCACAAAAGGCATGACCAGGATACAAAAGGAAAAAGATCCTTTTCGCGATCGAACTACAAGCAGGCATCAAGAGCAATTTCTGTGCGGGCTCGATCGTCTTGAACGCGGCTCGTAATCACAGTTGGATGGGAATGTGAAGTGAAGGTGGATATCCCCTTTTAGAGAGAATGAGCTGTATCGCAAATTATTTAATCTTAACCACAAAGTGGAAAGGCTCCACAAGGATGTATAATCACTGGCCGAGTATATGAGATCGCAAAGTCTGAGAAAAGAAGTACAGTAAAACAAACACACACAAAAAGGGCATCAAATGAACCAAATGAGCAAGAAACCAAGCGCAACATGCGCACGGTAGATCAAAATATCTGTGTCGTAGGAGTGAACCGTGGATTTAGACGTGCCAACGAAGATCCAGTGACCAGGCCTTAGCAAATGCGTAATAAAAAGTAAACTTAAAATGCCCATCACCTTCTGTTTGTTCAGCAAAAAACAAATGTTCTGTTATTGCTTCTCTTTAAACAATCTGATGTGTATGGATGTTTAGCCTATCCACATGACAAACAGAAGCTGCAACGGGGTATAAATACAACAAATAGATACAATAAAAAAATAAAAATAAATAAAAAAGTTCAAGAAAGGAGCAAGGACAATAGACTGAGTGACAACACATGTGTTCCTTCTACCACCACTGTAATGGAGTTTGGCGCGAAATGAAAAGTGGGAGAATACTAGTATATGGTTTAAAATCTTTGAATGACAGGAGATCAATAAAGTTGTTAACCAACACCCACCATCCAATTGTAACAAAATATGACTGAAGCCAAATCATCAAAGAACGAATGATTCAAGAAAAGGGCAAACTGAAAGTAATGAGTACAAGTAAAGAAGTAGGAATGCTGTTGAAGTTAAATCATAGAAAAAAAGATCATATGACTTGGAGAGACCGTGTGAGTAAAGGTCAAAGGGGTGAGGCGATGAATCATTAGAATGAAGGGGAAGACTCTCAGGATTGACCACCATGCCGCTTCAATTATTTTCTAGTTCCCTGGAATCATACGGAAAAGGCATTGAGGCATAAAGCATGCTTTGTCGGCAAGCACCTCGCTTGCATCCTTCATGTATAAATGCAGGTCAGAGAGAGTTGTGGGTGCTTAGGAAGATGACTAACACACCATGGTCCCAACTTTAGTGAGAGATTACTATCACCAATTGACTGACCAACAATCAACTGCTCAAAAAAAAAAAAAAAAAAAAAAAAAAGAGAGAGAGAGAGAGAGAGAGAGCGAACGAGCAAGGAAAAAGGAAAGAAGGACAAGGGATGACATAGTTTGTAAAAAGGAAGTGAAGGGAAAGAGCAATGATGGGTTTACCTGTTGCTTTGGAAGAGGAACGTGAAAGCCTGGAACACAATGGTGTAGAGAATATGGGAATGAAAAGACTTTGGCGGTCTGAATGGCTAACAAGTAACCTGACTGATGGTCTGACAAAAGGATGAAATGAATTGACAGAATGATCTGACCAGACTAAACCCAAACAACAACAGAAAAGCAGATGAGGAGTGGGAAAACATGAAGAGAGAAGAAGAAAGCTGTTAGGAAGAGGTTGACAATGATAGGCAGTGATGAAAAGATGTTGTTGTCACGTAAAAAAAAGGGCAAGAGCAATGCTTTTTTTGTACTATGATCATGGAATGAGAGAGGAAATCTCCTCTTTTATTTGTGATGATCCCGCCAAAAAAAATAAATAAATAAATAAAAATAAAGTAATAATCGTTGGATAATATAAAATTATTGAATAGAATGAATGGTTTATAATAGAGCACATTAAGCAATAGATAAACAAGTACAAAAAAGGAGGCAAACAATAAAATAAAGTCTTGGGGGACAATAGTAACAGGAGTCAACACCATCAAAATGGTGATTCAATATGAAGCAAAGGAAAATGAAAGCTTACTTCAGAAAAAAAAAAAAAAAAAACACAGGATGGTAAAAGGGATGAGGGATTCATCATGCACACATAGAGAAGTTAAGTACTGATAGTAAGGGCGGTGGAAAGACAATGCATTATATAATAAGAAAAAAAAAAGAAATGATGCCTCCATATTCCTGTTCAATTACCTTTCCAACCCTTGCTATTCTGCTGCACGCTAATAAGACTTGTGCTTGCCCTTTGCGACTGAGGTTCACTTTCACTATAATAAAATGTTCTCTATCAAAGAGAAAAAATCTAGAGGACCGGTATCAGCTGGCTAATTAAAAAAGTGCAAGAAGGAGCCAATATGACTGTTAGGTCTAGTCATAAGAGAGCGCAGTGGTGGGACCATTGGCACTGTAGCCCAGGTCGATCACCACTAGCAGGCAGAATGAAAGAACGTGAAGAGTGACGCGTAACGGTTATTTCAAAAAAAGGAAAAAAATTCGAGATCGGTAAAGGATTCAACAGCTGCAGGCTGTGATCCAGGCCAGGGATAAAGTGAACTAGCATGTTTCTGAATCCCTGTAGATGAACATGAAACCCTTTGTCCTAACTTTTAGAGATGTTCGCGGTAGTTTGCATTCTCCTGGCTTACACATAAAAGTACTACTGACATCATGGGTTTCATAGATTATGTCTCTCCAACGACCATCACCCGCGTATTCCTTAATTATATAGACGCCACCAAACGCGCTTATTGCGAATGAGTGATTGGAATGAGAATGTAGAAAGTGTGAATTCAGACCTCATGACATGACACCATGTTGTCCTCATGCATCATGCATCATATAGCTGGTCAAACAGCGAGAGCAATAAATGTACGCACATATGAAATCCACTCAAGAAAGTTGGAACTGAATAGCGCAAAGACACCAAAAAAAAAAAAAAAAAAAAAAAATCTATTGGGTTTTTCTCTCTTCACCTCCTCAATCAAGGGCAGAGTGCGCGTTGAAGACTATTTGAGAGGGGTAATGGGCGTGGTGCAACCAACGCCATGATGATCTGAGCGGCAAAGTAACTGGATGTAGGCGACAAAAAAAAAAAAAAAAAAAAAAAGACCAAAGACAACAGAACAATGAGCAGAAAAATGCCACTGAAGGAAAAAAAATAAAATACAATAAAATACTTCAGAGCAAAGGCCAGCCAAAGCAAGGCGGGGGAAAATGTGTTAAAAAAAAATAGTTGGATTGAATGAAATGCATTACATTATTTTGTAATAAACAGCAGATCCAAGTATCAAGTAAATTAAGAATAAAAGAAAAAAAAAAAAAAAAAAAAAAAAAGAATGAATGACAGACAGAGAGAGATAGAGAGAGATAGAGAGAGAATAAAAAACGACTGCTGTACCGGGAACGCTGACTGAAGGAACGTTTGACAATGTGTGCAAGATAGAATAAGGCGAAGTTATAGCCTGGATGTGATATGTCGTAGGTTGAAGAATGAGTACCTTTTTCAGATGACGAAGTTGTTATTGCAATGGAGAAGAGAGAGAGGACAGTAAAGTAAAGAATCACAGGGGCCAGGGGCTGTTGTTGCTATTGTTATTGCTATTGTTATTGATGGTGACAATGATGTTGATGTTGTTGAAAAGCTGAGAGAATGAGAAAGAGAAAGAGAAAGAAACGAAGAAACGTTGAGAAAGGAAGAGAGAAGGGGGGCAGCAAAAGATGAGAGGAGACAAGAAAGAAAGACAATAGGAAAAGAATAGAAAGGGGAAAAGGGAGAAAGGGAAGAGAAAAAAGGAAAGGAAAAAATAGAAAGAAAACAGAAAAAAGAAAAATAAAAAAATATAAAATAAAATAAAAAAAAAGAGCGGGAGAAAAGAATGAAAGGAAGGAAAGAACAAAGCAACGAAGGAAAAAGAAGGGGAATAAAAGAGAGAGAGAAAAATAAGAGTAAAAATAAAAAAGACAGAAGTAAAAGGGAGAAGACAGTTCAGAAAAGCCGCCTTTTTTTGATTTTAAAAGACAATCCATCGAAGCGTTTGAATGTGCAGTAATAAGTAATTGTGCAGATACAGAGGCCATGATCCTCCTCTCTCTCTCTCTCTCTCTCTCTTTCTCTGCCTCGGCTTTTTAATCATTCGCGTCTACCTTCTCCTCCCGTTTCGCATCTTTTCCATCATTGACTGTCTCATCTATGCAAACTTGCTCTTCATTGCCATTCGGGATCCTGGCAATTAACAAAGCCTTATTTTCAATTATCATCATCAGCATTGAAGTCCCGGGTTTAATCCAGATTCAGAAGCGACGTGAAAGATCGACTTTGAATAGTGTAATGCCTATTATGATATCAATAAGAATTAGGTTACCATAATTGCTATTACTATAATGATCCAGGGCCTGATCTCCACTTCCAGCTGTTGCTCCATGGATGGTTAATCTAATTGCTAGCGTCCTTATCATCCGACCCGTCATTATCAATGGCCTCATGTTTAAAAAGCATAATGAACAACCAAGCATTGTCCTAGAAAAACCTTTTAATACTTTTGAATGTTTTCTTGAATAAAGTATCAAATAGGAAGGTTCACAGACCTTTTTTTTTTTTTTTTTTTTTTTTTTTTTTGTAAGCAAAAGCACAAATGTTTTAACTGATGCCAGGGGCGTTCATGCAGAGAAGGACATGGTCTCGTCATGGAAGAAGGAAATACATCAGCTTTTTTTTTTTTTTTTTTTTCTTTTTGGTACACCCCAGATTTCGTCAGGACAATTGTACTATAATGTATAAAATATTGGATATTGTAATTGGTAGTCTATCGACAACGCAAAAATGAAGTCAAAGAATAAGCCAACATGCTTGAAGCTGTTATAGAACAAGCTAACATTAAACAGAATGTCAATTGAGCATTAGACTTTATTGAATAAGGTCCACGAAACATTTAAATTGAATATGATTAATTGAATAGTAAACAACTTTTTGAAAGTGTATACATTTATACATTTATATTCAATACTCAAAATAAATTATTAGAACTACAGCTTTAATCAATGCAAAAAAAAAAAAAAAAATCTGCCTGCTGTGTGAAATGTTGTTAATTTGAGCAAGGGCGGCAAGAAAAGAGCAGAGCAAGTTCAACATGATGAGGCCATCTCTCACACCCACAAAGCGGAAAAGTTTGAGCGTGCGAGAGCGAAGGAAAATCCGATGTTGTTAAAAACGGAATATGAAAAAAATAAAATAAAAAATAAAGAATAGAAACATTAAATATATATATAACATATTAAAAGATAGAATTGAAATAGAGTATTTTGTTCAACAGAGTAAGCATTTCAGGTACCCGGTGGGACGTATCCCTGCAATTGTATCTTCATGGTAGTACATGAATTGCCTCCAAGGCACAGGGACCTGTCACAGACACAAACAGACCAGTGATACTTGAGACTGCATCGCGATGACAACCCTGTGTCATGTTGTGTTGTGCGAAGCTGCAGATACTAACGAGTGGCATCGTGCATGCGTCAGTTGTACCTTGTGTTGTTTTGGTGCAGCAGGGCTGACAAAAATAAATAAATAGAATAAAATAAAATAAAACAGAATAAAATAAAACTGGCGGGTGACAGAGAACAGGGTTACGAAGTAAACAGAGGAGTCAGGGTGCTTGGAGATAATACCGGGAGCCAAACGTAAGGATCAAAAAGTGGCCATTTGATCGAAAGGAAAAAAAAAAAAAAAAAAAAAGAATCTCCTTTCAACTCAATATTCTGTCAGCCCTTTTGCCTATCTTCTCTGTCACAAAAAAGCGTGGTTCTTGATATCCTGGTTTTTCATGGATCCCTAAAAGGTTTCCTTTTCGAGGAGGTACTGGGGTCTTTCTTATTAAAAATGATTACGTGCATAGTATCCATATTTTTTTTTTTTTTTTTTTTTTTTTTTTTTTGTAATAGATTCATTTCGAGATGCTAAATACCCCCTTCAAACAATCCGCTCAGTCTCTTTCTAGTAATGATGTATTTCTGCACTTCCACACTTCCACACTGAAACTGCTCAAACAACAAGCGTCCCTTCCGGACAGGCAACCATGAAAATATTTCCGCTTACTCTTGTCTTACATAACATATTTACCAAGAGCCGTCATAATACTTAGTTTACTCTATTCATTACTTTATTCTATCTGCCTTGAAGTCTATATTTAAACCAATACACTTTGTCCCATTATTATTGTGTATAATATATACAAGCTAAGGCAAAAGTAAGATGACTCCTTAAGATCCAAATGACGGAGGGTGATGCACCATCAAATCGCCCTTTTTTTTTTTTTTTTTTTTTTTTTTTTTTTTTTTTTTTTCATCATCTCGCATCTTGCAGCTTGATTAGTCCATCTTCATTATCAGTAATCAAAACGCGGCACTTTTCTTCTTACTTTTCTTTCGTGATCAAAGCTTCTTAAAGTCAAGATATGGATTGATTTTAAGGAGCCTTACATAAAAGTATGGCACGGGAATGTAATCCATGACCACGGAATATTTCCAGAGAACAAAAGGCGATCGTTGAGCACGCTATGAAATGAAGCTTTCATCAGTTCAAGGCTCAGGTTCCTTCTCCAGATCAAAATGTTTCTAAAGTATTTTCTAGACGTACGCATTTAATAAATTTAATATCAACCAATGCGAAACGAAATAAAAAACGTTCTTCTCAGTACCCTCATGGCCAAAAGGCGTCAAAGAGTGAATCGGTACCTAAGAAAATTAAGGCTCCAGCAAGTGTTTTAATGGACAGGGCTTTCTTTATATTGTCATCTTGCTTAAATCAGAACAGCGGCATTGTAGATTTTTTTTTTTTACTTTTCGGGTAGTTAGGCATTGATATGGCATACAAAAGCATAGCATTACATCTGTAATCTGCTAGTGTCTTTTTCCCTTCCCTCAGATCTACTTTTTATGTTTTTCCAGACCTCGATCGATAATCCAGATGTCACCATTCATTTCTTTGGAGAAAGCACATGACCCTGGATAATATTCATCACTTGTATCTTTCAGCGTCCTAAAAAAAAAAAAAAAAAAAAAAAAAAAAAAATCTCATTCCCCGAGACTAACGAGGGGTTTTTTTTTTTTTTTTTTTTTTTTTTTTTTCCCTATCTGCGAACAGTAAAGAACAATATGAGCATGCTTCCAAAATGCAAACTGATCGGTTTGTTGACTGAGGAGTAGAGGTTTTTTTTATTTTTTTATTTTTTTATTTTTTAAACTATCTTCTGATGATTTCGGGACCCGCATCCCTAAATAATAGCATCAGGTGCCATTTGAATGCTGAGATAGAGAATAGAAGAGGGAAATATGGGATGAGATGTGGACTTTACAAAATACACAGGCCGACAAAGGAACAGGCGGGAAAATCAAGAGCTTTTCTGCAGAGTCAGTGTTTGTTTACAACAGAGTGCTATAAATCATGCTTTAGAAAGAAATAAATAACAGAAAAAGAATATAAACTAAGAATGATGTGTGCTGCGACCCCCCTTGCTCTTTGTATGCTCGACTCTTGATGCAAACATACGGGGACAAAGTTTTTTTTCTTTTTTTGAATGTGCTTTTATAAAAATCGCCGTTTTGTTGTCATAGATGAAAGGTAATGGGATGGGTGTATATAAAAAAAAAAAAAAAAAAAAAAAATCTGTGCAATAATGTCTTGATGATGGCTGTCATTCACTTGCTCTGCACACATGTTCAACTGTTTCCTGTGCCCCCATCTTCCTTAATCCCCTCAGTTGTGCCGTCTACAATTACAGTTTATAGATGGACCCTGTCCATCTTTTTTATTTTATTTTATTTTATTTTATTTTTTATCAAGTTGTATATCTAAATTCCCTCGGAGGCCAAGGAGGATACTGTACCTTTGCAAGGATAGTAGTAATCGGATCAAGTCATGTTTAAACACCTTATTAGTTTATTTCCGCGCTAGATCCATAATTAAAATGTAATACATATGAATATATATATTATATATATATAATGTGTATATCGATATTTGATGTATGCGACCGTTGAGTATGAATCTTGTTGCCATGTACACACCAATTGCTTACATGACTATGTCACAAATCATATCTTTCTGTCAATGCCTTTCGAGATGGCAGCCCTCCGTTCGAAAACTACTATAAAGAACATAGGAGTGAATGGAGAAGGGTTGATTCAGATTTGTAATAGGCATATGGAATGTGTGTATTGTTACAGCGCACAAAGTATTTTATAATACATATAAATAAAGAGGGATATACAGGAATATACAGGACTGTATACAATACACGAGTGTGGGTGAATGGTTAGTGTATATTTTCTACGACTTGACTGGATAAGTATGAATATGTTTGTTAATTTTGTGCCCTTGTTTTTCGCATTGAAAAACCATATTATATAATATTGTAATATGTAAATATAATGTACACATAATTCCAATGAATAGGGTTTATAAAAGAGGAACTTGCTCATTTCTTAAAACTGATTTCAGGTTCAGATCATAGATTGTGTTTAGCATGCGCGCGCTTTTTTTTTTTTTTTTTTTTTTTTTTTATTTTTTTTTTATTTTTTTTTATGTCATCACTTTTATTTCTTTTGTCATGCAAGAATGCAACAGAGAGAGAAAGAGACAGAGAGAGAGAGAGAGCGAGAGAGAGAGCGAGAGAAAAAAAGTGATCATGGGCCATGCACGCGTCTATTGTTGGTTTGTTGCATGAAATCAGAGCCTCCAGCCCTTCAACTTTTTATTTTTTTTTGACTGCCGAGAAAGAGAGCCGCGTTCTTTCTTTAGCATCCAAGGCTCAACTTCCTTCCTTCTTTCCTTCCTTCCTTCCTTCCTTCCTCCTTACTTTATTTTAGTTGATTCCTACCCTTTCTATATACTTTATCACTCTGCCGAACTCTCTCCAAGCTATGAGCCCTCATTCCCCTTCTCCCCTATCCTCCCTGTACTGTACACATATCCATTTGCCAAAAAAAAAAAAAAAAAAAATCCCAATCTAACGCATGTCCTCGCCATTAGTTTGCTCTACATTTTCTTGATGACAAAACATCGACGAATGTGAATAATTGAAGCTCTAAGCTCTTTTTTTCTCTTCAATCACTCACTCACGTACTTTCTCACTTGTCTCATTCCTTCTATTTTTTTTTTTTTTTTTTTTTTTTTTTTTTGGGTTCGAGAACAGAGTTTGATGCTTTTGTTGTTGTTGCTGCTGCTCACAAAACAACCCTGCTTCTTTTTTTTTTTTTTTTTTTTTATTTTTTTTATTTTTCCACAACTCAATCTTCCGAGTGAGCGTGTACTTCTGAGGAATTTTTTTTTTTTTTTCTTGACCCAATATGGATAAGAGATGGTTGTGTTGTCATAACAGAACGAAGTTTATTGAGCCAAAGCTAAATATACACATTGGAAAAAAGAAGGGACAACGCGACTCTTTTTTTTTTTTTTTTTTTTTTTTTTACGAATGATTTCTCCAATCCCACTTTCTGGTTCTTCATTACTCTTTTCTGTTTGTTGTCAATTAAGCCTAAATTTATTGATATAAATAATGTTGTTCTATACTTGATATACATACAATACCTAGTATATATATATATATATATATACATGTCATCTCTTCAACCCAACCTCCTCTAGAACCTATTGAACCTATTGTGCCCAAGATAAAAAATAGAATAAGGTATATTTCTACCATTGAAGTATCACTTATTAAACTGCGACATGATTCACAAACATTGTCAAAGTAGCGCTCCTTTTCTTCCTAGTTTCTTTTCCCCTTTCCTCTCTCTCTTTAGTTCCATTTTCCTTAAAAGAAAAAGACAGAGGGTAGCAATAAGAACCAAGGAACTCCGATAGCTTATTCCTCACAAAGAGATAAAAAAAAAAAAAAAAAAAAAAAAAAAAGAAAAAAAAAAGAAAAAGAAGCAAACCCAGCAGCATAGATCATTATCATTATGCATCATCTCTTTCCTTTACCGAAACCATGGCCAGTAAGAAACAAGTTGGTGCAAAACAATAAGCTGTAGGAAACCTTATTCACGCACCCTATTTTTTTTCTTTGCAGAAAAAGAATGATGAATTATCCTCTTAATATATAGAATACAATGTATTTATAATCTGTATATTTATATATTTTATATGTATTATAGGTTTTTACTTTAGTAAATATTTTATATATTATATATATATATATAATATATATATATATCATATATACAGACAGTTATTATATATATATATATATAACATAATTGCATTTCTTTCTATTTCATATTCCGTAGTCTTGTTTTCCTTTGCGATAATTATCGTTGACCTTAGCCTTTTCCCTTTTTGAACATCGACTTTATTCTACGTTTAGAGGGTTTGGCTGTCTAGATGTTTCACATAATTTTTTTTTTTTTTTTTTTTTTTAAATAGCCTCGAATGTATTGGCAGCCAATTAAATTGCTCCTTTCAAGTTCGTCACAGGTAAAATTTAAAACAGCCATCATCGAACTTTTATTATTGTTGGATGTGTCCACCTGCTGGCAAAATATCAATCGTGGGTATCCTTCTCGTTTGCATTCTTCTTTAGCTACGCCTCAGCTGAGAGAAGAGCCAGGCACCAACTCTTTGCTTTCTTCTAAAGGTCTCTCTTGCTCTCCACATATTTTATAGTCATAGTCATAGTCATAGTCATAGCCAGTTATAATCAGAACCAAAAAAAAATACTAGAAATGTTTTATTGAATGTACCACTATTGTGCATTTCTTAAAATAAAAACGCGTTCCATGTAAAAAATATAAAAGAAAAATAAGAACTATTTTTGTATTCAATCCTCATCCTCCTCGTCCTCTACATCTTCCTCATCACTGTCTCCAATCCTCTTCTTAAAATTAGACGCCCCATTCCTGCTGTTATTGCTGATGTGAGCCTGAGGCCCCGAGTTCCGGCTCATAGGGCCAGCATCACTCTCATCACTGTCGTCTGTTCCTAGAGAATCTACAGCCATGTCGTCGTCATCGTCATCATCATCGTCTTCCTCAGCCTCTTCTTCATCATCATCATCATCATGCTCGTCCTTCTTCTGCCGTTTATGAACACTCTTCTGCTGGGACGTCGGTCGTGATCCCACACTAGAACTGCGACTATGTTGACGAGCATGGCCGTTGGACTTGCCTTGAGCTTTGACAAGACCCTGTCGGCGATCTTGCGATGCAGTCTCATCCTCATCTGATACAGGTGCAGGACGCTTCAGTGTATTCACATCCTTGCTCGATTCGCTCCTTGGAATATTGCCTTCTGGACACAACTCGTTAAACTTTTCATCAAAAGCCTCCTAAAATAACAATAATATTGGTGGTGATAATGGTTATAAAAAAAGAAATTTCCATCTACCAAGAATTAAAAAAAAAAAAAAAAAAAAAAAAAAAAAAAGTAGCACAGCCATTTTGTTACCTCTAGACGCTCCGAGTCTACATACACCCAACTGCCTTCCTGGTTAAAAGTACGTGCATTCTGGAACATTAAATGGACATCCTCTTTAAACTGAGCAGGAGACTTGTAGTGCGTTGATCTCATCCGCTTCTTGATGATATCCATGGCAATCGGACGAGTAATGATTTGATAATACTCAGGATATTCCTTCTTGCTCGGCAAATGAAGGAATAGTTCGCAGCGGCGTCGGAGTCCTTCCTCTTCCACCACAGTACATTCTTCAAGCGCTTTATAGCATTGCTCCATAATCTTTGTTAGAGCCTTACGCTCGTTCTCACCAAGTGTATCCTGACTAGCGGAAGCTCCATCGGGTTTCCTACCCCTCTTACCCTTAGCAGTTGGCTTTGTGATCTCATTAGACGTAGAGGACTTGGTACCGCGGCCACGACCCTTCTTGGAGGTTGCAGGTTCCACTTCCTCCTCATCCTCATCGCGTAAGGTCTTCTTTCCTCTACCACGACCCTTCTTGGGTTCTGCATCAAGATCCTCACCAGCCGCAAGAGCGTTCTCTTTCTGGAGTCTCTTTTCTTCTCTTTTCCTGCGTCGCTCCAACTTTTGTGCAATGACTTCGTTCACATCCTTGTCCTCGTCCTCAAGCGCCTCGAGCCATTGCTCCTCTGTCAATCCATCGTCATATCGAGTCTCCGCTCTCACTCTTTGACCACGTCCGAGATCCTCCTCAACCTGCACACTCTGGTGTGGATCCTCATCGTGGAGATAAATCTCTGGTAACTCTGATTCTTGAATTAAACGCTCAAGCCGGATACCGTCCCGCTCAAATGCTTCGTCTTCAATCCGCTTGCGTTCAGCATCGAGCTTTCTGAAAATAGTCATCTCCTCATCTGTTCGAGCTACAATTTCGTTAAGTTCTTCATCATTCATCTCCTCTTCCTCTACATCGTTCTCCTCCTTGTTATTGTCGCTCTCCAACAGTGAACGTAAGAATCTCTCTTGCTCTTCAGCTGTACTCTTATTATCGAATTTTCCAGCCTGAATGACTTTACCATCAATCTCGAGTTTATATTGAGCTCGAGCCAAAATATGCTCCTCCACAGACTTTTCTGTCACCAATCGGAAGATACGCACCTCTTTCGTTTGACCAATACGATGCGCACGATCCTGTGCCTGCAAGTCTTGGTGAGGATTCCAATCAGAATCGAAAATAATGACAGTGTCTGCCGTCTGCAAATTCAGACCAAGACCTCCTGCCCTTGTACTTAGCAGGAAGACAAAATATGGCGAGTCCGGAGCGTTGAATTGCTTGAGAAGAGCGGATCGGTCATCCGACTAGCATTACAAAAAGTAACAAAACACACAACTATTGTCAACATTCTATCCATGACGTCTGTATTTACCAACATCTGCTGAAGCTAAGCAATCCATTGATGGGAAAATCAAATTACCTTTGTGGAACCATCTAAACGCATGTACTGGTAGTTACGGAAATGCAAGAAATCCTCCATGATATTCATGATGGCTGTCATCTGGAAGAAAATCAAAACTCTGTGCCCCGTTTTGTACAGCTTTGGGAGCATTCGATCCAAAAGTTCGAACTTTCCTGCAACCCTGTACAGCTGATCGTTGTTCACCTTGGCTGGATTGATAACACGTTCGACCTCCTCAAACACATACGGATGGTTACAAATCTTCCTTAATTGCATGATAGTGTTATTCAGGCCCTTAATTCCAGTACGCCTAAACAATCAGGATATATAAGTATTAGTTTGTATGTGATTCGTTTTGATAATAAGTAGTTATCAAAACAGGATTGGTATTGAGTGCAGATTTTTGTTATATTTGCTTTAAACCTTGCAGCATGCCATTGCCAAATCCAGCAAACTCAACATCCAAAACCTAAAGTTTACGTAATAGAGTTTACTCTTACCCCTTTTCTCCTGCCTGAGTGAAAAGCATACCATGCTTCTTCATCTGGTTATACAGCTTGAGCTGAAGAGACGACATCTTGCACCGAATGACGCGCTCTACCTTGTCTGGTAATTCCGCTTCTACGTCCTTCTTGAGACGACGGAGCAAGAAAGGTCGTAAGACCTTGTGAAGACGTTTAATGATCAAAAGAGCCTCTTCTTCGTTCAATTCGATTTTATCTTGACCACCCGTATTTGCGAAGGGCGTGTTGAACCACTCGTCAAAAGATTGGGCAGAATTGAAGACACGGGGCAAAACCATGTTGAGGAGGGCCCATAACTCAGGAAGGTTGTTCTGTAAGGGTGTACCCGTCAAGATGAGTCTGTAGCGAGAAGAGTAATGTTGAGTCAAGGTCACAAACAGTTTAGAGTTGGCGTTCTTTAGACGATGACCTTCATCAATGATAAGGTAAACCCATTTAATCTTGCTGAGAATTGGCCTATCCTTAATAACATATTCGTAAGTCGTCAATAGCACTTGGAAATTACGATGTCGGATCTCTGTTTGTTGAATGTGTTTGCGTTGTGAGGGGACACCTTTATAAACGACTTTGGTCACCTGAGGAGCCCATTTCTCAAATTCCAGAGTCCAATTAGTCAATGTACTTTTTTTTTTTTTTTTTTTTTTAAAAAAAAAAAAAAAAAAAAAAAAAAAAAAAATAGAGAGAGAAAGAGACAGAAAGAGAGAAAGAGAGAGAAATCAATATTAGGTCAGGCCATACAGACTTCCATAACAGCATGTCTCAAATATATGCATCCAAATAAATAATCCCACGACATCTCACTTACGAGAGAGGAACGAGAATCAAAAATGGACCATTTTGTTGTTTAGCTTCGATTAAGAATGTAACCAAAGAGATAGTCTGAATGGTTTTACCCAGTCCCATCTCATCTGCCAGAATGCCGTTCAAACGGTTGTTATAAAGTGATGCCATCCACTGCAAACCCTTCATCTGGTATTCTTTTAGTGTTCCTCCAGTCAAAATCGATGGTTGCTTAACAATCCTTTCTTGGATCTTATGGGCGATATTGTAATAGTCATTACGCCTGCTCTCGTCCTAAATGAATGTACGGACATTGATAGATGGTCAGCCTAATTTAACCGGTATATAATACTGTAAAAAGGGAAGGGAATCGTTTTTAGACGTCTTAAAATAAACATGGGACTTACTGGTACTTCACCGTAATCAAAGTTCGATTCGTCATCCATAAGCTCGACGCCACCACGAGTGGTTGCATCTGTATGAATAGAGTCGTTCTGCTGAGCTGTCACAGCTTCAGCGAGTGAAGCGAGATAAGAATCGGTCTGCTGCAACAAATGTGTGATACGAGTATCCTTGGCCTGGTCAATAAGCTTCATGTATGCCTCCTCATCATCGTTCTTCAAAGCCTTTAGACGCTCCTTAGAGATACGTTCAATACGTTTGGCTTCCTCCTTCTCCACATGAGCGTGGAATTGAAGAACGAGACGTCCCAACTTGTTCTGTTTCATCTGTTGTGTCCTATGCCATTGAATCATATCACGTCCGTGATTTACAATATTTTGAAGGTAGTCTAGATGCTTCTGCTTCTCGCGTCCCTCGCGATCCTGTCTCTGTTGCCTCTCAAGTTTCTCGGTCATTCGGGCCTCACGTAAGGATTGTTTCTTCATTCTACGATAAGCGGCTCGATCAGTAGATGTTGCGAGCATAGTTGCCTTTGACATTCCCTTAATAATTTCCGCACGAAGCTAGTATTGCAGATAGTGATGCATATATATATATCGATCAGTCAATCAATTTCCCCAAAATGTAAAAGATAATGACAGGATAACAAAGCATATACCTTCTTTTGCCTCTCCAGAAGCCTTAGCGCCTTGAGCTCAATCAAGGCCCTAAGCTTGGGTCCAGATGGTGGCGCCTTGTTTTCTTGGCCCAGAAGACCTCCAGAGGGGTCAAGAGCCTCACTGGCGATATTGCTAGGAAGACCATCTAGCTCTTCAATACGATATTTAACACGGTTCTTCAGACGATTATCGCGCTCCTGAGCCAATGCGTATGGATCAATACCAACTGGCGAGATACTAGGGATCAACAAGCGCTGCTGACGCGACGCATGTACTGCCGAGGGTAAAGTCTTCTGAAGGTATGAAAAAGGTGATGTATATGCGTTATAGTCTGATGCGGTTGGAGTTTGTTCTGACAAATGATGACGAGCGACATCAACAACTCTTCCAGCCACCGAAGCCGTAGGTTCCTTGGCGCTCAAGACCTGTTCAACTGATTTGGGAGTGAAGATGGCCTCCTGCAAATTTGGGGGGACAGCCATATTAGCAGAGATGAGCTTGAAGGCAATGATCTGATGGCGTAAATCTACCAATTGGTCCTGAGAGAATGGCGAGCCCTGAGTAGGAGGTAGGACAGAAGCGCCTACTTGTTGTTGTTGTTGTAGTTGGTGAAGCTGTTGTTGTTGAGCTTGCTGAAGCTGCTGGAACTGCTGCTGTTGTTGCATTTGAAGGAGCTGCTGCTGTTGTTGATATGGCGTAAGACCCTGGGCAGCCTGGGCACGCTGCTGGTTTTGAGCCTGGGCAGCCTGATAAGCACGCAGCAAGGACATCAGCTGGGCATATTGCTGGTTGGTCTGTTCTGTTGCGCCAGCGGCTTTCATATTCCTTACAGCCTATACGTTGACATATCGTACAAAAGGGTATTGTATATTGTAAGTATAAAACTACAAGAATGAGACACTGTTGGCAATCATCGTAACGAAAGGCACTTTGTTGTTTCTTTATGAACAACACACACTTACATTCAACACGCTAGTGATGTGTTCCTGTGACAGATTGGCAACCATCTCAGGGGTGATAGCAGGTTGTGGCTGTGGCTGTGTTGGGTTCATTTTGCTAAACAAGTCTATGTGTTTCCGTGCAAATGTATCTGTGATAGGAAATTAAAGACGTCTCTGATACTCTGAGCAGGCGTCCCCAAATGACGCGCGCTGCAGAGAGCTATAAAACGAGCGTAAAACGTGTAAATCTGTGCTTGTGGTCCCACAGTGTCAGGAATGCCTTGATTTAAGTGATTTGTATATTGCGTAACTCAAAACAAGTGGTAATGACAGGGAGGAGAGGTGTGTGATCGTTCAAAGGATGAAATAAATGTAAGATCAATGTTTGTGTGCTCCAATCTCAGTCGCGAATTCTGTAAATGAGCCGTGGTGCTGCAACAAAAAAAGATGAGAAATATATTTTCTCGCAATGAACTGATGAGATGTGTAAGTTTCTCTTTGAAAATCAGTATATGATCACGTGGACTAAGCGTAAACAAGGTATAGGATTTAATGTTTATTGATGGAAATAGACCTTTTTCCTAAACCAAGTTCAAATGGGTCTTGTATGAGTAGTTTGTATCCCTTGGATGCTGTTCATCAAGCAGGGAAACTAAATGAATATGGCTAAAGCTTTTTGATCAATTTATTGACAGTAAATTTGCCCTGTGGCAAACTTAACTTATCAGACACAGATGGCTGATTGTAGCGTCTGTAACATCGTTCGAGAGCCCTTACGTCTCCAATTACGTAATTCGGCGAAGTCAAAGTTATCTGTTGATCTGTACGGTTTTTAAAGTTAGTCCAGAAATTCAGGGGCAAAAGATTAGAGAGGATACAGGAGACGAAAATAAACAGAACTTACAAATTTTTTGTGGGTGTGCCGGCACCCAAATACTTGTGTCTAGCATCGTGCGCGCTTTGCAGCCGGAGCAGGCGACTCTTCCGTGAGCCTGTACTTTGCAGGTCTCTCTTGCCTCTCAATTTGAGCAAGACCGATTTTTGCGATGTTTTCCGCCCCTACTGCGTCACGGTCGAAGAATACCTTACATGTCCTCCAATATTTAGAACGAGGGTACAGCATCTCTAAAAAGCTATCGCAGAGGGGTCGGGGACAGCGGGCGCTGGTGTAAAATTCGTGCGCTCCTACAGCGAAGTGTCCTCGTGCTTTGATCTAAGCGTTTCAAATGGCAGTCGTTTATTAGCAAGGGTTTTATGGCTTTCCAGCTTTGCTTACTTTTTTAAAAAAAGCCATACCTGTGTGACAAGATGTCTCGTTATAGCAGTGTGCTTGCTGGGAACTCCTTTACTACTTTCAAAGGACCCTAGGCCGACGACAAGTACTCCTTTATCCCCAAGCATCTTCAACACTCGCTGTACCGCGTAGTCGAACGTAGCTCGTTGAGCCTTTCGTAGGTCCCATTTTTTTTCAGGTGCCATCTGGACTCGTAGAACTCTTGAAGCACATCCAAATTCGTTGATCCTGTCTGTGTCTGAGACTCCTCGTTCATCCATTGAAAGTACTCATTATACGTATCCCTTCCAAACACAGGGATGGCGCTCTCAACCTCAATCATTCCTTTTTCACGCTTCCTTTTGTTCAACAGGTGATTGAAGCGGAGGACGGGGAGGTACAAGAACCTGCTTCTCACCTTTACCGTTTGCCGCAAGTTAGGGTTGTGAGGATCCAGGGAGGAAAACGTAAGGGCGTTAACAATACCAGGATCACATCCGACGATAGTTGTGGTGTTTGCGGATGGGCATCGCCCTGGTTTGTTGAATGTGAGCTCAACGTTTTCAAGCAGTTTGGAGCTCCTCTTCCAGTTTATGTCTGCGTAGTCTTCATCTGTCAGGTCTTCACCGGCCGCCTTTGAACACGTCGTGTTGAGAAATCCCTGAGAAAGCTCCAGTTCTTGGCTGGGGTCTTCTTCATCTACGTCAGACTGCTGCTGTCTCTTCGTCTGGGTTGTGTCATAGGCAAGTAGATTCAGAACTAGACCGTTGGTAGAAATCGTTCCTTTGAGTTTGAACCGAGTTAGATCTTTGTCCTGTGACTGCAGGGATACTTTGTCTTGATATCCACGAACCATGCGATCACCTCCAATGTCACAAAAGAGAGCCTGTATCAAAACCCCTTTTGTTCCCTGTACACACTCATACATTGCAGTCTTGGAAGCATTATTGAGAGGCAGAATACGCTCCAACAGCTGCTTGGTATCTTCGTTCGCCCAGAGGATGTCAACTAGGGCGTGTTCAGACAGATACACATACCCGGGTGACCAGGGGGACGTAGGAAAGTCTGAGTATTTTTTCACTTTTTTGTTCTCCCGCAGAAAAAACTCAATGTCGCTCATATCTTCATTTGTTTTCTCGACATCAAACTAGAAAAAAAAAAAAAAAGAAAAAAAAAAGGTGTGAATAAAGAGCATTTGATTGCAGAATATGCATGAAAATACCCTTACACAAGCTATACCATTGCGTTCCTGTAGTGCTGCCTTAATGATGTCTGTACTTGGCCCATTAGTAAGTCTGACGCTCTTGGAAATGAGATCTTTTTGGGATCAAAGCCTTGGACGTCCCCCAATGTGATGTCTATATCCTTTATTGGGGAAAGTTCAGTGGTGGCCTTGAAATGTTCATAAGCGAGGTGATGATGGGGCGTTTCTACCGCCTTTCCTTGTTTTTTTGCCCTCGCGTAAGCTGAATTGGGGCCACCTTGACCACTCAAAAGAAGGGTGGCGAGACGGAAGGAATAATCATTGCTATCCAAGACCTCGTCCAGTGCCTTTTTCCTCGACTTTGCTGCCCCTGGTAACCACATGATCCTCTCAATGTCCAAGGCAATCGCCCAGTATGCATAGCGGCGTAGTCGGTTGAGGACAACAACTGCCCCTCGGATCTGGCTTGCAATACTATCCCTTTCATCTGCGTCCAGTCCGCCTTTCCTTGCCATGGAGGCCTTAAGGGACCCAATTGTTAAGGCCTTGATAAGGTGCTTACTGCTGTAGCTGTGATCAACCTTCGTAGCATCCTTCAAGTCCCTAATTGGTGCACCTTCTTTTTTAGCCCTGTGGGGCTTCTTGCCTTTGTGCTTCCGCTTTTGTTTTTTCTGTTGCTTCTTTTTTGCCTTTTTCCGACGTGGTGGATGCTTAAGGCCCGGCCTATCGTGCTGATGGCAGTTACTGATATCAACTGTGCGCCCATTCAATATGCTCGCCTTGTCAGAAAAGATGGGCCGGAACTGGTTCCTATGTGACCCTTTCGCTATATAGAATGATGGTGTGTCTCTACATTATCCAAGAAGGGGACTAACGATTAGTATTGGGGACGTATGGTTTCAAGGCCAAAACTATAGCTTGAGCTTCCTTACGTTCTGCGACGCTGCGCTCGCCTTTGCTGAGTCATTCTATGACGAAGATCCTTTCCATTGAGTAGACGCTGCTTGAAGTTATCGAACTCATTGTTCAATGGTAGCGCTTGGGCCGACGTTTGATGGTCGGAAGTAAAAATGCGGAGAGCTACTCTGAAACGGCCTTCTTCAGAGGCTGCGTTCCTTCCCAACACCTTACTAGCTTCCCTTAGGTAGTCCCGAAGCATTTTATTGTAGTTCTCGTTCCACGCAACGTTTCGAATTAATCGAAGATTATTAACCGGGCCTAACGTCTCGAGGTTCCTTGAGTAGTCATTGCCTGCGATGGCACAGAATAACACCAGATGCGCGTGTGATGGCAGTCTTAGTGCTTGGATAACGTTGTCTACATCGTAAACCCCAAACTTCCGTCTACGGCGCGGAAGGGGTCCCACTAGGAAGCAGACTCATTCGTACGCAAAAAAATCAGAGTCTTGGGACATCACGATCCTATCATTCTCCTCATTATGGCACCCTATGCATGGGTCCGCTTCATATGCACACAGACAGACATCGAAGACAGAGTTAAGGCCTGTTGCCAGCTGATCCTTGTCCTGGATTGTGGAGTGGCCGCCAAAATAAAGTTTGTTTGGAAGCACCAATGGAAAACGCTTGTGTTTTGAACAAAAAAAGACGCCACGATGTAAAATGTGTTTATACATGTACAGAAACCAAAGAGATGCTTCAGCTGCTTATTCGTGCACACAGTGATTGACGAACAAAAAAGGAAACAAGATTTGCGAAACAATAAAAAAAAAGCCCGCGATGAAAGAAGGCATGTGCAGACAACAAATAAACACAGCAACTGTTTGCTCGCATACATTTTTTTTTCACCGTTGTGTCTGTATCTCTTCTAAGCTTTCTGTCTGGCTGTTTAACACAAGGAACCCTCAGAAAGAGAAATACCTCGCATGATTGGTGCCAGGTCTGAAAACAACAATAATGCAATGCTGTACGTGGAAGATAGGGTCTAGAAACTATACCATTGTTATGCGGACTCACCGAAATCAACTCGTGATCACAACTGCTACTCATGCCCTCTTGCCAAGGACTTGAACAGGCATATCAACCCCTTCTTCCTTGCTCTCATAACCGCTCACATCCTTTCGATGCATTCTTTCGCCGTTTATGTCCACTACATCTGAACCACACACAGTTCACCACTCACTCCAACAGAGATATTTGTATCACCTTGGGTATGATATGTTGCTGTGGCTCCCTCTGGTTTCAACAGGCCCAACAAACTCTACTAGCAGTGTTTACCAACCCAGATACATCAAGGGAACGCAAGAAGACGAGCAAGTAAATGATGTGACAAATCAAGTCTTGCCGAGCAAGCTCTAAGGTGCGGTAGAATGAATCAACTCAGTTTTCGGTCATTTATTTCGACATCGAAATAAAATTTCAAGACAATGCCCATGAATTGCTGGATTTTAAGCCCATTTATAATGGCAAATTTGCCAGGTTGACGGTTTAAGGGATAGTCTAAACTCTTTTATTAAAATCTATTCCATGTGGGGTCTAAACACCGCCTCCGCACAATAAAGCCAAAGCATGAATGGCATCCATTTGATCAGAAGCAAGGTTCTCGCTATTGGGTATTAGGATCTCAGGCTCTACTTGAGATTCAGGATTTGATACCGTTCTTGAGGAAGACACAGTGGGTGAGGCGTCATCTGTGGAAACGAGGGCTGTGGTTGGTTTCTGGGTAGATCCTTGATCCTCATGACGACCTATCTGTGATGTATTCTGTAAATCGCGATTTGTCTGGAAGTTGCCTATGTGCGAAGATGCTGTAGCTGGTATCACTGTGGTCAAAGTATTCTGGTGCTGATCAGGTTGTTGCGATTGGAGTGCAAGGACAGCAGAATTGATAGCATTCTGTAATGGTGCCATATATCTCCTGGCGGAATCTTCTTCATACGATGCCGACTGAGACAATGCACCTCTAATATGATTGCCTATTTCTTCGATTGGTAAAAGTCCAGTAGTAGTAGCTGCAAGAGGAGGGGAGTTTTTTGGAGTTGGTTGATGATAGGAAGAAAATCGTCTTCCCGTTGTGTTGTATGCCGTCGCTCGATGATCAAGGGGTAGAAGATTGCCTCCAGATGCCGTGGTGGACAGAGATGATCCAGGAGACGCTATAATAGCCACATTTACTTTGCCGTTTGTTGCTGTTTGACCATCCGAATTAGCAGGGACGGTAGACCCGATCTTGTATTGATTTTTAGGGACAGTATCTGTCGCAATTGAATAACGTCGGAAGGAGAAGTTGAGTAGCCGTTTTGAGCCAATGGCCTTCCAATCCTCATCCTCTGTCACAGAAGGACTATCGGTGGCATCATCTCCGACTTTTGAAGGTGGATTAGTTGCAGAGCCACTTCCTGGCGTTCCTGTGCCTTCGTTAACCACTATGATAGGCTGTGCTGTTTGCGTTACCATTTGCCACCTTCCTCGGCCCATTGCCTTGAATAAAGGGTTTGATTCCAATGCGGCTGTCAAATCTTTCTGCCATGTATTATCCGGAGCGTCCCGATAAATTGGATAATTGTCATGGACCCACGCAAAAATTTCACGGATGGTTTTTTGCTTAGGTGAAGCCTCAAACATGTGGACTAGCAAATTATACCATGCCTTCATGGACATGCTGCACTCATCCTGAAGGGCCGCAGGTGGTGATCGTGTCCTGGGACGACTTCCATGTTCACCAGAAGCCTTGCGCTTCAACTTGCGAGATTGAGTTCCAGAGTGTTCTTGCTTAAAACGCTGGATCTCTTCGATTGATAAAGTTGGTGAATCCTCATCCATCAGGTCCAAGTGCTTGTCGACATATCGTATCCTAGTACTGGGTCCATCTTCGTGAGCCTCATGCCGGTTAGGATGGTCAGTATACAGACTTCGGTAATTGTAATGAGATTCTGTATCGCCTTCGCCATGATCTTGATCTGGAATTTCTTGTTCTTCATCCTCGAACTCCTCCTCGTCTTCTTCACCAGAAATATTGCTCTCTCTGCGGTTTTCCTGTGACTTGAGGCTTTCTAAATGGACAAGGGCTCGCCGCGGAATGAATGTCCATGTACTTCTGCCGTTCTGTCGAAAGCATTCATATGAAGACAAGGTCGTCTTGACACTAGTTTGCATTGTGTGAGTATCGTGACGGTAATAAGGATAGGCCTGCATGATCCAGGCATAAAGTTCTGACTCTCGGTAGGTAAGAGTCTGTTCAAAGTTGCTTTTGAAGGCATTAACAAGAATAAGGAACCAAGACTCATTTGGTTTGGAATGTTGGGTTCGCGACAGCTTCCGCCGAGAGACTGAAGGCGACACAGGCCCGGAAGAGGTTTTAGTAGAAGGGCTCAATGGTGGTGTGGACATTGAGTAACCCGTGTTATTGCAGCAAAGTGTGTAGTGATGTTGGAAAACTCAAGAGAAGAAAAAAAAGTGAGAAGAAAAAAGAGTGAGAAGACAGAAGCAATATAAGTAATAGGAAACAAATGAACAGAAGGAAATGCAAATGAATGAATACTCAGGAATGTTTAAATGAAGGAGTGAAGAGAATTTTAGAAGGGAGCTAGATGTCAAGACATTCGGTTCACGAACAAAGTGAATACTAAAACTAAAGAGTGGAGAAGGCGAAAAGTGGGAAGAGTGGGGAGTGTAATAAGAATGAGGGGATGAGATTGGCGATAACGATGGTAACAAGAAAGAAAGAGAGGGATAGAATTTGTGAGCATAAAAGAAGGCAATGCAAGTTGAGAAAATCAAAGGCTGTTTGAAAAAGCGACATTTGCAAGGAAGGAAGGTGTGAATTTTGTTTACCAAAGCCACACTGCTTATCTGTCTGTCAAGTGGAGGGAGGTGGCGGATTACAACATCCAAGTCTCATGCTTTTGATCCAAGATCGTGATACGCTATTGCGCGCGAGAGTGATTCTATGTGTGTGTGCTCAAGGATCAATTACTACTCACCTGGCTGGTGTGTGGATCCAAACGACGACTTTGACTACAAGATACTATTATAATGAGAACAGCTGAGAGAGAAAACCTCACCAGGTCCAGTACGTCAATAACCTAATCTATTTAGACTATACACTAAGATTTGAACAAATGCATCCCTGCCCTGTTGGATGGTTACAGTTCAACATAGAGCTTTCCATGGTCCAATAACACAGGTAAAGCAAATAAATAGGCAAGACATCTCTTGCGTCTCCAGAGGTCTTTATGTGAACTAATTTTTTACTCTAACTCAACTCCTAGACTCTCCAACGATACATAGGTCCTCATCTGAGAGCTCTACCTCTGCGATGAGCGTTGAAACAAACGTTCTCTCTGCCTGTAAACGACCCATCTGAATAGGGATGTCATCACTAGAAAATTGCAAAAGCGTTGGTGCAAAAACCATAGCTAGATTTGAAAGGCTCATCTTGGTAGCTTCTCGAATCTTTGGTTGATTGAATGTCTTTTTTTCGATAGGGATAGGTGACAACTCAATCAAGTTAGAGAAGACACATGTAAAGTAATAAGAGGCATTAACAGGGATGGCAAAACACGATTAATATTTACCTTTAAGAACGCCACGAGATAGATGAGTGTCTCCTTATGCCAAAGTGGAAGATCATCGATCAGCTTGGCAATCGCATCTTTATCTTGTGCTGCATCGATGAATCGTTGATACATATCATAAGGGATGATGGGTTCTGGTAGGTCACGGATCCAGAGTCGCAGCAATGAACAGGGTACATGTGGATCTGCAATTCCTGATAGATCATAGTTTCCGAGCTCTATCCGTGCTTTCTGTTTTGCAAGAAAAATAAACACACACAGACAAAAAAAAAAAAAAAAAAAAACACGCTAAATCACTGTGTACGACGAAATATAATCGCAGACATACAGGGCACGGACCAATGGGTTTCGTGCGTGACAAAAATCTGTAAATAGACATACCAGTTCGGCAACGGCGCCTAAATCGCCAGAGATACGAAATATGCCTTCTGTCTTCAGGCCATCCAAATTTAATACACTTTCTTTCAGAAACACCATCAGTCGAGGGACGCGCCATGCCGCCCATTCACCTCCTGCTGCCATTTGGCGGCCCATAAGACGCTCTAATGTCGCCTCAAACACGCTTGGCTTGAATGCAGCCTCTTGGGCTCGTGCAATTTCGACTACAGTAAGTTGCTTTGCCCGTGAGCCCCGTTTACTGATCCGGCGAAGTAGATCAAGACAGTGTCGAGCCATTACCGGGATGGGATGCAGAGATACAGTTGCATGCTGGTTGAGGAATGAAGCCAGGTAGGTATGTAAATCCTTGGATGGAGCGAATGTTATAAGGATTATTGTGAACAAATGCCAGCCCTTGATGCTTCCCTCTCTAGAATTAAACAGTATGGAAAACACTTATGAGTACTAATTCCTGTAGTAGTTATAGCGTCAACATGTGAGATAGAATTTAACTAACCTGCTTGGATTCTGTGTCAGTTGCTTGCATAGTTGAACATAAATTTCGTCACGAAGCTCACCGTGATCTTGACCCTTCTTGATTAGCTCTAGTACTAACTTGATGTCCTCTTCAGATTGGATTGACAAGTCAACGCACGTCTCGCCTAACTCTACGCCTGTGGGCCCTGCATATCCGTTCCCTTTTCGCTCGCCCATCAATTTTTGGATGATTTTGAAGCATCTAAGAGCATCCTTCTGAACTCCACGCTTATTGAGTACCATTAACGGCTGGCTAAGTGGACTTTTCTGATGAAGTAACATCTTCTCCATAGGCACTTTTCGCCGGAATAGACCCTTTTTATGTGTTGAGAAATATTTTTCCGCAAAGCCTGCTATACGAAATTGAGAAATGGATGACTGAAGCTCTGCAGGGAGTGCAGGGTGCGTACCAAGAGGGAAGGTACCGCCTCCAGTCGGTTGTGAATAAGCTTGTACAACATGACTACCCTCTTTTGACGCTGATTCAGAGGAAGTCGGCGGAGGACTACCTGACATTTTACGGAGGGCCTCTTGCTGTTGCTCAATGATCATAGGTGACATCTTCCTTGCTGCCTCATCGTTTGCCACTGGTGCTCCGATACCAATTTTTCTGGCACGCTCTGCAATCTGAAGGCTTTTGCGTGCTGGTTGAAATAGTGTGTCATTGGATATCCCCAAAACACTCAATTTCTTGGATTCAGTAGATGTTAGAGGGTGAGATGTTGAAAGTGGAGGTGCATTGCTCGAAACAGACTGCGGACGAGGCGGAATGGGTATTGGCTGCCCATATGATGACGTTGAATTCCTGTATAAAGTCATGGATGCTGCTTTTTGGAACGATGACATTATTGAATTGGTGGAAATGCTTTGAGACAGCTGTTGTGCTTGTGAGCTATAGGGTCTTGATTTTTTTCGACTAGCACTTTTGATAATAGGTCCCGTCGTCGATGATAATGATAGCATTGGCTTCAATTCTAACGTCTGTGTGTTTTGAAAAAGCGTTGGCGAACTGCCGCTTCTTGCGCTCTGGGATGATGCAATGATCGAGAAGTTTTTCGGTTTGTCAGCGGTTACGCCCAAGGAATTGGCTGCTATACAAGTTTGAGATTCAGAATCCATGATATTTGGAAATGCATTTATGGTTGGGGTCCCTACAACTGATGATACTCGGTGTCCTTCGACACCATTGATAGCATTAGTTGCTTCTTCCGGTGGTCCTTGTCCACCTCCGCCTGTGATATGAAGGGAAAGCTGCTGTCCGATGATAGATTTCTACAGTAATAAGATAAATCCATCAACACAAAAGTCATAAGTCGTGGCTTCGGCTGGGCAGCTGTTTTCTGTTATTATCATATGGGGTAATTAAAAAAGGGGTGGTAGATCCAACACAAGCGTGTATAAAGCTGCTTGCCTGAATTGCAGTCAACGAGATGACATTAATGCTATCATGCGGACGTTCCCATTCTGTTTGGCCTGTCTTTGTATTGTAGTAATAAGGTAGATTATGAATATCATCAAAGAGCTCCCACCATTCGCCTGCGGGGTCCTGTCGCTGGCTAGAAGTATATAAATAAAATAAGTTAAAAAAAAGAAAAAGGCACATGAGCGCCGGCTTACTTGGTTTTTCATAGCTTGGAATATCTTCCTAGGGGTCTTTGAGGAACGATGGAGGATATCTTACTTACATTACAGCACCTTCTGGAAGAGACCAGTCGCACTCCCCGCTTGTCTTTGACACATGTAAATGGGTATTAGGATTTATAGTACGAGCGTCACCAGAGAGTAGGAATCAGTTTAGAAATATTAGTTGGTCAGTCAATGATGACTTGTTATTCCAAGTGACCGGACAAGTTACATAACACAATGTTGCATCGCATTCATCATTATTCGATTCAACTTGATCATTTACCAGATTTGCATAGAATGTATTGCGAGACTCGGGGTCAGTAATCTCGACCCAAACAGAATTTGATATAGCCAATGTCATATCCCTTGGATTTTATTAAGCAGTTGTGTGCGAGTATTGCCTTTGAAAAATAGAAAATATAATGGTTGTAAGACAGTTCTAGGTCAAAATATCAAGTACTAAGAATAAGATCAACAGTAAAATCGAATGAGGGGTTGGAGGGTCGACCAGAAGATAAGTTTGGCTGGATAGTTTTTTAATATCGTAGAAGGAAAGAGCTGGTTCTGCACAAAGTCGCTTACTTCTTTTTCTTTCAGATACCAACAAGATGAAAGCAATAAAGATGATGGAAAGGCAATGAAAAAGGAAAAGGTGAAGACATCGAAGACGAACACTTGGTTGTAGTAATAGAAAGAAGCGAGTAAAAAAAAAAAAAAAAAAAAGGAGAACGAGTTGATGACTTGGGAGAGCATTGAGCAACAAATTCGGAAATAGTTAAAAAGGAGTGACCAAGAGCTTTTTTGATCAGATGGGTCTGCGCCCAAAAGAGAGGTTAGCAATGATGCAGGGGGGAGGAAAGCTTTTCGTAGTATCCGTTTCGTTGAAATACACGGAGCCACTCTCCTGCTTCTGCCTGCATGAATTTGCGCACATGGTTATGGGAGTTGATGCAACTTCTCAAAAAACCGAGGATAGAGTCGCCTTCCAGATAAATAATTCAGTTCTCAATGATCCGTCGAAAGTATCAATACTAGGACTGGTAATACAATCAACTTACAACCTTTCAAGGGGTTTTTTTTTCGCGCCCTATGAGCCTGTTAAAGATTTGAACTTAGCCGTCTCTACTGATCTGAGCCAAACATACCTGGACTATGTTTCTGGTACAGGGATGTCGCAATCGAAATATGTCTAGTGGGTGTAATAGCAGTGAGACTAGTTTGTATCCTGAAGAGATGAGTTACTGTTATTGCGTGGAAACTTAGTGCTAATGTAATGCTCATGGTAACCAACTGTCAGATATTCCAATGGCTGTGTCCAAAGAATAATAAAGCTCTGGCATATGCGAGGTATAAACACAAGATTATCAGCAGTTTACATATGTTCTCTCGGTCTTCGCAAAAACCGAATATGGCCTCGATACCATAGCCATGTATCGCTTATTGCTTTGCGCATGTCCTCTGTCATTTCAAGATAACATTCTAACGTCTGACACGTTTGTCTTTTCCATGAGTTCTTCATTCAAACTTTTCCTACGCGAAGGATCAAATTCTCCTATGGCGGAGGAACTGGTGGTGGTGGTTGTCTGCGTACTATCTTTGAATATTGCTAATCAACAATATCGTCGGGTCTGCAGGGCTTTGGGCTTTTCGCTAGCAAGCAATACACCGTAGATTCGCCATACCTATCCAGAGGCATATGGCTAAACGCAGATCTTCCTTGACCGAGCTGTGCTGTCCTTGAATAGACGACTGATTAACATGGAGCAAAAGTCATAAAGTAAGAAATTACAGTAATAATAAAATATAATAGTTGTTGTTATACAGTTGAATACATAAAACATTGGTAATGAATAAAGACTTGTGTCAAGTGGCAGAGCTGCTGGAACTACAAACTATGCTTGTATATATTTTGTGTCTTGCAACACGTGTGCAGATCACACAGCCCGACTCCGACTTTGCCATGTGGAGATAACAGCCACCCAATAAATGCAAACCACAGTAAACAAAACCTGCAATCTTAGCCAACTACAATAATTGTAACTTTTAAAAAGCAATGAAAGGGATCTCAACGCATTGCATGATTTACAGGATCTCATTACAACAAGGTAAACCACTGGATGGAAGTATTAACTTCTAAAATTCGATATCATTACAATCTTTGGTTTTGATATTTACTTTCTGTTTTATTAACATCCTTACTTTCAGGAGTACACCAATGTCTTCAACGCCAGGCTCCTGCTTTCTCCACATTGAGTCCAACATACATGGGCGCAGGAAAGCAGGAAACTGAGGGAAGTTCACTCAAGGCTATGAAAGCACAAAATCAAGAGAACAACGATACGTTGGAGAACCAGCGAGATATATCCTCACCAACCAATAATAGCACACCTTTGCCGATTACTACTGAAGATCTAGTCAAGAAGTTCAAATTAAAGCCATCTGCTGAGGTGGGAATCCGCGCGAGAAAGCTGGAGAGGGAAAGGAAACAAGCAGAGGAAGAGGCTGCGAGGAAATCAAGAGAAGCTGAAATACGCACAGGTACTGAAAGGATCAATCGACTGTTCGAGAAGCTTCAGATGGGTGAAGATTTCAGGATGACAACACCGGCAAGGACGACACCGTTGACTACGGAAGCAGATCCTGGCGCAACTGAAATAACTAAGGCTTCAATTTCTAAGTCTTGGAAATTTTTATTTGATGAGGATGACTTGGGTGAAAGGAAAGCCAAGGAAGGCGATAGTAATGGAGATAGAGAGGAGGTTTTGGATAAGATCCCAGGAGCCTCAACCTTATTCCCTGCACTTTCAGAATATCGATCGCCATCAAGTGCAGCTTCATCAGCGAAGCCATCGTCAGCCTTAACCTTTGACAGCCGCCATACGCTCTCCGATCGCTGGAAGGATCCAAAGATGAAAAGCTCAGAAAGGGACGCCTTCAAGGCGTTATTCTCATCGCTCTTTGAACAAAAGAAGCCACAGAAACCAGAAATTAGCGTTGGAGGAAAGGTACAGTCACTCTTCTCCAACTTCAATCGTACAGGTCATGAAGGGATTGCAGATAGTCAACAAGGTAGTGAATCAACATCTTCAGCGGTCCCTAGCGACAGCACAGCAGGCCATCCTCCAACGGCGCCAGATTCAACTGTATCGAATACAAAAGCAAAGAATGACCCAATGTTAGTGCTTCAGCGTCAATTTGAAAATCTTTCGAAGAGAGTGGAGCCGATTTACTTGGACGTAAAGCCAAGCACATCCAGTTTTCAGGTTATGCAAAACACCGTTGGTCCCCATGACTGGCTGAGTCGAGATCAGACTTCAGCTCAAGAAAACACCATCTTCAATGCCATTCGTGAAGAGAACAAAGTTGCAATTAGGATGAAAAAGGAGCTGGACGATAAAAGTGGGGATATTATCAAAGTTCAGGAATTCGTGGACGAGCTTATCTTGCCATTTTTAGAGTCTTCATCAGAAAAATCATCAGAGGTTGTAAGGCCCTCGAGCGTTAGCTTGGATAGTCTTCTCTCACGAGCTATTTTAACGGCCTCTTCCACACGCTTGGCAGATAGCGAAGGCCAGAGATCATTGCATCCATTCTTAGGCAGCGCTCTTGTAGAACATACCCGTAGACAAGGCCTTCCTGTATTTATTCGCACAGTCCGCACAGAATCATACAAAGCTCTTCTTAAGTCCCGCTGGGATGCGTGGAATGATGGAGCAGGATGTCTTGAGATTTTGAAGCAGATGCAACGTAGTGGAGCTTTAGTTGACGGTGACACGCTCAGTCTTGTTCGGAGTATCCGAAAGGAGCTTAAAACTCGTTCTTTGAATTCTTCGTCCCCAGGCCAGATCACATCCAAGGAACAGCTACGTCAATATGGTTGGGGAGACGAGGAGCAACTCGAACCAGTCTTGGAGATGTTGAATGTTATCAAAGCGGCCTTTGAGGATGGTGATAATGATCATACCATTAAGCATTGGGCGAGGAGAGCTGGCCCAAGAGCTTCCAATCTCATATCATGAAGATACCGTTTCGAATGTAATAAAAGCCACCTTATATTTCTGAAACGTGTCAACGCATGAAAGTGGGACAGAGACTGACATCTGTTCCATCTTTGCTCTCTACTTCCACATCACTTCATTCCTTCAGATTCACGCATCACTTTGTACATCATGGACGAAAATACACTCTTTGCCATTCGCAATCTTTTCTACTCTGGTATGCTTTGTAGGATCATTAAGAACACAACCATGCGCTCATCCTACGCGTTACTTTTTTTTTTTTTTTTCTAGTCCAGTTATTCCATCCTAATACACCATTTGCGAACTCTTTTTCTTCATTCTAGGAAACTATAACCAGGTTATTGCCGACACCACCTCATCAAGGACGCGTGCTTCAGCTAATCAAGTCACCATTCATCAACTGGACCTTTTCCTCTATCGTTCACTTATCGCCATCAAAGATTATAACCGTGTTGCTCAGGAGATCACTGAGTCTCATGCATTGGGTCTTCAGGCTTTGAAAGCTCAAGCTGTATATTTAGACGCTGTGCAGTCTGCAGATGCTACGGGGCGTGATGCTGCACTGTCACACCTCAGAGAACTTCTCCTTATCCACTCACCAGAGGATTCACAGCCAGAAGTTACGGCATTGGAAGTTAAAGTAGTGGTAGGTCAGGTCTTGGGTGCCGAGGGTCTGGTTGAGGAAGCATTGACTGTTCTCTTGCCGCATAACAACCATCTAGAGAGGTATGTGATGTTCAACATCAAGTTTATATAATATATAAATATGATAAAAAAATAAAAAAAAAAGTAAAGAGAAAAAAAAAACTAATGCCTTATTATTTTTAGCGTGGCAGTCGTTGTTCAGATTTATCTCCAGATGAATCGTCTGGATCTAGCTAAAAAGGAAGTTGAGGCTTGCAAGTCCTGGGCTGAGGATGCTATGTTGGCTCAGTTGATGGAGGCATGGGTCGGGCTTCGTGTTGGAGGAGGAGAGCGTTACCAGAATGCATATTATATCTATGAAGAAATCGCTACTTCAAGCACATCGCCAACAGTCAAGTCATTGGTTGGTGAAGCGGTCTGTAACATTCAAATGGGTCAATATCCAGAGGCTGAAGGGATCTTACAGGAGGCATTGGCTAAGGAACCCACCAACACAGATGCAATTGTGAACCAAATCGTCCTCTCAACCCTGCTGAACAAGCCCATTGAGGAAATTAACAGCCTTGTCCAGTAAGTTCCACAAAATTTAATTTCAATGTGTACTATACAGTTCAATGGCTAGATAAGCTTATTTTTTATTTTTATGCTTTGAAATAGACAATTACAGAGCGTAGCACCTAATCACAGCTACCTACAAGATCTAGACCTAAAGTCAAGTCTGTTCGACCGTGCTGCCCAACGCTTTGCTGTCGCTTGAAGTGTAGTCTAGATTCGATTATATTCGTACAATAGAATGGCATTGAAGACAGTTCATAATGATTTATTACACAAATATTTACAAGCAAGCTATGGCACTGAAAAAGTACAAATATCTTTTTTCTTTTTTTTTTTTGAGGTTATATGTACAGATGGATAAAATGAATGATTACACAAAGTCAAGTGCTGATAAGGTATGCCACATTGGCTATATCCTAGAAATGCAGTGACTCAGTTGGTGAAGCTGCAAAGTACCGGAAGGAAACGTTGCATTCGTCGTTTGTCGTCATCGCAGAACTTGACGTTGTCTCCAAAGAGACGCACCTCGCGTAGTCGAGATCGATCAGCGACGACCTTAAAGCATCGAACCAAGTTCTATAAGAAAATAAAAGTGATTAGATAATTGCGCGATCACAATCAAGATCTTGGTTTCAGCTCATCCTGTTTACCTGGCCATTGCCCTTCACAGGTGCTCGAAGGACTTGAAGACGGTCACAAGAAGTGAGCACACGTTCCAACTCGTCGCATCCCAAAAGATCTCTCCAGCCAAACCAGAGTCGGACCAACTGTGGTCCGAGCTTTGGAAGGACAGTATTGAAAAACAAATCCTTGCTGTGGAAGTCGGTCCAGCGCTCCACATGCAATTCCTGGATCTGACGAGCACGTTCCAAAAAGCTCTGCCAGAACTCAGCAGTGTTATTGTTTCTGGGTGCCGACTTGCCAGTAGATGTCAGCTTGGGGCATAGGGCTAGAGCCTTGAGGATTAACTGCGAGTCAACAACACCCATGTCAAAAAATTTAAGATTCTGAGGTGGATGCTCCAAAACTGCCGATGTATATTCGTCTGGACAGTTGCGAAGGTAAATTGACGTAAGCCTTGGGTTGCGTTCGACCAACTTCTCAAGGGAGGTGGTTGTGATGACCTCAGGACAGATATCGAGGTTGATCAAAGAGCAGCAGTACTGGGCCAGAACCCGTGTAAAATCATAAGCGGGCTGGGCGTGCAAGGCATGATGCAAATGAAGGCTAGTCAGTTGGACCAAGTTAGGAGCCAGCATAACGCTTGTCTTGAGGTCTGGTGGCGCCACAAACGAAATACTAAGGTCTGTAAGGTGTCGCGAGATCGTTCTAATATTTGTCCAGTCAGCGCGTGTGGTGACTAGCTTCTGGAGGCGGGTGCATGCGCTGATGCAGTTCAAAGCAGCATCTGCATAGGCAGCGTCATCCTTATCGGTCGAATTGATGGACACACTAGTCAGGTCAAGTTCATGGATATGTGACATACCCTTTGCAATGGTCGGGTTAAACGAACGGAAAGCTTCAGCTTCGAATGGCTCCATCAAATGGCCTTGCTCGCCTGAACGAAAGCACAGAGCAAGGGAGGAAAGACGTGGGCAATATTCAAACAGCCTATCGAGCGAAGGGTAAATGTCCCAGAGCTCGACTTTGCAGCGAGAAAGCGAGCGCACATAGATACCACGATTGGTGGTGCTTAGAGTGCGGACAAATGCATTTATCTTTGCCTCGGATCCTCGGCCATGACGAATGTAAGGAGCACGATAAAGAAAGACATTCGCATCAAAGAACCATGTCCAGTTGACCAAGGTACAGGCACGCAATGTGGATTGGACCAGCTGTGGGCAAAGGTCAGCTTGAGCTTCAAGACAAGCAAGAATCTCGAAGACGATTTCGGGCAAAGCAAGTGCACGTTTTGTAGCACTTGCCTCTTGTGACTGCATCAAAGTCATACTAAGTTTTTTTTCATGCAAAAAAATTACGTCTGAGTTTAATGCAGGATCGAGCAAGGCTTGCCTCTTTGGGCGAATGTTCCTCGTGACACTACACAAATATGAACGAACCCATTTTTACCTGGTATCGGCTAGAGCCAAATTCGTCGGCGATGTTTCGTTTGATTTCACAACAGGAAAAATACGAAATAAAACTGACGAAACCGATAGAGATCCAAAAAAACGATAAAAAGGGGGATGAGGAGGCCTTTTGTGGGCTGTCGCTTTGTTCAAAATTTGGTAAAAGTGGTAAGGTAGAACAAATGGGCGAAAGGGTATCAATCACTCGGAGAAAAGGTAGAGTGAAATATTTGAATTGACTACGTTTGGAGAATGTTCAGAAGCTAGTGGGAGGACTTGGTTGTGTTTATGGAGAGATTCTGTAACAAACTCCAAACTCACTGGCAGAGCATTTTTGAAACTTTGGAAAGATGATGGAGGTAGATGGAGGGTCAATAAAGGCAACAACGCGGCCACTTTTTCGAGGAAGGAGAAAAAAAAAAAAAAAAAAAAAGCTGTCGTAGGATGGATAGATTAAGACCAACACTAAGGGAGACGACAAGCAATCCTAAACGAGTATCTTGAGTATCTTGGGTATCTCAAATGTTAAGACCAACTTGAAGAGCCGAATACAAAGCTGTCAAGGAATCAAGGAGTTTTCTTGCGGACGACTGTAGGACAGTATGAAAAGAGAGTGCAAATAGTGCAGATGGGGATGGGGCTAAGGAGAGGCGAGGAGTGGATTAAAGATTATCAAAAGAGAAGAAAAAAGGTGAAGAATAAAAAAGAAAGATGAGAGTGTCCCAGGCGACGCCTTTTTATGCATTGCTTGGTCGTATGTTTCGGTTGTCGCGTGTGGTGTGTACATGAGAAAAAAAAAACTTGCCAAAAATGTGGGGTAGAAATTGTATTTCGCCAAAAGCAAAATGAATTGCTTGGCTTGTCCATCACACACCCCTTATTCAGATAACCTTTTCTTTTAACACTAAACAGTCAGATATGTTTGAGACATGGATGGCAAGCCTATAAGAATAACCCTTCAAAGTGTTCAAGAAAATGAAATAAAAAAAGGCTGCTATTTGAAAACAGTAATCAAAACATCAAGGCAGGATATTTCTTTTTTCCACAATCCAATGAATGGTATTGCATTTATACGAGCGACCGGTTAATTTAAGCTCTTGGCACACACTTTCTTAATGTCTGTATCACTGATGTTGAGGAATGGAGATAGGATAGGAGAGAAGGAATGAAGGAGAAAGAGAGATGGAAAGAGCAATCGTAAACCGGGCAATTGGAAGAGGCAGGCAAGAAAAGGAGGCCACAAGCAACGCAAAGGGTGTCTTCAAACACATCCCTTTTGGTGTCGTGCACCAAACCGAAGGGCAGCAAAACATAATTGTGATATGTTTTTTTTCTCACATTTTTCCACTGGCATATGTCATGAAATCCCCCTTCGTTAGCTTCTCTTTTGTGATGAAAGGAGTAACAACACCACAAGCGGGTACATACAAACGGTAGATGCTTGAATATGCCGGACGCTGCATAATATTTAATATGCAACTCCACTTTTTTTTTTTCCCATTCGCAGACCAGACCAATAGACTAGACCAGACTAAGATGATGCGAATGGTGTATCGATATTGTGTGTTCGTTTAGAATATTTTCCAATTGGGGTCTGTGCCCTTCCATTTTGTCACCTGTCAAATTTGTACGACCAATGCAAAAAACAAGAAAAAGAGCCAGGACAGAAACAGGCGTACATAAACCATCGGTTTCGAACCTCGAGTTAGGTGAGTCGATGCGGCTCTCACGCTCCAAACATGCCAAATAATTGATTTCCTTGGTATTACCTTTTGCGTTCATCAATTTTTCAAAAAAAAAAAAAAGAATATATTGCTTTTTTTTTTTTTTTTTTTTTTTTTTTTTTTTTTTACAAAGTAAAAGATATAGTGATACAATGCGCCCATCCGAACTGTGATCAGATGAAGTAATTGTCCCTTTCGCGATATTCGAGAACGCATTTGACCAAAAAAGGAATTCCTTGAACTCCGATACCATCCGACAAGCATCGCATTTTTGAATAATCTAAAATTATGGAAGTGGCTGGATAACAACTTGTAAGTCCTGCTGGTCACGGCTTGGGTGTTTCGCTACTTGTCCAAGGTCCTGTTGCTGACGCACTATCGTTTCATTTTTAAATAACGTTCCTGTACCGGCAACGTTACCTAAAGGAACTGTAACATTGGCAAACACGCGTGGGTCTCCCATCTGCCGTGCCAATATCACTTTCTCTTGCATTGACATAATACTCTCCTTCATCATCAATCTGTTGAGATACAGTTGTTCTCGTTGGCGTTCAAGATCTTTCTTCTCAGTGTCAAGTATTGTTTCCAGCTCTTCAAACTGCTGAAGTTTAAGCTCCAATTTCTTGAGCTGCATCTCAACTACAACAGTTACCAACCTCTGGATTTCGCGTTCTTCGTAATCCGCCAGTGCTTTTGCTTTCGCCGCAGCAGAGCCTAATGCTGCTGCTGCAGCCTTCTCCAGTATCGAGTGCGGTATACCTTCAATATCGTTTGCTTTGGCCTCTTTCAAACTAGCATTTGTGTCCGACATATCAATGTCTTCTTTTGAGCGGTCAGTATTAGTGTCCTCCTCTCTTGATGACTTGTCCATGTCCATGGAGCTTTCAGGAATCGCTTGAGTAGCTTCATATTCAGTCAAAGTTTTCACATCATTCTTTGCTAATGCAAGGGTCTTCAAAGCACTCTGTGCTGCTGCTACAGCTACTCCAGGGTTAACGACACTTGCGAGGAAGGCAACCACACTCATAACAGGATTCTCAGATTCGCTGAACGGTAGCTTTTGAGAGCGACGTGATCCCAGCTGATCCTGCGCAGGACTCTCCAAATAAGGGTCTTCAATAGGCAGCTGTAAAAAGTGCAAGATACATTGCTCACGACCTCGAGTCCCAACATGGTCTGCAATAATGTTCCAATCTTCACCGTACATCTCCAAGCCTTCTAATAAAAGTAAGGTTTCCTGATCTGTCCATGGCTCATCTGCTGAATGATGTTGTGACTGGAATCTGATAAAGTCACCTGAAGCCATAGTGGAAGGAAATCGACCTTGTGTGAAACAGTTGGAGCAGAGCTCAAAATTTTTGGTTTTGATACTATGGTATCGATTCTTGCTACAGTCTACACCGCAGGTGAAGCAGTTGAACCGATGCTTTTTTTCTGCATTTTCATCATTATCTTTTGAGCTTAGCTCCGGTCTGCTAGTGTAAATGTTGCGGCGAAGAGCTAAATTTGGATCCAGTTTAGTCGTCCCTGTATGTTCATTATTTGATTTAATATCCACTGTTTCTGCTGTTTCTGAAGGCATAACCCTAGACTGAAATGGCTGTAAGCCTTTTGGTGTGTCGGCAGCGATGCGGAAGTGACCAGTGAAGGAAGGTCCAACTGTCGAAGGACGGGTATCGGGATCAGTCTAGAGACGATAAAAAGAATGGGTAAGCCACGATATGTCTTCCTGCTGCCCCCCTTTTTTTTCATTTGAGATAAAAGTAATAGTTGCTGTTAATACCTGGTAATTGATCAACCCCCACTGCTCCAAAAACGCATGTACTCTGATAATTGCGCAAACATCACCAGCCAGATTTCTTCTACAAGCAGTGACAGTCAGGTATTCTGAGGGGTTCAAGCGGTACGTATTCACCATGAAATCTCGATAATCCTTATAAACCGTTGGTGTCTTACTCCTGTTTTTGAAATTGAAGAACTCCGGTAATGACTTTTGTTCGATCTCATGGATCTTAGAAAGCGAGAACCAGGCAGCATAGGAAGGAATGATGACTTCTTGAGATTGTGGCGAGAGATATTGACGAGCTTCTTCCTCGAGTCGCGAACGCTCCGCATCCACTTGATTTGCATTCCCAACATCCTCGGTAGCCCCACCTCCCTCTACTATAGCAGGATTTGCTTCACCTTTATCCTCTTTCCCCATTTGATCTAAATCCATCTGCAAGCTCACTGTCTCAACAGCCTCAGCATTCTTTGGGGAAACTGAGCGAGATGGCAGGATATTCTCATCTATTGTAGGGATATTAGCTAAATCGCCCCCAATGATAGGTTCATACTCATTCTTTTTTGATCCACGTCCTCGGGGCGCATTCTCTTCCAAGGAGACAACTTGAAGCCCTGGGTAATCGGGTTGGAGATCCAAAGGTGTCACTGACGAGCTCCGTTTCAACCTCTTGGGGTTTGGTTCAGTTTTATCAGAATTGTCGCGTTTGCTGCCGAAACGTTGATTAGATGGCGCAGGCGAGCTTGCAGTTGATTCTTGGTCACTTGCCTGATCTGAAGATGGCTCGTAGTCCTCTTCATTCATCCATTCATTGTACTTTTCACTGTCTCTGATCCACCTAGCAGAAATGTTCCAAGCACCAGTGTGTTCCGGTGCGGGCTCCGGGTCCATAAATTCGCTTGATGTTTCGAGCAACCATTCGTCGTATGAGTCAGGATAATACCAGTAATGAACCAGAACCTTGCCATCCTTCTTTTCTAGCGTGCGAAGCCACTCTTCGCCTTCGGGACTTTCCAGTTCCTCTGATGAGTGATGAATAATATGCGTTGCCTGGTCAAGATCTGATGTTATGGTTCCTATTGATCCATGCAGCTGTCCGTAAGATTATGTTTGATATTGACCAGTGCCATATTTGAATATATTACTTGCTAAAAGACTTGTACATACCTCCTAATCGCTCAACCGATGACTCAAGTTTCTCTCGCTCTTCTTCACTAATCGAATCATCAAACGCAACTACAGGATTCTTAATGACGCCTTGAGAAATAAGTTCCTGGCGAATATGTGCGATTAACTCCAAATTTTGACTTCTTCTGGCTGCGCTAGAGAGATCCCAACGACGCCAGCCTTGTGCAAAGCGATACTCGTATGCGGCTCTTAATGCCTTGTATATTGCTGAAGATCCATTGATGACGTCACATCGAAAAACTTTTGCAGGAATCCTTGCTGAGGCTGATGGCAATAAGTGCGCATTATTGGTGCCAAGGACATCTTCCTGAAATTGCTGGAGGGCATGAGTAAAATTTGACAATTCCCTCGCAGTCAGCAATACGTCCGATCCCGGATGCCTCTTGTTTAGCTCTCGTACAAGTTCGTCCTTGATGCGCTCAAACTGAGCAATAGTATCTGGTGATTCATAGAAACGGGCATCTGCGCCGCCTGATTTGCGACGTGCAGCCATTTGTAAAAGTTGGATCCTGTCACAATCCAAATCAATAAGTTAACTCGGTGGTCAAAACAAAAGAGTGTCCATGACAATTGCGGCTTGGGGCTAGCATGAGGGCTATTTCCTGTAAACTCCACCAATGAAATAACAAATCACTATTGCCTTCATTATTTCCTTTCCTCATGTGACGTAGTTTCAGATACAAATCTACGGATGCCAAGGTTTTTTTTTTTTTTTTTTTTCCCTTTTGCCCATCACCTCTTTTCGTTCTCCACATTAATCAGCAATTTCACGCAGCCATGTCACTTCCCCCTCCTCCCCCTCCTCTTCCACCAGGTATACTATTCAAAAGCTTATTATAGCGGGCTGTATTAGCCTGGATGCTTCAATTGATAAAAGTCTGATTCAATATTTCGAAAATCGACTCACTCTACTCATTACTACATTTATAGTGGATAATGCTGCTCCTCCAAGTAGTACACATACCACAGTTTATGTCGGGCACCTGAGTCCAAGAACCGAGCGTAGAGATGTTGAGGAACTGGTATGATTTTAAAAAAAGGACTATAGAATTGGGGCTGCTTGATAAATTAAATTTTACTAATTTTATTCACATATCTATTCATCAGTTTGAAAAATACGGCCGTGTGTTGTCTGTGGAGTTAAAGCATGGAGGCTTTGCTTTTGTCGAATATGAAGATCCTCGTGATGCTGATGATGCTGTGGGTAAGTTGAATGGATATGAGCTCGATGGAAACAGGATTTCAGTGGAGTGGTCAAGACGCTCTGGCGGTCCTGGAAGTGGATGCTTCTTATGTAATCAAACTGGACACTGGGCGAGAGAATGTCCAGAAGCGAGCGAGAAGGGTATGGATGTCAAATCCGGGAAGTGCTTCAAATGTGGCGAACCCGGCCATTTGGCACGCTTTTGCCGAGGCCCTAGCTCTAGGCGATATGGGCCTTCATACAGTGATTATCGCCGAGGGCCTCCCCCGCCTCCTCGCTACGGCCGAGGGCGCTCTCCAGGACCGTATGGAAGGGACCCATATGACTATGGATATCGTGGACGTGGCTATTCGAGATCACCCGACCGGGGGTACGGCTATCGCCCTCGCTCCCCTTATCATTCTGGAGGCTATCGTGGCCGATCTCCCTCGCCTTATTACCGTGATAGCGGACGGGGTCGTTCGCCGAGCCCATATGGGTAAGTTACCTTTACATTATAGCCATTTGACTATTCCTGATCAGGCTCCATTGATTTGATTTTTCTTTGAGCATTCGAATGCAAGAAAATCTTCCCCTCTTCCTTCCTGCTCGTTTTCTGCCACTGTGACCTCAAGATATGATATATGAAAACGGCGACATGTGGGTACTACAACTCCTTTGATAGTTAAGGATTGAGTTGTTTCAGAGTCCATATTCTTTTATTTATTTACTACTTTTGGGATGCATTGGAGGGCTATCCTATACAGAGCTGGAGCGGGATCGGGAGGGCAGTATTTGACCTAATTGCACTTGGGATTCAATGCTTCGCGAGATGAAACCTTGGTCAGAGGCGTCTCATGCAATTTCCAATTAAGAAGAACCTGCGCAGAAGATCAATCAGCATTGACGGATTTTTTTTTTTTTCGGGAACCGACGTTCTGTTCTCCTTTTTTTTTTCTTTTTTTTTTTCTGTATATGTTCCTGTTGACACAAACCATCAGTCGTGGAGCGCCACCACCACCACCACCCCAGAGACGTGTCTAGGAATCATAGAAGCCGTGCCGACCATCAAGGGAACCTGGGTGAGAAACGCACACTTTTAGTAGAGTGAACTAGCAATCAGGATCAGGAGTTGATTAGAAGTAGCTCTTTTTATATATAATTATTCCCATCAAATTTATTTGCCTTGCGACGATTTTTTAAGCCGCAAGGCAGATGCAATAAAGCAAAGCGGAATTATATTTTACATGAGTGACAGAGTCACTTTTGGTTAATTCGTTGTTTCTTAAGGGTTTGAAGCATGCATGTGAAAGTTTCTTTACAACGGACATCTGTCGCTCGGGTTTCTTTTTTATTTCTCCATTCACAATCATTTTAATAATTATATTTTTTATGCATTGTACAACGACTTTTGCCCATCGTTGACTGATTAGAGCTTCATTAAAGATAAAATAGCCTCTAGGGCTCCGCCTGTCTTGTATGATTATTCATATTTATCGCAATATTTGACTCCACATTCAGCATACGTTACATGCACCAATCTAGTCCCATTTCCTTTTCTTTCTTCCCCTTTTTAATCAACGATCCCACTTGATCCTGTAAAGCTTGACATTTAACCATTAAAGTCTATACTTTATTTTATTCTATTCCTTTTCAGTCTCCTTCATCTCTTTGATGGCTACGATCTCCTCTGCCGGTTCTGACTCGGCCTTGGGTAGACTTCAAACCAACCAGCAGAACAACGGCCAACTCCAGCACACTACTAGTAGCCATAACGGGAATCAATTAAGCTCCTCCACGTCTTCATTGGCGTCTCCTGAAGCCGAATCTGCTGGAATTACTTATCGTACCGAGAACAAACAGCCGAGAGTAACTGTTAGAGAAACAAAGTCACTCGATTATGTCGCACGGACAATGCTTGCAGGAGGAATCGCTGGTACAGCCGTAAGTAACAATAGAACGTAAAGACTTAGGCATGAACAAAAAAAGAAGAACCAACTGTATCGGCTCACATGCTCTTGACTAGTATAAAGTCAGCAATAAGCCATCATCATTGATCTTGACAAGGATAGGTAGAACTATTGGGAACAAATGATGGAGATTTGTTCAACTTTAACAAACACAATATATCTACTTAACGAGCGGCGAGTAACATATATAAAAGCACCACTTCGAGTACAATACTCCTACGCATTGCTTCAATGTCTATGCTGATCAGCCACCAAATGTGAATTAGCAGAGCCTTTAAATTTTTTTTTTATTCCTCCCACGGTCATAATGTGTTTCTAGGCCAAAACAGCTATTGCTCCTCTAGATCGAGTCAAAATCTTATTCCAAGCAAGCAACCCTCAATTTGAAAAATATGCAGGTAAGACATTTTGATAATTTTAGTGAGTATAAAGGCCGTTAATAACAACAAACTTTCCCAGTCTAGCAGTAATTTTGATTAATGAAAAGAGGGAAAAAAAAAAAAAAAAAAAAACGATTGGTCATGTTGAGCTAACTATGCTACGAATGCACCGAGTTCTTGACAGAACAGTGAGGTTGTACAGTGCTTCAGAGATGTATCATAACTTGTCAATTTAAATTTTATGCTGAGTATATTGTCATTTTTAATCAACGCTATAGGGACTTGGACGGGTGTATTCAAAGCCGCAAGGGATATTCAGAGGTCAGGAGGTGTTCGCGGATTATTCCAGGGTAATTTGGCAACTGTCTTCAGGATCTTTCCCTATGCCGCGATCAAGTTTATGGCGTATGAGCAATACCGCAGTGTGAGTATATGAATTTTTGCCAGCTGATTCCAAGTAAATAAAAATGCAATGTCCACTAAAATTTTTGCTTTCTTTATGGAATGTTGAATACTATTAGCTTCTAATGCCAACAAGAAGGGATGAAACGCCTTACAAGAAATTGCTGGCGGGATCTTTGGCTGGTAATGAAAACGCATATATGGTTATATGGCTTTCTTTCTTTGATAGTTTTTGCTTTTTAGTTTTAACATTCATGTATTTTTGTCTGCCATAGGTGTCACATCTGTATTTTTCACATATCCATTAGATTTGATCAGAGTACGCCTTGCATATGAAACTAAGGCTACACCCTACACAGCACTTGTGAACAAGATTTATAATGAGCCTGCTGGACGCCACCGCTCAGCTCATATGAGATGGTTACCAGCGCTGAAAGTCTCAAACTTCTACCGGGGGTTTCTCTGTACTGTAGCAGGGATGATCCCATACGCAGGAGTATCTTTCTTTACACACGATGTGGCTCAAGAGTTTTGTCGTGAATACTTGCCCTGGACACTCAAACCAACACAGAACCGGGGCTTGCCCGACAAGAATGGCGACTATGCACGCCCTGAACTACGGACTATAGCTGAGCTTGCGTGCGGAGGTCTTGCAGGGGCGATTTCACAGACGGCGTCATATCCATTAGAAGTAGTCAGACGTAAGATGCAGGTTGCGGGAGCACTGGATCCCAAAGAATTTATAGGCATGTGGGAGACAGCGAAACGATTGTATATAGCTAAAGGAGTGCGTGGATTCTTCGTGGGACTAAGTATTGGATATCTCAAGGTTACACCAATGGTTGCGATCTCGTTCACAGTGTACGAGAGGATGAAGAAGGTGCTGGAGATCAATTAGGCATTTTTGTACATTGTTGATAGAATGATAGAATATAATACATATGATTGACTATGAATACCATATTATATATAGAATATATCATCTTTGCAAATGTTGGTGAATCCGCCTTGTTGATCGAAGGGAATATGTTTATCCTCTATACCTTTCTACATCCTCTAATGGTGGGAATCCTTATCCTTATGGAGACTCGTGTAAAGGTTGTTAACTCCGATGGTAAAACATTTATCAGGTTGCACCGAAATGCAGTTCAACCAGAACCTGGAGCCTGTGCAAGGAAAGTTAATATTATTTAATTTTCATGTCCATATGTCCACATGTCTACATCTTAGGGGCCGTGGCTGCGTATCCACGTTGCCGACCCTTTCCATCTTGATCTTTATGCGACTGAGCATGTAAAAACCAGGAGCAAGCAAGCGAAAGCGGCGGCCGTATTTAGAAAGAAAAAAAAAAAACGTCTCAGCTCAGAATGACCACCGACTGAGTTTCTTAAAGAACAGGGAAAGGAAAAAAAAAAAAAAAAAAATGACGCTTGCCTCATTTCCTTTTGCGCTTATACATTTGAACCTTATCAAAGAATGTGCAAAGTGCACCGGAGTGTACATGGATTTGTTCTGCTTAAAAAGCACAAACGGATCAACAGACTCAGTTTAACTCAGCTTTAAACCGCTCAGGAATGAAGTTTAAAACGTTCATCAGACCATGTAGCATTTGATAAAATGAGGAAGAGATCCCCAAATGTTTGCAAAGAGATGAAAGTCCATTTATCTCCATGTGAACTATACCAACATGGCGTGGTTTATGAAACAAAAGCTTGGGAGAATGTCCAATTCAGTAGCAGTCATGACAATGACTGCAACAAGAGCAACAACGACAAAAAGATTTCTGTCAGATCGATAGGATTCCGCAGGCGCTTTTTATTTATCTTTATTGTATTGTATATTTTTATTTTATTTTTATTTCATTGTCATTCAAAGCACTCTCATTAGGCACATCTGGGATTGAAGGCGTCAAACCTACACGTCTGAATAATGAGCATATTAGAGTGAATGATTCCGCTCATCATTTCACATTTTTGCTGCATTCTGCACAGTCCTTCTCATCATCTTGTTGGGCAAAGACTTTTTTATATTGCGTTGGTTTGCATTATTTCTTCCTCAAACATGTCCGCCTACCCTACTGCTATGCTTTTTTTTTTTTTTTTTTTTTTTACAGGGCTACAAGGATGGAGTACAATACGCTGTATGAGAAGAAAAGAAAGAAAAAAGACACTTTTTGTTGATCCAGGAGCTCGACAAGGCGAGGCTGGTTTTTTACGTAGCAGAAGTGGACAAGATCAACGAAGGTGGACAGTACAACAAATGTAATTGTATCAGCTGAATGAAACCATTTTCGATTAAAAGTACGATAGTTGGGCGGAAGAGAGAGACTGAACGGTATTCTTCCAATCGGATGTTATTACTTTCTTTTCTTTTTTTTTTTTTTTGTCATAAACGGGATATTGATGATCATGATTATAATGAGGGATACATGAGGATATAAAGCAAAGACTGATCCAATCTATTGGCTTTCAATTTTCAGTTTTGCGCATATTCTGCTGCGTAGTCATGTATCGAGTGACAAATCAATTAAATAAGTACTCAATGTAAACTATGATATATACCATGAGAGGAAGATCTCCTTGAACCCTTTTTGCTGTACCATTCTACTTGTAGTCCAACCCCGGTCAGATGGACAAGCAAAACAGGGACAACCCGTATATCTTCCTTAGACTAAGGAGCAAATGAATCGATTGAGATTGGTTTCAAGGCAAAGGGATCTTTATGAATATAACATCATTGTGATTGTGAGTGAATTATGTAGAGCGATTGAATACTGAATTACGGAAGTTAATATATCCCTATCATGATCGTTGGAGTGCATGGAGAAAAAAAAATCATGTCATGTCATGCCACACAAACACCTCTCGATATGCACCTGAATCAATATCAATTCATAATGCGCAATTGAGGCCCTAAAAAATATAAAAATGGCCAGGTTATTCCCTTCTATTTCTCCTCTTTCATTCTAATTTTGCCTGCTATTGGATACTTTTTTTTTTTTTTTTCTTCAACATCAAACGTTTTTTTCCCTTCCACTTTCAAATTTTTCAACCTTGCACATCTGATAGATCAAATTTAAAAAAGGGCGATCACAATGGCTCCTGCAAGAACATCCAGTGCTTTAATCACTCAGCATAACTTCGAGGATCTAGCCTTGTCCAAGACCCTGCATGGCCAAAGCTGGAATGAGGACCATCATCAAGATTCCTTCATTTCCAAGCTGAAGAACAAGGATCGCGAGTTTACTCCCACAGTCGTTGATAACTATCTAGACAACTGGAAGGAAACCAAACCCGAGAATGAGACTGAGGAGGCCAAGGTTGAACGACAGAATGCTTACAAGGCTGTCGCAAACTCTTTTTATGACCTTGCCACGGATTTCTATGAGGTAAATGGATAGATACAAGAAAAAAAAAAACCTATATACATATAACTTGGTTAGAAGGCTACGATATTTAGCAGAAGGATTTCTTCAGATGTATATAACGCTGTTACAATAATTGCAGACATCAGCGATCGTCGTTGCTACAGCAGAACGCTCCACAAATTTACCCACACCTTCTGCATTATAAACGCCCTGCTTCTAGCAGCGTGAGGAATATTGGGGGGAGTGAAGATTTTTGAAAAACATCTTGAATAGCAGGTTCACTGGTGAGTTGAAGTATAGTGGGTAATAGTAAAGCAAAAGAAGTATATCGTATTCGCCATCTTCTTTTTGCCTTGTCCTACCCTTTTTTTTTTTTTTTTTTTTTTTTTTGTTGCCTCGCGATTCCTTGATAAGTCTAAAATCCTTCGATGACGGTCCGAGTCAATTACAATGCTGTATTGGGGGATGTTGGAATTTCGAAAAAAAAAGTGGTTAAAGCATCAAAGACTCCAGTATGGCTCAAAGTCCCTACTTCTTCATCTGATTTTAGGCGCAATTCGGTAACACATACTCCTTGTTGTGTACTCACAATTCATTTTCCGCAGCACAATTTACATATCTTTGGGCGTTGTTTATCATGAATGATTTCATCAACTAAAAGGCTGGAGGGTTTCTTGTTGGCCTGATTTTTGTAGGCGCATCATTCCGGATTGCGGAGTGACTGTCATAAAAACGCGTCAATTGCTGAACAGAAAATAACATACAACTGTTTGGTTGTTTACATCAATTATAAAAATTAGAATATTTACAAACATTTATATTTTTATCTTTATAATCATATTAACATCTCTTTATATATTATATATGTACTTGTCAACTTAGTACGCATGGGGTACTTCTTTCCATTTTTGCAGATTCCGTCCGCGCGAACCCTTTCAACAGGCTATGGCTCGACATGAACATTACCTTGCTGCCAATATGGGCATCCAGCCTCATCACAAGGTGCTTGATATTGGCTGTGGCGTAGGCGGTCCTGCTCGTGAGATTGGTCACTTCACGGGTGCCCATATCACTGGCCTCAACAACAATGACTACCAAATCAATCGTGCAAAGCGTTACGCAGTGACCTATGGACTCGAGCATAAATCAGATTTTATCAAGGGTGACTTTATGAATATGCCCGTTGAGGATAGCTCGTTTGATGCTTGCTATGCTATCGAGGCTACAGTTCACGCTTCGTCTTTAGAAGGTGTCTATGGCGAGGCCTACAGGGTCCTCAAACCTGGCGGAGTCTTTGGCTGTTATGAATGGGTCATGACAGATAAATATGACCCTACCAATCCCGAACACCTTCGTATCGTCCGTGGACTCGAGGTCGGAAACGGCGTTGCAAAAATGATGACCGTCAAGGATTGCCTCAAGGCTCTTGAAACAGTAGGCTTCACGATTGAGAAGAATATGGATATGGGTGCAACAGACGACAAAATCAAGTGGTATTATCCTTTGCAGGGTGATATTCGACAGGCCAATGCCTTTTGGGATTACTTGACAGTCCTCCGCACAACGACCGCCGGACGTGCCACGACCACATATATGGTCAAGACCCTCGAAAAACTTGGCTTGATTGCTCCTGGTAGTGCAAAGGTCTCAAGTATTCTCCAAACGGCTGCTGATTCTGTCCTTGAAGGGGCTTTGCTTGGCATTTTTACGCCAATGTACTTTTTCGTCGCCCGCAAACCTCTTACCGCCTTGGAGTGAAAAAAAAAAAAAAAAAAAAAAAAAAAAAATACTAATTCCCACTTTAACCTTCTTTTATCATAATGTTCGCTATCTTTCGATAAGAAGCAAAAAGAAACACTCGCTCATGCCTTTTCATCTAATTCTCATTCCATTATCATTGTTATACTTGACAATGTTTCATTCAAAGATAAAATAATAATAATAGTTTTAATGGTAATAAAAATCCTATGAAATGTTGGATATTAATCATTACAAAAGAAATCATAATTGTGCCATGGCATTATATAACGTCTTGATTGAGTTTTTGATGAGGATAACGGGCGCAACCATCCAAAAGGCATTGAAAAACCAAAAGTAAAAATAGTAATAGTATGGTTCTGGGCGGCATTCGGGTGAGCCTTCTACAATGGATGTAAAATAATAGAGTGTGCAACTGTAGACTTGACCCAACGAGAGTATCAATTGACCAATATGCCGTGATGGCAAATTATGATACGTTGACCATGCATTAAAAAGCGCTAATGGACCCCAGATTATCTTTGATCGACAGGAATAAACATTCCCCCATCCCATAAGAAAGAAAAAAAAGAGAATAAGAGCATGAGTTAGTTGAGCATTTTTTTTTTTTTTTTTTTTCACTTTGGATGTCAACTTATGATCCTCTTTGTTTTTATTCAGCTCATACAATGGTTACAAGTTCAGCAATGAGAACAAACGTATCACTTGAGAGGTAACGCGAATCACTCAACGCGTATTCCTTCCACACTTGAGCCACTGGGCTGTTATCACCTGCTAACGTTTTATGATAGAGCCCAAAATAACCTTCAAAGAAAATATGAAGGAAGACGCATAGGATAAACCAAAAAAACGCCAAGCGATCCCCTATACTACTGAGACACGAATGCCGCTTTGGATATCCAAGAGCAATGGTGACAAGAGTGATAAAGATGAATGTGATCGACACATATGATAGTGTCAAAAAGACCGAATTCGTGTTTGGAACATAGTGATCGAGCACCAAATTCTCTGGAAAGTATGGATGGGGTGTTCTAATGGACTCCATTGTCATGATGAGAATGAAGGCGGAGATGGTTAATAATTGCAAAAAAAAAAAAAAAAAAAAAAAAAAAAAACAGTTGCGCCGTTGAAATTATATTTCAAAAATAGTTTTGCCCGATACTAATGAGAGCTTGGAGCGTGATAAAATGGTAATATGGGATTATGAAGTGAGAATGGGCTAAGTAGAGGGGTACCAAGTTTGTTCCATTTTGGTATTCTTAAAGTATTCAACTGTTTCCCTAATGCCTTGGCCTACTGAGAACTTGGGAGCCCACCCTAAATGCCTTTGCGCCCGCCCGATATCAGGTCGTCGCCTCTGTGGATCATCCTCCGTTGGTGGTAGGCTCATGATTTCCACATTGGTATTGATCTCACCACGGATCATCTCTGCAAATTCACGAATGGTATATTCTTCAGGATTGCCAAGATTAACAGGCTCCTTGTAATTTTTGTTCATGAGCAGGATTAAACCATCAACTAGATCATGAATGTATTGGAAGGATCGTGTCTGTTGTCCATCACCATAGATTGTCAATTCGTCGCCCCTCAATGCCTGCATGATAAAGTTACTGACTACACGACCGTCGTTTTCATTCATTCTTGGCCCAAATGTGTTGAAGATTCGTGCTACTCGAACGTCGACATCGTCCTGATGCATGTACGAATACGTCAATGTTTCTGCGACACGTTTGCCCTCGTCATAGCACGCCCGAGGCCCTATCGGATTAACATGACCCCAATATGTCTCTTTTTGGGGATGCTCTTCTGGATCTCCATACACCTCTACAGTTAAGAAACAGACAGGTTGAGGGAGAAAAGAGTCAGTAACTTTTGATCAGTGATGAATTAACTAAGACTTTGGTTTGAAACACGGTAATACCAGATGTTGATGTCAAGAGGAAACGAGCTTTTGTGCGCTTAGCGAGCCCTAACATATTGATCGTGCCCATGACCGAGGTCTTGACTGTCTTGATGGGGTTATACTGATAGTGTGGTGGTGAGGCTGGACATGCAAGGTGATAGATCTGATCAACCTCAATCATGAATGGATCAACCACGTCGTGTCGAATGAGTTCGAAATGTGGGTGTCCCATCCAATGTTGAACATTTCGCTTGCTTCCAGTGAAAAAGTTGTCAAGTACAATGACTTCATGGCCCATGAGCATCAGCCGGTCAACAAGATGCGAGCCTACGAATCCAGCACCGCCGGTGACCAAAATTCGTTTCCGTTCATGGCTTGGTAATGCCTTGACAGCGGGAAAAGAAGGGGTGTGTGGGAACGATAGGGTGTTGTCTGCATTGAGCCTGTGATATCTGTTGGCTATATCAGGCAAATAGAGCTGTTGAAGTACGTGAAGAGGAATATCTGACCGGACAGATCTATCTCCAACAACGCTCACAAGCTGCGATCCTGAACTTGGGTCAGTTTGAGTTGAAGGTGAAGCTGCTGGTTCTTCTTCTGGATCTGATTCAGAGGCGCTTAAAGGAGGAGTATCAGCGCTGGTACTCACAGGTGTGTTTGGCTCGTATGATATACTTGAGGATTTATCTATTGCGAGTGATGAAGTGGTTGCATCAGTTAGGCGCTGTGTCTGTTGCTGGTCAAACTCGCCGGTGCATGTTAGTTGTTCCATTGTTTTTTCCGAAGATTTATGTCTGGAAAGTAATAGAGCAAAAATAAAAAAGAGGAAGTGATTAAAAAGAGAAAGAGAGGACAGAGTTTAAAAGAGTTGAGGAAAGAAAGAAAGAGAATTAAGGATAGAAAGCAAGCAATTGGAGAACTGGAAAAAAAAAAGCTGTCAATAGGCTGATAGACTGACACATGTTACAAAACATGACAGAAATAATAAAACCATGCTGTATTCGCAATTGGGCTTTTCTCTTTTTTTTTTTTTTTTTTTTTTTTGCCGTTGAAGAACAAGAAAGTATACAAAAACAACAACAACAGCAGCAACCATAACAACAGCAACAGCGCCAACAATAACAACAGCAACAACAGCAGCAACAACAGCAACACCAACAGCGGCAACAGCAATAAAGAGCAAGGATTTTTTCTTCTATGCGTGAGTTTTATGTCATAAAATAGGAACCTTAGAGAGAAGTGGAATAGATGTAATGACCCAAGCGATGGCAGGAATGTCATTCCGTTGGTACATGGAGCAAAGAATGCGTCGTTACTCTTGTAATACATTTTGTCACTGAAGTGTCCCAAAAAAAAAAAAAAAAAAAAAAAAAGTTTATGAAAACGAGCGTCTGTCTTGGTTCCTAAATATTTATTTACTCAATGCCGAAAATGACTCCTTCCCGGTGCCTAATTTGTCCAATTCAAATGCACTAAGCACCGAACTCTCAGATCGATCCCACCCCATTTTGCCTAGGACATCGCCTCCAACCTTCATCCCCAATTTAAGTGGCAGTTGCTTTAAAGCCTTGCCATCTTTGAACAAGATCAGCGTAGGTAAATCCAATGTTGTGGCTGCAAGATTGATCTTGAAGCGTTCTGCGATTTCATCACCCTCAGGAACCATATCCATATCGATCTTTGCAAAGTGAACATTCTTTCTTTCATATCTAAATGAGCATGAATATAAAAGAAGCGGTTACCCCTTTGCTTCCTATGAAACTATCCTTATCATAGAAAACATCAGTTAATAATATAAAAAGATTACTTGATAGAGCACCGCGCCAACACAGCTTCAAAATATCTGCAGGGTGAGCTCCATGTGGTGTTAAAGGCTATAATCCAGTAATGACTTGGATCCAATTCAGAGTCTTTGAGTTTTTGATCCTGCCCATATTCTTGAACAGTTGGCTCTTCCTCATCGTTATATGCAGGGACGCCCTCTTCATCTAGTTCTACAATTTTTGCTGTTGATTTCCCTATACCCTTTGACTTTGATAGAATAGGCCTTGTTAAGCGATCTAACTGGGATGCATCCAGCCAAATGATCTTTGAAGGACCTTGGTAAGGAGGTTGAGGTAGCACGGTGAAGATAGCTGGTTTTTCACAATAATTGAAATGAGAGTGTTAACTATTGAAATCAAAATACAGTCAATAGCCTTGCTTGAAACGATCAAACCCATAGTTACCGAGCCAAGACAAAAGGAAAAAGAAAACTCTCCACCATCCACTCCAGGAGATTCCCCAGAGTATAGCAGGGTCCTTGGCAATAGTCCAGAAGCCATAGAGTGAATATACTTTGATATAAAGGGCCATGACACTGACAAGCTCTTCAGCTGATTGTGACCCTTGCACTTTGATGAAAAATACGACCATCGCCGGCAGGAGGTAGCGAGAATAAGATGCGATGCTCAAGGTTGATAAGTACTCAGGATGATGAATAATCTGATAGACTGGATACGCTACCGCAAGGGCCACGTTCGCAACATAATGTGGATGTAAGAGGCGTCTTGCCAATGACATTGCGTTGAGATAGACTTTTTTTCTTTTTCTTTCCTTCTTTTCAGTTTTTGTAGTTTAAAAAACGCTTAGTTGCCCACAGCGGATGTGAAAAGAAATGAGCAATGAAAGATTGGTTTGCAATGCGAGCTCCTGAGATGCCTTTTGTCACCGAGCGTGTAAAAAAAGAGATCCATCGCATTTGCTGCACGATTACGGGGTGCTAATTTAAACTAGCAATCAACAATACACATCCTTAGTTCGCCATTTGGTGGCGCGTAATTTTTTTTTTTTTTTTTTTTTTTTTTTGATTTTGCTCTGGTTGCCATGGGAACAATTTGGTGTATTCAATGACAACAGCTTTGGTACATGCAAACTTCGTTCCTAATTTTTTTTTAAAAAGGGGGAACGTTACGATACCGGTCATTTGTGCTTTCCACAAGTCTTGCGCAGACAGCGAGGCTGCTGGTCATGAGTTGAATAATAGGGGCTTTTTTTTTTCTTTCTCTCTGGGGAAACTGCATCATCATCCATCATCATTCTCGTACAATCAGCAGGGGATTGTATTGTAAAATAGAACCAAGGGGTTGTAGCAACGTACCTGACCTGAAAAACTGCATTGTCTATGACGACGATGGCGACTTTTTTTTTTTTTTTTTTTTTTTTTTCACTCCTTTCTCCATTCCCTTCCTCTTCTCTTCCACTTTGTCAAGTATAGCGATCGAACATTGATTGATTCATATTACTCTCTTTCACTTTCCACACAAAAACCCTCACCGCTTTTTAGCCTTCACTTTTTACATGCCATCCCTCCTTCTGTCTCTTCCAGTTGCCACCTAAATAGCTCTAATTCTTGGTCTGCATCCGTGCTATCACTACGACCTTTTGATATCATCAATTACTTTACACATTCAGTCGAAATTACCCCTTGCCTGTCGTAGCACTGTTCCTGCATCTCACCACGATCAATTGCAACTCTTTTCACTCGACGCTATGTATTCAGCTGCTGTCGAGATAAACCGTACCCACCATCCGCGCTCTCCGGTCGATTCTTCTCCTCTTTCTTATAGTTCGTATGCACATCATGATGTAGCAGAAAGAGGACGGTCTCGATACCGGCATTTTGATCCTACCGAACAACGACAAGAAGATGATTACTATGACTCCCACCAACCCTCTACTACATCCATGGTCACTCAACGATATAACAAACAATATGAACAACCGCCTAATAAAACAAACATTCCAGCCGCGCCACCAAGCGCAGTACAACCCAAAATGCCTCCTATTCTACCACCACCTGGATCCGTCCCTGAGTCATCAGGAGGAGGCTCTGGGTTTGTGTCTGGCATAGAGGCAGCGGCAGCATCAGCACTAACCCTCGCCAACAGCATTGCATTCAGACCTACGACTACTCAGCCCGCAAAATGTAGTAAACTCAAGATTCGCATCTTTTTTGATTCCACCATCTTTCAGGCTGGAGGGAATCTATTTGGTCGCATGGAGATCACTGCAACTAGCTCACGGTCTTTGAAACTAGGTGAAATTGCTGTTGAATTGGCAGCCTATGAAGGTAATAGCAAGGAAAAAAGAAAATATATGATTATGTCTCCATAATATAAACTTATTAACTTTTTTTTTTTCTTGTCACGGATATAGAAATCACATCCAAAGATTTCACTGCAACCCAGTCCTTTCTCTCGTCGCGTCTTTGTTTTCAAGGCCCGAATATCCCACCCTCCAATGCGGTCCATGGTCCATGTGATGAAGACGGATTCTGGATGGCCAAGAAGGGTAAGACCACATTTCCGTTTGCATTTCAACTCCCTCTGGATTGTCCTAGTAGTCTGGTATTTGGTCAGACAGCCAGTCTTCGATATGTTGTCACAGGGTATGTTCAATAGAGATTAAATCAGGCAGCTTTGGGAACTAGAGGTGCCAACTTTAGAATTTTGTAAGCCCTTTTCTTTACTAATATTTATTTGCTTGTTGTAAAAAAAAAAAAAAAAAAAAAAAAAAGGCTAGTTCAGGTCTTCTATCATGGTAAAGATGAAACCATCATGAAAACGAAGGAGGCTTTCGTAGTAGAGGCGTGGGACGGATACAATCCAGATTATAAATTACCTGTTCAGGCAAGCAATTCAACAAAGCTGTTTTGGGGTGGCAGTGGATCACTTGTTCTCGAAGCGAAGCTATCGGAGAAACTACATAGTGCAGGAGGAAATTTGAATGTCGAGGTCAAGGTCAAGAACAATACGAGTCGTAAGGTGATTACTAATACTCGATCTATAGTTGCTTTTCATGGTCATATTTTCAAGTCTTTGAGGCAAAGCACTGATTTTTTTTTTTTTTTTTTTTTTTTAAAAACTGTATATAGGTTCAAGGCATCCGCCTAGGCGTCGCAAGGAGGCTGGAAATGGTCTCGAATAAAGCCAAAGCGCAACAAAATCCAGGACTTCAGATTGATACAGTGAGTGTCTCGGAAGTAATGGGGACACAGGAATTCAAATCATCTAGCTACCTGTTCGACACAGGTGAGGAACGTACAACGACCCTCAATATGATTGTCCCCGGGAATGCCCGGACAATTCGAGGAACAGCGCTGTTTGAAGTGACATGCTTTGTTGTGGTTTCCATGCTCCTAGGCGCATTCAGGTATTTATCAAAAGGCCATTTTTTTTTTCTTTTTTTTTCTTTTTTTTTCTTTTTTTTTGAATCGCTAAATATCTAAAAAAAAAAAATAAAAATAATACTCTTCATTGCTCCTTAATAGTGGCGAATTATCTGTAGAGATCCCAGTAAAAATCTGTCATCCTGCATCCTTAACGCCCGCACCTAAACCGAAGCTAGATGAAAATCATTTACCACATCACTATAATCTTGTAGATGAGGAGTTGGATTTGGACAACAATAAGCCGACTCGTTCCAGCAGAAGAGTAGGGTCCAATGACAGCTTGGCCTCGCCAACGGCTGGTGGTCGTCATGCTGGTAGTGGCACCGGACGCGAGTTGCCTTGGACTTCTGACGGAACCGAGAAACAGGATGGATATGCAGATAGTGGACGTATGGGTGAATGGAGTCAAGACGCGAGAGAGTTATCTCCCGCTAATTCTATCACATCCATCAAAAGTATCCTTTCTAGTCCAAAACAAAAACTAAGTAAGCTCGCGGACAAAATCCAGCGATCAACCAGTCCGTCATCAAGTAGTCATCTCCAACACGAACATCGGCAAGGATCTAAGCATATGGACGAACAGCAAGGACGCCGCCAGTTAGCTAAATCGCCACCATTGGGGCCTGCGATGCCGATTGCATATGTTCCAGCTGTGGAGCGTGTCCGTTACACACCATTTCAGCCTCCACCGACAACCAAAGCCAAAGAGTTCTTGAAAGCTGCTGCTCAGTATCAGCAAGAAATGGCTAAGAATGGTGCCCTATCGCGTTTTGAAGGAGATAACGTCGAATTTGATTTAGATGATAAAAAGATGGCGTCCGCTATTCATCAATGGATTACGAAGAAAGAGCTTGATGGGATGTACGGTCAAATGCCTGAAGCTCAACCAATTGCTCGATCCGTTTCGCCTATTCAAATCCCAGCTGCTTCTCCGAACAGGCGACGACCTGACGTAGATCCTATCAATACGCAAGTTGGGTCATTCACCTCTCAATATAGTCCTACAGGGGCATCTCCGCAGAGCTATGATAGTCCAACGGCGTTTGGCGCCAGCAGTCAATTCCCTCCGTCCCCAAAGGCCATGCCTTATACCAATCAAACAACTTCTCGATTCTTACACCACCCGCATCGTCAGCCCGCAGCACCACAGACAGAAGCGTTTGGCAGTGCACCTGAAGACTGTATTACCGACCCACCGCTATTTGCGAAACCGCTACCCTTGCCCTCCCCACCAGGGGCCGGGTCGTCTTTGCGAGCAGGAGCCACCATGGCTACAGCACGTGCGCGATCTCTCTCCCCTGTCCCTATTCCTCTTCAGACACCCGAAAGTTTAGCTCTTGCTCGAGAGGCGTTTGAACGCGTCAAGAAGATTGCTTCCCCCGTCCAGGATCATATGGTAGATACTGCAAGCCTTAGGAAAAGTGCACCCCAGCCAGAGCCAGTTGGCCCCCACACTACATCCTCTGTTGAATCAAATCCCAACACCAGAGTCCCTATCCTAGTTTCGGTCTCTTCAAGCCGCCCAAATAATCCGTCAGGCCTTTCACGGCTCTTGAGTAGAAGTGCAGAGTCGACTGATTTGCCAAAGGACCTGCAAGAGGGAGAAGCAACCAAGGACACTCCCTCCACGCAGCCAAAATCTAGTGCTGAGCTGCGACACATTCCGATGAGTAGACCATTACCTATTCCAGTTCTTAATTCACAACAACCAAACATTAAAGCTGGTTCCTCCTCACGTAATTTTGAGCCTAGGTTAAGCCTAGAATCTAAGATGCAGTCGGCTACGTCTACTTCGTATGGACAGTCAAAGCATTTGCAGCAGCCCCGGGGGCTATCAAAATCTCCACCGAGATTCGAGCCACCGACACGATCAGGCCATTTACCTCTCAAAGAGCACAGGAAACAAGATTCAATCAGCTTTGTTCGACAAAATGCCTATGTCCCAAAGCCAACGCCAGTGCCCAAAGCAAAACCACCTGCTCCCATTCAACACTCCATCACCTCTACCCAAACCGGTTCGACCACTGGGATCAATGCCCATAATGTGAAGAAGATTAACGAACGGAGCATGATACCAGGTGCAACTCAGAGTTCTAATAGTGGATTTGTTTATCCCAAGGCAGCTCGTAAGCCAGTTTCAGGGACCAAGCCTTCTGTTGCGGCGAAGCCTAAGGCCTTGAGTATTCCTTCGAACCATTTAAATCAAGAAACAGGAAAGTCACTTTCTCATGTGCCTATCTCAGTCGCGACTGCCATGATGAGTCCTGAGGATCATGCAAACGTCGATCAGCATCATCCTCAGAATCATCCAAATGAAGCAAGAGCAACAGATGATGGAGTTCACGAGCTTGAGCGACCATTAGCTCCTGCACCTTCTGTAAGAGCTCCTCAAGTAATTCCAGTCCTAGAGTCTGAAATAGCCACTGCTGCTTCTCCTAGGGATTTAACGAGTGCAATAGAGGAAGCAGATGAGGATAATAAGGATACCAATCAAATAGATCAACTTACGAGTGCAGAATCACAACAGCAAATGCACAATGACATCCGTGCTCAGGCCATTGCAGCCAAGTACAGCATCCGCGCAACTGGCGCACATACAGGCGGGTACATGGTAAATACGGGCAAACTCCGACAAGTCATCAATGATAATAATAACAATAGTAACAATAACAGTGGCCACTTGATCCATGCGCTGGCTGGAGGTGCACTGAATGCCGCTACGGCGGCGGCTTCAGGCTTTGGTTGGCTAAAGCTAAACTCTAGTAATACCAGCGATGGAAATTCTACATCTCCAATACAACCTTCATTACCAGCTGTGGATGACAGAGATGGCCAACCTATAGATCTAGAAAGTAACAGCAAGAAGTTTTCGCCTTTATCACATGGTAGCCATCAGCTTGTTGAGCAACAACACGACCTAACCATGAGGGATATTCACTTTCAAACAATTTATTCAATGGATGTTCAACAGCCCCCCATGCTTGATCTTCCAGCAGTACCAATATCAAGTATCATAGTGAGTACCACGCCCAATCTAGCCGAAACAAACCATAACGAATATGGACGGTCTAAGAGCCATCATCTAGTAAAGACAGCAAGCCCAGTTATTTTGACTACGCAACAAGCCCAAAGCCGTTCACAACCAGGGTCTAGATTTTTGGACGAGTCAACTCGTGCTGAACCTTTGCCAGCCATCTCCGTGCCACTTGCGGTTGAAGCTATTGCCATCGAGCCAATATCCGCGTCAGCGCCAGCAGCATCAGTGGCCGCTCCAAACTTTGATAAAACGCTACCTAAAATTCATGAATCGACATCTCGGTCTAGGATGATTGAGAGACCAGTAGATTATAAAAACAAGAAGGCCATTCCACCACTCAAGGCTAGTTCCAGCACCAGCAGTGATCAAAGCAATGGTTTTATTAATATATCACCATCTACGCAAGGGCCTGTATCTCCTATTAGTAACAAACCATTGCCAAGACTAGGTAATGATCCAAGCGCAGGTGAGACATCGATTAACAGAGGATTTGAGACTGGTCCTGCAGGCGTACGCGGAGCACCCAAAGCGATAAACCCTAAACTACAGGCGTACATCCAGAAATATAATTTAGCAGCGAGTGCACGACCATAAACATTTATGATCCAAAATTTGCCATTATATTTTTGAATTTATATTTAGTCCACAATGACATGTTGTTCCTTTTATACTTGCAAGTGCGGCGCATTTGCATTTTTGGTGGTACAGGAGACAGACAAAGGTAGACTCACGAAAAGCAGTAAACAGAGATTGATGAAAAAAGACACAACACATGCAATAAATAGACGGACACACAGACAAACGGCGGTTAAAAAAATCCTATTTTTGTAACTTTTATACGACGCCATGGATGACCTTTTCGACCCCCTTGACATCACAGGAAAAAAAGCAATGCAACATCTTTTTCATCTCCTATTGCTCCTATCCAAACGATTAGGTCCCCAGGATCATCGGGTGATTGGCTGATCGTGTTTCTTATTTGCACGCCTTTATAAAAATAGCTTTACTCCTTTTAGTGATGGGAAAAAAAAAAGAGTTTTTCCATGCCTTCAATGTCCTCGATGTCTTCGAGCGTGCATATTCATGTACTTACGGTATTGTGTAAAACGGACCCTGCTCCCGAGTTCAGCAACTAGGCGTCATAATTGTTTGAAAGCCCATTCTAATCAGTTTCCATCTCATCCATGTAAAATAAAAAAATAATTTATAATTAGTTAATTTATTGTCCCATTTTTCGTGGACTTTGTACCTCAATTGTTCACCCTCTCTCTGTGTCTCAGTTACCCTCCGTTAAAGCTTCTTTTTTCTTTTAAAGCTCTCCTTCCCTTCTTCCTTTTCTTCTCTCTATTTTTCTTCTCCACACCTTTTTCTTTCTCATACTAAATTCCTCGTCCCCATTTTTGTTTTTTTATATTCCTTCAATAGAAAAAAAAAAAAGGAATTTATAATGATTATGCATACACTTGGAAGCGCGACGCTGCTTCTGGCCATCAGTTCCATGGCACTGGCAGCTGCCCCTACTGCTCCCTCCGGTTCCTCACAACAGCTCGCCAAATGCTTAAAGTCATTGGGTAGTAAAGTCATTACCAGTGCAAACTCTGGAGCCTATGAGAAGGAACGCTATGCATTTGATTTGCGGTATACATTTGAACCCGAGGTCATTGTCAAGGCCTCCTCTGCAGCTGATGTTCAATTAGCGGTCAGGTGTGCTAAAGATGCCAATGTCGCTGTGGCACCTCGATCAGGTGGCCATTCCTTTGAGGGCTATTCCATCGGCGGCCAGGATGGATCCCTGGTCATAGACTTGGCTGGCCTGGGTACAGTCAAAGTGACAGGCTCTAAAGCCAAGGTCGGGGCTGGTGTCCGTCTTGGAAAGCTCTATCTCGAGTTATTTAAACAAGGAGGCTGGACCATCAATGCAGGAACATGCCCCAGTGTCGGCATTGGCGGACATGCTCTTGGTGGTGGATTTGGATTACTCTCTCGTAAATATGGTCTTTTGATTGACCGTATTGAAGAGATGGAGGTCGTTAACGCGGATGGTGAACTCCTGAAGGTCTCTGCTACCAGCCACCCAGATCTGTTCTATGCACTCCGTGGTGCTGGCGGTGGATCCTTTGGCGTTGTCACCTCCTTCACTATCAAACCTGTCAAGCCTGCTTCCAAGGTGACTTCCTTCACATATGAGTGGAATCTTTCAGACAACGATGATGTTCTCAAGGCCTATCTAGAATTCCAGAAGGGTAGCCGCGACGTCGGTGTCGAAATGAATGTCGCTCCCGACGGATTGATGATGTATGGAATATTCCAGGGGACTAAGAGCCAAGCTGCTGCTGCTATGAAGTCTTTCTTCAATGCTGCTCCCAAGCCTAGAGGCTCAGATGTCCGTGAGGAGCGACATATTGATGCTCAACTTCGTTTCGCCTTCATTTCCGGCCCTGATCCCAAGAACATTGAGGGCTTGGCTCTTCGACCTCCTTATTATCCTGGCGACTCTCGTTATACCAAAGGCAAGTCCCTGGTCTACCCTACAATGCTTAAGGCTTCTACTATTGCTTTGTTTGGCAAATGGGGTGCTATAAAACCAAAGGGCATGACTGCCAACTACCTCATTATCGACCTCTGGGGCGGTGCTGTCAAGGACACGTCTGCTTCCGCTACTTCCTTTATCCATCGCGATGCATACACTGTCGTCGAGTTCGTTGCTGAGTGGGATGCAAATCCCAAGGCCAAACCCGGCAAACCTGATTGCAAGCCTTGCCTGAAGTGGATGGATGACATGTATGAGGAGCTCTTAGCCGACTACAAAGAGAATTACTCTGAAACTGTGCGTGGATACCAGAACTACATCGACTTGGACATCCCTAACTGGTTAGAGGCCTACTACGGCTCTGCTGTCCCTCGCCTAAAACAGATCAAATCCACATACGACCCTTCTAACGTTTTCAGATTCCCACAGAGTATTCCTCTGGAGTAAATAGTATAAATATTTTTTTGTCTTCAACATTCTTATAGCCTTGCACATTTTTTTCAAAAGAAATACACGGGATGTTTTCCTTTTTCTTTTTTATGTAGATGTGTATTTAATAATAATAGTAGTGTACAAGATAGATCATAAATTTTTGCACTCCTTTTTTTTTCTTTTTTTTCCTTCGGAGGTACTTGAATGTTGCGCGGGTAATATGATTGAGAGAAGGGATGCATGAGAAAAAAAAAAATGGACAAAAAGATGAGTAAAGTTGGAGAGGATTAGAGTCATGACTGTCATTGAATGTTCTCGAAACGTACTGCGACAGTGCTGAAAGGTAACTGATGGCAGAAGCACCGCTATTCTGCATAACTGGTAGGGCTGTTTGATGTCTCTTCTGAGGTCGTGCTTTCACCTGCGTTAGAAATAGCGGCTATGTTTGGCTCTACCAATTTCGTTGTATCATCAGTTGAGGCTGAAATTGCGCCTTTTAAGTCACCTGATGATACTTGTGTTTCCCCGTTGAGGCTAAGACTCTCTTCTTCTTCTTCTTCTTTTCCTTTTTCTTCTTCGTCTGCTAACCGTTTGAAGTCCCTAGCCATGTCGCTTCTTAAATGAATTGCCGCTGCAGAAAGCATATCTGTCTTATCAATTGAGGCCGAGCCAGATTCACTATCGCTAGAATGACTTTCAGTATCGACAGAACTGGCTTTGACAAACGCAATTCCGGTACGCGTGGCAACTGGAGGCAATCCAGACGACAACGGTGATACCGATCTGGATTTAGGGCTAGAGGAGGATAATGGTGAAGGCGATCGCCCATTCCGTAGACTATTCAGCTTGAACTTAATGGGTGAATTTGATCCCTCAAGGGAAGTTCCTGGTGTATCATTGGTATTCGAAACGTCTCCCATCAGTTGATCCTGATGACTTCCTCCTGTCTGCTCAGAATCAAGCTTGATTTTTTTCTCTGGAGACTCTGTTGATGTGGGATCTGGAGGCGGCGATGCTGGAGAGGTGGGCTTTCTCAAGCTTCGATTAAATGCCCACTCTTCTTCATTGTCATCATCGTCTAGATAATCTACGAGTTTCCTCCGCATCAGAGTAGGTGGCGGTGGCGGCGAAGTTTGAGAAGCAAGGACAGGTTCTGTACCTTTATCTACCTCATTTCCAGATAAATCATGTCCTTCATGTTCTTCTCCCGAATCATCATCAGAAGACTCTTTAACTCTCCTCCTAAGGTCAGACGTTGGTGGATCGTCCTCTTGCTTGCTTTCGTTTGGTACTTCGTCTTCATCATCAGAGTTGTTGAAATACGCTTCTTCATCATCGTCCATTGTTGATGATGACCAGGCTTTCTGTCCCAGCCCTACTCGTTTAGTGGCACTTGCTTCACTCGCGACTGCATCTGCAGCTTCGGCGTCAGCCACTGAGGTATCCTGCTGTTGTTCATATCTCCTAATCAATGCCTTGAAAGTATTAACATACTCGATATCTTTGAATTTGTCACCATAAAGAGGTACAATGTGCGATATTAACGACTTGATATTTTCCTAATGATGCAGCAAATAACAAAGAAAAAGAAGTCAATCCCTCCTCCTCATAATCTTTAGTAAGTATGCCTGACTATACCATGTAAATTATTGATAGTTTGACGTACATTGCGAATATAATCAAAAAACTCGATGCAAGCGGAATTCAACAGGTTGTTTTTGTTATTAGTTGAGAGAAGCATGTCCACGATATACTGGATGATGTTTTGTTTGATCAGATAGCGGTGATAAAAGTCGTCATTCATGCCGATGCATGTCCTGAAAAACCGAAGTGCAGCTATTTACGTACAATATAGTAGTACACATAATTAAGATGAGGACGGATAGCATAGGAGTCAATAGAAGATGATATAAATCAACTTATCAACTTACACAACCGCAAGTGTTGGTCACGATTTTTCAACAGAACACAGACTTTGCTAACAACGCCGCTTGAAAGGACATAATACTTGCTCCTAAAGGTATGGTTTCGAACAATGAACGACAGGATCTGACAAATGTTTTCACAGACAGTTGCTGTTGAGCGTGAAAACACTGTGGCATCTATTAGCAAAAAAAAAAAAAAAAAAAAAAAAAGGAAAAAGGAAAAAAAGGGAAGAGTTAGATAGAGCGTTATAAAGAATCGAGTGAATCAAATGAAATCGTCGAATGGACCACAGATGTAGATGGTTAATAAGCAAATAGCATAACCGTACTTGCCTTCAGAAAGTTCCAATAATGGCGATACAAATTTTCCGATATAGGGGCCATAAAATAATTCGAGAAACTTGTCTGAATCCGGATCCAGATTAGGCGTCGGGTCTAAAGTCGCTGTAATACCATTGTCTCCTTGACTTGTATTAGTGTCTAACAAGAGGCGAATAGTCTCTGAGTACTGTAGCTTGATGCCCATGTCTTCTTCTCCGAGAAACTGATCCAAAATGATGTCCATAAGCTGCTTTGAGGACTTCTCCTCAGCTTGTCTCACGATATGTGCCCTAATCAGATTTGGATCGTACTCCATTGCAAACATAAATATCTCTGTCCCTGCCATCTTGATTTTTGGATCTGTGTCTGATAGAGCAGCCTCAAATAGGTTGAATAGTCCAGTTTGACTAAGAGTCCTGTTTAAATTAGAAGACATTGTATTCTGTCAGAAAATGTTCATTATATATATCATTTGTCACATACCCACCGTCTAGAGGGTGTATATCGCATACCGATAAAGTCCAGCGCGTGTTGGAAGTTGGGTAGTCTTGGCGATAGAGCAGACTTGTTGTACAAATAAGATCACATCTCTTTTCCGCTCCAGTGGTTCCGAGTCATTCTCCAAAATACCAAAGAGCTCCTTCAAAAATGCCCGATCCTGATGAATATAAGTGACAATATCGATATTATGAAAGAAAATTAAAGAGCCCAGGATCGAAGACAAGTGCTCGTCTGCAAAGCGCGCCAATACAGTGTCCCTTAGGAAATGCAACCGATAGGCCTGATGGATCTTTTGCTCCACTTCTGGGTCATTAATAGGCACAATTTGCTTATACTTTGACCGCTTAGTGAGAAATTCCCTATATTCTTGCTTTTGGTCACCAAGCTCTGGATCGTCTACAAAAAGGAATGTGGCGAAAGCATAATTGGTAAGTTTCTTTCAAGAAAAAGACGCCATAAATTCAGAAAATCCGGATAACTCTCTTACATTCCAGCATTCCCAAGCAGCCAATAATGATTTCATCCTTGAGAATATATTGGATAATAGCAATGTCGTTCAGCATGACTATTATTGATGATCAGGAAGAGATATGAATATGGTGATAATAATGAGTAAATTGTCAATTTTTCTAACATTATTTGCCTGTAAGATCTCCAGTTAATCAAAACAACATCATATGTCACTCACTGATCCCAAGCATAATGCCGTGCAACAGATGTAAGTCTGAACGACTCTCCAAATCCTCACAGGTCTCTAGGATCGGGAAGAGCTTGTCTATATAATTCTATTATATGAGAGAGACGATGATGAAACGTTAGTGAGAATCTCTAAAGCCCTTTTATTCCTTATTTCGCATCGATTTATGGGAGGCACTCCCTTGTTTTCTAATGACGATCACATACATCGATGATAATATAGCCAGCCAACTTTTCTTTTTCGTTGATTCCATTCTGAGCTTCTTTGATGAGGATTTCAATCTCTGCAAGGTTGGAAATATCAGGATCGGGAAGCGTAATAAAATCACCGCTGCCGGCGCCATTTGCATCTGAAGGGTCCGAAAAAAGGTCCTCGGCTATGTGAGAGAAGAGATAATCCAGAGTTAATATATCGATCCGTAATGACTTTTGGAATAAAGAAACTGCAGTGTAGCCCTCATATTACCACCACCATACCATAATGCTGCTGAACCTCGTTGATATTATCCCTATGTAACACCGCAAAAAAACGATTAATATAAGTTAATTAATGATTATGTCAATGCGTAACAATGAGCTTAGTTCTTGTCTCAGTCTAAGCCGAAATAGCCCCTTGAATTGCGTTACCATATCTCGCCACAGCCTTCTGCTTCCTGAAAGCTGAGTGCCAAGTCCTCTCCATCATCCTCAGACCATACAATCAAGGTTTCTATCGAGCAATGGGTATCACCATGTTAGAGGGAATAAAATAAGTTTCCACAAAGCAGACTTAACTATGTTATAAGGATCATTTCGTAACCATCATACCTTGTTGCCGCTGGTATAGATCCTCGCCGACTCTTATCCGTGTCCTCAACAAGATTTTATCCTCCTCATCCTCGGAATGAACAATTAGGGTGCCTTCAGATTTGTCCTAATAAAAGGTGTTGACCGGGAGAGTATCCCTATTGTGTCAGTATTTCATATGGTTCCAATAGGGAAACGACATGCAGCCCATGAGCCCCAACCCTCAAGACATTCTTGCTGTCTCTGCGAGCGTGAGAGTGCACTTGCTTATTTAGGTTTTTGGCTTTATGATCAATTTAGATACATGTTCACACATGTCGCTGACAAAGCAATTTTTCTTTTTTTGAAACTTTCAGAGTCACACAAGGTCAGATGACGAGTTGGTGTCGGCACCCTAATGGTCCTCCATGGCACCCTGCTTATGATGACATTCAATCACTTTCACGGACGATGCAATTCCTTTGTGTGCCTGATTTGATTACATAGTTCCTTACCAAGTTGAACTCGCATGAACAATGACCCGTGCCTTGATCGATCCATTGGTTCCCAGTGCTGAGCTTGTACACTTTTACACGCATCTTTGCATTTGATTCCATGATGCTTTAAGCCCACCTAGATTAAATCTAGTGTCGTGGAGAGAGGCTGAAGGGGGCGAGGGGCAGGAGTGAAGCAGTGCTGTAGGGGCAAAGAGAGGATCTTGATGGAAAGAAAGAGTGTGTGAGACAGTGAGAGAGTGAGAAAGATTTTAAAGAACAGTCGGAATGGCTCCCTCCTGCAACTGGCAAAGAGTTTCGAATGGCAGATGCGATTGCGTCCAAGGTAGATCCGGTTGAAGAAGGATGTGATCAGAGAAGGGATGAGCCCCGATCCAAAGAAATATAATATGTAATATGAAGAGTGAAAGGGTATGTATGAGGTCAAACTTTGTAATAAAACACGTTCACGCGACAGCCCCATATAGTTGGATGGATCATAAATGAGCAAAGGGTGTGTTGCGTTGGGTTTTTCTTTACTGACCTGTAATGTAAAATACCAGAGAAAGCGATGCGCAGCACTGAAAAAAAAAAAAACCTTTATGGAAGTAATAATCGTAATACAAAAATCAATGGGTATCAACGCCAGTTTACTGTTCACATTATATATACCATTGTTAATTCACAGCTAATAGCACGTGATCATTGTTTCTGTTTTTTTTGTAAAAGCATCATTTTTTTTTTTTTATTTTTTTTTTTTTCATCTATCATTAAACAACAAACCCTTCTGAGAATGACTGCCAAACAGCCCACACCACAGGAACCATCAAGTCGTGTATCTGGGAAGGAATGGAAGTTGGCAAAGGCCCCTACTCGTCGTTCACAGATGCCCAAGGCCTTGAAACAAGCATATACAGAGCGCATGGCCAAAACTAAACAACATGACATTGTTAGAAATCTTGCAAAATCATTGACTCAGGAGAAGATTGATGAGAAGCGAGTAAGTTGAAAAAAAAAAAAAAAAAAAACATTCCCTTTTATTGTATCAGGATGGTTGCAACAAGTAATCTTTGTATTAGAATATATGGTAATGTTTTAACTAATGCTCCTAACATCACCTTATCATCTATGATCTATCTTATTTGATACACTTTTTGATAGCGCAAGAGAGAGATTACTGAAGAAAGGAAGAAGATTCAGGAAGAGAAGGAGAGAGTTGCCAATCTTGCCGCCAAGATGTCCGCCAACAAGCTCAAGAGACTCAAAAAGAAGGCTGGGAACCTCAAGGGACGCTAGTTTGGATCACTAATCACTCGGCACTGTAGTCCCATCGATTTTTATAATTTTCTTTATTTACCGTCCTCATCTTTGTTCTGCTCTATTTCTGTAATATATATCTCTTATGCATTTGTTAGCTCCTTATCAATCTAAGCATCTCGCTCTTATCATACACATAGACATTATATATTAATCAATATTTCTTCTATGTTCCTTCACTTAACGATATTAAACGAAAGCGTCTTTTTTTTTTTCATTGTCTCTTCAGTTTATATCTCAACATTTCGTCCAGTCAATGTTTTGTCGACTTGTATCTCTCTACCTTCGCCCCTATCATATATATTTTTGTGCTTGAAAAAGAGTTGATCTGGTCTACGAAGAATTCAGCCCGTCTAGGTGATGCTGTGTACTAGCTCGTGTGTCGTACACTATATTTTATAATCAGATGTTCAGCGTGCATGTTGCCACATAGATCTCTTAGAATGCAAATTTCCGTTAGTAAGGACCTTATCCTGGTTAACAAGCTCGGTCATAATCGTTAGTAGCAGAAAAGAGATCAAGTCTTGCTTATACGGAGCATTCTTTCATTTCATAGCTTTGGTGCTTCGCCCAAATCAGGCCAAGAAAAAAAGGAAAAAAACCCCTCCTTGCTGTTCAATTAACCCGTGGATAGATAGCAGTTTTAGTGAATTCGAATTATGGAAGGTTCATAATTCAGTAAAAACACAAAACCCCATGAAGATTTGGTGTAGTGCTTTGAGCAAGCTTGCAAAAACCGTGGTCAATGTAATGCATGAGGGTAAGCTGTGAGTTTGTGTATTTTACAAAATTGTTCAACACGTAGATAGCCTCCCACATACCCTTGTCAGCCCTTGTCCTTTGTATACGTTAATAGCACTCATTCTATTTCCTTAACATCGTACCGCTTAATGGTGCTTTCTTAAGTTCTAATATCTTTCTTTCTTTTTTTTTGTCAGCAAAGATTTGTAATCACTAAAATCACTCTGGTGACTAAAAAAAAAAAGTGACTAGTCGATCTTGTATTTCTGGGATCTGTGCAATTGAAGGATGCTTCTTGAAGATTAGAAATGGTGTGACAGAATTGAATGCCGCAGAACATGAAATGTAATTCTTTTTTTTTTTTTTTTTTTTTTTTTTGTTTCCACTCCATTCGCTCTTCACATACTTCGCCTTTTTCATCAACACATTCCTCAGCTCATCAACCATCGACTCTTTGACATTTACCATAAATCTGCATCTCACCTCATCCTCCTTTTAGAGACTTTAATATCCATATATATTTTTTTCGGCAAGCGACTTTTCACAATGATTAAAATCTGGACCATGAAGAAAGAGAATGCCGGGGTTGATAAGAAGAAGCAAAAAGTCACTGCCGGTCAGATTCGTGTGCAGAAAGGTCCGGTTGATCACTACCATACAGCCCAAAGAACTTTTTATTTTCGTGCTGGAGAGTGTTGACTATTATTATTGAAGGTACTAACCTATTTATTATATCAAAAACTTCTTCGTAACAGATTTGAGTGAACTGGACCTACCAAAGACAATGAAGATGACATTCCCAGTTCCTGATGATTTGCTTAACTTTGAACTTGAAATTTCTCCTGATGAAGGTGAGGACAAACGTGCAGGACATGAGGAAAAAAAAAAAAAAAAAAAAAAAAAAAAAAACTCATTCAAGCATATAAGTGATTCAACTGCAAAATAACAACAACAAAAAAGATTTCTGGAAACCATGGCAGTGTAATGAGACTGATGTGTAATCAGCAAACCGCTCAAAAAAAAAAAGAAAGACTTTTGGAACGGGTACATTCCTTTTTCCTAGCATAAACAATTTCTTTGCTGGAAAGAACATTGATATTAGCAGCCCTTCAATTTCACAAAAATAGCTTGCGTGGAGTAACAATTCATTGAATCAATACTTACACCCTATTATCACTGTCCTATGGCATTTAGGTTTTTACGCTGGAGGAACTTTCAAGTTTTCATTCTCTGTTAACGGAAACTATCCTCATGATGCACCCAGTGTCAAGTGTTTGCAAAAGGTATTGGATGCAATCCAATCCAAAGGGAGAGTGATGACTTTATTTGTTATTCAGTGTCAAGCATCACGAGGCTTCGATTTGCCACCAAATAGCTTCTAACAAATTTGATTGGATTTGGAAAATTTCACGTTTTATCCACGCATTTGAAACAAAAACTTGCTTAGATCTACCATCCCAACATTCAGGCGGACGGCAAGATCTGTTTAAATATTCTTCGTGAGGATTGGAAACCTGTCTTGACGCTAAATTCTGTAATGGTTGGATTGCAATATCTTCTTCTGGAACCTAATGCTGATGATCCGCTTAATAAGGAGGCAGCAGAAGACTTGCGAACGAACCGTCGTAACTTTGAAACCAATGTCGCCAAGAGTATTCGTGGAGGTTCTGTCAACGGTATTCAATATGACAATGTCATGACGCATTAAAAAAAAAAATAACCACGATGTCAGGATAATTAAGAGCAACAAAGCAAGGCGATCTCTTTAATGTCAGGATATTCACATCTGAATAAAACCATATTCGTCTATTTTGCTTCGATTTGTCCAAGGAGAAGAAAAGCTGTTAAACAAAAAAAAAAAAAAAAAAATAAGAAAAAAAAAGTCTCGTTAAAGACCATACACAAACCCTTCTTATGTAGTCTACAAATAAATTGATCGATAACCAAATGTGAAAGTGTATTATTATTTCATTTTCAACTTCTCCTTAGTAATCTCCATGTAAAGCTTGGGTGAGGATGATGAAACAAAAGAGAGACTGCCTATACTCAATCACTCATGGGCTATGTAGTATAATGAGAGGCCTTCGATCCATTGATAATATTTTTTATTTATTTTTAGACCTTCTTTGTCTTAACAAAGCGAATAGACCTCTCGGTTACATTTTACCCAGATTGGCTATAAAGAATGAGGTTCAAGGTATGCCCGAGTGCAAAAAAAGCTTAAATATGCTCAACAGACCTGAAGCGATCAAAAGCAAAAAATACCCTCGTTCCTCGCCTCGGCATAATTTTTCCATTGCGATCGAAAATGCTATCCATTTAAGTATATTCGGCCCATGATCTTTTACACTATTTCTTCTTTATCCTGCTATTATTCACCTCTCCACCGCTCTCACTTTCTCTTCACTCTTCGCTTTCACCTTTACAAAGTCTTTTTCTACCCAACTAAACTACTACATTATGCCTAATCCAGTTGTTCCCACCAACTCCATTTTCAAGGAGGATATCCTTAAAGGCAAAGTTGCCTTTGTTACAGGTACATTTTTTTTTCTTCATCTCCATGCAAATGAACATTGTCATGTCAGCCAATGCAGGAGAGAGTTGATCTGTTAATGCTATACTCAACCACGCTGCCTTATACTTACCTTTTTTTTTTTTTTGTACAATACTAAAAAAAAATAACAAAAAAAAAAAAAAAAAGGTGGCGGATCCGGTATCTGCAAGGGCATGGCGGAGGCATTGGCCCGTCATGGTGCCAAGGTCACTATTGTCAGCAGAACGTAAGCAGTTTTTTTTTTTTTTTTTTTTTTCCCTCCTGATCGATGTTTTCTCCTTTTGTCAGCCGAAGGAAAAGGGACGAGGATCACCACCTTTTTTTTCTTTGAGAATACTGAGTTTCAATTTCTTTTAAAAAAAAAAAAAAAAAAAAGCTTGTCAAAGTTAGAGGCTGCAGCCAAGGAGATGCGCGCTTCAACTGGTGGAGAGATTTTTGCTGTGGCCGCTGATGTCCGTGATCCTAAACAAGTACAAGAAGCTGTGGAGAAGCATATTGCGCATTATGGTCGTCTCGACATCCTCGTCAATGGTGCAGCTGGAAACTTCTTGTCACTCTCTCAACATCTATCCTTCAATGCCTTCCGATCCGTGATTGAGATTGATCTGATCGGAACCTTCAATACCACAAAGTGCTGTTTCCCTTACTTGAAGGAATCCAAGGGTTCTATCATTAATGTCTCCGCCACATTAGCCTATAACGGTCAGGTCTTCCAAGCACATGCCTGTGCTGCCAAAGCTGGTGTTGATGCTCTTTCCCTTGTCTGGGCCAACGAGTGGGGCCCTCTTGGTATCCGTTCCAACTGCATTGCCCCCGGTCCAATTGCCAACACAGTTGGAATGTCCAAATTATCTCCCGGAGAGGCCGATGGGGTTCGTGTTCCCATTGGGCGTCTAGGCGAAGTCCGTGACATTGAACATGCCACTTTGTATCTTGCCTCCGAGGCTGGTGCCTTCGTTACTGGACAGGTCTTGATCGTCGATGGCGGAAACTGGTTGCAGCCCAGCATGGCCAACGGATACCCAGAGGTATGTGCTCAGGAACTCAACATGCGCGCCATCATGGAGCCTGACAACCCTAAGTCTAAGCTGTAAAAAAAAGTTGTAAAATACAATATTAATAAAAGTACATAAAATGTGCATTCACATGTAGTTTTAATTTTGAGATCAATCTTTTGAAGGGGGTTTATTGTTTTTTTATAATGCATAGCAACAAAAAGACTATCTATGCGTTTGTGAATGAGAAACTATTGCATCTACTCATTATCAGAAAGACCAGATGAAGGACTGGCAGCAGGGCTAGCACCATCATCATCATCATCATCATCATCATCATCATCATCATCATCATCATCATCATCATCATCATCATCATCATCATCATGGCGCCACCGTGATCCTTGGAGTCTACTATACTCCTCCGAATCCGAGACTTCTTTCGAGTCTGGCGTGGCCACTCGTGAGTATTCGCCCTCATCCGAGCTCACCACATTGGATCCATCACTACTAGCTATCGCAGTACCACTTGCGATCATCCTTGAACTACCACCTTTACGGCGTCGGTTGAAAATCTTGTTCACCACCGAATCTGCACCAAAGGTATCTCGCACAAACTTGTCGGATTTGTCTTCCCACACACTGAGAACCTGCCGTAAATCATTTCGCAAGACTGCAATCTCGTTTTTAAGTTCATCGCGGGTTCCATGCCAGTTCTGACGAATAGACGCTCCGATATCTTGGGCTGATTTTTTCAGCTTAACCTCTTGTTCCTACGATATTAATAAAAAGTTTAGACTACAGAAATATCTTTTTTTTTTTTTTTTTTTTTTTAATTAGTAAGTTCACAACAAAATGATTGGGTCATTCACCTTGAAAAATCCAATACCCAGCTCCTTAGCAGTAACTCCACGCTCAAGATTGCGTCGCAAGTACTGATCATAATCTTTCACAATGCGGGTAATCAAATCTGATGTCGACACGCCTTCAGTTCGTTGTGTGGGCAAAAAGTGGCCATTCTTTTTAACAAACGCATAGACATCATGACTGTCCACAGACTGGTATGGGATATCGTCGTGCGCTACATAATCAATCTGTTGAATGGACGGGTTTAGATTCATTAGCTTATGCATGTATGATGAAGTATCTCCCCGCACTTTGTCCTCCCTCTGCCTAAGAAGCACGCGCGATAAACAAATACATCGTCATTGTTCTGCTGCAAAAAGCTTCTCGTTCCTACCAATCAATCCTCATCATGCTCCATTTTCTCATGATAATATCTTTGTTTTTAATCTAGACCTTGGTTATTTTTATGAAATCTTGCGCTTACCTTATGTTTGTCCAAAAACGCCTGGTCCACAACCCAAGGTGCAGCCTCGATCACCTCATCAACCCATTTGCAATGACGAACACTCTCATAGCGCTCCTTGTCTGTCATTACGGTCTTGCCTTTGCGACGATGGGTTTCCACATCATCGCAGACTAATTTTTTTTTTTTTTTGTAAAACGAACATTTGAACATAATAAAGTTTCAATGTCAAAAGTAAGCGATAGACAACAGCAGCAATGATTCATTTTAACTTCCTCTCCTTTATCGCGTGTTTTGATTAAAGATTTGAGAACAATGTCATTGGAAGTTTGAAGTGTATCCTGTTGTCTGATTCTCCCCTCCAATGAGGAAGTGCGATCAAAAAAAGATGACAACACGACAATTATGACACAATGAATATGATCTCCATGAACAACCTATTACTCTGTCCTCTCTCCCGTTTTTGGTTTCTTACCTCCAACAAGCAAGTAAACATCTGGGAAAGCTTTCTTGGCTTGCTCCAGTGCCTTGGCATGTCCAAAATGAAATAAATCATAGATTCCATCACAATAGATACGAACAGGGCGGCCGACAGGTGGAGGATTGATCGGATAACTGTATGCAGATGGTGGTGCTGGGGTACCACTGAGGTGATCATCGCCACTCTTGTTGATGTCACTCTCAGCACTATTGATTGTGATGTCGTTTCCATCTAGAGCTTGTGAGTGCTTTTTAACAACGTTGTCCTCTTGAGTGCCGTCATCAACAGGTTCATCATGATGTTTGTGTAAACTTCTAGCAGAGTTATTGTGCGACGTGCGAGCTTGCTTAGAAGCAACAGCTCTAGATGGTGATGAAGACGAGGAAGACGAAGATGATGATAATAGTGTGGACGCAGCAGCGTCAGACGAGGCTTTGTTTGAGGCGCGTTTACGCTTGGAAGACATGTCGTTTTGAGTAGAATGCAATGAAACGGAAATGAGAAGAAGAATGAAGAGACAAAAAATAAAAAAATCAAAGTGCTTTAAGCTATGCCTTGAAAGAACGCAGGCACCAAAGAGGCCCATGTATTCAAACCAAAGATTAACAAATTAACATGGGGCGCTGAGCACTGAGCACGGATGACAGCGGTGATGATAATGATGATAGTGTTGTTGCCACTAAAAAGGAAAAACAAAGCGGTATTTGACATTATTATGCATTTATCAATTTATTTCCGTTTGCAACCAAGGTAACATAGTCATCTCGTTGAGATTTTATTTTTTCAGTCTTAAAAGATACATTATCATTTTTCGCTCATCAATGATTGCGGTAACTATAGCCAATATCGTATGTTTGTTTGTTTTTTTGTTTTTGTTTGATTTTGGTGTGGATATTTGATGTCATTACTGGCTTTTGCTAGAACTTGGCACTTGGCTTGGCTGATTACCACTTTGAGCCAAACTTTTTCTTGACAGCTGCAGCCATCTGCTTAGTCGTCATATGGGAGTGGGTCCCAATGGCATCTGTCGTCCCTGCTGGACTCAAGGATCCAGGTTGCTGTGGTTGCTGTGAATATGGCGTCTGGTACTGACCTTGTTGTTGGAATTGTTGTTGCTGAAACTGTGTAGGTTGCTGCTGGTATTGTGTTGGCTGCTGACTATATCGGTGCTGTTGTGGAGAAATAGGTGACACTGGATGGCTCTGGTTTGGCGCAAATGACGAGGGCGAGGCTACAGTACTCGGAAGAATTCCGCCTTGTCCCTGAAAAGATCCTGACCCTTGCGAGAATGGAGGTCGCACTTGACTTACACTATTCCTCATGTTTGGTGGAGGTGAAATAGGAGGTTGGTTTCCAGAGCCTGGGAAGTATGTATACACAGATGTTGCTGACTGAGAGACCGGGGGAGGTGGCGGTGGAGTAGGGAAACCAGCTGATCCTGCCTCTTCGGATGCATGAAGATTTGATTGGGATCCGCCTGTCTTTGCATTAGTCAAAGCCACAGCCATAGGCTGGAAAGGGGCGCTTGATTGAGGAGTCGCTGATGATGTGGGCACTGATGTACCATCACCGCTCATCGCTGAAGGCTCGTAGTTGGCGCGGAATGTAGGCTGCTGATGAAGCTGATTGTTCTGATGCCCTACATTTTGCTGCTGTTGATGTTGCTGCTGTTGCTGTTGCTGCTGCTGTTGCTGTTGTTGCTGCTGCTGTTGTTGTTGTTGTTGTTGTTGTTGTTGTTGTTGTTGTTGGGCGCCATCACTAGGAGATAATGGGCCAATTATGGACTGACGGACAGAGACATTGATAGCCGGATACTGGCCGTTAGTAGGAGGTTTCCTAATTACCAAAGAAGTTTAATAATTATACCAAACTTTGATTAGTATGCTTAGCTTAGACTATAAACTTGTTGGTAATTTATGTGATAGATAATCGTACTTACAAGAGCTGAACATATGCCGTAGGGAAAATTCCAATATTCTTCCTCAGAATACCACGCCACCAATCCGCATTTACTACGGGTATAGTGAAATAAAATAAAACAATGCTAAGTACGCTAGAAATAGTGCACAATTAAACTTTACTGCAGCAGAGCATGGCTTCCAAGCGAAAGGCACTTACGGTACTCAATGACGTTGATAATATCGCCAACCTTGAAGGGCAAATCGCCCTCGTCTTCGCCTGCAAAGTCAAACATGGCTTGGGCACGAGCAATAACCTGAATACTACGAGATTCAGAGATGATAGAGATATGGCTGCCGGCATCTGATACAGGTGATGGAGGTGGTTGTTGGCTCTCTTGCTGCTGGACCATCGGCTGCTGCTGAGGCTGCGTTGGTGTCTGATAGGGACCGAGGGTTGGACCTTCCATTCTAGCGTTTTGAGAAGCTACAGGCGAGGATGAGGTCGACAGACGTGCAGCCTTGATTGCTGCAGAGGCTGCAGAGGCGGCAGAGGCAGCCTCGTGCGTTTCAGGCTTCAGCGAAGTTCCATTAAATGAAGTGTTGGAAAGGTTAGACAAATGCTTAGTATGTCTGTCCCGGGTTGTCTGGGCAGCCATAGATCCTGATGGGTTACTTTCCGAAGTCAACGCCGTGATGACCTGCAAGGGGCCATGGTGCGATTGCTGCTGCTGTTGCTGTTGCTGTTGCTGTTGCTGTTGCTGTTGCTGTTGCTGTTGCTGTTGCTGTTGCTGTTGCTGTTGCTGTTGGTATGATTGCTGCTGTCCTGGCTGTTGGGCTTGGAAGGGTTGTTGATGTTGCTGCAGGGGCTGCAGGGGCTGACGTTGACCGTGTTGCTGACCCTGTTGTGGAATCTGCTGTTGATCCTGCTGTGGAATCTGGTGTTGACCTTGCTGTGGAATCTGGTGTTGGCTCTGCTGCTGACCCTGCTGTTGACCCTGTGGAATCTGCTGTTGAACCTGCTGTTGAACCTGCTGTTGAACCTGTTGATGAGCCTGTTGATGACTCTGTTGTTGGCTCTGTTCCTGTTGGGGTAGATAAGGATGTGATTGCTGTCGGATTTGGGGTGTGGAAGGGTTGCTCTGGAATGAATCCTGACGATTGTGAAGAGATGTTGCAATTGCTGCAGCAGATGCCTGAGCGCTGGAGATAGGGTTCAAGGGCTGATTGAGACTATAGGGTGACGAGACTGCGACTTGTCCTTGCACATACTGGGGTTGGATTTGAGGTTGGATTTGGGGCTGTGGCTGAATCTGCTGAACACCATACTGACCCAGAGGAGAAAATTGAGCCTGTCCGGGTGTAAATTGCATTTGGGGTGATGGAGTGACTACCGCCTCATGATGTATACCCTGGTTACCTTTACCATCTTTGTCTTCCTTCTTGGGATCTTTATCTTTGGGGAGCAAAGAGTGACGGATAGCATTCATCCAGCGCTTTCCTGCTGGCTTTGCTGACGATTCACTTACTGAGGAGCCTGCTGAAGGTGGTTCTGCGGCACTGGAAGCATTATGCAAATCTATTCCTGTATGTATAGGTGGGTGTGGCAGTGGTTGCTGCTGTTGCTGTTGCTGTTGCTGTTGCTGAAAGTACATATTTTGTTGATGTTGTAACTGATTGTGGGTAGGGTGTTGTTGTTGGTGATAGTGTTGCTGTTGCTGCTGCTGCTGCTGCTGCTGATCATATGACTGTTGATGAGGCAACGTCTGGTGATACTGGTGCTGGGGGGTTTGTGCCGATGCTGGCGCCTGAGTTGAGTTTGATATAACTTGACCTTGGCCTTGCACAGGGAGCTGTGAAGGAGCTTGAGACTGGAACGACGCCTGTTGTAAATGAGGTTGAACCGGAGCTTGCGAATGAGCCAGATTCTGTGCAGTGATGTCCTGCGTCGGTGTGGGCTCATGTGTTTGTGCGGGTGTCGGTGCTTGAACAGGTGCTTGCGCAGAAATTTGCACTTGTTCCTGAGATGACTGAGTTGGAGGTTGAGATTTAACAGATGGTTTCGACTTTGGTTGGTAAGGCTTGGGTTGATACAACTGATAGGCCTGAACAGGCATTGCCAATGGTTGTGGGATGATCTGCTCTGGGAAGGATGACGACGCTGGCACGGGCGCTATTTCGGCATTAGAGTGAGGTGTTTGACGCAAGACTGGAGGCTGATAGGTCACAGGAGTGATATATTCATCCTTTGGGGGTGGAGTTGGTGCATGCTGTTCAGAATGGTTTCCGGTATCAATGGAGGTCATTGAGTCTTTTCCATCAGTGGTTTCCGCAGTACTAGCAGAGGTTTCGTGGACGTGGCGGGATGAAGAGAGCTCTTGAGCATGTGTAGGGCGCTTGGTATCCCCCATTTCTTCTAAAATATCGGAGATGGACATGTTTGTCTCTCTTATGGGAGAAGACACATTGGGCGGATTTGTCTGTTGTGGATGCTCCAATTGCTGATGCTGATGTTGATGTTGTTGATGCTGTTGATGCTGATGGGGAGGAGTGAACACCTGGGATGGGTAGAATACTGGCGGTGAAGATACAGAGCTGGGCTGAGCTGCATTGTAAACGACCGGTTGCGCTGAAACGGGCTCCGCCGGATGTCCATGGGTATAGACAGGGCTGACGACATGATGTGAATGCTCATAATGTGCGGGCTGGGATTGTGTGTGATGGTGCTCAGAATGCTCTTGAATGTTTACACCAGATGTTGTTGTTCCAGAGTCAGAAGGCTGGGTGCTCCTTCCTGATTGCTCTTCAGATTTTTCCTGAGCAGCAGGTACAAAGGCAACGGAAGAATTATTCACAGAACTTGCAATAGAACCTTGAGAATGTGGCACTGCAGCAGGAGGAGCCTCAACAGCTTGGTGTGGAGACACCACGGCAGTGTTAAGTACAACAGGACTAGAGGCTACAGATAAAGAGCGTTCCTTCACAACCTGGGTCGTTGACTGGTTCTGGTCTTCGTCGGCTTCAGCATCCTCAAGCACGGCGACCTCGCTCTCGTCCTGGTCCAAGTCGTCTGTTGTACTGGTGGCTAGGAGATTATCGAGCTCTCCAGTCGTGAGATCTGTATTGTTGTGGTCACCTGGAGCATGGTCCATGTCCTCCAGTCTCAGAAGGCGCTCCTGCTGCAAACGGTCAGTCTCTTGGCTAAGCTCATAATCGCTTTCGTTGTCAGAGTCCTCATCATGACGTTCATTATGCTGAGAGGTTTGAGAGGCAAGGGTATGATCGTGAGCTTTATTCTGAGTGGCGGTGGAGGTTGGGGATTGCTTGGTGAACTCTACTACATTGGTTGAAGACCGTGAAGGGAGGATGAGCATCTGTAGGTCATTATCAATTGACGTTCTGTGTTCAGATTGGGCTTCCTGACGAGGTTGAGAACGTGGGGTTGGAGCTGGGGCTAAAGCAGGAACAACGGTCCCAGGTGAGGAGATTGCTTGTAGATCGAGTTTGCATAGTTCTGACAGGATTCTAAAAGTGTCGAAAGAGGAAAGCGAGGGGAAAAAAGAAGTTTAGTATTCAAAACTATTAATTTTTTTTAAAAAAAAAAAAAAAAAAAAAAAAAAAGGTATTAAGAGCGTGCTTACACTTTGAGAGATTCGTCTGTGATGACACCTTGGTCATTGAGGAAGATGATGTGGCCTTGAAGTGTCTGCACAATGTGCGAACAAGCAGCTTCGGCCATGGCAGGAGACATGGTGAGATGCTGAAGAAATTTTTTATTTATTTTTTTTTATCAAATTAGAGTTGATAAAAAGAGAAGAGATAGAAGGGAGATTAATGAAAGAAAGTGGGCGAGGATTAAAAAGAGAAGAGACTAGAGAGAGGGATAGCGAGGAGGATGGGGATGGGGGATGGGGGGACGTGGATGTAGATGTGAACAAGCAAATAAAAAAAGAGAAAGAAAGAAAAAGAAAAGAGCGGCAAGAAAGAAAAATAAAAAAGAAGGCGCTTTTTTTTTTTTTTTTTTTTTTTTTTTTTTGGGCTGGTGAAACAGACTGCCGCGTTTGACCATGCAGACTGCGCCAGCAAACTAAAAAAGATTTTTTATACGTGTCTTTTTCTTTTCATCTTTTCTTTTCTTTCTTAACAACAAACTTTCCTATTCTTGTGATCATGTAACATATACATTACTGCATGTATAGAATGCATCCATACAATACACTTCTCTCGACTATACGACATGTCGCCAATATTTCAATCGCAATAAGGAATATATATATAAACGTACATCATTATCTCTCTTTCTTTTCTTTCTTTCATATCCTTATCGCTTGCCTTGTGAGCACTGGACTTGTTACTGTTTCTTACTTGAGAGTGAAAAGTAGATTTGTGCACGCGTTTTTCCCCACTATGCTACGCACTGACCTTTGGCTGCATTTGCTCTGGCACCAAGGCCTTTCTTCCTTTCTTTAAATGTATTTGTCATGCGTTTTCTCGTTTCCTCACAAAATAAACTTTTTATTTCTTTAAAATGACTCTGTGTTTCAAAGACGTGCCCTGGCCCTTTCAGACTTTCCTCGCTTGTGCTCCAAATACGCGAGTGTCTTTTCAGGCCCCTTTGCCTTCTTAAAGATTTGTTCCAATTGCTCTGCCAACTCTATAGCACCTGCAATCTTGATCTTTCCGCTCACGATGCCGCGAGCGCCCTTCATAAAGAACAAGGTAAAAGTAAAGAACCAAAGAAGAATGAATTAAGTATCATTTCAAAAAAGTAACGACGAAAGGAAAGAAAGGGCACTTACAGTTAAGCCTCCGCTCATAAAGTTGAGCAGGTCCGAGTCCTCGATTTGGAGAATCGCTACAGGGATAGGGTCTTGGTCCCGCTTTGCTTTGGGAATTTCTGGCCTCTTCTGAGAGACAACAGCGGGAGCATCAAATCCCTGAAAGAGGAGGTACCTAGAATATTAGACAATAGAATCATATGAACCTTTATCTCGTTTCAAAAGGTCCGGGATTACAATGTTTCTAAAAAGGCGTTGGTATCATACCATTCAGTCATAGGAACTCCTCGCTTAGTGATGTTAAATATAAAGAACCCATGGATAGCAAACAATGAAGGATTCGCAGTGATTTCTAATATAAGAAGAAGAAAAGAAAAGAAAAGAAAAAAAAAAAAAAAAAAAAGAAGTAAATGACGCGATGTTCATGTTCATTTCAACCTGTTAGCTCCATGAATTACAATTACTCTACCTTTTCGAATCTCTGGAAAGAGCGTTGAAGCATTTAGCTTGGCAATAGCCTTGGCGGAAGGACGGTTCGACATTGTATCTGCGTAGGAGAAAAAGAAAAAAGTAAAGAAAAAAAAAGAAAGTACTCGCGTGGGAAGTATTAGGAATATGGAAAAAGTTGTTCTTTTCTCTTTAAAAAAAAAAAATAAAGTGAATAAATACGTTAACGGCTCACTTTTTTTTTAGTAATTGCTTGCTCCGGGATTCAGTGCTTCTCCACAGCGAGTTGGGCGAGCCGCAACAAACAAACAACATTGTGAGAGTAAGAATGGTTTGTCACCTGTCTGTGTGCCTTTAATTTTGTACATGTTCATACACTGCGTCTACAACAGTATGTAGGACGTATGGACTTGCTTCTTTTCGATGATTAGAATGTCCATAGTGTTCAGGGTGTTCAGGGTGTCCATGGTGGTCTGCAGCCTTTTCTGGTGCATTTCTAGGATTTCGATATTGGTGGCTGTGCTGAGGCTGGTGAAGCAGTCTTATTGGACAGAGGATTAGGTAAAGAGACATCATCATCTATTTTTATGATAGCACTAAAGCAAGCAGAATGGATCATTTGTCATTAAAGACTGAAACATTTATTAGAGCTTGGATTGTCCAGCAGGTATGATGTGATGAGTTTAAAAAAAAGCCCGCGTGCCGTTGACGTTGACAGCAAATCTCTTGGCACCTGGGTTGTATTTAACGTCCTTTTTTTTTTTTTTTTTTTTTTTTTGCACATTCATCTTTTCTTTTAATTTTCACGTTCATTCTCATTCACCTACCTACCCATACTAACACCAACACTATCACTAGCACTTACTTTTGTATTCTATCTTCCCTATCTTTTTAACCCTACCAGAATAAACTTTTCATCACGGTTCGATTTACGAAAATGCAAAGTATGGGTCATGACCTCCGAAGAGGTCTTAATAATATCAATCCGCTTGGAGGGTAAATTAAAAAAAAAAAAAAAAAAAAAAAAAAAAGTCATTAAAATATCTTTACTTTTAGTAGAATGAGCATGTTGAATGTGAAAGCTGATTTTTTTTTTTTTTTTTTTTTTTTTAATGTATAGGAACAACTATAAAAACATCAACAAATGGTTAGCAGAAATGAAAAATATAGACTCAACTCTCAAGACCTTGGACAAAGAAATATCGGCTGATGCAAAGTTGATCGCTACATGGGGTTCTACAGAGGGCGATGACCTCGCAGATGTTTGTCAGCGCATGTCGCAACTAATGGAGGTAAAGTTTTAGTAGACATCATGTCTTTTTCGAGGATTGGTCTCGGTTATTGATTATATTTTAAATCAGACCTATCATCCACTCTAACCCTTTATTCATTTCAACCACTCAAACTTGGATGAACATAGGAAGTAGGATTGATCCAACAGGCATTTTCACTACGACATACAGCATATCGAAAGGCTATTAAAAGCATCAAAACCCAAGAGATGACTTTGGAGGAGGTTAGTTGTCTGTCAGTCATGCTTTCGATCTCATTGTTGCACAAAAAAAAAAAAAGTTCCGACTTGAGGAAAAGTTTGTCATAAGACTTACAACTCTCTATATTCCTTTACGCTAATCCCTGTTTCCTTGTGTGGTTTATTATCTTCTAGAATCGGAAAAAGAAACACGACCTTACTGCGCAAATCACAAAGCACCAAAAGTCAAGCAAAGAAAACCCCATTAAATTGATGGAGCTTCAGAGCGCACTCGAACGAGTGTCAGCGGAATTGCTGAATCAGGAACTGGAGCTCATGCAGTTCAAACGTATAACAATCAAGGATGCTTTTGATTCAAAATTCGACGCTATGCTCGAATATGCTGAAAAGATGGCTCTTATTGCAGGCTATGGACGAGCCATCACCTTTGTTATTGACACAGATTCACAGGCTGCAGACAGAATGAGGATTTATAATGGCTCCGAATATACTGCTGCCGCTGTAAGTCAAGTAAAAGCTGCGGTCACTAGTTGGCAACCACAACCTGTCAGTACACCTCCAGTTCGTACACAGATCGCCGAACCTTCGCAAGACGAGCTTGCACTTTCTGCTGCTGTTGCTGCATGCAACACAACAACCCCACCTTTGAGTCACACCTATGCTGCAAATGACGGTTATTCGAGCGACCCCAGTGGGGGACAGAATCACACTGCTGAGGATCTCCAGGCGAGTCCGCCTTCTTCTGATCACGGCTCTTATCCTGTTCCGCCAAAAAGCACCTATACGCAACAAGCGAATCAGGTTCAGGAACAACAACGTTTACTTGAGTTGGAACAACAACGACTTTATCAACAAAACCTTGCATCTTATTCTCCAGAACGCTCACCTACACAGAATCATTACCAAGTTGCAGCTGCCAGTGGCGGTGTTTCCAACAATAGCGGCATTGTAAGCGGCAGCCACACCCCTAATCAACATCGGCGAAGTGAGACACAGGACTTGTATCCCCCTCCGACCCTTCCAGTTTACGAAAATGGTTCATCCAATACCTCAACAGCATATGGCACATACAACCAGTATCAAGGCGCTCCAGCACGGAATTATCGTCTAGGATTCGTAGATCCACGCGAACGCAGCCAAAGGGAAAGCGAATATTACCATGGCAACAATCACCCATCTTTACCACCACTGCACTTTTCACAAAGTCCGATCCTCCATGAAAAATAGGCAATAAATATGTAGTAATAAGATTGAAATAACATGACCTTGCGGTTCCTCCTAAATTTTTTTGGCCCAAACCCGTGGTTTCCATCTGCAACAAAAAGTTTACTGTGCCAAATTGTCTTTTTCATTCCCTCTCCATCTTGCGTCTCATCACTTCATTTCTTTAAGGATGAGAATAATTCAAGCCGTGGGAATATTCTTACCCCATCTCTTGTCAGCACCTCTTCTACCTCTTGCTGTTCTAGCTCTCACAGTCCTTATACTTTCGACCCTTGCAGCTGCAGATACCACTGTCCAGGAACGCCAAGAGCAACGCCAAAAAGAAGAGAGTGGCGAAGCAGTCGCATTAACAAAGTGTCATGCCATCGGCTTTGGATTTATGGCAAGCATTGGTCTCTTGGCCATGTGGATGTGGTCCAATGTTCTTGGTATGCCTCATAAAGTCCCTGGAACCGCGCTAAATAAACCACTGTATCTTCCCTATGAGAACTGACTTGAGGATATATGCTTATACAATTGCGTCAAATAGTCTACCTGAGTCTCTTCACGTTTGGAATGGGATCATTCGTGAGTATACAACAGTGTATGCCGAACATCATGAAGCGACTAGGCTTAGGGCGGGGACATCTTTGGCACCATAGCACTATCGCTGGTCTCTTGACTCTTTCTTGGCTCTGGTATAGGAATTCGAGGTAAGCATGGACAAACCAGATCCAGACTTGCTGATAAAGAAATGGAATTTGCTTATCAATCTTTTTATATCTCATCTGGTTCACTGCAATAGTTATTCTTGGATTTTTCAGGACATCCTTGGTGGTAAATGCTCACATAACACAGCACGATCGCATTATTGAGGTCGATTTGATTTCGTCTATAGAAGAGTGCTACAGTATATTGACACTTTGCCAAATATTTCCCTGTTGGATATTTTTGCTGTTAGGATTTACCATTACGTTGATGCTCAAGGTGCTCAAGGCCCCATCCATGTCATCACCTACGCTTCTTCTCCTGACAGCATTTGTTTATGATGTCTTTTTTGTGTTTGTTACACCGTATCTCACCAAATCAGGCGAATCCATTATGGAAGCAGCAGCTACAGGCGCAGCTATGACTGTCAAGGAGACTCTACCGATGCTTTTCCGGATCCCTAGCTTTTCGCCCAGCGGTGGGGAAGCCATGCTCGGATTTGGCGATGTAGTTTTACCTGGAATCTTTGTTACCTTTCTGAAAGAGAGTGATGCAAGGTTAGAAGAGGATCATTCGCTGATCCGATTGGGAAGCTCCACGATGTCAGTGCGGCTAGAGGCAACTCTACCATCCTCATGTTCATCATTAAGGACGGAGTGCAGTTCTTCCTCATCCTGTTGCAGAAAGGAGGGCTGGTGGAGGGGACGGAGGTGGAGCTACCATTTGACAGCCATTTTAGGATATGCTGTGGGTCTAGAGACGACGTTTGTGGCCATGATGTGGAGTAACAAGGGTCAGCCTGCTTTGCTATATCTTGTTCCTTGCACAGTATTACCTGTGCTGGTCCTAGCTTCAAGGCGACATGAACTATCCTTGCTGTGGAATGGCTGGGGGGATTTGGAGAAGGAAAATAATCCATTTCTAGACGCAGGTGTTGAAAAGAAAGAGGATGAGCAAAATGTTCAGATGTATGAAAAGCAGACCGATCCAACCCATGTCACAAAACTTACTTCGCCACTAGAGATTTCGATCTGATTTGATCCATTAAAACTGCATGTGACTTTTTTTTTTTTTTTTTTTTTTTTTTCCATTTTCAAAAAGTGGTTTTTAACTCTTTACATTACTCTCATTACTCGAAGCGACGTTATTGAAGCAATGACTACTCTCATAAATCAGAATCCCATTATCTACGAAGCCTCTGCTGGAAATTCAACTAGAGAATGGCGTGAGGAAGATGAAAACGAAGATGCTGCTGATCCCATTGACGCTCAGGAGGTTTTTGGTAAATGCTAAAACAAAAGTCCACTCCATTCTACTCCATTGTGATCTACTTTTTGCTCTCCCTTTCTCATTCACTTGTTCTTCGAAAATGCTGCTTCTGCTTTAATGACTGGGCTATCTTGGCCATCAAGACATGCTCATTACAATGTTGACAATGGATTCAGAATTGAATACAAATTAATTGAACAATCTGACTAAGCCCTGCACTGTTTCGCTTCTATCGTATTTTTCTTGTACTTATCTTCATATATAGATCTTATCCGCTCCATCTCTGATCCAGAGCATCCTCTGTCATTGGAACAGTTGAATGTGACCCAGAGAGATCATATCCAGGTCTCGGACGAAAATAATACAATCTTGGTTGAATTCACGCCAACAATCCCACATTGTTCCATGGCGACCTTGATTGGTCTCTGCATTCGTGTGCGACTGCTTCGTTGCCTTCCTTCACGCTTTAAGGTAAAAAAATAAAACCCTTCTCTCTTCCTAATATTACAAAATAAAAAAAATAAAAAGTATTACTAAAAAATACTTTTCTGCATATCATCATTTGTTTTCGTATAACAAAAAAAAAAACTAGGTTGATATTTCAGTTAGGAAGGGAACCCATCAAAGTGAACATGCAGTCAATAAGCAGTTGAATGATAAGGAGCGTGTGGCAGCAGCATTAGAAAACTCACATTTGCTAGAAGTAGTGAATCAGTGCCTTGCCACAGCCACTAGTGGAGGCGTTGTGGCCAACATTGTCAAGGGACCAAATCCTGCAAACTAAGCGAGCAAGGAAGCCTAGAAAAGTTAATTTCAATCCTAAGAATAAGCTTGACGAGGCGAAAAACTTGTTCATGACTGACTTGGTCATATTTAGCAAAGCATAATGTAAATTATATATCTGTCATACTTAAAAAAAAAAAATAAAAATAAAAATAAACATAGGTGTTTTATTGATGTTTACTCTCGTCGTGGTTTTGCTACAATCATCACGTCCCGCCCCAACGAATGATATGAAATATCATCAAGCTTTAGAGCTGACTATAATGGACGTATAATGAAAGAACAAAAGACATGTCAGTTGACAAATGAATATATGAGGAAATTCCTAATCAGGGGAAAGAAATGGACGATCATGTCAGCAAGGATAAAACATGTCCATAGAAATTACCTCCGTATCCTGCATTGCACTGACACCAATGTCGCCTACATAGACAGGAGCAATGGTCACTAGGAAAGAGTCCACTAGTCCCGACTTTAGAAAAGTAGAGATGATACCTGCTCCTCCTTCAACCATCAATGATCCAGCTGACTGCTGGTGAAGAACTGAAAGTAAATGTGTGATCGAAGGACGACCTGGGGATTGTTAAGGAAAATAGAATAAAATAGAGCTTATTAGTTTAATCATCATTAGAGAAAGGTCAGCGAAGTTTTCTTTTCTTTTCTTTTCTTTTTTACACACCTTGTGCATCAGCATCCAGAACAAATATCTTGGCTCCAAGGGCTTCAAGTTCAGCTCGTTTTTGATGGTCATGTCCAGAGACAGTAAATATCCAAGGCTTCTTTGGCGATGAGGGCAAAAGGAGCTTGGCATTCGAAGGGAACCGTAAAGTACTGTCCAAAATGACTGGTTGTGGATGCTCAACAGATCGACATCCAGAAGGTAAATCCTCTAAAGTCAAGCGTACTATTCAGATATCGGGAAAAAACCAGGAAAACGAGTTTATTCATCAAGGTAATATATATAATAAAAAACAGTCCTAGTTCTGGGACCATGCCTAATACCTGTTAAACGGGGGTCGTCATTAAGGACTGTACCTATCCCTACCAAGATTGTATCGTGTCTTGCCCTCAAACTTTAGAAGATGCAGAAGATACATTACTTTTTGTGTGCGTGTGCTCTACTTTACGCGTGCTAAAGGAGTTGGGAAAGTGTTTGGAGGAGTAAAGACTTCATGTTCATTTTATATTACATTGATGTTACTTTACATATGCGTTGCCTTCATAGAGTCGGATCCACTAAGGGTCAATTGCTTGCCCTGCTTCCCAGCTATCTTTCCGTCCAGACTCTGAGCAAATGTGAGAGTTACATGCGGGCGGCCCTTGGGTTTATAAAGTGCCAACGAAGAGTCCAACAAGAAGTTGTAATCTATAGGAATAGTAACATTGGTCATTTGTGAATGTTTTGTTTGAGGACGCGAAACCACTTCCCAAGTTGGAGTCTCTAACTACCCAAACCATAAAAAAGTCACACATACCAGGCACGCTCTCGTCCTTTACACATTTTCCCTTTATGCTTACTCCACTTTCATCTTTATAAATCTAGACACTCTCTCATCCTTTCTTAGTTGTTATCACTAGAGACAGATTCAATCATGTCAAGCAAATACTCTACATTACCCGACATTGTACGTTTATTGTTACGACCTCTTGTCTCTTCCCTCCAAAAAGCATAAACAGCAATGGCATGTAAAAAGCTGCCCAACCGCTCCCAACCTTGACTAGGACAATTAAACAAACAGGAAGTTCTTTATTTTATTTTTTCTTTGACATTGTCCTTCTCGTTTAATCTAGGATACCCAACCAGATGTCTATGAGACCGCTGATGAACCAACTGAGCGTAGCGGACGTGCCCAGGGTGTGGACGGCAAGGTGCGAAACAGAACCAGGTTGTCAACAACTTGTCAGCTTTTTTTTTTTTTTTTTTTTTTTTCTTTTTCTTTATTTCCTCCCTTACTAAAATGTACCTTTTTGTTAACTTGTATCTAGGATTATGAGAGTGATCAAGAAAGAGAGGATATCGATAAATCTGGGATCTCGGTCAAAGATGCTGCTGCCCGCTTCAAGGACTGTGTGGTTGATAATTCTTCAAGCGGTAAGAGAACATGACCGCCGAGTAATAAAAAAAAAGTGCATGACAAAATACATATCAACCCCAGAAAAAACACACACACACACACACATGGGACGTGTTCAGCCAAGAAAATAGCAGTAAATGAAATCCTCAAAACTGTAATCCACTGTAGATTTTTCAGATAGACTCAACAAACGTAAAAAGGCGATGTACCGTACATTTGTCAGGAGGCCTAATCTAGACAGCTCAGAGTACGAGATCCTGCCAAAGGAAATGATCTTACAGGAAACCCCTGTCCAAAAACTTAGGAGACTCATGTATGAAGTGAAGGAGCTTAGTCAGGAAGCAGAACTCAGTGAGAAGGTAAAAAAAAAAAAAAAAAAAAAAAAAAAAGCAGTATGAGGATTCATTAGCACATGTCAAAATAAACAAGGCAGCTCTTTTTATATTTATATGTTTATTTTATTATTTGGCAACATAGCAAGGAGCAGACTTGGTGGGCGGAGAGATTTCACACAAGGACCTACTTTCGCATGTCAAGTCATTGGAGCATGATTTGGCAGAGGTTGGTCAAACATTGGGTGAAGGAGCTGCCTCGGGGATTCTTTCGAGCGAAGGCTTGATCAAACAAACAGATGCTGGTAAACGGTTGCTGCAGCAGTTGCAGGCCTTGAAAGTCTCTTCAACCACAGTTAATACTGTTGATAAAGAGGGAATTGCAGACCAAAAGACCGCTCCTTCAGATGACAAGGTATTAGAAGAAAAAAAAAGTTGGAGTGAAAAAGAGTTTGGATAGCATGCCATGTCCCATATGTATAGTATTAAAAGCAAATACTGCACATTCCTCCGTCTTCTAATGATTTACCGTTCTTATGGGTGTTATAGACTGTGACATATGAGCTGTACTATAGCCCTGAAAATGCTAGGTTGCATACCGTGACAAAAACTGCCGAGCTTGCTGACCGACTTGCTGCTCTTGAAAAAGCTGTTGGGACAACTCCTATGCAATCTGGGGTGAGTAATCAATTTTGATGTTCTCCCCTCCGCGCTTCCTCATTTTATGGTTGATCATTACCATACGAATCTATAGTCCACTTTCCTCGCTTTTAATTCTTTTGGTCATTTTCAATTTTTGCATAGGCATCATTAGTGGGGACTCTTGAGAAGCTTGAGCAGCATGTAGGGATTCTTGTTCAGCCGCGCCAATTGGAACAACTATCACGTCGCTTGAAAGCCGTAGTTGCTGAAATGGAACGCGTTCAAGAACTTCAGGCTAAAGAGTCGTCAGCTAGTGGAATCAGCACTGAAACTGAGACTAAGGTATGGGATGATATGGGCATGCAACGGATCTTAGATTCACTTCTGTCTATGGCTGTAATCGCTAATGAGAAAAAAAAATGATTCTATAGATAAATACTTTATTTGAACTGGTGGACAAGATTGATCCTTTGGTATCTCTAGCACCAATTTTGGTAACAAGACTAAAGGGACTCAAGGGCCTACACACAGAAGCAGCCATCTTTTCAGAATCCATCAAGATGATGTCGAATGAACAATCAAAAATTAGTGAAGAACTTAAGAGCCTGGATATTGTCTCGGCTAAGGTAAAGAATCCTGCAAGCTTTTCTCTGTTCACTCTTCGTTTTATATGAACATTCAATTTTTTAATTGGTGCTACCAATGTATAAACATACTTTAGCTGCAAGGAAGTCTGACTGAAAACGACGCTGCGATCAAAAAGAATATTGAGCTGGTTGACGCAAGGGTCACTCAGCTAATCGAGCGAGTGCAACGGTTGGGTGCATGAGTCTAGGATGTGAAAATACGTGACAGGGCAAAGGAGCTACGCAATTTATAACGCGCAACCAGGATCAGGCAAAGCACAACTTTATTTCCATTTCCGTCCCCTTTATCACTGCTTTCTTTACATTTTTGTTCTTGGCTACTTTTTGTAGGAGGAGATAAAAGAAAAAACTAGTACTGTAGACATAAACATATATATTTGCTGCTTTTTTTTGTTTATAATTTGGATGTGTCTAGAGCTAGGCCAATACTTTCGTAGCCTCTAGAGCCTTTTTGAACTTTTTGACAGCTCTTGTCCGGATATGGGCCTCGGAAAAGATGAAATGTAGTGAGAGAGCAAGCCTACATCCGCTGAGCATTATTCTCAGTTTTTTCCATGGGCAATCAGCTCTTTCAAGCATAGGATAGGGCTAATGAAATCAGATTGGCATAAAAAGTGTTGAGAGAAAAGGAGTTATTAAAAGTAAGAAAGAAAGAAGAGTGAGTGAGTGAGTGAGGAAGAAGCAATGGTGTATATGTATACTGTGTATATTGAAAAAACAATGACCATTGTCCATCTAAGCACAAAAGCTGGACCACCCAAGATAGGAGAGCTGAAACAAAAATAAGTAGAGAGGCCGGCGTAATGGTTGATCACAAGAAAATCGGAATAAAAAAACATTTCGACAAAAACGAACACAAATGGGAGGCCATGCAATTGGATATCAAGCCAAAAAGGAAGGCTATTGATCATGAACGGAATTGAGGTTATTACATGTTGATATTGCGAAGGACTTTTCTTTGCAGAGAAAGAAATCAGCAATAATAAAAGCAACAACACAATAGTAAGAGGAACTCAATGAGACATACACGCGAATGCCATCAGCGAATATGGCGAATGGATCACTCAGGGCATAATACCAATACATAAGGCCAACACAGCAGTCAATCTAAAACAGAGTGGTAAAACACGACAAGGGGCTGTTTTTAGTTTGTAAAGCTCCGATGGTACTTCCAGCACAATTGCTTCGCCCAGTTATTGCATCATACCGGTACAGTATAGCCCGTTCCATTTGGTCGCGATCCCTTATATTTTTTGAATACTCTTAAATGTATTGGCAGCCAATTGACTCGCTTGTTATTGCAAGTGGTGTGACTGGTCATTAAAATTAACTTCGGTTTATTTTGTATCCACTAATCTGTCGAACCAGCTTAATCTTTGCGCAAAGCCTTTGTAGTCATAGGCGGGTCCGCCTCACCTAGAAACTACCGAGTATAGAAGCCAAAGAAACTTCCTTCTTAATAAAGTCTTCAGTTCCCCCACATGTCTTATTCTTCACCTGCAGTTCACCTTGCCATTTATCTTTTTCCCCTTTTCACAACAAGCATTTGTCTTCCGGTAACTCAGTTTGTAAGCTCACCTATAAAGCTCCCATCTTTTCTTTTGACATTCTATGGCGCTGTTTGTAGTCAAGGTTATTTGACTCTACTTTCTCTTGTCAATCTTGTTGACACTCTTTGTCCTGCCTTTTCCTGATTGTGTCTATCTTTCTGTCCCTTAAGCAAAGATGTTTTTAACAATGCCACCAAACCAATTTATTTTGATTAAGATTTGTGGGGTCTACATGTTGTCTAAATAGTCCTCCCCATAAAAAAACACCATCTAGACCAAGCATAGAAATAAAGAGATTACTAGGCCATCCAATCCAGCTGGTCTCCCACAACTCCTAGATGAAGTTCTTGATAGCAGGGGCTTTATTTACGGCCTTGCTGCGTTGTTGTATCACGGAGTGATGAGTCCATTATCTAGGTATAGCAGGGAAGTGAAGAAAAAAGGCGAAGGGAACGTAGCCAAGCCGTCCCAGCTCAAAGCATACGAATACTTCTATGCAAAGACAGGGCTTGGTCCTTTAAACCAGATCTATCCCGATTTGGTGATCGGCAAGTCGTCTCGGATGGTCATGGTCCCTGTTCAAGCAGCGCTAAGGTCTCACTATCGGAATGCGCAGGTAAATATGATATATATTATAATATTTTGAGGTTACCTTATAATATGTTTATAGAAATGTTCCTAATCATTTCTTCAATATAATGTCTAGTTTGACATAGATATTCCAGGCGATGGAAGAAGTTCCATCCAATTCTTTTTTGAGCAAAATGCAACTGCCAAAAAATATCTGTATTTCCCTACGTCTGCTTTCTCGCCTCGGTCTCTCTGCTTAACGGAAGCCTGTCTCCCGGATATATTATGGTCTAACCCAACAGTTCGAGAGGAAATAGTCCAATTGTTGGGACTAAACATGAGTACCAAGGGGGCTGCAGAGGACAAGATCCTTAACTACAAGGGGATATTGTTGCAGGAGCTGTTTTCCTTGAAAGGATACAAGGACGTTGGACTGCAATCTGATGATGGCCCTAGAAGGAAACTACGGACATCGTTCTTTACAAACGGCCTTGCCCTAACACTTCTTGCCTATGACACATCGAAGCAAAAAAGAGGTAGAGATCCCGTCTCCTCGAGAATGTAGAAGTTAAATATGACACCCAGGCAGCATGCCCTCCCTCCGAAAGTACCATTATCATTGGGATCGATCCAGGCGAGAGGTACTCGATGACAATTGCAAAGTTGGATCCAAGGAAACCTAACGAACGTGAGATCCTCCGGATTTCTAGAGCGTACCTTTACAAACCATCCAAGAAGTTTCAGGGCGAGCTAGAGAGGCGAAAGCTTAGAAGAGGAATTACAGAGATTGAAAGCAATATTCCGTCATTCTCAAGGCCTACTTTAACACAGTATTTCGCTTATATGAGCTTGCCGCTAAATCAAGCTCCATCAAGTACTGGAGGTAGTTTCTCTGGTAGTGGGGTTGGGGCCAGTAGTAGCAGTGGAGTTGAGGCCAGTAGTAGCAGTGGATCTGGGATCAGTGACGACAATAGGGAGACTATATATAGGGCGCTTGTCGATTTCTATAATGACGGGTGGTTTGTTCGGAATAGCTGGGATATTAGAAAAGCACAGAACGGATGCGTTGATTATGTGATCAAGGCAATTCTGAAGCTTGCGGGCGGAAGCAATGGAAGAAGAAGAGATGCCAATACGAATGCGGTGATCTGTATTGGACTAGGATCATTCAAGACAAACCGAGGACAAGTATCGAAGCATGGGATATTGATGAAGAAGCTTGTTGAAAAGGTAAAAAAAAAAAAAAAAAAAAATTCCCTTGATCAATGACATTTAATTTTTGAGTCTTTTTTTTAACGAGTATTAAATCTGGCTCGAACAGGCAAAATCTCTAGACTACTCCATTGTAGGTTGTCATGAGTACTACACATCTGCCAAGTGTCCACGGCCTCACTGTGACAGTATATTGGAGAATGTTCCTTTTCGATCCAAGTACTGTCGAAATTGTAAAGCATACTTTGATCGAGATGCTGTTGGTGCTGAGAACATCGCAAGGGTCTGTGAGTCGCAGATAAGAGAGCAAAAACGACCTGCAAAATATATGCCGCCGGACGGAGGAACTCAAGGCCAAGCTTCTAGCGGTAGTGGCGGCGGTGGAGGTAGTGGTGGCAGTGGTGGCAGTGGTGGTAGTAGTAGCAGACCCACAAAAAGGAAATTTTCAGATGAAGGAGGAGGAGGAGTAGAGGGATCAAGACCACCGAAAGGACCTTTGCTGGGTCCAGGAGGAGGGGGAGAGACAAGCCGGCAACAACAGTAGGACACAATCTACTACAAACATGACTAGGTCCAGAAAGGCCTTCGTTTTAAAAAATTGTAAGTATTGGCTTGATAATACTTTTTATTTCTTTGTTCTAATACACTTCTTCTTTTAACACTAGATGGGATGTCTCGTTTTTTAATGGGACGGACTATATTTTAATACATGTAAAAATACGACTTACTTTTTGTCTGAAAGTGATCACCTACAATACCCAGGCAAAGACAGAGTAAGGTTACCATGCCTGTAATAGTCAAGAACTAAAATATCCATGTATTGTGACACGTTCGAGAGTATCGATATGATGTATAATGTAAAGAAGAAAAAAAATTAGGATGTCAACTCTTCTTGGTCATCAGATGTTTGTGAATGTGTGACATATTTCGAGTGACTCGATGTGAAAGTCTGTGGATGTTGTTACCTCGGTCCCTCGCCCAAACCCCTGTTTGTAGTTCGTATGTCCATATGAGTGCCAGGGAAGGGCCATCAGCGAGGAAACCACCGAGAGAATCCCCATAAGACGAAAAGTATTTCTCACATTTAATGGTAGTAATAGGGGTGCTGATAGCCCACTATGCCTATACCGATGGTGCGCAGGTAGTGGTTTCAAAACGGATTTTGATGCAGCTGGGAATCCCGGCCAAGACACAGTACGGGTTCGATTGGTCTTTAATGTGTGACGTTGTTGCCAACCCATGGGCAAGTCCGACAATGGTAGCTGCACAGCCGAAGTTGAAGATACCGGGGCAGAGCTGACCGCCGCTGAAGGACTAGCCAGCTCTGAGGATGATACACTTGCTGCGAATGAAGCCATGGTTAAAGCTAAAACTTGATAGGACTGAAGGTAGATCTTTATTAAAGAGTGCTATTTTTTTAATATATAGCAGAATGAGGAAGGAAGAGAAGGAGAGAAAAGGAGAAAGATATTTGAGCTTATTCCAGATTCTGGCTTGACAAGGATAAACGTACATCCATTCAGCATATCTTGACAACATTATTTCTTGTATCCCAAAAGTCTTAGTTCTCGTATTCCAACCTTGTGGAATCGTGCGCCATTTTTTCACCTAACACGGCATCCCGTGACTGAAGAAAAATTTCGTTTTTCCACCTTGACTAAAATAAAATCTTTAACTAAGCCAATCTTGACTAAGCTCCCTACAAAACTCTTATTATTGTTTGCATCGGCTGCGATTTCTCTTTGCTTCTTGCTTTTGTTTTACCATTCATGTCCGAGATCCAATTTGTTCCACTCCCTGACAATGAGTGGGCTCCTCCCAGGCCCACGCAAGCCCAGAGGCCGGTGCAACAACAGCAACAGCAACAGCAGCCGCTGCATCCATTCCGAAGACGATCTAGTAATGATTATTCTGTGGACTATGGTCGTCATTCACTCGACCGTTCTAGAAGACCCTTTTATAACAGTACTACATACACTCCTCATCAAAACATAATTGAACGTGAAACAGTCCTTCATCAGAGGACATCGTATCATCGGTATCCACAACCAACCGTACCACACCCTCGTATCCTGGGACGTATTGATTTCAACAGTAGCAAAAGCTTTCACTTTAATAAACGTCCTGCGACAGACTTTGAACACCCAATGGGATCCACACCGAGACAAGAGCGCAATCCACCAGGAACTGGGAAAGCCGTAGGCGTGTGGAACGCTTTTAATCCAAACTACACCCCTGAAGACTGGAATAATTTCAGCAATATCGAACAACAAAAAGTTGCTGCTGCACTTTCAGCCGATCAAAAACGCGGAAGCGGAAATGGCGTTGAACCAAATGCAGGAAGAGCAGGCTCTAGAGCTTATTATAGTGAGCAACGCTCTCGTACGGCAGGACCTCATATAGATAGGACATCGAACGTTGACTCATCAGACAGATCGTTATCATCGTTATCATCTTCATCCTCATCCTCATCAGCATCATCCTCATCAGCATCATCCTTGTCGTCATTATCGTCATTGTCGTCAACAGTGGAGGCTACAAAGGCAGGAAGGGTCCCTATGCAGGGACAGGAACAGGAACAAACGCGAAAGGAAGCCCAAACAAAAGCCCAAACACAGATACTAGGCTCCAGCCACATTCAATCACCTACTTCCTCATCGTCCTCAGCAGCATCGGCCCCAACGACAAGACTAGAGCCACCATCTTCATCAATTCCAACTTCATCATCATCCGTCATGATGGCCACACCAACAACAATAGCGAATGTTAAAACATCTACAGTGGCCTTTGAAAATAATAGAGAGCAGATCATGGCCAAATTAATTGATATTGAACATTCGGTACCTGAAATGGCAAGCACAGTATCTTCAAAGACTCTACCGGTCTTTGCAGTTCAAATGCATGAGATTTCCCCGATGCCGGAAACCAAAGGCACAGCAAATTTGTTGGACCTAGATTTCAGTTCTACTGATACGAGCGTGGCTTGCGAATCTCAGTCACTTCCTGCTGGACTCGCGGATTTGGAGGGCATTGACTTTGGGGCCTTTACTCTATCCCAAGACAAAGACAAAAAAGACAGTGGCGTTGATATGAGATTTGAAGGGCCAAGACATGACAATGATAAAGTTTCAGATAGGATATCTGACCAAGAGAAACAACAGCATAGGCCCGATGCTTCAGTATCACTAATCGAGCTTTTGGGTTCTGGCTCCAGTACCAAATTAGAAGCACATGTTCAGGCATCCAAAATTCTTGATGACCTCAGCAGCATCAACGATACTTCAGACGGCGATTACAGTAGTCAAGATGATGATAGCGATAGCGGATCGGATGACGATGATACCGACAGTGATACTGACCATTGGGTCAATTTAGATGACGCCAAAATCCTTATAGAGTGGAAGACGCTCGATACTCTTAGAGCAGAATTGGTGGCTGAAAACGTGTCGTGGGATGATCTCATTGATCTTCGCTGATTTTTTTATCTATCACTCTTCTCTTTCCTCTTCATTCTTAATCTTCTCCTTTCTTTCTTTCTTGATTGCTTTACTTGCACTGTACCATATACTGTAGTTTATCAAATTACGGAATAAAACGAAAACGCCATCTTTAATTTCCTCATCGGATGTGTATCGATTTGTGTAAAAAAGATGTCAGCAGCTCGCAAAGATGAAGTTTTTTTTGGTGGTTTTTATCTCAAACATCATTAACCTCAGTATTCTTGTAAAAAAACGTTTGTTAACTCTAGTCTAGTAAATAGCTAAAAAAAAAAAAAAAAAAAAAAAAACTTTCACTCTCACACAAACTGTCTTTCATAGCCAGTTACGTCCTCCTCCTCAGGTATGACTAGGAGAATGTAGCCCTCAAGACATCTTACCAAAGCAGCTCAAAAAATGTCAAATCCGAATTTCTTCAGGTCTGCCTTAAGCCTACGTGTTAATCTTAAAACTTGCGTTAGCCTTCTCTAAACTTCTCCAGATTTGAAAGTAGTCACTCTGTTTTAAAAGAAAAAGCCATACCCATGAATCGATTCATTTTGGTGGACCAGTTCAATACTTCATCAGTCCTTAAAAAAAAAAAAAAAAAAAAAAAAAAAGTTTATTTAAATAGGTCTCCACCGATAGCAATCGTGCTGCACTATTCAAAAATAAAAAAAATTTATTAATCGTACAGTGGAGATCATAGTGATTATGATCGGCATGGTTCCTTGCAGCATCGTTCACTAGGCAGCGGTTGAAGCAAGAAAACGAGGAGATGAATAAAAAATGAACTTAACAGCTATACTGGCAATAGCAAGAGAGAAAAGGAAAAGAAAGAAAAAGACGTATTTGTGACTGAGGACGGTATCTGGCGCTCCTTAATAATATGACCATCAAGAAGGGCTTTGTCGCGGGGATGCAAGGCACATGTTTTCTCTTGAGATCATCTACAAATTAGCTGCACGAGGAAAGCGGACGTTATAAAGCATCTCCGGAAGGAAGGCAGCAACAATTTGCCTACCGGCAAAGAAGCGACCTCCTAACGTATGCACTGCATTTGTCGCGGACTGAATAGTATCGAACTTTAGATAGATCTCACCCTATATGGAGCAGCATCAACGATAGGTAAAGTAGTTTAGTATATGTCTTTAAGAGACAAAGGAAGCCGCAATATTTATAGTGACATACCTGTGATTCTTGCTCGACATGGATATGAACAACTGGACCACTCTTTTCAGCTTCCTCCTTGACATCTTCTTCCAAACCTTGGGCCCAATCTGGCTCCAATTTGCTATTTTGAATGTATATACAATAGAGTAAGATAAATAACCAGGTAAAGTATAATCAACCAACAGGAAGCTGTAAAGTACGTAGCTCACTTACTCCTCATCCGTAAACATATTTTTTAACAACACTGCACGAGAAGGCATGACAACAGGGAGCTGCCTAGGAGGACTGTGTGCAGAGAGAGAAAATCCTGTTAGTCTTTGTTTGCAAGCAATGATATTAAAAAGTGGGTATGACGATATAAGGGCTACTTACACAAAAGATGTTGTAGTAGGGCTCGGCGCAGCTGGAGGATTGGCAGTGGCGCCAAGGCTTGCGTCGCCCCTTGCTAGTTTTTGCATCAAATCTGCACGGGACTGAGAAGTCATAGCATACCCGGCTGTATCTATAAGATAAGAAAAAGTGGGGGGTTCAGTCGCCTGAGACTTCTTATGTCTAATACAGCGAAAGCTTGGCATGATCAATCACAAGAGTTGCTCTTACCACTGTCATCAATGCTAATGCTATTATTAATTTGACCGTTACTACTATTGTACTGATAGCCGTTATTTTGTGTAGTTCCTTTTTCTGTAACAAGGCCGACCTTAATCTAAAATTTGAACATGTTTGGGTGAGAAGCCATTCATCTATGATTGAAGAACAGAACTCTGCTCCTTAAACACTTAGCCAAAACATAATAAACTTACAGCTCTTCCAGCCAAAACGTATCCATTCATCCGTTCCATAGCCTGCTTTGCGTCGATTGCATTTTTGTATCTGTAAACCAAAATGAGTTCGAGTAATTCCAGAAAATAAATAAATAGCGCCAGACATATACCATTGCACATAGCAATAGAAGTATTAAAGACGCAATATCGAGTCAACTTACTGAACAAAAGCAAAGCCTTTTGATTTTCCTGTCTCTGCATCCCTATGTAGTTTGATAAACTCAATAGGTCCAAAAGGCTCAAGAACCTGTTTAAGATCTTCTTCTGTCAAATCAAAATTTACAGACCCGACATAAAGTCGATGTTGAGACAAGTCGACAGGAGTAGAGGGAGCTGGGGTCTCCATTGCAGCTTGGCTAGAATTATATGAATTATTAATCAAGAAGTCAGAGTTATGTCGATGTTTAACTAAGTTATCAGTAATATGCTCAATACATTTTAAACATACGCTTGATTAGATGCTTGAAGAGCCAAGCGGTTTTTCTCGGATTCTGTATGTTTCGCAATAACGGGGATACCTAAGAGTTTCTGTCCAGTCAGTTCAATTGCTTTGGCTACTGACTCCTCTTCATAAAATTCTACATATCCAACTCTATCATTTGCGATATACGAGAGAATGAATGAGTATGACTTTGCCATGTAGAACAGATGCACTCGGATCAACACTATAGAGTTACTACCGTACCCCTTTGATCTTCCAGTATTGCGGTCCTCAATAATCCGGGCAGCTCGCACTTTCCCCGCTCGTGAAAAGAATTCCTCAAGTTCAGATGATCGTAGACGAGCAGAAAGCTGCATCACAAAGACAGTCCTCCTGTCGCACGTTGCTTCGTCAGCAGGAGGGGAAGGGGATCGACGGCGGCGGTGATGGTGACTATATTTTTAAGTGTAAACTACGTTAAAAAGCTGAGTCTAATATTTAAACTCTCATAGCCTATATTAAAATCTTTGCAATGGCATCATACCTTCCTCCATAGCCTCTGGGGCTCTTGCTTCTGCGTATGCTGCGCTCACGAGAGTAACTCCTACGGCGATCCCTATCATAACGGTCAGTCTGATGGCTGCGACTCTCTCTGTAGTCACGATAATCTCTATCTCTGTAGTCTCTATAGTCTCTATGATCCTTGTAATAATCACCATAGTCTCTATGATCCCTATGGTCCCTGGAATGTCTAGGTGAACGAGATCTTGAGCGTCGATGGCGTCTACTTCCTGAACGATCGTCATCTCGGTCTTTTGATCTAGAATAGCGTCCTTCAGTGTCGCGAGGAGACCCTGACTGACGGCTCTCTCTATAACCATCCACAGACGGGACTCGTTCACTACTATAAACGACAAAAGCTCGTTATCAACATATTCTTGCATCTTACTGACAGACATCAAACCAACTATGCTAAAGGAAGTATCATCTAATATACATTTCTTTTTCTTACCTCCTTGAGTCTCGACGTGCGGTATTCATTTCCGTGGAAAGAGATGGTTTATGCTCCTGAATAGAGCAAAAAAAAAAAAAAAAAAAAAAAAAAGTAAATTATCATTCTACGATTGCAATGCGCTTAGATCCTGATTAATTTATGGATATGCATTGTAATTCGGTTCATGCTACCTTTTGGAAAGGTGCATCGACCAGAGCTTCGATAGTATCGTAGTCCATAATGTTAGGAATTGAAAAATAGAATGATAGATGAAATTATAATGATTAGTGCGACCAAAAACCAAAATGGCCCAAAATGTAGAATTTTTTTATTGTCAAGGGACAGTTCAAGCCACTTTAATAGTGCTTTTCTAAGAGTGCTGACTTTCAGTAACCATCGCTTTCAAACGTGAAAAAACTCAATGTTACCAATCACTCTGTTGCAGCGGATCGTGCCCGTACGGAAGACGGCAAGAGCTGCAATCAGTCTGCGACAACTCACCACACAAGCCTCAACTACGACACTACTTTCGGACCATGATTATGTTGCACGGATACGGCAGTTGCTTCAGGATACACGACCGGCTCTACCACGGTTTGCTATTCAAGGAGAACATGTTAAACCAATTTTAGGTCCATCTCAATTTTACAGTGAAATGAAGGTATTTTCAAGCCTCACATTTCTTTCATATTTCATTACTACTACTGTTATTATTATTATTATTATTTTGACATTTCCTGATTGTACTTGGCCAACCGGCAAGCGTTGATCTTAATTTAGGATCACATCCGCAAAGCTCAAAGATCGATTACTCTTGCCGCTCTATACCTTGGACACAACGAGACTGATCTGGTACGATTTGTTTTCAATAGATCTTTTTTTGCCTGCTCTTTGAATAACCCAAAGAAGCAGACTCGGTTCTAACGATGGTAACTTGAATGTAACTATCAACAATTCACTCACAATTACAGGTTGCTGCGCTTTCTGAAGCATTAAGAGCACGGCCACAGCTTAAGTTAAATTTGCTTTTAGACTCATTACGTGGAACTCGAGATTCAGGACAGGGCAGCTCAGCATCGCTTTTGTATCCTCTTATGAAAGCATATCCAAACCAAGTGCAGATATTCATGTATCACACACCTGATCTCAACGGGCTTTTAAAACAGGTTATGCCTCCGCGTTTTAATGAAGGGATTGGATTAATGCACATGAAGGTTTACGCCTTTGACGATATGTTAATTATGAGCGGGTATGTTGCTCGCTTTGGTGATAGCGCTTGAATAATCAACATCTCTCCGTTATATTGTCTCATCTTTTAAGCACAAGGCGTATATATGGATTTATCTTTACAATATAGAGCAAATATGAGCCATGATTACTTTACGAATCGACAAGATCGGTACATCGCCTTCCAGAACAAAGATTTAACGGAGTATTATTGCGATTTAGTTTCAACTGTTTCTTCCATATCATATTCGTTACTGGATAATGGCGACACGTTTAATCTGAGCATGGACGATGGTGTTCCTGACCCGGTAAATGATAGCAAGAGCTTCAAGAAGCATGCCACAAAGAAGGCTCGAGAGTTTTTGAGAAAATGGTCCAAAGTTCAACAATTGCCCATGGATGCCTCATATGACACGACTCTTCACCCGATAATCCAGATGGGCCCTTTTGAGATACGGCAAGATGAGCGGGTGACGCTTTCGATTTTGGAGCACATTCTTCATGCAAAAAACCAGGACGGTTTAGCAAAGATGTTTATCACCTCAGGCTATTTCAACTTTGAGAAACGATACACAGAGACGATCATCCGATCCGGGGCAGCAGATGTATGCCTTATTGCAGCCGCACCTGAGGTAAGATTTGGTCTTTCAGTAAGCACATCGCTATGACACATATCGAGTGGAACGTACATCGAGTAACCTGATGTATTTAACATGACTAGGCCAATGGATTTTACAATTCAGCAGGAATCTCAAAGTACATACCGATGGCCTACACACTTATAGAGCGGCGGTTTTTTAATAACGTCAAAAGGACAGGTAATGCGGAGCGGATAAAGATCGAAGAGTATTTGCGTAAGGGTTGGACCTATCATGCAAAAGGTAATACTCATTCTGTTTTTCTGCAGCTATCCGAAAGATGAGATATATTTTACCATGTGTTGATCTCAAGAGATGCGATTTTGACTTGTATACACATTTCTCATTAGGTTTATGGGTGTATCCTCCTAATTCCGTCCTTCCTGTCATGACGACAATTGGATCACCCAACTTTGGCTATCGGTCAATTGTGCGGGACTTGGAGGCGCAGCTACTTATGGTGACATCAAACCATAGTCTACGGAAAAGTCTTCATGAAGTATGATAGTGTTAACACATTACAGTTGGTGCGCCAGGTGATCTCCTGGTCAATGTTAACAAGATGCGCCTTGTGGCATTTACTGAGCCCGTTTTTTATGTTTGCTTTCTAACGATAGGAACTCCATGCCCTTCGGCATTATACGTATCCAGTGACCGAGAGAACTTTCAAGGCAGTTGATCGTCAGGCGCCGGCATGGGTCGGAGGAGTCAGCAGGGCGATCCGCACAATGCTCTAAATTAGAATTTGCTCATTTTAGAATAGACGCAGTCACAAAAACCTGAAAAAATAACATTTTTTTTAGTGATCTTTCTTTTCTTCCTAAATCTTTTCCACATCTCGTATACACATTTTTTACGCGATCCTTTGTTCATTGTTCCTTCTTGTTCTCATTTCTGACATCTAATCACTTCATTTAACCATGGCTCAGCACGACAGTGATAATAACAACACTCTTGCTGTCCCTACCGAAAATACAAAATATGTTACGGTTTTTAATGACCCAGTCAACTTTAACGTCAAGCATCCACTAAACAACTCGTGGACTCTATGGTTTGACAATCCTGGAAAGAAAACCAATCCCAATACTTGGGAACAGTCGCTCAAGGAGCTCATCACTGTCGAGACAGTTGAAGATTTTTGGGGGTAAGCAGTAAACATTGGCTTCCTTTTATTTTTATATTTCTCTTCATGGAAGACGCTAGTGCTGTGCCAACTCTGCGCACGAACCCACTCATTTGACTGCGGCTGATTCATAATCATTACCATTGATCTGTTGACCAGCATTTCTTGGCTGCAAATGAATAGCTTGCATGATAAAACCAATTGCTATTTTTGTAATGATTCATCTACACAGAAGGCAAGATCCTTTCTGTGATCCACACAGCGGTCCTAAATCGTGCCACCTTAGTATTTAATACCATATATATATATATATATAGCTGTATTATTATTTATATTAACATACATTTTGGATAAACGATTTTTTAGGGTGTATAACAATGTTATGAAGGCATGTGATTTGGCGATCAACTCCAACTATCATCTGTTCAAACAGGGAATCAAGCCCATGTGGGAGGATCCTGCCAATAAGCGGGGTGGAAAATGGAGCATTCAGCTTCCTCGAAACAAGACTATAAGCGAGATTGATAATATTTGGCTGTATACTGTAAGGATTGATATGATTTATGATCAGCACTTAGTTTTTTTTTTTCTTTTTTTCTTTTTGAGCCAAAACATGCTCTAACTCCTGGATTATAATGTGTAACGATTTCTCCACATTTAGATGCTTGCATGTATTGGCGAGGCATTTGAGCATGAGAACGAGGTGTGTGGCGCTGTTGTATCTGTTCGAAAGGCATTTTTTAGGATAGCATTGTGGACACGATCTTCCGACAACCAGGAGATCGTCATGAACATTGGGTATGACTTTAAACTAAAAAAAGGCCTAACAATCTTCAGAAATCAAGGTGTTATGAATTTTGTGATGTTTACACTTTTTTTTTTTTATTGACTGATATTAGTCGTACTCTCAAGCGATCTGCTAATATTCATGGAACACTCGAGTTCCAGAGCCATCATGATTCTACTCCTAAGGCCGAACCATGGACTGTCTAAAGTATAAGAGTATATTACACGTATTTCAGGTTGTGTCCTCATTTTCATCTTCCACGCTCACAGTTTCCGCCTTCACCACATCCACACGATCTCTCTCACACACTCTGTGTTTCTTTTTCCAATATCCAAGCTTCATATTAGCTTTTTATCTTTTATCGTTCTCAATCTATTTCCGAGTTTTGATACTACCATCTGTTTATCACTATCCTTAGCATACATTCTCTGATTTTTTATTTTTATTATTGTTATTATTATTTTATCACATTCAACATTCCATTCATAGACACAGTTTTCTTTTTTCATTCTTTATTTCTATGTTTCATTTTCTTCATCAAGGGAGCTGATGAAGGAGAATGCACGCACTAAACAAGAGAGAAAGATCAAATGGGCATTGCCGTATGTATATGTCCCAGGCTTGTACAGCATGTTTTTTATCTGCACGATGAGAGGACAGCGAAGTTCCGGAGTGAATAAAGAACAAAAGCACCGCAATAGTTACAATTTACATAGCCATTTACGTAGCAATACTGTTGGATCGCGTAGATAATTCTATCTTGAGAGCATGGAGCGTTGATTCTAAGCGAGATAACTCTTCCTTCTCAGTAAGCAAATTAAATTCTTCCCGACTGGCTTCCTCTTCTGCTTCAATTGACAATTGATTCATACGAAGATATTCCTCCAACGCGGCATTCGCCTCTTGATCTCTTTCCCTAATAGCAGAGAGGAAAGAACTTTGACGGTTAGAATAGATTATACTGTAGGCAAAGCAAGGACATAGATATCTCGAAACTGAGCACGAACCTTTCCATTTTTTCTTCAAAAGCAAGCTCTTCTGCGCACTCAGCGGCGTATGTACGAATACGTCTCTCATACACTTTCTCAAACATAAAGATCTACGAATATGAAATCCCAAAATTACAGAGAGAAAGAAAAAAGTTATTGAAAATGAAGCATAAGTAAAATCTGTACATTAAGGGGACATAAATTATGAAATACGAAGAAAAATAAAATAAACCATAAAGATCATTTTGTTGACACTTTACCAGTTCATCGGCACTCTTCTCCTCCACTTCCATAGCACTCTTTAATTTTGCAAGCAAAACCTCCAGTTGCTCCGCCCTCTGGCGTTTCTCCTGAAGCTCCTGCCTCAGCTTTTCCACTGGTTCGTCGCCAAACTCTGCCTCCATGCAGTTCATTTGCTTTTGGACTTCCGCTAACAGCTCCGAGGTCTCTTTGATGTCTTCACTCAACACTGTTTGTTTCGCCCGGACGTATTTCAGCTCATCCCTGTCTGTTTCATCTCTATCTGCCCGAACTTGCTCCCAACCTTCCTTGGCTTGCAAGAAATCATATTTATATTTTAAAATTTCATCATTCAATTTGTCCAATCTCTCTTGAAGTTCACGTTCTTTCCCCCAAAGCTCCTGTAATTGTGCACTATTAGCAAGTGACCGAGCATGTAAATCTTCGTTGCCCTGATCCAAATACTTGAGTTGCTCTTCGCCAGATCGCATGAATTGTTGGTGTTCGTCCCTTGATTTGACTAACTCTTGTCGGGCTGCCCGAATTCGCCTCTGAAGCTGTGTCTCTGAGTCACGATGCTGCCGTAAATCGATTTCAAGGCTCTTGATCCGACCCAGAACGGGTGAGTCGACAGCTACAAGGTCTGAAAAATCAATTTTTGCATCGGATCTAGAATTGTTAATAGGAGTAGTGGATTTCGGAGACACGGGCGTTGTACTATCACCTGCTGTGTGATGCCTGATATTAAATGTGGCTGTAGCATTGACAAGGCTCGGTATCCTCGACCTTGACTATCAGATAATATGATTGATAAATAGCAGATAAAAATTAGAGAGCTAAATCTTGGTATGCCAAACCAACGGCCCATTTCCCTATTCTTTTGACAAAATGCTTTACTCCTGATGATAATGTTGCACTAGAAGATATACTTTTGGGGCGAGTGGAAGATCTAGGAGGTGTGTGAGGCGTATGAGGCGTGTGGAATGTATGGGTATGAGGCGTGTATGTTACAAGAGGTGTATGAGGAGTATGCTGTTGAGGTGTTTGTTGTTGAGGTGAATGCTGTTGAGATTTATGCTGTTGAGGCGTATGTTCCACTGAACTAGTAACAGGCTGTAACCTTTGCTGCTTTTTAGACTTTTCAAGCGAGTTGTCGTTGTCCATTTAGGTCGTTCCTTGTCTTGACAATGTTTACTGGGGACGCTGGAGACGAAACGTTCTTAAAATATTTGTTGTGACTGCTCCCCACAAAACACGCGGAGTGCCGAAGGTGGTTGATGGTTGGTGGAAAAAGAACTTTGTTGGGTGAGAAAAGGTCTGTGTTATTTGAGAAACACAAGGCAAAGGATATTTATCTGTTAGAACCAAGGATTGTTACTCATTCTCTTCGCTGCTGTCGCCGTTACCATCACCATTCCTTTCTTGTCCCCTTTTCACTCTATATCCTATAACAGATCTCTCTTCGTCCGTAAATGGGGAACACTCCTTCTACAACTGAAAACAACGCAGGCGAAACGAACCCCGCTGTTGAGTCCATCACCTTTACCAACAATCCTTATCAGAGGCAACAGCATCATCAAAATCAATACAATAGCAACTATCAAACACACCAACGTCATGCCTCTTCGCCCCATGCCTTCTCTTCAACAGATTCTCGTTCTGGACAGATACCATTGGGTCCACAGGACTCAATCAATCCTTCTACAATACCCGTTGCCCCTATCCCTGTCGAAGGAGGCGCCCTCCGGCCACGGTTTCCCTATGTGAAAGAGCAATATCTCAATGACTCACCAGCAGCATCATCTCCTTTGGGAAGTGATTCCTCTTACCCTATTGCTGTCGGGGATGAACATTTCCAGCAACGACAACAACAGCAAAAAAGTTCGTTACCTGGAGGAGGTACAAGGAGGAGAGCATCGTCCCTGATAAGTAGTAATCAGCTGCCATTTGGGAATTACACGGATGCCTATAATGAGCAAGTGCTCTTGGCCACTGCCGCGCACCAGGACAAGCTGGAATATCAACGTATGCAAAACTCTGCGGAAAGTAAGGCCAGATACCGCAACTCCGCCAGAATCTCACGCGCCTTTGATTCTGTGGATCCTCTCAAGAGTGTGGATGATTCACATGAGGGTGAGTGGGCTCTCGTTTTACGAAGCCTTTTTCTTTTTTTATATATATCAAAAAATTGGCATATTGATTCCAGTCTCTTTTAGGTTTTGGAGAGGACGAGTATGTTCCAACGATCATTACATGGAGTCAAGGCGGTACAAATGTCTATGTTACAGGAACATTTAATAACTGGAAGCAAAAAGTTCGTCTTAATAAGAGGTAAGAACTAACGAAGCAAAATTAACGGAGCCAAAGAAAAAAGAAAAAAGAAAAAAGAAAAAATGAATCTAATGCCATTGCACATTCTATTCTATCGATTGCAAAGTACAAATGACTTTTCCACGGTATTAAACTTACCACCTGGAACACATCGGATCAAATTTATTGTGGATGATGAGTGGAAGTGTTCTACAGAATTGTCGGCGGCGACAGATGCTGAAGGAAATCTGGTCAACTTTTTGGAGGTAGCAGACGAAGAACAAGATGAACTTGAGGGTGGACATGGTAAATTATCATTCTGTCAAACCATATACAAATGTTTGCTTCCCAAGGATCATCTTTTAACATTCTAAATCTATTATTCCTATAGATTCCCCGATCAATGGATCACCTGCAGGATCGTATACAGATCAAATCCCTTTGTATGCTCAATCTGGAGACTCCTCACCTATAGGTTCCTCAGGAGGTGACGCACTCTTGCCTCTGACGTCCATCAACATGGCACAGGACTCAAATAACACGCGAATATCCTCTTCAAAAATGTTCCCACCTTATTCACCCACAATTTCAGATGATCCGCCACCGGCTCTACCCCCTCATTTGGAAAAAGTTATCCTCAATAATGTACCATCCAAGGAAGATAATTCAGTGCTTCCTGTTCCCAACCATGTTGTTTTGAATCATTTATATGCATGCTCGGTTAAGGAAGGAGTATTGAGCATCAGTGTAACCTCAAGATACCGGAAAAAATACATCACGACTGTGTTCATTAAACCTGTCGTGACAAGTAGTTAGATCCATATCATCTGTTCTGCTCGGCTAAATTAAGTTAGCATGACTGGATGAAAAGAAAGATAAGACCTTTACACGTATGTTTAGGTTCATTATATGTGTTTGAGGTGCAGCAATGCCATTTTTTATATCATCTCTATAACTGCTCCGTCATTTCTTCCTTTCTTTAAACGATATCATCAAGTAAAGATTCAAGCCCAACCTCCATTAGCAAATCACGGACTCTTGAACGGTATTCCTTAATTACTTGCTCAGGCCTTGAAGACCATTTCTTCAGTAAATCATCACACTTTTTAAAAGATGAAGACGGTTCATCATTTTTAGCACCGCAATAACCTTCTGCTACTGACGATGATGATACACATGTCCGCACTTCTGCTGGCGATACCTCCTCAGCACAACATGTCTCATTCTTACAACACGAATTTTGAGTTGAAACCATTCCTCCTCCACAGCAATTTGTTGCTGTTTCTCTCGTTTTTTTAGAAATGACCTCATTAAAAGTCCTGCCACTGTCATCAAAGAATGCTTTGTCAAAAACCTTGGAAATATCTAGTTCAATCAGTTCCATGACAAGCTCGCCAGCTTTTTGAATCCATAATTCGTTATCTTGGGGGCTGTTCAACTCGCCACCGATCAACGTGGATGATAATGACGACTTTATATGCTCGATCAGCGGGCTTTTTTTTTTTTTTTTTTTTTTGCGTTAAAGAAAGGAATAGCGAGAAAAAGAGATGAAGAGGGCTGATTAAGAAAAAGATTTTGAATATCTCATATTTGAAGCTCATGAAGCACTCTTTTTCTAACCTGATCAGGCCACGGAGTCTGCCTAACTCATATCCATAATGTACGCCCTCTGACCACCCTTGATTGAATCCTTGTTGCAGTGTATTTTCTTTGCCTTCCTCAATACCCTCTCTATATCCAGTCTATCCAAGCAACGCTATCTGTCATTACTAGAACACACTCCTTAAGCTGTTGTCAAACAAACTAATTACTTTTTGTCATATTCCTTACATTGCCAAATGTGTCGTTCATGCGGGACCATTCTTTTTCGGCTATCGCACGGTCATATGACACATTGTCGCCATCCTCCCAGATATCATCGCCATCCTCCGTCTGCGCATCAGCTGGAGAATGATCTGAATGAGAGCGTTCGAGATCTGACATTGTTGTCAATAATATGAATGCGAAATTTGACAGAAAACGATTAAAATATTTGCCGAGATTCATTAAGGGGAACAATCTGAAATTGTTATTTAATTTTTTTTATCTTATTTTATTTTTACGTCCATTAGGACACTCAGGCGTCAAGTGAGTGAGGGGGGTGATTACAGGTCTACCTTGGTAGAGTACTCACGGATCTTGGAAAAGATCTGTTCTTCCAAACCTTCACCATCGCGTCCAGCTACGATGGCAAGTAAATCCCTCGTTACTTGATAATTACCCAGAATATCAACATGGTCTGCTGTCCTCTTCCCACCTCGAATATCCACAGGCGAGGGGCTGCTGTGGTGAGTAAATTCACGCGTGATGACCTTTATACCTGCAGGGTTATACAACTTCTTCTTCCAACCTTCCACGCACATGTATCCTGTCGACAATAAGGGGACAGTGCCATCACTATTTCCAAGTCCATGTATACCATTCGTGCAACAACCCAACAAAATAGGAATAATAATTAGTCACAAGAGTGAATGTAGATTTTAGATTTTCATGTGAATGTGGGTGTCATTAAATATTTCCTGTGATAGATCAACACATACCCGTCTCCTTGATGAACACCATAGCTAATACCCAATTTGTCATCATGAACACTGGTATCGATATAGATATTGGGGACTCTGCCGGTCTCGTCTGACACGTTGCCTGGTCTCTGATCCAAAATTGGTGGCGTAAAATCACTCATACGGTTGTAGGTATAACTTCTCTCTGTCGACTTTCCCACACCATACAGGCAGTATATCTTCATGTTTGGCGCATTAGGCAGTGAAGCTTCCAAAGGATTAGACCAACTTGTCGGTAATTTGTTTGTCTTGTCCATCTGTGCCTGAGTTACAGACGCACCCACTGTGTAATTCTTGGTCAACATTGTATTAAAGTCATTGCCTGCCATCTTTGATAACAATTGCATACTGTCGTCCATGGTATGATGATCCATATTAGAGCCTTGTGCGAATGCAAGCATAGCCCCGAACGTGGGTGACTTCCGATCACTCCGCTTTTTTTTACTTATTGCATCAGGCACTTCTTCATGCTTCGCGATCTTTTCCTTAACAAGTGTCTCTTCTTCGTCATGAGTTCCGTCGTCAGGCGCTCCTTTGATTGACCCCCAGACACGATCTCCACCCTTGGGGATCATGCTGGAGAGACCTCCCCAACTCCTGAACAGATCTGCACGTTCACGCCTCGAGAAGAATTTTTCCAAGACGTATGCGCTGACGACGCCAAGTTGAGCGGTATCGCGAACCTCTCCAGAGAGCACAGCTGCTAATGTCTTGGGAACACCCAGCATGGGCCCTGCAATATTGACAAATGAATGGACATGATCCCTAACCCAGTTTGGACCACCTTTTCCTCCCAAATCAGATTCAACCCATTTGAAAAAATAGTAGAGGACAAGGGAACCCATGGAGTGAGCTACAAGGACATGCTTTTCGCCTGTGATCTTGAGAGACATTTCCAGGCTAGATTTTAGGCGAGAGAAGTAGTTATCTCGAACTTCCAGATTAGAAAAGGCGAGTCTCCAATCGTATGCGGCGAGATACATATTGTTGTTGTCATAACCAATTGCTGCCAGGTTCTAGAAGGTGCGGGAAAGCAAAAAAAAAAATGCATAAATAATTTTGAACATTGCATTGTGCATTCCTGTCGTGAAGGCTAGTGGTACAAAGCGATTTTCAAGTGGCCAATGCGTACCTTGATAATCGGCGCCCATACCCAGTATCTATTAATGTGATACTTATAACAATCAATTGACGTTCATTCATGGATGTTTTCCTTTTTTCACATGTAAATAACAAACTTGTTCCTGCAATCGCTCCCTACCCAGGCACAAGATAATCTGCAGCCTCAAGGCCCTGAGCTGCACGCAAGCGAACTCCTTCGGGATCAAGTCCTGTTGCTGAGTCCAGCCGCATGTTAGTGATCCAGCATTCTTTGTCCAGAAGGACAGCTTTGAACATGGCTATCATATATCGTAACAAAACGAAGTAAAAGTTCAAGTCAGTGACTTGGTCCGAAAAGAAGAGAGGGTTATATTGGTTGGGCAGGTAAACCACATCACATACTTGTGGTTCCCCACATGCGCTTGCGAAAGTATTTTTGAGAGCAATTATGGGTTGTTGACCAAGACTCAAGGCCCGTCGAAACAATTCCAGGAATCATAGTTACCTAAACGCATTAGGAATGATATGGATGGTCAGCCATAACGAGAATCTCATTGATAAGGAGCTAAAAGGTCAAAGTCATACTTGGTAATAAATGATACAGATGAAAACGGCATAAATTGGGAAGGACATTTACAGGATACTTTGGTCTATAGCCATACTTCACCCTTAGCTCCTCCCCTGGGTAAAATTGCTCTTCTGTCAAAATTTCGGGTTTGAACATCGCGGATACATTCCCAATAAACTCTTCAGGAATCATTCCGGTAGGTACCATCGAAGCAAGATCAAAGTCCTGGAAGTAATGCGAGAATGCCTCGATGTATGCCGCGTCTCTGGTCTGCTGCATCAATAATGTAGCAAGGGCCATCCCTATAAGAATACCAAACAACAGAACGACTCGACGTCGGGTCCCGGGTGGGGCATGTTTTCTCTTGAGTTCCTGTGAGTCTGGATCAGGCACAAAGAGTGCTCGATGGAGATAATCTGCAACAGAAGGATTCCTGCTGAGGGAGGGATGCCGTACTCTGAGTTTGGAGTCTATGGGAAGAGTATTAGATAGCTTGGTAAGAGCTTCCTCGATTTCCTGTGCGGTATCACTACACTTTTTTGAGTGATCGTCCTCTACTCCATTGACCGTATCCGTATCATTGTTGTAGCTATTGGATTGCTTAGGTGCCTTATTCCTCTTTCGGGGAGCCATGGTGAAAAGGCCGGGGTATGAATGAGTGTGGATGCGTGGGAGAATGAGGGTAATGAGAATATGAAAAGAAATGGTGAAAGAGAATATCTTTTTCATGACGCAAAAAAAAAAAAAAAAAAAAAAAAAATCTCTATTCTGAGCATATTCCGAACTTTATACTTTGAACATTCTCTCTCCGTGAACCCCATATTCAAACTGCGGGACTGAAAAACATATGTTTATTGTTTGGCATTTCTGATGTCATTTTATGAAGCTCAGACGAGTCCCGCTCGTTGGCGTCCGAACAAACTAATAAGGTACATAGTTTCACTTGTCCTCAATCGCAGGCTGTCCAGCGTTCTTGTTATATTCTACAAAAATACGCTGTGCAGGCCTGACTCCACCTGTGAATGTATCAGAGAAAATAAATAAATAAAATAAAATAAAATTCTTTCAATCTTCATCTTTTCTAATGCTTCTTTAGGGCCTGAGATACAGAGTCTTTCTATTCTTATTTTTTTGCTCTTTTCTTACCTGGAATGTCGACAAAGAGATACTTATATTCCCAATTATTATGTCGATCCTTAACCATTTCCAGGTGTGCTGTTCCCTCGTTATCCGGGCCTTCAACATAGAATCTCATCAACAAATGCTCCTTGCCTTCGACATCCAAAACTACTTGTGAACTTTTTTTTTGTGCATAGCGTGAGAGTTGATGTGAGGATATGTCATTTTGGGCCACGCCCTGGGTCATGTATGGCTATGCACTAAACAGAATATAACAAAAAGACATACTGAATTCGACGATTTCTACGTCTTTTGCTAGAGGATGGCTCGCCATGACCCTTCATGGGTGATCCAATAATTTCCTGGAGCTTTTCATTCTTTCGGACCTTTTCCAATGCATCACCAAAGATATGCGTATCACTATTGGCTCCAAACAATTCGGTGACAATCGCGTATCCGATGGCGCCTACAATGACAGTTGATATATATTATTATTATTACTATTGTTGCTTCAAAGTCGATAAGCTTCAATGATAATAACAAATCAGTCAGACGCTTTAGTCTAACTTACCAACAAGAAGAACTCCTACGGCGACGACAGTGTAGTTAGTTGTTGCTTTGGTTGCCGTTACCACTAAATACGACAAATGCGATATGAAAGATCTGTGGTCAGATATCGGGATTGAAGGAGAATAATAAAACAACTGCAGTTAAGCGCCTATAAATAGTTTTAACAAACCCTTTTCTGGCGTTGTAAGATCCTTCCACTGCTTCTTGTCAGTATGGTGTGCCAAAGCACCAGTGTTGGCAAAAGGTTTCTGTGAGCCATTGTTGCTTTTAGGTTGTTCTGTTGCCATGCTCCTAACAGTTTGCCTCCAGGTAGTCCCGGCTGTAGTTCGTGTTTGGAATTGTAATTGTTGGAAGCATGACGAAAAGGTGCTTCTAGAGGTAAATGCGCGTGAGACGCGAACACCTTGTATGAATTGCATGGTGGCCTGTAAGAGAAAAACTGTAACTAATGCATGATAAAAAAAAAAAAAAAATACGCTCTTTAATAAGCAGTCCACAGAACTGTAGCTGATCTACGCCACAGCTTCAAGATGCAGAGAAAAAAAAAAAAAAAAAAAATCGATTTTTAAGATTCACTTTTATTCCTACACTTAAAGCCAGCATAATTGGTCATGTCATCAAAAGCAGCAACGCCAGAACTCAAAAAGTATGTCCAATGAAAGAGAAAAAATGGCGATTGAGGAAGATTCATGCTCGGTATCGTCATGTATCATATTTAATAGGCGGCAGTGGATGATTAGCGTTACAATGACTGAACTGCATGAGACAGAACTCAACTGGCTCTTCAGCCGTTCATTGAACGATCTTCAAATGAACACCAAGCGGGTAGATTATACTCAACTATCACCGTATGGATAATGGATAGCTTAATAATATCATACTCTCGCTTGGAAATCCTCTTTGTGGACGAAAATAGATATATGGACAAGCGCGTCTTTGTTCAGCTAAATGGCGCCAGGAAAGTCACGGGCGTTCTGCGTGGGTACGACCCTTTCATGAACCTAGTTTTAGACGAGGCAGTTGAGGAAACAAATCCTTCAGAAAAAACCTCGATTGGTATGGTGGTAAGCAGCTGTAATTTTCTTTACCGACCCTACTACTCTTTTATCAATAGGTCACAAAGCACAATAACTGAGAACGCCATGACTTTTCTTCTTTTTTTTCCCTTTTCTATGCGGAATAGGTTCTTCGTGGAAACAGCGTGGTAGTCATGGAAGCATTGGATCGGATTGGAAACTAGTTGGAAAGAGTATAGCATCCGACTATAAGCAAAGTACTTTTCGTCACCTATCAAATAAAGATTTATACATGAAAGGTCAAAGTTATAGGCTTCATCTCAATGAGTTGATGCCTTTGTTAAATAGCTGCACTACAGAATTTTCGTAAAAATGTATAATTGGAGACGTTACCGCACATCTTCGATATTCCTTTGACATAAAAAGACTAATGAATTATAGTCTATCTTCCTAAACGATATTTAACATGAGGCTTTGGAAAGAGGATGGCGGAAAGGCGGAAAGGAAGAAGCAAATCGCGTATTGCTTCATCTAATAGACTCGTTCCCCGCGGCATTTTTTTTTTTTTTTCTTTTTTTGTGACGTCCTTTCTTCATCCAAATCCTTCCTATTTTTACTCAACATTCGCTTTGCATCAATCAATCATTCACCAACAATCCCCGCCTGTCATTCTGGCCTTCTTTTTCTTTTTCTTTTTAAAACTTCTTACTTATGTATTCCTCAGACACTTTTACTTCACTATAAGTAATTGTTGTCAGAAAAAGAAATAATAAACAAAAAATAAAAAAAAAAATAAAAAAAAAGCGAGAGATATATAAAATCATGAGCACAACCATCACAAACACGGCTGCTAAGGCTCCCAAACTAAGACGCATTGCCTTGCTAGGTGCTCGTGCTGTTGGTAAAGCCAAATCTATCCTTTAATTCCATTTCTGGATAATAAAAGAAGACATAAAAGTGAATCAAAGAAGTCATCTCCATCTTTCCTAGTTATCACCAAAAAAAAAAAAAAAAAAAAAAAAATTGAAATACGAATAATAGATTCGTATGAGGAGATCTTGACTACTGAAAATGATTCTTCTTTGCTCATGATTTGTACGCATCCCGCACCCATAAATGGAAAGAAAAAGGGAACCATGATCCCCACTTGCTCTGCTCGGACTTTGTCCTGCGTAACTTTTGCACACACACACAAAAAGTTCACACAGACAGACCCTGAATAAAAGAACGAAAGAAAACGCAAATCAGAGTATAAACATTAGAAATGACAAATATACGGACCCAACTTGCTAATCTCACCAATTTTTTTTTTTTTTTTTTACAGGGAAATCTTCGATGGTGATTCAATTCGTTGAGAACGTCTTTGTTGATTCTTACTTTCCTACCATTGAACGTACCTTTACGAAACCATTGACTTATCACGGACAACAGTACGAAGTGGAGATTATTGACACCGCTGGCCAGGTAAAGCATCGCCCTCTTTATAAAATTTATAATTTTGACACAAATTGCGCCCCGATCTTTTTTATGTTATTATATTTTATTCATTTAAAAAAATCTACTGTAATTATTTTCATGCTCCGACATCATACTTTTTTTTTTTAAAAAAAAAAAAAAAAAAAAAAAAAAAAGGATGAGTTTTCAATCTTTAATGGGAAGCATGCATTGGACGTGCATGGATATGTGCTGGTGTACTCAGTGACAAGCAAGCTCAGCTTTGATATGATCGGAGTCATCCGAGATAAGATCCTCAATTTCACAGGCACCGATTGGGTTCCTATCGTGATTGTTGGAAATAAAACCGATCTACAAGGTCAGCGACAGGTGACGCGCGAGGATGGCGAAGAACTGGCCGCTCGATGGAAGTGTCTCTCATGCGAGACCTCTGCAAAAACCAATATGAACATTGGTAAGCCTTCTTTTTATTATCGTTGTCATTGAGAAACCAAATGTATTCAGTCATATTAAACTACCACTTGTTCAAAATCTGCTCTAGGACGTGCATTTGAATTAATGATTGCCGAGATTGAAAAGTCAACCGATCAGGTGCCTGAAGAAAAAAAGGGCGAGTGTGTCATCCTGTAAAATAAATCAATGGGAATAAGCATTAAAGAAAGTAAAAATTATATAATACAGTGATATCTTGCAAGTTTTCCATTAGCTTGATAAGGGCTTGAAGAATTTTGTAAGGGTTGTAACGGAGGGGACAGCTGTTCTCTTGCGCTTGCCTCGCGCAGAAGAGGCGGATGGTGAAGCACCCACATTGCGTTTACCGCTCTTATTGCTCTCTTGATGATCATCATGAATCCTGCTGGCCTGTTGTTGTTGCCGTTCCACTTGATGCTGTTTCTTGTCATCCTCCAAAAGGCTTAATGCAAAGTGATAATCATTATGCTGTTCCCATTCTTCAATTGGAATCAATTGTCCAGGGCTTGGACACTGGTAACACATGGATGTTGCTGCTGGGATGATTGCTATCGTCTCTGTTTTGCCTTGACCTTGATAAGCAGATAATGAAGATGGTCTCTCGGGCGTAGGAGACGGTGGGCACGATATAGACTGTTCTGGGGAGGAACTTCTTGTTCTGATGACATCGTCAGATGGTGTAGTAATAGCAGTTTTCAGCTGGAAAAATCGTCGCCTAGCTTCTGTTGGTTCAGGCGGCTTTGTAGGGGAGTGTCCATAATCACGTTCGGTTGATATAGACTCATTTTCCTCTTCAACCAATTCGCAAGTAGCTTCCATATCCTCGTTCTTGACATAAGATGATGAAGACATTTGCTGCGGTATTCGCTGGATTTGAGAGGGTGCTTTAGAAAAGAACTTTGTAATATCTCCCATCGCACTCTCGCCTCCATCAGTGAAATTGGAAACAGTTATCGTCAAAAGTACCAAAGGCAGAATATGTCGTCCTTTCCCTGTCTCCGCCTCTTTAATTAACCTTTCAAGTGTTGTATACATTTTTCGCGCGATCCCTTCAACGCCTCCATAATCAAAACGGCCACCCAACGGCATGGATCTTGTGCCTTTGTGTAGAGCTCGAGAAGTCGATTTGTACTCACTGTCCATCTGGGTCTGACGGGTGCGAGTACCTCCATAAAAGCCCAAGGAAACTGTCCGTGGCCAACGCTCTGTTTCATCATACTCTGCCTGCATACGAGAGACCAACTCCATGCTCATTGAGGTGATCCAAAACTGGATCTCCTCCAAGTCGCTGAGAGCAGGAATAAACGACTTGTGAGAACACATTGATTTTGACTTGGTCTTTCGAATCCCACCGTGATCAATCCCGCGACACCACTGCCATAATTCTAGTCCGGCTTGTTCTCCATATCGCTGCTGTAACTGTCGAAGAGGCACTGGCCAAAGCTGCGATGCTCTCTCGATATTGTAGTCCTCCCTGACTAGCTTTCCAAACTTTCCTCCCAGATTACGAATCTTGTTGAGCTTAAGTCGATGGAGTAATTTTGGGATGTACTTGGGAAGAACAACAGTCTAGCAAAGCAGATGAAAGAAATAAGCACTTTAGAATTGGTTCTTCATATATATATAAAGGAGGAGTATGCCAATAATGAAAAATAAAGCCTACCTGATTAAATGGTTTGTTCATACCCGATCCAACTTTTGCTAAAAGTCGATTGTTACCAATACCAGCAGAACATGTATACCCAAGCTCTTCTTTAACTGTCATCCTGACCTCCCTACAAAATTCTGCTGCTTTAAGTAACTGCATCTCAGCCCAGAATTCCTCCTCAAATGTTCCTTCCGGAATACCATAATACAACCGCAACTGTTCAAATTCCAAGCGAAGCTTTTCCTCTTCCGCTCTTTTTTCTGCTATGACTTGTTCTTCTGAATTGACTTCATCGGCAATACCTTCATTGGCAGACAATTGCTCGTTCTTATCACTGATGTTAAATTTTTGTTGTCCATCACTAATATTCTCAGCTCGAAGAAACAATTCATGAGATTTGTTCTCAAGATCCACTACTTGCTGTGAATGCTGCGAAAAGGAGATATCGATATCTGAGTCCAATACCTCTTCAAAATCGAGATCAAAATCATCATCTACATTCGCGTGTTGTAGTTGTTTACTTTCTGTGTTATACTCATTTTTGTCTTCGAGCTTGAACAGCTGGGCATTCTCGTCCTCACTATCCAAACCTTCATCACTCTCCTCAGCCTGAACATCATCCAGCTCCGTTTTTTGATCTTCATCCTCATCGTTATCGTATAGAAACGTCGTAATTGCATCGAACTCTTGATCATTATCGCCTTCTCGGTCCATTCCAAAAATAACACCCGCTTCAGGATGGTCCCTCCAGTCAATCATCTTTGCAGAGTCGCGATCCCACTTCGAAAGGTCGCTCCTATACTCATCCATGATTCTTTGGTTGACAAGATCAGTTACATCCATAAAAACTTCGTCGAGTCCTCCTTTTTGGAACCTGACATTAAATCTTCGAAAAACCGAAAATATCTTTGCAGAGGCCTTTCGATATGGATCCAAAGAGACTTTGTGTGTATAACGTGAAGGAGAAGGGTAGTAATCTGGCTGAGAATCGCCAGGCCCTAATGTTGCCACATGTGCACATACGAGGTCTAACGAAAAGTGTGCGGTTGAGTAACTCATGCTAACATGCGCAATTGCCAGAAAAACCTAACTGAATAACATATGTACCTGGACATAGCTGCTTTGCATCAAAAACATTGTGCTTTAAGCGGGTAATCCCAAATTTCCGAGCAGCATAGTTGACAGCAATAATGGCATTCCATTGTTGCGACACCAATGGAACATCTGCAGTCAATCCTAATCGGATTTGCTCTGTTAAGTTGAAAGGAGAGATAATGAGTCTCAGAAATTGGATTATATGTGCCCAGTCAATATGAAAAGCTAAATATACTTGCGCATGCATGCTCAATTGATATAAGCCCTTCAATACTTGCCTACTTGCGCGAAAAAACAATCTTTAATAATAAAACACATGAAAATTGGTGGCAAATTCCAAAAAATTAGTGAACCACATACTTGGCTAATCTTTTAAAAATAACATGATAAAGCGAGTAATCGAATGTTACCAAGATCAATGTGGATAAAGCATTTGCGTCGCTTGAGCACTGCAGGCACCTGGACATGAGGCGCATGAGATGCCATGAGTGAAATGGAAGAGGTGACATTCAGGCAGTTGATTTTTTTTTTTCTTTGAATGGAGTCACAGGAACGTATCACCCTTAATTGTTGAAAATGAACTTTGTAATTCAATCAGGCCGTGAGAGAAAATCACAGGGCAGAGTCGGCGTACCTTAAAGACTAATTGTTTGCCCACAACCATGGGGCGTTCACACAACCTTTGATGCATTAGGTTGGGTATGTAACCAGTAAAAAAAAAGACCCAGTCGGACCATGGCAAGCGCTAAAAAAAACTTTTCCGTGGGCAATATTCCCACTCCTCTCAAAAAAAGTTAATTTTGTGTTTGAAGCGGGCTTGCCTCTTTAGGATACTCAATGGTGGCCAAGAGTGATTTCGTCTACTTCGGATTCGCACTTTGTTGCTGCTTTGTATTACGGGAAGTTTCCATGCTTGGTTGATTAAGAATACGCTTCTTTTCATAATCGAGAAGATATAAACCATCTCCATACCATGTTTGTACGAAACTGTAGACTGGAATGGGATCTTTAAAAGTAGTAGTAAGAATCATTATGATGGAGAGCAAAGGGCCTTAGGTACTGGTGCCCGAAAGCTTTGATGCAACAATAGGTCATTCTATCTAGAATATCCATGTTGAAGACATTCGACAAAAGCATAAATGTCTAAGGCTCCCAGTTGGGTCCGAAGGAAAAGAACGGAAGTGAAATTCATGACGTTACGAGCAAATTGTTCTCCAAACAGTCACTCAACCAGGGACCATTGAAATATTTAAATGCTTCGAATCCCGTTCCTTTCTCTTCTTTTCTTTCCACATTAACCCCAACATTCTCCACCACTCTCTTCCATACACGTCTTTACAAACATGGCTATCAAGATCGGAATCAACGGGTATGTCGGCATGTATTGATATTTATTGTGTCCTTAACTCAAGTTCCATTTCGTGGTGGGAACCACAACCTCTCAACTCAAGGCTCGGCTGTTGCTACATTTCATTCAATTGCTCCTCATTTCATACCGAATTCAATAAAACAATGATGGTGTTGATCATTCCTCATTTGGAAAGCTCGGCTTTCGACATCCCTTATTTTTACACGTCCTATTTCGGATCGCACAGTTTCTTGCGTGAGATAAAAATTGCGATCAACGAATAAAACTGACAACTGGTACGGTATCTTCCCCTCCTTTTTTTACCCCAGATTCGGACGCATTGGTCGTCTCGTTCTCCGCGCTGCTCTCGCCAAGAAGGACGTTCAGGTCGTTGCCATTAACGATCCTTTCATTGATCTCGCCTACATGGTACGTAGATTGTGATCTTTCTAGGTGTACCTCGTGTCTGGACGCGTATAATCTGTCATCACTGGATCTTTATTAGTGAGCTAATATCTTTTTATACGGTAACTTAATACCATAATAAAAATAGGTCTACATGTTCAAGTACGACTCCACCCATGGCCGCTACAAAGGCAGCGTTGAGGCTAAGGATGGCTTCTTGATTGTTGATGGTCACAAAATCACCGTCTATAACAGGTACGAAATTCTGTTCTCTTCATCATTTATTTACACGCCCAACTCCATGTTTGTCCCACAGTCTGGAAGATAACAGACAGGAGAAGAATAACTTTGCCGATCAATGGTCACGATAAAAAAAGATCTCGCACAATGCGCATTCTTACTAAACTTTTTTTTTTATTGATTACGATCTTGTGCTTATCAACGTTTACCGTTGTATTAATAGCATGAAGCCTGAGGAGATCAAGTGGGGTGAGGCTGAGGCCGAGTACGTCGTTGAATCCACTGGTGTTTTCACCACTGTTGATAAGGCCTCTCTTCATTTGAAGGGTGGCGCCAAGAAGGTTGTCATCTCGGCTCCTTCTGCTGATGCTCCCATGTTTGTCTGCGGAGTCAACTTGGATGCCTACAAGCCCGAATACACCGTCGTCTCCAACGCCTCCTGCACCACCAACTGCTTGGCCCCTCTTGCTAAGATCATTCACGACAACTTCGGTATCACTGAGGCTTTGATGACTACCGTGCATGCCACTACAGCCACCCAGAAGACTGTCGATGGTCCTTCCTCCAAGGACTGGCGCGGTGGACGTGGCGCCGGTGCCAACATCATTCCCTCTTCTACCGGTGCTGCCAAGGCTGTTGGCAAAGTCATTCCTGAGCTCAATGGCAAGTTGACTGGTATGGCCTTCCGCGTCCCTACTCCCGATGTTTCCGTTGTTGACTTGACTGCCCGCTTGTCCAAGCCTGCCTCTTATAATGATATTAAGGCTGCCATCAAGAAGGCTGCTGAGGGCGAGATGAAGGGCATCATGGCCTACACTGAGGATGAAGTTGTCTCCACTGACTTTATTGGCGACACTCACTCCTCCATCTTTGATGCCAAGGCCGGTATTGCTTTGTCTGATACCTTTGTCAAGCTCGTCTCCTGGTACGATAACGAAGTTGGTTACTCTACTCGTGTTGTCGAGTTGATCGAGTATATGTACTCCAAGGATCACTAAATCCCTAATAGCCTGGTGGCGTCTGTATGCTCGTTCGATATTGCAAAAATGAGTTTGTTTTAAAATAAGATCAATAATACTTTTGTAAATAAAAAATGAAATAAAAAACTCTTTTAATCGACGATAAGCTCTACAAATGATGTTATGGGTGATCTTTTTTTTAATTTTTACTGAACTGATAAGAAACTAGACAAGACCGTTATCGTTATCTGTGAGCCAGATAGACCATGTTCTAATATCAAAATACTCCATGTGCAAAATGTTTGATCCATCCATTCACGTCTAAACGGAATGTGTTATCAACGCGCTCAATCATTTGGTCCTTGCCGTCCTTCATCCTAATGCTCACCAAACACGCCATCACATCTATAACAAAAACCGATGCCCTATCCCTGTCTCAAGCGGCGACAATTCATCAGCGTTGTCGTCGTGGTAACTAAGCAATCCATTAAACTCAGTAATGTTCATGTCGCTCTGGCTATGGTGCTCGAAGTACCAGGCTTTGTTGAAGGCGTGACGTTGACGAATAATGGGTTTCTTTGAGCACAATTCGGTCGCTAGGAGGGCGGTATATGGTCGTTAGGTATAAAATGGAGTCTTTACAGAAATGGTTATAATTCTCTTATGTTTTTACCCGATACACGCACAAGTACGCGTAAAAAGAACAATGATAATAATGGATGGTTTTATTTTTTATTGCCTGAAAAGCTCCACCGAAATGTCGCCACTGCTGTTCTTGGCCATGACTAGCCCCGGTCCTTCACCAATCATGCCTATCAATTCTCGAGTGATGATCCAGTCCTTCTCCTCATCCTTTCTCCTTTGTCTTTCAGACCGAGAGTTGCTTGCCACTGACCGACCTTCACCAATAGACCCCGTTGTCGACTCGGCCTTGGAGTTGGAGTCAGACCCGTTGAGAGACTCGGGAGAAAGAGGTTGGTGATGATGAAACTCGATATATTGGATTTGTTGTGATAGTTGTTTTGGTTGGGTATCACGATCATAATAATGGTGAGGATGGTGATCATCACCCCAGGACATGGCTGTACCTTGGGATGATGTCCTGGAAGAAAATGGATTGGAGGAGTGATGAGGAAGTTGAGCGACATGGACCTGCGGACATGCCGTTAGCGTAGGTGCAATGCGATCACTCGCGGATGGTATTGTCAACGTTGCGCCCTCTAACCTGACAAACTCTGGCTCTTCAAGATGAATCTTTCCATAGTGCGTCCTTGTCTCAACTCTTCCTTGGAAGTTATTGGATAGTTGGACTCGTAATGGCCCACCAAAGTTAATAAAGTTACCTAGAAGCCTCTGCGTCCTACTTGCTAAGAGGACCTTGGCCTCCAGAGGCGAGCATTGCGTCTTGGCTTCGACTGTAAATGGTCCAAAGAGGTCACTACCGTCCACGTTTAGATCAATCCGATAATTAAGGGCAGAACAGATGACCTTGGGTGAAGGAACCTGGTCATCCGTGTTGAGTAAATGCACATCTGACATAATCCTTCCACCTTTCGTGATTGCTAAGAGTCTTGCTACACTATATTTACCCTTGATGCCGCCTGTGATTGTACTTGTAATGGTGGCAATCTCGCCATAGAAACTCTATAAGTAACCAAACAAAAAAAAAAAAAAAAAAAATGAAGGAAAGAGTCAGCCGTTGATCACTTCTCCCGCCTTTCGAAATAGATACACCAATTGACTAAAAAAAAAAAAAAAAAAAAAAAAATTACATCAATTGAGATATCTCCTCTTGCATTTGTGATGGTTAAATGCCTGATGAATGTATGGCTAATATTTCCAATTGATATTTCCAAATTTGTTCCTTCAATTGTAAACGACTCTAGGCTATCCAGGTCCCGTGGGATGGTGATGAACACTTGAAAGGCCACAGATTTTTCCAGCGTTTCTTCTAAGGGCGTGTGAATGGTATAGGTATACTGATTGCCATCCTGAATGGGCTCCAAGGCAGCAGCATTCTTGATGATAGCCTCCTTAGCTTGGACACTTGTCTTGATACAAATCATGCCTTCATTTCCACTGAGAATAGTGATTTCACCCTATTCAGTTGTAGATGGTATATGGGCAATGGTTAGTCAGGCTGATATTTCGGATAAATCTATAAAGTGATCCGAGTCTGGGAAAGACCCTTGAGGGATCCTTGTTATCAAAAAAAAAAAAAAAAAAAAAAAAATCCGGTCTGGGTAAGATCACCACAGGTGACGAATGCAGCGAAATTCATTGACAAATATGCGTGCGAATTTAAACGAAACCATCATGACGCGATAGGATTTTTTTTATAGTTGTGTTACAGATCACACACATGGCTTCTAGATCAATCAAGGGATTTTTTTTTCCTCGCTCACTCTCCGGTCTTTTAATATTAAGTTCCATCGCGATGCTCACATCCCAAAAGATGATCACGAAAGAGGGCCGATTGTAAATCTGAACAAACATTGTTTTAGCCCTTTTGTGCTCAATTTGTAAATGTGTTTACTAATGCACCTCGTCTGTTAGTGACATTCCTTTGATGAAGAGCGTTGCACAAAAAAAAATTTTTTTCACAGGAAAGCGCTCACTACCACCAAAACAAAAGGGTTTACATGATTGTAGGTAATTGGATCTTGTGTTCATAATGTATAAATATATTATGAGGCGTAATTATTATGACTTCTGAAGACATGATGGAGAGAGACGAATATAAAAAATAAATAAGCAGATTGCAACCAAATACAGAAACGATGGATGGTTGGCAGCCATTATAGTCATAATGAGCTCGAAGTAGAAGGAGACTGTAAACCCAAACATGAATAGTATCTGTGATATTGATATATAAACTGTGGTATGGCTCAAGAATAAAAGGAAGGGCTTTTACATTGCCCATGACAAAGGGTGAGAATAAGGTTGATTACTATTTATGATTAGGCTTCAGTCAACATGGAAGGGAAAGAAACGTTATATCAGAAGTGTAATGTAAAATAGATAAGGAATGGTAATAGAAAGATGTATATAGTCTACTGGACATGTGTCCAGACACATCTATAAGCTTATGAAGCTAGGCATGGTGCGAGCCCATTCAAGCTTGGTCGATGACCTACAATAGCGACAAGAGCAAAAAAAAAAAAAAAAAAAAAAAAACCATCTCTGACTGAACAGGAAATGAACGAGAGAGACCCAGAGGGTGCATACGTCTTAATTCATTTTACCGATTTTGCAACTGCAGCTGCAGTTGGAGGAACATTATATGCCGCCCCAATGCTCACTGCTTCTCGTATTTCAGCCATTCTCCACCAAAACAAAAGAGCCATGCATGGATCAGTCGATGCTTTGAGTGGACTATTTTGCCACTGTATGGTATGACCACAGACAATGTATTACATATTATTGGTGAATTATGAAAATTCAGCAAGAAAGCAGTTAACGCCCAAAAAAAAAAAAAAAAAAAAAAAAAAGGGAAACTTGCTCGCTGCCAGATGCAAGCACTCAACACGACGTAAATGATTATGTTTTTCTCCCCTCGCCTTAAATGTAATGGATATGGTCTTGCTGATGTACCTTTGCAAGGCCAATAACATTGACTGCAATCTTCGAGCACAGTTCTGCACTGATCTGTACATCCTCGTTGTCATATCGTGCAGGCAAAAGTGTTTTGTTGAAAAATCCCATGTTGCAGATTAAAATGACCAAGTGATTTGGGAAAACGACCTTTTTTTTTTTCTGGAAAGTTAAATCTGGAAAGTGAGTGGGGTGGAAGGCAAGGGACAAAATAAAAAACGTAAAGAAATTGAAGCGTAAGGTCTGTCACGTCTACGGAATGCCGATCTGTTGGATGAGGGACGAAAAGTTTGTTGCTATGATTGAGGAAAGGATTACTTGGAGGATTGTGCTGAGGAGCAAGTTAACTAAAGGATGAAGGAAAAGAATGCTAAAAAGAAAAGAGAACAGAGGTTCGGATTGAAAATTAAAAAAAAAAAAAAAAAAAAAAAATGTCGATCATTTTTGTATAACATCAAGCAGGGTCATGCTATGGCTCATGAACTTTCTATGGTGAAATAGCTCCTTTGAAGACAAACCATTTCTTTAAGAGCATCTGGACATTTATCGATATTGATAACTATAAATATTTATACAGCCTGTCGTTCACCCTATTCCTTGAACCGGTAACTTGTTGATTTGATCCGGTAATGTAATGTAGGGCCCAAGACTAACTCAACACCTCGTTTCCCAAGTCGGCTGCCGCAGATATGAATAGAGGCCGCATTGTTACCAACGATAGCTAAGATATTCAGCACAACCATGTCCAGATGTATCACAGCAATATCTTGATTTCCTTTGGGTCAAAATAGTGTATGACCATAAAAGTCAAGCGTAAATTCTTAAACCATGGATACTCATAGGGTACTCTGTCGGCCATTATCTGAATCCCTTGGGCCCAAAGCTTTCACCTTGACACGTTCTCAACCTATTGTCTTAATCAAGCTCTGATAACACAATAAAATATGGTGCATGCATGTCACTGATTCACAGAGCAAGATACCAATCACTAGTTTAACTAGTTGGCATGGCTGACCGATACACGATATGATGGACATATTGTGTTGGGCTTGCCGAACCGACAAAGCGCAAAGCGTGAAGAGCAGCTCATCACGATCACCGCAGTGAGGTTGCAATGGAGCATGGGGTATGGAGGAGTAGCAAGTATTAAACACCTTAATGACCTTTCAACTAGACACTTCTCTAGTAGATTTAAAAAACTGGATTATCCTAGCTTGATGGCGTTTTATTAAGAAAGTACTAGGTGGCAAGCATCAAGTATTCAAGATGATCAATGTGAACTCCAGAGAAAGTTAAGTAGGAATGATAGGCAGTCTTTCCCCAGATTCGAGAATGGATCGTGCCACAAAAATTAATTTCTCATTCAAAATTCATACGTACGTTGTTTGTTCAAAATGTACGTTGTCCCCCACTTTCAGGAACCTGTCTTTGAGATGACTTTTTTTTATTTTTCACTCATCCTTCTCATCTCTTCAGCGAGGTACATTCTGAATACGTGGGGGAGGGCATTCCTCATATATAAAAATAGAAAAGAAAAAGAGGGAAAAAGACAGGGGCCAACGCCACAAAAAGAAAGTCAAGAGGTCATTAGTTTTATATGAACCTTTTGGACGAGCAAGAATGATGATTCAACAACTAATCGTTATACCATTTCGTATTCTCTAGTTGCTCTTTCGCACCCAGGTCGATAGCAATATACACATAGACTTTTTTTTTTTTTTTTTCTTTTTTTTTTTTGTTTTTTTCTCAGGGTCAAACTACCCTGAATCATTTCGTCCATCATTTCATCCTTTCTCTCATTCCTCTGGCGGTTAACGCCTGCGCTACCCAAGCACTTGTTTCAGGCGCGATATGAACGATACGATCCTGATACACTTCTTCATATCCGATGGAATCATAGGAAGTATGTAGTCGACTTTGAAGGCAGAGTTTTAGGCCAGATCAAATTAAAGGAGCTTCGAGAGATTTGCAGAGATTTGACAGGCGTGCCTCTCAGTGGATTGAGTTTGGTCTTTGGCGGCGCAACTATGAAAGATGATAATGCACCACTATCATGCTTTGGTATCAAACCTGGATCAAAAGTTGCTGTCAATGGAGTCAAGCCTACAGTAGGTTTCATTGCGGCTATTGATAAATAGTTGCAAAGAGGCGTTTGATGATCGAGAACTATCCCGTATGAAGCTTAAGTGCATGTATAATGAAGTTTCATTTTGACTTTTTTTTTTTTTTTTTTTTTTTTTTTTTTGGCAAACACGTATAGGTGGAGCAAATTAAAGAGCTAACAACGAATGGCGATCCTGAAGAATATGCATTGATCTTAAGGATATCAGAATTACAAGAAAAATCCAAGAAATTTATGTCAGAGCATTGCCCAAAGTATGAAGCTGAAGTTGAATCTTATCTATCATCTAAGCCAGAACCTTTCGTTATGTCTGCTGGAATGCCGCCCGCCCGTAAAAGGCTTCATGATCTCCATGGAATGATGTCTGAAAACCTTCTTCAATCTTTGTTGGCTATTGATGGAGTCACTTGCCCATTTGATTTTGAGATTGCCCGAGTAAAAAGACGGGAGGCTGTCAAGGAGACACAGAAACTATTAGATCACATTGATGCTTTCAATGGTCGTGTCAAGGAGAGTGATAGGGCTGCGCGTCTTTGATAGTCTCTCTTTAAAACTTAACAAGATAGAGTCTTATAAATGGTTTATTGGTAATGATGCCAAATCTTTGCTTTTTTTTTTTTTTTTTTTTTTTTTCTTGTTATTTTTATGGCGCTTCATGTTCTCTTTAGTTGGTATTATTGCCATCCGCCCCCTTTCATTTGGTCCCAAAGTTGGTTGCTTTAGTGCCGCCACTCTCTTTCCTGTTGCAGCAGGGCCTGCGTCGTCGCATTTTGAGGTTCTTACCAGTGTCTTGCCGGCAGTTATGGCGAAGCGGTGTTTTAGTCTCTTGATAACGACAGAATTTACATTGTGCGGGCTTCCAATGCATTAGATTCACAAACACGATCTTTACATTTTTATTTTTTATTATGCTCAGTGTCTTTGTTGTTAGGTTATTGATTAGCAAGGGTTTAAAATGATGCAATGGGAATCGACTGTGAAAGAATAAAAGAGCACAGAGAATAGCGTTTGAACGCTAGAACAAGTCTATGAAAAGACTGACAAGTGCAATGCAATATGTATCACAGAAATCAAAAAAAAAAAAAAAAAAAAAAAAAAAACTGCAGATTTGTGATAGAGGATGAGAAAATATTGATTATGATACAATATGCTACAAACCTCAAGAAAATGCTGAAACGTAAAAGCAGGCACAAAAAAAAAAAAAAAAAAACAAAGAAAGAAGAAAGAAAGAAAGCATATACACAGATTAGAGAAAGAGAGAAAAACATTGACTGCGTGCGTGTAAGAGTAACAATGGTATTTGAATCACGAGTGCAGCTGCTAATGATCGTAATTCGGTTAATAACCTGGATGTTGAAACTACTACGATTAGCGATCCCATCGAGCAATATGATCCACCTCGGCAGTACGATCTATCGCCTGTCCATGATGTAGTGGCGATTCCAAGAAGAGATGGGATGTTGATACAGTATGGCCACCAGCCCGATAATCATTGATGAGCCCATTGCTATCACCAGCGCCTCCAATGCTCTCAAGCGCGCTAGAATGTGTAGTGGTCCCAAAGTGATTGCCATGGAGAAATTGAGCAGGCCCAGAAAAGGACCCATTGACATGGCCGTAGCCATGAGCATCCTCACCAATAATACCACCAAAGCCATTCGCGAAGAATCCACTACGATCATCCTCAAACCTTGATCCTGCTAAAAAGCTGGGTAGACCTATGCCCGAAGATTGGCGGTTAGAAGCCTGACCAATTCTTCCCTGCGATGTGCGGCCACCGTTGACATTCATATCACTCTCCGATTGGTTATTGATAGAATGCTTTTCCATGGCGTTCACGAGCGGGTTTTGTATATAAAGATCAAGATTGGCGCTGCTTAGGTTTGAAGAGCAATCTAACGCTTTTGGTCCATAAAGCTGCTGTTGCTGTTGTTGGTGGTGGTGAAGGCTGATGCTATGGGTCGATCCTGCAGATCCTCGACGGTTCAGCAGACTTGAGGACGAAGAGTTATGGGACGAATAGCCTTCATATCCACTTCCAAGTATGTTTTGATGATGACCAGGTTGGATAACATGAGATGGTTGGAATAAAGAAGATGAAGAGGACTGCATCTTCTGACGGTTCCTCATCTCATCAAAGACCTCATCACTGTCTTCCTCAGTTGAGAATTCATCGCTGTTGACGCTCCCTCCAGTTGAATTCGGCCCACACCCGAGGGGGCCAAGTCCCATTGTATGATGGCTGGCCGCGCTGTTTTGGCTCGAGTGGCGTTGACGATGCTGCGGATACGGTATGCTCGGTTGAGGATGAATATGAGAAGCGTATGGTTGACTTGAAAGCCCCTGTTGTTGCTGCTGCTGCTGTTGAGATTGTGCTTGTTGCGTTTGCTGTGCTTGTTGTGCTTGTTGTGCTTGTGTATACGTGTGAAAGGACGGAGATTGTTGCTGATATCCATAAAGCGAAGACTGTTGTTGAAAGTTAATCTGTTGCTGATGACTCGCACGTCCATTTCCGCCGTTCAGAGATGGTCCGTAGCCAGGTCCAAATGTCATCCCAGTGATCGGTTTCTCTTCAAGGTACTGTAGACTGCTCCAATTATTGGAGAAACCTATAGATGACCTTTGAGATGATGAACGTTGAGGTGAAGCATGATTCACAAAGTTGCCCAAAGTTGGCATAGTGTTGATAGGTCCATGTACTGGGGAATCTCCGCTAGAATAGCGATGGCTCGAAGCAGGTGATATTTGAAATCCAGGCGCTTTACTGAATGTAAGGTCGGATGCAGACACACATGCTTGCTGAGGCTGAGAGTAACCGCCAGGAGAATAGTATCCAGGCACTGTGGAGCGTAGCTCGCCGATGGATCCGAGGTAGCCGGTTGACGACTGTAACTGACGCTGTTGGTGCTTGTTTGGCGTCCATGGGTCTGCTGGTAGCGAAGTTGTGCGGGAGTATGGTTTAACACTGCTTGGACTTTGACTCAATCCAAAGGTTGTTCCAGATACCGATGCATTTGGGCTATGAGTAGAAGGCGATCCTGGTAAAGCGCCTAGATGACGAGAGTGATCCGGCCGTCTTGGAGGAGACGTATCTAGTGTTAGAAGACTGGAGGCAGTTGACGGCGTAAAGAGCGACCGGATGTCCCCAGTTCCAAGGAAGGGTCCGCCAATAGCTCCAGAACTACAGCTAATTGATTCATTGGCAGATGTAGTAGTGTCGAATAAAACATAATCAGGTGTACTTTGAGTAGTGGCTGTTTTTTTTTTTTTTTTTTTTTTTTTTTTTGAAAAAGAATGCTAAGGCGTTAGTTTTTTATGCTCAATAAGATAAACCCATATTCCGTACCTCATAATAGTACACTTACAATCATTAGTAGTCAATGAGATAACCCTATCGTGAAGAGGGATGAAAGTTTCTCCAAAGGAGCTCGAGCGTAATCGTGGAACCTTAAGTTCATCATTATAAACCTCAATTTGGTGACTAGCCAGGAACCGTATCAGCAAGTCTTTGGCATCCTTCAGATAATCCTCATTATTACGCGTATACTCGAAAATAAAAACATGGTCATGCTGCGGCTTATTCGATTTGTCTTCATTAGATATCTTTGATAAGTGCAGCTCTTTCGCTGCTTTACTGTCAATATTACTGCGGTGAACTTTGGAAGTACCACTTGATACGCCATTCTGTGCAATGAACTCCACCTCCACATTTTCTGTAGCTGTAGAAGATGGCGATGGTAATGAGGTCGGGACATCGTTTTGATCGATAAACTGTTGAACCTGTCCTGAACCAGCATTATTGTTCTGTGGAATAATTAATGTCATATTCCATGCGCGCTTCATCTCGTCAACTACTTGGGACTTAAACTCTGGAAGTGCTAGTACAGCATACATAGCATCTGAGGACTTGACAGAAAGAGCATAGCGCTCATTAACCATAGACAACAGCATGGTAATTGCCTGCTGGATTAATGATTCTGGGCCAAAAACCACTACAATATCGCTTCCTGTCTCGCGTGCAGGGAATAAAATCGTAGCATTAGTGGCCTCGTAAATCTCTCTAAGTGCGACTGCTTGGCTGCATAGTAATGGGAGATGCTGCTGCTTTGGAATAAGTAATCGGTGACTGACAAAATCCTTGTCCTTGGCATTCACAAACTCCATAACTCCTTGCTTTAGATTCTCAAGATTGATAGCATTCTTGGATGGCGTTCGAGCTACAACATTGTCTAAATTGTCGAAATAACCCCCTAATGTCGCAAACTCCTCAGAATTCGAGAACTTGACGTACACCCCATACTTCTTCATGATTCGTTGGATATTCTTGCCACCAACACCGATGATCCGCTTGTGATACGCCTCAGGCACGAAGAACGAAATCTCCGCAGGTAGCTCCTCCTGCAATAAAACAAGCGCTTCCATAGCTTTCACAGCGATGCCTGAGCTTAAATCGACATAAAAGTTGTACTCGTTGCACTGATCAAACTTGATTTTAGCTCCAGTAGCCTTCATGATCCTGTTAATCTTGCCATTCTTCTTCCCGGAAATAAATTCCCGATGTTCGTTCGCCAGCTCAACCGAGAATTTAAACTCTGAATGAAGTGCTTTGACCATCTCCATCTCAGTCAAAATTTGCATTGCCATTCTGATTTGCGTCTCACTGCCAAAGACAGAAAAGCCATTATTACGGTACTCAACCTCAGATCCCGAAGTCTGTGAAACATGCTTGCAAATATTAGCTAGAGATGGTAGCATTTGTGGAAAATTTATAGAAGGTCCAAGGTCCCTCATCGTTATAGATCCTGAGTGAAAGTGGCATGACTAAAGGACGTAAAATAATGTTTATATGAGTCAATGCCATGTCCATTGGATAGTCATATAAATTCGGTAAATCATAAAAAGTGGGTTCAACATTAATCAGCATGCAGACTTACCAGCTGCATCACAGTGCGAATAGTCCTCTCCACGTTTACATTCGATTCGCCATAAACCGATATGGTAAAATGTGTGCCACCCAATGGGGGGAAGGCGATAAAGGTAGCATTGTCAATCATGATGCCACGCAACTTCTCGCGATGGTTCAGCATCATCCAATCCAGCTTACGAGTTGCAATGTTTACTTGACGGGTACAAGAAATGGACATTGCTTGAGCCCTATGGTATGCGCTTGATAGAGTGTCCTTGGCAATGGCAACTTGTTTTGATTCCCCTGTAATGTAGATGTCGTTATAACGTGTATCGACAGGAGCACCACTCTTATTGGCAGTTTGTACAAGGGGAGATGTTAGATAGATGCTCGTGTTGGTTTTTGCCATTAGTTCCTGAATATCCTGACGTTTTCTTCCACCAATCATATTTTGGTATTTGAGCTCGACAGTGAGTTTTTCCGCGATAATGCCAGGTTTCAGGGTATCAATAGCGACAAGCAACAAAAGTCGAGCGGCCTCAGCATTCTCCCAGGATCCAGTTACTTGAAGTTCAACAATGTCCTGTCTAGAATATCCCGCAACAGGGCTATGCCCTGATGAAGTAGTATGTGCAGAGCTAGACAAGAGTGTGATTGAAGTCCTCGTTGTTGCAGAAATCTCGTCAACAGAAGCTTTAAACTGGGGACGAACCATGGGTAAATGTGTAGTCGATGAGGATGGGGATGAGTTTTGTTTTGATTGAGCTGAAATAACCTTCCCATCTAGCGCTGTAGATTCTGCTCCAGATTCATTCTGCGTACCACTATCCTGCTTTGATTTCTTAGCTGTGGGCAGCATCATGAGAGTCTGGTTTTGGGTATCTATATCTGTTATCAGGTCGCCTTGTACAATAGATGTTCCAGCCGATGCAACGGTTGTTGGTATTGAGCCAGGTTTAAGCGCTTCTTCTGATCCGATAATTGGCTGTTGATCAATCGCAGTTGAGGGCTGATCATGTGGTCTGTTCATTAACGATGTATCTGTAATGTCCGAAAAAATCAATGCTTTGCTGACAGGAAAGGAAAGTCTTGGCTACAGAGAGTGTAGAATGTAGAGATATAACAGCGTGGTAAGCAGGTGTATTCATGGTATTATCGAAAAACAACTTCAGATCGCAAACATGAGAGAGTTCAATCCATTGAATTCTGCCATAACCAAGAATATCTATCTATAGATAGGTACTGGTTGATGATGGTACTGATTTAATTGCAGCGTCTATGCATATTGCATCCAGAAGAGAGCGCCCATATCCGACATCATCTACCAATCTTGGGTTTCTCCAAGGTTCCTTTTTTTTAAAAAAAAAAAAAAAAAAAAAAAAAAAAAAAACTGCCCATTTGCCAGTCATATTCAAATAAACAAACAGGCCGTTTGCGTAAACAAACCCTTACACGCCAGACTCTCAAAAAAATGAATAATGTGTTAGGGATACTGCGGGAAGGAATCAGCTCAATAGAAAAGGTTGATCAGACAAAACGATGCCATGAGCTAAACAAATAACATGAACATCGTAATCTGTTGAGCTAGCCTCAAGCATCATCCTAACATCTTGATGAGAGAGGGATGAAATGGGAGAAAATTGCTTTGACAACAGTCTAGCTATCCTCTACTTATTTTTTTCCCAAAAACCATGGGATCAAAACCTCGTTACCTTCAATGGACTATTGCGTAAGAATGTTCCTCGAGCGAGCATGACATTCTGATATGATCCCAACAGTGTTATATTGTAAATGACACTCGTCTGACAAGTATCGAGAGACCAGGGCGATTGAGTAGTAAGTGGCGTCTTAGTACTGTTCGTTGATGAGATATTATTCTTATCAACAGCAACATGGAGAGCTGCTTGACATTGATTAACTCGATTTTGCTCTTCACAGAGCTTTTGAAATATTCTTGTTGTATTCTCGTCCACTGGATCGCCTACTTGCGCAGAGGGAAAGCACAGGGAGAGGATTGTGCTGTCCTCCATGGCTCCTCTTTTATCAGTATGCTCACCAGACAAAATGAGACTACCTGGCTGTCCTTTCTATATGCTAAAGTCGCTGACTGTCCAAGGAGGTGGCCAAGGCAAGGTCGACTTTTCTAGGTGATTGCACACCAAGGTCGATATAGATTTGCTAAAAGAAATGCTTGATACTAGATTTGGGCCTTCTGGGGGTTGTGAGTATGAGAAAAGAAAGAGGAAAGACAAAAATAAATGAGTGAGCGGGATGGATTGACAATGCCCTAAGGGAGGGGGAGTTTGGTTTTCAAGACTGTAGCCGTTATGGTGTGAGTGGGTGAGAAAGGTGTAAGTGTTCAACTGTTATTTATTGTGTTGAGAGTTGAAAGACAGGAGAGGGGAAGAGTGAGCAGGAAGAGGAGACAGAAAAGAAAAGGAGGTTGAGGACGCGGTCGGAAAAGACAAACTCAAAGGATCGAGTTGTAGACGAGATTATAAGCACAGGAGTGGATGTTGAGGATTGGAGAGAGAGGGAGGAGAAGGATGAAAGGAAAGATCAGAGTCGAAGTTTTGAGTAGGATGTGATCAGGACAGGGAACAAAGAAAGTGTGAGTGAAAGAGAAGAGAGATGTTTATGATTGTAGTGCAGCAAAACAATAGAATATTATAACGATAATAAATATCATAGCAGGACGCAGGTGAGGTATGTTGTGATGTGTACTTTTGTATGTTGAATGTTGTCGATGTTGGTTGCTATCATTTATTAAGAGCATGCTTGTTTGTAATACTTTGGCCCTGTGAGAAGAGATCGCACACAAAGACACAGCTTTTCCTCTCACAAATATCAGCCCAAACAAAATAGAGTATATAATAAAGTAATAAAGACAGGTTGTTACTTTTACCTGCTTAAATGGCCTGTGGATTATCAAGAACAAAGGAGTAAACGGACGACAATGAAGAATGTGTGTGGAAAGCAGAAGAAGGATGAGAAACTGATTTTATTGCGTTCATGAATAATGTACATGTGTATTTCGTATTTGTGTCTCACTCAAAAAAACGAATCATTAGCGTGAGCGTGACAGGCCCGGTGCCCGGAAATGGGGTAGGGTGCAGGGGGGTAGAATTGTCTATGGCGTGAATTTCCCTTTTACTCTTTCTGACATTTAAAAAAAAAAATAAATAAAAAGACGAGTGACTATCCATCAGGCTCTTGTAACCCACCCTGCATTGAGAAAGCCTGATCAATGAGTGCGCCATACTCGCAGCAAACCATTAAGGTTGATCTGCCTTTGACCCATTTAATTCACTCCTCCACTCCGCTATTTATGTGTCATTGCTGCGCCAGGCGGTAACATCCATTCTCTCTAGTTTTTTTTTTTTTTTTTTTTTTTTTTTGGCGGGAAAACTTATTTTTTTGTGATGAGCGCCACCTGGCGTCTAAACGAGTGGCCAAAGATAGTCTCTGGTTTGAAAAATGCACAGGGATAAGATGCGTAATGAAGAAAGCATAGCATTCAATGACAACAAAAAACTTGTGTAAATGATCATTAATTATTTGTGTCAACAGAAAATTGTTTGATTTGTAAGGATATGTATTAAGTCGCATGAAATCCAATTTGTTAATCAGATGGAGAGAATCATTCCATGCACGCCACCCATGTTGTTTAGCACCAGTTCACGCTTCTTCTTGATATGGGTGTCATAATACAAATTTGCACAATCTAACTGTGCTTGAGGGACTACTATTTTGCCTGGCTTCCCTTTAGTCCGGAGACCGGTTGAGTCAAGGAAACCAGCGTCTGTCAGGACTTTGATGGCAACCTTTTCTCTCCTTGGTGCACCAGCCTTGCCAGTCCAAAGCTTTAGGAACTCCCTCGTTTTGGTTCTTAGGTTCACAAACTTGTCAGTTGTACGCCCTGTCATGGTCATGCAAGCTTCAACTGCTTGTTGTATAGACTCTGGCTCTGAAGCCAGCATGTCTGCGTCCAGGATGGTTCGAACAGCCTCGAAGTGGAGATATTTGGCTGCCAAAGCTAAAACATTTCCATCGCGCGGTGCTTGGATGGATGTGTCCGCCCCCTTTGCAACCATCCTGTTCATAGCCTCCACTACATCTTCAGTTCCAATCTTGGGGTTCTTCATGAGTAAATGTAATGGTGTATATCCCTGTACATCTTTGGCATTAGGCTCGGCGCCAGCATCAAGGAGCATATCAAGAGCCGCAAACAAATGTGAAGAGCCACTATCGTTCTTGAAAGGTATATAGCGATCCAGGAGAATATGCAGACATGATTGGTTAGATCGCTTTGCAAGAAGTGTGATATCGGCCTCTTGATCTAGGAGTTCCTTAAGTATGGGGAGCGAATTTGGTAAAAAATGGCCAAGGCATGTCAAGATAGGAGTGATTTCACACTCTAATGAGTATGTGGGGACGATCGCGTAACCATTGATATCATGACCAGAAAGAATGTACCACTCAGTCATATCTGGGTTAGAGACACTGACAGCTTGGTGAAGAGTCTGTGGACGGGTAAAAGAACGAACTTGGCTTGAACCTGGGGAAGTTGAGCGGATGCTGTTGGAGCGCATATGAGTGCTTATGGCGTCCGCATCGATGCTATCAGAGACTGTATTTTCGTCATAAATGAAAGATATACAGGTTAGTATGCAGTGTATTTATTGTGAGTCTCTTCCAAAGCATATGTGCTCTACTTACCCACTGTTGAGATGGACATTCCAGTATCATCGCCTGGTAGCATCAGCATATCCATAGGCTCAACAACGACAAGCATTTGTAATGTCTCCTCGACAACCTCAAGCGGTGGTCTTGACTCTGCCTCTCCTTCCCAACACATTTTGAAGAGTTGCTCGTAGATCTCAGGAGTGCCAGGGACTGTCTCCTCACGAAGGCCTTTGATGATTGCTGAGGACAGCTGCTCCATGCTTTTTGCAAGTCTGGGGCCAGATTCAGCGCGAGCAATAATTTCATCAAACGGGATACGACCTGATGAAAGCTCCCATAACAGAATTCCGAGTGAGTACACTTCCCAGTCGGGATTGTAGTTTTCTTTTCCCTGAAGTTTTTCAGGAGCCATGTAGACAATTAATGAAGCTGGGCTGGGCTGGGCTGTCATTTGGCAAGGTGCTGAGGTGACGAGACCTCCAGGGATGCCGAATCCAGTCAGAATAGCAACACCTTCGTTATCGACAAGAACGTTGCCCGAGTGCATAGTGCAGGGGACATCGTTTGAGATCAAAAACCGGAGGCCTTGGGCCATGTCCAAGGCTAACTTATAGCGCTCAGGCCATTGGATTGAGTCAAAATGATGATCGAGGAATTGACGGAGCGAACCATAGGAAGGTTGTTGAAGGAGCAGAGCTGGAATCTGGACTGATGTTTGTGAGCTATTCGGCAAATAGCCGTACAGTTGAATGATTTGCCGGCACTTGCGAAGCTTGTGAAGCGCTTGGATCTAGACACCGTCAGACTGGACGGTTAGTCATGTTTATTTATTTTATCTCTCCAAAATTAAAGTTGCACAAGAAGGGTGAGAAATAACTGTCAAGAGGAAAAAAAAGGCCATTGCAGCAGTGCCAAACCCCTGGTATAATTTTGAGTAAAGGTTTGTGCGCAAAATTGTTTTAATAAAACAGAGGTGTAGGATCGGGAATTGAGAGCAAGGAAAGGGGAAAGGTAAAGGAAAAAAAGATATACGTCTGTAGGTAGACAGAAGAGAAGAGAGCTCTTGTGTTTTTGTGAGAGGAGAGGAGTCGATAAGATTGAGTGAGCAAGGACTGGAATGTTGTCCAAAAAAAGACATGAAGGGAAGGAGGCAAACGGTCATGAGCCTGGCTGTAAGAAAGATGGCATAAAACGATGAACAGAGACGAGCATTTTGATGATTTTGAGTACTTTAAGAATGGTAGTGTATCAATGCGTGAGACGCAGAAGTCGCGTTGGCTGGAACGTAAATGAGTGAAACGGAATCGTGTTGATTGCATTGCATCCCTGAAGCTAATTTCTTGTCTTCTAGATTTTTTATTCTTACCTCTAATAGTACATCATCTGGATTTCCCCAGCGATCCGCAGGTAGGACTTGAACCTGGCACTGCTTCCAGATGGCGACCTGCACCTGCTGGACCCCGCCAATCATACTGGGATGTTTAGCATTGCTAGGCGTGATCGGGACCGGCACAGAGCTGATTTGAGACAACTCTTTCATGAGCACAGGTCGACAGGTTTGTTGAAGCCACTGAAGGCTTTGGCGATAACTATTTAGGTCTACTGATTTCTGGTATTCTTCCTCGGTCAACGACCCCATGCTGCGCTGATTTGCTGATTGATTGCTTGCAGAAGCTGCTGATGATATGGCTCCACTTCTAAAACTATTACTTTTAAAGAGTCCTGTGAATTTGCTAGATGGACTTGTTGGGCTTGCAATATTTGTGAGGTTATTGCTCGATATTTCGGGAACGTCAATGCCATTGCTAAGGCTTTTATTGCTTTTATTACTCTTCCCACTCTTAATTGAACTCGTAGATGAAATTTCCTCTGTAATAATACAGGCTTTGGGTATCATGTTGGATTGCATTCCGAACATTGTGTATATTTGTTATGGTAGAAGGTGCAAAGTAATGAAGGGAGAGAGAGAACGTGGAAGGCGTGAAAAAGATGGGTAGGGAAATCAGGCACTAATGGAAAGGGCAGCGTGGCGTACAAGCGGGAGGAGTGTAGATCGAGAGGACAAGAGGATGGAGAATCTAAGAGTCTAATAAAGGATGAGTGATGGAGAGGAGTTGAAAAGCCGAGCAATGAGACAATATCAATTAAAAATACAAATGTATACCGACAGGAGAATGAAAAAAAGCGAGAAAAGAGAATAAAAAAAATAGTAAAAAGAGTAAGAGTAAAGAGAAAGAGAAAGAGAAAGAGGGAGAGGAAGAGGGAGAGGAAGAGGGAAGGGAGAAAGAAAGAAATTAAAAAAAAAAAAAAAAAAAGAAAAAAAAAAAAAAGGTAAAATAACCCATTCAAAAATGAACGATATGAACTACAGTTACAAGGTTTTAGTTTGTTTTGTTTGTTTTGGCTGTTTTGATTTTTGTTTGTTTGCGTTTGTGTTTAATGGTTTAATGTTGATGCAGAACTGTGCCTTGCTCATTCACACACATGTTCATCATGTTTATTTTTCAATGCATCTAATCCACAGCGATGCATAAAAACATATACAAATATGTAGTGTTGACAATGTCCAGTTAGCTCATCCCCACAGCATTGAGCTTGTTAGTGTCCATGGCTGTAGATGTGGGGCGAGAGTGAGATACTGAAAAGTGTTTGAGTGAAATTAGTCCATTCAACAAGAATATGTTGAGTATGTATACACATGTATGCTATACATGTTATATTACAAGTGTATGGATGAATGGAAGGTATTCATTCAAAAGTCTTTTTTTTTTTTTTTTTTTTTTTTTTTTGTTTGCGATTGGTCTCTCGCGTTGAACTTCAAAGTTGCTTTGTCTTTGTGATCCCACTGGCTCTGGACATACTTTTTGAGTACAATCAGGCATGTTGATCTTTTTGCTGCTCTCGTGCTTTCCTTTTTCGCAACACGGAACCATTCTCGTCCATCGTTCAGAACTCGTTTTTTCTTGCTTCTGTCTCTCATTTAGATGTCTATGTATACTTGCTTTTATCATTCTTTACCGCTTACATCAGAGAAGTCTCTGATTGTTTATCTTGAACACTCCACCAAAACACAACACTTGTGGCTGATCGTCCTTGATGAAAAAAGTTCTATAAACAAAGCTTTGTATTCCCTTTCCTTTTCCATTCCCGATCTCAATCTTTTTTACTCACATTTTAACTGTAGACAAACGTAGGCTTGGTCAATCAGTATATGTATACACAGATATTTTATTAATTTTAAAAAGGATGAAAAACCAAAAAAAAAAAAAAAAAAGAAGGAAAGAAAGAAGAAAGAAAGAGAGCTTCTATTTCACGGAATAGAAAAGACTGGCAAACAACACACGGAGCATGGTTATTTATGCCATCAGAGAGTCAAGAGCTAAAAAAAAAAAAAAAAAAAAAAAAAAAAAAAGGCCACAGTAAGGGCTCCAGTGATACTTGTTGTTCTTGTAGAAAAAAAAAAAAAAAAAAAAAAAGAAATCGCGATTCATTTAATGCGCAATGCTGATTAATACCACGACTTAATAAAGGGATTAATAACCAAGCAGAGGCATGATATGGGCACATCATAGTAGATTTTGATTTTGATTTTGAAAGCTTTTTGATCTCATATCCCACTCTTTCAGTATCAGCCATAATCAATGAAGAAAGAGTCAGAGGCAGAGAGGACAGTTAATTTGGAGTTCCATTTCTTGTCGCATGACACTTTAACATTTCGGAAGACATCCTCACCATTCAAAAGATATTTGTATTATCTATATATTGTCCTTATATTTATATATTTATATAAATATATAATCCTTGTCTCTCTGTCTGAGTTTACATGAGTGGATGGCACACTTAAATATCAGAGTTGTCTCGGCCCCTGATATTCATTCATTCACTACCCTAGCCTTTTATGGTTCAACAAGAGCTTTTTCTTTTGTTTCTTTGATCATATATATATATCGTGTAATTCTATGAGGCTATAGCAATAGAACAACTTTTGAGTTACAGTGCATGCTTTTATATGAAGAATGAATAAAAAGAAAATAAAAGCTTGGAACAACTCCGAAAGCCTTAGGTGCTCTCGTTGGTAATTACTGGCGCCCTTTGGACGGTTTCATCCCTAGACATTAGAGAGTCTTCTCTGGTTCACTGGTCTAACCCGGTCTTGTGAAGAATAGCTCTATGATCAGGTTCATAATACAAATCCTGGCCTAACCGTAAGATGATTCTAGCACTTCACCTATTTTCTAGTTGCTCTTCGTAAATATTCACTAAGTCGTTAAATTAAAAAAAAAAAAAAAAAGGAAAAGGAGGCGTAACCCAAACTGGGGCTGTTGCTCGTGCACTGGAACGCCAGACAAACCTCCATGCAGAATGCTCAGGCCTCTTATTTGTATCATCTTTAATAGTTCACAATCAGCTTTTTTTTTTTTATCTTGCCAGCTGCTCAGCTTGTACCCCATTATAGTAGCTAGAGTCTCTTTATCTTCTTCGAACCCCTTCAATTCCGGAAGCCCAACATTGCAAGCCTGATTTCCTTTCTTTAATATTTTTTATTGCTATTGTTATTATGAGGTTACTACGCTACCTTGCTATTAAAATGTTGATATTTATGTCTGGACGCGACCCCATGTATTTATTGAATAGGCTTGCAACTCTATCTTAGGTGATGAAATGTAAAATCAGCCACTAGATCAGTTCAATCGCTCCATTTAGTTTAAATAACTTGATCATGTACCAAATGTCCATAAAACAGGATGGTAGCCCAATCTCGCCTTTTATTCAATGTGTACAACGCTTTGTCTCGTTTGTGTTGCCGAGATATCGCTTATCTTGATTCTACAACGAATAAAAATAGTAAAATGAAGTAATAAAGGGGAATGCAACAATGGATATAATATCACACTGCATTAAAACGAAGAACAGACACATGTGGCTGAAATATGGAAAACAAAAAGATCATGGGGTATGGTTCTCAGACGACAGAAAACTGAAGGGCAGGGTGCCAAACATACGCGACTAGAAGATACCTTATTTCAAACCACTCTTCATTTCAATGTGGAGTAAGTTGCTTAGTCGATTCATTTGTTGCTTACAAGTAATGTACAAAGGATCAGAGAGTGAGGTGGAACCATTCTAAAGAACGATGCATGAATCAATACAAGCCTGATCTATTCTTTCCCTTCTTTCTACCCCACAAATATATGAGCTTTTGTCTTTATCAAAGAAGTTTATCTTTCATCAAATCACTAAAAAAAAAACTGGACATGTAGCCCATGTACCACATGTCTTTCTCCGCGGCCATGCCAATGTCATTGTGCCCTCTCCCCCCAAAAAAAACCCAGCAAATCTTAGAAGACTTGATCTTTACAATTCACAGGTCGGTGCGTGTCCAAAAAGGAAATTATCTTGCATATACCCTTCTTTGCACTTGTGTTGTATCAGTAGGTAGGCTCGTTCCCATCCCTCTTCACTTTATAAAGGTGACAGGAAATTCCATTTCCTTTTTGAGTCACCTAAAGTGAAGGGGCTGGGAACGAGCCTACTTAAATCTCTAAATACCGAATGCTCATAAATCAAAGCCTTCACTTCATGTCGATAGTTCTAATATTTGCTAAGCTTCCTGCTCAGGGTCTTTTGGATGGCGCGTGTTTCCTAAAAATAAAAAAATGTACACTAATTTAACCAACCTCTGTGAAAAACCGTAGGCCCATCTCTTTTTTTTTTTTAGCCAGGACACAGATTCCACATTTCACAGATTCCCATTCATCTAACACAATCATACTCTGTTGTATTTTTTTTTTTAAAACTACCTAAGGCATAGCACAGCAAAGTATAGAATAACTTTTTTTTTTTTTTTTTTTTTTTTTTTGGTGCTCATGCGTCTTCTCTCCAAGGCTGATGTGGTGGCGGTTGTGCCTAGCAAACAAATGAACCTCACGTTTCCATTCATTTGTTTGGTGGCATCATTGGTCGTAACGGCGGTCTCCGCCTTGCCACAAGCCTCTAAATCTGCAAGCGACGGTTGGCTGAATTTGACTGTGATTCATACCAACGACGTCCACTCGCGTGTCGACCCTGCCAACGAGTTCGGCGTTAGTTGCACAAAAGAGGATATTGCCACGGGTCACTGTTACGGAGGCACAGCTAGACACAAAACCGTGATTGAGGATCTCCGTAAGAAGAACCAGCACTCATTACTTTTGGATGGAGGCGACGAGGTATTGAAAAATTATGAGTAAGAAATAAAATAACGCGTTATCGTGCCTGCATATTGATAATGTCTATCTTCCCTATTTATTCTTGTATACATGCTCCTATCTTTCACCGTTTAGTTTCAAGTGAGTTTCTAAGCAGTGATAGATTTTGGTCTTTCGAAAAGTTGTTGGGTGTGCCATGATTTATTTTATTTACGGGCGATGGCCAATTTTTTTTTTTTTTTTTTTTTTTTTTTTTATTAGGGCACGCTTTTTTATTCCTACTACAAGGTACAAACTGCTTCACTAAATGAAATCACTCCGTATTAACACTGTATTCACCTAGGTGCAAATCTTGATTGTTTTTAGGGAAATGTCACGGCAGAAGTCATGAACGAGCTAGGCTATGACCTTACGACTATTGGCAATCACGAGTGGGACAATGGGCCAGCCAACCTAGGTCGTTTTTGGTCCAAACTCAAGTTCCCAATCGTCTGTGCCAATGTTGACCTGTCCAAGAACCCAGAACTCCAAAAGTGGGTCAAGCCTTACCATATTTTTGAGGACCTTGGGCTCGCAGTGATCGGATACATTACAAATGTAGGCTTTTGCGTCGTCATAAACGAGGAATACCAACAGCATACTGTACTGATGGTGATCCTTTCTTTTTATACTAGACTACTGGTGATATTTCAAATGCAGGTCCAACTATTGCATTTACCGATCCAATTCCTGCAGTGCAAAGATATGTCGATGAGCTCGAGGCCAAGGGCATCAAGCGTATTTTGGGTCTTTCGCACAATGGGTATGGCCCTGATATGGAACTCGCAGCCAAGACGCACGGAATTGATTTGATTGTTGGGGGCCACAGTCATTCGTACCTAGGCGATCCAAAGAACAAGATGTACGAGGGGCCTTATCCCACGGTTATTAAAAACCTCAAGGGCGAAAATACCTTGATTGTACAGGTGAGATGTTGTATCCAATGAAAAAAAAAAAAAAAAAAAAAAAAAAAAAAAAACTGGATCTGGGACTGATACAGTAGCTTACTGTTAACCCGCATTGCATTTGATAACTGCATTAGGCGTTCTGTTGGGGTAGATATATCGGTCATCTAGATGTGGTTTTCAACTCCGATGGCAAGATTGTAAGCTGGAAAGGTGTTCCTGTCTTGGTGGAGAATTCGATTGTCCCTAATGCCCTTTTGCTGGAGCGTATCGATGGCTGGCGCAAAGAGTTCGAAGAATGGGGTGAAACCGTTCTAGGAGTAGCCTCACAAGAATTTGATCAGCAAAGTTGTAAGCAGCGAGAGTGTACTATGGGCAATATGGTTGCGGATGCTATGCTGCAGCACGCGCGCACTGCAACGATAGATGACAGTAAAAATGGCTTAGATGTCAAGGATGAACGGCCATGGGTTGATTTTGCATTTGTCAATAGTGGTGGTATCCGCGCTGGACTTCCTGCAGGGAATATCACAATAGAGATGGTTACAGCTACTTTTCCGTTTGGTAACCGCGTTGTACAGACGCAGATGTCAGGAGAAGAGATTCTGGACCTGTTGGAGGCGATCTCTTCCGGTCGAAATAAGAAAAGTCAGAAGCTGCTTACTTCTAACATTCAGATTAGTGGCTTACGATTCACATACGATTCGTCACGCCCGCTGTCAGAGTCACATCTGATCAAGGCAGAGATTCAAGGCTTTGATAGGGTGTGGCGTGATATCAAGAAGACGAAGATATACTGGATTGCTACCCTTGATTTTATTCTTAGAGGCGGAGATAATCTTTTGGAACCCAAGACTAGAGAGCGAGTGTTCAATTTCAAGTTGATGGATGAGGCTTTGATGGATTACATCAAAAACGAACATACGATTACACCGTACCTTGATGGACGCATCAAGGATGTTGTCCGTTCAAAGAGCAGCTTTACTAGCCGTGATCATGAATGGCCTGCTGGAGTTCCTGAGTATCTTAAGAGTCAGTACATCGGAGGTTTCAATGAGATGCTGAGGGATTATGTGCGCCTTCGTGAGGGTAGCAGCACTGTTCTATCACATGATGATTCCATTTTCGAGAGTACTGAGTCCAGGCAGAAAATCTGGAACTGAGAATACGTTATTTGAAACTTCATTAAAAATAACATTCAGCTACGATTTCAATATTGTTCACAAAAACATTGACAAGATGCTGTTCGTATTGTGTATTCCTTTATTTTTGTTAACAGTTGATAGAATAAACATGCAGAAGGCCTTGATTACTCTGTCTATCAAGACTAGAGTTCGCAATCAAAGGTTCTTGCAATTCTACATTTTCGGTGATATCGTCATCACTGTGATGGCTTCTCCATCGACGGCTAGATGAATGGTTCTTCAAGACTTTGGGCATAGACAATTGACTGCCAAAAGCGGATGTGACCAGTCTTAAATGACTCCGCGATTTCGCCTTTTCCTTCGTCGCCGTAAAGATCACTGTACCAGCTTTGCCACCTTCAGATTGTATTCGTGTTTTCTTCTGCTTTGAATGGTTTAATTTTTTTTGAATAGAGTTTTTTGACGGAGATGGTGATACTGATGACCTTGATGACCTTGATAGTGGCAATGACGAGGGCGTTGGCGAGGCTGGTGCAGGTACCGATGATCTGGATGGCTTTCTGTGATGTTGCTGCTGATGATCAGCAAGCTCTTGTTCGGATACAAACATCATCCTACAAAGTCTGTTATTACATACAAGGAGTGGGCCTTGAAGGATGAGGTGCTCCAGATAGTGCTTGATTTCATCCGTGTCTGTTTCGAACAAGCTACTGCAATCATAGGTAAAGCCATGAGCTTTGGCCTTTCCTCTTGTTATCGTAGCCGAGATAATGCTCCCCGATGCTGATTCTGGGCGCCGCAGAGTACACCTTCGAACAACATTTTTCTGGGCGTTTTCTTGACTATCTTCAACATCAGGATCCGGTTTCACCGGCTGGTCATGTAACGATTCAATATCAATATCACTATTGCTGTCTTTATAATTAGGCTCCGTCTTGGATATTGACGGCTCATTGGCTTGTGTTAAGGATAACTTTGGGGATAAGGGGGTATTGACAGTTGACGCTGGCTGGTCAAGGATCAGCGTTGATGATAATGATTCTACAAAGAGCGATGTTTCTGTTGGGCTTGCCTCTAACGCCAAATCCCCCGAATCTACTGATACAGGTCTCATTAAGTCCATTCCTAGCGCTTCTTCTTCCACGACGCCAACTGACTTGAGGACTGGTGAAGGCTCTTTAATTGGAGAAGCTATTGCTGGTGAAGGCACTATCACAAAGTTTAGAGTGGACTGTGATAGATCCTTTTGTAAAATAGGCATCTTTGAAGTTGTTGTAGTGTCAATTGAAGCTTTTGATTTGTCCGCAAGCTCTTCTGTCCCTTCCAGTAGCTGGTCGGGGCTTTGTGTGCGTAAAGTCGGTTTTGAAGGAATAGGTGACCACGTCCGCCATCCATTTATTGTTGAAGCCCCAGTTGAAGCCTTACTTCTTTTAATATCAGCCTGAGTCTCCTTTCTCATAGTCAATGCCGTTGCAGTAATATCAGGATACTCGCGCTTCTTTTTAGTCGTATTTGTTGCAAAAGCAGAATCCCGGATTGCTGCTTTCTCCGCAGTCATCATAGATAAAGATCCATTGTGTTGTATACTCTGTACTTCTGTTTGAGGAACTGATGTCGTATCCGTGGATAATATGTTGGCCGAAGTCGAGGTTTTAGGCGCCTCATGTCCAGTAACTGTTGATGGTATTAAAGTTACTGCCTGTGGTAGTTTCACTGAAGTGGATGTCACTGATGGTGCCTGACTTTGAGCAACTCTATTTTGTGTGATCCCTGATGAATCGGCTAGCCTACTTTATATCGTAAAGAAAAGATAAGAAGCTTGAGCTGTTGCAATATTTTGATGCATTCATGGCTCTTTTTCCTATTTTTTATTATTTTATTCGGTAAGCGATTCCGAGCTGAAAAAGAACCAAATGTGCTTAGGAGACTACCTTATGGACGCTTGAAGCGCATGCTTGCGGACATGACGAGTCCAATCGAATAACACGGTGAATGTTTCACCACAGCCTGTATAGGTACAGACAAATGTTCCGTTTGCCTGCTGCATCAATGACGAGGAATAAAAGGAGATGTAAAAGAAAAGCAATATTGGTGAAGAGCAAATCCAGATCAGCTCGCATGAGTTGCTCTTCATTATCACATTAAATGGCCTTCAAGAGAAGGTAAAACGGTACAATCTTGGCCCAATTACGTCACCCAGCGGCGAGGGTGTAGCACAATCTTGGCCCAAAAACAAAGGGATCAGCTGATTTGTTACTTTTTATAGTCAATTTGTTCAGGTGCTTGAACACCTCTCGCTGTCATTGTACGGATTACATTCCTCGGTTCTGCTATTGAGTCTTGCATATCCTTCAATGTGCACTTTCTTTTCTGCCTATTATATATACTATACGGCCCAGCTCTTTCCACAGGACCATAAGCTCTTCTTCACACTCTTCAAACGCTTGGGTGGTGACTTCTTCTCTTTTTCTCTTCTTTTCTTCCCTCTCTTTTGTTCTCATCATATCCAGCTCACGCAGTAAAACTGGTGAGATAAAGCTCTCGAGAGGAGGCCCTAAGTCGAACTCTAAGTGCCTGTTCTGATGTTCAAAGTGCGAAGGAGCAGCGGCATATTGAACATCGAAGCCGTCGTAAATCCTTGACACTAAATACATGTGTTTGCAAGGGATCTTCTGTCGGACATAGTCGGGGCATGAACATGACTGAAGGTGGCCCCTCTCTACATCCGCGGCAACGGAGTACTCTACTTCAGATTCTTCGGACGACTTTACCGCGAACTTTGAAGAACGAAAGAGATTAGAACCTATCCATATACAATCAAACTTTTGATATTATCGATTTTCGACACATACCTCTTTCTCGACTAACTTCTCGCATACCATGGCCCTTGCCTCCACGGGACTTACTGCCATTGCTCTCGCCAGTCTTTCTTGGTCGTACTGTGAAAGCGTTGCGAGTTGTATTCCATTTTTTTAAGAAAAGTTCCCTCCGTTCCGTACAGCAGTATAATATATAAAATAGTGGCGCATTTTATGTGGAGGCGGCGGTATAACAGTGTAACAATTAATTTTTTATTGGTTTTAATTCGTCAATCAAAGAGTGCTCATGTGCAAACTCTACAACAAAGGGTAACGTCCTCGTTCAGAGCGGATAGAGAAACTACAAGTGCTATTGATACTTGATGTGGTGTGGTAGAAAAGGTCTTCTACAAAGTGCAGAAGTAACAATCGAGTAGATCAAAAAGGCCGCTACTTTCTTCAAACCTTATCCTTACCAGCGTTCCTATTGGAGGATGAAAATCTGTTCATCTGTTCAAGACGGTTGCTGCTGTGCCCTTCTTTTCTACATGGGTTCGCCTGGTGGTACTAGCTTCGGCCATGCACTTGAAGGAAACGATGCCGAGGTATCAGCTGCACTTGAGAGCGTTCGTGACGTTGTGTGCCTTGCTTCCCAGATAAAGAAAAGAGGGCAAAGGTTGCTTGGCCGATATATAGAAGGAGCTACCTCAGGTCCTGTAGATGATGATCGAGGAACCTTGGGCTGTATCTGCCCTCACATTCCGGAACATGTTGCAACGATAGCCGACAAAGCAGTAGCTCGGGATAGGGACACTCCAGAAGGAGTTCGAGACGTTGGTGAGGGAGGCAAAGGAACAACACAGTTCATCCGGGCTGAGTTTATAGCAATGTCTCCTACTTGTACAATGGAAATTTCAATCAAAGTACCAAAAAAAAAACAAGCCTAGAGCTTGTTCCTCCAGATGTTGCAAGGCTTCAATTTAGGCCCTGGCGCTCCGACCTGTGGCGGTACGGCCGTTTCAAATCAACTCCCAGCAGTACTTTTGGCTCAGTCTGTAGCCACTCAGCTTTGCTTGGAGATTAAAAGACATTTTAGAGATGGCTGCGTTGAGCTTCACAAGGAGATAAAAGTGCTTCAAATGTTAAGGGCCTGCACATATTTTCAACTTGCAGTGTCCTACTAATGTTCACCTATATACATTATTTGTATAGGCCGAGATCCAGAGAAACAAGGGCAATCTCATCAGCCCAGTATTAGTTGATATCGATGAGAGCCGTAGCGCTATTGAGGACTTTACATGACTGAACGATATCACGAAAAGTGGTCGTACCATAATGCCACTTAGCCCACCTAGACATGGACCCATAATAATCTCAGCTCTTTTGTAACTACAGTTGAGTAACGAGACTTTAAGGAACATATTTCTAGGTAACTACACTACCGTCCCAAACCCGCAATAGCAGCTCTCATTGCTTGGTACGCTTGTCACGATGCTAATATCAGATACTGGAAATATTGGAAGAAATAGACCCGAGAAATGTAGTAGAGGTTTCAAGGGCAAGGCGCGTATGACGAACAACCAAGAAATGAAATACATTTGCGTCGGTTTTAAAGCAAAGATTTCGATCCAACCACTACGACGAAAGGGGATACGTGTTAAGAGGCAGTATTCGGGCCGACGGCCGCACACTCCAATTATTGACATTCAACATGGAGGAGCTGAACTGCGTCAAGGAAGCTTGCTGATAAATGGTTCCGAACCGCATTGCGAGCACAGTAGGCGGTATAAAGCATCACCTCACTAAGGTCTGAAGTGTCATTCAGGCAAGGCGGTCAGCCTTTGAGGATGCGGGGCCGACAGTATCAAGGTCCTGGGTCTGGACCTTGGCCAGTATGTTTATTTTCGTCTCCTGTATCCCCTCTAATCTTTTGCCCCTGAATTTCTGGACTAACTTTAAAACCGTATATCAACAGATATACGCAGGATAATACACATTCGTCTTAAAAAAGTTGTAAGTATTAGCTTGACAGTGCTTTCTTGATTGATCTATTTATTTCTATGCTTGGTCTAGATGGTGTTTTTTGGTGGGGAGGACTATTTAGACAACATATATACCCCACATATCTTAATCTATAATGAATTGGTTTGGTGGTATTGTTGTAAAAAATAGGTATATCTTCGCTTAAGGGACAGAAAGATAGACACAAGCAGGAAAAGGCAGGACAAAGAGTGTCAACAAGATTAACAAGAGAAAATAGAGGCAAATAACCTTGACTACAAACAGCGCCATAGGATGTCAAAAGAGAAGATGGGAGCTTTATAGGTGAGCTTACAAACTGAGTTACCGGAAGACAAATGCTTGTTGTGAAAAGGGGGAAAAGATAAATGGCAAGATGATCTGCAGGTGAAGAACAAGACATATGGGGAAACTGAAGACTTTATTAAGAAGGAAGTTTCTTTGGTTTTTATACTCTAGCCTATGGGTTTGACCGCGGTAGTTTCTAGGTGAGGCGGACTCGCCTATGACTACAAAGGCTTTGCACAAAGATTCCTTTAAGCTGGTTCGACAGATTAGTGGATACAAAATAAAATAAATTAATTTTAACGACCAGTCACACTACTTGCAATAACAAGCGTGGAGCCTCTTTTTTATGGTTTTGTTGCTTCTTGTCGCATTGCTTGTTTCGATATTGCCCAAGGCCATGATTTTGCCTGAAGCATCATCCTCTTTAGAAGCGCAGCGTGAAGGCGCATCCACCACCTCTACTCCTGGCTCAATAGAGTCATCCATTGTTCCCATTGTCTCTACTGAAACCACATACAATGGTAGTCCACCTACTTTCAGTCAGAACAGTAAAGAAGAGAATTCTGCACCAGGGACTTCAACGCCTTTAGAAGTTTCATCAACAGAAGAATTAAAACAATCAATGCCGCCAACATCTACAATAATAACAAACACAACAAATTCTGACAAGTCCCCCAAACCGACTCCTAAAACTACAACAGCTACATCATCAACTTTTCCCTCACAGGCGTTAGATTCCATCCCTTCGTCAGGTGGAACATATACGCGACGTATTGCGCCACCACGTTCAAATGTTAAACCCCGGTGGCATACTCAGCCCTATATAATGTTTCTGGCGCTTCGATCCATGCCTAATCGTACGGCAGCCCGCCAGGAACTGATTAATGCAGCAGTTGCTCTGGATCGCAAATTTAGTGCTGAAAAAGGCTTGCCGCGTGTGTTTACTGGCAAGGTATGAAGGCAGGGAGCGTTTTCATATTCTCTTTTTTAAAAAAGTTTAAACCCATATTTACTTTCATTTTATTTTGCTTTGAACTCATTCAAACGGTCAATATAGACGCCAATGAACTCAGCATCGGCTTGTTTGACTAACAACGGCGACAAGTATTTCATTCCATTCAAACCCGAAGGAAGCAAAAGTACTCACTTCCGACTCGCATATACACCAGGAGATTTCGATACGGCTGTAAAAGAATATGATAGCTGGATGGAGAAGCTTATCAAGCATGACTGGCCGCTTTGCTTTGGAATTCCCAAGGAGGGTGCAGTGCCTATCCATATTTTGGAGGAGCGGGAGCAAACCAGGAAAGCAAATGCAGAAAATAGATCAACGCCTACAACGAACTCATCTATAACAGCGACAACAATTAACGCTACTCTAGAAGGCCCAGATATGGACACCAATGACGGCGATACCAGGTTCATTGGGATAACTGTTACAGAATCAGAGCCATCTGACTTCAAAAAGCGTAGTCCTGAGCTTTTAGAAATGTCGCTGAATGATGAGTTGAGGAGCTTCAAAAAGATCAAAGCCGAGCTGGACTTGGGTACGATTTCTAGGCCATCCAACAGTGCTCCTTACACATCACTAGATCAAGAAACTAAGATGGCAGACAAGTTGGAGCAACTCGAAATAAATTCAGCAAGCAGCACTACATCTTCATTGCCATCCACACCCGCACAAATATTGCCTCAGGACTCAGAGCTTGTTTCTTCTACTCCTGCTTTTGCAACTACTTCGAAGGAGGCAGTGGTGACGAGTGGAATTGTGGCCTCAAATCGAAACTTCATACCGCAAAATGCCTTACACAAGGGTGACAGTGGATCTAAGGCTGAAAAGGTGGATGAATATAGACTAGAGGACCTGGATCTCAGTAATGTCCCAACAAGCTTAGATGACATTGTGCGTGTGGATGTCTCGACTATTCCCAATTCTGGAAATGGACTGTTTGCAAAGATCGATCTTCCAGCGAGTACTCCACTTGGATTCTACTTTGGAGTCCCTATGACTGAGAATGAGTTCGATTCGCTTAAGGATGGAGTTGGGGTTGCATCTCATTATTCTATCATGTATCGCAGAACAGTCCTGGATGCCACAGATGAGAATGGGATGCCATATAGTGACCCTAAAGGACGGCTGTATTGTCCTTTCCATTTTATGAATGAGGATCCTAATGGCAACATAACTTTTATTACGGGAAGCGTGGTGAATCAAGTTATTTGCCAGACCAACAGGGATGTCAAAGCAGGCGAGGAGCTTTTTGTGTTTTATGGCAAAGAGGTAGATCGATTTTGGGAAAAGGAGAAAGAGAAGGAAAAAGAGAAAGAAAAGGAAATGGAAAAGGGTAGCAGTGATACGAGTCGACATCAGAAGAAGTGCCGAGCTGGCTCGCGCTCGAGGGCAGATTCCCCCATTAGTAGGGAGGAGCCGATAGTAGATCGTCCGCGGCGCAATAATATCTACAAGCCTGCTCGTTATACGCGTTAGGATCTAAAGTTAACATCTTTCATCATGATAGAAATACAATAGTATTAAGGGCTTTACACTTCTCAACATTATTTTATTTAAATTGTACAATAAGGAAAAACAAATGAAAGTTTATAATTAGAAAAACTACTCTTCAGCACTGTTCTTGGTCACATCAGCAAAACTGATGCCATGTTTCATTTTCTCGAGATCCTCTGTAGGAGCTAGCACGTCTGGCTCCTCGACATTATCCACATTCTGTTTCGCAACATCAGCAAAACTGACACCTTCCTTCATTTTTTGAAGATCTTCTGTGGGAGCCAAAACCTCTGGTTCTTCGATATTCTGTTTAGCCATGTCGGCAAAACTGATTCCTTGTTTCATCTTCTCCAGATCCTCTGTGGGAGCTAAGACTTCAGGCTCTTCGATATTTTGCTTGGCTACATCAGCAAAGCTGACACCCTTCTTCATCTTTTCAAGGTCCTCTGTAGGCGCTAAGACTTCCGGTTCCTCGATATTCTGCTTGGCCACATCAGCAAAGCTGACACCCTTCTTCATCTTTTCAAGGTCCTCTGTAGGAGCTAGGGCTTCTGGTTCCTCAATACTTTGCTTAGCAGCATCGGCAAAGGTGATTCCTTGCTTCATCTTTTCCAAATCCTCGGTTGGCGCCAGGACCTCTGGCTCCGGAACATTCATCGCAGCCACGTCAGCGAAGGTGATACCTTGCTTCATCATTTCGCTTTCTGTTGTGGGTTCCACATCATCCTCTGGTGCTAGACCAATGCGATCCATCTTTTCATATTCCTTGATCTGTAACATCCTCTCCTTGTAGCTTGCTTGGATACGTTCAAGCTTGGTTAGGGTTTGCTGAACCTGACTGAGGATAGAGCTCCTACGCTTTCGCAATTTCTCGAGAACAAGGATTTCAGATTCATTCTCCTGCGAGATGCCACCGGCTTCATCCCCAATCTCAGATAGCTCACTCAAATCCACTTTATTCACTTGTTCAAGTAGCCTCACCATTTTTTTGTGGAGAGCTTTGACTTTCAGGTCCAAATCCTTGTATCCTTGACGTACATTGGCATGATCACCGAATTCCTTTGCGCGCTCCTGTATCAATTCCTCCTTGGTTTCCTCAATTTCATCTCCCAATTCTTCCTTCTCTTCCTCATTGATCAAACCAAGGGATGGTAGCTTTACGTGGTCATCGCCAGGATGGAGACGATGGGTGCGCAAAGTCTTAGTACGGATTTGGATATGACGAAGGTCGTTATCGATAAGATCCTTAAGAGAACCTTGAGCCTTGGTAAGCTGTGAATTGAGGTTTCGTTGGGTAGTATGAAAACGATGTGAAAAGTTGGAGCGCTTGCTGTCGCGGTAGAGGATGTAGGCCAATGAAGAGACAGTGACAATGCCAACAACGGCAGTGAGAGAAAGGATGACGGTTCTCTTGGAAGGGGCGGTCAGTTCAACCATGATGGATAATTATTATCAGTTTGCACGAGGGTATGAGAGCGAAAGGATCCTTCACTAAAGAAGATAGACGGAAGGATAGCAATTAGAAAGAGGACTAGGGAGGGGATGGGATAGGAATAGTGGAAAGGGTGAATGAAACAATGAAGAGATGTTTGATTAGAGAGAGCCAGGTCTTTTTAATATGACCGAGTATCAGTATGACATCATGACATCATATTAAATGCAATGACATCGCATCCTGCGTTTTTAATCCTTCCACCAATCACTTCAATTGATTTTAGTCAAAATGTTCTGTTCCTGCGCATACCATCACTTAGAGAGTGTAAATGTTTTTATAATTAGACAAGGCAATATTGTCTCTTTGTTCGATTGTCCAATAACAAATTTTGGGTGCTTTCTTTCCTTCCCAGCCAATCGTCGTCAGGGTTCCCAGACGCTGCATTCGTGTGTTTTGCACATTTAATCGTGCTGCTCGCTCCTGCTATACTTTCTCCTTATCCACAACCTCATACATCAACCATCCAGTCATGACCAGCTCTAATTCTTCTGACTCCTCTCCTCCAAAAAGGAGCTATCTTCATCCAGGTCCCATTGAGTCTTTTGTTGCGAATGGTCTCAAAACTTTTGACTACTACTTTGACCTGCCACTCAACCACACCGACCAGAGCAGCAAGCAAACAATTGTTGTCTTTGCGCGCAGGGTAAGTTTGCCATATAAACTTGCCCAAAGTTCCTAAAAAAATAAATAAGTCTAATAGTCTCCGCAATTGTTTTCTTATTGCCAGGTTGTTGCTGTTGAACGACAGGATGATGCAGAAAAGATGCCATGGCTAGTTTTTTTCCAAGGAGGACCTGGATTTCAAGCCCCAGACTACAACACGTAATGACTCGTATACTAGCGAATCCTTTTTTTTTAACTCTTATTCTCGATAAACACTTAACCAAAAGCTATGGCTCAATTGATGATAATGCGCCATTTAGTGCCTGGGTTAAGATGGCCGCAAAGAAATATAATGTCTTGTTGCTGGACCAACGTGGCACAGGATTGTCAACGCCAATGACTGTCCAGCGACTTTCACAGTTCAAGACACCTCAAGAACAAGCAGATTACTTTATGTATTTCCGTGCTGACTCTATTGTTCGCGATTCTGAATTGATTCGAGAGACTCTTCTGGGTATGTGTTAAGGATGTTGAGCATTCAGAAGTTGCCTTTGAGTCATTATTGCTGTTGTTATTAGTTAGCGTGGGAATTTTTCAAGAAACAGATATATTTATACTGACATACATTAGTCTTGATTTTATTGAATAGCAAACTATTCAGAAAAAAAATGGAGCCTGTTGGGACAAAGTTTTGGCGGATTCTGCATCACTACATATTTATCACTGTTGTATGTATCCTTTTTTCTTTTTTCTTTTTTCTTTTTAAATCGGAGGACTAAATGGACAATGATTATCGACTCTTCATTGACTGATATCAATCATTCATTCCTTTAGTCCAGCGTCCGTTACCGCAGCATACATCACTGGTGGTATCCCACCTGTCTTTGATTCTCTGGAGACCGTATATCGAAAAACGTTCAAGAGCGCCATAGAGCATACAGAACGCTATTACAAACGATTTCCAATGGACATTAAGCGTGTCAAGAAGATCATGAAGTATTTGGCTACGAACGAAGTCAGACTCCCAACAGGCGGCATCCTCACCCCACGCAGGTTTCAGCAGTTGGGTCTCAGCCTTGGATTGTCAGGAGGTATGGATCGTATACATTCTCTCTGTTTGCAGGCATTTGTGACGTTGAGCGACGGTAAAGAGGAACTCTCAAGCTTATTTCTGACGGAGATGGAATCACAGGAGCAGACGCCACCAATATATGTGATCTTGCATGAGGCAATTTACAATGACGGACCAGGTGTGGCATCCAACTGGACAGCTTCTCGTCTGTTGAAGGAAGAATTCAAATCCACATTTGAATACTCACTTGAGAAAGATACTTCGGACAAGCCAGTGTACTTTACAGGTAAAAAAAACTCATGGCTGCGCAGTCTATAATGAATGATCTTGTGTATATTTACTCGCTATTTATCTGCTATCCCTGATTTTTTAAAGGCGAGCACATGTTTGACTGGATGCTGGATGATTACGCTTCGCTTCAACCGTTGAAAGAGTGTGCCGAAATTTTGGCCAAGTGCAATACTTGGCCAAAGCTGTATGATCCTGAGGTACTAGCTAAGAATACGGTCCCTGTGGCTGCGGCCATGTACTATGACGATATGTTTGTAGCCCGTGAGTGCTCCGAGAAAACTGCCAGTCGCATTCAAGGCCTCCGACTCTGGATTACCAACGAATACATGCACTCAGGTCTGCGCGATAATGAGGCAATTCTGTCAAAGTTATTTCAGATCATTAGTGGCGAGACTGACGTGCCTGTTTCTTAATCGGATCTTCATAATAATGACAGCCTTATTCATCCACTTTCCATTTTCATTGATAATAATAATAAAAGCTTTTGACAAAACTTTTATTTTTTTTTTTTACTTGATTGCTTGACACAATCTGATAATGGTCTTTTTAGAGCTTTGCTTGATGACTCGTGATCCCCTCTATGAGGACACATGGACCACCTGCAATAACATGAAGACCGACATCTTTAGCAAATGCCAATGCCTCAGGCGACTCAACACCCGGCTGTAGCCAGATTCGCGTAATGCCATTTTTATGAGCCTCCTCCAATACAAATTTGGTCACGGAAGGGGGAGTGATAATCGAGAGATGGTACTCCGAGGGCTTTCCGGGCAACGAGGACAAGTTCTTGACACAGGTAAGGGTTTCAATCACAGACTCTTTTGGATTCACAGGGACTGCTGTATAGCCATGGTTAATGTACCTGACCAGTGTTTTTTATAAAAAAGATAGTGTTTGTTTCATTACTATTTAATGAACTCGCACATATCAGCATATACATGGTAACGCTGTGTCTGCCCTTACCAACATAAGACTTTATTGCCAAACTTGGTACGATTAGATGAAGCCCCCACGACGGCAAACCTTTGGTTTGCAGATGGGAAAAATTCTTGAATGAGAGATGCGGTGGACATAATGAAAGAATATGTTTTTTTTTTTTTTTTTTTTTTTTTTGCAGATTTATTACACATTTCGGTAAAAAGCGGGGAGGCCACTTTGTGGAGGATGTGTCTAAGAATATCGCCTACGCTTCATTTCGACAGGACTATACCAACTTGTTTATTTGCCTATCTTAGAGATGGGACATACGACTTGGAAGCCCATGATGTGGAGACATTATTTGTATGTATTATTGATCTGATGGTTGAATGTTTATCAGTATGTACCATCCATATCGTGCGAAAGCACATCCATTTTGGATAAAATTTTAAGGGACCATACCGTCTAATTAATCCTTAATAGGCGAAGCGAATACACAATGGGACATGAAGGCTATATTTTTTCTAGTATGTCTTTTTATTCTCTTTAATCAAAAGTTTATGCAATGCTGCAATGATTCTACTGGCCGGGAAAGCCTTGGTATCCTTGTAGCGGTGGTGGTGGAGGCGGTGCTCCATAGGGCGTGTAGTTTCCTGGGGGGCGCATAGGTGGTGCCCCTAAATAACCTGGTTGCTGCATCGGAGGATATCCTGGCGGTGGTGCGCCTTGCATCATCGGGGGGTGATTAGGATTAGGTGCATAGATACCAGGAGGCGGCGGGACAGTACTACCTGGCGGATGGATCGCGCCAAAAGGCGGTGGCCTTGAAGGTTGACCCAATGGAATAGCATTGCTTCCATGGTACTGTGGCTGTTGTTGCATGTGGTTAGGGTGTCCTGAACCACTAAACCGCGGAGGATGAGGAAGCTGCTGTCCGTAAGGAGCAGGTGGTCGAGGCATGCCTGGGTGTCCTTGTGAGAGTGATGCTTGTGAAAATGAAGGTGGAGGACGAGATACAGGTGCAATACCTGTAGCATTTGCTCCTGTCGGCGTAAATACTCCAGGTCCTGTTCCTGGAATATCCGCAAACAAACGGTTGGGCATAGCGGGTTGATTTTTTCTTCCTTGTGCAGCAATAAGTCGCTCTGGACGATTACAATATTGAAAATAAAATAAAGGTCAGTACTATAATCAATTCTTAAACCCCCCCCCCCCCCGCTAACATTGCGTCTATAAACTGGTGAAAGCATACCTGCAGCGGATCCATGCCTTTCTCCTTTTCCGTCCTTCTTATATGCATAGCTCACTGTGATGGGTTTATTAGCTAGGATTTGGCCATTCATGGCATCGATAGCAGCATCAGAGCTCTCAAAGTTGTCAAAGCTAACAAATCCATAGCCTTTGGATTGTCCAGTCTCTAAGTCACGCGCGATTTTAGCATGTCCCACAATCGTTCCAAATGCACTAAACGTATCTCTCAATAAAGTCTCATCTGCATCTGGCGCCAGGTTTCCAATGAACAGCGATGCTCCTACATCCAAATTCTTTTTGTCTGATGTTGCTTTGTTGATCCTGAGTGGCTTTCCAAAGAGTTTAACCTGATTAAGGATCTTGCAAGCGTAGTCGGCATCATCTTCAGAAACATATTCACAAAAACCATAGTTCTGGTGCGTTTGTGTTACCCTGTCCTTTGGCAAGTGCACATTGACTATTCGCAAGGTACAAAAAAAATGATATTTGGTATCACTAGCCTAACTTTAGACGTGATCTATTAATGTAAATGTCCACATACTTGCGAATGAAAAGCTTACCAACGGGTCCAGCTTGTGCCATAAGTTCCCAAATCAAGGCATCGGTGCAGCGGTCATCCAGATTGCCGACATATACTGTAGCATCCTGATTGCGCTCGATTGGTTGCGCCATGTCGGATTGTTGGCTTCAGCGAAGGCGAACGTTAAGTTGAACAATTAAATGCCAGACCTGGCAGAATTGGCTAACCAGAAAGATCCTTGATAAGCCACATTAAACGAGTTAAGACTGCTTTTCAAGACGTCAAACACCTCTTCTGCGAGTAGAAAGGTGGGATCACTGAATGCCTACGAAACCAGCGCTCTTTCTAGCAAGCTTGCAAAAAGCTTCAAACAGTCCTTCAAGTGATCAAGAAATAGGTAAAGGAGAGCACTGAGATCCCAAAAACCTTCTAGCTGTAGACCCATTTTTCTACCTTTCGGTACCAAGACTCCACCTAATTACGTCAAAAAATCGCCGCTGACACTCCTATGCCTATCAGCCAAAGTTCAGCCAGGCACTGCTCCACAAGAATGAGATTTTTAGTAGTGTCCCAGTTATGGAAAAAAGGCGTGTTGGAGCATGGATAGCTTTTCTCCAGGAAAAAAAGGGGAGTTAGGTGGACTCGGAGAGAACTATATGGGCCGATGAATTTTGCTTCTAAATAGACAAGGACTTTTCGAGGATCCTTATTTGGTTGACGGACGAGAAAACGTATCTACTAGAAAACATTAAGCCAATTAGGACTGCTAATGCTAGTAATTAAAAGATAAGATCCGTCATCATTGAGGGGAACAACAATAACAAGGATCAAGTCTTCACTAGCATCGTTTACGAGGAAAAGTTGAAGAAATTATGGGCAAAGTTAATGCTTACTATGATGAGAGACAGCTCTTCTATTCACACAAGCAAGCAAGTAAATAGATGGCGAGAAGAGAATAGATCAAAGACACCTTCTGCTCTATCAACTCTCTAGAGGTGAACCCCACTGAGATTACCTGATCGATTCTAAAGAATCGTCTTAATAAACAAATGGTCAGTGAAAACCAATAAGTGAGGAAGAGGCGATAGCAGTCCTTTAAAGAAGTATGATGTCGAAAAGGGTCGTCAAATTTCAGGAACTCAACCAAGTAGTAGGATAAGGTCTTTCAAGGTCGAATGAATTGAAATAGAATACAAGTCCTCAGTGAAATACATCTTAGTAGGCCACTGTTCACTCTCCCGTCACATCAACACATTCAGCAGTTCAATTTAAAAGTGTATGGAAACTTTCAAATTCAACTGAATGAGGCTGTTCAGAATGAGTAGTCAAATACTGAAAGAATGTAGAGCATTATTCACAATAACGCAAGAAGAATGTAATATGCTCATGTGTCATAATGATAGACATATATCAGGAACAGACAATCGTGACCTTAAAGTATGAATGTTAAAAAAAATGACCCGGAGGTATATCTTTATCTTTTGCAGACGCTGCCGCAGAATATAACGACCCGTTCCCTGTTTGAAAATCAACTCGCTAGTGTCAATTGAGTCTATGACGAATGTCACTTGGTTTGATTGTGGAATATTGCCCTATTTTTGCTGTCCAAAGCCGAAACCAGCTTGAATGGCGTTGAGGATCGGAAAAGACCACAAGTTACTGTGGGAGGCGATGCAACACCACAAGTCTAAATTGTGGGCTATGTATATTTGCTGAGTTTAAATTGCTCTACAAAAGTCCAAAAATCTGGGCCTTGTGTAGCCTGAGTTCAAATTGCTCTCACAAATTTGGTCATTTCTGGCAGATTCTAGTGTCAACTGACATTTTTCTAAGAAAGGAAACTCTTGGCGCACGCAGTCAACACATATAAAAAGGCGCTTTTACTCCCTCTTTCTTCTCCCATCCACATCTTGTTCCTTTGAACACACACACTCACCCTCCTACACACACTCACCTGCCTACACACACACACACACACACACACACACACACACACACACACAAGTTTTATTTTAAACAAAATACATAAAATGCAGATTTTTGTCAAGACACTCACCGGCAAGACCATTACTTTGGAGGTAGAGTCCTCCGACACTATCGACAATGTTAAACAGAAAATCCAGGACAAGGAAGGTATTCCTCCAGACCAGCAGCGTCTCATCTTTGCTGGAAAGCAACTTGAAGATGGACGTACGCTTTCCGATTATAATATTCAAAAGGAGTCGACCCTTCACTTGGTCCTCCGTCTCCGTGGAGGTATGCAGATTTTCGTCAAGACTTTAACCGGTAAAACTATCACTTTGGAAGTTGAGTCCTCCGACACCATCGATAACGTCAAGCAGAAGATTCAGGACAAGGAAGGTATTCCCCCAGACCAGCAGCGCCTCATCTTCGCCGGAAAACAGCTTGAAGATGGTCGTACGCTCTCTGACTACAATATCCAAAAGGAGTCTACCCTTCACTTGGTCCTTCGTCTCCGCGGCGGTATGCAGATTTTCGTCAAGACACTCACTGGCAAGACAATCACTTTGGAAGTTGAGTCTTCCGACACCATCGACAACGTCAAGCAGAAGATTCAGGACAAGGAAGGTATTCCTCCAGACCAGCAGCGTCTTATTTTCGCCGGAAAACAGCTTGAGGATGGCCGCACGCTCTCTGACTATAATATTCAGAAGGAATCCACCCTCCACCTAGTTCTTCGTCTTCGCGGCGGTATGCAGATTTTCGTCAAGACTTTAACCGGTAAAACTATCACTTTGGAAGTTGAGTCCTCCGACACCATCGATAACGTCAAGCAGAAGATTCAGGACAAGGAAGGTATTCCCCCAGACCAGCAGCGCCTCATCTTCGCCGGAAAACAGCTTGAAGATGGTCGTACGCTCTCTGACTACAATATCCAAAAGGAGTCTACCCTTCACTTGGTCCTTCGTCTCCGCGGCGGTATGCAGATTTTCGTCAAGACACTCACTGGCAAGACAATCACTTTGGAAGTTGAGTCTTCCGACACCATCGACAACGTCAAGCAGAAGATTCAGGACAAGGAAGGTATTCCTCCAGACCAGCAGCGTCTTATTTTCGCCGGAAAACAGCTTGAGGATGGTCGCACGCTCTCTGACTACAATATCCAAAAGGAGTCTACCCTTCACTTGGTCCTTCGTCTTCGTGGTGGCCAGTAATTTTCGAGTATTAATTAAAGTTGAAAAATTTATTAGACAATTTGAAAAGTCAATTGTTCTGTAAAATATTCGAATCAATAGTGACTATCTTTAATAGAAGGTAGATCAAACATCGCATGGCCTGCATTGTTTACTTTCAATTACATGTCTATAAATTACACAACCAAGACGCCATGCCGGGTACAAATAAACCTTCTTTTTTAAGATATATTTTTATCAAACATGTTCCATGCTGGCTTCTTGAAACCTTATCTGGAGCATCGTATTCGTATGCTCAGAGATGTACGAGAAAATCTACAACTGTGGAAGGAGCTACGAGACGAAAGACGTCGGATCGTGGATGAGAAGTTTTTTTTAAGCACAGTAAGCTTAAACAAGCGTACAGTTAGCCTGTGACAAGCAAAAAAGAGGAAATAGTTTGTCAATAAAAAATATTCGTTATATAAAGAACTTCTCTTACGAGAGGCTCCATATATGCAAAAATCAATAAATAGTGACGCTCTTTTAAGAGAATAATATCGACTTTTCAAATTGTCTATTGACCGAACTAATTATTCCTGCTATTATGATCAGAACCAGGTAAACGTCCGAACAGACCTATAGAAATATAATCCAAAAAAAAAGAAATTAAGTTTGCCGCACAAAATTAATGTAAAAAAAAAATGGATTTACAAGACTTCAACAGCTAGATTATCGCAAATAGTAAAATAGTCTATTGCTGGATGTATATCGATTATAGAAAAATGGATGAGGTATCAAGTGATATAAGACGTTTGTGCTTACAAAGCAAGGATGTTTTGATCGAAATCCTTGAAGTATTTATGGAATTATTGCCGTTTAAAGGTTATAAAATGGTCGAAATGAGGTTCAATGTCAAGCCAAGGTGTCTGCCTTTCCCTCAAAAATAAGTCAAAGAGCTTTTCCACACAGTATATGATAGATACATTACATAGCTTTGTATAGAGTCTTAGTTTTCCAAAATCCAAGCATTTTTCATAGACTTTACTTATAGCTGAAGAGAGAAATATATCATTTTTTAGTGATTTTCTGGTTTTATTCATTAAGGAACTTCAGATTCCTTTATAAGAACACGTATGGTCCCTTAGTACATTATATTATGCACTACATACTCTTACTTTTTGGAAAGTTTGATAAGTTTTGGAGATATTCTGATGGTTCTACAATATTTTGTCTAAAAGCTAGACAATTTTCGTAGAAACATTGACTTCAAGATGCCCTAATTCTCAAACTTTTAAATATAAACATTTTCAATTTTTACCCAAAAATACAATTTCCTGTTTTGAAAGATATATTTTCAGTTGCTTTATCGACTTTAGAGGTTTTAGCACGTTTGGAGCCGAAATGAGGGACTTTACTATAGAGTATCTGCTTTTCTATGGACCCTGAGAACGCGGATGTACGTATATGGAGTACTCAGGCGGTCTGGGAGCATTGCAGAGATGGATCCCGTAAATGCATATTAATATTAATTTCACCCTCGTCCCGAGCGCTCTTTTTTCTGATGAAGTGATACTAGACATTCATAGACAAAGATTGACATTCATAAATAAATATGCAAGCGATACTAACACAAAAACTGACCCGCACAAAACCCATAGAAAGTGATATTAAATCTTCTTTCATGATACCATTTTTGTTACTTTGGTACGCAGTACTAGTATGCTATACTGGACTCTTGATACTAAAATCAGTACGATCCTTTTATATCTGTATGGATTCGGCAACATACCTCTAGCAAACAAGGGGCCGGAAAGGTGTTTTGTTTTTCTTTAGGCAGGGAATAAAAAATGAAAATGGTAAATGGGGGTAGATGCACTAAAAGAGTGGAGGCAAGTAAATGGTGGACATGGTGCATCGTGATGATTTAGCTTGATATATGGTGTTTGCTGGTATTTTTTTGGTGATTGACTGATTTTTTCCCACAAACTCATAGGCGGATTAGATCCAGTTTTCTGTGCTCCCTACTAGCAGAAATCAGCCGCCTATTACATTCAAAGGAAGGAAAAAAATCAGTAAAAAAAAATCAGCAGACACCATATATCAAACTATACCATCATGATGCACTCTGTTCACCGTTTACTTGCCTCCACTCTTTTAGCGCATCTAGCCCCATTTACCATTTTCATTTTTTATTCCCTGCCTACAAAAATGCAAAGCACACCTTTCCGTCCCCTTTTTTGCTAGAGGTATGTCATCGAATCCATACAGATATAAAAAGATCGTATTGACTTTAGTATCAAGTGTCCAGTATGGTATACTCGTACTGCGTACCAAATTAACGAAAGTTTAGTATAACATACTCGTACTGCGCCTAGTATCACTTCATCAGAAAAAAGAGCGCTCGGGACGAGGGTGAAATTAATATTAATATGCATTTACGGGATCCATCTCTACAATGCTCCCAGAGTGCCTGAGTACTCCATATACGTATATCCGCGTTCTCAGGAACCATAGAGACCAGATGCTCTATACGACAGGTTTTGTGAAGAGGGATGGTGAGTTTGGATACTTTGCAGCTGTGGAAGCGGAATTGTTTTTGTTATTTTGGTACGCAGTACGAGTATGTCATACTAAATTTTCGTTATTTTGGTACGCAGTACTAGTATGCCATACTAGCCACCTGATACTAAAATCAATACGATCGTAATTTTCCCTTTATCTGACCCAATACTCCTGCGTTTGTCTTGGTGAACTCAAGTCTTTAAAACAGAGGCTCATACCGATGTTCTACCGCTGCCATTTTGGTTAGTCCGCTATCAATTACAAAAGGTTTATTAAGTGGTAGGCTTATAATTGACTAATACCGATATCGGTATGAGTCTCTAACTTTAAAGTCAGCCAAGTAACTTCAAGCAGTAAACCCACGAATTAGCATTATAATTTTAATAACTGAATAAACAAACCTCCTACTGTCCTACTGTATCATTTTATTTGTTTATTACAATAATTGTCCAATATCGTCAGGATTAATCGCTATTAGAGTCATCTGGTTACATTCACGTCTAAAAGCTGTTACGTTTGTTGTAAACTTGTCGCGGTTGGCAGTAGTCAAGTTATTCTCAATGCCCTCCATTAGCTATTTGAAATAAAAAGTCATGAAGTTAATTGTTGCCATTTCGCAGGTTCTAGCCTCTAACAAGGTACAAATTGCAAGTGCTTACGCCATCGATTGCTTTTTGGAGCAGCTCCTGCCGATCTAGTAACTGCATTCTTACAAATCGCACTGTGTATTCTGCATAGAACTCTCTGTTCAGAAGGATGAGTCCCAGCAAAGGTCGACTTAGACTCCAATGATTCCCGCGACTTTCGAAAGCCACGGCTTGAAAGAGCACCATAAAAATATAGCTGAGCATGCTCTTGTTAGTATGCACATACTCCACCAACCAATGTGAGCTCTGCTGCTGGTACCGACGGCTATCGTTGGACAAGCTTACTACATGTCCTTCATTTTGCTGACTGACATTGTTCACTAAACCATCTCTATTTAAAGATGAGCCTTGAATTTTCTCTGCATCAGTACCACTATGCCTACGAATCTTGTCCCTGTAAAGCCAATTAAACACGAAGGTGCAGATCTTATCGGTCGCAGAGCAGGCTAATGTCGAGCAAGTGGCATCAGTTGAGTGTAGAGGTATAGCTTCGCCCATAGTTTGGAAGATATAGGACAACACTGCATGGGGCATCATTGGTAATCCAGCCATGTGGTCTGTTGCGAACACGTTTACAGCGTTAAAGTAGGCAAGGGCAAGCTTTGGATAGGACTATGGTAGTTCATCAAAGTTTAAAAAGTCAATCCATATCATTATAAATATATTGCATGCTGTATGGAAGCGAGCACTAGTATCGAGGTTACAATCATATCATCGATAGGTATAGCAGTTATCAGCTGAAAAAATAATTCGAGGACACGATCCAGTGCTTTGTCTCCATAAAGCTTGAACACGCCAAAATTGGCATACTTTCCAGACAGAGACACAAACATGATATTAAAGAAGAGTATGGTTCCTTTATATCTAGAAATTTAGACGAGGGTAACAAATTTACTGGTTAATCAAGAAATTATTTCAAAATTAAGCTGTATTTAATATTTGCTTACTTGTTCAACCAACGATTGTCCCCATTTAAAAGGGGTCGCACCAGCAGATTTTGGCCTAACGTTTGCAAAATATTACTATTGATTCATTTGGATCACTGATTAGCTAGCAAATATTGGCGCCAATGAAAAGAGAATATTATAACAACGCATCCTCAACTTGCCTTGTCTCGCGGAAGAGGAGGATGCCATCCGCACTGCTGCTGTCAAAAGTAACTCGGCTGCTCTTGTTAGTCGCAAACTCCTGCCAGAACCTCAAGACGGTAATCGCAAGCTCACTTTGTGGCCAAATCTCAATTGCACGTAAGGCAATGGGGCTGTAAGCGGCAAAAAACCATTCGTGGAATAGATTGAACTGTTTCCTATTGCTGATGCTTGTCACGAACCCACGTAAATCTTTAAAAACACCTAGGAGAGTCAGCTGTTAATAGATATGATTGTGAAAACCCATTAGTTAGTCTGACCAAGGTATAAACAATGGAAAATAAAAAGTGACAAGGAAAAGAACGTCCTTTTGAAAAATGCATACTTGAATATCCTCTTCATTTAAGCCTCCTCCTCCTTCAAATGCGACTAGTATCTGATCCAGAATCGTCTCCCAAGGCTTAACAAACCGCCAAAAGTCTGCATCCACATTGTCTTCTGAAAACAAAATCTGCGAAAGCATCTTATAGTAAATTGTCCTACATTGTCCCATATCTGAGCTCGGGTTTCTACTTTTTGGGTTCAAGAACTGAAACTCGCTTGGGCTATGATTCTTTAACAAAGCCTTTGTTGTATCAAGTTTCCGAATGAATTTCACAGAGCTGTATCTATTGCATACAATATAAAGCCTTGGAGCTGAGCAACATGGATATTTAGGTCTTAACAGGGCGGTGATCGCTCTACTTTTCCTTTATGTCCTGTCTTACCCTGAGGAGAGAGTAGTGAACAGCTTGAGGGTCCGAAAAACAAGCTGGTCCTCTTGTTTCCTCCAGGCAGGGTTACCGCTTGACCGAAGATTGCCAAGAGATGAATTCATGATTACGTTGAGAACTTGGCTTGGGGTGTTTAGACCCCATCGTGCTGCCAATTGTATATACACTTTACCAGCTTTTGCTGTATCTTCATCAATGTAGGAGCTCCGAAACTGAATGTAGAAATATATGATAGAGGACTGTATATATAAATGGGCATCCGGGGAAGAAATGTATAAAGGCATTTGGGTCGTTGAAATTCGAAGCTGATGAATGAAGCCCAAGACCTCGCATGCAAACTCTCCATCCATCTGGTCCTGTTCGGACGTGCTTTGGTACATCTAAGTTTGTGGGATTCAGGGGAATTAGTTTAGTCATTCAGAACGTTTTGTTGCTGTTGATTGTGTCAATTATTTCTTTTCGAGGACTTCACTTACAACTCTACCACCAATGCATGCAGCCATGATGTAGACTATCCACGTAAGTTGCAGCTGGACCACCATAAGACTTTCTTTGATATCATTTGAAACAGGTACCCGCGACGGGTTGCCAGGTCCTGTAGTAGCTCTCTGAAGCAAATCTTGGTATTTCAGCAAAAGATCTTTAAACTCGGTGCAGATGATCTGACCTGATTCACTATACTTTGTGCGTGCAATATCGGCAAACATTTCCAGTAAGGGTAACAGAGCTTCTTCTGATTCTAGTGGATCTATAGGATGGCGATAAAAATTAAGCATCTGAGTAAATGGCTACAGTATTATCACCGATATGTTCGTCCTTTGCATTAGTTATTTACCATCTGCCTCGCCATCCATGACGGCATAAACACATTCCAAACATGACTTAAGAAAGGCCCTCGTTAATTTGACAGTAATTCTCTCAATTAGACGTTCTGTTTCTTGTTTCGCTGAGCTGAGCCCTGATACTGTTTTGTTCCAGAATGTAAGGAGATATGGTATAGTATTTGGTGACCACTATTATAAGAGGATAGATTTCATAAGTTCGTATTATTATAAGTTCTGGAACCTGACATAATACCAGGAATCTCCAAATCGAGCTCGAAGAGTACCTTCCAGGAGTGAAATCCTTGAGCTGTGAACTCCCCAATTGCTGTGAGCCACTGTTCGGCTTCCGAGTAATCGCAAGTCTCGGCTAGTCGGAAGGTGCTCTTGAAACGTGACAGCATACGTGAAAACTCATGGAAATTTCCGACATCCTGCAGTTTATTTTGGCCCGCAGCGGTGTTCATTGTCCACAATGTTTCCCGCATTATATGACATACATAGGAGTGTCGAGTATTGTCATCTGTAAAAATAGAGCGACGAATTGAGGCTGCCTGGGATAAACACTCCATTACTAGTGCAGACACAGGTGCTGAGAATGCCTTCCAGCATTCCCATAGAATATCAAGGTACCCTGACTCTTCAAAGACCGATCTCCAGGCAGCTGGGACTTGAATACTTCCGACATCATCTAATGATTCTTCATAGGATGTTCCAATGAAGTCAAAGCCAAGACAAGCCTTAATCAAAATCAGTATTGCTTCCTTCAATTTTTCGGTATCCGTGCCTATATACAGAGTGGAGTTAGAGAAGAGACAATATAGTTGACCAGTCGGCGGATTAATACTTGGATGTGACAAAAGAAACTTTGTGATGAGGCTGAAAATACGTAAATCATACCGGAGAGTTGGCACCGAAGCACAGCTCGAAGCATGTCGAGAGCAACCTGAAAGATTGGAAGCAATTGGGTGTCCCGGAAGCCCACAGCTGATTTTCTGTTTTTGAGAACATTATGAGAACCAAGGATATTCATCTCTGTGGCTATAGCAGCAAGTATACGTACTCCTATGATGCGGTGATCTACTCCATGCTGGTCATCCGACACATAATACCAAATCAGCTGACTAATCGCTTGTTAGCCAATTGCTACGCTGTAAAAGCTTCATTACCTGGAAAAAGGGCTGAACGCTGTCTAAGAGCGTACGGAATCCTTCGTTCTGGAGCCAGCCCAACTTTGTTATGATTGCAAGAAGTTGTGCCTGTGCAGCAAGAATAAATGGTGGCAAATCAGGTTTTTGGTAGATATATTGGAGTACAAATGTACCTAACAATAACCACATATAATTTAGAATTATTGATCATCAATCAATAATAATGCATACAAAAGGCTGATTATAACTAGCAGAAGGGAGGTCATGAGGCACATACGAAGGCCATGCTGCTCAGTTATACTGAAGGTCGTGAAATGACTCTCGACCAGTGATCTGAGACGTGTCGTCGCAAACCTATAATATTAGATAGGAGACATAAATTAACAAAGCGCGCTTGTATCCAAAGGTTACCAAGAGCATGTGGATAACCTTACATCAAGGCATAGGGGTTTTTTGAATTTTCGAGTATATTTCGACAGAACAACGCAGACTCGATTGGTGAGGTGGCACAAGAGTTGTGGGCGTGTGTGGCATCTAACGCATTGTTGCTATTAGCACCTGACTCGATACTAAATGTGGGACAGTAATAGTTGAGAAAGCTTTCAGCTTGAATCCTGCTAGAAGGACTGGATGGGTTATAAAGGGTCTCGCAGTTCTGCTCGAGTGTTTGCAGGTCAAGTGACGAGGACATATTGTTATAAAAGGGAAGACATTAGCTGTTATAAATGAATCGCTATTCTACTCGTGAGAAATGAGAATGTAAAAAAAGAGATTTCTCTGACATTATTCAGTTAAAAGTGAGGTCACAGAGGCGCGCGCCTGGGAAACCTTGCGAGCATTGTCGTGTTTGTTTATTTTGTACTTTCTTTCTTTCTTCCTTTTGTCGCTCATTTCCAACAGCTGCTCGCCATGGATCCCGATGACGTTGGTGCTTACAATTGGAGAAGTACAACCAGTAGTAACCGCACGGTTACTACTCGAACGGATTCCACGGAATGCGATGATTATTGGTTTGTAAGTCGATTATTTTTCATTAGACAGATCTAATGCCTTCAATCTCTTGCAAGCAGGCGTTCTCGAACTAATGACTTAATATTTGTAGGTTCCTCCTTATGCCGACATTAGAGAGCTACAAGAACAGCTCAAGGCGCTAGAGACGGATTCAGCGACACACATGGTGTTAAATCCTGACCAGGAGGTACCAGATTCCTCATGATACTACTGTCTTCTGAATGTGCTACTTGTATTACGACTAAAATTCGAAACTCTCTCGGTCTGCGATCTCTAGCGAGTCGAGATTTGGGGCCCGACAGCATGCATTCAGAAGGCGAAGCAACAGCTTACATACTTTGCTTCGGTCTACCAGGACGTATGTACAAGTTCACATCCATCAACTCCACAGAACTATATGATGCAATCATTCTATCAAGTTGTTAAACTTTTCATATAAAATTGATCGCGTAGATGGCTGAAACCAAACGGAAGGCGACTAAATCAAAGGGCTGGGCGAAACCAGAGCGCGAGTTGACGAAAGCCGAAAAGAGAAAAAAGGAACGCAGGGAGAAAGAGCTTTTCGAGAGTCAACGTTATCTGAATTTACCAACGGAGGATTTAGCGTTTAATCACTGTATTAAGTGGCCCAAAGATCAGCCTATCGGTCGTCTTCTTGGTAGCAATTTGATCGTCCTTAACAACTTGAGAACTGAATTCAAGTGTTTTATCTGGCTAGAGAACGCAGACCTAGTAAGTTGATTACACAATGCATCATGGATTTTGTCTGTTTACGTACAAATAGAAAGACTATTGCTCACCACTATTATTTTTCTTTCAAAAAGATTCATGTTGCTGGTAATGACAAGAATAACGTGTTGTCGGCTATGAATCGCATTAAAAACTACATCCTCATGCGGGTATGTTATTTTTTTCACTTGAGCGGTATAGATTGGGTTTATTTAATAAAGATTCTGAGCTCCCTTCACCATTTCACGCCACAAATTTCGGGATTCAATAGACTAGGCCACCCATCGAGACCGTTTGTCATGTCCTAGAAAAACCATCGAAGCTTGTAGAGATTGAATTGGTTCCAGATCCACGCGTGCCTTATATTGATTTGCCGACCCAGCTGGCTATGCCTCAAATCAGATCACGAAAGGAAAGCAATCCTAATCATTTCTTGAGAGCCAGACTAGTGGCAGGATATGAGAATCTTCATGATCTTGATTTGCAAATGGCGGCGATTGAAAGAGGCGACACCAATTCACAGATTAAGGCTGAAAATGGGGTCAACATTATGCGGAATGCGGCGCAAGCAGGTGCTTTGAGTCAAGATGATATTTATATTCAATCGATGGCGTATATTGAAAAGTAACTACCATGGATGATTTTCATGTGATCATTTGAAACTGGATTCATGACAATAAGTTCGCTAAGTAATATATACATTCAACTTCATATAGTATGACGAACCAAAACATTACACGCATCCGTAGAGCATTGGAAACTACACTCGGTCAAGTACAATTGTTGGATCGAGAAATCCAAATGCGAATCAAGTATGAGGTTTACAAATTTTCACAGCTGTAACTTCATGGTAAAAAAAAGTCAAAGCTTCCTGACAAAAAAATCTTTTGAATGCAGTATCGGGCGTATTCGCTTTTTAGAATACCCTAGTAGGAGTCTATACCAGGTTCGTGAGATGGACATTAGTGTTCTCCCCGACCCCCGCTTAATAACCGAGTTCAGCCCGTTTTTGACCGACTCAACAGACCTTTTCCGTAAGCTTAAAGCGAGGCTCTCTTCCCTCGGCCAGCTATCTGTTATCGAGCCTGAGGCGGTTTGGACGCTTGGTGTGCTGAAAAGAGGCGAGCCTCCTAACGAAAGACCTATCAATGTCCAGACGGAAATGACATTTCGAGATGACGGCAAAGTCGGTCTCTGGAATGCATTAGTGCAAACATCGACTCCTCTTAACATTAGGGTCCTTTCATCTGAGAAGTAATACCTAAACCAGCCACGCAGCATACTTTACGAAGGCCCATATCATTGAAAGCACATCTAACCATAACACATAAATCGATGTTAATAGGAAGCTCTCATGGACATGGAGTGTTACTACAAGAAGGCGGTTAGAGCTGGACAAGTTCTCACCGGAAGGGAAATTTGTACACCAACTCAGTTTGGACAGAAGGTATAGAAAATATCATGAAAATACTGCTTTGAACTTGATATACTCTGCTTACCAATTCTTGATCTGCTTGCCCTATATGAAATCCATTAGTAAAGGAGAAGACGGCAAGCTCGTTTCAGCCGACACGAGTTACGTGCAACTGAGACACATTCGACGTTCGAAGAAGTGGTTATTCGTGAGGGATCCGTGGACGATTGAGCTGACAAAGGACTCTTTCTGGACACGCGAAAGGCCTGCAGCACCCTTCCAATACCTGACTCTTGATACAGAGCCTGATCAAGAGCTGTACTCCGTTTCAGTAAGTAAAACCTTCTGGCTTCGCCTTTTGCTTGAGCATGACGCTAGATATGATATCCAATAGTGCTCACAATCTGTATGCCTTCGCGCTTCAATCTTCATGTGTTCTATGCACATATGTATAGATGTATAGAGATTCATGGACAATGCGGTTCAGCGAGAACCCACACCTTGGCGTAGGTCAAGTATCTTCTTGGGAACCTTCCGACTTTGTGGAAGGCGAGGAGTCCATTATCAAGACGATAGAGATGGTTTCTAATATTCGCTCAATGATCGAAGGGTTGCTCTAAATCCCCCAAGTGCTTGCAATAATGCTCCGCACAGTGATTATACTGTAATGTTTGGAGGGTAGTTTATAAATCATTAAATCTTTTCGCAGAAATCTTTATGATTGGAGTGGTTGAGCAAGGCAAATATGGAATTGCTTTTTTCTAATCGACATTGTGAAAGTTACAAAGTTACACCAACCTTTTTTTTTGACCCATATCAGCCCTGTGATGAATTTGATAGGATGACAGTCAAAATCAACACTCACGACAAACAAAGCACCACATATTCATGTCAAAACATCAATACATCAACATTCACATAGTCCAGTGATAGGTGCAATAAAGTGTTAGGACCATCTCATATATACTCGCGACTTTTTCCTTTTTTTCTTTTCTTTTTTTTTTCTCCTCTCTCTTTTTCTCTCTGACAAATACACTTCTGAACAGTTGTTTATCCTAATCACAATCATTCACTTCCTGACAGTCTGCTTAAGTTTCTTTTGCTCTCTTTTTTGCATCCGTCCATCTTTTTTACAAGCTCTCTCATTCCTCATTGTCCACTATGCCAAAGGTCAAGGCTACTGCTGTCCCTACAAAGAAGTCATGTAAGCTATGCTGGTCCCATGACTATCTTACGCTTCTACAACTCTCCTTGCCTTGCGTTTTGTCATAAAAAACGCGCCACTAATTTTTTTTTTTCTTTTTAAACTTTACTATCTTCATGCTAGCCGCGCCCACTGAGGCACCCAAAAAGAAGATGTCTATTTACAACACGTTCATGAAGGAAGAACTTCCAAAGTACAAAGCTAAGCACGCTGGTGTCGAGCATAAGGTATTTTGAGCAAAGAATATAGTGAATTTTTAATGACAGTCATTGTTCCGAGTTTTCTTTTCTTTATTTGTAATGGTCGCAAGGATATTTGGATACCTCAAATATCTAACATACTGCTTTATGATCAATGTACTTTACACGATTATTTCTGTAGGAGGCATTTAAGCAAGTTGCCATCATGTGGAAAAACTCTCCTTTGAATCCAAAGCGTGGCCAATAATAGCGAAACTAGATTTCTTGAAAGTGGTCAACTATGCTCTGCAAGCTGACCAACACACCCAAGCTCTCTTTTCCTAATGCGCCTTTTTTCTTTTTTTTTTTCTTTTCCTTTCGTCAGTGCATTGCCTTTTTACCTCTTTAGTATTATGCTGCAATCCTTGATTATATACTTCACAGTTTCATTAAGATGCTGGTTTTACTTTAGTTTATGTATTCATGTCACCAGTAGCCAATTTTAATTGTCAATATATACAACTTCTCTTAATCTTGTCTCTTATCCATGTTTCCATTTTGCTCACTCTTAATGCTCGTCTGTAAAATGTTTATTGACGGCTACTTAATTACCGATAAGGCCATATCCTGACTAAATGCAGAGTCTTAGATGGCGCAGTATGGCTTCAGTTTAGGAGGTCCATTCAGCATGAATCTAGGCGCAAGATAAACCAGGCGTATTTTGGCCCTGGCTGCACGTTAAATGTGTCCAGTCTACAAACTGATTTCGTCAACCTACAGCTAGTAAACAAGATTAAAGTAGTGTTGATTATGGCTTCGCCTTGATATGGAGTGTAGACAATTAAAGAAAGGGTAGGACGATACCCGATCGATTCATTTTCGCTAGTCTGCTAATCTTAGGAAGCATTAGCAAAAAAAGTGAAGCAGGATATTATGAATAGAAGACGCGTAACACCATTTCATATTTGGCGAATAGCACTTCCCCAATGACCTCCTGAGTGATACCAAACTTAAAAGAACCAGCCTGTTTGGCAACTCTGTGTCAAATCCATGTTTATTTATCATGCACTCTGCCAGAATTTTGGAGATGGCCACTTCCAACTGTGACAAGCGAGTAGATGAAAAATATAGGGACAAACTCTCAATAGTGCTATGGGAAAACCGAGGACCGTTGAGACGAACACATCTTTAAGCATCGCAAGCATACAAATTTTGAGTGGTGCTAAGGAAAAGGCACGTGACTCGTTTTCGCATTTGTATTTATTTCCCGTCAGTTCTTGGCCATCTTTACAGATTCATATACTTTCATATAAAAGGGACAACATGGATGATCAAACAGTGTTGCAAACACTCGTGCAGCAGCAACAGTCTGAACACCAGGATCAATCACAGACAGATCGGCTGGAGCAGCAAAATCATGGGCAGAATAATCAGAATCATGTAGTGCTCATATCGAAGTTGCATCAACATAAACATCCTGCACAAGAAGGCGTTCAGCGCGACCAACAATCGGACGAAGGTGAAAAAAGTACCATCAACTTGGCCAAAACTGATTCCTTTCAGACTATATCAAATGATAAAGAAAATGAACATCTCCTTCATCAAACTACAAGGGCACTTTTTGAACAGCACGACCAACTCATAACGGCTACAGGAGCGGTTACTGTGCATGCTCTTCAAAGTTCAGCAAGTAGTGAAGTTCAAGGGACCCATACCCATATTACGAATTCCTTAGATTCTATTCCTATCACTACTTCTGCTATTTCGACTTCGACAGCTGTCACTGGTGATGCAGTCTCCCCAGTTGTTAGTCCCATTATTACTAGGTTAACAACATTTGATCCTGCAATGGCACCAGTAGTAGCTACGACTTCTAACACAGCCAGTGCGACGGACTCTTCAGACGTCGTATCGTCTTTGGCAACTTCTTCATCGTCAGCAGCAGCATTGGCGCCTATTTCAGTCTCAAAGGGACCATCCAACGTTCTTGTCAATAACAGAAACGATGTGATTAGTCCAACGAATGATCCACCAATTATCAACTCATTAGGTTTGGATATTAACAATAGATTTGAAAAGTGCCCAACTATAATCAAATGGCCAGCCAATGAATGGGAGACGTGGCTAGAACAAGAAAAAACACATTGTAGATGGAATCTGATCCGGCACCGTTACCGGGATAAGCAAGGTGACGGCAAAAAAAAAAAAAAAAAAAAAAAAAAAAAAACAGTGATCGAGACACGTTGGTCATGTTTGGCGAGCTGACTACTGACTGACGATCTTATAAACATGTAAATGCTATGAGCAGTGTTTGCGCGGGGTCCAACTGCAAGTGAATGGACGCGCGAGTACCATTGTGATCATGCAGGACAATATCGTGATCGCAAAAACCCTAATATTGATCCCAGTAAGAAACGCAAGAGAACCGGAAGTATTAAATGTAACTGTCCGGCTTTTATCAAGATGCGCAAGAGTTTTTCCGATGATGACGTGGTGATAGAGTACTACTGGAAACATGAGGGGCATATACCAGATTTGATGGAGGATATTAAGGCCCAGAGACTGCCGCAAGATCTCAAGGCATGGATAAAACGGCGCGTCAATGAAGGCCATGACTGGAAGTCCGTAAAGGGCATGATGACACAGAATTCACCTTTGCTCGACGAGGTAGATGCTTTCTTTATTTTTTATATGAAAATATCTGTATAAATAATCAAAAAAAAAAAAAAAAAAAAAAAAAAAAAAGGAAGAAAGAAAAAGAAAGAAGAAAGAAAAAGAAAGAAGAAAGAAAAAGAAGGAAGAAAGAAAAAGAAGGAAGGAAGAAAGAGAAGGAAGGAAGGAAAGAGAGGGTATAAAAGAGAAGATTGGTGTGGCAGGAAGGTAAAGACAGTTCTGTTTGTTATTGAAACTAACATAACTGCGTTCTGGGGCGACTAATCCTGTTCAATAATAGCTGCATCCAACCACCAAGGCAAACGTTAGGTTGCTCCTACAGGCCAGTTATGCTCAACATGCCAATACTTTGCGTCAAATGAAGAGCAAGCAGCACAGTGGTAGTAGTAGTAAGCGGTCTTCAGGAGCAAGTAGCCCTATAGGAGAAGCGAGTAACGGCAACAATACAAACATTATCACTTCCACACCACGGAAAATAGCGATTGCACCGCGCCCTATATCATCATCCATAACATCAGGACAGGGCAGCGCACAAACAACATGGCAGTTTGATTCAAACGGCAGCTCTGTTCAGCAACATGAACAATTAAATGGCACAGCCACCGACAATCAAACGTTAGCTGTGCATAGGTTAGTTCCGAATCAAGTTTCTAAAGACAAAGAAATGACAGTATCAGAGACAACCCAGCACCAACAAGACAATTCACCACGGTCAGTACAAGCACTGTATCCGAATCAACAACCTCGAGACATGATGCTTCAGATGCTGCGTGCAATTGCAGATTTACAGAAGGAAATGGAAGCAAACGAAGAGTACGTGTCACAGGAGGATGCTAACCATATCATTGAATCCTTTGCACTACCAATCCGACTGATGAAGGAGGCGCTTGAGCGAAGGGTTGGTAGCCGTTAAAAAAAAAGAAAATAAAAATAAAAATAAAAATAACAATGTCAGACATTTTGGAAATTATGATGTTTCATAAGTCTTAATGTGCACTCTCTCCCTACTTTCTGCTTTTAATCCTCCAATCTAAGCTTCCGCAAAGCCATCCTTTACTCAGTAATTCATGTCATGCTTCGGTTTATTCCTGACATCCGAACGTCATGGATATGTGGAACTATGATCGCTTACGCTTTTTTCCATCCATTAGTCTGAGACAATAACTGTGGCCATAACTACAGACCTCATCTAAAATAGCTAAGATCGGGCGCTAAACCATCAATAAGAGTAGTAAAAATTATTTCGCCACACGAAAGTCTGCCTGATGTCCGTGGTACAACCTTAAATAAGATCGGCTACACGTTCAAAAGCGTACAGCGACGTATATGTAGCAGAAAGCTACCGAACTCAAGAATAGTAAAGATAATAGCATACAATATCAACTTAAATTCATTTAGGAACAGTAGCCTGAGATTTATCAAGCGAAATATGGTAAGCAAGGATGGGAGATGGGACTGATCGGGTAGAGCTATAGGAGAGATGCAAGTGTTGAAAAGTGAAAGAGACGAAAATAAAAATGAGAGAGGAACAGACGGAGCAATAGAATCCTAAGCAGGTAGTGGAAACATAGAAAAAGGTGCAGAGTGCAGAAACAGAAGGGGTTTAGAGAAGGCCAAGGAGAAATCTGACATTGGTGGCGATGAAAGCCTCATCTCAATTGAGGTGGAGTTCAATAAATGGTTATGATGAAGAAGAGGGTGAAGAAGCCGAAATAACCGGTGGAGACGATATGCGCGAAAAAGAAAGGAAGGTGTGTTCAGTGGAGACACGAAAAGGCCTAGAGGACAAAGATGATTTTCAATGCAAACCGTGCATATTCAAACATGCCGATCGAATGTTTCTTGTGCCCATGGACTTTTTTTTACTACATGAATGGAATATACACGATAAATGTCCCTTTTCACGTGGAAGTCAGTCTGTGTAATAAGGTTCATCTTGACATATCTGCGACTGTTACTCAACCACAGACACGCGCACAATCTAAACAGTGATGATGACTGGGTGATGGATAGAAGTTCCCGCCTGCCCTCTCAATCAAGTATCAGAGGTACAATGCAAGAAAGTAAGCAAATGCGCAAGTAGGCAAGCAAGGAAGCAGGCAAGCAAAAGAATACATGTTAAAAAACACATTGCTTTGTCAACAAATGTTTTTGAGACTATTACATGGCATGGCATGCAATTAGGATTTTGATGTGAGGAATAAAGGTTTGTCATGGGTGATGTTATTCCTTTTTTGCCTCGTGTGTGTGTGGTTTATTAGTATTTTTTATTTTTTACTTTTTTCACGCTTCACACTTTTTGTTTGTCATTCCTCCTCATCTCTTCCTCTCTCTCTCTCTCTCTCTTTTTTTTTTGTCTCTCGGCTTTAAAAAATCGAAAAAGTATTCCTCTTGTTTCACTTACGCTGCTGGAGGATTTACTGCTCTCCACTCTTTCTCTTTCTGTCTTTCCATCAAGGACCTTGCATTCTCTTTACATTTTTATTACAACTGTTAATTCTCATCGGACCTAAGAGAACCAATCCATAAGCAACATGGCAGTGCAATCAAAGGACCTGCCTCAGCAGATCAACTCAGTTTTGGATTCAATCCACTCAAAAAAATCTAGCTCCGCACGTCCTCTTCCTGCTGTTGCTCTTGTTGGCTTCATTGCCATTGTTGTCGGTCGCTATCTGAGCAACAAACAGGCCAAGGAGAAGAAGGCTGCTGCTGCTTCAAAAGCATCAGCATCTACTTCCGCAACACAGGATAAGGGCATTTTGAAGGGCAGAGTTCAGGCACCCAAGAAATCAATCAAGTATACCTCTGAGGCGACTATTGAACGCAACCGCAAATACTTCCCACCTTCAAAAGTCGCCTCTGCAGGATCGTCCGCTAGTTCTGTAAAGTCTTCAGTCAAGGTTGGCGTGAACAAAGAGTTCTTCCGTCAGATCGAGGCTATTTTCAAGATCCTGATCCCCAAACTGCGGTGCAAAGAAAGTTTCATTTTGGTCTTACACACCACATTCTTGGTCCTGAGAACTTATCTTAGTGTCGTGGTCGCTCGTCTTGATGGAGCCATTGTCAAGGATTTGGTGAGTATTTAGTGCATGATCATGCATATATCTTTTCCATAATGTTCAGAAGCTAATCTGTTGCTCTATTCTAATTTATTTTATTTCATTATTTTATTTCATGTCCTCGACAAAAAGATTGCCGGCAATGGCAAGGGATTTATCCGGGGCCTTGGTTATTGGTTTGCCATTGCCCTGCCAGCCACATACACTAACAGCATGGTAATGGATTTATCACGTACTTCTCAAATCAGCTATGTTGCACAAGATATATAGAGTACTTACCCTAAGAAGCAAGATGAACAAGAGTCCACACAAACAATGTCAACCGTTACAAAGAGTATGGTCTAACTCAGCTGCCAACAATTCATTTGGTTGACACCTATAGATCCGGTACTTGCAATCTAAGCTCTCCATTGCTTTCCGAACTCGATTGACACGTTACGTCCATGACTTATATCTCAACGATCAGATCACATATTACAAGGCTCTTAACTTGGATGACCGTATCGAGGGAGTCGACCAATACATCACCACCGATATCGCAAAGTTCTGCGACTCTCTTGCTGGATTGTATTCAAATCTAGGCAAGCCCCTCTTGGACACCATCATTTTTAATTACCAACTGATGCGCTCAATCGGTGTCTCTGGTATGGGTGGCCTCTTCGTATCCTACGTTGTTACGGCTTTCTTGCTTCGCATGGTCACGCCTGCTTTTGGTAAATTGGCTGCTGTAGAAGCCAAATTGGAGGTATATAAACACCTAGGATTAAAACTTGCTATCTTTTTTACTACTGTCAAAGAGTTACTCAATTTATTATTTATTTTCCTCTTCGTCATCAAAAGGGCGACTTCCGCTCTGCTCATACACGTCTGATTACCAACGCTGAGGAAATTGCATTCTATAATGGAGCAGAGCTTGAGCATTCGATCTTGACCAAGACTTACAAGCGTTTAATTCGCCACATCAACTCGATTTACAAGATCCGTATTGCTTACAACATGTTTGAGGACTTCATCATCAAATACTGTTGGTCAGCTGTCGGTTTAACCTTGTGCGCTCTGCCTGTTTTCTTTCCTGCGCTTGGAGGCGTCGATTCTGCCAAGAATGTTTCCAGTGGGGACCAAGCTGTGGGTGCTCGAACTAAGGGCTTTATTACTAGCAAGCGGTAATGACCCTCCCCCCCCCTAAATCAATTTTATTCCGACATCTCTATGTAGTTTTTAAAAGGTCCACTTGCTAATCACTTCTTGTTTATATCTTCCTTAATTCAGCCTGATGATGTCCTTAGCAGATGCTGGTGGGCGTATGATGTACTCTTACAAGGAGATGTCCGAGCTGGCTGGTTCAACACTCCGCGTTTACAACTTGATCTCGGTTCTGCATCAGCTTCATGCTGATAACTATGAGCCTGCCTCAGCTGAAGGTAGCGATGATTCTAAGGGAGAGCGTTATACACTTGACGACATCCGTGGCATCATCGGCTACGGATATGAAGGCATTAAATTTGTGAATGTCCCTATCGTGACGCCCTCGCCTGGAAATTCAAACGGTGGCGAGGAGCTTGTTCGTGATCTGAGCGTTGACATCAAGCCTGGTGACCATATGCTAGTGACTGGACCCAATGGCGTGGGCAAGACTGGATTTGCCCGTGTAATCAGCGGACTCTGGCCTGTGTTCCGTGGCCAAATCCAGCGACCCGCTCCTAAAGATATCTTTTACATTCCTCAACGAGCTTATCTCTCGATTGGTTCACTCCGAGACCAAGTCATCTACCCACACTCTCATGCTGATATGATCAAGGCTGGTAGGACTGATGAGGAATTGATGACCATCCTGAAGCATGTCCATCTTGCATATATTCCTGACCGTGAGGGAGGCTGGGATACTGTCAAAGAATGGAAAGATGTCTTTTCTGGTGGAGAGAAGCAAAGAGTAAGCTTTTTTTTTATGTCGTACAAAGGAAACCCATGGAAGTAAATCAGTTATTAATAGTTCCTGTTTGCTATTATTTTGACATCAGATGAATTTGGCAAGGTTATTCTATCACAAACCCAAGTTCGCCATCTTGGACGAGTGCACCTCTGCCGTCAGCTCTGATGTTGAAGGCCTCATGTACAACCATGCAAAAGATATCGGTATAACGCTGATCACCATTTCCCATAGACCTGCATTATTCAAGTATCATCTACATCTGCTTAAATTCACAGGTGATCACGGTCATTGGGAATTTTCAACTATCGGAACTGCAGAGGAGCGCCAATCGCTCGAGAAGGAGATGGCATCTTTGCAAGCGAAGCTTGACGAGGTAGAGCAGCTTAAGGAACGTCATGCAGAGATTCAGAAGGAGCTTGAGGTTGGACTAAATGCTGGTCCTCAAGATGGAGTGAAGGTTCAGAAACGCGGTCTGTTTTAGAGATGCTTGGGAATAAATCTTGTTGTCTCTCTTTTTATTTATTTTCGCCATAAATGATGGTCTCTTGTTGTCTACAATCCAGTTTCAATTTTATTCCTATTACACTTTTTCCAGTCCATACTCAATAAATCTCTATCATTCCTTATTTTGCAGATAGCTCGGCTCCAATACGGTATGTTAGAATCTAAAATAATGATAACAATAATAAAATAAGTTTTTTTTTTTTTTTTTTTTTTTTTTTTTTTCTTTTGTTAAGACCTTTCCAGACAGGAATACAATGTTTACCTTGTTCCAGTCAAGCTTTGAGCGTGTCATTGGCAATGCACGACGAAGGCCATTAAACGTGTTCTCGGCCATTTCGTGGTAACTCTCGTTCAAAGCGGTCTGATACTTCAATTCAGCTGTAGCAATTAGATCTAGCAATGCCCTTGATACAGCAGTGTTCTGGACAAATTGAAATAGTAAGGAAAGAAAATGTAAGATAAATTTTCAGCAATTGATATTTATGAAAACCTCCATCTTCTTCTCCAAAGACATACAGGATCAGCTGAGGTCTTGGAAAGCTTTTCGTCGATTTCTTTTGATGTCTCCAGTTGAACATTTCCATCTTCATAATAATGGACCTTGCATTTCAAGGTGCCCTTCACTTGGCTCGTTGTTGTCTCCAACTGCCAAATTGATCTCCACCGTCCGTTCCAGAAGTTGGATGGACTGTACTTGTTATGGACAATTGCAATTGTAATTTTGCCATTGGATCCATAAACAGCTGAGACTCCTTCTGCATACCGGTCAGCCATATAATCTTCTGTATCCTTTTCAATCGTCTTGCGAAGTTCTTCGATCCCTTCGTCTACGGTGTGGTCTTGAACATCTGAAGCAACCTATAGAAACCCGTCCCGTCCAAGCAAAAAAAAAAAAAAAAAAAAAAAAATCAGACTTTACATTGAATGTATCGTAATAAAGTTCAAGAAGGGGACTCCTCTACACCAAATTACCTGACGAAAGTGATCCAGTTTAAAGACTTTGTTGGTTTTTGGGTGTAAGAATCGATCGCTTTCAATCTGTCCGTGCTTGGAAACAATAGCCTATACAACGATACAATGGAGAAGATAGACAGGGAAAAAAACTAAGGAGTCAATAATAATTTTCAACGTAAGAGAGGAGGAAAAGCAAAAATATAATAAGCTTGCCTTCCCCTCGATACCAGGTACGTCGACAGTAGCCAATTCCTCGGTGTTGTATTCCTCAAGCGCATTCAAGATACCTCCATCTAATAATTCATCATCTCCAACCAACCCACGAACATCTGTTCAACGCGTCATAACATTGGCGCCCCAAGATATCAAGTTAGAAAAGAAGTAAAGAAATAAAAAATGGAAATGAAAGGAGAGCGGCAGAAACAACTTACCATTGAATACGTCGTTGATTTCACCTATTTCAAAAAAGATACAGGTGGTGTTTAAAAAAGAAAAAAAAAAAAAAAAAGAGCGCGAGTCAGGTTGATACATTCTTTAATAATTTCTATTGACCAGTAACTTCCAGAAAGGAGCAACAATTTGGTAACCTGGAGGGGCAGCTTTCAAGAAACTCGAGGCAATCGAAATCTTTTCTTCAACAGTTGCCATTTGCGTTAAATGTGAATGAGTCAGAGCAGATGAAAAATAAAAAAATGGTTTAACTCCACATCTATCATTAATAACACGTCATCAACGTGGCTGTGCTAATTCCAAAAGCGCGTTTGCTCTAGACTAAATTTCTATGAATTTACCAAGTGGCCGTTACTTAAGGAATGATGCTTGACGTTTGGCGCGCACTGTATACCTGCTTTTCATCCATAAACACTCCCCATACCTGTCAATCGGTTACAGATAGCGAGGTATTTGTTGCTAAATTAGAAAGTTGCGGGTGATGTTGGCTACGTTGCGGCCAATGATCACACCTTTGTGTAGTCTAAGAATGTCTAACGCTTGGAAGCGATGAAGCCAACAAAGGCCAGAAACGCCTTGAAGACATAATATTTGCTCAAGCCGATAGCAATATATCCAAAGAACTTGATCCGGGAGAAGTGTGAATATCAGCTAGCAGCAGTAAAAAATTATTTCTTAAAGCTATATCTTCTTACCATAGACATGTAGAACTAGCAGCAATTGCATGCTAGCAACCTTTTGGGAGCATAGTTCCGGCCTTAGAGAGCCTGATATACATGGCAAAAGAGGCATGCCAGTCGATCGTGTCATTTATTTTGCTGCAAATACCGTTGGTAAAGCTTTTAAGGGTACAATTCCCTCATGTCAATAAAGGCGTACAAGTTGCAACTCTCACAATACAAAATGGTTAGAAAAGCGAAGGCATTGGCACTCGATTTAGATGGTGCAAAGCTAGGACAGTGGCGGCCGAGCTAAGAGAAAGATATGTAGAAAGATTGTAGTTAACAACTAAGGCATAAGAGCGATATACTTGCGCTTGCTATCCCCTACGGCTGATAGTCAAATGCTTTTCTACACCAAGGAAAGAGACTCCATTGGTATAGACTAAGAACCGCCGTTCTTCTACCTTGTTCGTGCTTTGATCATGACAAGCATAGAATGTTTTGCAAACATATGTGTCTGTCAGAGAAGTCCACGATGGATTCAACGTCAAAGGTAATGCTGGTCCTGTACGCACTTAGCCTGATTAGGCCTCAAAACACAATCGATATCATTAATCATTTCGAACAGACTCTCGAAGCACCCTCTTACCATCTTTGCTACGACAACTATAAATAGTAAGAGATGAATAGAAGAAAAAAAAAAGAAGGAGAAGAGGAAGCAACTGGTGAGTAATCTAGGCATAGTAATAACGAAGTGATGGACTCGCGGAAGAGACTGGGCCATTTTATGATTAATGCGAGCATGACATGATCCCAACTTAAGGAAAAGCAACAGATCTACAATATAGTCAAAGCCAGCTAATGTTAGATTAGTCAATTTCGCACCCTTGCGGTATGCCACCAGTATGCCGGTAGTTAGCGGTACATACAAATGTAATGATGGTAATCAAGAAACGGGGACTAGGGTGGAGTGCTTAAAATGCTATTTTTGTGTGTTGCTTTCCTTTTTAGTTCGTAATTGACTTTATCAGTAGACATGAACCGCCAGTAGAAACAAAAGATAGAAAGCAAGAGATACTGGCACGTCGGCGGTACACACATCAGGAAGCGCAGATAGGCTAAGGTAAAAAAAAAAAAAAAAAAAAAAAAGGTCATCCATCTATGATAACAGACAAAATACTTCAAGACTGTAGAATATTGCTTCGTTCAATCAATGACAAAAGATCAAAATGCAATATGATTTTGCGCAATGAGCTTTGATGCACCACCGGATATTATGCTGTATCTGTCAGAGCCAATAATGCTCTACGGATTATATTAACAATCTAGACGTATGCTTTCAAATATTTGGTACAAAAAACTGCCGCCTTTTGATATCCTTGAAGTAGAGCAACAGTATCATCAAACTGGTATCAGGTATGTTTACTGAACCCACAAACAAAAGGGATCTTTATTTTGTTATTTTTCTTCACTTCTTCTTTAGATGGCAGCAGCACGACGGCGATCACGCTCCTCAGCAATGGTGAGTTTAACACCCTTGTTCTTGGGAAGAGAGACCCAAGGCTTATTGCCTTCACCAAGGACGAAAACGTTGGAGACACGGGTAGCGAATTGACGGTCGAGAACATCCTTGATGTGGATAATATCGAAACCTCCAATGTGACGTTCACGGTGAGTGATGACACCGACACGACCGGTGTTACGACCACCAGTAACCATGGCAACGTTACCAACTTCGAACTTGACGAATTCGTTGAACTTGCCAGTCTCAAGGTCAAGCTTGATAGTGTCGTTGACCTTGATCAAAGGATCAGGGTAACGAAGGGTACGACCATCGTGAGTGACGACAAAAGGAATGCCCTTGGCACCGAGCTGAACCTTCTTGACCTTGCACAATTTGTACTTGGCCTCCTCAGCAGTGATACGGTGGACAGTGAAACGACCCTTGGTATCATAGACAAGACGGAAGTTCTCGCCAGTCTTCTCAATAGTGATCACATCCATGAAACCGGCGGGGAAGGTGGTGTCGGTGCGGACCTTGCCGTCAACCTTGACGAAACGCTGCATAAGGATGGACAAGACCTCCTTGCCGTTGAGAGCGTACTTGAGACGGTTACGCATCAAGATAACAAGAGGCAAGCACTCACGGAGCTTGTGAGGGCCAGCCGAGGGTCTGGGAGCCTATAAAATCAAGGTTTTCCATAAAGACAAAGAAATATATTAATATAAAAAGTGCATAAAAATAAATAAAGAGACAGCGAGTCTTTTTTTTTTTTTTTTTTTTTTTTTTTGGTAACAAATGAAATAAAAAATTGACGTTGTAGTTGTTTAAAAATAATTGCAAATCTCTCAACGAAAAGCCAGACCATTGGCGTTTCAAGGGAAACAGATCGTGTGAAGATAATGATAATAATAGCAATAGCAGTATGTTCTGTGTAACGCCTGAATGCTGATCATGTTGCTACCGCCTATTATTTATCCTGCTCCAAGCCAGTACGTCACAAGCATTCATGTTCCCGAGATACAAGATCCAAGTATCTATTCTGATGAAGGTACGCTCTGACCCCCTCAAATATCCTAAATGTTGCCATACGACGCTGAAATAATTGGAATGTCCAACTACTTTGTCCTTCTTATAAAATTTTAAAGATTCATAGGAAGCACATCTTTAAATGGCTTTCCAGATAAAAAAAGGAAAAGACAGAGTCCTGATCGCGGTCCTGATCCTGTGCCTTAAAAATGCCTCTATTTGAACAAGTTCATATTAGGACGCGAGTCTCGGCGGAGCTGTCTCAATACCCTCTCGGTGTTGTCTTTTTAATGGCAGATTGTTCCAAGCGTTGAGTGAAATGGCGAAAAAGAATGAATCACTTCAAGTTGTATGTCTTTTGCTGATATCCCTCGTGACCACACTGATTCCCGCAAAAAAAAAAAAAAAAAAAAAAAAAAAAAAAAAGGGTGATGGGAGAAAGTAAGGGTAAAAAATACAGCCGTAAACATACATAGGTGCCGGTGAGCTTGTCCAGCATCCAGTGCTTGGGAGCATTGAGGCGCTTCAAGTGCTTTTTGGGTCCGCGAGCCTATTGTCAGCAACAAAAAAAGTAAATGGACAATCCATCGTAATCCCTGTTAGATTTCCTTCACTTTTTTTAAAGGTGAACGAATGCAGCCAAATGTCATCCTTCTTTCTCTTTCTATCCTGTGTCATCGTCTGTTTCGAGATGATAAGTTATTGTCGGTTTGATGAACCAGAGTACTGTTATTTAAATACATTAATAGCTTTATTCCATTCCTGCAATTCCGATCAGATAACATCTCTATTTTCCAGCTCGTCCATTGCCATCCGAGTTCATCTCTTGAATGCTCCAGTGTGATCGATAACTCATTTTTTACAGTTTCAAATCCACAGAATACAGTAGTGGATGTCGATAGATAGGTACCGATGTCAACGGTTGAAGTTATGAATGATTATGATATTCGATGGATACTATGGCGCCTCCATGTACATCCATCTACCCTAGTCTTTCGCATTGCTTCTTCGGATTGATCACTGACAGTCACAAACCATTTTTTCTGCAGATGTTAAAGGGAGGTTCACAAACTAATCGATTAGTGCCTCTTTTACTTCAATGCAAAGAGGCTTAGCCTTTCATTTTTTTTTTTTTTTTGCTTTACACAAAACTCTAAATATTACGAAACAGACACTGTGTCTGGGCGTCTTGATTCTGGATAATAAGTCAATGGAGCTGTGTCTTGAGACGCGAGCATAGGACTAGAGCCAGACTGCATGGGATGCATCTGGAAGCTACTTGAAGCTTGAGCTTCACTCTGGAGGTAAAGAGAACCTGCTCCTGCGTCCTCTTTCCCTTCAACCTCATCATCAGACCAGTCCAACTCTTCGTCAAAGCCGCCCCCGATCATGCTCTCCTCGTCATACTCAGCATCGTCTCTCATAGGCAGGCCATTAAAAGATACATTTTGTGGTGATTCGTGGGCAATATTCTTGCTTGGGGGCCGAGCATGTGAATTAGAGTTACTGTCCTGCTGTGGTACAATATACTCGTATCCTTCAACTCTTGTTTCCAGAATCAAACCATCACTATGCGACTTGGTATTCTGGCTAGAGTTTTCTTTAGCCTCCAAGGAATGAGTCGACATCTGGTCATGGGTCTGCCTAGCTTCTACTACACCTTGCTGAATCTGCGATGACTGCTGTACTTGCTGCTGCTGCTGTAGCTCTAGCTGCTGTTGTTGCTGTTGGATCACACCCAAATACCAAAACATCATGTTAGAGATCAACACTTGTTCATGCAATGGCCTTCGGGGATCTGCTAGTTTAATATGTGACATCTTGTAGATTGCTCGCTCGATGTGGATCGGCATGCGGCAAGGATCACTCAAGTAGCTTTCCTTCGGCGAGTGTCCAATCATTCCATTGGGTGGAGAAGAAACGTAAGTTGTGGAGCCGGTTGCCTGGACTTTAGATGGTGCCTTGCTATTACGTGAGAAGAGCAGCGAGAAAGTAGATTGTTTTTTAATAGTCTCCGTAGAAGTAGCACTGTTATTACTCGGTTGCTGTTGAGCAAATGAATTTTGATTTGAGCGCTGCTCCGCTTCCATGGACTTTTCGCTTCCTTTCTCTTTTGCCCAGAACCGGGACCATGATGAGGATTTTTTGACTTGAGATGGTGCTGTTGAGATTGATTGTTTTTGTATAGTTACAGTATGCTTTTGTGTGGATGAGACTGGCGAGGGGGATATTTTGGATGATGACAGAGGTTGTTGTTGAAGCAAGTTTTGGTTTAGTTTCACAGGGGGAGGGATCGGGTATGAAATTTTTGAGACGACAGCACTTTCAACACTCAAAGTGGTGCTTTTCTCGACAGACCTCACAGCATTAGCTTGGACTTGTTTGGATGAGTCCGCTGAGACAGTGAGAGAAGCGAGGTTAGGAGCGCTAGATGTGGACATCGATGAACGTAATGCTTCCTCGATCTCCTTTTGACGTTGTTCCAAGAGCTGTGGCTCCACATACGTCGTTATAGTGGGTTTGGAGGGGTCGCGGAGTGTTGAGACAAACCGCTTTATTGGCTTTGGGCCTGATGGCTCTGCTCGTACAGCCAGACCGTTGTTATTGATGGTTGGAGATGCAGCAATTGTGCTTGTCACTGGGGTTGAGAGAGCTGTTGCAGTGGCCACCTCAGGGGATATTGACGTGAAAGATGATGAAGGCAATGGCAATGGTCCAGGATCAACAAGTGTCACAGCGGGATAATCGCCATTTTCAATCACTGATGGTCGTAACCGCGATGTATCGTTCTTGCTTTCACTTGATGTTGTAGAATTCCTACGAATTTTGGTTCGCGCGCTCCTTCTCAACAAAGAGAGCCCGTGCCTAGTCAGGGCACTTCCGCGCTTCACGGTTGCAAGGTCTTCGGCTGCCATGTCCATAGTATTCTCAGCTATCGCATCGAATCCAGGCTCATCACCTGTTTAACCACATGAATACAGATTAGTTATCTGCGAAACTTGATCGTATGCTGGCTAGAAAGTAAAACCTACTCGATATATTTCGACATACCTTTGCGAGGAGATGCTTGCGTATGACTGGAGGACCTTCTTAATAAGGCCTTTGTTTTCAAAGGCGGCTCTCCCATATTCTCTAATGGAACAGAGAAAATACCAGAGAGGAAATCTTGCCCCTTATTTTTTCCAGTGACATCTTTATTCATCTGACGGCTGCTTAATTTTTTCTTGAGTTTATCGCTCGTCTGTTTTTCATCCTCATCGTCTTCCCCAGGATTATATTGGGAAGAAAGCACAGATTTACGACGGTTAAGAGATGCTTTCCTGGCAGATAACAAACCACCATTGCCACTCGAGTCTACACCATGTTTCAATAGCCACTTGTTATATTCATTGGGTGCAATCTCAGGATGCATATGGAACGGGACCTAGTACGTCATTTAATTTATTAAGGTTAATTTTAGGGAGAACAAATGACAAATTCGTCAACTAATCCTATGAAATGCCTTAGTGCAGTCATGTCTGTGAAAAGTGGTTTTTGACACCCAGACTAACATGGCTTGACACTAAAATTCATACCAAAATTCTCTGCTGTACGTGATTACTGTATTTCAATATGGTCTTTTGCTTACCCAGAACAGATGAGAAGGGTCTTCGGCTTCTATCTGAACCCCCTTGATAGCATCCTGACTCACGGTCTGATCAAGCTTCAAGACGTCAGAGGCTGCAGCTTGATTAAGGAGATTTATAGGTTTAACTGGTAAAATGGAAGTAGAAGTGGAAGGAGAGGCAGCAAGGACTGTATCATTGACTGAAGTCTTGGCCGCTACGTCTCCATTCGCCTCCTCTGGTGAGGTGGCTGTCAAATAAGGGGAAGACATAGATAATGTAGATGATGTTGAAGATGATGCTGATTCAAATACTGATGAAGAAGAAGTTGCAGAGGATGATGAGGATATGGAAGATGCGGACAAAGTCTTTTTCTTGGATCCTGTCATACTCTTGATGTTGTCACAGTCGCTGGTTCTACTGATAGGGGTATCGGCTAGTATGGGCGATGTGTCTGGATTCCGTTCATAAATAAATTTCCATCCAGGGTTCTCTGATGTATCTACTAATGAAAGCGCTTTGAAATCATAAACACCGTCTTTGCTTTATCAATCGAGAATATGCCACCAAAGTGCGTCGTGAGCTAGATATTCCAATGAAGTTGAGCATGATGCAATGGATGCGTTAGACCAGCATTTATTCAGGGGGAAAAAGGCCATCTCGGTTGTTTTCTTGCACAGTATGAGCTCCTTTCATATCATAAACAAAAAGTAGGGAGATGCAAATGCATTGGTGAATGGGCCAAAAACAATGATGTATATCAATCTTCCCACAGTTCCAGATGTCTTCCTTTCCCCTGTTTTCGATGTGATTAGAGCACAGATTATCGATCCAACATTTGAATTATAGATGCTTGCATCACTGCCGCTTAAAAAAAAAAAAAAAAACCTAAAGGGTTCAAAATCTCCTCTTTTCACTTGCTTTCGATCATCCCCAGTTTACTTGAATTTAAAAATCGAAGAAAGTAGTGGTTTCAAAATGAGGAAGCAGTAAAGCATTATCTGCCAGACAGGTTCTTAATGAAAGGTTATCTAGGCCTGATGTCAACTGTTGACTGTACAAATGCTTCTTGTTCTAGTCGGTTTCTCCAACGTAGTGATAGTAAAACTTTTTTTTATCTGTGCAGCTGATCTGAGGAAAAATTCTTCCATGCATAACATAAACAAGATACTGCCATTCTTTCAATAGTTCGAGTTTGTTTGGGCTGTGAACAGGAGAAATAGGCCTAGTGGAAATGCATGATAGTTTTGATCGGATACAGCGTTCAGCACATCGCGGATATTATTTTGGAACTGCGGGAAAATGAAGAAAAAAAAAAATCGGACAAGGTGGGCAAAAGAAACGAGAAGTAAGAGACAAGAATTGCGATGACGAACATGACAGGATAGCCAATTGCTCTCGAAAAAAAGGTTTTATGACAAAAACAAGTGGGCTCGCGCGTGCGTTCCTTTTTTTTTTCTTTGTTTGTAAATGTAGTATAGCCTCTCTCACTCACACTCTCTCTTACTCCTGTTCATGTTATAGTCGCCAGACTGCTCGTCTTTTTTTCTTTCAAAGGATAAATAGGGAGGAGTGACATCGACAAGATAAATATGAAGTGAAAGTAGGCATCAGAGTTTACTCCTTCGGTTGGCAGCTTTATTCCTGTTTACCTCGAAGTGTTGTGTGCTGTGGTAGCAGAATTATTGAGTGCAGAAATTTGAAAGAGTGATGATTGATATCTTTCAAAAAAAAAAAAAAAAAAAAAAAAGAAAGTCTTGGACAAGAATGAATGATGGTGAATGGGGTAAGGAGAATGGACAGGGAACAAGTACAGCAGCTTACCCGAAGTGATGTTCTGGAGCCCTTAATGGAAAAGGACAGGGGTAAGGAAGAGAAGGATGGGCTTTGTTTTTTAGAAAGGTAAGGACGGGAGGAAAGTATTGCACCTGAACTGCAAATGCATGAAGTAAGCAAAATGACAGAAATGAGAACAGAGAACAATTGTTCAGTAAAAAAAGAGAAAGAGAAGAGCGGCGAGATAATAGAGAATAATGGAGAGAGAGAATGCAGGCTATTGAAACCATTGAAATAGGGGAAATAGGCAAATGTGCTAGTCCATGAACATGTACACAATTACAACCCAGTCGACACTTATATATCGCGCATTGCCCTGTTTCCTTTCAATGTTGACTTGTCATGTTTCTACTATTTATTACTATTATAATTTTCAGGCTGATAATCTGGCCTGGTCTAATGGACGGGTCGTTTGTGCCCTGCAAAATATGGCTGTTTCACTATGACGAAGGACCACTGTGGCGATACAATCGTACACCTAGTAGACAGACTGCAATCAATGCACCCGCAACACCCATCGCAGTCAGGTAACGCTTCATCCGAAGAGTACTCGAATTGGCGTCCAAGAATCCTGGCGGCGTGGCAATGGACGGACACATGGCTACTGCCGTCAGAATATTGAATATATCCGCCATCTGCCTGGACTTTACTGATATGCTTATAGGTGCGGCGAGTCCAAGGTTACGGCAGTATACATCAGGCTGAACCTCATGTCTTTGTAGAACCAAGTCCGAGTCGCTCTTGGTTGCTACAAACACACTCGGCATATGGTCCAAGTGATATTGTTTCTTTGAAATAAAACACACGCACGTAAAAAAAGAAAAAAGAAAAAAGTAAGCAAAACAGTAAACATTCAATACACCCACACATCCTCACATAATCGCCTATGAATAAAATGTCTACAGCAGGTACAGGTCCATGGGCACCTATGCTTGTGTAAGCAAAAATCCTTACCCTCAGATTAACTATATAGGAAAATGAATTCACATCGCTTGAGTCAAAAACGAAGCACAAGAGATCGCACTTGTCCAAACGTTTCTTATTCTGCAGTACTTCAGCTTCATGCTGTGTGCCGATTTCCTCCATCTTCATTTTTTTTTTTATACATTCACACACAAAAAAAAAAAAAAAAAAAGGATAAGGAATCGGTTATGTTATAAAAAAATAGGCAATTCAAAGAGTCAGTAAATCCATCCACTTTTGCTCATACCACTAAGTATTTTTCTGCTCCTTTGATCTCTACTGAATTGACGACTGCAAAAGGTCGAGCCGTAGGCTCGTACTGATCAGAGAAAGGTTTGTCTAAAAACCCACGAAGTAACGAAGTCTGAATGATAATGACGCGAAATAGATTAATTTTCAGTTCAAATAGCGATCTGATGACAAAGTGTTTCCGTATTTTTTACTTATTTGCTGTACCTTTCCAGATTTCGGAGCGCCGAAGACATAGCAGAGAAAAACATTCCTTTGGACTTTCCCTTTACGACGGTCGACTTTCCTTGGCCTGGTGACTTTGATAGCAGTTGTTGTGTCACCCTCAAATCCGAGATAAGCTAGATACCTCAATGTCAGCTGATAATCTAGCATGGTTGTCATACTATAGTTGTGGAGAAGGATACCCTTAGCCTATGTCGTTTAAGCATCTCAACAACATTAGATCTTCATGCATACTAATCCCATACCTCCACTGCGCCAAAAATCCTTGCAAAGTAACAGCTCCAAGTTCTGTCGTGATAGTCGTTTGCGGAAACGCAGTATGCGCCCAAGGGTTTCCAGGAGAGGTCCTAAACAAAGCCTCAAGCTCACTCTTTTTCAATGCACTATCTTTGTCCTTAAATTAAGGTATACAAATGTTCCCAACAATTAACAGAATAACTTCAGTCAGTTTTTTTTTTTTTTTTTTTTTTTTTTTTTTAAAAAAAAAAAAAGGACACATATCTCATCTGGCTCACCTTGTCAAACACTTGAAACAGCTCTGTGAAAAATTGATATCCTTTAGGGCTAAGTTCCACAGAGCAATCTGGAGGAATGTCAATCCTTGGACACAAAAAACTTTCCCGCAGAGTCAAGTCATCACCATATCCGAACTGTCGAAGAACAGTCCATGTAGTTTCTAGTCTACCGCGTTGAATAAAGAGTGTATGCAGAAAAAGAAATCCTGATTACAAAAAAAAAAAAAAAAAAAAAGCATCAGAAGGTTGCCATTTTGAAAAATGTCGTAGAGCTCCGAGTCGACAGATATATACCGATTTCCGTGAGACCAATATCATTGACTCCTTCCGGTTCATGTTCCTTCACAACCTCCTTAACAGCCTCCAGCTCTTGTAGTTGTAAAGGAGCATTGAAGCATTTTCTCTAGATGGCAGATTAAACCCAAAAGATCGATAGCTAATTAGATTCGAACATCCTGTACCACAAATATGAAATAAATTCTAGCACATGTGGGACAAAAAATTACCTGGAACTCGTTCAACTCATTGTCGTCTAAAACTCCATCCTTGTCAAGATCGCATAGGTTGAAAATCCTTTGTAGAGCATCAATGCATGCTGGCTTCAGCACATGTCCCCTCGAATCGTATAGAGGTGCTGTAGGATGAAGGACAGCCTTTTGTGCAAAGTAAAATACCTCCGACACATTCAACGGTTGCTTAGCAGAACACTCGACACACGTCTCAACTTCCTGAGGAGCCAAAATTCTCCATGTTAGCCAAAAGACGACAAATAGTTGGAAGCAGAAAGACATTTCGTAATAATTCGACGTGCATGCATGTTGAAAGTACCTTGAACTCGTTCATGATCGGCACAACTTCATCTTCTAGGCACTTATTGGATACATCGTCACCTCTTAAATCGATTTTGTTACCGACAAGGACCACAGGTACCTATGTCGTACAATTATTCGAAGATTGGTCCGTATTAGTCCAACAAGTTGCAGAATACACATGTATTCAGGAGTAGATACACATTCTGTCCTCTTCTTTCCAGCAGCTTATTCCTGCCTTGCTATTCTCTGCTGTCTCTTACATTGACGCCTAAAGATCGAATATATGGAAGCCAGTGACCACTCAATCGGTTGAACGTGACGGGCTCATCAATGGCATACACAATGCAGATAACGTGCGCCTTCCTGATTTCTGACTCTAATGTGTCTCTGTATTCCGGCCGCGCTGAACGTAATTAGAATATGTCAAAGACAATCGATAGGTTAGGGTGATAAGATATAAGCTATTGACTAACAAGAGAGTACATTCAGCTACAGGAGCATACTTGACGTGTCAACAATGTGCGTTGTCACATTATCGGGTGTGACCTCAGGTGGAATGGTTACCTCCGGAATGACATGTTGGACCTATTTGAAGACATACATGACCACGATTAATTCAAAAGCACCCTCAGAAGTTTTGGAATCATCCATCTGTCAGAATACTTAAATAGTTCCTGGTTTTATCCATACGTTGGCAACATACGACTCTTTAATGAGGCTGGTGATCAGGGTACTTTTTCCGACACCATCTAAATAAGAAATGAATTGTTGATGAGACAATTCGCTGGACATGTTTTTGACTTCTTTTTTTTTTTTATTTTTTTTTATTTTCCGTTTTAAGTGGGAAATCGTGTTGCATTTTATTGCTACAAAGTATTGTATTACCGTCGCCCAAGAGAAGAATGCGAACGTCTCTTCTCATTTCTCAATTGTCTATTCTTCAATTGGAGGTCGCAAAAGGACAGAATGTTTGGTCAATGAATTTAAACGGACACAGAAATAAAAAAGATTGGGCAGTAATGATCACATGATATTTTTTACAAAAAGAGCAATTCTAGTCAGATTCTTCCGCTGCATCAACGTCCAAAGTGTCTTGTGCGAGGTTGGCCTCAAGATCTGCCTTTTCGTGGCTGGCCAGTTTCAGTGCGAGTTGCTCCGTTAAAGTGAAGGATCTCGAGTTACGTCGTGATGAACGATGCTTCATGAAGGCGCCTACAGCTCCAAGATATCCCTCGTGACGGAGAAACAGGGCTTTGATGGCGCCCTTTGACCAAAAGTTGATTGCATATGATAGAGTGTTCATGGTGATGGGGTGACCTAACATGAGTCAGGGAATGATTTCAAATAAGTAAGTTAATGTTCGACTGCAGTCCCTCCCAAGCCCCGATATGAAGTGACATCCGGTTGTTATTACCTCGAATAAAACATCCACCAAAGTAAATATGCTTAAGCCCGTGTGCCTGAGCATTCAGATATGCAATCTGACCAATATTGTTGCTATAGTGAAATTAGGAGTTGACGTTTCAATGTCAAAGAATGAACATTAAAGAGTTTTTGCAGTAGATGATGGCAGAGCTTCTTACCTAACCATGTACAGCAGTGATCGTGAAATGTCCTCAGGTCTAAATTGACGTTTATCTACGTTCTTCTTGAAAACTTTACCCATTGAAGAGGCGATTGTTGTGGATTTTAGCCCAATCTTTGAGTAATCAGCGCCGTAAATATCTCCTACCAACATGTCGACGTTCTTGTTATCTCCTTCCTGGCTAGCCTCTAGCATTTCTGATTACAAAAGTGTACCAATGTGTTAAAATGCAGCTGCCAGTATACATTTATACTGCAGAATGGTGTATATCTCCATAGAAAATAGCCAACCATCAAATGTCTTGGCTCCGGTCAACAATGATAATAAACCCCAAAGGGTTCCTCCACCTAACTGTGCAAATAGAAAAGCAAAATCACATTAGATCACCAGTCGCCCACTGTATGGGCATGCTGAGGTAATGATTCAGCATGATAAGCCTACCGACGTTCCACTGATTCTCTCAAACGAATTTGTTCCTGTCACTTTTAAAATGCTATGGGGATACATGAGTTTAGAGGATAGCATGCCTAGATCAGTTCATGCCAATAATCTTTGAAGTCTGAGGGAGTGGTTTTCAGATGTTAAAGCCGTACCTGACTCCAGATCCGATATTGACAAGCTATGAACACGCAGGAAATATCAGAGATTAATAAAGCCCTTGGCAGCATTACTCTCCAAACGTAAGAGTCCTATATTCTTAATTTTTAATACACATACCATGTATGGGAAAGGATCGGCCGGAGTTTCCTCAAAACACATTGGATTAGCTTCACTATAAGTGAAGACCTCAAAGGGGATTTCTGTGATTAAGAAGTTGAGACCTGTAGGGCAATCATAAAAAGATTTTCGATGAGGTCAATGCCCAACATGACATCGAATAAAAATAGCTTGATCTATCACTTTACCAGTGATCAAACATTCCATTTCATCCTCTCGTTCAATCGTCACTTTGAGAGCGTCCCTGAACCTTTCATAATACAAGTGGGCTCCACCTCCTGTGGCCTTGATAACAAACTCATGTCCTGGTCTGTTTGCTCTTGATTCTTCCAGCAAACGGGCGATAAAAGCAATGCATTCATCGATTTTTTCTGTCTCAAACTTGCGAAAGTTTAAACGTCCACCTTTGGTCCCGGATTTGCGAGAGAAGTAAACAACTTTGGCCAATGATCCGCCAACCTTGATGGGGTAAATAAAAGCAATTGTCATTAATTGTCTACTTGAGCACGATCTTCATGATTTGGTATTGCATTATCAACCCGCTATTAGTTTGTAAAACAACGATTGCAGAGAACCAATTTGAGGCTTGACTTACATCGACAGAAATTTGTGAGACATGTTCTGTGTTTGGCAACTGAATGTCTCTAGCTTCGCCTTGGACGAGGATTTCTTCATCGCAAATGGATGCACCAATGAGATTCATAGTCATGCTGTTATGAGCTAATTTGTTTATTTTGGACCGATTAGTTAGGTGGTTCGAAACGGCTGTAAAAAGTGATCGTGTGGAAATTAAAGCTTCGCAAAGTGAGAGAAGAGCAGGGGAGTAGAATGAAATGGAATGGAATGCAATGGGAAGAAGTGAAAAGGAGTGGAGAGGACGGAGGACAGGAGGGAAGAAGAGAGGAGCGATTTGAAAAGGTTAAAAGGATAAGAAACAGAAGCAGGAACAAGATAAAAAGCCAAACGGTGGAATACAATGGATATGGTGGAATAGTAGGGCAGCGTGGAGGAACAAGAATATATTATAGAAGATAAAAAAAAAAAAGGTGGGGAAAAAAAAAAAAAAAAAAAAAGACGCACAGAAGTGTGAAATGTGGGCCGGCGCAAAGACTGATTGACAAGGGCAGCCAGTCATGGGCCTGGCCGTTGGGTCCATGAAGAGATAATGCAGATACAAATACAAATACTTTGAAATGTATTTTTATTAAAAAACAAAATTGTATACATGCAGAACGATAGGACGATATCCCACCTTGTTCATCTCCGCCTTTTTACTTTTTTTTTTTTTTTTTTTTTTTTGGTTCAGTTACAAAAATGTTCTACATGTTCAAAAGAGAATGATTAAGTTTCTCTCCTTAGCTCTGTGCTGCACATCCAAATGACATGATATGACATGTCACCAAAATTTGCGTGGGACATTCATCAATTGATTGTGTCCAAAATATCCTAAACATCCTAAATATAAAAATACTCATGTTATATATTTTATTTTTTATCTGGACTTCAAGCACTCAACAGAAGAAATAGCCATTTCTAAATCAATATTTGGTGCTGGACCATTAGGCGATTATTTCCTGTTTATACCCATCAAGCCATCAACATCCGCACCCATTTACATCAACAAAACCATACACATAATCATGTCTGAGGTATATAGTGAATCAGGGCATGCAGAATTTTAGTGACAAACTCATGTGTATACTATAATGCTGACTCTCAATCCTGCTTGTGCTTTTTACGGTCCTTGGCAACCAAACCTTGATAGGAACTCGTTGTTCACTTTGAGAAACTTTTAACAAGGTAGACAGCATACCACGACAGGCACCGATGTTCGTTAAAGGCTATTTTATCACTCTTTGCTCACTTTACAAGATGGCGATCAGGACAATGAATTCAAATGATGATTGTCAATCGAATCCTTGGCGATAATCAGACTTTACGGCTAGTTCGGGCAACATACTTACAATTCATGGCAAGCTAGCTGACATAGCATTATTTTACACTTGGCGCTATTTGTGTTATCTAGAGTTGATGGACTCTTATCGGCCATAGTGACGGACCGGGATGGTGTCGTGCTCCTAAAAGGTAGTCAATACGCATTATGAGAACAAAAAAAAGGCTTCATGGACCCCAAGCACAAAAAAGGAATGATGGCAGTTTTTTTTTTTTTTTTTTAATATGACTCTCAATCTTTGTTTTTTTGTTATTAGCCAATGCACCAAACAACACCCTACCTTTCACAGAGTCAGCTTTAGGTTGTACGTTCGCACTGGCTAGTGATCAGGTATAGAGCGATTTTTGGAATAGACATCTTTTCTTATATACAATTATGTGCTAAAGAGACTAAGTTACATGACGTGTGCGGGTATTTCGAGAAAAAAGTTCTAACAAGGCAATTGCTTTTTATCCACTTAATCCTTTCCTTTAAAAATAAAAAAAAAATAAAAAAATGGCAACAGGCATCAAAACTTGGACTGAAGAAAAACAAGTCCATTGTTAGCATTTACAAATCGTATCAGTTGGTCCAATTCAATCATTCTTCCCTCATAACCACTTTCGTGGCAAATAGCAACGCTAATACAGGTAAGGCCTATTCTATTTCATTTTGCGAGATAAGGTTGTAAGATTGTTCCATATCTAGCGTATTGATTTGCTGATACGAATATATTGAATGATGATCCACTAGGCCTATTGTTGGAGCTTGGAGCTGAACTAGAAAGCGTTACGCAAGTTATAGCTACCGCTCTGCACGAAAGGCATAGCGGCGCATTGTGAGAGCAAGAATTGAGTGTTGTAATAAATATCGTCTGTGCGTATTTCATTAAAGATTTATCCCCTTAAGTTTAATACACGCCCTTTTTTTTACGTGGTTGAATGTCTTTTTTTTTTTCCTCCAAATTCTCCATTTGACCCTCATCTTTTATTTTTACTTGACGAAAATGTCAAACTTCTCATATACTGTGGGCATTCCCATCTTTTGTGTCGGGTTTACACATGACGATAACCTCATTCTTGCAGGAGGCGGCGGGTCTGGGCGATCCGGCGTCCAGAACAAGATTGTAAGAGTTTTTTTTTTTTTTTACTTAATTCACTTAATTGAGCGAAATTTACACTAGAATACAGACTTAGTACTTAAGACACCATAGAAACCGAGGAGGAGGGTTTTATTTAATTTTCTTTTTAATTCTGCTTTTGCATTTAATAGACCATATACAAGATCGACAAGGATAAGAAAACATTATCCACCCTCATTGAAAGAGTATTGAGTCGCGATGAAGACGCCCCTATGTCATTGAGCGTTCACCCAACGGTAAATTGCTGGAATATTCTTGTTTGTTTATCATATGATGGTCAATCTTGCGACATTCGAGCAGGGGGCACGTTTACTGCTTTTTCATGTTGCTAGTATTGCTTGTATCTACAAGCTTTTTTTTATATGCTCCTCACAGGCCGTCTCAATGTCGTGTTAAACTATTCCTACTTCTCTCTACATATGCCTATCACTCTATTTGTATCTTCAGGAACCTGTCATGGCGTTTGGAATCAACAGTGCAATCAACAGAATCGAAGCTGGAGAAAACGAAAACTGCAGGGTTTTTCAATACTCTGATGAGCGGATCGAGCCTGTCCACAATAAAGGAACGCTGTCTAGCAAGGATCCAGAGGTTTATCAAAAAGTTACTCGATTTAGTAATGATGGGTTGTTGCTGGCGACAGGAGGAACCGATGGAGTTGTAGGTTTCATGGGATCAGTATTAAACTTTTTAATGAACTTGAAGTTTTTTAAGTGGGTTTGATTCATAATGACCTAATGGCTAGATGAGAAACTCATTGGTTGGATCTCACTTCTTTTTTTTTTTTTTTTAAAAAAAAAAAGGTCGCTCTACTCAAGTATCCCACACTTAATCCTGCCCTTCCCATTACGCAGTTCAAAGGGCATGAGATTATGGATCTCGACTTCTCAGCAGATGGAAAACACGTAAGCTTCAAACTTGAATTATATTACCGATCTCTTTTTTTTTTTTTTTCTTCTTTAAGCGACTCTTCGATCACAATGTTTACTGATAAAATACTTCATTTCCTGAACGATACATATATTTTTTCTCTATTCACTACGCTCCAACTAGATCGCTGTCGTGTCAGCCCAGAACTTGTGGATCATCTCTACGGCTAAAGGTCGAGTCCTTGAAGCGATTACAAATCCTGTTTTAAACAAGAAGAAGCCTTTTGTATTCCGTACATGTCGCTTCGGACGAGGAGCCTTCTCAAATGTTCTCTATACTGTTGTTAATGGGGATAACAAACAAAAGCCTTTTGTTTGCATGTGGGATGCCTCAAACTGGACACGCATCCGTACCTTAACCATTGGATCCCGCCCGATCACTGCTTGCACTATCAGGTACGCAAAATATTTATGCTTGGTGAAACATTTGGGGGAAATTTGATGAATGCTATAATACTACCGATCGTTATCACGTACCCTAGGATATGTGGTGAAGAGAAGGGATAGAACTCATCTTTTGGATCTTATGTAGCACTATGAATGTAACCAGCCTTTTCTTTTTATCTCGTACATGGTAGTCCTGATGGAAAACTGATTGCATTCGGCTCTTCAGATATGAGTATTCGGGTTTGCAGCGCCAAATCTCTTCAGGTACTCATGACTGTCCCTAAGACACACGCATTCTCAGTAACATCCATGGCATTCAATAGCGATGCGTCATTATTAGTCAGTGGATCCGTGGATGCTGCCTGCCACGTTATTCCAATCCCAAAAACATTCCCAAAGAACAACAACTTTGCGATATTGGTCTTTACTCTCCTCTTCTTATTCTTGGCTGTCGCCATACAGGTCTACCTGACCGCTCAAAAGTAAATCAGAGGATTCACGCTTCTAAAAACACACACACCGATAAATACATTCTTGGCACTTGTTATCTCAATAAGAAATGCTTTTTCTACATTAGAAAAAGAAATTGATCATTGGTACAGTACAAGGGATAATATTACAATAGCGTACAGCATAATAAAATAATTAAATAATAAGGAAGTTAAGTTTGAGTGCATAAGGGTATATACTCTCGTTCCCGAAAAATTGCTACCAATGGAATATGATCTGATGGGAAGTGTTGATTTGGCAGAGCTGTCGGGAGTGCCGCTCGTACATTCGTTCCTGCTTCCTCATTTCGAACAACTTTCGAGGCATTGGTGTCAGGAGTTGAAGCTGAGGCTGTTGCTTTTGAAGACTCCAAGTTATTAGAGATGAATAGTTTTGAAAAATCGAGCAGGATTTTTTTCTCTATGCTATGTCTTCTGTTATTGCTTGCCCTAGCTCCAGCTGATGTGTTGATGGGTGCTGTAGATGATGCTGAGGCTGATGAAGCCGCTGACGAGGGTATCTCCACTTCGATTTCCGAATCCAAATCCGAAGAACTCATATTTACGCTAACATCTGCAGCAGTGGCAGAGGAAGTTTTATATGTGGTTGATGATGGTAATGATGCTACCAGAGCCGGTTGTCCTGATTGTAAGTCCAATGATGGGTCCGTCGCTAAATGATCCAGGAATCCGATTAGACCAAGTGAAGTTGGATCATAGAGCAAATAATCTATCGTTCCTTGAAATTTGCGTGTCGCATTTGTGAAGGGTAAAGTAGACAATTTGTAACTGTCAGCCAGTTCCAAATGATGATAAAAGTATTTATTGTCTGCCCTTGTAAATCGTCCAAAATCGTTGCCACCAAAGTGGCGCGTTTCAACCTTGCCAGTTTTCAAGAATTCGACGACAGAGCTGTCCGGAAGCGAGTTGAAGTCTCCTGCGAGAATTGTGGGGATGTGCTGCTGAGGATGCTGATGTCGATGTTGATGGTGCGGACAACGATGGATGTTATGAGACGATGCTGGTGTTGGTACTGGTGCGGCTTCTGATGCTACTTCACAAGAGCTTAGTAGTTCTCCTTCTGTTACTGGTGGTGACAGTTGAACCATAGCTTGGGCTTTGAGCTCTTCTAACTTTGATGTTAAAATAGCTGTTTGAAGCATTTTGGCATCAGGAAATGCAGGGTCGGCCAAAAGGTGAGTGGTAGCCACCTGAACCTGACGTTTGGTCCTTTTGTTCTCAAATAGTGCCACAATGGCCAGATTGTGAAACAAGTTAAATCGAATGGCCGTATCACGAGCCATGGAGGGCCTCTTCACATCGTCTTCATCAAGCTCAACTTGATTGAAACGTAACACATTTTCGGTTAAAAGTCGAAAACGACTTGATTTTTTTTTTAAAAAAAAAAAAAAAAAAAAAAAAGTATTGCACATGTTTGAGTACATTGTTAATGATAAAATATTTTAGTTTTAACCACACCTCCATGGGGTACTGCATTCTTACCTGTCACGATAAAAAATCGCACATCCATCCCGCATTTCATGCATATTCATTTTGTAAGCATGAATAGATCGGAAGCCGAGACGAGACAGGCGAGGCTTGAAGTACTCATCATGGTCCTTTAACTCAAGTTCCTAGGATTGATGAAACAAAAGACAGGTAAATCATCAAAAAAAAAAAGTCTGGCGTACTCAGATCACAGCACTTGCCTGCAAACACACAATATCTGCATCTGCAAATGCAATCTGATTCAAAATGGCCTCTTTGCGATAATCCCAATCCAGGAAGACAGGCTCACAATTCGCATCCAGCCTTGAAGCATGGCATAATTTGGGTGAGAGAACGTTCCAGGACATAAGCACAAATGATTCTTTATAAATATGACGAATTAATCTAACTGTTAGTAACAAGATCTTGCAGAAAGATCAACCATACTATGTTCTAGATGATCTTACTTGCGTCCATTGACATAGGGCCACTGGAATCATAGATCCACTCTCGCTTTGGTAATGTAATCAAAATATCATCTACAAAGCATTGGTTGACATTTTATTGAAATGTCAAAAAGGAAGCCAAGAGAAAGGACTAATAAGTATTGCATTACTGCTGTTTGTTCAATATTTGATCGACAGTCAATAAACAGTGAAACACGCGTTTATCTTATCTATAATGGAAAAAAGCTATTTTTTTTTCCGACTTACCAGCTGGTGGTGGGGCATGTTCTTCTTCATAAAGCCATCCGCGGGGTATGACACTGCTCAGCATTGAAAGTAGAATAAAGGCGTTTCATTGCGTCGTTACAGCGCTGCTCCTCTCATCCATTAACTCTTCAAACCATTGTCATTCGGATATGCTTTGTCAAAGAACTCTCGCTTCAAGAGGATTTTTTTACCCACCTGAGAGGGATGGGGGGATCTATTGCACCAAAATAATGGTCGTCATCCTCCATCTGTGGTGAACCAAAGTCAACTAAGGGCATCACCATATGCTGCTGAAGCTGCATTAACCCCTTGGCTTGGTATGCCTGTGTTCGTTGATTTCTTCGGCGGTTCTTGCTCTGACGAGCCGCTTTCTGGACTTGATCTTGCCCCTGTCTTTTCTGTATTGGCTGATGGTTCCAACCATTCCCGCCATTCTTACCGAAAGAATTGGACGGGACGTATTCAATGCCACCTGGTGAAGCTGCAGTTCTATTGATGTTGATGCTATTAAGAGAATTGTAAGCTGTTGAGGATAGTGGTTTCGACAGACTGATTGGACGTTTTTGCAGAGAGAGTGGGGTCCAGGCAGCAGCCTCGGAAAGAGAAGGCCAGGATGACTCATAGCCAGAATCAGCTAGACTCTCGCCAAAAGTTAAAGATGGGGGGGAAGACAGCATCAATGAGGAAGTGGAGGATGACAAGGATGGGTTGGTGGGATGAGATGGAGGGATGTTCATGGGTGCTGTTCTTGATGTAGCCATCTGGTGAATGCCGTTGTTGAAGAATGGATAGAGAGTTGTAGAAACTAGAAACGTGTAGCAAGAATAGAGAGAGAAGATAGAATGGATAGAGGAAAGGGGAAGGAAAGAAGTAGCTTGTGTAAGAAGTAGAGAAGAAAGAAGGAAGAGTTCTTTTTCAAAGTGGCTACAAAGGTGGTCGGTGCGAAAAGAATGTGGCATAAATCTATACCACACTTCAAGTAATAGGGCATCTTTTTCTACACTCTTTGTCCTTGTTCACACGCACCCAAAAAATCCAGCATATTCATGGGTTGAGAAACAATAAAGTTTCTAGTCAAGTTCCCGCAATTCGACAACAACAGAATTTGTCTGTCTATCAGTGCAACCATCTTTGTATGACAAGGAGCTACCTGGTGACTGCTATAGCAACCCCTCTCATAAGAGCAAGAAGGTCTTCTCAAAAAAAAAAAAGGACATTTCCACGTCATAATCACTTTTCTTTTACCTCATCAACACATCAATTACAGATTCAGGGCACTTCATCATGTTTCGACCTGCAAACCCTTTTGACGAGATTGTCGGTAAGAGTCATAGACTCTGTCACACTTTAAAAACGTATAGTTATTTCTATTGCTGCGGTTGCGGCTAATAAATGTGAGCGCAATTGGTCTCTGATTCTCTGCTTACATTCTGCATTCTACTCCGCAGCCAATGCAACGAGTGAGACCTTGACATCCGAGAACTGGGATCTCATTCTCTCCATCTGTGAAAAAGTGAACCGTTCAAGTGATAATGCGTAAGAGGCAACAAGTGGATCATGGTGTATTGTCGGCAATGGATGAATAGATATTGTTATAACACTATTTGATAATCCTACTTTTGGTTGACACGCCTCTTTGTTATATTAACAGCGGCCGTGATTGTTTTGCTGCAATTCAGAAGCGCCTCTACAACAAGAATGCAAATGTGATCCTATACTCGTTGACTGTAAGTCATTTTAACTAGGTGCTATGAGGTAACAGAGTCAGCTGTGAGGGATACTCGGCTTATAACAAACTTCTTATATTCACTAGCTGTGTGAATCACTTGCCAAGAACTGCGGACTGAAGGCTCAACGTGAAATATCTTCACGTGCCTTTACTACACTACTTGTCAAGATCCTTAATGAAAAGGTTTGTGAATGCTCGTACATACTTCACAGATTAAATTATGAAGAAAATCTGGTGACGAGTCTCCTGACCCTTTTACTGATTACTACTTATTTTTAAACCTTCCATTCAGACTACCCATCCAGCTGTGCGGCAACGGATATTGGAATTGATTCAACAGTGGGCATTTGAGTTCCGCGCAGATCCCTCTTTGGGTATTATGGATGAAACATATCAGCAACTTCGTACTCAATCAAAGTTCAAATTTCCTTCGCCACAAAAACCTAAAAAAGAACTCAAAAGCGAGGCTGACAAGCGAAAGGAAGAAGAAGAGTTGCAACTAGCATTGGCGCTCTCTCTATCTGCGAGCGAGCATAATGAGCGGGTAAGTGAGAATAACTCTCGCCTCACTAGTACCTCTGCATATGACACGGAGCTTAATACTTGCAATTCATAATAATCCATGGCCGTCATTTATCTCTTTGTATAGACATCCGCCACGAGACAAACAAAACATCCAGAAATCGCGGAACCTCCAGTTAAGCGAGTACGTGCACTTTATGATTTTGAACCAACAGAGAGTGGAGAACTTGGATTCCAGAAAGACGACATCATAGTTGTTTTAGCAACATCCTATCAGGATTGGTGGAAAGGCGAGCTCTACGGACGCCAAGGGATTTTCCCTGTAAACTATGTCGAGGAGATAAAGGAAGGAGAGCAAAATCAAAATGGGACTACTAGCGATGATGAAGCCCATGTTCTACAAGAAGCCAAGAACATTGACGTCCTAATCCGGATGTTGCAGAATGTTGATCCAAGACGAGATAATTTCTCGGACAATGAACAACTTCAGGTAAAATAATTAACCTGCTGTTTAATATTTCCAAAAAAAAAAAAATAAAAAAATAAAAAAAAAAAATAGTGCAAGTACTAATGTTAGTACACGTTCTACCTGACAGGATACATACAACAATGTCCTTGGAATAAGACCTAAGCTTGTGGAGCTGATCAAGAAACATGGAGAAAAGAAGGACGAAATGTTGGCCTTGAGTGAAAAGCTGGCTAGGGCAAGATCGACCTATGAGAAGATGATGGAACAATCCATCGCAAAGTATAGCAACCCCGGTTACGGTGCCTATCAATCGTACGCGCCCAACCCTGCAGCATCTTACTATAGTCCTAGCGTTTCCGGACAAACTGGGCAGAACAGAAATACGTACTCGACTACACCATATCATCTACCGCAACAACAACAGCCATATGGCCCTGGGCCGGTAGTGAGTCAAGCTACTCTTGGACAGTATCAGCAGGACACTCAGTATGCACCGTACACACCCCAGATTAGCCAACAGCAGCTACCGCTACAGCAGTTACCGCTACAGCAGCAACCACTTCAACAGCAGCCAATCCAACAACAACCAATCCAACAACAGCAACAATCCCAGCAACAGCCCCAACAGATTCAACCTCCTAGTTATGATCAAGTATATCACAATCAGACACCATCACAATCACAGGCACCCATAGATCCTAATCTCAATAATACTCAGCAACTTCAGCAGCAAGGTCAGCCTTTCTCGCCCCAACCTCTTCAGCAGCAGCCAGTGCAAGCACCGTACCAAGGATACCAACAGCAACAGCAGCCCATGTCAGGAAATGATTTTCAGCCTCAGCAGCAACAACAACAAGCATATGTGCCCCAATCAACGCCTTTTGTAGCGCCAACCAATGGCTATGCTCCCCAGCCTCAATTTGCTCCTGCAGCTCCTGCAGCTCCTGCATTCCAATAACTATTTTCTTAATGTTTGCAAGCAAAACTAAGTAGCCTCAAGAAGAAGGAGAAAAAAAAAATTTTTTTTATTCAAGTGATATTATGAAACCTGAACAGAATCGCTTTCAAGACGTTTCTTCATACTGTCAATGCGACGCTGGAAATTGAATACCATATTATTTTTGCCCATGTCAATGTAGACTTGACGTTGTTTTTTCCATGTTTCTATAACTTCATATGCGGTTGCAATTTGTTCTTTGGTTGGGGGTATCGACGTTGGACCATCGGCAGTAGATGGTATAGTAATAATATCAACAGAGTTTTTGCTATTTTTGGCTTTTGTCTTTGAAGAACGCAATGATAAAGGCCCCAAGCCTGTCTCTTGTAACATTGCCAAACGAGCGAGACTGGCTTCAGCCTGAATCAAGTCTCTTACTGCAACACATGCGTCAGCAAAAGCTTTCCAAAGGTCAATTTTAAGCGAGTTTATCAGCTGGACCTGAGCATGCGTCCAATTCTCAGTTGTGGGAAGATTGTCAACAAGTGCACACGACTGAGCCAACAGAGGAAGAGGTGATTTTTTGTTCTGAACATATTCTTTTGCAAGAGCAGATTGTATTTGTATTTTGAGAAGTGTATCTGTGAATAGTTGTTGATCCTGTTCGAATGTCGCAGAAGAAGAGGAGGGCTTTTGTGATGAGGAAGAGATGGATTCCATGACAATAAATGAGAAGCGCAGACTGAAAATTCATCGATTTGCTCGGGAGTTGAGTTGATCAAACTATGAGAGGAAATAAGTGCAGCACAATCTTGGCCGTGTTACGCATTTTGAGCAACAATTATGCTGTATTTTTCACCAGGGCAAACTCGGGTTGATGGGATCAGATCACATCAAATCTTTTTATAAAACATCTCTCCACTCCTGTCAATCTCTTCAAGAAACACATTACACCTAAACATGCGTGCCTGGTCTACTCCTTTCCTCCGCCCTATGGCTCCTTTCCTTATCGGAGGCGCCGTTACCTTCTACCTCATCAATAGCGCCCAGGAAACTATGTTGAAGAGTATGTTCTTTCTGTCTGAATGTTTTTTAATCCCTTCCTTCCGATAAAAGAGAATGACGATAAAGAAAAACAGGGAGTAAAAACATTTTTCGCCCTGAGGTTTTCACAGCTATCGACCAGTACTATGTTTTTGAACTCGTGCTTTTGTTGGTTGACTCTCAGGAGCAATTTTCTAAGCTGTTATTGAAGGGAATGCTTGTGTTGGAGATTCTATTCGGGGACACCACACGTTGTGAATAGTATGCTCGTTCGTCCATTCTAACTTTTTCACGGCCTTTAATTTTTTATTCATAAAAAAAAAAAAAAAAAAAAAAAAAATCTAGGCGACCAGTTCAAGAACGATCCACGCAATCCTCATTGTAAGTGAAAAACTAGCTCTCTAGACACCCTCTCTTTCATGCAGTATACGTAATATCTCCCATTATCAAAGGGACTAGTATTGACGAATAATAATGGTGAAAATCTTTTTCTTTTTTTTTTTTTTTTTTCTTTTTATTTAGTCACCGGCAAGAAGGAGGAGAAGCATTAAACATCGTTGGATCAAAAAGTCAACAATAAATAAATAAAAAGAAAAAAAGAAAAAGAAAAAAAAAAAAAAAAAAAAAAAAAAAAAAAAGAAAGCAAGGTTTTTTTCTCGGCAATCCCAGTATCAACTTGTTATTCTGGCGTATTCATTATGTTTCACAGGGATCAGGAGATTTTTAGGAAAGATGAAAAGAGACATCTTGTGAACAAATACAATACAGTTGATATAAGTTGGGCAATCATGTATTGCTTGATGAAATTTCAATACAAGTTTTTTTTTTTTTTTTTTTTTTTTTTTTTTTTTGGCTTCCACATTTGTCGAATTATAATTGTATATATTATGATTTTTATTATTACTATAATTTATTGTGAATCGGCATTAGGGTGGTGATCTACAATAGCACGGATGGAGTGTGTTATTACAACAAATGCTCTATGCAGAAATGACTATACAAATAATTAATGGAGAATGAAATTGAAATGATCTATCAGATGATGGATGATAATGCGTAATGCGAAATGTGTAATGTGTAATGTGTAATAATGTGAAATGCAGAGGGTTGCGCTTCTAGGTAATGTTTACTCTAGGCAAGGCAGGAAAGAAACAAGAGGCAACCCATTGGGACAATGGTATAAGCAAAAAAAAAAAAAAAAAAAATTAAGCAGCTGTGGCGGGCTTGAACATGTTTTGGAGGATCTCGACACCTTGAAGTTCTTGCTGATGAGATTGAATAAAATTCACAACGTCCTTTTCAGTGACATATAAGCTGAATTTGAGCAGGCCAAGGAAAGAGCGCTCCATTCTATTGATGTCGTGCACTGAATAGAGACCATCAGTGATTTTGGAGAACATTCGATTGAGGCCGACACAATCCTCCTCGATAAACTAGAAAGATTGTAATAAAAATAATAATTAAAAAAATATAAAAATATAAAAAAAAAGAATGAAGATCATTGTTAGGCGTTGTTGATTTACTTAATATTAACATGCAATAGAAATATGAAATATGTAATATGTAATTTATCAGGGCTATGTTGTCATGTTCAAATTGAACGTGCAGCTTTGTTGATATTGTATGCATGCCATGCGGATTCAAGTTCCACATGCTTTGCCACGCCACACCGCGCCATTCCCATGTTTGGCCGAGCAAAAAAAAAAAATTATTCGAGTAAACCCCCCAAAAATGGGCTGGACATGAAAGCTCGCTCATTGCCTATAATGGCTCACTTTCATCCATCCATCCTACACTTTTATCCATCTTATCCGGTCCAATGCGCACCAGGTAACCTCTGGAGATACTCTTTTTGTTTTTTTGTTTTTTTTGTTTTTGAAACTGTTTTAAATTGAGTTACTGGAGATGTATCGCTTAAATATATGTGGCACGAAATGAGAGAGTGGAATTTAAGCCCGATTGCTCTATCGGCATGCTATAGTTGAATATATTAAAAGGATGAGAGGAAAAAAAAAAAAAAAAAAAAAAAGGTCGAGCCTCAAAACAGAACAGCTTAACATCCCAACAAAAAAAAGAAAGAAAGAAAGAAAGAAAGAAAGAAAGAAAGAAAGAAAGAAAGAAAGAGAGCGCGAATGAGCTCAGATTTGAACCCTCTCCTACGATTGCTAAAAAAAAAAAAAAAAAAAAAAAAACGCTCCTCTAACTTTGGCTCTCTTTCATCACTACAAGATGCTTGGCCATGCCATGCCACGCCATGCGATCGCTCTTCTCAATAGACTGTCCGTGCCTTTTTGCCTATTTGGTTCATTCCTAATGTTCGAACAGGAATATCCTCTTCCGCAGCCCTTTTTTTGTTGTTGTCATTACTGTTATTGATTGTGAGCTTCCCCAAAATTATATTCTTTCTTGGCTATCAACCCATGACATGCTACTGCCTCTTCTCCATTCAATACCTAATGGTGTTTGTAGATTATCTCTTTTGACCTGATTAATATACAACAGAGTAAGGAGGTTGTATACAATGGGAAGATCGGCTATCTAGTTTGCATACCACATTACATGAATATTTCTACACCTTCCACCCAAACAATTTACACAGGGTAGAAATGATGTGCTGATTATGCGCTCAATCCCTCCCCCCGCGTGTCAAAAAAAAAAGACCTTTCCCCGTGCCTTAGTTTCTATTGTTATTCGCTAATGCTGGGATTTCTTTTTTTTTTTTTTTTTTTTTATTTTTTTTTTTATGTGTACATGTTAATGCGTTTGACTTGCCTTTTTGACAACCAGTAAGGCGGATAAAATAATCTTGAAGGGTGTGTCAGGATCACCTCGTGCCATGTTTGTCAATGCCTTTTTGAGCCGATCCACATAGATTAAGGAGATGACAAGAGCCAGCTCTGTTACCGAAGCCTTGACACAGATATTTCTGAGGAAATGAATCAAACTTGGTCGTTGTTCTCCGACGACTTCTGAAGTAGTGGAAGAACAAGAGGAAGTTGAAGAGGTAGAGCAAGATGGAGAAGGCGGAGATGTAACATCGTTACCACCATTAGCAGCATCTGTAGAGCTCGTTAAAGCAGGGCTTTTACAAAACAGAGCACTGGTGCGAAACACAGGTGGAGGTGGAGGACATTGGAGCACGGAAAGGACAGATCCGGCAGCCAGGGCTAAAATAACATTTTAGGAAAGAAAAAAAAAAAAAAAAAAAAAAAATTCAGAAAATCAGGGACGGTTTCTATCATTTTCATTATAACCGGAATCCTAAATTCCAAAAAAAATTGTCAAAACTTTTTCCCTCAACTTGCTCCTCCCGGTTTCCTCTACCATGAAGGCAGGAAGTAAGAGTGAGGCTAACATGTGCTCGCTGACAAAGTACGTATTCAGCAGCAAGAGGACATGTGGAAGTGGAGCAGTACAAATTTAAACATAATCAAATAATAGAACCACTGATTGCAATAGAGCGATCAGACCATCTTTTTTATAACATGTATAATTGCTGCTTCATCATATTAAATATTTAATATTTAGAAAATAAAAAATAAAAAATAAAAACAACCCCACCAAGTTTTTTTTTTATGATAGACAATAGGGTAGAACAACGATGTCGTATGCCGAATTGTAAATAACAAAAAAAAAAAAAAAAAAAAAAAGCTTTTTACAAGGAGTAACATTTGAGTATTCTTCTTCATTCATATCTCTCTCTCTCTTTTTTTTACTTCAACATTAATCGCCTCTCTAAATATCTTGAGCCCTTTTTTTTTTTTTTTTTTTTCTAAAACTGATCTATCAACTCTTCACTTTCAGAGAAAAGTATGAACAGAAGAGATGTATGCAATGAACTTACATAGCAATGCTTCTGGACAGGGAGAAGAGACCATTGGTAGATCAATGAAGCGTTGGTTTTGCATTAATTCCTCCGCCATGGGATCAGAGTCGGATGCAGACGAGGAAGAGGACGGACAGAGTGACTCCATGTTGTGATGAATTATTTTGTGTTTGTGGAACGAGTAAAAGATTTTCACGGATACGGAAATACTGAAAACAAAAAACAAAAAAAAAAGGGTTTATAAGATAGTGGATAATGTGTAATGGATGATAGAGAGTGTAAAGGAGTAGAAACGATAGGCTTGGAATGAACTACTGCCAATGATGAAAAGAAATGACCAAATGAGAGAGAGAGAGAAAGAAAGAGAGAGAGAGAGAGAAAGAAAGAAAGAAAGAAAGAGAAAAAGAGAAAAAGAAAAGAAAGAAGGAATGGGAGAAGAGATGGATTATCGATGAATATATATTTAACAAAATGGGCGTGAAGAGTGAGAGCGATGTCCGTTTAATTTTCTTTTTTATATTCTTTTAAATCGTGGCAAGGCACAAGATTGTTACTTGTTGTGGGTAGGATGGATGAAAAGACAAAAGGGAGAGAAAAGAAAGAATGAATAAAAGGAAAAGGAATTAAATACTTTCTACGGAATCATAAGACAAAAAGAGAGAGAGAGAGAGAGAAAAGAAAAAAAAAAAAACGATGCCGGGGAAACATTGAAGAAAACATGGACATGAAGGACATTGGATAGATTGTTTTTCCTTTGGGTTTTCTTTTCATTTAATAGAATAGCCATCCATACAAGCAAAACAATTGCAGATATTCTTATTTAGAATATTTTGATTGCATTGTGGATTGATTTCCATTGTCGCTAAAGTACTGTAGCATTGTACTGCAGTAACCTATTCTTTCAAATACTACATTATAGAGCAATATAGAAAATCGACATGCAAATGCAAATGCAGAGTATTGTAAAAAGTAATAACAATTGCTGTGAAGCTTAAACAGGAGATGGTCAATCTCTATTACATATATATATATATATATCATAATCATAATCATTATTACCATTGATTGCTATTACATTATATATTACATTATATTATTATTTTTCCTTTTTTCCCAGAGATATCAAAAAGGGACGGTGTTGTTAGAGACTGATGAATGCATCAATCAATCTTCATGTTGATACGGAAGATTGACAATAATGGTTGCTGATCTGACAGAGCGTGATTGGTTCCTTTGTCACAGCCCTTTTTTTTCTCATTCAAATACAATTATTTAGCATTGCCTTTTAGCATGTCACTTCCTCTCCCAATGGTTCTATGCTTTTTTGTATTTTGATTTTACTCCGGTAATTGTTGGAATTACATTTAATAGGTCAGATGAAGTATAAAAAAAAAAGAGAGAGAGAAAAGCAATTGGATGGGAAAAAAAAAAAGAGGGTTTGCACTGTTGGAAAGATTGATAAAGAAGAAGGGGAGAAGAAAAAAAGGACAGGGTACAGGGGTATATACTTGTACAGGGATCAGAGATCAAGGATCATGGATTAGAGCCAAGGATAGATCAAATAATGCCCGAGTTGTCGGAAGTACAGCCCATTCGGCTCAAACGATCGGAGGAAGGGGAACGAGAAAAAAAAAAAAAAAAAAAGCAAAACTGAATTGTTACTGTTGCAATTAGTGGAAGGAGAAGTTTTTACACCCTCACATACTATTTACGCACACACATACCCGCCGCACAAACTCATTCATACATATATATTATATTTGTAGCTGCGGATAAACGGCTTTATGAAATATGCTGTGTGCAGAAAATGAAATTAAAAAAAAAAATATCGGCGAGTAATCAAAGTAATTGAGATGATGCAGAGAAAGAAATGGGGAGAGAGAGAGCAGGCAATGCAATCAATCCAAAAAGAAAAGAAAAGAAAAAAAAAAAAAAACTGTATACTATGTATACTATATATTGTAATGATGAGGAAGAGAAGGATACGCGTATGAGACAGAGAGAGAAAGATAGAGTGAAGCAAGACAGAAAGAAAGAGTGACGAGGCGAAGGACGGATTGATGGGAAGAAATGATGTTTATCAGAGTGCAAACAATAACAACAACATCCAATGTTTGCAATGTTTGTCACACACATTTACGCAGAAAACGTTTTTTTTTTTTTCTCGTTTTCTCGTTTTTTTTTTATTTTGCGCGCTCAAAAGAATTTCAGGAACAGACAGACAGGGTCCAGCACCCTTTTGGTTCATCACCCTCTCTCTCTTTTTTTTTTTTTTTTTTTTTTTAAACTGTAATGCCAAACAAACCCTGTGAAAGAGCAAACACGATCACTTGCAGATTCCTGTTTTTCTTCTCTTCCCTTCCTTTTATCTTGGATGTGCCTTGCTTATCCATTAGCTGTCATTGGTAAGCCGCTTCGCTCCATGTGCAGTATCTCCCTTTTTTTTTTTTTTTTTTTTTCTTTCTTAAAGATAAAACAAAGAAATCTTTTGCTTCTCCTAGTCGGGTGATCTTTTGTCTTTCCTCGTGCTGTTACATGGGATCCTGAAACTCTGCTAAAGAATGCTTGATTGTTAACCAAAGTAGAAAAGGACCTTCCTTTCCCCTATTGCTCTATTGGTCCTTGAACAGCTTTTTTTTATTTTTTTTGCTGCCCTAAGCAAAATGAGTTACATGTACATGTACAAATGTTTTTCAAATCGGGAAAGAGCATTTGGGCTCGGTGAGAAAAAGGGTTCTCCGCGCCACCAATCGCATTGCAGAAGAAAATTGCATGAATTACTTGCCTACATGTGTTCAAATGTACATTCACGTTCATAATTATACCATGTATAGTAAGGCTAGTTTTTCTTCTTTATTTTTGGCCGACTCGCACGATCCACTTTGACAGGTCTCGACCCTATTTTTCAGACCCGTAGATTCATGCAGATCCATCCAAAACGCGTTTTCCTTTCATTTGTCTCTTTTAAAATGCTCCTAAAAAAAATAAAGTCCCCTATCAATCTATCACTTGAACTTTTCCTCCCCACACAACCACCCTTACTGTCACAAACATATTGGCTCGGTTCAATTATACTTGATGATAGAATGAAATGTTTATTTCTTTACTTATTTATTTATCTGTCTACTAAATCTGTATAGCTTTCATGCCCCATATCCATGGCGCTTCAAGAATGTCTTGAGATTTTCGCTACAATAGTCAAATGGTGTTTGATTTTCCCCATTTTGTCTATCCAAGTCTGCACCTGCCTCTAGTAACGCAAGGGCCGTCTCGCCATGTTCGTCCTGACAGGCCAAGTGTCTAAAAAAAATAAAAATAAAAATAAAAAAAATAAAAAAAAGGAAAAAGGAAAAGTTATTCAACATGTGTTATTGATCGGCACAATTACAATAGACAACATCAAAACAAATAAACTATTGCGCTTTTTAGCTTTTTTTTTTTTTTTTTTTTCTTTCTCCTTACAGTGGCGTATTCCTGACACTATCGGGCGTATTCAGTCGAGAACCGTTTTCGATCAACAGCTTTACGAGAGGCGTATACCCTCGAACGGCTGCGCGGTGACTAAGAATAGAAAAATGAAATTTCATTAGGGGAAAATAGTTAATAATGATAATATACAATGATAATGATAATAAAATCTTGGGCAGTAATTATGATCATACAGTGGTGTTTGCTTATTATCATCATCCAGCTTTGGGTCAGCGCCATTCTCGAGAAGGACCTTCACTACCTCCAAATGGTTCTTGGAAGAAGCGTAGTGTCTAGATATAAACAGCAGATAAACATAGGTTAAATGCGACAGTTGATGGCTTGGCCTTATCTTATCTATCACTCTCATTTAAAAAAAAAAAGACTTACAATGGAGTCGTTCCGGAATCTGTTTTTGCATTGATATTGGCTTGCTTTTTGATAAGAAGCGTTACAATTTCCGGGTTTCCAACAGATGCTTTTTTTTTTTTTTTTTTTTTTTTTTTTTTAATATATTGTTGTTCAAGAATGACAGAACAGGGTTAAGGTGGTAATCCATTCAGTTGCAAAAAACAGTTGCTTTGTCTTTTTTTTTTTTTTTTTTTTTTTTTTTTTTTTTTCTTTGATCTTCACGTACCTGCAATGTGAAGTGGAGTCCAATCAGCCTAAAGCAATATACATATAGTAAGTAATCGAGCAGACCATCTTTATATGTATTCCTTCCTTATTATGGTTTACTGTTACCTCATCCTTGCTGTTCACAGGCGCTCCTTGCTCAAGGAGATACTCAACAACATCCAAGTGTTTACCCGAGACTATATCCAATAATATATTAACAATGATGTTCATTCAAATAAAAAAATAAAATAAAATATAAAAATAAAAATAAAAATAATAAAATAATAAAAGCACATATATATCAGAATCCACGAGACGAGTTGACTCGTCTCGCTGTAATTTTTATAATTCAATTTTAAAAAATATAAAAAAAGCTCATAGTTCATACCAGCCCAGTGCAGTGCCTGTCGTTCGTCCTCATCCTTTGCAATGATGGCATTTTTATTTTCCTCAATCAACTGCTTGACCAGTCCAAATTGGCCCTCGAGCGCTGCAGTGTGAATCGACATTATTCTTTTTTATTATTATTTTTTCTTTTTTTTTCTTTTTCTTTCTGAATCTCTCTCTCTTGGAATGAACGGCAGAATGATCAGAGTAGATTTCACTGACGCGTTCATTACAAGGTCAGTGACTGCGCTACAGTACTTCTTTTAATTGGTTAAAATTAATTGTGGCAAACCACGCTTCATGTCAGACACCAGTGCCAAATAAATCCTTGACCCCCTCGAGTTGTAGCCTCTAGGAGTGTTGAAATGTCGCAAAAGAACATGCTGGCAGTCTTAATCTTGCCTTCATCCATGTCTTTTTGTACCTTGGGCCCCAGAGTCTCTATCGCGTCAATATACTTTTCATCTCCATAGATATGCCAGGCGATCTGCAGACACTTTAGGTAATCAGACATCCCAAAGCCTTTCCAGTTCTCCACAGGCCATCCTTTTCCACTTGAAAGCGCAAACGGTAGTAGAAAATCAATCGCCTTCTTGATAGACTGCCCTTGAGGCCCTTCATAAAACCACATGTCCACACCTAGATCATCACCCCATCGTGCGAGCGTCATGAGTGCTTGGAGATTAAAAACAGAGTAATACCAAGATGTTTTGCGAGCCATTTCTCCAGGTTGTTCCCCATTAGCTGTAATCTGTGGTTCAATTCGTTTGTGGACAGCCGTCTGAGCAACCTGTCGAGCATCTTCGACCCTACCCAAGAATAAATAGATGGCAATGATTTGGACATCAAAATACGTTCCGTGGTTATTACTGCTGTCGCGCTCAATCTGGGCCAAGGGCGAGGTCTCAAGCCATTTGACATAGCGTGTAAACCATTCCTGAAGATCTGGAATTAAATCTTGAGGCCAGCTTGGATCTTGTTTGAGATAGTGAAGGGCATCAAACACCCTTATAGTATTAAAAATGTGTTGCCAGAAAACAAAAATAAAAATAAAAATAAAAAAAGATTGTGCAAATCCATTGTGTTAGACAACATTGAGGTCAATGGATGACTCGAACAGCTGTAATAGGCCTTAATAAAGCAGGTTCGATACGAAGAGGAGGAAAAAATAATAAAAAAAAATAAAAAAAAAACTTACCGAAAGATAGTAAACATGTCCAAGATCCCAGTTCGAGCACCAAATCTCTCTCCCTTTCTTAGTGACCCATAGTTGATGTTGGGATTCATATACGTGGCTTCGTCCAAGAACCATTCCTTGAGGCGCATGGCACACTTTTTTAAATACTCGTTGCGTCCCGTAAAGTGATAGGCCATGCCCATTATGTGAACCTCCCTGATCATTGTTCTCAGTAGCCGATAGTCGCGCACAGTCTCTATCTCGGGGTTGATATGTCCATCGATGCCCCGGTAGGGGAGGCCATCGGGCTTATCCTTATTGGGCCAAAAGTACTTTGAGAGAGAGAGGTAATCGTGAATATCATTTGAGGGTGCTGTTTGGTTCTTATTAGTGACTGAATACACCGCTGTTGATTCCAGAGCCAAGTCTGCCTCACGAAGCATTAACGCGAGGGCATAATTGCGCTCTCGACGGGTTGCGCTGAGCAGTTGTGCATAGCTGACAGGCGATGCCTTGCGTTCTCTCATAGCGATCATCAGTCGTGAATCCCCATTCTCTTCTTCCCCAGTAGACCCAACGTCATTCCCATCATTTACTAAGACGGACTCGCCTACATTGCTGCCGTCTGAAACTGGCCCTGTTGCATCTACATTTACATTTACATTTGCATTCACATCAGGTCCTTGGTGTTTCGATGATGAATCTGAGTTTTCTTGCTGTAGCGGAGTATTCTCTGTATCCACATCCTCCAGCTGGATGAGCGATGCTTGCTTCAACTTTGCATGGACAGGTCTTTCGTAAAGACCAGGGTTATCATTGTTATGGTTGTTAAGTAATGGGTTCAAAATCGCAGCATACGGATCTCGTTCATTTTGCCTGATAGCAGAGAAAGGAGACTCATCTAAACTTGGCCCAAGGGCTGTGGAAAGGACGATGTAGACAAAGAGGAGGCTGCCAGAGAAGAGAATGACACGACGTAGAGTGATCCGACCAACTAGGCCAATTGAATTGCCAGGTAATCCGATGCTACCAGGACGGATCTTGCCTTTGAACTGAGAACTCGTGTGTGATGGAAGGACTGAAGCTGAATTTGAACGCATTTGAGTTGTTTGTGCTGATTCTCGATTCAATGCAAAAGAAAAGAAAAGAAAAGAAAAGAAGAAAATGAGAAAGAAAGACAGAATGCAAAATGGATACTTCCCAGCTAGTAAGAAAGAGAAAAAAAAAAAAAAAAAAAAAAAAAAAAAAGAAGATAAGAGAGGAAGACAAAGAGAAAGGGGAAAGTGGAAAGAAGATGCAAGTAGAGAGAGTGCTGCGGTGTAATAGAATTGGGAAGCGTGAAATAGGGAGAGGACACTACAGAATGAGAGAAATGGAAGGGGAAAGGGGAATAGAGACCTTTACCGAAAGAATGGTCGCGCCAAGAAGTGAAATGTCGAAGAGAACACGCATTTGTATGGGGATTAGTTGCCATGACCGCAATAATAATAATAATATTAATATTAATATTAATAAAGGTGCCTACTCTCAGGCCTACTATGCGTTGCACGTCGTCTGCATGGGCGAAGTCGAAAATGAATTCATGTCTTGCCTTGTTTGTACGCAATCATCGCACTGAATATCACAGGTCGGGAGCTATCTGAAATTAAACAAAGAGGGTCCTTTGAAAGTGTCGCTTTGTCCTCAACAAAGAGAAATCAGATCACAAATGCCTGTCTCTAAAAAATAATTCAGATGCACAGACTGCCTAGAACAAAAAATGCCGATACAGTCATCTCAATCACCCAATGATGCTGATGACACCAAAAAGGAGACGTCGTTGGTCTCACAATTGGGCATTTTGACATGTGCTTGAACTGACTTTCCTTCCATTTCTCTTTTTACTTACTATTTGATCTCCCAACTCCTCCATCTTTCATCACAAGCTTCACCACCATCACTCCTCTCTCCTCAGTTTTCGCTGATGTCTCTTACCAACTCACAAAATCCTCTTTAATCCCTCTATTCCTTGAAAAACACTAAAAGTTAAAAAGACATAATGGCAGCTAGAGATAAAAAGTCGCCTCTCACTAACCTCATCGCAGGTGGCACTGCTGGCTTCATGGAATCTTTCATCTGTCATCCTCTTGATACAATCAAAGTGCGAATGCAACTCGCCAAAAATGTTGCTAGGGGTGGTCAGGCTGTAAGTCACTATCACTTTTTTTTTTTTTTTTTTTTTTTTTCCTGTAGTCGTAGATATTATCCGTAATTAACCTGACCCATCAATGTCAAGGAGCGTTTCAACAGTATAAGATGGAAAAGGGATGTCTCTGCTGGACACAATCATTTAAGTATCTGAGCATATTATATAGCGTCCCAGGACAAGGAAAAAAAAAAAAAAAAAAAAAAAAAAAAAAGAATGCAGTCAGATGCATTCAAAGATGAATGCTAATTGATTGTGAATCAATGCACCCAGAGGACAGAACAACAGACAAGGATGCTCTGTATTAAAGTTTAATATGCAGCGCGCTGTTGTGGAGCGGGAGAAGTGGGCGAAATAAATATGACACAATGACACGGAGTGGGAAACGTATCAAGGCGATCATACTTTCCTTCATAGAGGAGACTGGGAGTCTAAGAGTATCTTCTAAGGACTCGGAAAAAAAAAAAAAAGACCTTTGGAGCTACGATACGCTCCATAGAAAAAGACCATTTTAAAGTCTTCACGTCTTTAATGTCATAGCTCTTTTTCTTTTCTTTTCATCTTAGAATGCAAACTTGTCATTTATAGGTGTTGGCTTGAAGATCGTGCGGAAAGAGTCACCATTAGCGCTCTACAAGGGGCTTGGTGCTGTAACAGCTGGTATCGTGCCCAAGATGGCCATCCGATTCACTACCTTCCAGTTCTATAAAGACCTAATGGTTGACAAGAATGGTACACCATGGAAACTGAATAACCTTTGGGGTGAGTAAAACCAATAAATCTTTAGTTCCTGTTGCCTTGCATTTTCACTCTCCCGTGACTAAAAGTATATTTTTTCTCTTTTTCATGGCAGCTGGTTTGTTGGCTGGCGTGACTGAGGCTGTGCTAGTCGTGACACCCATGGATGTGGTCAAGATCCGTCTCCAGGCACAACGTCACTCTATGGCTGATCCCCTCGACATCCCCAAGTATCGCAACGCAGCTCACTGTGCTTATACTGTTGTTCGCGAGGAAGGCTTCGGTGCGTTGTATCGTGGAGTTGGATTGACCTCTCTCCGTCAGGCTACTAACCAGGCAGCCAATTTCCCCACCTACCATTTCCTGAAGGGCTATCTTCAGCGCCTCCAGAATATACAGGAATTGCCTGGTTATCAGTCTGCAGTCATCGGATGTATCTCTGGCGCGATGGGGCCGCTCGTCAACAACCCTATTGATATTGTTAAGACCCGTATTCAAAAGTCCCCCAATCCGGAAGGATTGAGTGGCTGGGCGCGCTTCATGGATGTCAACACCCAAATTTTGAAGAACGAGGGCTGGAGGGCCTTCTACAAGGGTGTTACACCTCGTGTACTCCGCGTTGCTCCCGGTCAGGCTGTCACATTTGCTGTCTATGAGTGGGTTTCGAGATGGCTGGATGCCAACTCTGATACCTTCAAGTTGACCGTAACTGCTAAGTAACTTCTTTGTCAAAGTAGAGCAATTTTCGCTGCGTTCTCATCATGCCTTCACGGATATATTAATAAACATTCCAACTTTAAAAAAGTTTCGCATGGTTTAGACGCGCCTGTATCCTTTCAAAAACAGCCAGATTGATTAATAATGCCTAAATTTCACAACATTGATTATTAATGGCCGGCAATACAATTGCTCGGAATCGTTAACGCGCTTTTTAGAATGCATTGTAATTAATCATTTTTGTGTAAAAAAAAAAAAAAAAAAAAGCTTTGGGTAAGTGTAGATAACCTTATTTCCGGACTACAGGTTATAAATAACAGCAATTTGATCGAATTCCTTCTTCTTCGTTCCTTTCATTCCATTTCTTTCACTTTCAAGAATCAATTGTTAATCGACCTGAGAATCAAAAATGTCTTTGACTGAATCTTGCTGCAATACTCCTCCTGTTCAGGATGCCCAATGGCACAATAAGGGTGAGCAAGTCGCCTTGTCGCAACAGATTGCGGGTGAGGAGCGTACCACATACCGCACCGGACCTAAGGATTCGAAGCGTGGCCTCATTGCCATTTATGACATCTTTGCCTATCATCCTACGACTTACCAGTTCTTTGATGTAAGTTGGGTGGGGATTTATTGCAATTGAATTTATTGATCATAGACATTTAAGCAACGAAGGGATTTTTTTACTCACGAATTTTTCGGGGGGATATCGGCCCAAATGCCAATGTATTTTTTTACAAATACCAATACTTGAAATTTGCATATTGTAGCGTATCGCCGAGTCCCATGGTGGCTTCCAACTGTCTGCTCCCCATATTTTCACCAAGGGTGGTTACCCACCCGATCAGATGGGGGATAGCGCTAAGCTGATGGCCTGGATTGGTGCCAATGGCGATTACAAGGGCAATCATATTGACGAGATTATTCGTGTCGCTGTCGAGGATTTACGCAAGGATGGGTGTACCTCTTTTTCCATCTTTGGGCAATGCTGGGGAGCTCTCATGTCGGTCAAGGCTGCTTCTGAAGAAGGAAATCCCTTTTTGGCAGCAGGTGGTCCCCATCCATCGTTCTTTTCCATCGAAACTGTCAAAGATACAAAGGCTCCTCTGATTATTTTGGCCTCCAAGGATGAAGCTGACATGGTAAAGTGTCCAAGCGTCTCACATGAAATCCTCACTTAGTGTTACTTGAATATGTTTGGACTGTTCATTTGTTTACGCGATTTTATTTGTAATTTTTTATAAAAGGTTCCTGTTATCGACTCTATCAAGCATAAGAACTTCCCTGTTGAGCCATTCCACAAGCGTTTTGATAACATGCACCATGGCTGGACTGGAGGTAAAATAAAAAAAAACTTGGATACTACCCACATGAAAATACGTCAAAGGGGATTGAGACACTTTCTTTCGAAATGTTTTCTCTGATTTTTATCTTCAAATTCTTTTTATGTTTAGGTCGCGGAGACTGGAGCCAACCCGACCAATTCCAAGCCGGGCTCGAGGCTGTTGACCTCTTGAGTGGGTTCTTTGCAAAGGCCGCTTCTGCTAGCAAGTTGTAACGAGTAATTCATATTGTCTGCATCGCTGTAAATAAAGAGTATATATCAATCTATGACCAAGCTCCGTTACACAAGATGAAACAATTGCCAGCTTTTACTTTCAATCCATGAAGCCTTTCCGTGTTCTGCGATTATTTTCAACACTTGAAGCCTTTTTTCGATTGTTTAGAGGAATGTCAATGCCTAACCATGCTGGGATGGGATGCAAAGCAATAACAAGGCAGAGCAACGCCGCTTATGAAAAAAAAAAAAAAAAAAAAAAAATAGAGTCGATAGTCAATCTTACACAGCCCTGGCATCATGTGCACAAATAGAAAGCAGGCTTTCTAACTTTTAAGGATAAGATTTAGACTGCCTCTTTTTTCTCATCGCCACTCAGAACTCAGAGAAAACAAAAAAGCTGTTGTGAAATGTAAGAATGTGAAAAATGCTAAAGATGTGAATCAAGTCGCATTCTTAAGGCAACCTTGTCTCCTCCCCGCAAGGTACCCCTTCTCCTTTCCTCTATTCTAATCATTCCTTTACATCCATTTCTTCTTTCTCTTCTTTTTTCTTTTTTCTTTTTTCCTTTTCCATCTTTCATTTCAGAAGCACCTCAACTTCCCCTTATTCTCAGGTCACGTCCAATGACAACTCCACAACCACAGCAGCAGGACCGCCCATCCACGGCTTCATCCGCGCCCACTTCTCCCACATTGCCTGCTGTTAGCGCCAGTCTCAACCTCAGCAAGCTCAGTGAGGAAAACTCTGCTTTCTATAGCGAGCCGACGTTTGATGATAAAAAGAAGATGCCTTCGCTTGCTCTTTCGCCAACACAGGAAAAGGCTATTGACATACCCGATACCAAACCGGCTCCCGTCGATACATCATCCAAGCAGTCTGAGCCATCTGCCTCAGCTTCGTCGGCAAACCCTGCCGCCCCAACCGCATTGGTTGCACCAACTACAACTACAGCCGTAACTACAACCACAGCTACCAAGGAGGCCGGAACCCCAACAGTTGATGTTCCCTCAAATCCTCTCTCTGCACCAGCACCCAATCCCATCTCACCTGTAGCGAACACAGCGTCAGAAGCCGCGCCAGTCTTGAATATTTTTTCGACTGTAACAGAAGAATTTGACACTGATGTTGACATGGTAGAAAGCAAAGGTAATAATGACAGGCGCTTTATCTCTCTCTTTTTTTTTTTTTATTTTTTTATTTTAGTTTTTTTTTGTCACTGTGATGACAAATTCATATGTTCAATTGTATATGTCGCGTCTTTATTGTTTAAAATGGACAATATTAATGATGGTATGAATTTGTAGATGGACCCAGTTCCGTAGATATTTCTGTCGGATCGACAACAGACAAGTCAGAACCTAAGGAAAACGGAGCCTCAGCCGTAGGAGTAGAGGTGAAAGCTCGAGATGACAGGATTGTGGAATTGGAAACGCTCAATAACTCACTTCGCAATGATCTGGACGAGCTCTCGCAGGAGAAGCAAAGCGTGGACCTGGAGCTCAATCGTACCCGCGGTGCCTACCATGAGCTTCATCGGCAGCATATGGACTTGCAGCAAAAGTTGGCCAAGCGTGATAGAGATTATGAGGTCATGTCCAAAAACTATCTGGAGCATGTTCGCCTCATTCGCGCCACTGATGACGATCACTCTACTATCATGGACCGTCTAACTCAGCTCAAAGCCTCCATCGAGCATCTGATCAGGAAAGCCCAGGGAGGACGTTCCGTTAATTTGAATCGAGAAGCTGCAGTGGAACATTTCAAGAACTCGGGCCTGCTAGATAATTTTCCGATTCCTGAAGACAAGTTAGAGTCATTCCATTTGAACCTTTACATGGAATCCGTAGTCATGACTACATTGGTCTCTTGCTTCTTTGACAAGTCTCTCAACTGCATCTTTGACTACAACAAGGGCTTCAAGGAAATTTACGATTGGATGTATCAGCGTAATGAAAAGCTGGCTGTACGCTGGAGACAACAGCTCTGTGTTATGTTGACTCAGGATCCGGCAACCAAGGCCCGGCAGGAGGAGGAGGTGACAACAGCTGCAAACGCATTGTCAGAGCTTGTGTCTAAAGTCTACACAAATGCGAACGAGCTAAACAAGATCAAAGACATTTGTAACAAAGCGTTTGAGCTTTCAATAGCCATGACAGGCCTCGAATCCGTTATTAGCCCTGTAACAATTCCACTGGGTGCACCGTTTGATGAGGAAAGCATGGGAACGTCGTTGAAGAGCAACCCTGAAGGCAAGGTTGCACTTGTAATCTTTCCAGCTTTCAGGGATAAGGAGTGTGCTTTTGACGTCCGGCCCAAGGTGTGGTGCTACTGAAAGGCTTTTAGGAAAAATATGGCAACAGGCCATTCTTGGGTGTGAATATGCAATAAAAAAAAAAAAAAAAAAAAAAAAAAAAGGCATACGTCTTGGAAGATGGAGAGCATGAGCTGCAGATTCTGCAAGCCACCAAAAAAAAAAAAAAGGAACAAAACAAAAGAATATTAACAACATTAAGAACATGGGTAAAATTACGGGAATAAAGACATTAACGAAGCATTTGATTGGTGCATTCGCCTCTCAACAGAACCAACAAAAGTTCTTATGCAAGGGGAAGTGATCAATTGAATCGCGGAAGGTTGTTGATTACTATTTCCCCTGTCCAGAGCTGTGCCACTCTTCCAAAGCATAAAAGCTCCGAGGAAAGAAATTTTCTTATTTTCAGATCTAGAGCGAGCGACTACATGTACACGTACATTGTTTTGAAGGAGACACAAGGCACAGGACTAAAGTTTACTTCCTTTCATCTTTTCTGAACTTTCAAACTTTCAGATGTGGAAAGAGGAGCTTTGCCAATTTTGGTTTTTATTCGTTTCGCCACTAATTTTTGAGGTTTAAGTGTTGAGAGCCACGTCAATCTACAACTGATAAAGAAAAAGAAAAAGAAAAAGAAAAAGAAAAAACTAAAAACAAAAAAGAATGAATAGAGGAGGGAGAGATAAGCGGATGAGTAATCATGCTGATGCTGAGCCACGTTTTCATCCAAGCTTGTTGGATATTTAAAGGTGAATATGGAATGGCTGAGTTGATCGAAGGGAACAGGTAAACAATGGGGCAATGCAATATTAAAAATAATCAGATCAGTCCAACACTCCAATCCACAAAAAAAAAAAAAAAAAAAAAAAAAAAATTTTTTTTTGCTGCGGAGCCTTGAAAATAAAAATACTTCTGATCGAAGAAGACAACAGGCGAAACAGCAAAATAAACAACAAATAAATGTCCTGTCGTGTCACCTTTCCTGTTCTGGGAAGATATTCACGGCATATTGCAGCTGTTTTCTCTCTCCTGTTATCTCAGCGGAAGTGGTTAGTGGCCTTTTATCGTACATCAGGTTTATTACCGAAGGAGAAGAGATGACCCATTCTCATTGTTTTTTTTTTTTTTTTATTCCTCGGCGATTGATTTTCAGCATAAAGCAGGTTCTTTTGCTTATGTTGCTTTTGTCATGCCTAATCCACTGCTGTAAAACTGGTAAGTGGTTCTCCCAGTCATAGTACCGTGGAATATCCGCCCTATTGACAGACATTATGGGCGGCAATCTCAGAAAAAGACACTTCTTTTGTCTGTTTCACTGATATGCTAAGCACTAGTGTATATTCCGACTAAAAGAAGCGCGTTATGAGGAACCCATTGTGAACAGTGATCCTCCCCCATCCATTTAAATGGTATTATAAAATATATTGAAGTTGGGGGAGGAACAAGGTTAAAGAAAAATATGTAAAAAAAAAAAGAAACTCCTTCCAACTTCAACTTCGCCATCATTTGGGGCGAAGAAATTCTTATTGCCCATCATCCATTATTGAGAACAAAAGCGTGCCAGAGTGATGGGATGGCCTAGATCCTGTTGTTCGTTTACAACATTGTTGTTGGAGTGTGTGTATTGGATGCTCTGTAGTCTTTCACTTTTAACACTTTTTGATGGTCCATTGCAGTGTATATCGTCATATTTTAAACCAAGAACTCCGTCATTTTTATTTTTTTTATTTGTAGGCCATATGCTGTATGCTGTAAAATGCACATGTGTGTAAAACATTTTTTAATCGCAGGAAGTTGCCTTTGCATCTTCCATGGGCTTGTCTATAAAAAGTCCCTTCTCTCCCGCTTTTCGCTTTTTTTTTTTTTTTTTCCTCCTTTTTTTTGCTCTCTCTTCTTTCATGTGCAATAAATAATTCTTGCTATCTATCGGCTTCTCCTTCTCGATCTGCCTCACTTCATTACAATATTTATTCTTTCTTTCTGTCCTTATTTCCTCCTTTAACTTTTTCTGTTTGTTTGACCGTGTTATCTCTCTTTTCGTTTAAACTTTGGTTTGATCCTCTCTGTTACACACACCCTCACAGCCCTTTCTTCCATCTAAGATCCTGTTGCTTTACTAACAACACCATCATCACATCTACTATCACAACATTCTCTTTCTTTCTCTCGTCCACACCGATCACTTTCCGTTTGAGAACGTTGAGAAAAAGAATCATTTATCCCCCCCCCCCCCCTTTTTTTTTCCTTCTTTACGCTTCCCTACAATATCTCCCTGTCTTTTCCCTTTTTCCTTTTCTTTCCCAGTTCTCTGCTTGACAGGACATTGAAACCCCAAAGTTCTGTGTGTGAACATCACGCAATTCACACACAGCCCTGCATAAGAACCCTCATTATTGGATCAGCATAAGGAAAGGCGTAACCAGAACCCCATCCTACCTACATACACATACACGTAAAAAAGGAAAAAAAAAAGAAAAATAGAGCGCCATGTCCAACGTTCTTGGTCCTATTGTGGCTCGCTACAGCCTCTTTTTTTCGTTAGTATTGTCAGATTCTTCCCGACTAGCTCGATCAAAGCATCCTCGACAGGTTGTACAAGAACTTGTCCTCCAAGCGCAAGAACGCTTCCAGTCGCGATATTATGCAAATTCAGCTGAGGTACAGATGCCAATTCGTCTTTTTTATTTTTTGTTGGTTTAGTGGGTTTTAATGCAGATCTTGTTTGTGGGTCGTTGATTCCAAGATTAAGAAGCGTGAATGATGCCCTGGTTACGAAACAAAAATAACTAACAAACCAATCGTCCATTCTCTTCCCCTTTTCTTTTCTTCTTTTTTATTTGCTCGCAAACCGATGTTGTTTCACCACTATTCATCTTTTCCTCCAATGCCCTGTCTCCCCTGTTGCGCGCCTTTTACGTTATCGGACGTGGATGCTTCGCCTGCACCCGTGCCCCTGCCCGCTCTTTTTCCCGCTCTGTCCTATTTCTGTGCATAAACAACACTTGCATTATTATCTGAACCCGTACATCATGGACATGTAACTGTATTACTATCAACCTTTCATTAAATTTCATTCTCATCATGATTACTCTTCCTTAATATCAACATCACCCATTGTAATTCATCCTACTCAGTCAAAAACACTTTCCAGAAATGTCTCGACAACATCATCATCCTCCAACACGACGCAATATTCCCTATCCTCAGCTTCTTCCATTGCATCCTCTGCATCGACCAGAGCATCGTCCATATCCTCCACGTGCTCAAACGTCAATGGTTCATATCGAAACATGAATTCAATTCCCATCAAAAAAAGGGAAATGATCGGTGATGACTGTGGTGGCCCAACCGCAAGCCTCGAACGCCTCGTAGTCGATTCTCATCATGTCACGATTTTGCCTTCCCCCCCGCCCTCACCAACGTCAATGTACATAGCCAAAGAGACTTCCATACTCCCAGGCAAATCATTGATGCCAATCACGCCAACTCGTACACCCTCTACATCTTCTTCTTGCTCCGCAGCTTATGATCCTTCAACCCATAGAGCTCAGTCTAGAGAGGACAAAATCGCGCAACGTCGTCGACACAGACAGACAAGTTCGGTTGCAACACTGCTCTCAATTGCCCTCACAGTCATTCTGTTAAGCCTACTGCAAAATAGACGGCATTGCCTCAAAAAACAAAACCGTCAGTCTCACCGTCGATCCTTGAGCGCTCATCATAAACATCAACTTCGCCAACGTCATCCAATCCTTTCCTCCCAGCTTTCGCAACACCGACTATCAGAGCACCATCACACCTCCAACCGTTTGATCCACACTCAAGAACACCAGTTCTTCCCTGTGGAAGCATCCAAGGAGAATTATGTCTCAACTTGGCTAGGACATCAAGGTTATTACCGAAATGGTAATGTCTCCGAGCAACTTCCGTGGGATGCGGTTGAGAGCAGAGAAATCTTTTTCTCTCAAAACAATCGCACGGTCAACGCCACCAAGCCAACGGGTGGACAATACTCTCTCCAGAACCATGACGATCCTTCTCTTCTACATTTCCCGCGTCATCGTCGTGCTCTTTCAATGACGAACCCAAACACATCCACGGCTACGTTCCAGTCTCATTTTTCTTCAAATCACGGAGAATACTACCATGTTACTGATCCAGTCTTCCAGATGCATCAATATCGCCTCCACCACTTCCCATACATCGACCAGCGTTTTCAGCTGGTGTCGGCACCTCCAGCTGTTGAGCCAGCTTCGTTTGTATATGGGCCTTCCATGAAGTCGGCGGATGAGCTTGCTTGGGAGCGACATAACTATTACCAACGTCTCCAACAAGAGGAAGAAGAGTTGGCGCTGAAAATGCTACAGGAGAAAGGTAGCCCGGAGGACCATGTGCTGCCCACGTCCTCATCTTCGCGTCAAAGATACTCTAGCCAGGATTATGTTGTAAGAGCTGGCTCCTTGAATCGACTGGCATCACCTCCATTGTTATCAAAGGAGACCTCTCGTATTCTAGGCCTTTGCCGCTCCAATACACTGTCAGCAGCCAAGCGAATGAGCCTAACAAAGAAGCGTCCAGCTAGCCGCTGTTCATCAAGCACAACAGCAACATCATCGATCGTGAGCATTGAAAGCAATGACGCCAACATGGCACCACATGCTGGAGCTTGCGCCGAGAACAGCATTCGTACAGCCTCTCGTACTGGTTCGACGGTAGAAGAGACTACTCCTACTCCAGCTTACACTTCAGTTGCTCCATCATTGACTCGGAAAAAAACGCTAAAAGAGCATTTGACGCCACCATTGCGTTCGCTTGCAAGGCGCTGCTCAGCTCGTTTTACTAGCAATGGAAGCAATAACAATGGACGACCCATCTCTTTTGCTGGTATAAGAAGTGATCCCATCGTCGATTATCCTCAAGGAAGACGCTCGCTTGGCTCTCGTGCAAGTGGAAGCTCCATTTCTGCCTCTACCTCCGCATCATCGTCATCACACATGTGTGATTTCAAACCTCTGCAGCTCGGACCTGAAACAAGCGAAATGTTGCGACAACAAAGTCAGCAGCAAGAGGCGCCATCAGTGTCCTCAACCCCATTGCCAGCAACTGAGCCAGTTCCGGTGCATAGATCTGTGGGATTGTTTCGATCCAAGACCACTCGCCCCCAAGGTTCCGCATCCATGGTATCTGGAGGAAGCTCGGCCAAACATGCAGAAACGCTTCCATTTCACAAGAAAAACTCGCTGAGATTGGCCAACGGTCGTGGATTAGACTTTTTGACAGTCTTACCCTCTCCCTCAGTAGAGCCTAATTCAAGAGGTAGCTTGAATGGCCTTTTCAATGCCAGTGAAAGTGCAACATTAGCAGAATCAGCAGTCATGAATGCAGAAGAACACGAGGCAATGCGCAAGGAGATCATCGCCATGTTGTCATTGGGCCGCAAGGATCTGCGCCGCAAACCGTCGACCGTGCCCATGTCAACGTCTACGCCTCTTCCCTCACCTCCCCAATGCCTTTCACCCTTGGCATTGGAGGCCCAGGAAGACTTGTACTCGGTCCAAGAACATGAGCAAGAAGAGCAAGAAGGACAGGACCAAGAGGACTCAACCTTGTATCCCCTTGAGTCTGACTTGCAGGACCCTTGCAAGAAGATTGCATTTATGCTCGTACCCAAATCTCGCTACGAGTTTCAGCCTTTAGTGGTGCAGTAATTCAATGGAGTCTAAACAGACCCCATCCTCATCTTTACATTTGTATATATGTATATCACTCTTCATTTTATGTTGTAAATAGCTATCATCTTATTTATATGTTATACCCTCACACACCATCCATATCTCGTTTTCATCATCATCATCATCATGTTAGACTTGTACCAATGCATTAAAAGGACTATTAAAATAATGTTTGACTATTTTATATGTGTTTTCTTTTTTATTCGTTTGTATTTGTATGGAGTCTGAAAGAGAGATGGATGCTGATTTGTACTTTCTTTCAGTCGCATAGTCTCTCGCTAATGTGGGGCAAAGATGGGGGTAAGGAAGGAAGGAAGGAATGAGAGGCGGAACAATATCCAGTTCCCCAGTCTGACCTGTATGGTCTCCTGAATTATTTGGACTCGGACTAGCAGAGGACCCTTTCTCTTTTTTTTTTTTTTTTTTTTTAAAAAAGCTAATGTCGTAATATCCCATGTAAATATGTGTATACATGTACATGCTTCGTTCTTGGTGAGTAAGCTAAAGATTGAGACGTGGCGGAAAAAATAACTAGTGGTACATGCACTTTCTGTAATCTGTATCATTGCATCACGGATGTACTTTGGTAGAGCCAATCAATAGGAGTTGCGACTTTTATGAATATTTGCAATGAAGCATGGCTGGAGTCTAGGAGGTGTGAAAATATTGAAATGGTGGTATGGGCTTTAGAGAAACGGTTAGTGAGCTGCATTGGTTGATTGGTTACTTTGGTTTTGGCATTGATGAAAATGCCGTCTGTGAAGTCTCCATTGCTAGCTTTAAAAAGAGGGAATGTAAGATAATGAGAATGGGAAAAGTTGGTTGGGTACCTGACAGTTGGTAGACACATACATATTGCCATTATTTTTATTTTTATTTTTATTTTATTTTTATTTTTGTACTTCAGTTGATTTGCAATCTGTCTCTTTTCCTGGCGCTTTTCCCATCATGGACATTTATACATTATGAATGAGTAGGGTTGGGAGGGGGGAAGTTGATGTGCCTCTTCTGTGTAGACTTCCCGCGTGCACCGTGCTGTGTGTAACCAATCCGTGATTTAAAACAATCTTCATTTGCCAATGTCGAAAATATTTGACAAGTGGATCTGCTCCACTTTGTCTCCACACAGTCAACGAAAAAAAAAAAAAAAAAAAAAAAAAAAAAGGAAAAAAAAAAATATTGAACTGCTATTCCCATTTTCAAAAAGTACTACACCGTCTACTCACGCATTCCAAACTAAACTGACCTCAGTTCCTGACCACTATCGATTTACAAGAGTAACAATGAATATAGATGAGTATCACTATATCCAGGTCTTAAAATATCAGCAATATGGGAGGGGTATATATATATATATCCCTACCCTACCCCTCTAACCTCAGCTTCAACTTCAGAGATTTCCGTTTACAGACCATGCTCATTTCTCACCAAGCAAACTGAGTTACTATCATGGTTCTCAACTTTCTCATGGGACATGGAAAGTCCCGTTTCTGTTTACAAAAAAAAAAAAAAAACTCGAAACCTTCTTAAGTATTTAATAGCCTCTTACTCGCACCTTTAGGGAACTTTATTTCTCCTAAAACAACGCAAAGCAATAACCATTGAATTACTTTTTTTTTTTTTTTTTTTTTTTTTTTTTTCAATATAACCTTAGGTTTGTTCTGTACTACAGAGTAGCCGCCACTGGGGTTGATGAAGTGAAAATGATAGTGGATACGGGAACCATCCTATTTCTGGAGGACAGTCAATAAATAAAGATATTAACGATCGTGATCAGCTGGACATTCTCTGAGACAGGTCATAATGAGCTAGGATCGTTACGGGTAGTTGTATCGTCTGTTATACTGACGAACAAATAAATGTGTTCTCTCATGTAGGCGGTACTCAAAGAAAGCCTTGGAGAGGGCGGATTAGAATGATCTTTGACGACTGAATCGACTGAATGGGGTGACTATCCAATCACTAGTATCTGTAATGAGTACTGCCTTCTAACGGCAAGGCAATGCACCTTGCATATCCCTTTTATAAGTACATATATATATATATATATATATAATTTTCAGCGACTTATAACACCTTAACCAATGTTTCCTCTCTTTATGTGTTTATATCTCACTTTCTAGTTGACCTAAGATCCGCTCACGCGAAAACTTTCCGAAAGACCAAAAGATTGAGATTCGAGATACCCATCTGTCACCTATTCATGATTCCAACGTGTATTGATAGATCAAATATCTGCTCCCAATGTCTTTCCTAAAATGATTATAAGAACTCGTTTGCCCGTTCTTTAGCATCGTTATGACGACGTACCACATCTCAACTCTGGGGGAAGAAAGGATGAGGAAAGACAACAAGAAGGTCAAAGAAAAGACTAAAAGAGACTACTAGAGACTGCTAGAGACGAGATATCTTTGCCTTTTCTCGTAAAGTGTGTCCTGTTTGGTGTTGGTTTTGAAGGATTGTCATCCTCTCCTCTCTCCTTCTTTCATCTTTTGCATTCACATTACTCTTTCCAGCTTTCTACAGCACTTGATTTGATAGAACCCTAAAGTCCTCCTTTTTCGATTCACGATTCACGCACAGGCCTCATTTGGCACCTCCTGCTCTGTCATCAACTCCCTTCTTTTACAGAAAATTGGTAATTGTTGTAATCCTTCAAATACGGAGAAATGAGAACTCTTGTTTTTTATTTATCCGCCCCATAGTTCTCTTGGTCTAACGCTGCCTTCACTTTTTTTTTTTTTTTTTTTTTTTTTTTTTTTTTTTTATTCTGCCAATCAAATAAAAACAATCAACTTTGATTAATCAGAGACATTGACGATCGCAATAAATAGTATCGTCAGTACCATCCGAGCGCGTTCAACGGTCATACCGGTGGTAGAATGCTTTCATCTCATCACAACAAGGCTGCAAACGGATCATCTGAACAGTCGCAACAGTATTACAGTAGTAGCGACTTGAGCGATGTTGCAGAAAGCTATGTTTCCACTATGGATAAAGATGAAGTAATGACCTCTATGGACTTTACGATGTCCCACGTCCAAATCTCACCAAAAAAGCCCGATAACAAAAACATGAATGGGATTGAAGGCTTTTCACCCTCCATTAAGGTTGACAGCCTGAGCTTTGTAGAGAGACTTCAGCGTAAGGATCTGTTTATCTCGACTGATCTTTCACTTCCATTCAGTAATAACCCCGCCACCAATGCGGAACGTAAAAACACAATGGTCAACACCCCCATCTCTTCTCCTCAGACACAGCTTCAACAGCAACAATTACAACAACAACAACAACAACAACAACAACAACAACAACAACAGCAGCAACAACAACAACAACAACAGCAACAACACCACTCTTCTGCCACACAAAATCAGTTCCCACTCATCACACATCCGAGCCCTGTACGATCTGCAGGGATTGAAGATGAATCCGTTGGCAGTTTTCAGTCTAGTAGATCACTCTTGGGGAATACCACGTTATCTACACCTCACAACACTGGCTTAGTCAGATCTGTTACAACGCATGAACTCTATTCCATGAACGACCACAATCTAGGAGACATCAGTAGAATGAATATCACCAATTCGACTCATCTGGACGCAGGATCTTCTCCAAAGCCTCATGCACCGCAGAAGAGACAATTAAGTCGCTCCAATGCCCATCGCCGCCACTCTGTTTCAAATAATATCAATAATATCTCTAGCGGCAGAACTAATCCTGACTCAGCCCATGACGCAGCTCAAAATATAGCCATGGGTAACGGAACTACCGGTGCTACCGACGATACCGCGGCTATGTCTTCAACATATCTTCCTACACCCACTTCGGAGGCAGCACTCCGTAGTACGGATAATGGTGATCTTGGTCTTTACATGGATTACACTACGCAATTACCGACCGCTATACCACCATTCCTCACACAAGCTCCTATAAACACCAATTCGCCCAGTGAAGCTCATTCTTTTGACCAAATGCCAATTGCAAATGCAGAAACAGCAATAGGTACCTGGAATTCAGGCAGCATACTGGGGATGCCTCCAACACCTAGCTCACTATCCATGATAGGTACCACTAAAAATACCACTATCCAGTGCCTTCAGCAACCTCAGCAACCCATGGTGGATCAGAAGCAGCAATCTCACCCACAAGTTTCAAACAGTCTCTCACAGCAGCAACAGCAACGATCAGGTTCCAAAGCGGAAGGAATTCCAGCGTCAACGTCATCAAGTCAATTAAAAGCACTAGCAACACAGCAGCAACAGGGACCTCAAACCTCCAAGAGGGGATCAAAATCAAAAGCAAAGCGCCGTGTGGGTAGTGTTCCAGCCACAAGACAACCACCTCCGTCATACATGTCTGCGGAGATGCCTTGGTCTTCACTTTCGGATCACACTCAGCAGATGGCTTTCCAAATGCTCTTTCCGTCACACCATTGCACTAGTGTTGAGGCTTTCAATGCCGCTGTAAGCAAGTTATCCTTGCAACAGCAACAGCAGCGACAACAGTCACCACAGCAACAGCAACAGCAACAGCAACAGCAACAGCAGCAGCAACAGCAGCAGCAACAGCAGCAGCAACAGCAACAGCAGCAGCAGCAACAGCAGCAGCAACAGCAACAGCAACAACAGCAGCAAAAGAGTCCAATAAACCGACTCTATTACCATGGCCCCGCACCGTGTGGTAATTCAGATCCTTTATATGAGTATCTTGCCTCACCAACCGTTGTACCAGGCCTAGAAATTATTGGTCGCGACTACTATGGCAACTTTGTGCAGATTCTCCCTATTTGCCCCGAAACGACCTGCAGTATGAATCAGGATCCAGTCTATTTGAACTTATTGCAGGCCATATATGCACATACGATCCCGTTCTTGGACCTTGCCCCAGGATCTGAAGAAGAGACGCAACGGCTGATGAGCGGAAGTCCTTCTGCCATCACAACCCAATCTATCCAGCCACCCTTCAAGTATCTACTCCCCCTTGACAACAGTAACAACGTGAGCAGCTCTGGAGCTGGCACGGCACTATCTCTATGCAATAGCTACTCAGCCTTGACATCTTCGGCCTCAACGCCTTTATTCCAGCAGGCTATCAATAGCAATACTAATGGTAACAGCGGTAATAACAACAATAGACTCCACCGCCGCGCTTCTGCGCCAACCATCAGTATGACCTCTTCCTCTGCTGTTCTTAACAGCCGCCGACCTAGTGTTGCCTCAACCTCCAGTCTAAGTAACCCTGCCAAGAAGAAGAAGAATGCGCAGCGGACACACCCATACAAGACGACCAGCGCGTTCAAGGAAGACAATCCAATGGTCACGGAGGCCATCTTGACCCAAGTTGGGGGCTTAGGTGGGATCGGAAATAATGCCACCCCCAGTAGTACGACAGATCCACGGCATAAGATCGCAGAGAAAATGGTACACATGGACGAGGCTGAATATGCAGTACACTATTCCAAGCACCATCAGTCTATGAATAGGTCTACATCTGCGTCGACTCTGCGTTTGAGTCAGACCATGACCACCTCTGTGTCCGACACTTCTTTGAGCTCTACCAAACCTTACTCCCTCATGTCTTCCTCTATTTCTGCGCCATCTATCGCTCATATTCATATGACCGCCATCCATGGCAGTAACGGGAACAGTGCGGTCTCTCCCTTAGAATCTATTGGCGCCACAGACTTCATTAGAGTGCTTTCAGAGTGCAACGGTGACGTGGACGGGCAAGGTTCGCATCCCAATGTTAGCTCTAACGAAGCTTCTTCAGCCTCTGAGATGGCTTTTGCCACCGACAATGCTCTTCTTAGCCTGGAGAACTTGATGATGATGAATAGTACAGATGCAGCGGCGGTCCAAGCTGCAGCCGCCGCAACGACCTGGCCTGCATGGTTTGACCTTCGCCAGTTGGAAAAAGATGTCTGTCAGGATGGTGGCGTTGCCGGGACCAGCCCCTTCACTGCCTCTACTCAAGAAACTGGCTTTTCATTCTACCCCTCCACATCCATTTCGACTTCCATGGCTACTTCGTCTGCGAAGCCATCACAGGAGGGCAACCATGATGGCAACACAGCTGGCTTGCTTCTTAGCTCCAGTACAGATTTGTCTATAATGGATGATCTCTTCGACAGTGAGCAACAAACTCGACAAAAACAAGTGAATGTAACCCCAGCCTCAACATCAAAGCCGAGCCAAGGTCAACACGACGACATGGCGTTGGCCCTCCCTGTGCATTCAAAATCAAGTAATGGCAAAGATGTTTGCCATCAAAATAGCACCAGCCAAGTGTTAGTCTTTGATCAATATCCAATGGGTGTACCCCCATCATCACGTAAGTCCCAAGGTAGCAGCAGTAACGGCAGTAATAACATCGGTAGCAGCAATAGTGCCTCTGTACCTTCGTCTTCATCCTCGATTCCACATCTTTCGAACAGTTCTTCCGTAGAGATCAACAGCACAACGACAGTTGCTTCAACGAATGACGATGGAAAGAGTGCGGAGCTCAAGAAGTCCATTTCCAATGATCTCAGTATCCCCTATACGTCATCATTATTGACTGTCCTTCCGTTCTCAGCTCAACATTCGCGTCCCATCTTTCCAACGCGTGGCAACCGTCGTTCAGGTTGGTATCGATCCAAATCCGTGGCATCACAAGAGTTGAGCCAGATCACGGGTGTAGATTACACCACAACGTGTTGGTACGATGTAGAACAACTCCAGAACGTTGTCCGTGATTCGATCTTGTTTCAAGAATCGAGCGGATTAAAATCTTTGGAGGATTTGACTGACCCTTATCCTCCTCATTCTTCTTCTTCTTCGACTACAACTATATCAACTACAACAACTCAAGAAAGCCTATAAAAACTTGAGCACAACAAATGGCATTTTGTACAATAGATTAAAATAGATTAATAGTGTAATAAAATTAATGTGAATTCAATTCTGGTTCCTCATTATTACATGGACAATATATACATACAGTTATGAGGAAAATAATTTATTTATTTATGGCTACAGAACAATGTAATATTTTTTTTTTTTTTTTTTTTTCATACATATTTTTTTTCTTTATTTAAAGACGAGCAGCCATGAACTCAGAGCTTTGCTTTGCACGGACGGATGCGACCTCCTCCTCAGAAACTTCACGAGCCTCGGTAGCAGGGTTGTAGCCAACGCGCTTGCGGGAGTCGACATACTTTGGAGAGGAACCCAAGTCAGCCTTCTTATAAAGCGTGACGACAACTGCTCCGCCGAGACCGACGTTATGTTGAAGAGCGTATTTGCAGTTGGGGACCTGACGCTCTTCGCACCAGCCGCGGAGCTGCCAGACCAACTCTGAGCACTGAGCCAAACCAGTGGCGCCCAAAGGATGACCCTTGGAGATCAATCCACCTGAAGGGTTGACGACGTACTTGCCGCCGTACGAGACATCGTTCGAATCGATCAACTTGTGGGCCTCACCAGGCTTGCAGAGTCCGAGAGCGTCATAGGTGATCAGCTCGTTGGCTGAGAAACAGTCGTGCAACTCAACGACCTGCACATCTGTGGGCTTGATTCCAGCCTTGGCATAGACCTCATTAGCAGCGCGACGGGTCATGTCCGCACCAGCCAACTCAATCGAGGACTGATTGAAGAGCTTGGGAGAATCTGTGGCCATGGTCTGAGCGACCATCTCAACAGCCTGGTCCTGCAAGTTGTGCTCCTTGACAAACTTTTCAGAAGCCAAGATCACACAGGCGGAGCCATCGGAGGTAGGGCAGCACTGGAGTTTGGTCAGAGGACCAAAGACTTTGGGGGATTTTTCAACTTGCTCCAATGTGTAAATGTCACGGAACTGAGAGTATGGGTTCAAGGCAGAGTGGCGATGATTCTTTTCTGCAATCTTTGCCAAGTGCTGGGGAGTGGCTCCGTATTTTTCGCAGTACTCGATACCGGCATTGCCAAAGATCTGAGCAGCGAAAGGTCCAGCACCAATACCACGGGTCTCGCTCATCATCTCCACAGTCTTGTCCAGAGGGTTGGTACGATCCTCAAATTTAGATCCGAGTGAACCAGCCTCCATCTTCTCGAAACCTAGAGCCATGGTGCAGTCTGCAATACCATACTCAACTGCTTGGCGGGCAAGGAAGAGAGCAGTTGACCCGGTCGAGCAGTTGTTGTTGACATTGATGATGGGGATCTATAACATAAACGGGGGGGGGGGGGGGGTTCGGCACAGGTTAAAAAAGAGGAGGAGTCGGGTCAGTTTTTGCTTGTTTGTTCGTTCATGACGAAAAGAGATCACTTCAAGCGATTCTGTCCATTAAAGTGTCTCGGCTCCGCCCTGTTGCCCCATAGGAGTATATCTTGCTTTACCTGGTGCATTCCGAGCTGGTACAAGGTACGTTGACCACAGGTGCTGTCACCATAGCAGTAACCAACTGCAGCCTAAAAACAAAAAAATAAAATAAAATAAAATTTTTAACATTTGTTGTGTCCCAAAAATGTGGAGGATAAACATATTGGCGAGCCGAATAAATTCTCCCTTTAATTTTACCTGCTGGACTTTGTCATAGGTGATTCCAGCATCTAACAGGGCCTTGGTAGCAGCCTCACGACCCATATCTAAACACATTCAATGTAAGTATAGCGATTGAAGTGTTAGTTGTAAAGCAGTCAATCATTAATTTAGGCTTGATGTGTTACTCCAGGAATTTAAAATACCGGGATAGTCTCTCAGATCTCTGGGCTTGATGAACTTGGTCATGCCGACACCGATAACGTAGACTTTCTGGGGAGCCATTGTTGATTGAGCTGTGTTATGTACAGGAAGATATGTGGGGAGCAAAAAGGAGAAGAGTGCAAGGTTGAGAGGAGAGAAAAAAAAATGAGATGGAGAATGAAAGGAATGGAGAGAATGGCTGTCCCTTTTTGTGCACCTTTTTTTTTTTTTTTACTTTGCCATGTGAGCCGTTTCCAGCTGCAGCATTCCTGTGTCCGTGTTGTGTTTATCGAGTTGTCACTCTCACACGTGATAAATCGAGCCGAAACAGATCAGTAATCAAGGAACACTAAAAAAAAAATCTAGGAGCAGTAGGAGCAATAGGAACAGTAGGAACAAGTGATGTTAAATGGGATTAAGAATGTCGCGGTAGACATTTTTATTACTATTTCTTTTTTTTTTTTTTTTTTTTTTAGAATTCTTGGTGTACTGCATTATTGTCATCAGTCTTCTAAGATTTACTTGGTGGCGCAAACCAAAGAACGGTTGTAATTTCAAAAGTAACACCCTCCTTTTCTGCCATTTCAATGAACGCCAAAAGTTGGTCATGGAAATATTGTACGCCAGGAGCTGGCAGACCCGGGTAGCTCGAGAGGATTCCAAACATCCAAAGCCACTTTTCAATCCCTCCTCTCAGGAATGACCTCCAACACGTTTCGAATGTATATTCTGTAGGTTTGACGACTCCCAGCTGAACAAGCCGCTCCCAGTACTTTTTCAGCGCAGGTCGGGCATGCTCCTGGAAGATCGGTATAGCCATATCTGAGATCACCGTCTGTCCCAGATCTGTGGTCGGCTCCCATACACCGACTTCAGACCAGTCATAGAGTGTGATACTGGATGATGATGGAACAGACCTGTCTAGGATCATGTTGGCGGCATGAAAATCCCCATGAGCCAAGGTGAATGGGACAGATTTATCCTGAAGTCTTTGTTGTAATTTGTCCCACGAGGCCCGTTCAAATGCCTCGTCCAAGATCTTGACAAACTTTTCAGAATACTTCACAGGAAAATCTCCCTTTGTGGCTTTGGCTTTGCCCATTTCCCACGCTTGAGCACCCGCCTGCACACTCCATTCCCATTGTATCCGATTCAGACCATGGTACCACCCCGCAGTTTTGAGCCAAGTCAGTTCAAGCAGACGCCTGTCGTTCCAGTGTTGAGCATGGGTCTCAGCTGCGGTGAGGAACATGTGTTCCAACATTGCAGGTGCTGAAGGAAGGGAAGAGCGATCGATTGTCGGCGGTATCCCCCAGATCTGGTTACCAAACACAAAGTTCACATCCACAGGGCCTGGTGATCCGTGACGCTGCTTGACATCCTCCATCAAGATTACATACTCCCCCAGCCATTGTGATCCATAGGCATAGTAAATTTTAGGCAATAAAGTCTTGGGTACTAATTCCTTGGCCAGATCAGAAGAGTAGAATATGGCTTCCCGGGTCTGACCAGAGAGGATGTTGCCCAGCCTATCCTTGTATCCATCTCTACTCCTCTTGAGGATCAAGTGTAGTTCCTTTGGAGCCGCTTCTGTTGATTTGGAAGAATCTGGGATATAGCTGACCAAGACACGGTTCATGGCGCCAACCAAGCCACGATTCCCATCCAGTCCTTTGCACTCCACACTTAATATCCTAGCAGTCCTGGGGATCGTTCCGTCGGCGATCAAAGTTTTTGAAATCCATGGTATAGAGATCTCGCTGTCACCAGGACGTGGCGCATAGCCTGGTCCAAAACTCGAAGAAGAGAACAGAAGCGAGGAAATATAGCGACGAGAAGTTGCATATATATGAGCTATGGCAGCTTGTAACGAATAATAACGGAACGTGCTTGATGATCTTAGGGATGAGTCGCCCATCTTTTTTTTTTTTTTTTTTTTTTCGAAAGCTGTGTTTCCTAGATCAGGGTGTAAGAAAGAAAAAAGAAAAAGCGGTGAACAGGCTTTTAAAAGAAAAATTCCGCAGTAAATTTCGCTGTTCATTTATAGCGGCTACAGGCTACAACAACTCCAATCATGTCTAAACAGGTCGAATATTTAAGAAGCGCCGCACGTGCGCCCATGATACACGCCGCTCTGGAACAGAAAAGAAGTAGAAATATACTTGGTATGGTATGGATGTCTATATTCCAGACATAAGAATGGTCCAAGCAGTGGTGTCTATAATAGACTGAGTATCCACTATTTGATATCCATCCTACGAGGCGACGTGGATCGGAAATCAAGGATTTAGTTCATAGATTTTTTTTTACGCACGCTTATTTGAGCGCATGGGGGTATCCTTGATAAAGCAAAGTGAACCAGAAAAAAAGCAGACTGTTACAGACTTTGAGTATGCCAAAGTCATGGTGGAAGAGCGAACAGGTAAGAACATGGTGCACACTCCATTGATCAAGAGCTTCTTTTTTCGTTACTCACATCTTTGAAGGATTCTTATCGGCCAAGGCACGCAGCGCCATGCGGAGGTGCACATGTATCTTTTTGGGCTGCGGGTGGCTGGAGCTGCATAGGAAAAAAAAAGAAGCTGAAAAGGCAGCTTATTTTTAGGCAAGTGCTAGGAAGACTTTGTTTATTCTATACGTATAGTTGATGAGTGTTTTGAGTTAGGGGACAGGGGGAGAAAGAAAGCGTGTGCAGGCGTACATCCAAGGTCCAGAGCATCACTTCCAAAAGACATTTTGGTGAGTGATCTCCAGTCTTTGTATTTAATTTCTACAGCTTAACGTCCAACCATTTAGAATTTTAGGCCACCATTGTTCTTTAATCTTGATGACAGTATTTTATCGCACGTGTATGTAGATCATTAAAACTCCCATTTGAGCCTGGCCAGTGCACATGCATGGCTGTTGTTATCTTTGGATGTTTTTTTTTTTTTTTTTTTTTTTTTTTTTTTTTGAGGTACATGTACTGTACAAAATGCGTACAAACAAAGCTAATTGGAGCTAAGGCGCTCAATTTTGTTGAGTCAGTCAATGAAAGTGTAAAAAAAAAAAAAAATGAAAATGAAAATGAAAGAATGAAAGAATGAAAGAACGAGAGGAAAGAAGGAAAAAGAAAGTAACAAAAAAAATATAAGGCAAGAACTCAGCGATAGACCTTTTTTTTTTTTTTTTGTTTTTTTTTGCCCCATGGGAACAAAGTTGGATGTTCTGACGATCCCCAACGCCCAACACAGTGTTCATGGAACAAATTTACGTTGACAAGTGGGCTATAAAATCATCTGAGGTCTGACCTGTAACTAGTGTGCTGGACTAAACAGTGAGGTCAGCAAGCACATTGTGGGCCATCAACGCAGGATCAGAGGTACATGTATGAAGATCAAAGGTGAATAACATATAAACAAATGATTCAAATGAGAGAGCGTTTATATTTAAAGGGAAATTGCCAAATAAAATATACAAATATATATAAATACTGTATAAATACAAACATGATAAACATGATAATGGTGCAGTGTCGAGATATGATGCAAGAGTTGTTCGGTGAAGATGAGTAAAAAAGAAAAAAAGAAAATGCTCAACAAAACAAGAGTCCAATTCAAACAGGCGGGAGTGTTTATTGATTTGCGGAAGTGTAAAAAAGAAAGAAAGCAGGTGAGCCAAGGTTTGTATCTGTCTGGACTATCGTCCAATCGTAGCCCACGATCTAACATTGATAAGTGCAAGATAAAAACCTTGAAATGCAAAGAGGGGTTCTTCTTTGTCTGAGTAAAAAAGAAGAAAGAAAAAAAAAAAACGGCCCTCTTCTCCCCCCCCCTTTTTTTTTTTACTTTTTCATCTTGATATATAGTAGACTTTGCTATCTCTCTTTTCTTTCTCTTCTCTTCTCTTCCTGATCATAGATAATCACTGGGCATTTTTACCTTTAATAGTGAGAGGCACTATAAGACAATGTGTATAAAAAGATAATATTACACTTGATCTTGATCAAATACAAGCCCCTGTCATGGAGTGGATAAGGTTCACATATCAATGAATGACCAACAGGATTAAAAGCACAAAAAGAAAACAGCAATAAAACTATATTATATATAACGAACCAAAAAAAAAAGGAATGGAAACGAAAAAAAAACACTCCACGTTTGAATTATATCATTGAAGTAAAAGAAAGCAAAGAAATCAGAAGCAAAGGAAGGAAGCGTAGATTCACTTTAATCCGGAAGAAGCGCCGATTGTTTGACTGTGGAGTGAGCATTGAACAAGAAAACTTTGAATGTGTTCAACTCTAACTTGTCTGTTTACGTATATATTTCCAAACCCGTATTTTTTTTTATTTTTTTTTTTCTTTTATAACTCTTCCTCTCTCTTTTCCTCTTTTCTCTCTTTTCTTTCTTTCTTTATTCCCTCACCACCATCCATCGCCACCCCATCGCCATCTCATCTTCTCATCATCCGCCACTTTTCATCCATATCCTTATCCATCACACACTTCATTTCTTATCACCATGAGATTAGTCATTCGCAAGGACTTTGAGGCCGTCTCATACCACGTCGGTAAGCAGGAAATGGTTTACTCTTACTAATAAATGCTGCTCTCTACGCGTTTAATGGATTCAACACGCTATACATGACATTCATCTTTTCCCGTCCCTTTGTTGCTCTTTATACTCGGGTTATCAAACATCATTTACTGATTTTCACTTTTTTTTTTTTTTTTTTTTTTTTTTCCTTCTTTCTTCCCTATTATAATAGCCAAGTACGTCAAGGAACGCATCAAGGAGTTTGCTCCTACTGCTACCAAGCCATTTGTTCTTGGTCTTCCCACTGGTTCATCTCCCATTGGTGTGTACAGAAACTTGGTCAAGTTCCACCAGGCTGGAGAGCTTTCTTTCCAGCACATTATCACCTTCAACATGGATGAATACGTTGGATTGCCCAGGTAAATAGAGCGGGAACACTTTGATTTAGTGGCAGTGAGGGGATTTGGGAGATGGGAAAAAAAAAAAAAAAAAAAAAAAAAGAAAATAAAAAGAGCAAGGCAAGGACAATTTTTTTTTTTTTTTTTTTTTTACTCACGATCGCCAGATCGTTCGCTGGGTCTCAAAAGAGCAAGAAAAAAAAAAAAGGTGAAATCAAAACATGCGGACTCTTTATTAGTTGGATGGTGTCAAACAGTCATCATCCATCCCGGTCATTCAAGGAACTATTAAAAATATATACAAAGCTTTAGAAGACAGTGGAAGAAGTTAGTTGTCGTTGAATGTATGAGAGGTGTGCAATCAGGGCTGAGTTAGAAGGAAAAAAAAAAAGAGGTGATATCATGCATTCATGTATACAAAGCAACTATCCAATCCCTGTAACTGACATTTATTTCTTCATTATCCTTGGTGATTAAAATAAAAACCCATAGAGATCATCCCGAATCATACCACTCATTCATGTGGAGCAACCTGTTCAAGCATGTCGATATCCTTCCTGAGAACGTTCATATCCTCGATGGCAACGCTACTGATTTGGATCTCGAGTGCCAGCGCTACGAGGAGAAGATCGCTGCTGTCGGAGGCATCGAGCTCTTCTTGGGAGGTATCGGTCCTGACGGTCACATTGCCTTCAACGAGCCCGGCTCTTCACTCAACTCCCGCACCCGTGTCAAGACTCTCGCCTACGACACCATCGTTGCTAATGCCCGCTTTTTCGACAATGATATTACCAAGGTCCCCAACTTGGCTTTGACCGTCGGTGTTGCGTAAGTGTCCTCTTTCTTTGTTGATCAAAATATCCGTTGATACTGTTGAGAGCACTCACAAATGTAACATGTATACATTCATGCTTCCATGAGTTCAACCTACATATGATTGTTTTTTGATAATGCTGGATGTGAGCAATTGGGACCAATAACCTGGATTCAGCAATAAATGTAGCTTAAAGCAATCAGGACCGGAGTTCAACACATCAAAATCCTTCAGCTACTTCAGCTAGTCAAAAAAAAAAAAAAAAAAAAAAAAAAGAAAAAGAAAAGAGACATGTTCTTCTATCCCACTTGTTTGAGAATCTCCCCCATTCTTCATTGCTTTTGTGTTGCACAGACAGCATGTTCTCCAAACCTTACCACTCCCAACCTAACCTACTTTTTCTTTTATTTTCCTCTCTCTCTCTTTTTTTTTTTTTTTTTTTTTTTACATAGTACGGTCATGGATGCTCGTGAAGTCTGCATTATCATTACTGGCGCTCACAAGGCTTTGGCCTTGGCCAAGTGTATTGAGGAGGGTGTCAACCACATGTGGACTGTTTCTGCCATTCAACTCCACCCTCGTGGTATGATTGTCTGTGATGAGGATGCTACTCTTGAGCTTCACGTCAAGACCGTCAACTATTTCAAATCCATTGAAAAGGTTCATGAGCAACTCATTGGTTCTGACAACGTTGGCTTGCAGGGTGGTGTCCGCTCGTGGCGCGGTGGTGCCGAATCCACTTACCACCAATAAAAAAAAAAAAAAAAAAAAAAAAAAGAAATTGTGGAGTATGGACAGGGCTTTCTTGACAAGAGAAGGCAAAGATAGAAAGGAAGAAGAGGAAACCTTTCTTTTTTCTTCCGCTGCTTGCTCTTTATTTTTCTTTTTTTTCCCCCTCTTTTAATATCCTTCATTTTTCTTCTGCAGATTGCAACAGCAGTTAAAATTGTACAAATCACACATTCAAATAATAAAAATTCTGCCTCATGTCTAAATATGCTCCATTGAATCTTTTTTTTTTTTTTTTTTTTTTTAATCAGTTTAAATAACCAGGGCTTTGGAGAAGGAAAGCGATTTTTTTTTTGTCTATTCTTTCTATTAAATTGATAATACAAAAAAAAAAAAAAATAGACTCAAGGCTTCACCTTGGACACATCAGCGTATAAATCAAATCTACGCTGGGTGATCAATGGGATACTCTGACGGAACTCGTGCATCTTCTTAAGATCTAATTTATATTCGAAGTATTCACGCTTATATTAGGAATGTGACAATCAACCCTCAGTATTTTTTTTTTTTTTTTTTTTTTGTAACATTATTTACCTAGGTCAGCGTAAATGATGCCCTGCTTTTCATCCATGGTTTCAAGTACATCTCCAGAGGGACCCACAATGGTAGAGTGACCCCAGGCATGATAATCAGCAGAGAGATCACGGGCTGGAGAGCATGCCGCAACAAATATTTGATTATCGACAGCTCTTGCACGTTGGAGTAACTCCCAGTGCAATGGTCCTGTGGTCATATTGAAAGCACCAGGATAAATCATGGCGAAGCAGCCTATTCGTTACCCAAATAATAGTGAAAATAAAAAAAAATAAAAAAAGGATGTATCATGGTGAGGATCAATACGCTTTTCCTTGTATTCAACCAAGTTCTTTGGAGAACTAGACAAAGCATTAAGCTTTTTTTTTTACCTTGTCGTGCAGCAATCATGGCTGGTTCTGGGAAGCGAATGTCATAGCAAATACCAATGCCAATCTTTCCAAAGTCTATAATAATAAAAAAAAAGATGCATGGTAATGTACGTTAAACACAGCTTTGAGCTTAAGATACTTTTTTTTTTTTTTTTTTTTTTTTTGTGAGAGGGGATATAAAGGTACGCCGTGAGAAATTAAAAATCGTTAAAAACAAACCTGTGTCGACATGAGTCAGCTGCTTGCCCGCAGAAAGGGTTTCACTCTCCTGGAAACGAATCTTCCCAGGGACATCGATGTCAAACAGGTGGACTTTTCGATGTGTTCCAATAATCTCTCCATTAGGGTTGTAAACGGTGCAGGTGTTGTAGATCTTGTCATCCGTAGGATCATGCTCCGGGATCGAACCCCCGATCAGATATGCCTTCGCATCCTATTGAACATGGATACATTCAGTTAGGGAAAAAAAAAAAAAAAAAAAAAAAAAAAAAAGATGATTGATCAATTAGTCAACCAAGCTGGCAAAAGAATACAGCTGTTTTTCCCTCTTCAATTTACCTTAGCCATAGCGGATAATGCCTTGACAGAAGGTCCTTCCTTTAGGCTCTCAGCATATTGAGGAAAATGTTTGGTTCCATACGGAGAGTTGAAGCATTCCTACAACAAAAAGTAATCAATGAGGTTATCAATAGACATTCAAAATAATTTATGATTCACACCTTGAAAAGCAAGAAGGGATCTTGAATGGGTCATGAACTAAAAAGTTACCGGTAAGACAATGAGGTTGGCTCCATTGGATGCTGCATTGAGGACATGAGTGCGAGCGTTGTCGAGATTGGCTTGCTTGTCAGCAGTGACTGCAAGCTGGATAAGAGCTAGCTTGCAGGGAGTAGCGGTAGTGGAAGTGGTGGCCATGGTTGAGAATGTGCGTAAGGATTGTCTGAATGCGGATGTAGTAGCACGTAGCATTACTAATGGAAGAGAGAAGAGAAGAAAAGAAAACGTATTGAAAAGCAAAGAGAGTCATCCATATCTGGTCATGATTGCGCGAATGAAATTCCAAACAACGGACTGTATGTAACAAATGAACAAAAAGACCCCTCGAGATTATCATGAAGAGTATGTAAGAGCATGTCTATTTCTCAAACCCAACAAATGCCTGTATCTCGCCAAGATCACCAAGGACATTGATTTCTACCATGCCTCAAGCTTAGTAAAGCAGACGCAGCTCCAGGAAGTGGATCCGTATTTCCTACTTGCCTGCATGGCCTTGTCCGCAGTTGCTCTTGCAACTTACTCGTCCAAACGCGTCAATTGCATTATGCGTTTACAGAACTTAATTGAGTTCACGTGATTCAAACCCCATTCATATTTGACTCGAGCCTTGGAGATGGGAGTTCCTCCTTTCACTCTTCAACAGGTGTGTGTATATCCATTGATGTTTGAACTGCATCCATCTATTTACTATCCATCCATTTAATCGCCCATTCAATCATTCATTCATTCATATCATCCATCTCATCATCCCTGATGTTCATTAGTGTTGTTTATTGTTTCTTTCTCCCGCTTGTTTAAAGGCAGCGACATTTTTTTTTTTTTTTTTTTTTTCTCGATGATCCTTCAATGGTCGAATCAAAAACAGTCTGTTCAGAACACTCTTACTGATACCTTCCCCCCTTACTTTTCCAACAGTCTTTATGGCTAAAATATCTACCAAACATTGAGTTGACGCGGCAGTTATCATTGTTACACGTGGTGCTTTCATTCTGACCCCTTTGATCTACCTGGTCTAAAGCATTATGGTCTGATTGAAAAAACCTTGTGTGCAATGCTAAGGCTGAATCTAGTCTAAGATCTCTAGTCTTTTTTTTTTTTTTTTTTTTTTTTTTTTTTCTTGCAAGAAAAAGGCAAGGATGAGATTTATTTTATTTTATTTTTTGTTTTTACTTTTGGTTCCTGAGATATTAACCTAGAGATCTTTTATTATTTTTATTTATTTGACTATAGAAGCATATCAAAATGGTTCGCATCTCCGTCTTGAACGACTGCCTCAACAACATCAACAACGCTGAGAAGCGTGGCAAGCGCCAGGTCTTGATCCGTCCTTCCTCCAAGGTCATTGTCAAGTTCTTGTCCTTGATGCAGAAGCACGGTATGTCAACTTTACTTTCGACAATTTATTCATCTTGGACACCTCAGGATTTTTTTTTTTTTTTTTTCTTTTTACTCTTCATTGGGGAGTTTGGAGAGTAAAAAAAAAAACAACAACAACAACAACAAAAGCACCCCGGAATATTACCTAGATGAATGTCTCGTTTTCTTCAATAGAAGGAAATGCTTTGCCACATTTTTCTTTAAAAAGTTTCCGGATATCAAGTGAAGGGGAAGATGAGGCTTTCAGGGATATATGGGCGAAGAAGGAAAGGAAGAGGAATTTTATTATTTCTCTTTTTTTTTCCAGAGTCTTTTATTGATCTGGATGGTTTTATCTTTCTCTTTGTCTGTTTGATACAAGCTGCTGGTCTCTTTCTTTTTCATTCGTGAAAAAGAAAATTCCTCCGACCTACGGCCTATACCCGCAGAGATATTTCCTCCCCTTCTCTTCCTCCTTCCCACCACTATAATGATTAGATTTGTTCACCAAAGGATCTGAACTGAAATATTTTCTTGGATATTGTTATGGATATATATAGGCTATATTGGCGAGTTCGAGGTGATTGACGACCATCGCTCTGGTAAGATCGTTGTTCAGCTCATTGGACGCATCAACAAGACTGGTGTCATCTCTCCCCGTTTCAACATCAAGTTGAACGAGATCGAGAAGTGGATTGCTCGTCTCTTGCCTTCCCGCCAGTTCGGTTACATTATCCTCACCACCTCGGCTGGTATCATGGACCACGAGGAGGCTCGTCGCCGCCATACCGGAGGAAAGGTTCTGGGTTACTTCTACTAAGCAATCACCAAGATGGAGCGTTTCTTTCCAGTTTCGAAATAAAATTTCAAGCATAGGAAGCGTAGTTTTAATACAGCAGAGTATGGTTGTTTATTTACAAAAATCTGTGGATATAACTGAACTTATTGTGATGGGACATTGAGATCCCATTTTTGCTTCGCCCAATTATCCAATTATCTGAGGGGTCGAAAATATATCAAAGTATATACAAAGGGCAAGCCTTTTTTTTTTTTTTTTTTTTTTTTTTTTTTTGTCTTTATGGTATCATATATTGAACAACATCAGAAGTACAGACTTGCAATGAACATGCGGGCTTCGTCTTTCTTACTATGGCTTATTCAACTTTCTGGTTAATGTCGAACAATCGGACCTGATGCATTGCAGGCAGTTTTGCTATCAGGTTGATAACTGTAGCGACAAGGCTGATAAAGAACGCGAATGGTGCGTAGTGTGTATAATGTGAGCTTAGTAGGAACCTATACAGAGATAATCAAATCAGTTTGGTTAGCCGCTGCTGTTGTCTTTTTTTTTTTTTTTTTTTTTTTTTTTTTTCCCTTGTCTTGTGCCTCTTTTCCTGCTTTTTTGTTGTTGTTTGTGGTCGTTTACATATGGGGCACTGACCTTCCCCAGATTTCTGTCATTTGGTTCTTTCATCCTTCTCCGCTGCCGCGTGTTCTTAAATCATTTAAGATTTGTCACAGTGTTCCTTTGTTTAGTCAGTCATTAACAATGACAGCATCTTTAACAAAAAAAAAAAAAAAAAAAAAAACTTTGTGAGCCAATCCCCTTCCCTCCCAAGACCCGAGACATTACACTACACAATAAAAATGCTATGCTAAACCTCATGCACTCTTTCATTTGGCCTTTTCACCAATGCGGACATCTATCTCATGGGCAGAGTAAAGGAGACAAAATAAGAGCGAAACAGCGAACGAGTTCCATATTTTTTTGTTCTAAAGACAAATTAGAAGTAAACAGCCATTTTTTTTTTTTTTTTTTTTTTTTTTTTCAAAATGGGTTGTTATTATTATTATTATTATGATTATTAGTATTATTATACTTACAAGACAACTGGCACAATTGTGAGATACTTTCGTGTAGCAGTAAATTGAACGCCTCCATCAATTTGTTCCCACAGTGTGATGCCATCGTAAGCACCTTGCGAGAACTCAAACGGTACACCTGTTACTGCGTGGAACATAATGTAGCTTCCCTGTTTACACGCAAAAGAAAGAAAGAAAGAAAGAAAGAAAAAAAAAAAAAAAAAAAAAAAAAAGAATATCAGTCACATTGTTCAAGCGCCCCCCTGTCGCATGACTGAACCCTAACAATTGTCTCCTTCCTCACACGACCCAAAAAAAAAAAAAAAAAAAAAAAAAAGTGCCCAAGGCCAAATAAATTTCCCAATCATGTTTGTACGATGTATGAAAAATACATTGACAACAATAGTATGTGTATAAAAAAAAAAATAATAAAAAAAATAAAAAAAAAAAAGACACACAGTGGCACACTTACAATGTTATAGGTTAGAGTGGTCAAGGTCCAGGACAGCTCCTGCGACATGCCAGGGATGATATCAAAGAAGAGTTTGATGAGGAAGATGATGATCATGTTGGTCATCCAGGCTCCTAATGGCAACCAAGAAAGTTAATTACAAAATTAATCATCCAATTTGGATTTTCGGGTCGGTTAAAAAGGATAGGATGTCCTCAAATGATATATTGCCATGATTATTATTATTACTATTATTATTATTTTTTTTTTTTCTTGGCATCAAAAGTATATCCCTCTTCTTAGAGATGATATAACTGCGCCTTGATACTTAAAGTATTTGAATGTTTGGGCAGGTTTTTTATTTTCCCAAGATAGCTTGCATGCACTTTCACTTTGACTTTTTTCCCTTTCTCCTTTATTATTATTGTTATTATTATTATTATTATTATTATTTCGTTTTCCTGCGAGTACCTTTGTCATTGACCCATGATGAATTGAGATTTGTTTGGGAGTGTTGGTCGAGGTCCTGGATATAATCCATTTTGTACATTGCTGCCAGCGTCATGGCTGTGAATATTTGATGGGGGGATAGGTAGACTTTTAGATTTGGTGAAATAGTGTCCTTGGAACAGAGATGAGATGGGTGAGAAAAATGTGTAGGAGTAAAAGGGGGGGAGGGGGGGGGGGGGGTGTGAATGTGTATGTGGTTAATGTCAAAGTGTGGGGCTATACAAAGAAAGAGGAGATGAGAAGAAAGAGAGAGAAAGAGAGAGAAAGAGAGAGAGAGAGAAAGAGAAATGAAAAAGAGTGATAACAGTAACAATAGTAAAAATAAGCATAACATTCATCCCGAGATCAACGGACAATGACAGGTGACATAATAAAGCAAGGCAGATGGGCACAAACCACTGTTGCCACACCACCGAAAACCGGGGAATAGTGTTAATGTTGTAATATGATTCCTTTAATCCTATTTTTTGGGTTGATTACCGAAAGATCAATTACATGTATACTACATGTGCGTGTTAAAAACGAACCAATGAAAGCATTTCTGGTTTTTTTTTTTTTTTTTTTTTTTTTATCTGTCTCATTTTTTTCAGCAGCAACACTTGTCATGGCAACAATCATCGTGGCAGCAATCATCGTGGCAGCAATCCCAGTTATCACAGCAATCCCAGTCGCAACAATCCCAATCGCAGCAACAATCATCATCGCAGCGGCGTACATGATGATGACTGCTATCGCCACCACTGGCTCCACAGTACCAATCATGATCACTACTGACAGTACGCTTTAAAAGAGATGCCGACGAAGACAATAACGGGGATGTAGCAGTCGCTCCTGCCTGCGAGGGAGCCTGATCCGGGTGGTTAGTTGGGGACTTGCCATTATCGCTCGTGGTTACCCAAGCTTCACGAGAGAAGGTCCAAGGACTGTTAGCGGCGCTCTCGGGATGAATTGAGGTCATCGAAGCAGTGGCGACGATAGAAGCAGCAGTAGGAGTAGAGATCGAAGAAGACGCGACAAGGGCGTTGGCCGATAAAAAGAATGAGGATGCAGCCAAGATTGAGGTGATGGCTACAGTGCAGGTTCGGATCGCGTCCTTGCTTGCGTAGTACAACATGTCGAAAAAAAAAATAAAAAAAAATAGGAGGAAGCAGAATAGGATTTTAAGCGATGAAGCGAGGTGCCTAGAAAAGAAGCTGATGTCTGACAGGCTGGAGAAGCTGTTGAGGAGAGGGTAATTGTTGGAGGAGGGTTGTTTTTATAATCGAAGAAGAAGAAGAGTAGATTAACTTGATAGTCGTATACGGTCATACTCCAAACTGGAGCACCAACATCATATGGTCTCTCATACAGGACATGGCATGGGTGTCTGTAATCTATCATTGATCAAATGTATATAGTATGCATAGAATATAGAATATCCAAAGTATTTATCAGCTAATAGAAGCACTATTAGGGCTTGGCAGAACAATTTTAGGTCTGTTAAACTGATATGGTGGCTGCGGTAATAGATAGACGTGGCATCAGGGTAATCTCAGAGCCAGAATAAAAATAGGGTGATCTCAGACTCATTGGGGTAAAGGTTAACCAGCTTTTGAGTTCAAGAGCTGGGACAGGCACATGACTTGGAGCTAGCAGGGTCATGTGGCTCTACAACGAATGAAGTAATTCATATATATACATTTATATACATGTATAATATATATAGTCCGTTTCATTTGGTCGCGATCCCTTATATTTTTTGAATACTCTCAAGTATATTGGCAGCCAATTACCTCGCTTGTTCCAAGTTCGTCAGGCAGTGAGATGCCACTAAGGTCAATTAAATTATCGTTTTTAGATTAAAGATATATGGGATCGCGACCAAATGAAATGGGCGATAAATATTATAAATATAATAATGCCAAGCAAAATCTCTTCAGCAATGATGATCACTTTTGCTCTTTGTTGTGGTTAGATGGACTAGATGAGTAAATTGGTGTGATATGGATTGATGAGTCCCCATGTCATCTTCATTATAATATCATAATAATGTGTAATATGGATCTTTGTCCCTTCTCTTTGTTGCATTTCGCAATTCTCTTTCACAAACGCTCTTTCTTCCTTTCTCTTTCACGATCCTTTCTCTTTTTCGATTATACACTTTATTTTTTTATTTTTTTTTTATTTTTATTTTTTTTTTTCGCTAGACTACCTCATATCATTACTTCTAACTAATACTTACAGATACAACTGCAGCTATAACCAACACGAAAGCAACTATCGCAATTCCATATTCCATTATAAAAGAAAGAAAGAAACAAAAAAAAAAAAAAAAAAAAAAAGAAAAGAAAAGAAAAAAAAAATAGCCCCTGTGCAATCCTATCATTCCTCATCTTCAACCTTATTCATCCATTGCATACATCCAAAGTACAAATAACTCCAAAAGAAAGAGGAAAAAAAAAAAAAATGTCTCTTTCAGACACAACTCCTCTTCTTGGTGGTCAGAACCCAAGACGCACCTCCCCACCAAACAGTCGCAGCCCTAACTACATCAATTACGGAAACAATCCCAATAATAATAACAATACTAATCTCTACAATAGTAATAGTTATCCGCGTAGGAGCGGTATTTTTAATAAGCAGAACAACAACAATAACAGCTACAACTCCTCTTCACCACCTCAGCGCCATTGGTCTGAAGAGCCAGAAGATATCTCGACCAACCCAAGTTTATACGGGCATCAGAACACCGGTTCAGGTCATAGACGACGAGGGCCGCCTCCGCCTATCCATCACCCATCAGAGCTAGACGCGCAACGGTTCTCAGGTCAGGATCGACCGACTGGTTTACAGCGGATCCTCTGCGGCTGTTGTTGTTTACCTTGTCGTACAGCGTATTACAACCTCAAACACAAGACTTCCAAACTTGAAAAAATCTTTATGGGTATCGCTACGATCTCATTGCTGCTGGCCATTGGGCTTTTATGTGCCTATGTTCGTGCAAGGGAAGCCATTCCTGAAGGTGGCAAGAATGTATGTGTACCAACTAGATTACTTTTATAAAGATGATAATGATAACAATATTAGGGGTGAAGAAACAGGGGAAAGACAGAGAAGGAAGGGGGGAGGAAGGAAAGTAGGAAAAAAAAAAAAAAAAAAAAAAGACAGAGAGAAGGGGCAAGATGAACCTTTGAACCTTCATAGTTTTCTCAGAGTTCTCTTCCTCATTTGTTCATGTTCACAATTATGCAAAAAGTATACTACAGGCACATTGGGGGAAAAATGAGACTCCTGGATGCGCTAAGAATATTTTTCAAACGTCGTCATTTCTTTTTTTTTTTTTTTTTTTTTTTTTAGGGAATCTGCTTTTCCCGTGAATGTACTATCGTCGCTGCGGACATCCTAAGGGACATGAAGCCTTCAGTTGATCCATGCAACGACTTCTTTGACTTTAACTGTAAGTTCTCATTATCTGCTCATCTGCTCATATAATAAAGGAACCTGATAACGGTCTAACTTTAAAAATAACAATGATAATAATTATAATAATAATTGCTGTGCGTTGCATTATTAGGTGGTGGATTCGTGGATCGGGTCTCAATTCCTGACGACAAAGCGGGATATGGGTACTTTGATATACTCAGCAAGCAGAACCAGGCACGTTATGTACCACAGCTTACCTTTACAGTCTTCATGTTCTTTTTTTTTTTTTTTATTATTGTTACTCTTCATTTACAATTTTTTATTTTCCTACTTTCCCCCCTTTTTTCATTGATTAGGAAATTATCAAAGCCATCCTTGCACCAGAGACCAACAGTGCACACCAGGGTAAAGATGATGCTTCCAAACGCAACTTGGTCAAATTACAATCTCTTTACGAAAGTTGCATGGACGAGAAAAAGATGTCGGAGGTCGGAGTTAAGCCTCTGGCGGATCTGATCAAGAAAATGGTCAGTATCTTCCCTGCAGAGTCTAGTGTACTTGATACCAAAGTATCTGCGGTGTCCTCTTTCAGTCATCTTGAAGTATTGCGTAACATCAATGCGAAGGCTCAGCAGAAAACGCATGACAACAAACAAAGACTCGAAGGATTGGACTCTACTATCCAACAACAAGTCGACAGAGGAGAAGAGAGCAGCCACCAAGAGTCCGATAACAAGAATCACAATGCCGAACAAGCACCATTTGTTAGATCTGATGTCTCTATCATGGATGAGGAATCTGAGCATCATCAAGGTGCTCCATCTCAAATTGATACCCTCTTGGACAAGGATGAAATTCTGAATCAAAAACAAAAACGAGATACACAGCCGCAGATACAGATGTTTGCTAGAGCGGAGCCAGATGAACTGGCGCAGGCAATTGCTCAACTTGCTTGGATCGGTGTGACAACTATGGTGCAATTCGATATCGATGCCAATCCGAAGGATCCAGATGTAAATGTGTTTCAGTTAGGCGAGAGTGGACTCGGCCTGCCCTCGAAGCAATATTATGACGAAGATAAAATTGTTGCCATCTATCAAAAAACAGTCGAGGAAATGTTTACTATTGTTATGGGAACCAAGGATGAAAACAAGGATAAGGATGAAAACAAGGATAAGGATGAAAACAAGGATAAGAATCGCAAGCTTGATCCGATTCCCTGGGCTGAAGTCGCCAAGAATGTGGTTGGATTTGAAAAGCTTCTTGCTGCCATTTCAAGTGAGCAAGAAGATCTTGAAAACTCTGAATTGACCTACAACCCTCGTTCGCTTAGCCAAATCGCAGAAATAATCCCAGCGATTGAATGGCCCCAGTTAATTGATGAGCTTTTCGGCAAGGGAGCCAAGGTCCCAGATCCGATCATCGTGTCCATGCCAGAGTATCTTCAGAAGTTGAATGCGCTTCTTCGAGATACGCCTGCGATGACTATCCAAAACTACTTTGCCTGGAGACTGATCCAGACACTCTCTCCGAACCTAGCGGTTGAATTCCGCAAACCAATGTTGGAGCTCAAGGCGGCACTGCAAGGCGTCTCTGCGGATTTAGTGACCTCTCGCTGGGAGACTTGTGTGGGCGTTGTTGACAATCTCTTGGGCTCTATGGCCGGACACTATTTTATCGAGAAAGCATTCCAGGGAGACAGCAAAGAAATGGCGGACAGCATCATTAGCTCTCTCCGAACATCATTTGTCGCGGGACTGTCTGGACTGGAATGGCTTGACAAGGAGACATTGCTGAACGCGACCGAGAAGGTGGATCTACTGGTCCAAAAGATTGGTTACTCGACAGAGTCACCTGATGTCCGGTCATCAGAAGCATTGGAGGAATATTACAAGGACTTGGGGATTGATAAGGCAGACTTCTTTGGAAATAACATTAGAGCAAGCACCTGGGGAGTCCAGAGAGTATTGACCCACCTTAGCAAACCTGTGGATAAGGCCAAATGGTACATGAGTCCTCAGGCCGTGAATGCATACTATAATCCTTCTGCGAACGAGATCGTCTTCCCAGCAGGCATTCTTCAACAACCATTCTTCCATGGCGATAACCCAGAATACTTGAACTATGGGGGCTTTGGTGTCGTTGCAGGGCATGAGTTGACGGTAAGATATATATGAAATTAGAAATACCTTAGCACTGTATGAAAAAAGTCTAATATTCTCCTCCTGTCCCTTTTTTTTTTTCCCCTTCTTGATTCAGCATGCTTTTGATAACCAAGGCAGACTCTTTGATGCTCATGGCAAGCTCTCTGATGTAAGACAGAAAGAAGGATAGGATTACATTGTGCAGTATTGTACTTTAGTACTTTTATTTTTTATTTTTATTTTTTATTTTATTTTTATTTTTTATTGCATCAATGAATGCTGAGTGTTTTCGCTTTTGGTTATATTTGAATAGTGGTGGTCCAATTCAACATTGGTGGAGTTCAAGTCAAGATCACAATGTTACATTGACCAATATGGTAATTTTACGGTCAAGGATCCTCAAGGACGCGAGAACCATGTCAATGGCAGACTTACTCTTGGCGAGAATTTGGCAGATAATGGAGGGTAAGTGTTTTGTAACGTAACTGTAAGCCCATCAAATGCCTCCTTTTCTTCTTCTTCTTCCTCTTCTTCTTTTTTTTTTTTTTTTTTTTTTTTTTTTCATTAATGACTGACAATATATTCTTCAAAAAAAAAAAAAAAAAAAAAAAAAAAAAAAACCTCCATAACATAGATTAAAGAGATCATTTGACGCGTGGCTTGCCAGGTTCAAGTCTGATCCTCATGGCAATAAATACAAAAACCATCTGTTAGCTGGCCTTGAGGATTACACACGTGAGCAACTCTTCTACATGTCGTTTGCTCGTGTTTGGTGCTCCCAACGTCGTCCTGCATCTGCTATTGAAAGGGTATGTATTATTATTATTATTAATATTATTATTTTAGATCGAAGTCTGACTTTATTTTTTTTTTTTTTTTTTTTTTTTTTTTCCTATTCTAGTTGCGAACGGACCCACATGCACCTGCTAGATGGCGCGTCAACGGTGCTGTGCAGAACTCACCTCATTTTGCTGAAGTCTTTGGCTGTAAGCCTCGATCACCCATGAATCCAGATAACAAGTGCGATCTGTGGTAACTGAGGACTAGAATTGAAAAGCTTACAAATAAAATGATGTAATAAATGATGTTCCATGTCTTCAGATGACACATTGACTTGCAAGGGATGAAAACCTTCATCAATATCATACTTCCTTTTCCTTTTTTTTTTCTTTTTTTTTTTTTTTTTTTTTTACACCATGAATTGAGATAACATTACTAAACTTGCTTGGTTCCAAAATAAAAAAAAGAAAGAAAGAAAAAAAAAAATACATCGTTTTATTATCGTACAAACAATGCCGCTTCAATAATCAGTTTTTTTTTTTTTTTTTATAAAAAGTAGTGGATCGGGTCCTTTTTTAAAAAGAAAAAATGATGAAGAAAAAGAACATGTTAGCAAGTTTTTTTTTTTTTTTTTTTTTTTTTTCTTCTTCCTTTCAGTCTTTGGAAATGTCAAAAGTTATTTATGTATTGTTTACCTGTGTAAAATCAGCTCCTCCGTTTATAGAACTAACACTGGTACCACCGCTGCCATTGCTGCTGCCACTATTAGCTCCATTACCGATAGCGCTTGCACCAACTCCAGCGAACAATCCTGCAGAAGCTCCGTTGGCTAATACAGACCTCTGCGCCTGCGTTGCCGACGGACGTTCGTTCTCAGGTGCTGCCTCAAACACGTTGAAATGTCGTTCTCCTGCCACACCCACTTCCAGAATGGATGCAAGGTTACCACAACGATAGCAATAATTTGGTGCTGACCATACAGTTGAGAGCTGATCATCAAACAAGACCTGAAATCCTTCCATGCAGAGCTGATGGGCGCGAAGGATATGGTCCATCCCGTTTTCATGTAGAAACTTTTCCACCACCAGCGACCCAAACGTATATCCTGCGCCTCTATATTACGAGTGATCATGACAACAATAATAAGGATTGTCAGCTATCACTATCTTTTTTTTTTTTTTTTTTTTTTTTCCAGTGGAGGGTCAAAGAAATGTTTATTACCTTGGCGAAACTGCAAATTCTTCTCTTCCAGGATCTGGGTCTGACCATACCAAATCTGCCATTGGCCCCTCGTGTGGGATTTCTAAACAATGTTGAATGGATATTATATATTATTATCAGTTATTCAGGCTTCCTGCTCTCATCACTACCCTCATTTATGTTTTTAAATGAATCGACAACAATAATAGTGCCAGTAATAAAAACCTCTGGATTATCTCTTCTTACCTTTAAAACGATCCATGACTTTGATCTGATCTATCGTGTGGATTGACGGTGACAATCCTATAGAATAAACAAGGGGGACATGAGTTGAACCATAATGAGCCGTTGTGAATAATTTCGCCCGCAAAAAGTTGATATGATGTTGATTATAGTGTGCTTGTCAACTGACTTTTTTTTTTCTTTCTTTACCTCCGTGGACGCAAAAGATCATATTGTCAATGACAACTGACAAGGTAAGATAATCAAACAGATCCGTGAAATAATGCCACACCTGAGCACTGCCATATTTCTTCATACATTCTGTGTAAAAGCCATAAGTCTATTGAAAGATTAATGTTTATATATATATAAAATAAAAAGTAACAAAAAATAAAATAAAATAAAATAAAAAAAAGTTCAACGACTTTCTTACTTGGGTAACGGCGCGTGATTCGTGATTGCCCCGTACGAGCTGCACTCTCTCTGGATAGCGGAGTTTTAAACATGTCAAGATGGACATCGTCTCGACGCTATAAAGTCCTCGATCCACATAATCTCCTAAGCAATATAAAAAGACAGAAAGACAGAAAGAAAGAAAGAAAGAAAGAAACGTTTGAAGCAAAGTTAGAATACTTTGGATCATCAACTTGAAGGTAAACTATTCTCTTTTTTTTTTCCTCCCGTCCCTTTCTCTTACCCAGAAAGAGATAGTTCGTGTCTGGACAATAGCCACCAATCTTGAATATCTCGAGTAAATCATAAAACTGCCTATTAGCCAGCGGTACAAATCCAATACCAATACAGTGAAGTTAAAAAAATAAAAAATAAAAAGAGGTCAAAAGTCAATAATACCGTTGTTGTATTATATTAGTTAGTTCTTTTGCATTTTAAACTCCATGCATGTGCCTTTATGCATTCCTTTTATAACTAACCCATGAATGTCGCCTACGACCGTGACCGGTGCCTTGATGTGCACGACATTACTCTCTGACATCAACAGTTCTTTGGTTTTCTCGCAGATCTCCTTGATCACTGATTCGGCCAGAAGCTGCCGTTGGAAGAGCGAGTTAATGCATGCGTCCAAGTCCAGCACCATTCGTCCTTCTTTCCTTTTCTTTTCCTTTTTTTTTTTTTTTACTTTATTTTGATATGTTTGTTTCTTTATATACAAGAATAAAAAAAAAAATTATAAATATGCTTTTAATGTTGAATGTTTAATGAATGAAAATAGTGCAATGGGAGAATAAGAGAATAAAGAGGAGAGAGAGAGAGAGAGAGAAGAAACCCTGTAATGACCCAAAGGACCGTTTTTTTTTTTTTTTTTTTTTTAATTGCATCTGTGCGCAGCGTGTAAAACACACGTAGACGAGTAACATTCTTATTTTTTATTTTATTTTATATTTTTTTTTTTTTTTGGAAAACAGTTGGCACATGAACGAACAAAGGGGGAAAGATGAAATAACCATGAGACCCCTCGAATCGCTTTTATTTTTATTTTTTATTTTACGCGATATGGACATGGTATGCAATGATATCTGCAAAAAAAAAAAAAAAAAGAGCTTCATTTTTAAATCTTTTCCTAATCCTCCCACTTGGCTCCAACAGCGTAGGCAATGAATGAGAACCGATCTGTAATCTCCTCAATGCGCTTTGTCAAAGGCTTACCGAATCCATGTCCAGCTTTAGTCTCGATTCGGGCCACCAATGGTTTATCTGTCAGCCCTCCTGCTTTGTACTGCAACTCAGCTATCAACTTGAATGTATGCAATGGCACCACACGATCATCGTGACTCGATGTAAACAGTGCCACAGCAGGATATGGCTTCTCCGTTTGTACATTATGCAGGGGTGAATACTTGAGCAAATACTCAAAGTCCTCCTTATCATCATCTGGCCGTCCATAATCCGATTGCCATGCATGTCCGATCGTAAACTTGTGGAACCGCAACATGTCTGACAGTCCCACATCCGAAACCGCAGCTCCAAACAACTCTGGTGCCTGATTCACACTGACGTTCACCAGCAATCCTCCGTTCGAGCCTCCATTGATCGCCAAACGAGCTGGACGTGTGTATTTTTCCTGGACCAAATACTTTGCAGCCCATTGAAAGTCGTCAAACGCGTTCTGTCTCTTACGGGTGATTGCAGCTTTATGCCACTCTTCACCGTATTCGCCACCTCCACGGATGTTTGCATGCGCTGTCACTCCTCCGAGGTGTTGAATAAATACAATCACCGCAGGGCTGTAGGTTGCTTGAATTGAGATGTTGAAGCCTCCATAAGCGTAAAGGAACGTGGGGTTGTCACCATCGAGTTTAAGGCCCTACATGAATAATGGACGTATATACGCGCATTAGCAAACATGTTCATGAAGGGGGAAAAAAAAAAAAAAAAAAAATGATACTATTTTTTTTTTCACATGCATATTACTATACCTTCTTGTAGGTGATAAACATGGGGATCTTTGTACCATCCTTACTAAGATAGAACACTTGCTTGGTCTCAAACAAGTCTGCATCAAAGTTCTTGACCTTGGCCTGTCGGAACACTGACAATCTCTTGTCCTCAGCTTGTTCCTCAAATTGGTAACGATAGATCGTTCCAGGGCTGAGGAACGACATGAATTGAATAAACAAATCCTTGTCTTTGATCTTTCCAGAAATGCCCGTCACCGTGCCCACAGGGACTTTAATGTCGTTCAAATACTTGCCCGTGATCAAATTATGCACGCGCAAAACGCTCTTGACATCGTGGATATAATGAAGAATAAGCTTATCCTGATCAACCACTGCAGCCTCTGTCAGAACATCTTCAGTTTGAGGAACAATCTCGACGAAACCCTAATGATTTTATTTTTTATTTTTATTTTTTAAAAAAAAAAAAAAAAAAAAAAGAAAAAAAAACAATTAGTAGAAAGTTCATCCATTGACCTATGAAGCTTGTGGAGCCATCAATGACAAAAAAAGGTAAGAAAAAAAAAAAAAAAAAAAGGCAGAATCTTACTTCTTCAGGCTTGGTCAAATCATACTTCACAACCCTGGACCGAGGAGCGTCTCTGTTGGACTTGAAGTAAAATATCTTGTCCTTGTTGGCCAAGCTATAATGAAAAAGTAAAGGGATTGAAACCTTAGTTTATCCATATTTATATAAAAAGACAGGAAAGGAAAGAAAGAGAAAGTAATACAATAAATACAATAAAGCTTACTAGGAATAAGCAGCGTCAAAGTTATCCACAACTTTGATCAAGTCCAAGTTCTCTCTGATCTGGTATCCAACAGCCTCGAGGTCGATCAAGTACAGGTTGTTGATATCATCACAGTCCTTACTGATGGTTATAATAAGATATTTTCCATCCACTGAAACAACAGCACTAGGCATGAATGTTCCATTCACAGTGTCAAGGTACACAAGGATATCTTCCGATTGAGGGGTTCCAATCTTGTGATGGTACCTATAGGAGGAACAAGGCGAGTTATGAGGACATTAGATGAGGCTGGTTTACACACAAAAATCATCAGGCTCCAGTGAAAAAAAAAAAATTGGGTCTGTCTTCGCCTTCAAGAAGTTATTACGCCAAATTCATATGATGTTGATTGTATGTGATTTAACTTACAATCGCATGAATTGGTTTGATGCTGTTTCCTGTCCTCTCTTACTAGGATCGATATCAGGTTTTTCATAGCTCTGTTCATCACATAAAACAAAAAAAAATAAAAATAAAAATAAAAAAAAAAAAAGTAGTGTGAGATTGTGAGATCGCGAACAAAAAAAAAAAAAAAAAAAAAAAAAAAAAAGAAAAAAAGTCTTTTCTTGAACAACTTACAGAATAAAAGAATCCTTTGTCGTCATGTGTAAATGCAATCCTTGTGAATTTGGCCCACTCGACTTTGTCTTCCAATTGGTTTCCCTGGTTATCCATCACATGGATAGTCGTCCAATCCGATCCTGACTTACAGACACCATATCCAAAGTATCGACCAGACTCTGAGAACGCTTGGGCCCCCAATGCGGCCGTGCCATCGGCCTCCAACAGATTGGGATCCAAAAACACGCGTGCCTCTCCATCCAAAGTGTCTTGCTGGAACAACACGCTCTGTGCCTGCAATCCAGAATTGTGGTAATAGTAATAGTAATCGCCACGCTTGTAAGGAGTCGAGAAACGTTCATAATTGAATAACTCTGTCAACCTGGTAACGTATCATAGAAAAAAAAAAGAGAGGGAGGAAAAGGAAAAAAAAAAAAAAAAAAAAAAAAAAAAAAAGTTTGGCACAGTCAAATGACCTGTTCAAGGGGGAAAGGAGGGCGAAGTGGAAAGGGAGCAAAAGGCCTTTCCGCATTCAAAAAAAAAACATTCATTCAGATGTCACTTACCTCTTATTGAACTTGTCCTTATCCTCAAACTTGTTCATGAACTCCTTGGCGAGCGCAGCCTGGGCCTCCACAAAGGCCTCAGTTTCCTTGGAATCAGGGTCTTCCAGCCAGCGGTAAGGGTCCGCGACCTCGATGCCATGTGTTGTCTCCTTCACATCTTCTCGGCGCACTGTTGGGTAAACAATCTTGCCATCCTTGGACTTGATTACCTGAGGTTCTTGAACCATCTTGTTATCTTTTTTTTTTTTTTTTTATTTTATTTTACAGATGTTGATGAAACGATTGGACTTTTGAAGGTATGTAAAAAGTTTAAAAGATTTTATGGCAAGAGGAACGGGAGTAAAGGAAAAATAAGAAAGGAAAGAGAAAGAAAAGAAAAGAAAAGAAAAAGAAAAGGAAAGAAAGCATTTATAGTGAATAGAAACCATGTCGTGTCGACCTTTTTTTTTTTTTTTTTTTTTTTTTTAAAATTGAGACAACTTCCGCTGATGGGAACATTTCACACGATGCTACGCCACAATGACCCCTGCAAAAAAAAAAAAAAAAAAAAAACCCTTTACTCCTCTAGCACGCCATCTATTTAGTATATATCATATTACATGTTCTAATCGATGGATAAAACACGTTCAATATGAAACATTCCAAGGGTAAGAAAGAGAACAAGCTTTCCTAAAAGAGTACTGAACCGACAACCCTATCCCCACGTCCCAGAAACTCTGGGGGTTCCTGGGAAAAAAAAAAAAAAAAAAAAAAAAAAAAAAAGAAAAAGGGTGGCCACCAATGCTCCACAACCTTTTTCATGCACAGACGGTTTTAAACAAAAAAGAGAAACGAGCAGAGGCCACGTTTCATACTATGCCCAAACCACTCTGTCTACACATGACATGTGGGCAAGACGAAAGCTTGATTCATGACATTTCAGTGGCTGAATTCTATTCTGTGTCGTTTTAAATATCACGTTGAACCCTTCAGAACGTTCAAACATGCATTTGTTTATTTAATTTATTTTTAATCATCCAGCCTAGCAATAAATACAATCGGAATGACTTTTAATAAGGATCCAGATTGTACATGAAAAATAAATAAAAAAAAAAAGGAAGGAGGAAGGAGGAAGGAGGAAGGAAGAAGAAGAAAGGAAGAGTTTTTTTTTTCTTTCACTTATTGAGCAGCGCCAGAAGTGCTACCATCAAGCTCTGCGGCAACAGCAGAGACCTTGGACTTGACGTTTCTGAGTGTACCATCAATGTTTCCACGGTGCTGAATCAAAAAAGGACGCAAGACTCTGACGTAGATAGTGGCAGCGCCCTAAAATAAAAGATATAAAGCAATTTCGGAACATTGAGTTTCAACAAGATTTCGTCTCTCTCAACAGCAACGACAATTAAAAACTAAACTAAAAAAAAAAAAAAAAAAAAAAAACTTTACATTGAAGGTAGGAAGCATGAGCCACAAAAGGAACACTGTCTTGATGAAGAAGTAGAATGGGAACCAGTACAACAAGATATCAGTGAAGGACTCCAAGATCGAGACAAAGCCATACACAGTCCTAAACATACAACAAAACGAGAGACAGAAACAGGAAAAAAAAAAAAAAATGAGTGTACGGTTCAGTCCGCAGTAAGCATATTATCCAAAGCATCATTATAGATATATATATTATATATAAAGTTTGTCGCATTCAATTCAATTCCCGGATGGCGGTATATTCTGCTTACCAATACGTCAACCTATTCCAAGCAAAAAATACAATTGAAGTTAGCTTTTTTTTTTTTTTCTTAAAGCGTCACCGTTTGCCAAGTATATGTATACTTTCTTTTTTTTATGCATACCATTGCTTATCATCATCGACCATGGGAGTCTCCAATGCTTTGAATGACCTGTATGCAGGATAAACCCATCCCAACAAGTTCGAGAGCAATTTTCCTGCAAAGTTGAAGAAGATCAACACTGCCACCAATGAACCTGCACCGACCACAAGATACGTCTTGGGCACTCCAGTCGCTGCCTGGAACTGGTTCAGCTGTGGATATTTACTAAGCTCTTTGTCCAAGTTGGCTTGGTAGTAACGAACTATATGGAACACAACCAATTCACAATAAAAAAATAAAAAAATTAAAAAGAGAGATAAGAGGAAGAGATAGCATGTGAGAAAAAGAAAACAGTATAGATGTTAACAAAAATATAAATATATATATATATATACACGAGCCGAAGAGTACGCGCCAATTCATGAATGAAAAACTCTCAAGTACAATGCAAGTACAGCGCAATTGAGATAAGAATAAGGAATAATGAGAGTAATAATAATAATAATAAAAAAGCACTTGCTTTTTTTTTTTTTGCATCATCTCAATTCAGAGATGAATAAGGATGCTCATAATTTAAAAGATTCTTTTTGTTTCAGATGAATGAGATTCATTTGAACAATAAAACCTATGCTGAACACGTACTCCAAATATTTTATTATCCTTTACCTTTTGCTTGAATATTCTCCATCGTGTCTAATGTCCAATGAATATGCGAATGTCGTAGCGATAGGAAAAAGAAAGAGGAGAAAGAAACAGCAAAGGGTGCGTTGGGGGGGAAGAAGATGAAGGGAAAAAAAAAAAAAAAAAAAAAAAAAACCGCTTGCATTTTTCTTTCAGATCCCGTGCACTCGAACAGATGCTTGGACTAGGAACAAGCACGTTTTTTTTTTTTTTTTTTTTTTTTTTCCACATCATTCACCCACCACAACACACAACGCAATTATAAAAATAATGCACATCATCAATGAACAATCTCGCCATAAACAATGACTACTCATAATGCTCAACAAGATTCCATTTTTACCCATGTCTTGATAGTTATCCTCGGTACTATCACAATAGCATGGCTATTATCGTTGACAACAAAAGGACACACTCACCAAACCAAAAGGAACAAAGACGACGCTCGATGGCAAAGATGTAAATCAGAATACAGAAACATGATTTCCTACAAAACTAAAGTAATCGGTAGGATAGATAATAAGGAGGGGGGGAAAAAAAAGAATAAAAAGGGTACGATCGGCAAATTGGAAACCGACATGCTGTTTGCTATAACTGTTCCGACACTGGTTCACTTGGTTGTGGCTCCGTGTTTTTTTTTTTTTTTTTTTTTTTTTTGTGCTTTTTACTATCATTATCGTCTGCGAAATATGCTGTGACACTGTCAAAGAGGCTATCTTAATCCTGGATACGAGTGAAGCTCCTTCCACCTTTGGGTTTATCGTTCAACTTGGGGTTTGCTCGACTAAGTTGATCCTTGCCCATCTTTGCAAAGTCAAAGTCACAATCATGTTTCGTGGAGGCCTTGTGTGTATCGCAGAAAACGAATTCTATGAACAATTTTTCAAGATGTACCAATCATCGAGTTAGGACCTGACCCCATGAGTACAAAGAAAGACAGGGCATGCATGGAAATAATATCATTTGATCAATGTGTTACAACTCTCCACATAATTTTTATCCTCTGTTCTGGAAATCGAATACTTACCACATCGACATTTATTGATGGCCTGTTTAGCAAGAGGGATCTAAAAAAGACGATGCGGAGCAAATTATTGAAGGAAGGGAAAAAAAAAAAAAAAAAAAAAAAAAAAAAAAAAAGACGTTAGATTGGTCCAGCCAAGTTTGTGAGATACACAAACATGCATGTGTGGCTCTATCCTCTAAAACCAAGGCCATTCGTCCAAAAGTGTGGTTTACTCTCTGCCTCTCTGGGTTTTCTCTCTTCTTTCTCTTTTAAAAATCGCCACGATCACAATGTGGATAATGATTGTACCTTTGCACGACAAAGATAGCACCGACCCTTGTTGACCTGAGGAGGGCGTTCGCCTGGTGCAAGCCCCTCCATTGTTTCAGAGGCAATAGACGTTGGTGTGCTTGCCCCACTTTCGGGAGTGGGTGTTGAGATCCGAGCAATCTCAGGTGTGGGTGTTGAGGGCAAGGGAGTAGCAGGACCAGATGAAGCGACGGGGGTTGTAGATGTGGGTGTTGTTGCACTAGTCGGTGCTGGCGTTGCAGCTACAGTGGGTGTAGAAGATTGGGTAGGTTTCTCTGAAAGGACTGTAGAGGATGATGCTGCGGTGGCAGTGTTGTTATTGTCGACCTGAAGTGCTCCATTCTTCTGGCTCAGTTCCTTGAAACACTTTGAGCACAGGTTGTTATTGATGGGGTTTCTATTCGTGTTCACAACGAGAACAAAATCATGTATCAGTTAGTTTGATTGTGAGTGAATGAGAGCAATAAAAAAAAAAAAATAAAAAAAAAAAGGATTGCTCCAGGCATTTTCCTTCTTGCGTTGACATAGGAATAGACTATCTCTGGAAATGTGACCAACCGGTCTCCATCAGAAACATGACTTATCACAATAAGTCAGAACGCGCAAGCGCCTTTTTTTTTTTTTTTTTTTTTCTTTTTTTTGACTTTCTGTTGGCTCAAGTCAGAGTAACAATAACCAAGTCCATAACATCTTGTAATCTGTGGTTGCGATGAAGCGAATATATGCAGAGCAGAGAGCTCTGACGGAGAGAGAAAAATCCGAAAAGGAAGAACCAAAGACAATGCGAGAAAGTGAAAATGTGGCAAAGATATTTTCCAAAGCTCTACCGCAGTTGAACAAATTTTTTTTTTTTTTTTTTTTTTTTTTTTGGTTTGATGCTCGCAATGAAGGGAATTCCTTCAAGCTACATGAGCATGCATTTGCAAGCAATTAACCAACATGTCATGTCATGGCCAGCAAAAACAAAAAAGTAAAAAAAAAAAAAAAAAAAAAAGGGAGACAAGTGTCCAAGGGGGTAGGATAGGCAAAACAACGGGGAGATTGACCACACGAGTAAGCGCGTGTATAAAATGATTTAGGAGCCACACGACAGGGCACCACCCATTCTCTTATCAGAGAGGATAGGAAAAGAATAGGGGAGAGCCTGCTTTGCAGTATTGTTTGCGTTGAGGATTTGGGGGAAGGCGGGGGGAGGAGGGGTAGGGGAAGAAGGAAGAAAAAGGAGAGAGTCTGTGTGTTCATGAAAACAATAAGACTTTTTTTTTTTTTTTTTTTTTTTTTTTTCTTCTTCCAAATGATGCTTACCCATAAAAACCACAACCATTGGCGCAGTTGATGGGCATGTTCTGAGCGTTGTTGTCTTCCATGATGCTCGGAGAGAATGTGTTGACGAAAATAAAGTGAGAGAGAAAGAAAGAAAGAAGAAAAAAAAAAAAAAAAAAAAGAGAGGAGGAGAAAGAAGAAGAAAAGAAAGAAAAAAGAAGAGAAAGAGATGGATGTAATGAATCAGTGGTGGTGGAGTTGTCAATGAGAGAAAGAGAGAAAGGAAAGAAAGAGAGGAAAAGAAAAAAGCAACCATGCACTCACCCACCGAAATTTATACTCAACAATTAATGTGCACTCAAACACCACACAGCCACCCAGTGATTCCATTTGTTTATTCACTGCGATGATTTTTCTGCTTTTTTTTTTTCTTCTTTTGCTTTTTTGCTCTTTGTCAAAAAGACATGTAAAAATGTTCACCCTTCTTTCTTTTCAACTCTTCTTACTACCCAAGGAACAACACTTCATTACTGAAAGATTATGCTGTAAAGTGCACCAGAGTCATGGCAAGTACAGGTATGTTTTATTCTATGCTGTTTTATTTACTATTTTTTTTTTTCTTTGAGGTCATCTATCGTATCTTCGTGTCATCATTGACAGTTTGACAGCGACCACTTCACTATTTGCTTCATCATGAATTCACAGAACTAAACAACATGTCTTTTTTTTTTTTTTTTTTTTTTTTTTTTTTTTTTAAATACTAGTTTCAACATTTTAAAATTAAGAGATGCATTAATGTGAAATATCAAGTCTTTTTTTTTTTTTTTTTTTTTTTTTTTAATGGTGTGGTTGTGGTTATGGTGTATGGTTCCTTATTCCAAAAACCTTGATACCTGATGACCTGAGGAAGATCACATGGCTCAAAGCATATATCATATTGACATGTCATGTCAAAGAATGCCCTTGCAAGAAAAAAAAAAAAAAAAAAAAGGTTTCATCACTGTTGAGAATTCAAACAGATCAAGAAGGTCGATTCATTCAACACATTCAACACACATGCACATACGCACTCATCTTTTTATTATTACATTTTCTCCTTCCAGAGAATGATAATAATAATTATAATAAAGTAATAGTGTATATATATGATAATAAAGTAATAAAGGTATATATATATATATATGATATAATAAAGGACTGGCCGAACAACCTCACCGGTCCACCATCTCCTCCAACTCTCTGTGCCTGTGGCCTCTCATCATTCAGAGTGCTTCAATCCTCAAGAAACAGTTTGAACCCGACAATAAATTGTCCATTCAGGTCGTTCCTCTCTTTTTTTTTTAAAAAAAAAAAAAAGAAATGAAGAAATCAACACATCCCAGATTAGACCATTGTCAAGCGGCGAGAGCATTCAACAAGGAAACAGTAGTCAACAGTGCTTTGGTCGGATTCAGCTCGTAGCGCCCTTTCCAAATATTAGGTTGAAATTTCACTCCTTGATATTCCACAAGGGGTCTATATTATCCTTACTCGGTAGTCGAGGCATGAAGAAAAAAAAAAAAAGCATTTTGTCGCTTCTATCGTTCTTTTATTTTGGAAAAAAAAAAAAAAAAAAAAAAAAGCCACATCGTTACAAGATCATGTGTTTAAACTCCAATGCTGTAACTGATCACCAACAGCCGTCCAGATTCCTGGCTGCTTCGTCGAAAACTTTAGACTTTCAACCTGCCCGCCAACATCGAGGTCCCGTACCCTTTCGCCTGTACTTGTCGACCATAGAGACAACTGACCATTGATATTCCCTGAAGCCAAAAGCGTTCCTTCCTTATTGAGATCAATCGGTGTCTTTGAGAAATGATTGACTATCGGGCCACGAAACTCAAACATCGGTTTGGCAAACGTGTCTGCTCTTGCTCTCTCTTTTACTTTTGAACCTGTAATAAAACGAGTGTCCCACATAAACATCTCTCCGTTCATGGCAGCTGTGACCAGTTGGTAGTCTGAAAGGCGCTTCATCGAATGAACCGACGAATCCTCATGTCCAATCCCTGTCCATAACGACACAGTTCGCTTCACTTTGTTAGCCTCCTTAGCAGAGGAAAAAAGTCCAGGCCGGTTCAAATCGAAGACCCGGACAGCCCCATTCCTGCACCCTGCATATACAAGATTCCGTCTCTCTGGTGGATCAATTACAATAGAAAATACATCGCTACCCGTCCAAAGATAATGTCCGACCATCGGCCTTGCTTCTGCTTTCCACCCTCCCTCCAAATGATAGATTTGTTGATCCAAGCTGATGACTATCTTGTTGCCGGCTACATCACTAGCTCGAACGTTGGATTTCCGAGGGGTGAATCCCGCAGCAAAATTCAGGGAGCGCCATGTGTCGCTAACGTCGCCGTCATTGTTATTGTTTCGAGATATCTTGTAGATTTTTAATGTCCCCGATCGCTCCATGTATCCCAAATGTGTCGTCCTAGATTGAAAGGACTGGTTAGTTAACATAGACCTAATAAGCTCTTCCGACATGAGTAATGATCACATAGTATTGTGGTATTGTGAGTGAAGACAATGATTGAGCTTCCTTACACTATATAGTCATCCGGAGTTAAATGGAAAGACGTCAGTTCGGACGAATCACCGGGGCTAATCATCTCCCATTGAGGGTTATTAAGTATTCGCGATGTCTCGATAGAGTATCGCCAAAGCTGCCCTTGAGATGTACCCAAGTACAGGTCCTGGCGCGTCTCATCCAGCTTAAAAGAATATGATGAAAGAACGAAGTAACTTCATCATCAATAAAGTTGAAATTGATTTGATCCCCTCTGCTTGATAGAACTTTTAAGCAAAAAAAAAAAAAAAAAAAAAAAAAAAAAAAGGGCAAATCCCGAATAGATATTTACTTGTAATTGCGTGTATCTCACGTCCGGTACAGGGGTCCATATCGCCTGATGTTCCTTTCGCCACTGTCTTGCTAATATAGAGTGCACTTCACTGAACGATATAAGAAGAAATGTCGAGTATGAGTAAAGTAAAAGAAAAAAGTATAGCTCCAATGGCGAGAGAGCTGGTTCGAAAGAAACATTTTCATTTTTAAAGATGTTACCAAAGTTGTCTCCGCGGATTGCCTGCTTTTCCCAGTTCACGATCGCACAAGAACCGGTCAAGACGACCATATTGATAAAAGATTGAGGCTGATGACTGGAACCTCTTAAATATTGGCTTTCGAATTGGATCAAGTACTGGCTAGAAAAAGTTGAGGATAAATATTAATATATTTACTTCAATACGATAAAGATAGTGCAGCAGTGACATTGTAAAAAAAAAAAAAAAAAAAAAAAAAAAATTACTTTTTGTATTGTCTTCTCTTTGATGCTTTGCTGACTAAATGGATGTTGGCTACCAAAAACATGGTTTGCTGTGATCTTGAAGTACTTTTTCTTTTCAGGGTCATAGTAAAATCCTGGGATTTCTCTGACAGCCGCCGTTGATTCAGATGCAGGCGCTGTTGAAGATGTCTGCTCACTGTTGTTATGGTTGTTATGGTTGTTATGATTACTATTAGCCTGACTATGATACAGTTGTTGGCGATGATATTTGCCATAATCGTTGTTTTTCCTTGCTCGTTTCTTTGCACTACTAGAATTCATGGACAGATCACTGCTCATGACCCCATGCTTTGAATGAGGTCGACTTCTTTCTGCATTATTGCCGCTGCTGCTGCTGCTGCTGCTACTGTTTTTATTACTATTGTTAATATTGTCATTATTGCTGCCAGTTTGGTTGCTGCTATTATTTTCAGGGGTGCCCGGAGAAGGGCGATAGTGCCTCTTTCCCTTCCCTTTATGCCACATTGTAGACAATGTATGTTGTCAAAAGTGCTGAATGGAGAAACTCATGACATTAATTTTTCCATAAAACAAAGCCGCCATAAATCTTGTCATACACTGTTTAATAATGGTATATAATAAGGGAATTAGTTTGTTGAATTCTCTCATCATTCTTTTTTTTTTTTTTTTTTTTTTTCTCCTGTTTCCATTTCCATTTCATTTCCTTCAGACTTGAAAAAAAAAAAAAAATGTTGGGAAAGAAGATCCTCTTTGGCGTTATTGCCACTATGATGTCCTTCATTGCCACTGTTACTGCCGACAGTGTGCTTGCACTTACACCCTCAGACTTTGATAAGGTAAACCACCTTTATATTTTCATTTGGTTTGAGCCTATACACATAACACAACCGTCTGGTCCAAAGATCCTGAAGCGCGTTTTCTTTTCTTTTCTTTTTTTTTTTTTTTTTTTTTTTTTGTTCTTACATCTGCATCTAGACCATTGGCTCCAAGCCTGCTCTTGTTGAATTCTATGCTCCCTGGTGTGGCCACTGCAAGGTATGACAGCTCATTTTACGTGTGTATCAGAATTATCTGATTATTAATTTCAACAGGCTAGAAAGATTTCTAACGCTAATTTATCGCATACGTGTCACTCTTCCATTTACTTATTTGCTTTAGGCCCTTGCTCCTGTAAGTGCATAGTCCTTGATCCGTTCTGATATCTGCATTATCTAATAGTAGATACAATACATCACTTTTTATATAATAAGAAGGAAAGGAAAAGGTTAGATGATTCACAAGTCGTCCTTTTTTTTTTAAAAAAAAAAAAAAAAAAAAAAAATATGCCATAGACATATGAGGAACTTGGACAGGCATTCAGTGACAAGCAAGATAAAGTGCTGATTGCCAAGGTGGATGCAGATGCTCACCGCGAGCTTGGATCTCGCTATGATATCAAAGGTTTCCCTACGATCAAGTGGTTCCCCAAGGGTGTGGAAGGCGATCCAGAGGATTACAAGGGTGGACGTGACTTGGATGCGTTGGCTTCGTTCGTCACCCAGAAGACGGGTGTCAAGTCATCGATTGTCAAGGCCGTTCCTGCTGTCACTGTTCTCACTGATGCTACGTTTGATAAGGAGGTTTTGCAGAGCAAGAGAAACACACTGGTTGAATTTTATGCACCTTGGTGCGGACATTGCAAGAACTTGGGTAAGAATGAATGAATGAACTAGTATTCATTAGCTTTATGAGCTATTTGGATATCAAGATGCCCCCTTCCTTGGATGTTTCGATCGTCACAATCTTGAAATCTCGAGCGTTGTTCATAATAACCAATTTTTTTTTTTTTTTTTTTTTTTTTTTTGTTGATAGCTCCTACCTATGAAAAGGTCGCTCAGGATTTCCTCAACGATAAAGACGTAAGGATTTTTTTTTTTTTTTTTTTTTTTTTTTATTTCTGCGAGAACTAAAAGGGGATTACACTAAATGTAGAACGAGTACAATCGATCAGAGACTAAAATTTTTTTTGTTGTTGTTGTTGTTGTCATTATTATTATTGAAAACAGACTGTTGTGATTGCCAATGTGGATGCGACAGTGGAGACTGCTGTTGCTGAAAAGTACGGGGTGAAGGGTTACCCAACGATCAAATTCTTTGCTGCGGATGGAACTGTTGAGGACTACACTGGTGGTCGTAGCGAGCAGGACTTTGTTGATTTCATCAACCAAAAGACTGGCACTCAACGTGCGGCTGGTGGACTTTTGAGACCTGAGGCTGGTCGGATTGGCTCGTTGGATGAGCTTGTAGAGAAATTCGTGAAGGCAGCCAGCAAGGAGAAGAAGAAGATCAGTGAGCAGGCCATCAAGCTGGCCGAGAAATTGGGTGCTACGGGAGACAAGAAGGACTTGAGCGCAAAGTATTACAGCCGGTTCTTTGAGAAGGCATTGGCGACTGCCAACTACGCAGAGACTGAGGCAGCTCGTCTGTACAAGATTATCAAGAACAAGTCTGTCAATCGTAACCGTCTTGATGACTTTATAATCCGCCACAACATCATTTCTCTTTTCATCGGCAAATCATCTGCTGAAGGCAAGGATAAGGATGAGCTGTAGAAACAAGCACTTTTTTTTTTTTATTTTTATTTTTTTTTTTGCCCTTCTTTCTCCACCTCAATTAAGCTTATCCTGTTATCCGCTTTAACTGTAAAGTTTTAAAGGCATATTTATGTATCTGCCCTTATAACCACATTTTAGTATGGAGACATGGAGAGTTTTTGAATAAAAGATGATTTACCTCTAACTGATTTGTTTTAAAAAAAAAAAAAAAAAAAAAAAAAAGATGATCGGTTTATGATATCGGATAGAAAGTAATGCTTTAGTAGTTTATTGGTGTCTATAGTACAAGATTGATATAAAAAAAAAATAAAAAAAGCAAATCAAATCAAATCAAACCAATGAGTGTATATGAAGAGAAGGGAATTAGAGGGATATAAAAAGCCGACAAAGAAAGGACAAAGGGCAAGAGTAAAAGGCTTGGGTTGACAATCTCTGGGCTGTGTCATATTTCATATTTCAGGCATTCAGGCACAGACACCCCAGTCCTGGATAGTGATGAAGGGCTGTTCGCCTTGAGAACCCTTGGCAGGGGAGAAGGCCAGACGCGTTGGGGTCAAAGGAGACCGGGGAGAGCAAGCAGAGGCTTGGGAGAATGGAGTCAGGAGAGTGTCGATACGGAGCTTGTTGATCTGCAAAGGGACTTTACCGTTCTCTGTGGCATCAGAAGAAGATGCTGGTGCAGCAGCGATGGAGACTGCAGGAGCAACAGAGATCTGTGCTTCTGTGGATGTGGATGTGGAGGTGGATGTGGATGTGTTTGAAGAAGAGGATGAGAAGGCTGCGGTAATGTGTTGTTCGAGCGAGAACTCGTCAATGGTTTGCATCTCTTCCTCATCCACATATCCGACTGGGGGGGATCCGGGAGGGGAGAGGTGTCTGGCACCCTTGTCGGCGTGGGCCTTGGCCAGGTCGGGCAGGTGAAGGTAGTACTTCTCGGGATCGATGGTCAATTCGGTGTGTTGACCAAAGTAGACGCGGAGGGTGATGTCCTTGAAACGGGTGTTGTGCAACAGGGCCTTTGCTCTTTGGGCGTCAAAGACCGAGTGATAGACAACAAAGACACGGTGGAAGGATTTGATGGGGGAGAAGAAGCAGACTTTGCCAAAGAGCTCGGTCTGTGCGCGGAGGTTGTCGAGGAAGGACTGTTCAAAGTGATGGTTCTCAAGATCGGTGATGATCAAGGTATTGGTTGGGAGTGTAGGGGAGGAAGAAGGAGAGGACGACATGATGAAGGGCGGTTATCTTTGTTATTGTATGTAAGGGTATGTAAGGATGAAAAGATGTTGAGGGTTAGATTGAGAAGAAGAAGAAGAGGTCAGTGAGTGAAGAAGAAGAAGAAGAAGAAGAAGAAGAAGAAGAAGAAGAAAGAAGAGGTTAGATTTAAATAAAAAAAAGAGTTGTGTGATGGAGAAAAAGTTTTTTATGGTTTGTTCTGTATCCTTTTTATATTTTCACACCATCTCAGACCATTTCACACATTTCAGAGTTTTTGTTTCGATTCAGAAGGCACAGAAACGTTCTTTTTTTTTTTTTTTTTTGCGCACGGCTAAAAAAAATCCAATGGAAAAAAAAGAAAAAAAAAGGACTCGGCCAAAGAGCTCATTCTCATTCGCACAACATGCACATGCATATGTACTTTGCAACACTCTTCTATCCTTCTTTTTTCCCTTTGATTACAATAGAACATGTCTATCGAAACAACAACAAGCCTTTTTTTTTTTTTTTTCTTTTTCCTTTCTTTCTTTTTTGAATAAAATGATGGCTATAACTGCTATTATATAGTATAATATATATTACATTGTATCATATATCATCTAGACATTCCCTCATTCAAATGTCTTACTGCCTTTAAAAAAAAGAGGTTTCTATTAGGGAAGAACATAGCCAACATGGCCGATTCAAGATGATTTTGATATGTAATATTGATGCACCCCACACCCACAATTAAAGTCATTAAATGGTCAAATATGAAATAAAACAATAAAATAAATAAAAATTAGCGTGTACATATCTCAGTGGGTATAAATATATTTATATATTTATTACAAGCACGTATTACGATTCTGCATTGATTTTGTACGTGTGTCTGCTACAGAATTCTATGCTGACAACACAAACAACCAGAATTCTATGCAGACCAAAATAACAAAAGAAATTCGATGTGTCCCTTCCATCGAAGTGCTTCGATCGAGAGGCATTTTGATATCCACCTGTACTGTATTACATCAAACCATTATGCTCCTGAGAAGAATCTTCCATTTCTCATGGTCATGGTCATGGTCATGGTCATTCCATATCATAGCCATGTTATATTACTATTACATGTTATATATGCCAATGCTCTCTATCACAGCTGTCTTGCTAGAAACACTTGTACCCGTGACTTTTTCTATTCACATACACCCGTATCCTTAATGTTGTGAAGACATAGTATGCAAAAAAGCCTTTAAGCAATTACAGGCACACACACATTCTTTCTTTCTTTTTTTTTTTTTTAAAAAAAAAAAAAAAAAAAAGAAAAAAAAGAAAAGAAAAAATCGCGTGTTATCTTCGTCTACTTTTCTACGACTATGTATAGCCCAGAGTAGATGAATCATTATACAGTGTATAAATGTATATGTATATGTTTATATACACAATATACAATGTCATGTCATCTTGATGTCTTGGCCTTTTTCTTTTGGGTTCAGATTCAAAGAAGCCTTCCACGTTTTCTTAGACTTCTCTTCTCTCCTCTCCTTTTTTTTTTTCTTTTTTCTTTTTTCTTTTTTTTTTTTTGCTCTCTTTTGGGTCATTTGCTAAACAAGGCTGTCCTTCTGCTCTCATTATCTTGGTCCCTGATTTTTCTTTTCCTTTATAGTACATGTACATGTGCATTTACACGTTTTTTTTTTTTTTTTTTTTTTTTTTCTTTGTCGCCGCCCTTTTGTCTTTTTTTCTTGTGACACCTTTGCCACTTCTATTCAGAAAGGCATTTGTAGAGTACGTAGACTAGTATTAAATAAAAAATAAAAATAAAATAAAAATATATGTGTGGCCACATCACATTTATACTCTTAGACTACCTTAGAAGCTTCTATACACTGACAGTAATCCGATTTCGGGGTAAACTATTTGGCGTACATGTTCATGGCAATAAAAAAAAAATAAAATAAAATAAAAAGAGCAATGACGAAGGAGATACATGTACAATAGGAATGCTGACGCAGCACCAAGTTACAAGATCTAGTCTCTACGATCTTGGAGTGCAAAACTATAATGATGAATCCTTTTTCTCCCTTTTTAAATGTCCACCCACATCCACCTCACGAAGCAAACACTCGACTTTGCAAAAATAAAATAAAAAAATAAAAATAAAAAAATAAAAAAGAAACGAAAACAACTCGTCGAATTCTGATTGTTCGATCTTGGCTTATATATATATATTTATATATATTTATATATTTATATATACCAAGCACCTTTTATTGCGCATTGCGCATTTATTATGTATAGAGTATGTAAATGCTATTAAAGAAAGAGACCGTTCTGTTTGGCTCAATTAAAGATCTCGACAATGAAAATTGACCAAGAGATGCCGCACATGCCACCTTGGTTGGAAAACATGATGTTCTTTGTGGAAATTTCTCTAAAAGTTGATTGGTATTATTTTTATAAATTTATACTGTTACATGTGTCCCTTTTCCAATGTCCATCCATGGCCCTGAATGTTTGGAGGTTTAGCAAAATATATAATTAGGGTCTAGACGGATGGACATGCAAGTCTTTTGAGTCTTTGCAGATAGCATCGAGCTCTAGATTCAAAACAAAGCTTTTTTTTTTTTTTTTTTTTTTGTTGTGCTGATGCAGTTGGAACTTTCTTCTTTTCCTTTTCCTTTTTTTCCTTCTTTCTAAAAAACCTTTTGGAAACAAAGACAAAAGAGAAAGGGCTTTGAATGGTTCATGTAGTGTAATCAGTTTTTCTGTAACAAACAAAGGGGAATCATTGGGACAAATAAGAAAGCAAAAAAAAAAAAAAAAAAAAAAAAAAAAGGGCTCGCGTGAGGTTACTTTTCTTTTTCTTTAAGGAAAAAAAATAAAAATAAAAAATAAAAAACTGATGAATAGACATGAGTAAAGCATATCCCCAAACAAAAGACAAAAAAAACAAGATTGATAAAAGGATACAGTTAATCCTTTCATCTGAAGAAAAAAAAAAAAAAAAAAAAAAAAGTAGAAAGACATTTCTTTCCAAGATTTCTTTTTTGTTTCTAAAAAAAAAAAAAAAAACATTCTTTTTCTTTATAGATGTACATGTAGATTAAACAGCTGGGTTTTCCTTGTCCTGCTTGTTCAAAAGAAGTAGAAGAAATACATCTTGCATTATCCATCTGACCTCTAAACTTCTCGTTCCATTCTATCATTCTACTAAATCAGAAAAAAAGATCTGCTTGCTCCCTGCTGCGCTGATTTGTTACAACATTGTCTTTTATACAAAATAGATTTAGATCTTTCAAAGATGCATTTGGCTTAGTATCTATCCCATTATGGTGTAATCGAAGGATAGAAAGAGCAATCCCTAGTCCACGCGCATACTTCAAATAGGACACAAACCCATGTATCCATATTGTATTTTTCTTTTTTTTTTAAAAAAAATTCGTTCCTGTCGCTCCTGTCAATAAGAGAACCATTCACTATATAAAATCCTTTTAATTGATTCAAAACCTCGGATCCATCACATGGGCGAAGCACTGCACAATGTAGCCATATAATATATATTGTAAGCCAGTCACCTCAAGCCACAAACAAAGCTTTGTCAAAACAAAAAAAAAAAAAAAAAAAAAAAGGCATGCATTTCAACTTCACCCTTGTTGCATCTCCATTGGCAGTAATAAGTAACTAAGCAAAAAAAAAAAAAAAGCACATCATGGCCACCGCTCGTAAACGTCGTACTACAAAAACGCCCTCCCGTAAAGTGACACGCAAGACTGCCAACAAACACAAGAAAAAGGTCAATGTCATTGGTAACAAGATCATTCGGGAGAACTGGGATAAGAAGGCTACACTTCGTCAAAAGTACGTTTCATGACCTTTTTGTGCAATTATTATTATTATTATTATTTCTTTCCTCCATTGTTCTAAACTCCATTTTTTTTTTTTTTTTTTTTTGTTTTCCTATTTAGTTATGCTCGCTTGGGTCTCCTTCCTTCGTTGAATGGTGTTACAGGAGGCACGGAAATCAAGGATGAGGATGAAGTAATGGAGAATGAGCAAAAATCACTCGAGGAATTGGCAGCATCGTTGACAGAGGAACAGGGGATCATTCAGCGTGATGATGAGGGCAATATTATCAACATCATTGTTGGCAAGGCTAAAACAAAGGAAGAAATTGAAGAGATGATGGAAAAGGAGATCGAGCCTGTCAAGGCCAAGACTGATGTTGTACGTGCACTCGAAGCCCAGGCAGCAAACGTATTGAAGACAGAGAGATATCAATCGGAGGGTGAGGTTGTGTGGGCTGCCAAATTGGTGGAGAAGTATGGTGATGATTACGAAAAGATGTTCCGGGATCGAAAATTGAACCCTAACCAGCAGACTGTTGCTCAGTTAAAGAAAAGGATCAAGGCACTCTTGACCTAAAAAAAAAAAAAAAAAAAAAAAAAAAGAACATTTTCATTTATTTTATTGTACCATAGACACATTTTTTTTTTTTTTTTTTTTTTTATTACGCATTCCGACACAGGGCCAGTAATAAATATCACACCTATGCATTTCTACAAGGCTTCATTAGATCCAGATCACATTAATAGAGGCCTTTTTTTTTTTTTTTTTTTTTTATTATTATTATTATTGCTGTTATTACTGTTCTGGTTATTTTATTTGTAAGCGTTAGATCAATTCTATCCCAAATTAAAAGTGGAGGCTGCAAAGTTCCATCCCGCTAGAAACTGGATCCAGTAGTAATGAAGCAATTGATGTGCTGTTGAAGGACTTAATAGGTCGTGTATTCAAATACTCATAAGGCTAAGAAACTTTGTTCCTGTGCACTTTAAGGATATCATCGCTGCTGCTCTCTCTCTCTCTCTCTCTCTCTCTCTCTGCTCGTTAACATATCTCTTGCCTTAACTTGGATATAGAGCAACAAACATAGAAAAAGTCATCAAGAGATTCTCTCTGCTAAAAGCTGAAAGGGTCCTCCTCCATTTCTTGTAAATATTCCAACGAAGCCAAAAGACTTCAGATTTAATAAAAAAAAAAAAAAAAAAAAAAGACCAGAAAACGCGACTTGAACGATATTAAAACTAGGAAGCCAAAGGAAGGTCTTATTGCAAATAAAAGTTGTCGTCTCATCAAGTCTTTTGACCATATCATAGGAAAAAAAAAAGATGATTTCCTTGTTCTTGTATTTCACATCTGGGTAACAAAGTTGATAGTGTTAAGCACAAACTACGTTGACAATGTCGTATATACTTTATGTCAAGCAAAAAATGGAAAAGCTAGTTCTGAAGATGAATGTACTAGAATGAAAGACAAGGAAGGGCACAAGCTTTTGCAGCCTCAGCTTCATAAAGTGAAGATCATTTGCAATCCTGCTTCGGGATGAGCATAGCAGCAAGAAGATGGCCGATGGGTTGACTCGCTCATGAAGAAAGAAAGAAAGAAAGAAAGAAAGAAAGAAAGAAAGAAAGAAAGAAAGAAAAAAAAAAAAAAAAAAAAGTGTAAAACAAAACTCGGGAAACATGGTTGGCAATGTTACCAAGAATCCCTATAAGATAGTTATGTTGGATGTCGGGATGATTGGCCGACGGCTTCAAGGCAGAATCAAGGCGGATCTTAGTTCCAACGTATCCCCTAATATGCTGATAAATGTAATGGAATGGGTCCAATCTTACTATTTATAGCCTCGTCAAACTCAATACTCACTTAATTCGATGTAAGGATTTGGCAGTTTTCATTTACATTGACATTCCTAAGGATCAATATCCTAATATTGATTCCGAGGTCGCTTAAAAATCAACGACGTACTGAGTTGAGACACATTGCCTACCAAGGATGAGTACGGAGGGTTTATTTTTCAAGACGCTGCTCAAAGAGCTTTACAAGGTGGTTCCAGTTTCAATTCCGTTCAAGGAGCTATCAATTCATTCAAGGACTTGCCTGGCAAAAAAAAAAAAAAAAAAAAAAAAAAAACTTTTTAACCAAAGGACGTTCTAAGACTTGCACAGATCCCCTTTTGTGGTTTTACTTGTTCAAGGATGATGCAGACCTAAAATTAGACCCCGGGACGCATCTGCAGCATGACTGGGGTCATCATATTGGTCAAGAACAAAAAAAAAAATAAAATAAAATAAAAAATAAAAAATAAAATAAAATAAAAAATAAAAAATAAAAAATAAAAAATAAAAAATAAAAAATAGAAAATAAAAAATAAAAAATAAAAAATAAAAAAATAAAAAAAATAAAAAAAAGGAAAAAAAAAGAAAAACATGGCCAATACAACTCTTCAATGGGTTAAAGAATTAAACTGATTCGAAGCATTAGAGCATTCATTTGTCAGATTTGCCATGCTGAAAGAAGCGCAATGTGGAATAGTAAATGTGGTCTTTGTTTTTTTTTTTTTTTATTTTTTCCCGCGTAAATCTCATTGTGCTTCAGAAACGGCTTGATCCACTTCTTTACGCACAAACCTTAATTAGCTAGCCAGAGAATCTGGCAAAGCCTTTGGAGTACCTTACCAGTCTTCAACTCCATTTCTTTATTCCATTGTCAATGACCTCAAAGATTCCATTTGAACTTTTCTTTCTTTCTCTTCTCTTTCTCTTTCTCTTTCTCTCTCTCCTTCTTCTCTCACCTTTTATTTATTTATTTTCTCCATTATTATTCTACCTTTTTTTTTTTTTTTTTATTATCATCCCTCTCACTCTGTTTAATCAATATAGAGTAGAACCACCAGACGAGACGCGCACTTCTCAAACTCATTTTCATTCGACTCCATTCTGCAACTTTTTTTTTTTTTTTTTTTTTTTGAAACCATTATAATTCATATCCATTATTGCTGCAACGGGCAGAGTCAATCGTTATTATCGAGTGTATATCACAGATTTGATCTTGATCAATGATCGAGCAAAGCGGAGGCGATGTTTATCGAGCATGGGTCTTCACATTTGCCTCTGCCATGGCTTGTGTCTTTGGAGGTACACCTTTTGTACAACCCCTCTGCACCCACTCAAATAAAAATAAATAAAAAGGACATGTGTTTATTCTTGATGTAATGAATGGGAAACGCACTAAACGAATTTTAATTTTTAATTTTTTATTTTTATTTTTATTTTTATTTTTATTTTTATTTTAACCATCCTCCTAGCCGGGTTAATCTTTATTGATACCATCGTAAAAAAATTACTCGGAAAAGATGTTAGAATGTTACAAAACCACAAGTTTTTAGCTGGATCATTAGGTCTCGGATCCGGAGTCATGGTAAGCTCATCCTTAAGTGATTTCTAAAGGAAAAAAGAAAAAGAAAAAAAAAAAAAAAAAAAAAAAAGAATAGCTCTTGGCTATGGCATTCGACCAAATTGAGAGACTAGAGGCGAGCTAGGCGTTCTTGATTCTTTGATTGCAAATCTTGCCATACAAGTAAGCAAAGCAATTCAATCAACAAAGCCCACCCGTAACTGCTTTAAAGCAATGACCATGAGTTAAAAAAGATGAGGGGGAAAAAAAGCCTCCAAAGAGAGAGAGAGAGAGAGAGAGAGAGAGAGAGCGTGTATGTATGTATCTGTGTGAGTTTTTTCCTTTTCTTTTTCCTCCTGTTCATTGATGCCTATCCTACTAATAATCTCTAATGAACGAAGAAAGAAAGACAAAGGTTTTGGAAAAGGAGACGGATTTGATCTTGCTACTTGTGAATTTTGGTTTCAGTGTACACGGCTTGTAATCCTTCGGGTGAAATAAGACGCAATGAAAGAGTTAAAGTTTCCATCGGCCATCGGACCAACAACCTTGCCACTACAGTGCTCATGTCACACTGCTTACAACAGAAAAAGATCAAAAGTTCTTTTGCTTTTTACCGATCTTTTTTTTTTTTTTTTTTTTTTTTTCTCTTTTTCTTTTTTCTTTTTTCTTTTTCTTTGCAGAAAAGAATGAGACACTCACCAATGATTTATGTAAAACTTGTTATTAGATCTTTTCCAGCTTTTACAATCTTCTTCCGGAAGCAAGGAGCCAACTGTCTTCAGATCTTTCCATCTTCGCAAACCATGCAGATGCAGTATTGATGCTATTCTTCTTTGGTGGTGTCGGTGTCATGAGCCTCATTCACTGGATCATGCATAAATTCGATTCTGGCAACGTTAGTTCAGCAGGAATAGAGAGCGATGATACTATTCAGCAGTTTATACAACGCGAAAACCAGGATACTCGCCGACCATCATCGTTACCTCAATATCGCCATTCAAACAATAATGGTTATCCAAAGACCACGGTCAATGATATCACTTCATCCAGTGCCTCCAATTCAACCACAAATAATATTTGTAAAGGATGCTCCCAAGAAGAGAGTGATGAGGGCGATGATGAGGAGAGATACAATGATTCAGAATATGTGGATGATGAGGCCACGTCCTTGCTCAACAACGCGTTCCTACAAATTGGCAAGACACCTAGCAGTTGCCTGGATGATACTCCACATATGCAGCGTCATCATCGTAGCAGACATGCCTCAGGAAATGATTGTTATAATGAAGATAATGATCACTATGATGACGGGAATATCGAGGTTGTGATTGGTAACCAAAAGGACGAAATCTTGAGACAAAATAAATACCATCGCGGAAACCATGATTTGAATATGGAGTTTGGTCTAGGCCACGACGATGATGATAATAGACAGGACAGTGCTCCTGGAGGCCTATTGAAACCTAAAGACTCGTGGTCTTCCATCTCTACACGCTCACAAAAACCATTCGCGCCTGTGAAAAAGAGGAGAAAATCAGGCGTGCCCCCTAGCAAGTCTAGGTCCGGGGCTAAGGAACGCTACCATAGCGAGGGATGCCCTTACAAGACCGGAGGAGGAAGAGGAGGAAGAGCAACTCCGGGAAATGAGATGAAAGGCAGCAATATTAACAAAAATCAACAGGGGGCCAATACTTTACCAACCTATGGAGCTGTAACAACCGCAACTCCACATCAACTTCGACGTACTTCCTTTCCGCGACTCAATGGTGCTGGTGCTGGCTCCATTTATTCAAAACATGATAATCTGGATCATGCTGTGGCTGATGATCAAGAGCATGCTGATCTGACTGAAATTGGAATTCAAACAGCTCTTACTATTGCTGTCCACAAGTTTCCAGGTAAGGAAATGAGGATATTGGCAGTGATCACCGCTAGTCGAAAAAAAAAAAAAAAAAAAAAAAAAAAGAGAACAAGAAAGAAAAAGCTAATCAACTATATATTTTATTGTTCTGATTCATGTTTTTAGAGGGTTTGATCACATTCTTGTCAACGACTGCAGATCCATGTCTAGGCTTGACAGTGTTTATGGCGATTGCGGTCCATAACCTGATCGAGGGCTATTTGATCGCCTTCCCACTTTTCATCGGGTTGCACTCTCGAACTAAAGCATTCGCCCTTGCTGCAGCTCTGGGTGGACTCTCTCAGCCTCTGGGTGCAATACTGGGCTGGTTTATTCTTCGTGAAGTCAACAATATGGGCTGGCAAGTGTCGGCTACGGGTGTGATCTATGCAATAGTTGCGGGTATGATGTCCTCCATTACTGTCAACGGCATGTGGCCGCAGGCTGTCAAGTGTGTAGGCAGGAATAAGACTAAAGTGGTCCAATACTGTTTCTTTGGAGGCATTGCAATCATGGGACTTTGTCAAGCAGCCATGGGTGCAAAATGCAATTCTTAAGTGAGACACAAACGGAGCAAGCGGAACGGGGGGGGGAACCCAAGTTTCAGCTTCCATATTTTATACAAATCCATTTGCATGCATAAAACTCTCCCCTCTCTCGCCTCCTCCTATGACAGTTAGAGCAAATGTACAGTATAAGCAAAGAATAGTAAATAACATGTATCATTAGGAATTTTTTGTCAGAAATCTTATTAGTGTTATATCATACATAAAACTATTAATCATCTTGCGAGCAAGGTTGCCCAAAAAAAAAAAAAATCAAAAAAAAAAATTCTTGTTTAGAAGATCCTAGAATTGGTTAAACAGAAAACTACAGTCGTATAAGAAACATCTTGAAGAGCCCATAGTTCAGCATGATTTTCTTTAGTAAAAAATGTGAGTCAAACGCAAAGAATGAAGGCGATGTTGCGCAGTCGTGCCCGGTGGTTTCTGCCGTCGGGTGCAACCAAAGCTCTTTTTTTTTCTCGTTGGTGGCGCAAATCTAACTAACGAAAATCACTACCAATGGCAATGCATTGCGATTTCATCATAGCCCCTAAGGAATCTAAGGAGTCTAAGGCACGGATGATGAGAATGACAATAAATCTGCATTAATATAGAAGTCCGCGATACCCTCTTTTTACATATATATATATATATATATACATATATAATCTCAACAGCCATTTCAACAATCAAACCACTAGTTACAAAAAAAAAAAAAAAAAAAAAGAAAAGAAAAAAAGAAAAAAAGAATTAATTTATTATCATGTCCAAGCTCCTTGTCATTTTCGGTGCTACTGGTCAGCAAGGCGGATCTGTTGCCAACTACGTCCTCAAAGATCCAGTTTTGTCCAAGGAATTCAAGATCCGTGCCGTCACACGCAATCCTTCCAAGCCAGCTGCTCAGGCTCTGCAGAAGAAAGGTGTGGAGGTAATTCAAGGTGACCTGGACGATGAAAATTCGGTCAAGAATGCCGTCCAGGGAGCCCACACAATCGTGTTGATCACTGCGACCGTGTATGATGAGCGTCTCAAAGCCAGAGAGTTTGCAGAGTGCAAGAATGTGGCAGATGCAGCCGTAGCAACTGAAGCCCAGTATATGATCTTCAGCACGTTATACCGTGTCTCCAAAGTTTCTGGTGGCAAGTACAAACATGCAGAGCATTTCGATGTCAAAGCTGAGGCTGAGGACTATATCCGTTCTTTACCGATCAAGAGCGCCTTTTTTGTGCCCGGATACTTTATGCAGAACTTTTCAACGGTCTCACGCCCTCATCCTATGGGTGACGGTACCTATGCCATCAGCTGCAATGTTTCGTCTCAAACCCGTTTGCCCTTAATTGATGCTGCCGAGGACTCGGGAAAGTTTATTGGAGCGATCTTGGCGGATCCCAAGAAGTTTGAAGGCAAACAAGTGACGGCTGCGAGTGGGATTTATACGTTTGATCAGGTAGCAGAATTGATCAGCAAAGCGACTGGCAAATCTGTGAAGTACAACCAATTGCCCCTGAACGTCTTCCAGGAACTTTTGCCTCCTCCTGTATCCGCCCAGATGATAGATATGATGCTCTATATCGAGGAGTTTGGTTACTATGGTTCGAAAACACAGGAGCTTGTGAAGGAAGGTGCTGAGGGTGCACGTGGTAAGCTGAACACTTTTGAGGAATTCCTCACCAAAAACCCTATCCAACTCCAGTAGAAGTAGGAAAGGAGACAAGATTGACGGACAGTGTAGCCAAATTGTATACAAATATTTGTAATAAATTGAACAAAAAGTGCCAAAAAAAAAAAAAAAAAAAAAAAAAAAACGATTCATGACAGCTGCCTCGCTTTATCCACAGAAGAGTGGAGCAGTGTAAAGATCATCCACTTTACCTCAAGAGGAAAAAAAAAAAAAAAAAGGTTTTTTTGTCAGAAAGGGATTTTATTCTCAACAAACTGGCGCTTCAATGCTTTCGTGCCGTTTTGATACCTATCCTCGTTTTATTCTCTCCGTTTCACCTCCTTGTACAACTACCTGAATTTGCCCGGTCTATCTTTTTTTTTTTTTTTTTTTTTTTTCTTCGGCCGGTTCAACGTCCACTCGTTCATGTGCTCGCGTCTTTCGCCCAAACATTAAAAGCATCGACCTATAGAGGCATCTAAATGACAATAATAGTGATGATAATAGTGAAAAAAAAAGATCTCTTTCGTGTCTGAAGCAGGTTATCATCGACTTTGCATCCCTTTGTTTCCATTCAAGCCTTACGAACCTATTCATATTCCCCTCCTACTTCTCTCCTATTCTTTTATTATTATCATCATCATCCACATTATTATTGTTCATTTTTTTTTCTCTCAGGACCCTGTCCTGGAGGTTCATAGTCAAAAAAAAAAAAAAAGAACTAAGCCTATAGCCTCACTCATTCACCTCTTTTGGACGTTATCATCAATATATTCCTTTACTTTTTGTCATCCTATTATTTGTTTTCAATGCCTATTGGTTACTCCACTCTTTCGCAAAAAAAAAAAAAAAAAAAAAAAAGAAGAAAGAAAAAGTACCGTTGTTGTTATACCCCAAGTTCTTAGAATATCAGATCTTAATTCATCTCATTTCATCTTCACGTTTATCACCCACTATTTTCATTCCATTCTCGCTCTTTCAACACTCGCCAACATTTTTTTTCCCCCTCCTTTGTTTCTTCCTTTCTTGGCTTTTACCATGTCTGTTTGTCAATCATTCAAGCAAGATCACTCTTACAAGACTCAGTTAGAGATGATTGATGATGAGAGCGACACTGATTTGGAGAGTGCTTCAAGCGATAGCGACATGTCCAGCATAGAATATACTAAATTCTCCATTGACCTTCCACCTGTCACGTACATGGCGAATGTGATTGCTAATCAATTGATAAAGACCGGGGATAGCTTATATGGAAGGCGTGAGGATGCCAATTGTGTCCTGAATGTAGGCAGTATGAGGTTCCATGTTCATGTACAGATGCTTGCTGTAAGTTATAAGGCCCTCTCTCTTTCTTTATTTCCTTCCTTCTTCCTTCCTTCCTTCCTTTCTTTCTTTCTTTCTTCTTTCTTTCTTCTTTTTTTTTAACCTTTTCTTCGTCAATTCGTTGCGAAACAGAATTTTTTTGTTGTTGTTGTTGTTGTTGTTGTGGACGTTGCATTGCTTCTTTTCTTTTTGTTTCCGTTCCTTGACGGTGCATAGCACCCATTATGCAGTTATCCTATCCAATTCTTTTGGCTGCATGTCGATTTCCACAGATCTACATTGCTTTTCAAGGGCAGAGATATTTCTTTTACTTCACTTGACTACCCATCAATTTTTTTTTTTTTTTTTTTTTTTTTTTTTTTTTCATCCATAATTGGGTAGTGCTTCCAATCATCATCCCCCATCAACTCAACCAACGAAAAAAAAAAAAAAAAAAAAAAAAGAAATGATAATAAGAATAATAATAATAATAATAATAAAAAGCAACGCAAAGTATTATTTTCACAAGTACAAACAAGCCTTTTTTTTATTTTATTTTTAATGATGTGTTTTTATCCACATGTATAAATTAGTCTCGTTCTTCAGCGTTCCGACACATCTTCGATGATATGATCGCGAACAACGCCTGGGGCCCGCTCTCGAACCTTGCTGTTAATGCATCAGCCGATGAAGTCTTTAATCGACAGGCTTCTACACTTGCCGACATCCATGATGTTGATGGATGTGAAAGCAGTCGGATGAATTTCTATCCGGAGCAGCAGCATCCTCCAAAAGACATTGATCAAGGCATAAATCAGCGAACAATCAATAATGTTCAGCCGACATCATTGATGAGTGTGCAGGGCTCTGATCCTGGGTCTGGTTCTGCTTCTGATGAACCAAATGATGAGGAAGAACCAGGCCAGGATACTGACGGTAATGACTCGGACGATGATCTACCAGAGTTAACTATCTCATTGATGGATCCTGAAGAAAGTCGGTTTGAGGAGTTATTGTATTGGGTAAGATAAATTGGAACAAAGCATAGCTTTACATGCTTTCTCCTTTTTTTTTTTTTTTTTTTTTTTTTTGAATGTCTGTGCTGATGATATGATTTTTTTTTAAAAAAAAAAAAAAAAAAAAAAAATTAATCGTAATATAGATTTATACTGAAGACAATGAGCGGTGGCTCCGTTCGTTCACCCCTGGGAATTACAGGGCAATCCTTCAAAACATTCGATATCTTAATCTTCAATCTCTGCCAGTACTGAAGTTGTGTTTGACATTTGAACAGAGTACAGATCCAGCTCTTGGGTTGCATGGTCTAGCCATGAGTACTCTCATGATACAATAATGGCATTCTTTTATTTATATATATATATATATATTTTTTTTTTTTTTTTTTTTTTTTTTTTTTTTGCTCTTCTTTCTTCTACTGACAACAACCAACGGTGTATCGATGGGCGTACCTTTGACTAGAAATGTTTAATAGTGGTTTCTCTTCATTTACACCCTAATCAACCATTCATTCATCCGCTTCCTTTTCTTTTCTTTTCTTTTCTTTTCTTTTTTTTTTTTTTTTTCCTTCTTTTACTTCTTTCCTTGCTTAGGCACAATACAAACACTGGTTTAAATGACCAAATAATAAAAACACCATTTATTTTAACAGATGAGGCGCCAGAGACACTAAAAAGAAAGTAGCATGGCCAAAAAAAAAAAAAAAAAAAAAAAAAAGACTTGTGATTCAAATGTGGTCATTGAAAGAATAAGCCCAAGTGTGGAACCGTGCGTTTTGCCGTTAATAGCAAATCCATTCTTGCTTCTTTCATGTGCTTCATGTGTAGGTAGACAACAGTAACGTCTTTTTTTTTTTTTTTTTTTTTTTTTGCATGATACGCGTCCGTGCTTTTATTCTTTTGTTTCATGAGAGAGAGGATGGGATATTTGTTTATTATGGTTCTAATGAAAAAAAAACAAAAAAAAAAAAAAAGTCTAAGATGCCTCTTTTGTTGTTGTTTTCTAATATCTAACAGTCCTCGAGATCCCACTCTCGTTTCAGTCGATGTTCCGCACCAGTTTGGACCACCATCCTCTGCAAATATTGCTTCTTCAAAGGCTTTTCCTCTGTGATCCTGCGTGCAAGGCCTAGCCATTCCGTAACTCCAAGATGTTGCAGACCATAATCCTCTCGTGTCCGATACTCGACCACAAATTCAGGTGGCGTTAGCTCTTCGTTCGCTTGAGTTAGGTTGGCCCAGTATTGTGTAAAACCCAAAGGATACCCAAATTTGTCCACAGGCGCTGGACGAGGTACAGTCTTCTTATGCTTCTTATGTTTCTTATGCTTCTTCTTCTCTATAGCTCTATCAACATTGTTGTTTAATTGCATATTGAAGTACTCACCAAATGCCGGATTGCCCAGCTCTTCTTCTTCCTCTTCCCCTTCCCCTTCCCCTTCCCCTTCCCCTTCCTCTTCCTCTCCTTCCTCCTCATCATTATGGCCATCCTCCTCCTCATCCTGGTCTTCGTCATTGTCTTCATCATCGCCATCATCGGGCTGCGGTTGGTCAGGCGTGGGATCGGGATTTTTGTCATTTGCCAGCTCATACGTAAACACGCGCAGCGTAGGTTGGTAACTGGGTACAATAGAAGGTGAGACTTGAATAGCTGCGTAGTTAGTTCCTTTCGATTTTTTGGAGATGTCTTTATATTGCTCCCAAAGTGCCTCAAGGTATGAAGTCAAGCCCAATTCGAGAAAAGGGTCACCACCGATCTTGTTCATCACGTCAAGTCGATTTTCGTCTTCTTCTTCAGAGTCCTCGCTGTCGTCTTTATCGCTTCTATCCTCAGCTTGAGAAAGAATAAAGAAATGATCAATGTTGGCATGGCCATACAAGTGACCTACGATTACATCTTGATATTGAATCGCCAATTGTGTGTATCTGGAATGACATGAGCTTGTGTATGAGTGCTTCTCAGGAGGCACATGACCTGTCAAATAGGCTACCATCCCACGCTTCCTCAGGGATTTCAGCTCTGCTTGAAGCCAATCCATTTGTTTAGTGCCAGGCTCGTGTTTCTTTTTGCACCCATCCACGGCGGTGTTTTGGATGTAGAAATACAACGTGTTGAGGCCAAAGACACTGATTTTTCCTGGAATGACTTCTTTGGAGTAATAACCTCCTTTGCGAAAAGTCTCCTTTTGATTCTCAGGGATGAACTCGGACCAAATATCCAAGTAATGGTCTAGAATAGGATTCGGACCCGGGAACATGATGTTGTGGGGGTAGACATCATTGTTGCCGATGGAAGGTACAATCGGGAGGCGTTCTCCATCCTTAGAGTTGGGTGGAAAAGTTGTAAGCATACGTCTCGCCATGATGAAATTCATCGCAAAGATTTGTTCCTGTGTACGAGGGAAAGTGTTGTCTGAGTCATGCCTTTTTGATATATATATATATATAAAAGAAAAAAAAAAAAAAAAAAAAAAAAAAAAGAATCGGACGTTTCAGAGGCATTCAACGAAAAGTTAATAAGGATCAAGATCTTCTACACACAAGACCACAGATCGGCGGATCTGGTGTCATATTTCTTTACCTGGCATTATCTCCAGTCCATACGATGAAGTCAATTGATCCCGACAGGTTGCTGTCAATCCAGTTAAACACCGCGTCTGCGAGTGTCAAAGGAGTATCGCATATCGTGTTAGGTGCCCCATAGTAACCCCCAATGCCAACTTCGCGTATCCCTCCTTCCATGATGCTAGACCGAGTACTAAATATGTTGCCTTGTTGTTGATATCGTTGCTGTGCCTTGGCATTTGTCGTCAACCTTTTATAAGCCTGGTCCGATGACATCTGGAGGGTAAGGGCACGAGTACGGGCACCAGTACTATACCGGTTCCATCGAAGGCGAAGCACGTTGGCGTCACGGAGGCTCTCATCCTCATTTTCAGCAATCGTGTGACATAACCTAGAGACCGCGCCTCCGTTGATGTAGTTCTCGTCCGGATGAATGTCTGTGATATGGAGGAAGCGTCCAAATGGATACGACGACGATGAACTGAGCTGATCTTCGGTGGTGGCAGCATTGGCAAGGCAGCATGCCAATGCGGTACCAAGGAGGAGAATGGCTTGATGTTTCATCAGTAATTTTTTAGGTCTAACGACTAATTTTTATTTTATTTTTTTTATTTCTTTTGCTTCTTTTTAAACCTTTTTGATCAGAATGCGAAATGAGAGAAATGTAAGATGAATGTGGAAAGTAATTGCTAAAAAAAAAAAAAAAAAAAAACTGGATAGAATGATCGATAGAAGAAAAAAAAAAAAAAAGAAGTAGATTGGGTTTATTTTGTATACTTTTAAGACAAGACAGATGGAAGGATCTGCAAAAAAAATAAAAAGAAAAAGAAAAGAAAAAAAGAAAAAAAAAAAAAGAAGCGCCCTTGGAGATGAGATCTGAAAGGGAACATCAAGAAAATCATGGTTGTAACCCATTATATTCAACAAATACAACGCGTTGTCTTCTACTCCGCCGTACCCATTGAAGAAAAAGAAGAGCTTGTCTTGCTTGCCCCCTCCCCTCAAATGTCCGATGGTTTTCTTTTATTGATCTCGGTAATTAATTGATTTAAGGCGCGCAGAACACAGTTTCGGCAATGTGTGAAGAATGTAAACAAAAAAAATATCGAAGGGGAAGATGGAAAGAAATACATGATTTGATAGGATAAAACGATCGACGATGACCAAATACGCCGTAGATGCAAGTAAACCAAGACGCATGCCGCTAGGAATGCTTACTTTGCATATTCATACAGTATGCTGTTGAGTGCTGTTTATGTATTATGCGTGATACACGCGTATTTAGATCATTTCTGGTCGACATCATGAATCTTTTAGGAATCATTTCATTCATTTAATCTAGTTGGTTTAGCATCAGTATGATTTCATCAAGAGCCAATACGGCAACAGTCCCTGAACTTGAACTGGTTCTTGCTTCAGACCCCGATGTGATCAAGCAAGTTTGGATTAACAATAAAGTTCATTTCGCACCTTACGCATCTGATGAGGCATGGCTAGAAAAATCCAGGATTAGGACTAACGTGGACCTTGGACCTGGTATGGGGCATAGTATTTGGGTACTTGTCCCAAGGGGCAAAGGCAATGATCCCACTAGCATTTTATCTGCTGCTCACATCATCCTCAGACCTGGACTTATCTCTAAGATTACCTCGAAAGCAACAAGTGAACTGCCAACAAACAAGGAACTCAATGCTCAGGAATTAAAACACAGCAATACGCAGCATATTTTGGCTAGCCAGCAGAACGGCCATTTGACAGAGTCCACTCATGAATTAAAAGAAATCGCGGTGGCGTATGTTCTTCTGGTATTTACGCCAATCGAGCATAGATCTCGTGGATTTGCCAATGCAATGCTCAGGATGGTTATGGATAAACTCAAGCATCAGACAGATCCTGTCGTCGATCTTTCGTACTTATTCTCAGCAATTGAACCTACATTCTACGCAAATCTAGGTTGGCAAATGATGCGATCGCGTGAATTGGTGTTGGATCAACTGAAGAGCCATGTCTTTCCTGATCTTCCTTTGGTTGATGCTTCCGCTGCTGGTGCAAAATACCGGATCAATAATGTTACTGAGTCTGACCTCAGAGAGATTGTTAATGAAGATGTGGAACTTCTTCGATCTGAAATGGCCAAATGCACTCTTGAGGCGCCTCGGGGCCAAAACCTTCATTTTGTTACCATTCTTCCACATGAAGAAGCATTCCGCACACATTTTGAGATGACCCGTTATTCGAACCTCCATATAGACCATATTAATCGGCCGATAACAAGAATCGGGGTGCGCTTGGTCTCTATCGACGAGCACTACAAGGGTTTGGATGCATTTGTCATCTGGACCTATATTCCATCAAGCAGCCGTATATGCATTCTCCGATTAAGATACCAAACAGTACATCAGCTGCAGTGCCTTCTCAGAGAGGCCATGAAGGAGGCACAGGAATGGGGGTTCTCTATGGTATCTGTATGGGACTTAAATGACAAAGACGCTCTCGCTGCCACTGGCATGTTTAACAGAGACCGCACCAGCTGGTGGCTCTGCGTTGCACAAATGGAGCACGAAAACTTTGGCGGAAGCATTACTATGGTTGCAAATGGAGCCTATACTTGGGGCCTTTAGGATTGTAAATAATAAAATGATTCCTTTCAAATACAAGACGAGCTGCTCTTACAAAAAAACAAAACAAAAAAAAAAAAAAAAAAAAAAAAGTGCCCATTGCCATAATCAACGCATTATACTCTATGCTGATCGCGAGCACGTCGTTACCCTGAATATCTGATGATAAATAAATGTTTAAATTATGGCTGATTGATATACCAGTGCTACTTCTCTCCAGGAATGTACTTTGAAGGCAACAGCAAGAAGTTATGAAGCACTCGAGAATGGAAGCTACCTCAAGGGAAAAATGAATCATATTTCTCATTAGCTGAGCCGGTAGCCTGCCAAGTTAATTCCTGGTTACACTCCATGACACTGTTAATACATGGAAAAACAAGCAGCTACCTACTAAACACCCAGATACATGGCCCTGTTCACTATTGCCGCAATCCTTGCATGATACCCTCAAAGCTAAGCTGGTTTCAAGACTATGAGCAGAAGGGCGAGGGGGGCTTCGTGCTTCCTTGAACAATCTGCGAAATAAGTTTGAGCAAGTACACTTGCGACGGACTATCTTCAATCGTAAGAAGTTTTGGGTGGGCGAAGTTCTAGGAGGAAATAAAATAGTTGGAGAAAAGGGAGATCACGGGTTTTGAACGTTCTACCAACCTAAACTTGTGTACGTGCATGGCATTCTCATTGCTTCATTCACCTCTGCTTGTTTTCATTCTTCTCGCATCTAAAGGAATAACAAGCATCAAGCCAAGAACTCCCTCTGTGTCCTCTCTCCGTTTCTCTCTTTCTTTTCTTTATTAATACTATCTTTTCTTGGTTTCACCTTTTGTAATTGCATTCTTGTTGGTTTTTTCCAACAAATCTTTCAAAAATACCCACCACACATTGTTTGTCCTACTTCACCATGGAGACATTCATTAAGGACTATGACAAGATTTTAAAAAAGCAGCGGGCATTGGAGACGAATGACCCTCTGGACCGCCTTATTGCAGTCGTTAACGAGGCAAAGGAAAAAATCCAAAATGGTAGCTAGGAGAGTTAGATGTTTCTATCTCACGTCCTTTTTTATAACCTGAGGAGTGATATATGGCATCCTCCTTACCTCATTAATTACACCCCCTCTCTTATGAGCTGACTGAGCTGACATTCCTTTGTTATCGATCTCGGTTCTAACAATGGTGTAGGCCCTGAATCGGTGAATGCTTCCTTGGCAACGCTCAGCAAGGCAATCAAGACCGTCTCCAATGGCATTTCTGAAGAACAAAAGGAGCTTCAGAGCGCATTGACTAAATACTCAAAAGCAATTGACAAGGTGCATAAGATAAAAAGAACTTGTGCTTCCGATCCCCTTTTCCACTCTCACGGTGACTATAAAAAACTTATATATGTTTATTTATTTGGATGTATTTAGAAATTCGTGGCGGACATGATGGGAACCATAAATCCTCATGCGTTTGACAATAAAGAGAAAATCCTCAGAAATACGATAGCCATGCACTTTATTCGACAAGGGAATTTTGAGGTCGGAGATGCATTTGCGAAGGCAGGTCCCAGAGCTTTTTTTTTTTTTTTTTTTTTTTTTGTCCATTGTGGTTATGGAGAATAAGCTTCGCCATTTAGTATGTGAAGACCTTGATACTGATTGCATATATGAGTTATTACTATCATTATTATTATTATTATTATTATTATTATTATTTTCCTTTTCTTTAGGAAGCTGGTTTAACAATACCGGATGCGATGCGTCATCAATTTGTTGAAATGTTTGATATCCATGCGGCATTGAAGGAGAATAATTTGGAACCTGCACTGCTGTAAGTCTTATGGGAATGTCTCTGAATACCGGTTAAATGGTCTAACCTGTTTGTCTTGTAGCCATTTTGCTTACAATCCGAGCATATCACTCTATTGATAATTAAAGGTGGGCTACACGTCACAGGAGCGAGTTAGAGAAACGACCCAGTACGCTCGAGTTTAAATTGCATCGTCAAAGATACCTGCAGCTGCTGCAGAACAAACAAACACAGGAGGCTATTGTATATGCGCGCAAAAACTTTGGCTACTTTGGAGAACGCCATACGCAAGGTAAGAAGCAAGGAACCAACAGCTACTTTTTCCTCGTGAAAAGAGAGAACCTGAATAAGAATGTCATGTACTAGTACTTAGTTTTATTTTTTTTATCTTATTTTATTTTATTTTTTTAAAAAAAAAAAAAAAAAAAAAAAAAAATAGAGATTCTTCGTCTTATGGGTTGTATTGCCTATATGGATCGCATTGAGACATCACCATATGCCGACCTCATTACACCCAGCTTTAGTGATGATATTCAACATATGTTCACACGAGACTTTTGCAGCCTCATCGGTCTGCCTTGCGAGAGTCCACTCTATGTTAGGTAAGTTTCTTTCTATTTTGTATGCTACGTTACCCTTTTGTTACGATCATACCTTGATTCTCTAACTCATTTATGTTTATATATAAATAATAGTGTAACCGTGGGTACTCAAGCCCTACCAACTATCAATAAGATGGTGGCAATCATGAAGGCCAAGAAGACTGAATGGAGCCAGCAGAGCGAGCTTCCAGTATGTCGTAGAATGAGTTCAATAGTCTTATTCTTTGTACTATCCTGTCTTCAACTAACTGAAACATCTTTTTTTTTTTTTTTTTTTTTTTTTCCTCGTATGGTATCATGGAATGATTCTTTATTGGCAGGTTGAGATCAACTTGACGGACAATACGAAATTTCATTCAATCTTTGCCTGCCCTGTGTCAAAGGAGCAAGCTACAGAGGAGAATCCACCCATGATGATGGTCTGTGGCCATGTCATTTGTAAGGAGAGTTTGGTGAAACTCGGACGTGGAAATGCAAAGTAAGTGGGCAGCTACTTGTATTGTGTGTTAGAATAGCAAAAAAAAAAAAAAAAGTAATCTAATTGGCACTCTTATTTCCTTGTAGCCAACGATTCAAATGTCCTTATTGTCCTACAGAGTCCATGATTTCTCAGGCCAAGAATGTGTTCTTTTAGAATTGATAGTAATTTTGTATAATAAATTTTGATCTAAGTAGTTTTTTTTTGGTGGCAACAGATCACACAACATGTCCAAGCCACATAACCTTGTTGATTTTTTTTTTTTTTTTTTTGAGCTCTTTTTTTTTTTTTTTTGCAGCTATACTCATTTCAAAACAGGAAAACTAAAGACATTATGGATGCAACTGATGAACCTTACGATTTCTTGACATGGCATAGCAATGCGCCTGCAGTAAAAGACGAAAAGAAAGAGAAGGTATTTTAGCTTCCCCTGTCAAGTTCGTCTCCTCGTCTTTAGACAAAAAAAAAACCACCTCCTCGGCCACTTTACCTATTCAAGTTTCTCTGCCTCAATTCAAAATAGAAAAAACTTAAAAAATCGGCAAAGGAAGCTGAAGCAAAAGCAGCCAAGGTAGCCAAAAAAGACAGTGCATCAAAAAAGGAAAACAAAAAGCGTAAGAGGAGTTCGGATTCGAGTTCGGATGATGATAGTGACAAGGAAGATGACCACGATGACAAAAACAAAAATAAAAAGAGCAAATCAAAGGCTGTAACAAACTCTTCATCACAATCGGAATCAGAATCAGAATCAGCCTCAGATTCATCCTCTTCAGAAGATTCAGATGATCCAGATACTCAACCACCGCCAAAGTCCAAGAGGAAAAAAGTACGGAAAAAAGATAAGAAAGCTCAAGCGAATAATAGTGAAGAAGAAGACGGTGATGAAGCAGAAGCACCCGAAAATGCTGATAATGATGGCGAGGATAACAAGAAGAAGAAAAAGAAGGACAAGAAGGATAAAAGCAAAAAGAAGGAAGGGCCTGGTCGTAAAGGAGAGTTTGGTATCTGGATCGGAAATCTTTCTTTCTTGACCACAGAGAAAGCATTACGACACTTTTTCCGTAATGTCGGGGCTGAAATCACTCGTGTCAACATGCCTTCAGGATCTGGATTTAATAAGAAGGGTAACAAAGGTTTTGCCTACGTGGACTTTGAGACTGCTGAGGCTCAGGAGAACGCGATCAAGTTGTCAGAATCCGAGCTCGAGGGGCGAAAAGTATTGATTAAGTCTAGTAAATCCTTTGAAGGACGCCCGGCTGTTTCCAAAGGTGAGCTCCAAGGGAAGGCCTTGAAGCAGAAGCATGCAGTCTCGCCCACACTCTTTATCGGCAATCTTTCTTTCCAAACTACAAAAGAGAGTCTTCAGAAATTGTTTGAAGATTGTGGCGAGATTCGTAAGGTGCGCTTGGCTACCTTTGAGGACTCTGGTAAATGCAAAGGGTAAGTCTTGCATAGTACCACTGACATGGATGTAATAGATTTTAGCCTTATAAATATTTTCTATTTCTAACTTTTTTATTTTTATTTTTATTTTTATTTTTATTTTTATTTTTATTTTTATTTTTATTTTTATTTTTATTTTTATTTTTATTTTTATTTTTTTAACCGCGCATTCCTGGATATTTTCTCTTTATCTTTGTAGATTTGCTTATATTGATTATATGGCTCCGGAATCAGCTTCAGCGGCATTGACTGACCCGGCGAAGCGCTTTTTAGACGGCCGCAAATTAAACATTGAATATGCTTCAGCGGAGGCCACCTTGAGAGGTAACCCTCGAGAGTACAGGAAACATAAGCGAGATGAGGAGAAGGCAGCAGCGATTGCTCGTGGCGAGATTCCAGCAGATGATGTTGATGGAGGAGAGAACAGTGCAGGTAAAGACGCAACGGATGAAGCAGCAGAAGAAGAGAGGCGAAGATTCAATGCGGAGCAAAAAGCTAAGCGTCAAAGACGTCAGCCTGGTGATGGATCAAAGCCGAAGAAACTGCAGGGTCATCAACGCCCTGGTTTTGCACTTGCTAATGCCCAAAGAGCATCCCAAGGCATCACCGAGTTCAAGGGCAACAAGATCACATTTAGTTAAAGAGGATAGGGCGAGAGTTAGATTAATGTAGACAATAAAAAAAAAAAAAAAAAAAAAAAGGTTTGTTTAGTTTTGTTAGAGATCCAAAGCGCGCTTACGGATCAAGGAAAGTTGGCTTTTGACGTTGAATTATGAATGCAATAAAATCTGTACATTTACATTTGTCTTCCTTTAAGCTTGATATTAACATTTTTATTCCAAAAAAAGGGGGATCATCTTCTCTGCTGGATGCTTTGAATTAATGGTAGTGCTAGGAGGGTGATGGATCCAGCTTGGATGATGCAGGTGTAAGCTGGTGAATCGTATAGATCCGCAATGGGATGGAAGTCTTATGGAGAATCTCTATGCTTTTTATTTTTTTTTTTTTATTTTTTTTTATTTCACACGCCTGCGTGCATATGGCTGCGTGTCATATGGCTAAGCTTTCCATCCTTGAACTGCTTATTAAAACTTGTACGGCTGCCGTGTAGTGAGGATCGCACCTAACCCACGACCGTCCTTTAAGGCCTGTACTGCAGCTTGGAATTCATGTCGGATGACGTTCATCATATCTTGCCTGGCACCTGCGGCATTAAAGTCAAGGATAAATGGATCCTCCACCACAAATGCGTGTCGTGCCCAGCTAGAGGGAACTTCCTCTCGAGGGACAACCCCACCACACCGGATGCTCACACATGACTTTGTATACTCAAATTTACTTCCATAATATTCCAGAAATCCCAAGAACAACTCTCCAAGCGTCATGCTATTCCGTGGAATACATGGCCGAATTCTCGATGGGTCTGTGAAAGCTACATTGACCATCTGTATTGATCCATAGGGTCCTGGATTGGGCACAGTATGGGGGATCAAGTGTGGGTCCTGCAAAGAGGGAAGAACAGGGATGAGAAGGGTCTGAAAGTAAGAGATGGCCATAAGGATGTAACAATAACTACTAAGCGATCCCAAGGCTGGCTCATTGATTCCGCGTGCCTTGACGAAGGCCTTGAGGACATAAAGGAATGTCTTGACGCGTTCATCGATTCGGACGTAGGATTCAATCAATCGAGTATTATAGAGACCGGTATATTGGCCATAATTAACATCTACCCTGATGGCCGTCTTGTGATCCGTAAACTTCAGGATAGGGACCCGTGCCCCTTGAATCACTTCAACGTCCTTCATGCTGTCTATGCATAAATATTATTGTAGCCACAAATTATTCCCAATGCGTTGTGAAGAGTGGAGTAAGCGTTTTTTTTCTTTTGTGCACATTATTTTTCACACCTTGCCACAACAGCATCACACAGGGCTCAAAAAAAAAAAAAAAAAAAAAAAAGAGGTTGTGCCCTGTCCAAACCCAGCTACTTCTGGTGATGGGGCACGATGCAATGATAGGCAGCATCCACATGCTAAAAAGTCGGAACAACTCATATTATAGGTTTTTTATATGGATGAGAAATATGTGTGGAATGAGGGATTTGAGATTAGAAAGAAAGGAGGAGAGGCGTGAAAGTGAACTTACAGCGCTGGAATAGGGTCTTCAAGACAAACAAATCCTGGAACCGACCAGGCGTTGTCAAATCCTGGCCTTGATCATGCAAAGCAGGAAGAATTACCAAGTCAAGATCACTGGAATCGGTTGCGAGTCCTGATGCGAATGAGCTGCAATGATCCAATTGTCCATTGTCCATTGTCCATTGTCAACCCGGATGTATATTTTAACAGTAAGATAGAGATAGTCAGTCTCCTGTTTTACTCCAAATACCTCCTGGTCCCCTCACTTTCACACACTCTTTTGTTCCCCATTGATCCCTTTTCTCCTGAATAAGGCGTTGTTTGATTCTAGCCAAAAGGGATTGGAGAAATAATAATAATAATAATAATAATAATAATAATAAAAACAGGGTGTGAAAAAGCGCGTGTGGTATCCTCCTTTCTCCTCAGTTTGATCAAGATATTTTCAAGTTCCTCATCACTCACCCAAAGATCTCAATCTTGGTTTCCTTTGGCCATTCTGTATTGAGGATACCCTGCACGCGAGTTACCAAGTTTTCTCGAAGTTGCTTTCCTTGTTCTGAAATGGCTACTTCCTGTTATGCATGCATGGGAAGGGACATGGCATGTATACAACGTTAATAGAGTGATTACCATTTATTGTAACAATGACAATTATTAGTACAATTATAACAATAGCGACAACAATTGTGAATTCCACATTGGTCAGGCACATATGCTCCCCCACGCTCACGCCACAAGGAATTCATTAAACCCAAAAAAAAAAAAAAAAAAAAAAAAATCTGAGCTACTGCATCAATCTCGTTAGTGCTTACTTCTGCAAGTGTCGTCATGTCCTCGGTGAGTTGCTGGGTGTGATGGCTGGTGTTACTGTTGGTCATGGTGGCTACAGAGGCTGAGATTATATTCCGGTAAATACTAAGAGAATTGAATTAAATTGTCTCTGTGGCGAAGACAGGTTTGAGGTTGGGACAAATGAAGTCTGTGTATTAAAAGTGAGGGTGTCCTGGAACAACAAATGTTGTAAAGTATACGAGTGATTATGTGTTGGATATGCACTAGGGTTTAGAGTTCGGGACCAGGGACCGAGAGGATCGACGGGCTACAGGAAGGAAAGAGGGAAAATAGACAAGAAGGAAAAAGAAGGCGAAAGAGAGATGCAAAATGAAGAAAGGATAGATGAAAAAAAAAAAAAAAAAAAAAAAAAAAAAAGAGATTGTGAAGGAATGATAAATCAAAAGAAAGACAGACCATGTGTCATTGAGGAGGAAAAGTAGACAAAGAAACAAATGAAGCCAGCCAGCACCACCTGCATGCCACGGCTTTAAAACATCCACTCTTCTTCATGGCACCGCACCAACTGATAAAGACCCTTGCTTCCATAACAATACACGTACCCGTTCATTTTTTGTCTTTGTGATGTTGTTGCAGTTGTCGTTGCAGTTGTTTTTCGATTACTGTTTTGTTTACATGTTTACAATGGGAACGGCTGGCTTCATGTATTCCCTATTGTGTCCACAACGAATGTTATTTTCGTTTTCTGTGTTCATTTGAATTTGCATGATGGAGACACAAGACGGTGGGAAGACGCAGAAAGATGGAGGGGGTGGGGGTTCAGAAACAAAGGGGTAAAAATGGTCAGGGTGTACAAGGGGTTGCACAAGGAAGGATAAAAAAAAAAAGCAATCGTTGGGCTTTATTGCTCCTTCATTTCTATCTGTCTTTTCTTCCTTGATCATTTAGCTCAGTATTCATTTCTAGCATTTGCCACACTGGTGAATGTGATGGTTACAAGTCTGTCCAAGCGAATATAAAAGGAAGCAACATACCACTGTATTCGCTTGCTACAACTACTTTACGTGTATATTAGTTTAAGGAATGCTGTGGGATACAACAGTGACCAGTAAAAAGCTATTTTCATATTCAAGTCTCTGGACATTCTAAATTATGTAACGTATCAGATAAAAAAAAAAAAAAAGCAGCATTAAAACTTGTACATTACTCTTAACGGCCTCGCAATCCTTGGGATATCACGATGTATAAGTATACTGAAAGAAAAAAAGTTAACAACATCTATAAAAATATCAAGACTAATGGTTGACAACCAATGCCCTCTGTCATAAAACATCTTGATAATACTTTAAGAGCAACTCTGCCTGTTTAAATTAGTCTCGCCGGGAGAGAGATCTTTTAAGGCGGTCAGGCCAGCATCGACGCAGGAAGAACGCGTTTTCGGCTGCGCCATATCATCCTAAAAACCTTTAGATGATTTTAACTAAGATCAATTAGATTGGATCTCTACATCTCCTACAAATTGCACGCACAAGCCCTACGATAAGAGAGTTTGGCCCCCCTCTGATGTGCATCTCATTATTCGTGTGCCAGCTGCGGCATTCTTTTTCGTCCTTGACCGCTTGATCATGTCTATCAAGAACAAATTCTCAAATTGTGAAACTACTATCCGAGCACACCTTTGACTTTTCTGTACATGATGCACCATTTTATCCCCCAAAGGAAACAATGCTGTCGATCTTGACCATGTGAACAGTATTGACGATCTATCCTTTCCGTGTTAATTGCATTTATCCCTGGCAAAAACAAGCCCTCCAGAATTAGACCCTACCAAAAAAACGCAATCCATTCCAACCTTAAGTCCAACCCCCTTTTTCCTATTGATTCTAAACTTCTCCCTCCTCCCACAGTCTCGTCGTCCCCTTTCCCACTGTTTCCTTCCCTTATTTTTATTTCTCCCGGCTGCTTGGGTGTCTAATTGGAATTATTTCCTGCACAGAGTCTCTTTTATTCCTTTTATCTGTCTCTTAACGTGCATAAGCTCATAATTGCCCCGCTTACCGTTTTTCATCCTCTCCTCTTTCTTCCGCATTTTGGTCATGAAAATCGCGCTGAATCTTCTCCCCTACATCTAAAAATTCACCTATTCTGTGGTCTTCTTCCTTTCTCCTGATTTTATTATAAGCATCTTGCATGGTCTTTTGCTGCTCGCGTGCATGGGACGCGTCATAGACTAGAACAACCAATTATAAGGAATTTTAGACTGTGTATTCCATTGATGAGTGTTCTTTCATTATCATGCTCGTGATATTCCTCTTCCCCAGTTTCGCTTGAGAGGATAATGAATAAGTATTAGGAGAAAGTAACCAAAGCGATAAAGTATAGGGAACGAGGCTGATCAGAGACCGTCCTTGTAATTTTTTTTCTTTCTTTCATATTATCGCCCCCTTAAAAATTCTGTGGATGCGTGGGCGAGATAGCAAGCAAAACGCCACCTTATACCCTTTTACCATTTATTATTATTATTATTGGTCTTCTTTCGACGACTACATGTGAGCAAATACAGGTGGGGGATGAGTCCCAGAGCACAATTCCCCAAAAAGGTTGGAGCGAATGACTTGCTTATTGCTGTTTTTAACTTGTTTACCCTGCGTTCACGATTTACACCCTGTAAAAATATTTGTCTTTCCTTCCTTCTTTCTATTTTCCCTGTCCCTCCCTCCCTCTTTCCCTCCTTTTATTGTTTGTAGTATGGTTGAGAACGGCATCAAATACATGTAATCACATTTCGCAACCACTCAACGCAAGATTTCATTCCTTAATATAGACAAACTTCACTTTTCAGGTTGATTCCCTGCCTTTTTTTTTTTTTTTTTTTTTTTTTTTTTCCTGTCTTTCCCTATCCTTCACTTTACTCTCGCGTCTATACTTCCTCCATCTCCCTTACCATCGCTTGTTACTTTATTTCCCTGCTTCCACACGCCTTACTTCTACTTTTTGGCTGAAATGCTTACTATTTAGTCTATGGGGACTTCTTCACACCAAGAGCAGCAAGAATAACAGTGACATCAGTACTATCGCTTAGAGAACTTTCGGACCAGCCACCACGCAACTAGCCCCTCCTTTCTGCCTCCTTTCTAGGTTCCTCTGAGCAATTAATCTGCACAGTGACCACTTCCTTGCAATTCCAAAAATTAAACACTGAAAGACCTAAAGAGTTGATTATAGATCATTACTACAATTGTGCTGCCCCACCCCCCACCTCCTTTCTTATAAATCTTCACCATTTTATTACATCTCACTACCAATCCCTTCGCTGTCTCCAGCGCGCCACCTATTTATACAATTGGGCACGTTCACAAAATCATAGTGGCATATTATTATGGATAAATTACATTCGCATCAATCTCTGCCACCAATATCGGTCCCCTTCATGGAAGACAGCAGCAATATGAAGGGACGATATACTCAAGTTTATTATGGAAACCCCTCCGAACGAGTCCAGATACACTCTCAGAACTATGATGGTAAGATGCAGGGCCTTACTATAATGACCTAGAATGTCACCCCCTTGGACTCATTGCCATACCTATCCTCTCCATCACTCTTATTCGGTAAATTTGGCCATGCTTTTCATTTTCCTCTTCCTCTTACTTCATTCACCTCGACTTCGAATTCTACTGCCCCTGTAACTCAGTTCTTCTCAATCCTTTTTGCCAACTTTATCCCTATGTAATCAACACCCGTATCCGCATCCATATCCTCAATCTGCTCAGCTAACATAGAGTTTGTCCTCATATCAATGTCGCCACTAGGCAAGGAAAGGAAAACAATGGCAGGAAGAAGTAGCATTAATAAAAAGAAGGGTAAAACGTCAATAGATATCAAGGATATTAGAAGAAAAAGAGCAAAAATGACTCTACGAGTCCACAACTATGCCCGTGCGGTGAAATGGCTCGTGCGCTTTTTGTTCCTCCACACACAAAAAACTAAAAAATAAAAAATAAAAAAAAAAAAAATTACACTTTGTTCCATTCCAAGGGCACAGGGATAAAAAAAATTCTTCTACAGGGCTCATTCATTAGTGCTTTCAGTATTACTTTCAGTGTTGCTTTCCAAACAAACAGGGACATGGCTGGTATGATCGAAGGAAGAATTATACGCACTTACACTCACTGTCTTTTCTTTTGTTCTTTTTTTCTTTTTCTTTTTTTTTTTGCTACAATGCTCTGGGCCTCCATCACTCAAGACAATTCTCCAACTGCAGTTGACTCGCAAGGCACGACCTATTTGGGAACCCATGATCGCTACAGTCATTCTTCCCAAACATCAACATACCATGTTTATGAGCGTCCAATTCATCCCCTACAGTCGACTCTAGAACCTTATTTGCCATTTACGAGCATACCTACAGAGGCTACAATAGCCACAGCCCATTCATCATTCCTTCCTCTCTCTTCTACACCTTCAGGCCTAGTTTCCTCTTCCTCTCCTTCTTCGCCCTTACCACCTAGCTTTTCATTTGGGGAGAAATGGCAACCAGCTTCGTTACTGGTATCAGCACCCACTATTCAACCGTTACCTTCCATTCCCGGTATCAGAGTATCGAATCAATTTATGGCTTCGAGTGCTCCGGACAATGAAGGAAGAGGCCGCAAAAAGCTCTTTGTGTCAAAGATCCGAAGGGTGTTCAACAAATCAGCGACCATACCATCCGCCAAGGAAGGATTCCCTGAGACCAAATCAGCCCCTAGCCTCTCTAACCATACCAAAAGTGATATGACAAATCGGCAGCAATCTCGTCTTGAGGATATCATCTCCTTGTCATCAGTTCGGCAGGATGGAGGCCTTTTGCCATTCGATTCAGAATTAGTTCAACATCGAGGCTCGGTATCCTCTTTGAGTTCTGGTGGCACAGCAATGTCCGTAGGCCACGCAGAGTTTGGTCTAAATACGCCTCTGACTTCACCTGATGTTTCTCCATCAGGATCTCCTAAATTGAAGCCACATGCTGTTGCTACCATAGCTCCTTATGGAGAACAGCAGCAGCTGCCGCAACGGTTATCACGCTCCCACTTGCAGTTTGATCTAGAAGATTTGGTACTTAATCTGGCTATTGGATACGCCGAGGATCAGTATCCTGGCTCTAATGTAACGACACAAACACTGCATCCAAGCACAGTTTCAGTTACTGGAGCCACAGATTTGCCGACCACTTCCACGCGGCCCGAATCTGCTGAGTGTTTGGGCCTTGAGCCATCACCGTCGAGAAGAATTAAGAAGCGGCTGTCGCTCGCATCCATCACGTCTTTTTTTAGTTCAAGAGGATCAGACACTACCGAAACCTCTTCTGAAAGTAGGAAGAAACAACGGCCACCAAAACGACGTTCGTCGTATGCAGCCACTTCTGAGAACCCTTTGATTACCGTAGGTCGCCAGATCACAGGTTATAGACGAAGACATTCACTCAATGATTTGTCAGACATACCTGTATCTAAATTAAATGAGCAGAGAGTATCTTCTTGGAAGAGAGATCATACAGCTCAGACAAATAGTACTGTGACAAGCAGCGATATCGAGCCATTATCTGTAGAGTCAAAAAATTGCAGCTCGAAAATAGATACCAAGGTTGTGATGCCGACGACTACAGCTGAGCCGACCAAAATGTCAAAGATTTATGGGGCGTTTGGCAAGCAAACAAAGGGAAAAGGCAAGATTCCGAGCACTATGAATACTCCAATGGTGACCGTCGCCTCTGAGAACAAATCGTTTCGATCAGCTTTGGTTCGGCATCGTCAGCACGCATCTTCACTCAAAAAACAGCAACAGCTTCAGCCTCAATACCAACAGCCATCACTACCAGTATTAGGTGTCTGTGAACTTCCAAGTGCTTCAGGAATTCCAGCGATTAGTCTCTCGCCAAATGCTAGTCCAATTAGTCAACCCACATCTGAAGGGCATGGACCAAGCATCAGTGAAAGGGCGACAAGGCCTGAAGGGCACAGACATCAGCGCAGCTTTGCAGGACGACAAGCAAGACAGCAAGGGCAATGCTCGTCTCTAGATCGGAAGCAACGGAATTCAATCAAACACTCCTCTGAAATTAAGCATGAGAGTATTTATTATGCAGATCCTTTGGCGTTGGAGGCGCAGCAGCCTCTAGAACGCTTCGCTCCACTCTACCAGAATCAGAGCGGCGCATACATTAATCAACGTTATCACCATCAACATCATGGTTATCCTCAACAAGATTCCGCAGGTTATGAACCTGTAACGCTGCCCCTTAAACCAAAGGTCGCGCCTATTTCCACAGCCGCAGTATCCTCAGTACAGGAACGGCGACAGAAAGCTCAGCATCATGATACTTACCTTCATCCCTACGAAGCTTCATCTCGACAAGACTCTGCCTCTTCAAAAATCGGAATACAGACTTTAAGCCGGTACCGGCTCTCATCAACAGCGCCATATGTGCAAGGGAATGCTGGAACTGCTGTGAGTTACAGCAGTAGTCAAACTTCGCATGGTTCGCCTGATATATCTACCAACCATCGACACCAGCCCTATCAGCTGCAACAGCAATATCATGGAGCTCAGCATCAACAGCAGCAACCATACATGGATCATCTCCAGCTCCAACAGCAACAGCAACATCAACATAGGCTCCTCCAGCAGCGACAACAACAGCAACAACAGCAGTTTATGAACGCTCTTGCCTCGACTTCATGTTCTTGCACACATCAAGGCGCCATGTCTTACACGCATTATCCATCTCATTCTACCCACTATATTTCTAAACAACAATGTGACAGCCAACATCAATATCGGCATCAGGAGCATCATCGTCAGAGCCCACGCTCATTCTGTCATCTAAACCAGCACACGCTTAATACCAACAAGAATAACAAGCTCTCCTCTTTCAATCCAAAGCCCGTGCGTAAGCTCTGCTTTTCAACAGCACAGCCTTCAATCCACTTCACCTGGCCCTCCGACCAATACGACCGTACTAGCGATCCAAACACGACCGCCCATCGCCTTTCGCCTTCCTTGGCTCAGAAAATTAAAATTGAGATGAACCAGTTTAAAAGCCAAGAAATGATGGTCCATCCAGATAGTCATGTCAATACTCATATCTTTGTATAATTTTGTACTGTAGTCAGCCTTTCTCTTCTACTCACTCGCTTGCTCGCTTATAAAAAACATATAGTCTTAATTGTCTAGAATGTCCTTCTATCATATGATTAGATATTTGTACTTCCCTTTAATCATTTGTATGTAAGTAATGGCCTTAATAATAATAATATACCAATTGAAGAAAGAGCATAGTCATCAGAGTTGAGGAGGAGATACATTGGCATTTTTTTTTATATCTGTTATAAGAGTAAGAATTGTCTTCAACGGTGTTGAGGTGAAACAGGTGGACGCTTCCAGACTTTAATATGTCCCCTTCGGTCGCTTGTCATAATGGCATCCTCCCTAAAAGTGATGCTTGCCAATGGTTCTTGATGGACGCTTTTGACCATCAGTGGTTGCAGCATGGCTACATGTGATCTCGGCTCAGGGGGCCGCACTAGCTGCACGCTACCGTTGCTTTGTACATTACTGTTGCTTCGGAAAATGGATGAAGAACTATATCCTTGTCCTTGCTGTTGGCTGTTCATGTGCTCTCCTCCATAAGTATTGTCAGGATAGTGAGCCTGCTGCTTGGAAAGGTGCAAATGTGGTAGTGTGCGTGCATGTGAAGATTTTTTGTAGACTGCATTCGATGAGCTTGCGTTATTTATATCGCTGTTATTCGACGATGAAGGTGAAGACGAAAAGGTTTTTATCCCCGCTGCACTGCTGGTCATGGCTGTGCTGGCTGAAAACGCACGGCTGCGACCAATGTCCGAAGCTGGCGTTGAAGAATAGATAGAGAACATTGACGATGAATTGCCTCCCCCTGCTGATGCCATAGGATGAGGTTCGCTCATGCCGCTATGTTGACTTAATGATGCTACAGTAGTTGTATCGCTACTAACCAATTCTGGCGAAGGTTCCTCTGCAATAGCAGGTGGATGTTGGTGATAGTGATGGTGGTTGCTGGATGATATTGCTGCCGCTGGTGCTGGTGTTGGAGTTGTTTGTAGCGGCTGTGCAGTCGATGGTTTGCTGGTATGGTGTCCAGAAAATAAGCTATGCCCACCGGAACCACGAAGACTGCTAATGCTTCCTTTACTCGCATGTCCTGGTTTGTAGCCTGCGCTTCCTGATCCTGCCATGTTTAGTACAGTGGCATTGCTTCCACGTCTATGGGCGATAGCCTACATTGTAAAATAACGGTGAGTTCACATGGCCACAGAGTTTTTTAGTTCAATTATTTTGCTCGGAAATATGCTGACTTTAAAGGAATAGTAAAATGAGCACAAAGAGATTATGTGAACTTACAGCCTTGGGTTTGTGAAGGGCGCTGACACTAAAGTCCCAAAGGAGAAGCTTTGCATCCTCCCCAACACTACCAAACCGATAATTTCGTTCGTCGCATCTCCAAGGATCAAATGCAACGCCAGTAACATATGATTGGTGTCCTTGGCAACGAGCCACAATCCTTTGGTCCTTGAACGACCAGATCGTCACAAGATCGTCCTGACCTCCAGTCTACAAAAGCATGCACGTAAAGAAAAGGTATTTAAAGGTTAAAAGCAGCATCCTATTCGAGTTTATAAACTATATGATAGTAACAATTAGATAGTGCTTAGTCCTACTAAAATATATTTCCCGTCAGGACTCCAGCAAACGCAATTTAAGGCTCCAAAGTAAGCAGAAAAGGTATCTAGAAGTCTCTCATTTCGGAAGTCGATTATTCTTAGGCAACCGTCCATCGATACCACCGCCACATGCTGCAGATCTGGCGAGAAAGCGAATGCTATTTTATTATTATTATTAGTAGTAGCATTAAGTATTAATATCAGTCTTTTTGTATTAGTTACCGATAAGCTTAAGTACAGTTTTTAACTCAAAATCATGTAGCCATAAACAAGTTCGCCGTACCTGTAATTGGTTTTTTACTGACTTGCCAATGAGATATTGGATTGTGTTTGCCTTTCGGTCTAGTGACTTGAAATCTACAGCCAAATGATCAGCAGAAGGATTTAGTAATCGGCAGAAGCAAAGCAGCCCTGTATTGCAGGAAAAAGTATACAAAAAGAAAAGACATACACATTTTCGTTAGATGACGCCGGTACCGAGAAGGCGTTGTCATCTCGTTCTTTATCCATAATTAGAATACTTCCATCATGGAATGCTGCCATGAACTGACTTTCAGACCCTGGCATCCATTTAATCATTGTCACTGCACTATCCTTGATGATAGCCTATTGTACGAGTCAATGATATGCCATATTCGCAATGTTAGCTACATCTTTTTTAATAAGAAAAATGAAAAAAAAAAAAAAAAAAAAAAAAAAAAAAAATCAAGAATCATAATATATCCTCTGAGCCTTAGTTCCACTCTACTTACCTGTTTATTAAGTCTGTAATACTTATTACAGAGCGGATCAAACCAGATGATGTCTCCTGTCGAGAACCCAATGATAACATCCAAATGATCGCAACTTCGAGTGAGGACGTTGACATCATGCGATGAAGGGAACGCTTTACTGAATAGGATATGTGATAATGGCTCCTATTGTATAATTGGCAGTAGGGTAGTCGATAGTTAGTAAACCAACAGTACCATATTCTTTGATAATACTCTGACAGCCTATGGCGATGATGATCTTTTACTCACATTTGGCTTCTGTCCTAGGTCACTCCACGTAAATGTCTTTCCGGTGTTCCAGAAGAGATAGACGTCCTCACCTGCGCGGTTTGCAAGGATTTTGGCTAAGTTCTCGTGTGTTGTGATCTTGGTCACAAAAGTCGAGTTTGTTTTGGTAATGTTATTCTTGGGCTTCTTTCTCTTGCCACTAAAAAATGACGAGAACCCTGCAGATGAGCCTCCTGTACCAGCTGAGGATACACTCAACCCATTATTATCTTCCTGTCCCTGCGAGTAGTAGCTGCTTGCTCTGCTTAGACTCTTGGAAAAGCTATGTTGCTGTTGAAGTTGAGGTGGCTGAGGCATGGGTGGTGGTGGTCCATATTGTGAGTATGGGTCTGAGTGACGATTGTTCGAGGAAGTAGAGTCTTTGAGCGGAGGTGGTCCTGGCGTTATAACTTGTGGGAGCCCAGGAGACATTATTCCGTTGCGAGGGCTCTTATATCCATTAGAGGGGTCCTCATTGTAAAGTGGCAAGTCAACCAAATTGCCATGAAAATTCTTTGATGAAACACCTCCGTTGCTGCTGCCTGTTGAGCGCGGTCCTACGGCTCCAGCAGCAACATCATCGTCAATCACATTGCCGCGTTCATCCTTGAGTTTGAAATCCTTGAGACGTTCCTCCAAACGATCGATATTCGAAGCTGTAAGCGTGTTCTCTGAACTTGCCTGTTTCGCATGCGCCTTTGTTCCTGCACTGTTACTGCTTGGATAGTCTTTATACTTGACAGAGACAGATGAAACGTAGGTATGGATGACTGGATGTGGGAGTACTTGGTCTAAAAAGATATCTTGGAGTAACTCATACCGGCCTTCTGCAGCCACAAACTCAGTACAGTCGAGAACAGGAGACAGAGGCGTAGCCATTTTTTTCACAATGGCAGATTTTGCACTTTTATTAAAGGTCGGGGAAAGAAACCCTATTGGACAGGACAATCAAAAAGAATCCAAAAATACCAACGCCGTTGGCTTGCATTGTCAGTCAGCATGTAAAGAAAAACAAAGGGCACAATGAGAAATGGGTGAGAGGGAACAAACAATTATGTCGGAGCGTTGAAAAAGACATTCCACTAAGAGACCTAGAGGGAGAAGACAGACATGTTAATGCATTGAGTTTCCTCAACACACCAGGTCATTAAGTATCCATTGTCTGTGAATAATATGCTATTGTTGCTATTGTTGCTATTGTTGTTACTACTTCCACGCTTGTTATTGTAGTTTGAGAACATGTGCATGTATCCCCAACGGTCACTCCCAGTGCGTTGATGTCTTTTTATTCAAGCCATACCAATGGGACTTAAAGGTACAAAAGAGAGAAAGTCCTGTTATAGATGATCAGTCTTGAGAATAGGGCTTGACATTAAGATGACAGGATGGAATGTCTGAATGAGCGATTGCAAGAGCAATAGCAATAATAATGTATGTAGTTGTATTGATGGTTAATGGCGGAGCAACTATCAGCATTCAAAGTGGATGAAGTGACATGGAAGCACAGTCGGCCACAAACTTTCGGAGAGTGAAGTGCGTGACCACCATTTTGTCTGCTGTGGCAATGCATGTTAATTAACGTGGGATCCTTGCAGCATCGTCATCGATGGAAAAGTCCATGGGTAAAATCTTCTTGGGTAAAGCCAATGCTATCAATTAGGCTGTATATATTATAACAAAGCCAAGAGCATTTAACCAATGAAACAATCTCTGCAGGAACAAGAGGTACCATACTGTGAACTGACAAAAGTATACCAATATCATTACGCTTGTTTGTGGAGGATGATTTCTTAATACTCTCACAACATCCGAATTTACAGCTGGTTGAGCCTGTAGCTCATATCTCTTGAAGACGTCGATGGCGTCAATACGAGTATCCCCCACAAACATTAATAAAAAGATAATTAGTCAAATTACCAAGGCAGCACTTAATTATTAAAGTTTATTCCTCTTCTCCAGGCAACAGAGTTGGTCCGTGCTCAATTCCTTTTATATGTGGTCATGGATCATGCGGATAGATTGTATGTCTCCCCTTACCCCTTGTAGCATCTCTGTACGAGGTACGCGCTATGATCTTTGGTTTGATTTCCACACAAACTGAGTATTCTGGGCCAGCAATCTTGCGGTAGGGTATACCACAACTGATTTACCGGATATCCAAAACATCGACATTGATAGTTGCTATGTGGCTCGCGCCCATGATTGGGCCAAGGTTAAGGCTAAGGATCGAAAAGGTTTCTAACAGTTTACTTTCGCCACATTTTGATTCGGTATGATGCTAACTTACTCTGACTATTCAAGATCATTTTATTAAGATGCCTAATATGCCTATTTGGATGAAGTGCTTGTGAGTCTCTACAGAAGATAAAGGTGGAAGCATTGAGAAGGAGAGGCTTAAGAAACAATTAATCGAACTATTCGCTGATCGGGTGCAGGCTATCTGACATCGCGTTCTTGCGTATCTCTAGATGTGTGAATTAAAACGCCTAACAATCTCCTTTGTACATATTCAGAGCAGTGATTAACAACAAAAAATAACTCGATTGCTTTCTGCAACCTGGAAGCCCTAAGATCATCGACAAGGGCGACGAAGAGGACGAAGATGAAAGATTAGGATTAGCATAAATCCAGGGTTATCGAGTGCTCCTTCTCTGCGTCTTGTGCTTCATTGATCTGTTTTGCATTCTGCGAATCCTTGACTTTACCAAAGTAAAAACAGCTACAAGGAGGTTCTCCAAGTTCGTCCAAAGCGCGAATAATTAGTGGCCTACCATTCTACCATAATAGAAATGTAGTGACAATAACACTAGTATGTGGACTAATAAATCATGTCAGATCTAGAACGCCATCGAGAGCAACAGAAAAATATTATGTAATCAAAAATGGAGCCCGTACAAGGCCCCATCATTGCATACTGTGGATATAACTGGAGGGTATTGGAAAAAAACTAGCTCTCTTCATCACGAAATAGGCCCAAATGGCTTCAACAGTCGACAAAAGAAGAACTGATTGATACTTTTTACGAACACACATTCATTGACACCTAAAAAAAGATATCGCAAAGAGAGTATGCATGTCGAGAGTACCTATCAACTTGAAATGAAACTAAATAGGAAGAAAAGAGGAGAGGACCTCATAAAAGGGGAACCACTGAACAGATCAATTAGGGGTATCAAGAATGCTACGGAGAAAAAATGAAATAAATAAATTGGCCAGCTCCAACTGAGTAATATGCGCCTTTAAGAATGCTTTTCACTAAAAAAAGGCACCATTTCTTAAGATGAAAAAATGTGAAGCGTAGTATTTTATTGTGAAAAGGTGTATTTTAGCGTTGATTTCATCCAGATAGTTAATATCCATATCATTCATCTGCACTCTACAAGTTGGGCATCTCATTATGATGGTCTAACCGCGATGTGAAGTCTTTGCTTCATATCAACACCTAACTACAGCTCTTTCGCTCCTGCTTCTATTTCTTTCGCCTCCTCTTTTGTCCTTTGTTGGCAACTGCTAGGATATGCTGCTTTGACTTCTGCACCTACACGTCGCCTTTTTGGTTCACTAAAGGTAGCTTTCTATTGATGAATGTATCGAAGCAAGCAGGTCAATTTCCATTCCGCAATCAGGTAGTGGCAAAAAAAAAAAAAAAATAAATAAAAAAAAAAAAAAATAAAGACGATTGGATACGAGACGGACCTTCTTCAACATAGTTGTCATATCCCATGTGCATACCATAGTCACCATCATCCATGGAATAGCCAGCCCGGTCAGCGAAATGTGAGCCCTATAAGTGTTAATACATCAAGCACATTGGGTTAGGCTTTTTTTATGAGTGGACTTCCCTCATCTTTCCAGTGCATTCAACAAACCTTGCTGATATATGATGGCATGGTAGAGATAGTCTGATCCATAGCAGCAAGATTAGATGTGATAGCGGTTGCCTTTTGAATTCGCTCATTGATCATATCCATAGTAATAGTGTTATTATGTTGGTTGGGGTCATCAAGGAAAGATACCATTCCTCCCGTATGCTCGTGACTGATCGTTGCAAAGATAGCACCTGATTCGATCATGCGGTTGATGATCCCTTCCACACGCCGTGCTCCATCTGGTTCTGATCCGAGGCCAATAGTAGATGTAATATCTTCAATAGACAAAGTCAAGTACGTGCGCGTGAGTTCCTGGATATTTCGGCGATGAAGAGCTTCCATGCATTGCTTGACTAATCCAAGGTTCTTGTCCCGCTGAAACACAGGCTTAATTCTTTCAAATTCTGACTTGATGACGCTATTCGGTCGTTTTTCATAAGCTGCGGCAAATTCTGTGTATTGTATGCAATGAAGTTTTATACACTTATGAACGGCGTTGGCCGTATATTTAGGTAGCGCTAAAACCTGTTTGTTGGTAAAATAGTTCAAAATATTCTTTAAAAACTGTATTTCCTTCCCACAAGTGTTCAGTTGTACTAACTCAGGTATATTACCCTGCCATAATGTAGCAAACTTGTAAGCACATATTTCTTGTATGCTTCAATCTGAATAGCACTAGCGACTTCTGCAGGGGCAGAGACAGCCTAAGCATAGCCCATCAAAACTGCGATGGTCAATAAGTGATCTTGATAGGTATTTGTTAAATGTATATTGAATATCGATATAACATGTCCTGCCTACCAATTTGAAAAATTCCACAGCGCGCTCGAACTTTTTAAGGTATGCATAAATCATTCCTCCATAATAATGGTAAAGTAGAAAGTCTTTGTAATCGATATGTGTGAGCTAGGGTTCATTGAAATACAAAAAACATGATATAGACAATAAGTTTACTGTACGAAAAATAAACATAAAAATAAAAAAAGTCATTGAGCGCCATTATCTAAACATACCGAAGGATTAACATCTGAAATATCATTGTCAAGGATAGGAATAATATCTTTGAATGACTGTGCCAGCAAGCATGTCTATTGGAGGAGGAGTCAAGTTAAACTACCAAATCAGGTTGGACAATGGTTATGCAGCAAAAGAGGAAAAATCAATCTTTATCCATACCTTTGCGAGAAGGGGGTGTATCATAGTGAGCTGGCCTGGGGTTGCCTGTATTCTCTTAATGAAAACTGCGAGAGGTCTGATGGCAATGATAGGCTATATGAAGCATTTAAAAGAGGCTTGTTTTAGTTCAAGAACCTTTATTGGATATATATGTAGAGGGATTGATATAGTTGATATATTACCTGTGATGACTCTGTAGCCATTTTGACCAGAGCTTCCGCGAAGCTCAATGCTACGCAGTTATTGAGAAATTATGTTAAGTGGTGGCAATTATTGCAGCGCCTTTAAAAAAAGGGTGAAATGTGAGCGAACCTTTGTCGGAAGCCAAGCGGACCTGCTCTCCATCACATGATGTGACGAATGCCCACACTTTTTCCAGTAATGAAGGATGGAAACCATGTGAAGCTTTGCATCGGTATACACTAAGAGATGAACATGTAATTCATAGAAGTCCACATGTTAACAAAATAGAGAATAAAACCTTCAGCTACATTTAGTAATAGCCATAAACGATGAGAATTGGCGCATTATCGTCTTAAAAAAGCGACTATATCCGCTATCGAAAACTCGATAACATACAGAAAGTAGAGGTAGGCGAAAGAATGAAGAGCGGGCGAGAGCGCGTCAATGGGGTCAGTTTGACCGTGGGATCGTGCAACGAAGACCTGTTCACTAAGGTTATTGAGAAAGGGAGCGAGTGTCTTTGTGACAGCTGTGGTATCGGAGCATGACTGGATCTTTGAGATGATCTCGTCAAAGGAAGGATCGTTGGGAGCCATGGTAAAGTTTATGTTAAGAGAGTTAAAAGAATGAGAAAGAGTGGACGCGTCAATGGATAAAGGTTTCCTTGAAGGCGTGGCTTCCTCACAGTCACTAAAAGCGTGACCAGTTCGCCCAGTTTGAGTTGCTGGGGTAATTGACATGTTTGGCTGGCGTGTGCTAATCCTTTCAACTTTGTCTTCCATTCAATACAAAACAGCACCATTCATTCGAGTCCATTCACTCATTTAATTCATTGTTCGGCTCTTGTCATTTCTCACAATTACCATATTTCAAATCCATATAGTCATCAGCCGCCTCCTGCATTCCCGCTTCTACCTACGCTAACCACTAACCAGAAAACTAGAAAAATTAACAATGTCCAACTCCCACTCGTCCTCGTCAGAGACCGTTGCCACGCTCAAGCTTCTACTCATCGGCAGCAGTGGTACTGGAAAAAGTAGTTTGCTCATGCGCTTCGTTGATGGCGTATTCCTTGCTCCCGACGAGATCTCTGCAACCATTGGCGTTGACTTTAAAGTCAAAGTCATTGATGTGGAAGGCAAGAAATATAAACTTACTATTTGGGTGCGTATTCATTCAACCTTCTCTACTGCCCGGCTCAGTATCATATGACTTTCGAAACCGAATATTAATGCTGCTTCGGGCTGCATGTTTATGATAATACTAGGATACCGCTGGTCAAGAGCGCTTTAGGACGCTCACATCTTCTTATTATCGTGGGGCACAAGGTGTAATCCTAGGTAAGTGTTGTGACTCGAGCACAGACACTCTAATATAGTTGACACATGAACTTGCCACGTATCCTAAATTTTTTGTTTCTTTTTTTTTTTTTTTTTTTTTTTTTTTTTGCTTGTCTCTATCATGTATAACGGGAAACACAGTCTATGATGTCAGCAACCGAGATTCTTTCAATGACCTGCAGACTTGGTTCAACGAGCTTGATACATATTGTTCCAGTAAGGAAGTTGTTCGTATGATTGTCGGAAACAAAGTTGACAAGGTACTGCAACAACTTGTTAATACCAGTCTATTATTCTCATTTCACGAGGCCAATGACGTGGGCGATCCGTCAGACTGAATGATTTTTTTTCCTTTTTTCACTTACTGCTCTTACCTTGCGGTTACCATGGATATTAACAGGATTCTAGCAGAGAAGTTAGTAGACAGGAAGGCCAGGAATTGGCACGCCAGCTTCAAACATTATTTGTAGAGTGTAGTGCCAAGACCAAGCTGGGTGTCCAGCAGGCATTTGATGAGCTTGTACAGCAGATCATCGATACCCCAAGCCTTTGGCAGAAGCAGGCGCCTGCTAACGTTCGTCTTCAGCAAGATACAGTTACCTCACACCAGACCACTTGTTTTTGTTAAAAGGAGGCTTTGTCTGTGCACACTTTCATAGCAACTCTGGAACAGATCTGCGGCTGATGACGTTTTTGATGGACAACTTTTCTTTGACTTGGGGACGTTAACAACTAAATAAAGGATAAATAAAATACACCGTTAAATAATATAAAAGAAAAAAAGGCAATGTGGCAAGTATTCCAAAGAAATGTAACGCTTGATGACGCTTTCGTACACACTGAAACGCGTCTCACCAAGCGGATTGTTTGGATCGAATGAGTGGTGGCGAAGCTATAATAATATATACATGCCATTTCATTGGTATGACTACTCTTGCTCTTTGAGAGTGTTTGGCTCTTTAAAAGGAGCACCTCTGTATGCCTTATTGTGAGCGCCAGATAAACGTGACATTCAAAAATATAATACATCTATGGGGGCGCATTAACTTGGCGGTGCCTGTCATAGGACAGCGGGCAGATCAAAACTCTTGGCAAGATTCCCTTTGATTTTTATGATAAAGACAGGATGGAACCAACTTGACCATGTCATGGTGCTTGTAAACGAGCCTCCAAGAGAAAAATGGCTAGATCAAAATGCACGGGTTCATTTATGCAAACACACAATAAGCAAAATGTTGTGTCGCTTTGCGGTTACAGTGCTTCCTGCTCAAAGAATTCTACATTTTGCTCAAGGAGTTAATAAAAATAAAACTATTTCAAATGGCATAGCTCTTGCGATCATGCTCATTTCCTGTATAAAAACCACAACATTTCTAAACTTTTTTTTAACTCATCAACATTCATTTCACTCGACCTCTACCTCTACCTTTACCAGACTTTTCTTTTCTTTATTTCTTTCTCCTTCACTCACATATCTAACTATCAAAGTATGTACAGCTCCATATTTCTGAACATTGACCATGCCCTGAAATTACTACCTGTTTGCAATGCTCCATCATCTATTATGTTTACAAGTATCATTTTCAGTGTGTCAACGCGCCTCGCGTTGTTTACCACACCTGCATTTTGCACTGCGTGATAATTTTTGATTTTGAACCCGTTGCGATCAAGCAAAGCAACTTGATCTATTACGGCTACCAAAAGGCTATGTATCACATTTGCCCTTTTTTTTCTTTGTCCACAAGATGATGGCTAGTATGCTTGATTCCCAGTCAAAGTTGTCTGGATAGAAATGAACATATGTCTGTTCATGGCCGTCGCTTCGCTCTTTTTTTTTTTTTTAGAAATGGAAAGCCTCAAAACTCTCATGATCCCCTTCCCATACACTGGCAACCAAAATGAAGAATACTAATAATTACTTTTCTATCTTCTATTTTCCTCCAATACTCTACTCTGATATCCCTCCAATTCCGATCATAATAGAATGGTAAGGTTATCTTTTTTAGTAGCTATTTTCTTTTTACGGCTACAGCAGGGACAGAGCCCCTGAAACATACTCCAGTTATCTTGCATCTTAAAAGCTATTGGTCCAATGCTCACTATTTTCTCCTAAATAATGAATTACATAGGAAGACGAAGTTGCTGCTTTGGTTATTGATAACGGTTCCGGCATGTGCAAAGCCGGTTTCGCTGGAGATGATGCTCCTCGTGCTGTTTTCCCTTCTGTAAGCAAAATCAATCCGATAATGTTGTGACGTTTTGCGAACATGTCAAAAAATAATTGAAAAGCTACTGCATTAGTAGCTTGATACTTTTGGAGTAAACCATAGAGATGACTGACCAAGAAGCCTTTTTTACTCGTTCATTTCATCGTTGACACAACAGATTGTCGGTCGTCCCCGTCACCAGGGTGTCATGGTCGGTATGGGTCAGAAGGACTCTTATGTCGGAGACGAGGCCCAATCCAAGCGTGGTATTCTCACCTTGAAGTACCCAATTGAGCATGGTATTGTCACAAACTGGGATGATATGGAGAAGATTTGGCATCATACCTTCTATAACGAGCTTCGCGTTGCCCCTGAGGAACACCCTGTTCTCTTGACCGAGGCTCCTCTCAATCCTAAGTCTAACCGCGAAAAGATGACTCAGATCATGTTCGAGACTTTCAATGCTCCTGCTTTCTATGTTTCCATCCAAGCTGTGTTGTCCTTATATGCTTCAGGTCGTACCACTGGTATTGTCCTTGACTCTGGCGATGGTGTCACTCACACTGTCCCCATTTATGAAGGTTATGCTCTTCCCCATGCCATTCTCCGTCTCGATCTTGCTGGCCGTGACTTGACTGATTACCTCATGAAGATCCTCATGGAGCGTGGTTACTCTTTCTCTACCTCTGCTGAGCGTGAAATTGTCCGTGACATCAAGGAGAAGCTCTGCTATGTTGCTTTGGACTTTGAACAAGAGATGCAGACCGCTGCTTCATCATCAGCTCTCGAGAAATCATATGAGCTTCCTGATGGTCAGGTCATTACCATCGGAAACGAACGTTTCCGTGCCCCTGAAGCACTCTTCCAGCCCTCACTTCTTGGCCTTGAAGGTGTTGGTATCCACGAGACCACCTTCAACTCCATCATGAAGGGAGACGTTGATATTCGTCGTGACTTGTACGGAAATATTGTTATGTCTGGCGGTACCACCATGTACCCTGGCATTGCTGACCGTATGCAGAAGGAGATCACAGCTCTTGCACCTAGCTCCATGAAGGTCAAGATTGTTGCTCCTCCAGAACGCAAGTACTCTGTCTGGATCGGAGGCTCCATTCTTGCCTCACTCTCAACCTTCCAACAGATGTGGATCTCTAAGATGGAATACGATGAGTCAGGTCCTTCAATTGTTCACCGCAAGTGCTTCTAAAAGGTCAAAGACTGGATGGACCGGAAGGGTAGAAGCTCTCTTTGTCAAGAGCAGTGATGTTATCGCGCAAGGAAATATGTCTCGACTGGCAGCTCGGATCATACTTATTCAGTTGTATTTTTTATTTTCCCTTTTTACTGATACCGTGCATTGTAGCGAGAATGTTTGTTCAATAAAAATATTCAGTTCGAAAGCCTAAAAAAAAAAAAAAAAAAAAAAAAAGTCGAGAGTCCTGCTGCCAATATCTGTAGTACGAACTTCGTATAAAAAGAGTGATGAATGTGCCATGTAGTAAAGTCATTCAGACCTTTGAACTCATTTTTCCAGTTGCATGACCAAAAAAAGTGTTTATCCACGCCCGTATATCAGAAGAAACTCCCTTGAGTGTTTTTGAATGCTTATAATGCCTACTGAACTTGAATTGGAGCAATGGAGGTTCCCTTTGATAGAACACACATATCAGAAGACAGTGATGTTATCGTGCAAAGAAACATGTCTCGGCTGACAACTCAGATCGTACCTCCTCGTTGTATTTTTATTTCCTCTTTTCTGTATTGTGCATTGTAGCGAGAATGTTTGCAATTTGATCTTCATTATTTTGTAAAACGTGTAAACTCTAAATAGTGTGACTGGCAGTGTCCCTGAATTCTCTTAACAATGGTCGTGAGAGTTCACTCTTACATTCTTCCCTTTACCCACATTTCTAAATATATATCGAAGTATGTAACAGTTCCACGTTCCTGTATATTAGCCATACCTTGAAATTACCAGCAATCTGCAATATTCCTTCATCTTCTATGCTTTTACTTTGTCGTTACAATCTGTATCTGTATTGTTAGCATGCTTCGCGTTTATCATGCCTGCATTTTACGATGCGCAACTATTATTATTATTATTATTGATATTGTCATCCAGCGAGCTGCTTGACCTATTACAGCTGCCAAAAGCCTCTAAGCTGCTTTTCGTGCATTTTTTTCTTCGCCCACAAGATGATAGCTAGTGTTATTTGATTTGAAGATACGGCTTCACGATCTGCAGAGGAGTGAATATGTGTTTGCTCATGACGGCTGTTCCTTTTTATACCTTTTCTCTTTGGACTCCACTAATAGTTGCTTTCCTATCTTAACTTATCCCCCTATACCTTACTCTGACGTCCTTCTAACTTCAATCGTAATAGAATGGTAAGTCATCCTTTTTTAATTTTTATTTTTTTGCTTTTGCTTTTTATTTTTATTTTTTTTTTATTAACTATTTCCTCACCTTTTTCTTCACTAAATAATGAATTCTGCAGGAAAGCGGGATTGTTAACGTGGTTATTGATAGTGGTTCCGGCATGTGCAAGGCTGGTTTCGCTGGAGATGATTCCCCTCGTGCTGTTTTCCCCGCCGTAAGTGAAATGAATCAGATAATGTTGTGATTGTTGTGACGCTTTTGTGATCATGGCAAAAATTACTTTAGTAGCCTAATGCTTTTGGAGCAAACCATGACGGTAGCTGACCCAAGCGTTTTACTTGTGTCATTGGTATCTTGATCATCGACACAACAGGTTGTCGGCTCGCCTGGCAAGGATAAGAAGGACACTTATGTTGGAGACGAGGCTCAAAAAAAACGTGCTATCCTCACCTTGAAGCAACCAAATGAGCATGGTAATGTCATCAGTTGGGATGATATGGAGAAGATCTGGCAGCATGTCTTCTACAACGAGCTTCGTGTTGCCCCTGAGGAACACCCTGTTCTCTTGGCCGAGGCTCCTCTCAATCCTAAGCCTAATCGTGAAAGAATGACTCAGATTATGTTCGATACCTTCAATGTCCCTGCCTTCTATCTCTCTAACCAGGCTGCTTTGTCCTTGGTGGCTGTGGGCCGTACCACTGGTATTGTCCTCGACTCTGGTTATAATGCCACCTATGCTGTCCCTATTTATGAAGGTTATGCTCTCCCCCACGCTGTCCTCCGTCTCGATCTTGCTGGCCGTGACTTGACTGATTACCTCATGAAGATCCTCATGGAGCGTGGTTACTCTTTCTCTACCTCTGCTGAGCGTGAAATCGTCCGTGACATCAAGGAGAAGCTCTGCTATGTTGCTTTGGACTTTGAACAAGAGATGCAGACCGCTGCTTCATCATCAGCTCTCGAGAAATCATATGAGCTTCCTGATGGTCAGGTCATTACCATCGGAAACGAACGTTTCCGTGCCCCTGAAGCACTCTTCCAGCCCTCACTTTTTGGCCATGAAGGTGATGGTATCCACGAGACCGTCTTCAACTCTGTCATGAAAACGGATGTTGATATTCGTCGTGGTTTGTACGGAAACATTGTTCTGTCTGGTGGCACCACCTTGTTTTCTAATTTTGCTGACCGTATCCATAAGGAGGTTGCTCCCCTTACACCTGCCTCCATGCAGATCAAGGTCATTGCTCCTCCAGAACGCAAGTACTCTGTCTGGATCGGAGGCTCCATTCTTGCCTCACTCTCAACCTTCCAACAGATGTGGATCTCTAAGCTGGAGTACGAGGAGGAAGGCCCTTCAATTGTCCACCGTAAATGCCTTTAGCACCCAACTAGCATGGATAGATTGAAAGAATGGATGCTCTCTCTGAAAGGACATACATATCAGGAAGCAATGGCGTAACCACACGGAGAAACGCGTCTCGAATGGCGGCTCGGATCAATATTCTGTTATCTTTTATATCTCCTGCTTTACTGGTACCATTCATTGTGGTGAGAGTGTTTGTTCAATAAAATCATCTGGTGCAAGTCATCCAGTTTGAAAGCTTCCTAAAATAAAACGTAGAAAGCCACGCTATAAATGGGTTTGTAGCATATTAACTTGTAAGACGCGAGAAATATACCATGAACTGTAATATAGTAAGGACTTCGGACTTCCATATTTACCCGACTGCGGAAGCACTTCCTTACGTTTCTAGAATGCGTATAGTACCCCTTGAACTTAGAGCCTTTGATACGATCTCTGAAAGCGTTCAAGCTCAACCTACGTTGACCTAGGCCCCCGAACATCTTGATAAGGTCAGCTCGCATTGTAAAAATTGGTTGCTGTCCATAAATCTCTGTGGTCTCTTCCAAAAGTAATTGTTGGATAGTACCCATCACTATTCTTTCCTGAACAAACCATCTCATCCCTTCACAAACACACCGTTGTTGGTAATGATGAGGAGCAATGACTTCGATTGATTTCCCTGGGCATCCCTAGGACATCGTAGCTAAAACCAAAACAAATAAGAGATGGAGGATCCCATAGCAACGAATTTGAGTTTCTTTTATTGAATCTTATAAAAGATTGTAGATCATGAACCTTCAACATATGCTTTTCTGGTCTTCACCACCTTGACTGCTCCTTGCATCTGGGAGGATTGTGGCTTCCACCGAGAATTACTTAAAAGCATAGCATACTAATTCACTGTTCCTCCAGCCCCTACCCAAGTCTCCTTCACTCTCCAGTTCTTGTTATTGTCGGGCCAGTCCTGAATATTCTAAGATACCTGATATCTTTCCTTGGTGGAGGCTGCAGCTAAAGCCTACAGCTACTAAGCAATTGGCTGTCATAATATTTTCGATATGACGCAATAGTATAGAGAGAAAAATCGGTGCTACAGTTTACCATTCTTTATTTTATTATTGTTATTTTTTCTTTATTCTCTTTCTCTTTCATCCACATATCTAAATGTCAAAGTATGCTACAGCCTATATCCTTGGGTGTTAGCCACGTCTTGAACATATCAGTCGTTCGCAAGGGTCCTTCATCTTATCCTTATACTTCATTTTATACCCTGTGTTATCAACATGCCTGGTGTTTACTACACCTGCATGTTGCAATACACGATCACTTTTTGATGTCGACATCGAACAAACTGCTTGACCTATTGCGACTGCCAAAAAGCTTTTACATCGCCTATGTCCGCTTTTCTTCTTTATCCACAAGATGATAAATAATTCGCTTTACTTCCAGAACGCAGAGACGCAATCATTGTTATCTGGATAGGAATGAATATGTGCTTGTTCATAACCACCGGTCATCTCTCTTTTTTTATTTTTTATTTTTCTCTTACTCGAGCCTTCGTTTAGAGGAGGGTCCTTAAAGCTTTCATGGTTCTCCTTCTCACACACATACATACATAAAATGAAGGATACTAACAGCTGGTTTTCTGTCTTAACTTTGTTATAATTTTTCTATCCTCTTCTTTGATATCCTTCCGATTCCAACCATCATAGAATGGTAAGGCTATTTTGATCATTGCTACAGCATGCACTGGGTCCTTGAGACATGCTTCAGTCCGACTTTTGCACCTTAATGCTCGCTTTTTCTCAACTAAATAATGGGTTTTATAGGGAAGCAAAGCTACTGCCATAATTATTCATAATGGTTTCGGCATTTGCAAGGCCGGCTTCGCTGGAGATGATGGTCCTCGTACTGTTTTCCCTTCTGTAAGCAAAATTAATCCGATAATGTTGTGAAGCTCTGTGGATGAGCTACCATGTTAGTAGTTTGATACTGTTGGAGCAATTCACAACAATGACTGACCAAGCAGCGATTTACTTATTTTGTTTAATATCTTCATCATTGGCACAATAGATCCTCGGTGTTCCCCGTCACAAGGTTACCATGGCCGGCATGGGGACAGGAGGACACCTATGTCGGAAATGAGGGTCAAAAGAAATGTGGTTTGCTCACATTGAAGCACCCTATTGAGCATGGTATTATTGACTGGGATGATATGGAGAAGATTTGGCACCATACCTTCTACAATGAACTCCGTGTTGACCCTGAGAAACACCCTGTTCTCTTGACCCGAGGCTCCTCTCAATCTCAAGCCTAACCGTGAAAAGATGGCTCAGATTATGTTCGAAATCTTTAAGGTCCCTGGCTTCTATCCCTCCAATCAGGCTGCCTTGTCATTGTATGCTTCAGGTCATACCACTGGTGTTGTCCTCGACTCTGGTCATAATACCACTCATGTTGTCCCAATTTATGAAGGCTATACTCTTCCCTTTGCCACTCAACGTCTCAACCTTGCTGGCCGTGACTTGAGTGGTTACCTCATGAAGCTCCTCGTGGAGCGTGGTTACTCTTTCTCTACCTTTGCTGAGCGTGAGATTGTCCGTGACATCAAGGAGAAGCTCTGCTATGTTGCCTTGGACTATGAACAAGAGATACAGACCGCTGCTTCATCATCAGCTCTTGACAAGACATATGAGCTTCCTGATGGCCATCTCGTTACCCTCACAAGCGAATGTTTCCGTACTCCTGAAGCACTCTTTCAGCCATCACTTTTTGGACATGAAGGTGATGGTATCCACGTGGCCATCTCCAAGTCTATCATGGCTTCAGATATTGGTATCCGTCGTGAATTGTACGGAAACGTTGTTCTGTCTGGCGGTACCACCATGTACTCTAACCTTGGTGACCGTATCCAGAACGAGCTCGCTAAGCTTGCACCTAGCTCCGTGCAGCTCAAAGTCATTGCTCCTCCAGAACGCAAGTATTCTGCCTGGATCGGAGGCTCCAATCTAGCTTCACTCTCAACCTTCCAAGGGATGTGGATCTCTATAAACGAGTACAATGAGGATGGTCCTTCAATTGTTCACCATAAATGCTTCTAGCGCCCAACTAACGTGAAAAGGTCGAAAAATATAGAAACTCTCTTTGATAAAACGCTCACTCATATCAGAATAGCAAGAGGTAGTGATTTTATCACACAAAGTAGATGTAAGAGAAATAAAAATGTTTGGTGCAAATCGCTTTGCTCGAGAGTTTCTGCTTTCATTTTTTTTTTTTTTTTTTTTAAAAAAAAAAAAAAAAAAAAAAAAAAAGACTTTAAAATATACATGAATGAATGAGAACCTGATGTCGAGTTCTGGGAGTCAACAATGCTTATCAAGAGGCCTTGGCTCTTCCAAGTTTTGTAGGCTGAATTAGGTTTGTATTATTGCATTGTATGACTAAACATCACAAAAAAAAAAAAAAAAAAACAAAACAAAACAGAAAGTAAGTAAAAAAAAAAATGTTCACTAACTATCCACAGATCCAGTCAAAGATGACAGAGACGAAGAGGTTGAAGATGCAATAGAAGCACGACGGACACCTGCTGCAGGGCTCTTTGTCATGGGTCGGCCTCGCCTCCGTCTGAAAGCTGCTGAACCTTTGTTCTTGAGCGCTGTCAGTTCTGAAACCATCTTCCGATCATACTCAACCCCTGTACCAATGATTTCAGGGATACCAACTTTCTTGCCTTGGTGCTCCATCAGTCCACGAACGCGCATCTTACCACCAAGGATACCACAAACCTTGGGCTGTGGGATAGTCTGACCATGAAGACTTTGCAAGATTACTTCTTGTGTTACGTTCACAGGAGCCAGCCCCGGTCGAAGTGGAACAACCTTGCCAGAGCATGGTGGACAAGTGTACTTCAAACTTTCGTCCTGGCCCATCTCTTCAACTTTGTCCTCAGATAATTCACCATCACAATCCATATGAACCCAACGGTTGCACTCGTCACAGCAGACCATATTGTTCTCATCCTCTCCTACCGCATCCGAGTCGTCCTCCCCACCATCACCGCGATATGTCCGTAAGCAGACTGGACAATACCGCCCCTTTGTAAAGCTGTCGTGACAGTTAATGCTAACATCATGTAGTCAAGTGAAAGTAAAGAGCGAAAGTCAGAGGGCTGTGCATTTTTTTTTTTTTTTTTTTTTTTTTTTGATTGCAGTTTAACCTTACCAGTAGGTGCAAAGATATGTAGGATATTTGTTTGCTCCTGTAGGGTTTGCAATAGCGTGTTTGTATCTTGTACCTGGTATTTCAGCACCACGACATGAATGGCACATCGCACAGAAGGAGCAGAGCCACTCACCTGTATTTTTTTTTTTTTTTTTTTTTTTTTTTTCAATTGTCAATAAGTATTCACACCATATTATAGGTATTATAGAGATTTTTATCTTTAAAAAAAAAAAAAAAAAAAAAAAAAAAAAAAGTGTTGAATACACCATACCTCTGGGAACTTCTCTGATAGCAGGATCGCAGCAGCTCATATGCCAACCACGATCACAATCATCGCAAATTAACAATGAAGCCTCATCACCAGCTTCCATGCAAACGACGCAAAGCTTACAGTCATTACATTGCCATGGATAGGAGGCAATAGCAGACACGATTCTGGCCGTATCCAGCTGCAGACAAACCGGGTGGAAACTATTGGAGCATGTCTTACAAGTATTGAGATACGACATAGGGCATGGCAAGGGCTTATCTGCCGGCACTGCTGTATGGGGTGCTATTGCTTGGTTACATTCACCACAAATTCCCTAAAAAAATGTTGGGTAGCAGAATTAGTGGTCAATGGCTCATGGTAAGTAGCAGAAATAAGAACTCCTTTTTGAGGTAAAGGCTATATGCCCTAATAAAGTCTCTATACCTGTAATTTGCCATTGGCTTGTGGTGTGCCTGGCTGACTTGTCTGCGACCCGCGATGGTTCGGGCATCGCTCACCTTGTGCGCTGACAAGTCGCTGACAGTATCCATGGCCTGTCTTCAAGGGCGCACCACAATATATTCCCTGCGACTAGAATAGAAACATAGCGTTTGTCATTGTAAGTTTTGAAATGATTCAGGCCCGTGGGGGATTTAGACGGCTATAACGGCCTCAATACTATGGAGCATGGTTTGGTTCACCTACTGGAGGGGTTTCCAACTTCTTGTTGGGCTGGTCCTGTATCTGTTGTTGTTGTTGCTGTTGCTGTTGCTGTTGATTTTTGATCTGCTTTTGATGAAGCTGCATTTGCTGCTGCTGAAGCTGATGTTGTTGTTGCCATTGAAGAGCCCTCGCATCTCCCTGTCCAAGGACTGTGGCTTGCTCCATGGTTGGCCCCACTTCACCGCGAGATTGGGTCGTATAAAGTTGATGGAGATAATGAGCAAAAGGTGCCATGCTCTGTGGTAACACCACCCTATATGGCTGTTGGAACCGAGCTTGATGTCTACCGTCCAAAAGAGAGGCATAATAGATTAGTCTCGAAGCATAATAACGCATGGTTATAAGGAGGTAAGATACAATAAAATAAAATAAAATAAAATAAAGGATCAGTCTGGCCTATTCGACTCACATTGGAAAGGCGGCTTGATATTGCCCATCCATAAGCGACAGAGGGAACTTTGCAAGGTCTTCATTTTCTTCATCCTTTGGTTTAGTTGCCTCAGCGATCTCTAATGCCTTGCGAATATCCTCAGGAATAACTGCCCATACAGCTGGATCCTGAATGATAGGCGGTGGAGGTACTCCTTCTTTGATTTCAACTTTTACTACGGCATCGACCTGTGGTCCAATCGAATGTGGGATCGATAATACAGTCTGATTCAGCGTGTTTTCTGATTGAATAGCTGAGGGTGCCTCTTTCTTGGACTGTAGTACTGGAACAACTTCACATCGCGTTGGTTGTTTCGCAGCAGGGATCTGCTCAATATTGGTGTGTGGGTCCAGAAACTTTGGGTTCTCCTGTCGCAATGTTCTCAATTGGGTATTTAATGAGCGAACTGCCATGGCGCTTTCATACATCCAATTGAGGTCCGTCACCTGACGAACTGGTTCGTCTGTATGAAATAGTGTGTGTTTCCGCCGGCCCTGTGTTCCATCCTCATGGGTGCCACTGCCCTGTGAACCATCTGGATCGCCAGCCATGTCTTCATCAGACTCATCTCCAACATCATCCTCGACAGCGCGCGATTCATAATAGTCGTCAATTTTGCTCCTTCCTCGTTTGATAATACGATGTCCAAACATTTTGAAGATCGATCGTGCAGTTACAACAGCGATCAGTTTTGACTTGAAGTTGGCCATTAACATTCCGTTTTCAATCATCCATGTCCTCTCTTCTACCGTTGTATTGATACGCACGAGTGATGGGTTCCTCAAGAAGAAGAGATAGCTGTCTCTAAAGCCAAGAACACGGGCAGGGTCCATTGAGAGCATATAGATTCTACTCCCTCTGTTTGGCATCCTGAAACTTCGGCATTTATATTCACGACCTGACGAATGTTAATTAAATTTGGTAAAAGGAGGCATAAATAATAAAGCTCTGCACTGTTCTTGTACGACAGGAATGTGCGAGTGAGAGTGGATCAAAAAAAAAAAAAAAAAAAAAAAAAAAAAAAAGATTGATTTACCTCCTAGAAGTTCGCCATCTTTTGTGATTTTAGCCTCGCCGGCTTCTTCAATTTCTCCTTCATTTTCTTCCGGATCCTCTTCAGCCTGCTCCTCTGTGGCTCCACCATCAGCTTTATCTGTAGAAGCCTGATTATTCTCTACTACATCCCCGTCTCCCTGAGGACGAGACTTGGTTACCGATCTGCCATTCCTGATAGGTCGTTTTGATCGCGATGGTCGTCCTGGTCTTTTTGTTGGGACTGGTTCTTTCTCATCCTCGACTTCTTCCTCTCCCTCCTCTCCTTCTTCTCCTTCCCCCTCTCCTTGCTCATCTTCATCCCGTTCCTCTGCATTTTCTTCATCATCATCATTAGCGCTATCTTCAAGATTGCTTGCTTCCATACTGCTTGGACGTCTTTTCCTGGCTGGCTCTTCCTTCTTGATGGTTGTGACAGGTGGTGGACCTGATGCTCTCGCATTTGATCTCCGTGGTCGCGAGGATGGGGTAGGTGAAGGCTGTCGCGAAGGCTGTCGTCTATTGCGAGGGCCTCTTGTGCCTGAGGCTGGTTCTGGCGATTCAACCATAAGTTTCTGTCAGGCTGTTGATCACTCTCTTACTCTCTTTTGCTATTACTTGTTTGTTCCTCTCTCGCTCCTCTTTTTTTTTTTTTTTTTTTTTTTTTTTTTATGAGTTGCGACTAATGTTGTTGGTCTGGCTGAATGTGATGTGTTTTGTGATTGATTGTGCTTAATTGATGATTTATAAATGATTCTTGGTTTGATGTCCTGCTTTAGATTGTTGTCAGAGTAGAGAAGACCGCGGTCTTAGCAGGAAGTAATGCGAAAAGAGAGGCCGAAAAATTTAAAATTATCGCGTTTGTTGGTTTGGCCTTTTCTTTTTGTTCTGTAATCTCTTCTTCTTCTTCTTCTTTTCTTTGAGGATGACTAATACTTGTCATACATAAAACAATACGTTTATAAATTATAAAAAGACAAAAAAAAAAAAAAGAAAAAAGAAAAAAAGAAATAGAAAAAAAAAAAAAAAAGAGGAAGAAAGAAAAAGAATAGAAAAGAAAAAGAGAGAATAGGAGAGAGAAAGAAAAGAACAGTGTCAGGTCATATAAACACTTGAATAACGCGACTATTTTTCATTAAAAAAAAATAGTAATTTTGTCTCGGGACGCGGCAAAGGTTGCTTCAGTATGGGTGTGTAGTTAATGAATTGAAGGAGTGTCTAAAGCATTACCTGTAATGCTTACTGTGAATGATTGAATTAGTTTTCAGTCGCTGTATGGTCATTGCATTTCATCAAGTAAGCCTTTGCCATCAGTTACCTTTCTGCTGTCGCTTTTTTTTTTTTTTTTTTTTTTTTTCTTAGAGATCTTTCAGCATATTCAGCCACAGATCCAAAATTCACTGTCACAAAAAGAAAATTTATGATCCCAGCCAGCAGCCAGCACCTGAACATTCCTGTGATGCGATGAACAATCAAATTAGACTTTGTATCTTTTTATTTGTCACAGCCATCTACCAATCTTTGAGCTAATCTTCTGGATACCAACATCAACTTCAAGGATGGCAGGCTGGAGGATCTGTCTCCGATAGTGTCAACCTGACCGCTCGGAAACTTTTACGACCTCATCAGAAACTGTATCCATTCTATCTTTTTCTGACTCCTTTTTAAACCTTTCTTTTATAGCCACCAACCCTTCTAGAACTGATCGAGAGTAAGGATCCAAATGTGATTGCCGCTCTTTTTTTTTTTTTTTTTTTTTTTTTTTTTTTTTGGTTTTTGGCTCAGTTGCTTTTCTCAATTTATTCAAAACGATATCAGGGTTAGGTTTGGGATTGCAATTGCTGAAGCAGCTCCACACATTGATCAACGCCCCATCCTTGAGCTGACGGAGTGGCTGAACGCAATAATCATTCATTAGCACATTCTACGGAAGACGCCGGAGGATAAAATTGCTGTAGATTTTTGACATGCCATTTTTCATTTATCGATGGCTCTGCTAAAATGAAGCTGGTCTACATGAATCCGTCTTACGTTCACTATTCTACAGCCCACTTCTTTATCAATATAATCGACGTTTTTTTTTTTATCAAATGAATACCCACCAACTTTTTCTGAATTAGAACTGCAATAAAAGAATAGATGCTTGGAATATCTTTCAAACCATATTCCCTAGTCGTCCCAGAGTTGCTGCAACTTTTTCAACAGAATTAGAGGACATCCTAAAAGCTTTAAGCTATTTTTTCCTTCCATGTCTTCAGAGGTTTCTCTTCCCCAATGTTTGGGAGAAATGCAATTATTTCCGCATGGATTTTAACAAATCAATTCACCAGATTAATTGCGTAGAGATCCGAAACGTGTAAACCGCACCTGCTAAAATAATATTCATTAACCATGTTTATGAAGAAATGGTATGGTGATTTTCATTGACATTATTCAAGAAATATATAAAAATAAATTATTATCCTAGTCCGAGTCTAACGAAACTGTTACAAAGATAGAATGCATGCATATTTTTTTTTGTTTTTGTTTTGAAACTAGCTGGTACGATTACGGTTGTTCTGGGAGAATTTGAAAGAGGCAACATGTAACATGTTCATGTAAACAATCATATATACACACAACATTAGTTCGCAGACCCCTTTTCTGAGAGCAATAAAGTTCTGGTGCTCTAGACCGATTTGACCATACCCAGGCACAATCCAGCGCGACAAAGTTTCTGTAGTGATGACGATTATGCTCTTAAAAAGCATTTGGGAAATGATTGCTCATGGTTATGGCTTTTTTTCTTTTGAGAAATAGGGGAGCAAGGTCAAGGTCAGTGTGACCCTCGAGTACCTTAGTACCTTTGAATGGTATGATACTGTCGAAAAGCCATTCCATCTCGAACACTCGTTCAGAATCACCAACAAAAAATGATTATGACCAAAAGTACAGCCAACTCGTTGCCGATCTTTTTATTTTATTTTATTTTATTTTACCGTTGTTGAAAATAAGAAAAGAAAAAAAAAGATCCGGGTATTCTCCTGAGTTTTTATTATGCTCTTACTTTTTTTTTTTTTTTTTTTTCTTTTTCTTTTTTTTTACAGGGGAATCAGGCCGTATGCCGTATATTGGCAATTGACAAGAGAATGAGATTGTCAAGGTTGTTCACTTTTCTAAAGGAGTCTGGCTATGCGATCGGTACTAGGTCACCAACACCAAACTGCTGGAAATCTCTCAGGTCATCACGAAAGAGCGCGAGGAATAAAACGACACTTTGAAGTAAAACACAGGTACACATTAAAAATAAACGAGGGAGAGGCGTAAAGGAACATAAAATAAATAAATAAATAAATAAAATTACGCTCCCTCAACTTCTGTCTTTTTTTTTCTTCCTTTCTTCCAAACATTCATTGCAGTTCATTGCATTCATTATTCTTCATCAGCAAAACCACATCATTTCAACACAGCAATCGTTGGAACCACTTTTTTTTTTTTTTTTTTTGTTATTTCAAGTGTTGCACAACAGTCTGTCAATCAAGTTTGTGTCACGAACTTATCCCGCCCATCCACAACACAACCGTCAATTCCTCCAAATGGCAGCATTATACTCGTCCAGTCCAGAGGATCTTCCAGCACAGACGTTCCTCGAGAGAAAAAAACCGCTCCTGTTGCCTCGCCAGTCAACAAACGATATCCTTTCTTTCACCCACATCATTGCGGATCGCCTTGCACCCGGTCAAAACATCTGGGATTTCTTTACTCCTCCAGACCCCTCAATTCTGACACCAACAACAAAAGCACAGACCTCATCTTCATGTTCAGATGAAGATATCAGTTCTAAAAAAAGAGGAACACCCACAACAGGATCCCCCTCCTTGTCTCCTACAAAAAGTCATATTGAAACTCTCGCGTTGGACCTTACTCAAGCTGATAAAGAGTTAAACAGTAGCACCAATAGTACCAGTACCGATGTCCAACCCTCTTCGCCAACAATCACATCATCCTCCCTATCCACAGAAACACTCTCCCCACCCGGGCCCACAAACCACACAGTAGAAGATGACACCCCCAAGACTCAGAAGCGCCGATCCTTTGCTCAGTCATTTCGAGATAGTATGGCTAGTCTCACACAGTTGCTCACCCAAACCTCAACCAATTCTTCTCGCTCCACTAATTCCACTACATCTCTTGAATCCACATCCGCCTCCTCAACGGAAACGACTTCATCAAATGCATCGAGTACCAAACCATTCAGTGTAGGAACAGAAGAAGAAGGATCCGAAGCGCGACTAGCATCACCTCAATACAATATCCTAGTGCTAGGATCTGATTCTGCACCTTTGGCGAGTACGCTCTACAAGATGTCGGGTCTCTTACCCGGTGCCACCAAGGTTCATCACTATCAAGAGATTTCAGGTTTTTTTGTTGCTTACTTTAATTCCTATGACTCGTCCTCAGAAGGGCAAGAAGAAGATGAAGAAGAAGAACAAAACAAAAGGTCATCAGAATCTATGGCAGCATCCGAAATCTTGGGAAGGAATGATATCATCAGCACTTATAGCTACCTCATCAACAAAAACAACAACAGCAACAAAGAGCGTTCTGAAGAAGTCTTGCTCAGTGATTCGTCTTCAACAGATGGGGAAACCGATAGTTGCTGTCACTCCGACACGGTCTCGATCATTTCAACAGACGCCACATCCACCAATACCCGATTTTCCAAAGAAGGATGTGACGAATTCTGTAGCATTGTTCAACCAGAACCGGAAGCTGAATTGACTTCAGGACAAGTCCAAGAAGGAGTAGCAGAGCTACTTGGATCCGATGATTACAATAATACCCAAGGACAACAGAAAGAGCAAAATACCCAGCAAGACAACCATTACGACCAAGAACTGAAAAAACCCTCCCCCAATACCAACCTTTCAATCCACGCATTTTCACTTGACACGACTTGGCCCGTCCCAAGGACATTGGCTCAACGGTTCTGGTTCCCGTTCGCGCATGGAATTGTATATATTGTGGATGCGACTCGCAAAAATGACCCTCGAGGGATCGATCACTTGATAAGAGCACGTCAGTTCTTGGCCTCCTTGATCGCAGATCCCCACTTTAGTCGCAAGGATATCCCAGTGGTGATTTTTGCAAACAAGGCAGGCACGGATCCAGAGACATGCTACCGTCTAGATGAGATTGCAGAGATCTTGGGATGCGGGAATTGGGACATTCGACCCACCGATCTTCATGACAGTAAAAACAATAACGCTGTAGACAAAAAGAATGGTGAAAAAAGACGAAGCTCATGGTCCGAAAAGATCAAGTTGTCGACATCATCATCATCCACATCCACAGCGGCTTCGACAGCAAAGACGCGACCTTGGTGCGTCAAGAGTACAAGGGCTGATGGAAATGGGGATGGGATCCGAGAATCTATTGAGTGGCTCAAGAGTCGCATGGGCGAAACATGGGCATAGTTTTTCACAAACAAAAAAAAAAAAAAAAAAAAAAAGAATATAGCGAAACAATTGATTGCTGTCAGTCTGATCTGGTAGTGAATGAATCTATTGCTGATACTATGTAAAATGCAGAAACAAACTAATAAATAGAAAAAACAAATGTGTGTATGATAGAGACAAAGTGGAGATGAATAAATTACTCAAATGCTATATAAAAATGCTTTCTTGACACAATGATGAAGGATATATATATGGGTTGTTGGTTTTTTTTTTTTTTTTAAAGTCCTGCTAATGACCGGAGATGACTGGCATTGTTCGGCCCTGTCTCCGCAACCATGCTCGAGAAGACCGAGTCAGGTCTACTGAGCAAATTACGTGGGGTATCATATTCAGCAACTTGTCCTTGGTGCATCACCAGAATTCTAATTAAATAAAATAAAATAAAATAAAATAAAGTAAAAGAATAATGTTAATATTGATCATTTTCACACTATGACGGAGAAGTGTAAAAAAAATAAGCTTGGGAATAATTTTGGTTACCTGTCATAGTCAATGATTGTGTTAATACGATGGGCAACAGTGATAACAGTCGAATGAGCAAAGTCAGTTCGAATGGCTCTCTGAATAAGTGCGTCTGTCGCCATGTCCACGCTTGCGGTTGCTATTAAAGGCGCGCGCGCAATATGAAGAAAATAAAACGAATAAATAAATCGTAACGGCTACCAGCTTACTGTTCAATAAAAAAAAAAAAAAATCTTCCCAGCCTTATGCTTTATATATCTATATTTTACCTTCATCAAGAACAACAATCTTGGACTTTGCAAGCAGAGCTCTCGAAAGACAGACCAATTGTCTTTGTCCCACACTCAAGTTCTCACCTTGTGCTGACACCTGTGCATCCAATCCACCTTCTTGTGCCTGGACATATGGTTTGAGGTCACTTGTCTCGAGTGCTTGCCATAACTCCTGCTCTGTATGCTGAGACAAAGGGTCTAGATTGTATCGGAAAGTACCCTGGAACAAAACCGGATCCTGTGGGATAATCGCAATTTTGGGTCTCAAATCCGCCGTTCCCAATGTAGAGGTGTCAATACCATCCATCAAAATTTGTCCCCCGTCAAGCTCACTTAATAGGAACAATGCATGGATCAAAGATGATTTTCCTGCTCCAGTGCGACCCACAACCCCAACTTTGTGCCCTGGTTGGACCTCAAACGAGATATCCCGAAGGACTCGAGGAAGCTCTGGTCGGTAACGCATCGACACATTTTTAAAGTCAATCTTTCCCTGACTCGGCCAATCCTTAGGAGGCTTGTTCGCGGGCTGTTCTGGGGGTCGTTCCTGAGCCAGGTTTTTGATATAATAAATCAATCGCTCCGCCGAGTTCATATTGTTCTCGACTGTCGATAGTCGTTGGACACACCAGTTCAAGTCGCCAGCGATACGTGCCAAGTAACTGAGGACGAGGCCAGCAGAGGCTGGGTTAATGCTGAACCTTGTGGCAGTAATCAAGACCACAGTCGAGAAAGACAATAAAGCACCCAGAATGTTTACACGAAGTGAGAGCCAACGGCCTCCGATTTGGTAAAGATAGTATGGTCGGTTATTGAGATCAATTCGATACTCGTTCTTGAGGATAGCGTTTTGGACCACACCATATGCTTTGAGAGTGCTGAGACCCGTAAGGCATTCTGAGAAGTAAGCGTATAGGTACGACCGCATGTTCGAATCCAGGCGCTTGACCTCCCGTGATGTAATCCGGTAGTAGATTGAAAGAGCATAGTAAAGAGCAAAGATAGGAACAACTGCAAGTGCAAGCCAAGGGAATACGACGATAATAAGCACGAATGTTCCGATAAGTGTAACCGCCGTAATAGTAAATTCATAGATTGTGCTCCAAAGGACATTGTCAAGCGTATCAACATCTCTGCTGAATCTAAAGGATACAAAAAAAAAAAAAAAAAAAAAAAAGAAGAAGAGGGGTATATCAGACAACAGCTTTTTCAACATTCAAAGCATGATTGGCTCCAGTCTGCAGCAGTAGTATGTTTACCTGTTCAAGATGCGTCCAAGAGGAGTTGTATCGAAGAAGGCAAGAGGGGAATAAAGGACGCGCTTGAAAGCGGCATCATGCATCGCATGGGCTGTCCTTACAATTGTGAAAGACAGCATGATTGAAGCCATAAAGACTAATACGAGCTGTGCGACAGCGAACCCCGCAAATGTCCTGATGTATTGGTTGGTTGTCAGATGAAACTCGTCGCTACTCCACCAGCTCATCCATTGGTTACCTCTATCATACAGATAGTGCATAAAAAGGGTTAATTTCAGCATTTGTCTAGAGACGCTTTCAAGTTTCCCATCGTATGCACTTACAAAACGTTTGCAGCCTGTTGCAGAAGGAAAAGTCCGATTGTGATAACCCAATAATACCAAGCAGAGGCCTTGAGGTAGCCTGCATATACATTGCCCTTGACCGCTCCGGACTCGCGCTCCTCCTCCGACATGAGCTTTTGAGGGGCTTCAGCCTTGGCTTCCAATGATTTTCGATGTTCACCGTCTATCTCTTTCTTATAAACCTCCTTTTCTAACTCTCCTTCACCAGAGGCCAGATCCAGTTTCTTTACGTGCTTCCTTGCCTCTTCCTCTTCCTCAGCTACAACGGCTGCATCAGGTTTAATGTTGTCAAAGTCAATGTCCTCCAGCTCACTTTCCTCAGCTTGGACTCCTCCGTATTGACCCATGAGCGCACAGAACTCTCCATCTCTTGCCATCAGGTCCTTAAATGTCCCCTCCTCTGCGATGGTCCCGTCCTTCATGTAGATCACATAATCTGTATCTGGTAACACATGTAGCTGGTGAGTCGCGATGATCCTTGTCCGATCTCCTAATTCTTTCATCACACAGTCCTGCCAGAGACGCTTCCCTACATGTGCATCTACAGCAGAGAGGGGATCATCCATTATCACAGTGCCAGCTTCAAAATAGACACTTCGAGCCAACGAGAGTCGAGCCTTTTGGCCACCAGAAAGATTGACACCACGCTCTCCGATTTCAGTCTGGTCGCCGAACGGAAAGAGCTTGAGATCTGCTTCGAGGCAACAAACATTGATCACACGTTTATACCGTTCCTCATCAAAGGGCGTATCAAACAATATGTTGTCTTGGATAGTGGCGTTTTGGATCCATGGTGTCTGAGACGCATAGCTGATGTTGGTCCCACGAGTAACCTGACCCTCCGCTTGAGTCATATTCCCAACCATGGCCTGAAGCAACGAAGACTTTCCGCTTCCAACAGGTCCTACAATTGCAACAAGAGCACCACGAGGGATCTTGAGATTGATCTTTGACAGATGTGCTGATGGAGAAGGTGACTTCTTTTCATCCGATGACGATTGACTGTCACTGTCGACAGCCGTAATGTTTTCATGTTTGATATTTATAGTTGCTGCAGATGGAATTAAGGTATCAGAACTGGAATTCGGTAGTTCTTCCCAGATGAAGCTGGCATCCTTCATGCTGATGGCATATTCGTGCTTGGGATCAGGGGGTGGAAGAGGGTTTTCATCTTCAGAGAGTAGGAATGCTTCAATACGCTTCAAAGCTACATATGCATCAACAGTTACAGTGTAACAAGAAGGTAATACCATGAGAGGTGTCCTTAGAATGGTGAAGTAGGCCAAAGCGGGGAAGATGATGTCCGGCCTAAGTTCGTTTCCAATGGCACCATAGAGAATAATCGATAAAGCCGAGGCAAACACGGGTAATGACTAGGATTTTTTTAGTAATTAGCAAAAGATTCTGTTAGGGAAATAGATGTTTTTGATAGGCTTGTTTTGGCCTCATCTGTATTACGTTATTGATGAGAACACGTACTGCAGATGTGGCAGCGACAGCTCCACGGATGTAAAGCAACTTTGCAATGTTATACAGCTCACTGTTTCTTATGCTAGATAGTTTTTTGAGAAATCTATAAAGAAATGGTCAGGAATCATAATCAACAATGAGGATTTATTCTTTTTCAAATTAAAAAGATCACTGTGATTTTGTCAACTTACTCAGATTCCCAGCTGAAAAACTTGATCACTTTGATGCCCTGAAGGATCTCCTGAGTCAGACGAATTCTCAAATCTGTGAACTCCGAACCCTTTTTTCGAATAGGGCTTAGACGAGCCATGGCCCAAGCTTGGATTGGGTTTGCAAAGATTAAGATAGCCGCGCCTAGTAATGCTGCAGGTCCCATCATATGAACCAATATACCGACTGTCGCTATTGTGAATGAAGGTATACTGATAACAAGTAATACGGAGAGCATAGCCATGTCAATACGACTAGCGTCAGTCGACATCAAGTTGACGATGGCCCCATCCGGGTAAATGAGATGGGCCCGTGACGAGAGGCTGGTAGCCTTTCGGAAAACGAGATCGATCAGTGTTGCACGGATGTAGATGCCCATAGTCACAGATCCCAAGTTCCAGCGTTGATAAAGCATGTTTTGAGTTAATGTCAAAAACATCAAACCGAGGGCAAGTCCATATCCGTGATATGCTGGTGGCGGATTGGGCGTTGCAGAATCGTTGACAAAGCCGATAATCTATTCCAGTCGGAAAAAAAAAAAAAAAAAAAAAAAAAAAGCCCAGACGCATGGGTTGTCAAATGAATAATAAGTAGGATGTACTACATTTTTGTCATTTTTAATAAATGCCACGAAAAAAAAAAAAAAAAAAAAAAAACTTTACCTGCTGGAGCATGAGTGGAATACCAATCTGGCATAAATCTGTGAGAAGATTTGTTAAATACAATAAACAAATATCAGAACGCAAAGTTCGTTTATACTTCGCATCGCACATTTAGATCATTCATTCGAACCACATTTTTTTTTTTTTTTTTTTTTTTTTTTCATTATTATTACCTCCCAGCTCCAAACCGATGAAGCTAGTGTAATATCGCTTCCAGAATGTCTTGAGCAATGCACGGAAAAGCGATGGGCTCTTGCCTTTTAATTCAGCGCGCTTCTTCTCGGCCTCCCACTTCTCGCTCAGTCCCAACGTCAATGTACCGGCCTTATCTTGATCTAACATCTCATAGATGTCGTCTTCATCCAGCCTCTTCTTATAGCCCTTTGAGAAGAATGAATTGAGCCACCATAACGTTAATCTTGAGAGGAACCACGCATGATTCTCAGGGGAGGTTGGACCCTTCTTGAAAAGTGTATGGATGTGTTCATTTTCCTCGTAGGTTTCATGTTTTGCATTATTTTTATTGGTCATGTCAGTGGCGTTGACATCAGGACCAGCTGCTGACGCTGAGGTGGCAAGAGGATCAGCATTGACATTAGCATTGGTATTGGCTGAGAGATCTGGTTTAGAAAAGGGCGACTGTTTCTCTGCACTCATTGTACGAGTGAAGGAGGGAAAAAGGATATCTGATATGTGTGCAAGGTGGGCTGATTTGAAACGTGCCAACAAGAATGGATGAAAATCTACTCGAATGGAGAAATGGGGAAATTAAGCAGGCGAAGGAAAAAATAAAGGAGATCAGATCCTCCCCAAATCAAGGCACAATAAACCTCTTTGTAAAAAAAAGGCAAAAAAAAATAATAAAAATAATAAAAATAAAAGAAAGAGGTATCAGAGTAAGAGATGAAGAGAAGAGAGAAGGAGAGAAAAGAAACAGAGAAGAGAAGAGTAGAGCAACTAGGTAATTTTTTATGCTTTCGTAAAATGAGAATGCTTCTTTAGAAGGTTGTCATTATTCTGTCTTCATTGTTTGCCGCTATTAAATTCGCCCATGTGTATGTTTGCCTCTTTTGGGCACTTTTTTTTTTTGTTTTCCTGTAGACTGCGAGTGCTCAGGTCCCATCTTTCTTTTTTTTTTATTTCCCACATCCGAAATAAGATTTTCGCTAAAGCAAAACCCAAAGAACGATAAACAACAAATCAACTCTATAACACTCGTGGCTCCATGGTTATTCTTTTGTCTTTTCTTTTTTTTTTTTTTTTTTTTTTTTTTTTGCTTGCCGTTAGAAAACATGACAAGAAAGCTATATATGTAGCCAGAATTATCAACGTAATGTTATTCAATACATGTGCTATCATTATTATTAGAAAATAAATCAAAGCAACATGACATGATATGACACTTACTGTGAGTAATAAATATATAGAGATATACTTATATAAAATGGAATTTGCTGCGCCGTGGAGTCATGAAAGGTTGATGTATTAAAAATCAAAGGAAGTGATTTCAGTTTATCCTTTGCTTCCACAGGGTCTGGACAAAAGAGATTAACATTGATTGGCCGGCAAATCCTCGCTTTTTTAATCCTTTTTTTCCGTTCTCCCTTTTGTGTAATCAATGTAAACAACCCATCCTTCTTGACAACAGCAAAGAAGAGCGAAAAATTGCCAGATCCATCCCTTAGGGGTCTTGTATGAATGTATGAAGGCGTCCTTGGTATGAGTACTGAATGTTTACATATTTCTATCGATCCAATCAAAAGGTCCAGTACATTTGAATCTGGCTTTATGGACAAGCCCATATTAAACTAAGTGCTGTATATATTAGTATTCTAAACCATTCACACGATACCTTAACGGACACGCAGACTATTCTAGATACTATTGTCCACTTTATTCTCAGTCTGCACAATCACGCACTAGACCCTTCATTGTCCTTCGAAATTTCGTTTCCTCTCCGAACCTTGGTCCCAAGCTGGCGTTTGTCTGATTTATTTGAGGTTTTGGACCCTGAGCATACTATACTCTCTTGCTAAATAGTAAATACCGCAGTCTTCGAATACCCAGATTTAAATCCACGCTCGTAATCAGTATCTAAGCTTTACATCTTCGCCAGAGCATGAAGTCCTGACTTGACTAATTTCTTTCTCTTCATTTCATCGATCCTTACTTTCTACAAACTCCGAAGTCCCTGTTGTTCGCCGTAGAAATCTCGACGATCAAATACTCAATATTATATACATTTGTATGTATATGTATGTATATTTGTCTTCTCTTGCTCTTTGTATTGATTTTGTCGATGTAATGAAGTAGCCGCCTTTCTTCGTTGGTAGTGAGTCGTCGGAGTTTAAGTCGCTTGCGCATTTTCTCTCAGAAAGATGAGGACAGCTTCGTATCGTTTGAGATTCCTAATAAAAGAACAGTACCCAAGTAAGCTCATCGAAGGATCTATATATTTATTTTGTTCAATAATTTTGCCCGGATAGCGGCGTAGGAGAATCGTGGTTCTGAGAGGGCCATAAAACCGGTGATTACCAACTATGACAAATAGATCAATAGATAAGATAGGGGATATAGAGGTGGAAAAATATATAATTGAGACCTTTCAAGGTACAATAAAAATAGCACACAAAGTCTGCTTAGGAAGTGAAGCATCTCAACAGTAATTGCTTCTATACGAGAAAGAAACACAATAAGAATACTGAAGAAACGGAGCGAGGAAAATGGGCCTTACTTGCACAGTTCCAGCAGTCTATGATTTTGCATACAAAGAGAACAAGAAACAATGAGACAAAAAAATGCGGCGCGCAGGTATCAGTGGTCACATACAAAATGAGAAACGGTTCAGGAAATTTTGGTCCTCGCATAGGGCCATTGATACTGACAGCTCTCATTTTGTGTGTGTATCATCTAAGATCGTCCAAGGAACTTCATCGGAGCGACAGTGAGAAAGCCACGAGCCACCCATCTCACTTTGAATTAACTTATATACATTAGGGTCTCCAAGTGTACAACCGACTAGACTGTAGAGGACCGCATCCACATCCCGGAATATATCTCAGCCACTCGGTCCAGGGCAGAAGTCATGGATCTTTACTAGAATATTTACATGCTTAAGAAGACTAGACAACAACTAAAACACATTATTCCTCTATGACTTTACTAATAAAGATATGAAAATTGAAATGCTCACCCACTATTCTTGCTTCTATATTGTAAGCTTCAATTCATTCCTTCACATCCCTATCCATATCTCTCAAATACATAGCCAAACAACGTCTGGCGACCGTTGTTGTTGCCAAAGCGAACGCCCAAGAAGTGTGTCGAGTTGCCCAAGTCACATTTCCCAGTAAATAAAGTAAAATTCGATGGATGGGTTACGAGTTAATGCCTCCATTGCCTATCAGAGCAACATTTGATATGAATCCCCAACATGGAACAAATCATATTGTTGAAAAAATGAGTGTGTTCAAAATTTGTATTCGTTATCCCTCCAAGTTAGGCAAGCAAACAAACATAAGTGCAGTCGAAACATGAATGCTTCAGTAGAATGATCTGTTGCCGCAAGAGAGCTTGGTAGGATGACATCTCACCCTATCAATCTACGGAAGGAAAAAAAACCGATACTAACCCAATATCTTCTGATAAATTTCAATATAGGGCCGATTACCACCTACTAAGGAAGGCTGAAGTAATTGGATTGAAGTGAAGCCTCTCTTTCTTCCAGGCCAAGGATCCAAATCATGACATTTCCCTAGCAAGCGACCCGTGCCTAAGCATAGGGATGGACATCTATACTTGTAATGAGACAGTCCTTTTTTCTCGCAGCTATGTCTAACATGGCGTATGGGACGGATCTATCTGTGAAAAGATTGTTCGGTCGGCTCAGAGTCTCAATATTATTCTGCAATACTGCAATAGAATCTAATAAGCACGATTTCTTTGTTCTGGACATGGAATTTGATCTGAATACTCAATATATATTTCACTAAAAGCTCTTACTTGTTCAGCTATTAATCTTACTGCCTAGCCATGCACTGTCCATTGAGTTTGGCTAAGGGTATTTTCAAGCTCACTGACGCATACTTTTCTAATAAATGACACATGAGAGAGCCTATCTTTGCGCAATGACTAACATGGTTCTGTATCCTACTAAGAAAGGCACAGCTCCTAGACTCGCCACTAGTCTAAATGGTATGTATGTAATACACGAATGTTCGCTGACAGGCTAAAACCAGACTTTGGCTGAAAACTTTCTAAGCCGGACATGCCTCAGAGAGAATGGCCCTTTTTTTTTATGATGTGATGATAATGGTGATGAGGGCATTCTTTGTAATGGACGAAGGCAGTAATCGGAGGAATAGAGATAGTCGTGATGAATATGGGGCGGACATGGTACTCCAGTTCTTTTTCGACTTAGAAAGTAAAAGTATTGAGTATAGAGGCCGTATGAAGAGAAGAGTTTGATCCAGTCCAGCTTGGCATGTTGCATAGAATCACGTACTATAATAGCTCGCGATTTTATTTGTGCTAGATCCAGTCCATGGTGCAAGTAGAACACGAGTTTAACGATATCGCTCGGCACGAGCAAGAAAAGCAGCACGAAGCTGCGCATTGATGTTTTGATATACACTGGAGTTGTTGATGTGTTCGTCTTGCGGTCGCTGTTGGCTGCTTGGCTGCGCTAAATGGTGATACTGGTCCTCCAGCATGTATCCCTGTTGCACATATTGTGTCGGTAACTGCTGAAAGTCATTGTTCTGTTGACTGATCTCCTGTACGTCTACCATCTCATCATCCTCTTCTATAGCTTGTCTACTTACTGGGACAAATCTATGAGTTTGATTCCATGTTGTATTTGAAGCAAATGATGTCCTCGACGTTGGCAGACGATGCTGAGACTCATACTGATTCTGTTGATCCTGTTGATAAACTTGCTGTTGCTCTTGTGTTGGATCTAAAGGCGGTCCGGAGTCCTCTGATAGGTCTGAAGGTATCCCAAAACGGGCAGCGTGCATCTGATGAAGAAGACTATTCATATCAGAGTATGCAGCTGGCTCGATTATATTCGTCTGAGACAAGGATTCTGGAGGTTTGGCTGCAGAGGCTCTAGTTGAGATTTTGATAGGCCCAAAAACTTTAATCATCCTTGAGACGTCTGACTGCTGTTGATATTTGCCACTAATCTGTTGATTTGGCGTATCAACGTTGTCCAAGGGAGGAGATCTAGAGCCATGAACAATGTATAAAAGTGAGTGTTTCGTGACACTCGCCCCAATGATTATCTGTTGGAAGCAGTAGGACCTACTCAGAGTCAAGCTTAATGCCCCGCATCTTTTTCAAGACACGGCCTTCAATGTTGTCGGCTCCTGGCTCTATAGGCTCAATATATTCCTCCTGTCCATCTGGCTGAATCTGCTGTTGGCGATTATATCCCCCATGCCTAGCATATGTTGGTATTTCGGTGTCATTGACATGATCTGCTGGGTAATGTAGACCTCTGTAACCAGAGTCTGAACTATTGTGTCGACGTTTCATCCGCAAAAGAGACTGTTGTTGTGCAGAGTGACAGGAAGGAAGGCTTAGGGCAGCTGTTGCAACGGTAGATAAAGGGTAAGGGGTGATAGTGAAGAAGTATGGTATTCTGGGCAGGCTGAACAATGGGCTAGCTGGGGGCGATATTGGAGGGTCAGAATCGGGGGCCGTCATTGCGCGCCTGTATCCCGAAAATGAGAGCGCTGTTTACTGTTTTACTTTTAACTGCAGTGAAGAGACGAGACAAGAAAGTGAATGAAGGAGATTAGTGAGACAAGCTTTTATGAATGGACTGACTGTGAGTTGCAAAATTGTGGGGAATGAATGAGGACAACAACTGAACAAATGATGCAAATAAAAAGAATGTATTCAAAAGCCACGCAAGCGACCAGATTGTAGAAAGTCTTTTTTATTTAAGAAAAATGATCTATTAAAAATCGTAACGCTGTTGTTGCTGCTGCTGCGGTTGATAATGGTGGTGATGTTGCTGGTGCTGTTGCTGCTGATGCTGATGCTGCTGCTGCTGTTGTTGTTGTTGTTGAGGATACGATGGGTGTACTTGCTGTTGGCCCACAAAGGGCATTTGAAGTTGTGCATCTTGTCCCTTAAAAAAAAAAAAAAAAAAAAAAAAGTCAGTGCTGTGTTTTGGTCACAAATATTGGAAAGAGCACAGACCATCAGGTAAACAAGAGTTACTTCCTTACCAGTGCAAATGCTCCATTCTCCATCATGTCGTAAGGATAATACCCACTCAGTCCTAAACTAGATGTTGAGGGATCAACACCACTACTACCTATACCCACCCCTCCTGATGGTCCTTTTGGCCCCGTAGCACTTCCTGGTCCAGGCATAGGCTGGAATATTTCCTGACTTCGGCGGCGATCTGAAGTACCTGCACTTGCAATGCCATGAATCCCGTGGATTCCATGGTGTGACTTGTGCTCCTTAGGAAGTGAGAACTTGTATTCTTCTCGGGGGACAATGTCGATTAGGAAATCAAACATGTCTGTCTTGGCAATGGCTGCTGCAATATCGCTTCTTTGAAGCGTCCGTCTCTTGTTCTCTTCAGCGTGGATCCTACAAGCGTCATAATTAAACGAGATTTTTTTTTTTTAGTTTCATGTAAAAACATTTTTTCCTTGGAAAGGCCTGAAGGTTTCTCTACCATGCTCGAAGGGTGAGTTCGGTAATGAAAATATCGCAGCCCTTATCAAAGATCATGGGTGCATCAGCACTAATCATTTTGGCCTATATTAAGAGTTTATGCAGATTACAACCATTAGTAGATCTCGGAGATTCAATGTACAGGTTCATTATTTTTTGGTTGTTCATTTATTACCTTAACATCATCATCTGTCTTCATAACCTTTTTGATACGTGCCAATGGCAAGTGATGAACCTTGAAATCCTGTGGCATATTTTGAATCTCATGCATCTGCCTTGCCCAGTATGACTGTAAAAGATGCATGTATGCCTGCTGCATAGGCTGGTGATGTGTAAAAGCAGGATCATGGTAATGCCTCAGCGGCGGTGGGGGATGATTCATGGAAGCAAGAACGGGGTACATTGGCTGTTGACTCTGCATAATTGACTGATTATGAAGATTACTATTACTGCGTTGATGCGATGATAACTGGGGTTGCTGTTGTTGTTGTTGCTGCTGTTGCTGTTGCGGTTGCGGTTGCTGTTGTTGATGTTGAGGCTGATACTGTTGCTGATATTGGGGTTGGTACTGTTGCTGATGTTGAGGCTGGTCTAAGCGATAGGTACCACTAGTTGGATCTGGATAGGTATTTCCAGAAAAGCTCGCCCGCTGGCGTTGAAAATTCATAATGACAGGCTGAGAGTGGGGTGAAATTGAAGAACTTGATCGAATGAAAGAAGATATTTGTTGGTCGAGCGAAGTACCAGAGTAACTAACCAGGCATTGAAAAAGAGATTGTAGAGAAAGGGATGAAACCTTGATGATCCAGAAAAAAAAAAAAAAAAAAAAAAAAAAAAAAAAAGCTAGGAAGTGAGACTCTAAGCATTCAGTGACACATCACATACACACACACAAAAAAAAAGAAAGGGAGAAAAAGAAAGGACTCATTAATTAAAATGATGGGCGAAGCAAGTCTTTTTCGCTCTTGGGCTTTTTAATACATCCTAAGCTATTTATTAACCAGTGTCTATCTATTATTTATTTCATGAATCGTAATAGGGATAAAGTAGGGTAGCATGGGAAAGGGCCATTTTACATCTCATCATGCAAGACTTGTTGTTTTGCAGCTTCGCCTCCAAAAGCCTTCTCCTGGAAGGCTGCTTTGACGCCAAAAGCTGTTGCCAACAGTGTTTTTTGATCCTCTGTCAGCCTTTCTGGAAACTCGACTTTATATTCTACGAACAGGTCACCAAAATCACCTCTGGATCCTTGAATGGGCATTCCTTGACCCTTCAACGTTTGTACAAAACCAAAGGGCGTTACACTTTCACCTCGAGTCAGCCGGATGGGTTTACCATCCAGATGCTTGATCTCCAGATCAAATCCAAGAAGTGCCTGTTCCAACGTGATGGTAACATAGGTATAAAGCGAATGCTGACGTCTCTCAAAGACTGGATGAGGACGTGTACGTACTTCAAATACAATGTCGCCGGGCACAATCTCTGGTGCCTCATCTCCTTCCCGATCAAAGACAATCGTGGCACCATCTGGCAGGCCTGGCTCGACTACAATGGTCAGTTGTTCAGATCCGCGCTGGACCTTGTTGCCATGACAGACTGGACAGTGTTCCTTGATCATCTTACCCTTACCACCACATTGGTCACAGCTATCAGATAGAAAGACAAACGTTGTCAACAAATACGTGAAAATCATCGCCTCCTGAGCTATCTCCTGGATGGTATATCAAGATGTGGGTATATTCGTAAAGCTTTTTTCTTTTTTCCCTTCCTACTTACGTTTGATGAAACTGCTGGAACATGCCTGGCGCCAGCATACGTTTCACAACTTTGACACCTTGACCTTGGCATCCTGTGCATGTGACTACACTGTCGGACGATTTAGCGCCAGATCCATCGCAATGAGGACAGATGACCTGTTTCGAAACCTCAATCTCGATTGAGTTTCCAGAATACAATTCTTCCAGGGTAACCTCAAGTTCCAATCGCATCTCGGGACCTCTTCGCTCCTGTTCTCCATGATGATGATGTCTAGATCCGCCACCAAAGAATTGTGCAAAGATATCGAACGGATCATGGAAGCCACCATGACCACCGCCACCATTGGCTTGATGCTGCTTCAGTCCTTCTTCGCCGTACCTATCGTAGATGCTCTTCTTTTCATTGTCTGAGAGAACTTCGTAGGCTATATGGCTCATAAGGAAGCGTTAACGTAATTAATAATGTGAAGGTAGAAAGAAAAGGAAAGATAAAAGAGAATATGGAAAATAATGGCCACAATATGGTATATAAAAAATATGAGTATGTCTTCTGCTGTGGTTTACCTGCTGCAACCTCGACAAACTTTTCTTCTGCTTCTTTATTGCCAGGGTTTTTGTCTGGATGGTATTTTTTAGACAAGGCTTTGTATTGTTTTTTGATTTCCTTTGGGGTTGCGCTTCGAGTGAGTCCTAAAACTTTATAGTAGTCTGCACCGGCCGCTACAAGTGCAGTGAACAAACCAAGCAATATGCTCAGTAGAACAAGGACCTTCATCTTAGAGAAGATATGTTGGAGTATGAGATGGCAAACACTTTGTTGGAAATGTGTCAAAAAAGAGGCAGCGAAAGCGAATGCAAGTAGAAAAGAAGAAGAAGATGAAGAGATGAAGAGAAGGCGATCGAATGAAATGAAAATGAGATGATCATTTGAATCTGAGAGTTTGTACTACAATTCAACCTTTTTGACGTGGCAGGGGTATGCTGGCGAATTTGATTTGATCAAGATGAATTATCAAAAAGCAAATTGACATGGCTGTTAAGGGGAGCCCTTTTTTTTCATCTTGAAAGTAAGCCTGTATTTTCTCGATCATAATCAGACTCCTTTTCTTCCACGGACCAAGTAACCAGCGCTTTTACATCGCATCAAATGGCTTTTATGACGCGACAACGTGGTATTTATAATTTGATTGCCATGTGCAATGCGGAAAGTCAAAAAAGCGATGGGTTCTTTCGACAACTTCTCTACGAAGTGAGAGCACTCGTTTCGTATTTCATGTTTACGAATTTTTATTATTTGAGGTGTTTAACTGAGGCGGATTATTTGGTCAAGGGAACCTTTCATTCACATAAAGCACCGCATCATAGGAAATGATGGTAGAATGGATTAAAGCAATAAAAAAAGTGAGCACAGTGAGTGAGCACTGAATGAATAAGAGGGTGGAAGAGCAGCAGTCATTAAGAACGGCGACGGTTAAAAATACCCTTGTGTCTCTTCGAGTTAACAGGGCTCATTTGTACACACTCACATTATATACATTTTCATGTCAAATAAACAAATGCAAACACAAAATGAAAGTCAATGTGGAGAGGCAAAGAATGAAAATCAAACAATGTGCCATTCTGTTTGTGTGAAGTAACCATCTTAATGTACATGTGGATGGTGTCCTCCTGCAGGAAGGCCCTTGCTTCCAGCTATGATGTTACGGATATTGAAAGACCATCAGCCGGAGTAATCAAACTCAGGCACCATATCACACAGCACAGACACCAGACACGCTCATTCGTTATCGATTTGAACCAACGAGTGATCACGATCGCTGGGTAACATGGGTTAAATTCTTTTCTTTTACGGACTAGTGCCTTTCTCACACAAAGGGTGTGAATTGCGTTGTTGACAATGAGATCTGGCGAAAGAACCAAAGGACCAGCAAGAAATGTTCAATGAACTCTACCAAAGCGCCAAAGAAGATGCCGATGTGCCCTTGTTCTTTGTAAAAGCGGAAGAAGAGGGGACTGGCAAGCATAGCTGAATAAAGTTGTGAGCAGAAGAGAATCTCATCAGAAGCATTTTCAGAAAGCGAAAAGAGAAAAGAGACCATCTCCATCTATTCCTTTTCCTCCTCAAGTTCATTTCACAGTTACAGATCCGGCTGCTTACGATTGGGCCAAGGACTCTGATTGCAATGAGACAAAGAGTTGGACCCGAATAGGATCCAATGGCCAATGGATGGAGCAATGATAGTTATATTACTCAATACCTTATTCCAATGGAGCAGGCCCTGACTGACAACCCACACCATCTTTTTTCCTTTTCCCCTTCTTCCCCCTTCCCCCTGTCTGCGTCTTTTTCTTTTTCCCTTCACCATTTGCTTTTTCTTTCCCACAGACCCGACTTCATTGCCCTTCATTCACCCTTTCATTCTCTCATCCATTCGCATTCCATCTCTCCCTCACGCTGCTCTCCTTTTCACATCTCTATCTCTTTATTTACCCTTTATAATTGCTTCGCTCCTTCCTTTCTTTCCTCTTCTCCCTCATTTGTTCATTCGTTCATTCACTCATTCGTTCATAAACGCATCATTCAATCACATCGTTCACTCACACTCATTTCCTCATTTAGACATTCAATCATTCCTTTTTTTCATTGTCATCCCTTTCCATCCTTGCTTTTTTTTTTTTACCAATATAAGTTCTAACATGGGCCTCATGGACAAATTGATGCGCAACTACGAGATTTGGAAAATCGGCAAATATACCAAGCGCAGGGCAGCACTCACACCGGAGTTTGAACAGAGAGACAAAGAATACTATGAGTCTAACTATAAGGATGGGATTTACACTCATAACCAAGTTGGCAACGATAATAACATGAACCGTGCAAAGTCCTTCAAGCGTGTGCTCTCTCGAAAGGATACAAAAGCTGTCCGGAGCAGCGAAGTCTATAACGAAAATCCTCACAGCCAGTACAGGTAAACGTCCTTCTTCTTCTAGGGCAATAACTATACCGTCGTCTCCCGTCTCCTTTTTTTTCACATACGCACCATGCATCTTTCTCTTTCTTACCTAACCGAGGGTGAACGGTTTGGACAAAAAGAAGAGCTAAATATAACTCTTCAATGCATGGAGAAAATCCATTTTTCTATCAACATTTCCAACACATCTCTTTTTCTTTCTTTGTTTTGTGTGACCACGCTGATTCCTACATTACGAGAATAGCATAGCAAACCATGAGGCAAAAAACACACCGGGGATGATTTTCGTGAGAACGAAATGCTAAAACAGTGCACCTAATTATTAAAAGAAGATATAGATATTATTCTTTTATTATTTATTTTTCTCTTTCTCTCTTGCTCATCCCTTATTCTCTATTCTTATTCTCTATTCTTATTGTTTCTGTTTACTTTTTGCTGCACGTCTGCACGGTGCCATGTGCGTAGTGATGTTCTAATTGCAATTGCTTACCGTTTTTTATTTTTTTTTTATCTGGAACTGACCAATAGGGATTAAACGATCATCATCTGAAATAATCCAATAGAAGAATAACATTAGAAAAAATCAAAGAGACACCAAACAGCAACATCCCTTAGCACATATGCATGGCATTGTACCTATTTACAAGAAAACAAAATATTATAAACGTACATATTCTCCCTCCTCATTTACATCATGAAATAAATGTTCAAAAAAAAAAAAAAAAAAAAAAAATTACAGCAATTTAGAAGTGAATTAGAGATACAATATACAGAGTGATTTCATCAAAAGCAAGTTGTATGACAGTGTCTACGGGTTCTCCGATTCCAAGGTATACAAATCAGTGATCGGCGCAGCAATTTTAGGTACGTTAGTGGCAACTGCTTCAATGCACGTGTAGTTTAGTTTTATCGTGTGATACCTTCAACAAAAGACGTGCTCAATTTGACATTAATCAACAACTCTATATTATATAACAATTGTAAACATATTAACACTAAACATAATCAATGAGTACCAGGGTACTGAACATGTCAAGTATAGTAGATTAATTAATGGTTTCTTTGTATTACAAAACAATTAGCTATTCTCTTAAATGCGCAGCAAAAAAGAGACTTTTCGAGAGAAAGATGGAGAATTATAGATAGAGGCTAAATAAGTGGAATTAGATAGGTTTGTAGGTTATAAAAAGTAGGAATTTGTCTAGGGTGATTTTTTGCTTTCTTTGAGGAGATCCCTTTAAAGGTTGACAAGGGCGGCGATGATGGCTTCGACATTAACCTCAGCAAGGAGAGCAAGGACCTCAGCGTGAACATCGACGTCAAGATCAACACCAACACCAACATTGACAGAAGCTCCGATGGCAGCATAGACAGCAGCGAGGACCTTGGCATCGACGTGAGCGACCAAAGCATTGAGGCGTGCTTCAATCAAGGCCTTGACATCAGCAGCGATGGCCTTGGCATCAGCATCAACATTGGCGCTGACGTGAGCATCGACAATAGCTGCCAATGCAACTTGAATATCGGCATTGACATCAAGTCCCAAGTAAAGATCAATGGTGGCTTGAACAGCAGCTATACGATCATAGCAGAGAGGTAGCAAAAATCGCAGGAGATTAGAATCAAATCCCAAAGAGAATAAACAGTATAATGCAAGAGACTGAGGGCTATGCTTTCTCCCTCGCTTTCAACTTGATGACTGAACTTACCATCCACCTTGGCGCGGATATCAACAAGGCCAACAAGGCTGACATCGGCCTTCAACTTGGCCTCAACTTGAGCAGCAATAAAAGCATTAAGCTTGGCCTTAACATCGAGAACGATATCGGCTACTACAACAACGAGAGCATCGACCTTGACATCGGCATCGACTGCAGCGGCGGCGACATGGCGCTTAAGCAAACTAGGAACCATGTTGTTGACATTTACGCCATTATTCAAAGGTGCAATGTCGCTGGAAGGAGTGATAGGAGCAAGAGCCTGAGTCATGGCAACGACAGCAGACAATGCAAGGATGACGGAAGAGATTTTCATGTTGAGAGTATGTTTTGAGTGAAGCTATTGGCTTGGAGTGTGTAGGAAAGTTTTTATGAGAAAGCTGCAGATGAGTTTGTTGTAGAAGTCTGTTCTAGGGTGGGGGCCATGTTGGTATTTATATGTTGCTTGTTCCTTTTTTTTATAACCGTTCAAACCTTTTTTCAGACAGACTTCAAGAATATACAGGATATGTTTATGAAGAGCTGTTAGCATTTGAAGCATGAATGGTGAGCAGTTGAAAAGATCTTTTTTTTTTTTTTTTAGATTACCACTGGATTAAAGTTAAGGGACGTTAGCACCGTTTATTTTCGGTGATTCCTCCTGCATCCCTGTCGCGATTTTTTCCAATTGGACATGCCCATGGCCATTGTCTGGTAGGACTAGGGGCTGGCATGCATATCAACAAAGTACAATCGTCCTAAAAGAGGAAAGTTTAAATCTTTTTGTCTCCAAAAAAAGAATACAATCTGTTGCTATACTAGCCTTCAGGCTACACGGCTAGTCTATTAAAGGAGCCACAGGGGCGTGCTCAAAGAGACGTCTATGTCAATGTCTAGATAATAAAAATAACAATAAGCAGCAAGAGTTATTATTTCACTTTTAGTACATTGACAAAGGCGTGGTTTGTGTGCCATGCCCTGAAGAGCCAAAAACAGTAGGTATCTTGCGTTATTTGGTTGAAATGGCAGAAGGAACTAAGGATATCTCAACGGCAAAGATGGCAGGGGAGTCATGTTTTTTCATCGGCATCTATAGTATCCTTTCCTTTTTCTCGACTTCCTATCCATTCTTCATCCCCTGGTCTCCATTTTGCATCAAGACGAGCAGCTAGGGCAAGAAGAGACTAGAGGCCCAACGATCTTACTAGACGCTTCAATTGTCAATTTGTGTATGTTCCCTGCCAGATGTTCTGTCATGAAGAGACTCAGTAAAGCCAATTAACTTCAGCTGCTTTCTGCGTTCTTTTTTGTTTCCTTTGGTGGGTGTCATTGACTGATATTGCTCAGACTGTTGCTAACTTGGACTATGTATGTAGACGAAAAGTTCAAGACGCGCTATTATCAAACATCAGCAAGGCAAGGACTATTTTTTGCTCTCATCACATCAATTGCGTCAACTCTGCATTTTTCTTCTTCACTTGCGCTCCAAGAGTGAGCCCTTTTTTTTGAAGCCGGGACGGCGCAGATGCATTATGAAGCGTGGTTTTCGCTACTGACTGAAGCAATTGGTAGAGATGTTTACAAAAAGCCGTTATCCATTACCCCATGCTCATTTCACTTTTAAACGGTCACCATGACCCTTCTTTATCTTTTCAGGGATCAAATAAATTTATTCCTCATCTGCACGAGGTAGTAGTTCATTGCACTATTCAAGGCTCAGGAGGAAAGATGTGGTTTGGGACGCGTTACTCCTGAATTAATGTAATAGTTATCAAGGTGCGCCCAACCCTACGGAAAATTCTCAAGCATTTACTCATGTTCAGACTTTAACACAACTAACATAGTGCTCAGACAGTATAGATGTTAAGTTATGGGAGTCTAGCAATGGCTTTAGTCTTTTAAGCTCAGTAAAGTGATCACTCTCATTCGCTATGATGAACAAAAGGAAGTGGCGAGACGGCAAGGTATTTGTTCTGTTCAAGCCAATAAGTCAATACTCATGTCTACTGACAGGCTTCGCTGTACAAGGCCTGAATGGCACGTTGGAACAGTCATCACGTCGTGCGCTTTTCCATTACAAGGATAAAGGTGTCGTTTCTCTCACTTTTTTTTTGTAATTTAATAGCGGACCATGCTCTCAATCGGTCAGTCAGAGGAAACAAAAAAAAAAAAAAAACCCCCGTGCGTCACTTATTCATTTGATAAAACACAATTTTATAAAAACTACAATGCAAATGGTATTCAGCTGCCTTCTTACTTGATGCCTTTTTTTCGGGCCTAAGGAATATTACTACTGTAGTGATATTTCACCGAGTAGATGTGGTTGAGCAAATAAAAAACTTCTCTCCTCACTCTTGATGTTACTGTTTAAGATGAAAGCAAAAACTCTGTCACATCTATAATGTCTAACGCACCATCTTGAGATTTAAAATCGGGTTTCTATACGAGTACCACAGATGAACGGATATAGTCGCTCAGATCGTTCATATCACTGCCTATGTCCTCAGTTAGAAGCCTCATTGCAGATCAATGCTCCTATCGTTTTATTTGTTTATCTTATGAAGCACAACATAAACAATCTCGAGATATGACCAGTCTAATAGCGTAGCAAGGAAAAGCAGTTTCTAAGGGGAAAGCAGTCATGCCATGGAAACAACATTCTACAGCATATCCGAACCACCACATGTAATATTGAAAAGCAGACTTCTTATTGTAGTCATGACCTACGCATGACTAGATTCAGTCGCTCAAAATGAATAGAGGCATCATATTATTCAAATGCAACATAGAAACAAGGATATAAACACGCGCAAGTGTAAAGACCACACCTACAATCTTAGGAGTGAACATAATCAAGATGACAACAGCCATGAAAAAGACAGTAGCGGTTGAAAACTTCGCGATGTAGGATGGTTGGTGGAGATGCTAGGGGCTTTTTTGAATGTCTGGAAAGATAGAGAGTTTGCTGGACAAAAAAAAAAAAAAGAAAAAAGAAAAAAAATCGTACAAAGGTGAAATGGTTGAAGCCAAAGGTGCTTTCCTTTTTGAGCTTTTTTGGAGCGGCGAGTTGCTTTTTCCATTGTTGAGTAAACGACTTGCAGTATTACAGATGCTCTTCCACGACTAACCACTTAGATAGCCATTTGTGTTGACGATAATAGAGTGAGGCTTTGAAATGCATGACAAGAACAACAGGTCTGCAAATTTTAAGGCCATCCTCGCTCTAAGGTGAATGCAATATTGTCCTAACAGCCATCACACCTGTGAGACATCCAAGCAGCTACTATTTATATGCTCACATAAAACTAACTTGGGGGCATGGAAGACACAGCGCATACACGGGATAGAGGAACAGGACAGTGTATATCAAATATTCGCCTAGTCAATTGCTCCTTTTGCCTGGAAAACCATTGCGGCGATTTTTATTTGAGTATAAGCACTCTCAAGCTTTTAGAAGAGATAATGGATAGTGTTGATTTGAGATGAAGCGTCCAGGGTACATACTTCAACATTTTATGTATGAGCTTCTGTCTAAAAAGCAGCTTTTCCACATTAGACATTTAGTTCAAAGCTTCCTAGGACTTCAGAATAAGTGTACAATTTGATGAATAGGATATTTAGCAAGCGGAAAAACGACGCTCACTTTATGAAAATGTTGTCTGTTGCAGAAAAAAGTGCATTCGAGGCACTTACGTCGTGCCCAGCCCAGCGTGTACCCATCTGATACCTCTGCTTTTCAATCTTATCACTACATTCATGCTACTTCAAAGACTTTCTACTGCATTTAATGTGGGTCGTCCTGCTATACCATGGTTCAAAACCAGGTTTTTCAACTTTGACCGAGTAAATCTCCATCTGCCATGTGCTCAGTGGGTTCTCTTCAAACAAAACCTAACGGTTGCTTGGAACTATAGTTATAAGGGAGCTGCACCAATAAACTTTTCCGTTTCGCCATCTGAGGGGCAGTTGTAAAATATTGCATTGACTAGTACGCAAATCTTATTTGTCCCAAACACAGCAACAAGGTTGTAATTGCCGTAATACCAGCATACCATGTTTGGATCGTTGTTGAGGATACTATCCATAATTCTTTGTAGACGTTGGGTCAACTCTGCAAATAATTTATTGCGCCAGCACACATTCTTTCGAAAGAGACGTATTTCCTTAGACTTTACCAAAAATATGAGGATTTGCCTCGCTCAATTAGTGGCGATTTTGAGAGGGGGCATTAAAAAGTTGCAACTGAGTTTGCTCCTTCGCTACCAATAGCTGGCAATCTTTTGGTGCAATTTTCGACTTGTTGTGTTTTCTGTTCAAAAGATTGGTTTCTTGGAAAGGAGGCAAAGCTTGCATCTTTTAATCTGTTTCACCACTGGCAACATGCAAACACACAAATGGGCTCTACTAATTCCATCTTGTGTATTGAATTCACTGGAGAAGTCACCGATCATAATTCTTTTCCTTTCACATCTTTTCTCTGTTTCTTCACCTCTCTCGTTCTCACAACAACATTATCTCTCAACATAAAGCATTTGTTTTTACAAGCCATCTTCGTATTTTCGTCCTTAAAATACCTGAATGTAATATCACTCACTATCCTTACAATCAACTATGTATCTATCGCAATAATGGTTGCTGATTAGAAGTATTATTTGAAATTCTTTAATCAATAGATCAAAATCCAAAGGAAAACAAAAAGGACAATAGCCGATGTTTGGCAAGACGTATACTTCGACACGAGGTGTCCTTTCGCCATCAAAGGCTCTGAGACTCTTCAATCTTTACATGGAGGACGCTCGTAGAATAGACAATGATCATGAAATCCTCATGGAGTTGTGTCTCGATGCAGACTTTGCACTGTCTCGAATCCAGCAGTCGAGAAAAAATCTTGCCTCTTCAGCTTCCAATGGAGATAAAATGCTATGTCAAGCTGTCGCTTCAGCTTACTATGAAGTCGCTCGCTTATTCGGACGTCTAGGCCGCTTAAATGATGCTAAGAAAAGTGATGGAAAAGCAGAGAAGTGGGGATACATCCAAGGGAGCAGTATTGTCCGTCAAGAGTCATTACGAACCCATATACCCACTAACAGCAATAGTAACAGCAATAATAACAGCAATAGCAACAGCAACAGCAGCGAACAGCGAAGCGGCGGCATCAGTATCGGCAAATTGAAAGGGGCAATTAAAGGCGCGGGAACTCTAAAATCACACAGCCCCGCAGTTGTTCCAAAAGACATATTTAGCCATGATGTAGTTCAAGTGAAGCTCGAATACAACTTACCCCCTCCAGGCGCTTACCTGGACGATACCCAGCAGCTTGTCAACTGTCTTAGCCTGCTTCCTACTGCACCTATACCAAAAACAAATCCCAGTGAGCAGGAGCAAGGCTGGGCTTTGGCCGTGCTGGATGATCAAGATGAACAGGAGCGACTTCGGAACT